TTCCGAAGGCACTGCCATTGACTATGACAAGCGTGATTCCGAAGGCACCGCCATTGACTATGACAAGCGTGATTCCGAAGGCACCGCCATTGACTGGGACTAAAACACTCTCAGGCCAGCCGCCTATCAACTAAATCAATGAACCCAGCATGGTTCGATACTTGTGTTAGTACATATTAGTCAGCAATATGAGGAAGTGGTTGACATGTCATCATCCATATTTCTAGCTGTGGACCTTTGTTATTAACATCCGAGTGGCGGTTGGAAAGCATAATCTTGAACTGAACCTTTTTGAAGTACACAGTGATGTATAGCATAGGTAGAAAAGAAATTTCAACATCAAATATGCCTATCGTTTTGATCAGATGTTTAGCTTCTACAAATTCTTATGGTAGATAATCCCGACATTGTTTAGTACTGAGGTAAAATAGAACCTAGGGTAGTTATTGCTTACAATATAACTTAGTTTACCATGGGCTAATTTGTTAGTTATCTTACTGTCGCTCTTTGCGACAACACAGATATGCTAATTAGCTTCATGATCATAGCGATTGTTTAACTGCTGGGTTGGGTTGGGATGGACATCGGCCCCACACCACCCACAAATAGCGGGACGGGCCCTACTCCTCTGACCCACTTAGCTTCATCCATCCATCCTTGTCCGTACATCTTGATTGCACAAACGACCCTCGTCCTACCGACAGGGTAAGTTTCGACCACGCGGGCGCTTAGTACGTAGTGTGGTGCTATTTTTGACAATTTAAGGGGAGGCTCTGAAGCAGTCGAAGTTGGCGGCCTGGGGATGTATCTATTATTCATATTTCCACCCAAACGCGCCCTTTTCGGACTCTATTTAACTAGAATCAATCAAGGCTTTCGCTTAGCTATACTTTTTGCTTGCTCGCTTGCCCGCTACTACCTTGGTGGTAGTCATCTTTCTTAAATCAATCTTTCGTTATCTAATAATCATCGGTTTGCCCCATGGAATCGCCACCAGCTAATTGCTTCGTTAGCGAGCCACTTACATTATCCGATAGAACTTATTGATATTTTATAAGGCGAGATGGTGATGGCGAAGGGAAAGGCTCGGCTCCTGTGCTGCGTCAATTTCTCTTTATGGACAAGCCGACTTTGGCTGCATATCTAGACGATGTGGCCAACAAAAACTATACCTGTCGATTTATGTTTGTTGCCTTACCCTCCCTCGTTTCTTTCCCAGATAATTTTTATTGTCTTCTTCGAAAGACGTTATATATCATGGCTGAATTGAATTGCTTACTGACTTATCTCGTACATCAATCTGCCAGCGAAATTCGTAGCAACCGTTACGAATCACGGAGGAAATGTTGGATCTCATAATGACTAGACATGATCTCAGCTCTGGGACCTCACTTCAGCCTTTTACACCCGAACTTCAAAGCTGGAGCAAGTCTTTTGTATTCCATACATGGAGTCTTGTGATGGACTCTTCACAGATATTCATAGTCTCATCCTCACAACTTCTTGCTGTGGCCTGCGGCTGCACAACCAAATACACTTCATCTGATGTAGGGAATGATATATGCGCAATATCTATTGCAGGAAAATCTAGGCTTAATGTCATGGAGTCAAACTGATCAGGTGAAACTCCCCGTGTTAGATCCACGATGGAGACGAGAAATACAGAGGCACAATCCTGTCATTTCTCTTGACTTTGCATGACACATGCTAGTGTTTTGGTATTGACCGAAATGGCCAGTTGAATAATTTCGGGAAGTTGGAAGTTTATGTGATACTGACGATTGAGGGCAATGTCATAGATGTAACACTGTATTTGCTAAACCTTTAGCAAGTAGAACGTATGTATTAAAGTGAAGAAGAGAAAAAATTGAGGCCGTTCCTCACCTGAAAATTGGCACTCGTTGTGGAAGCAATCAGATATCTTTCTGACAGCGCAACGGATTTCCAAACACAATCGGCCAAATCCTGAGTATACTCAGCAGTCGGATCTATGGGCTGCGGTTCCGCCAAGGTTGTTTGAGAAGGAAGAGACAGTTCGCTTAAAGCCAAACACAGTGTGAATATCCATCCCATCGTGCATAGTTGCCCGTCTCGGCATCCCTATAAGATCAGCCATGTAACCAACTCTGCCCACAATGCCCCAGTCTATTCGATACCATTCCGAGGGCATATTGTCTTTGACGCGGAATCTATAACGATTGGTTGTTAACGAGACATCCGGCACTAGTCCTGCTTGGGTATAGTGTGGATGTGTACCCCATAAGCTATAAATAGCCGGGGCATAACAAATTCCAGCCTATAAGGAACGCTTCTTTCTACCATCAAAAGAAATCCTCTATATAACGATACAAGCGGCGGGTGTCCTTGATATAGCTATATAGCAGCTGTATAGCACCCAGAAATCAAGAAACTCGCTTTTCGCCAGTCAACACTCCCCGTTCCGAAACACATCATCATGTCAGGCAATCAATCGCATGATGCACGATGATCGAAAGGTACAAGTAACGTCGGCGTTGGGAGATCACGTGATGCGGACAGCCGGAAGACACGCTAGGCCTGTTCGGGCTGCAGGAAGCGTTGGGGCAGGCCCACAGCGTATGCCGCCACAGAAGTTAACCTCAGCCTTCTAGCCTACTTCTAGACGTCCGTACAGAGCAGTAATGGCGAGATAGTACGATATATGATGGTTGTTTATTCGCCATTCACCGTTCTTTCTAGAGCATAAGAATAGGAGAAATACACTGATACACTATTTCGCCCTTTCAATACCGGGCTGATTCAATGCACGTGCTCTGATTGGCGGGCGGCCGGTTGCAGGCTCCAATGCAGCCAATCACAGCGCTCGCATTAATCGAGAGCTGGAATTGTTGGGAGTAGAATACCACGCAATTACCGAGAGCGAACATCGTGTATTTTATCTTTTTTTTAGAGAGAGAGAAAGAGAGAATTGCTTCGTTCGCATGAGCTCTGCCTGTTGATTCTGGTATCAAAGATCTGCTGCTTTATTTCTATCAACTGCATATTCTTATTTAATTCACAGAGTACTCCGTGCAATCTCCCGCGTTGCAGCTCTTGATTGGCACGCGGCAGTGCGTAATTGCTTCCCCAACGTTCAGCCGGATCGCTGGTGGATCGCTCCGCCGCGAACATCTGATTCTGGGCCCAACCCTCCCCGCCTGCATTCTTTTCGTCCAGCTTCAAAAGTCTCTCGTTCCCCCGGTTTTTCTTTCTCTTTCGCTTCTGCTTCATATCACCTCTCCCTTCTGTTGTGACCTGGGACAAGCTCGCACTCGCCATGTCTGCTACCACCGCAGACTCCAGGCCTCGGCCTGCTGCCGACACCAAAAAGGTGCACATCGCCGATACCAAGATGACCCTTCAGAACTGGCACAAGCACGTCAACTGGTTGAACGTGTTTCTGATCATCGGTATCCCTCTGTATGGGTGCATTCTCTCTGTTTGGGTTCCTCTGCAGCTCAAGACTGCCGCATGGGCCGTTCTCTATTACTTCTACACCGGTTTCGGAATCACTGCTGGTAAGTTAACCTGTTTTGAAATGGTAGCGTATAAAGGGGGAAAAAAAAAAAACCTAAACTAACCTGGTGGTGTGGCTAGGTTACCATCGTCTATGGGCTCACTGCTCCTATTCCGCAACTTTGCCTCTCAAGATCATCCTCGCCGCCGCTGGTGGTGGTGCCGTCGAGGGTTCCATCCGTTGGTGGGCTCGTGGTCACCGCGCCCATCACCGTTATACTGATACCGAGAAGGACCCTTACTCCGTGCGCAAGGGTTTCTGGTACTCTCACTTGGGCTGGATGGTCATGAAGCAGAACCCCAAGCGTATTGGCCGCACTGACATCACCGATTTGAACGAGGACCCCATTGTCGTCTGGCAACACCGCCACTATTTGAAGGTGGTCTTTGTCATGGGTCTCCTTGTTCCCATGCTCGTGGCTGGTCTGGGCTGGGGCGATTGGGTGGGTGGTTTCGTCTACGCTGGTATTCTGCGAATCTTCTTCGTCCAACAGGCTACTTTCTGCGTTAACTCTCTCGCTCACTGGCTCGGAGATCAACCCTTCGACGACCGAAACTCTCCTCGTGACCATGTCATTACCGCCCTTGTCACCCTTGGTGAAGGCTACCACAACTTCCATCACGAATTCCCATCCGACTACCGCAATGCTATCGAATGGCACCAGTACGACCCGACCAAGTGGTTGATTTGGACCTGCAAGCAGCTCGGCCTCGCCTACGACCTCAAGCAGTTCCGCGCCAACGAGATTGAAAAGGGACGTCTCCAGCAGTTGCAGAAGAAGCTTGACAAGCGCCGCACTCAGCTCGACTGGGGTGTGCCACTTGATCAGTTGCCTGTTTTCGAATGGGACGACTACGTCGAGCAGGCCAAGAACGGCCGTGGTCTGATTGCCATTGCCGGCGTTATCCACGATGTGACCGACTTCATCAAGGACCACCCCGGTGGCAAGGCCATGATCTCGTCTGGAATCGGCAAAGATGCCACTGCCATGTTCAATGGAGGCGTGTACTTGCACTCCAACGCGGCCCACAACTTGCTCTCCACCATGCGTGTCGGCGTCATCCGCGGCGGATGCGAGGTTGAGATCTGGAAGCGCGCTCAGAAGGAGAACACCAACGTCGACTATGTCCGGGACGCCAATGGCCAACGTATTGTTCGTGCCGGAGAGCAGGTGACCAAGATTCCACTACCTGTCGCGACTGCCGACGCTGCTTAGCTTTCAAGCTGATGATGATGACCATGTTATGACTGCCAAAAAACAAAAAAAAACAAAACTTCCCTTCGTCTGTAATAAGCCATCCTGCCTTGTGTGTATTCCATCTTGTATTTTTCTTCAATGCGGATGTTTTCCGTGGCAGTGCTTTGCACAAATCCTTCCTTTTTTTTTTTTTTTTTTTTTTTTTTTTTCCTTTCTTCACTCATTCCAGGTGTTTTTAGACGGTTATAATTCATGCTTGGGATCGGAGTTGGGTCCGTATATTGATAGGAACAATCGCAGCCACCATATGCAGAGCGTTGTAAACAAGTATCTTCGGGCATTCTCACCTGTATACAAATCGTACTTCTGTGTTCAGTAGTGGTAGAGCAGGATCAAAAAGAGGGCAAGTCGGTGTGACCAAGTAAATGCGGAGTATAGTGGAGCCTGAGGCATCACGCAGAGCTTAAACCTTTAAAGCTTCCCCTCCGTGACATGTCACGCATCATCGCTACCAATTATCACAGACAGACAACCCCCACCAAACAACGCAGAATCCAACCTGGCCGCCGCCCTCTCTTCACCCCCCCGCCTTTCGCGCCCATCTTTCCTCGCCTTCCTGCTCGTCCTGAGCATCGCCCTCATCCTGGCTCCTCCGCTCCGTCTCCCATCAACAACATCTAGACTTGCCGCACTGGTGAAGCAATTCCCGTCACCGTTATCGTCAAGACCATTAGTCCGGCAACATTTCCCACCCCCACGAGCCATCACGACATTCAGCATGGCTCCCGAGCAGCTCAAGAAGCCGCCGCAGGCCCCGCCGCTGTTCGTCGCTACCCCAACCTCAATCATAGAAGACACGAAGCGCATGATTGCCAACTCCCGCAAAGTGCAAGATGGCGTCGCCAGCAGCGTGACGCCGGAGACGGCAACTTTCAGCACCGCCCTGCTCCCGCTTGCGCGCGACGAGAATGCCATGACGCTGGAAGCACATATCCTGGGGTTCTACCAAGCTGTCTCGACAGACCAGAAGCTGCGGGATGCGTCGAGCGAAGCCGAGAAGCTCATGGATGACTTTGGCATCGAGACTGCCATGCGAGAGGACTTGTTTCAGCTGGTGGATGCTGCGGTGAAGAAGAATGAGACTCTAGATCCGGAGTCGCAGCGTCTGCTGGAGAAGGAGCACAAGGACTATATCCGTAATGGACTGGGGTTGCCAGCAGGACCCAAGCGAGACCGGTTTAAGGAGATCAAAAAGCGGCTGAGTCAGCTGAGTATTCAGTTCCAAAAGACCCTGAATGAGGAGAATGGGGGTATCTGGTTTACGCCCGAGGAGCTAGATGGTGTTCCGGAGGATGTGATCTCTGGGCTTGAGAAAGGCAAGGGTGAGAATGAGGGGAAATTGCGTTTGACGTTTAAATATCCCGATCTCTTGCCCACACTGAAATATGCTACGAATGCGGAGACTCGCAAGCGCCTGACTATTGGGAATGAGAACAAGTGTAATCAAAATGTTCCTCTATTCAAGGAAGCCATGGTCCTTCGCGATGAGGCTGCTCGACTGCTGGGATATCCCAATCACGCGGCCTTCCGCATTGAAGACAAAATGGCCAAGACACCACAGACAGTTGACAATTTCCTTGGCGATCTCCGGTCTAGACTGGCGGCCGGCGGATCGAAGGAATTGGAGAAGTTGAAGGGACTTAAGAAAGCAGATGTGGAGTCGCGCGGAGAGAAGTTTGACGGCCATTACTTCCTCTGGGATCACCGATTCTACGACCGATTGATGCTGGAGAAGGAGTACCAGTTGGATCATCAGAAGATTGCGGAGTATTTCCCTCTGCAAACGACAATCCGTGGGATGCTGGAGATTTTCGAGGAGTTGTTTGGCCTTGTTTTTGTGGAGGTGAAAGGCGATGATCGCGCTAGTATTTCTCCGTCTGGAAAGGGCGAGGATATTGTCTGGCACGAGGAGGTGCAGTTGTTTAGTGTCTGGGATGACGAGGGTCAGGGTGGTGGGTTCGTGGGCTATTTGTATCTTGATTTGCATCCTCGTGAGGGCAAATACGGACACGCAGCCAACTTCAACCTCCAGCCGGTGCGCTCCTTTGTATAAGAGAAGACTGCATAGTAGTACTATATGGCTAACTGACAGCAGGGCTTCATTGACTCGAACGGCAACAAGCGATATCCAGCCACAGCATTGGTATGCAACTTTTCCAAGCCCACAGCGAAAAAGCCCAGTCTTCTCAAACACGACGAGGTGACGACACTCTTCCACGAACTGGGACACGGCATTCACGATCTCGTAGCGAAGACGACCTACTCCCGCTTCCACGGCACCAACACGGTGCGCGACTTTGTCGAAGCACCGAGCCAAATGCTAGAGAACTGGTGCTGGACACCGTCTCAACTCAAGTCGCTGAGTCGGCACTACTCGACGCTCTCGGAGGAGTATCGGCAGACATGGGAAGAGTCGAGGGGTACTGCAAACCCGCCTGCAGCACCGGAAAGCATCCCAGACGAGATGATCAACAGTATTATTCGCACCAAGCATGTCAACGATGCATTGGCCAATCTGCGTCAGCTGCACTTTGGCATTTTCGACATGACCATGCACGAGCCGGAGTCGCACGAGGCGATTGAGAGCGTGAACCCGACAGAAAAGTACAATTCGCTGCGCAAGGAGATCTCTCAGATTGAAGGGCCCGAGGTGCTTGGGCAGGGCAGTGAATGGGGCAATGGCCAGGCGACGTTTGGCCATTTGATGGGAGGGTATGATGCGGGATACTACGGATACCTGAGGTTTGTCCCCCCTTATCTTCAGTTCCAGTCCTACAGAAACAAGCATTGCATGCTAATTAGGCTATCAAAAAAAACAGCTCCCAAGTCTACTCGACAGACATGTTCTACACCGTCTTCAAATCCAACCCGATGGACCCTGAGCAGGGCCGGCGATATAGGCGCACCGTGCTGGAGAAGGGCGGTAGTCAGGACGAGATGAAGTCGCTGACGGAGTTTTTGGGCCGCGAGCCGAAGACGGAGGCTTTCTACACGGATTTGGGGTTGGCTTAGTCTAGGTCTAGTATCATACTTTAATTACGTGGTAGTTTAGTTATACTGTGAGTACGGAGTGAATAGTTCTATGTAGAAGGTTGTCTTGGCTGAGCTCCACCTTTTCCGGCAAGCTTCCAGGCTCCCGCAGTTCTTTCCATCATTCCATGACCACATCTCAAATCTTTCACATTAATACACCCTTCGAAAAAAGAAAGAAGAAAGAAGAAAGAAGAGAAAAAAAAAAAAGGAAAGAATAATCAGACAAAACGAAAAATTTAAAAAAAATAAAATGGAAGAAACAACTACTCATCCACCCGAATCACACAACGACCCAACCCGCCTACCTATAAAAACTTACCATTGCCGTTTCTGCTCGCATCTCCTCATCGCGTCGAGCAGGGACTTGCTCTCGGCGACGACGCCGCTGAAACGACGCGCCGGGCCGCCGGGGCTGGATCATGCGCTTATCTTGAGGTTACCTGCTACTCGTTCTACTCGTTCTACTAGCAGCGGCAGCGGCAGCGGCAATAGCAGTAATCGAAGGCACGATGGCTCGGGTGGAGGTGCAGAAGCAGCTGGTGATCACAAGGGCAAGGACCAGGAACAAAATTTGACGAGCGGTGTGCCACAGGGGAAAAGGGAAGAGACGGAACAAGCGCACTATACAATACCGCTGTCGACGCTGGTGCCAGAGGCCAAGCCGATGGTGGTGCGGCGCGAGGATGGGTTCGAGAAGAGGGTTTTGTTGAGGTGTGGGCGATGCAGGGTCGTGGTTGGGTATGAGATTGGTGGTGCGCGAAGTGGGGAGGACGAGGACGAGGACGAGGATGAACATGATGACGACGAAAATGATGATGATAATGATGAATATATCGAGAGGAAGAGGAGAAGAGACGATAAGGATAGAGCGATCTATCTATTACCGGGGTCTATAGTCGGGACGGAGGATTTGGGGGACGGTGAGGGGGACATGGCGGAGAAGAATGCGGTTTTGAAGGCGATGGACAGGGAGTGGATGGAGTGGATTAAGTGAGGATACAGATTTTCAAGAGCGTTACGTTAAGAAATGTTATGATTATAACCATACTCCACATGCAGTAAAATACAAATAGACACCGAGTCCAGTCCAGTCACAAGAAGATATAAACAGAATGATCGTTGGGTCGTCGTAAGGGTATAGGTATAGTTTAGTTTGCGAGGATAGTGCGCACGAGGTCTGTATGTCGTTAGATCGGTAGCAACACAGAAGGGAAAGACAGACTCACCGGTATAGTTAATCTCGCCGGAGCTGGTATCAACGACCTTGAGCAATTCGTCCACTTCTTCATCGGTCATTTTCTCGCCGAGATTCGTGAGGACTATTCCGTTAGTATACATACACATATATATCGATATATCGATATATGTACGTACTGTATCGCAGCTGCCCAACACCAATAAAGCCGGTCAAATCCTTGTCAAACACCTGGAATCCGCGACAATATTCCTCTGGCTCGCCTGGGTCGCGGAAGCCGCCGGGGCGGTTGAGCACTTTCTGGAAGGAGTCAAAGTCGACTATCACCGTCGTCAGCCATGCATCTCTTGTTGCTGCTGTTGATAGGAAACTTAGAAGCTTACAGTCCCCGCCAACAGTCTGCTCCAGATCGCGGATCTCAGCCAGCGTCGGGTTCTGGCCGCAGGCTCGCAGCAGGTCGCCGAGTGAGTCGAGGGCGACACGGCCGTTGCCGCGCTTGTCGAAGAGCGAGAAGGCTTCTTTGTAGTTGGTGGAGGCCTGGTCTTGGTTAGACATGGTGACTGTGTGTGACTTGAGTGATGTAGAGATGATAACGTGATGAATGGAGGTGCAAGTGCGTGAGGGTGTAGTAAACAGAGGAAAGAGAGAGCACGGATTAATCATGCGCCGAGACGTCACCAACTCTCGCAGTCCCGTGCAGACCAGACCAGACCAGGATCCGACTCCTCCCTCGTCGCTTAAGAACAATGGCAGGTAGGTGGATTATGAATAATGAACGAGTGCACACTGGAAGCGGCGGTCTTTGTTGGGGCAGACGTACCATTTTATTCGATTTGTTATGTATGCGTTGCGTTGTGTTGTGTTGTGTTGTTCGGCGGACGGACAGACGGATGGACAGACGGACGGACAGAAGACAGAAAGAAACACAAAGACAGTCAAACGGCAGTGCTGAAGACCGGTCAATCGAGACGAGACGAGAAGCAGAGTTGGTTGTAGGAAGCAACTGAGATAGCACGCAGAGGCCACAGTGGATAAGCAGAAAGGCCCCCGCGCGTTGTTGTGGTAACCGGAGCCCTAGTCGGAGTATGCTTACGGGTATGTACCTAACTACCAGGCGAATATTTTTTAACTGATCATAAAGACAATATCGTTGCTACCAACAAATCATTATAAACAAGAAGCGAATACACACTACGAACCCCCCGGCATCCTCAGCTTCTCAACGCACTTCTCCAACAGCGTCGCCGCCTCATGCAGCAGCTCCCAGCGCGTAACGCGGAAACTCGAGTGCAGATGCAGCAGCAGGCCCAGGCACTGGTTCCGACCGCTGACATGCTCCAGATCGCTGGGCTCGCGCACGGCGCCAATCGTCTGCAGAAACCGCTGCATGTCCTGCAACTGCTCCGTCTCGCTGGCCAGCGCTGGCGGCGACGGGATCGGCCCTTCCAATGCATAGCCGTATGACCATACAACCAGCGTCGAATAGTAGACGACCCATGAGCGGTGGAGGAGGAAATCCTCCGATGCCGAGTATCCTGGCCCTTTGTTCAGACTACTGCTGATATTCGCCGGCAGCAATACATGACACAGGAACTTGAGCGCGTAGAATGTTGCGTCCCGCGCAGATGCCTTCGTAGCCCATCGCTCGGTCATCTTCTCGCGAGCCGTGCTATAGTCCTTGGGCGTGATCGATCGACTGAGCAGCCGCGTAGCACCGGCAAACACTTGAAAGTCGACAATATCAACATGCGCCGCCATGTGCGCCAAGTGGTGTAGAACCGTACGCGACTCGTACGTATCGTCTTCGTCGACGTGCAAGGGTAAATAATGATGTTGTTGTTGGTAGAACATAGAACTGTTTTTGGTATACATCCGAGGACTATGGTTGGTCTCGGAGAGAGCATCGTCGTAATCGCGCTTCCAGTTGTCAAAAGCCCGTAACAAGGCTGACCGCCATCTATCGCGCCCGCCGAGCACTTGAGCCACGCCCAGCGAGCTGACTTGCAGGTCTCGCTGGTTCATATGCCAGCTGACACTGAGCAGACCTGCCATCAGAATCATGCGGCCGAACCCGTTGGTGCGCACTTTTTGCCCCGTCAGTGTCTTCTTCAGCCCGTCTAGAAACATGGTTGGCTTGACCCCGTTGGACTGCAGAACATTCTGCATCCGCGACACTTCTGCAGCACTGGTTGCCGACCATAGCGCTTCGTCGCAGGGAAGCGGTAGGCGCAGTTCGTGCGCCACCATTTTCACCGAATGCCCAAACATTGTTGCGTGGATGGAATCCATCACAAACGCCCCGAATGCGACCCGTCGCGTAGCTTCGGTGCGGATCCAGTACGACCACGGATCTTCGCGGTCGCCTCCAAGATCTGACACTGAGTTTGTCGTCGATCGATAATGATGATGGAGGACTCGCTCTTCGCGGAAACTAGCCGGCGTCTCGTAGGCCGAGCGGCCCAAGAAGGAACTCCCTCGACGCATCAGCGTCAACGTCGTGTCGTGGTGAATATGAGCCCGCTCATGCAGGGCCCGGGTCGAGTAGATCTTCTCGTATACCTCCAATAGCAGCAGCGTCTGGAAAACCCATAGCTTCGCTGGCGGCCGAAAATCGACATCCATGAAGATCTCCCAGCGGATATGCCAGGCCAGGAAATTGGCCAGGTCGGCCGCCGCGTTGGTGATGGCCTGTCCATGCATCTTCTCCAGCATGGCTGCCCCGATGGCCATGAGAGAGAGCAGCAGTAACGACGGGGTCCGGTCTGCGACGAATGTGGGTTTGTGTAAGATTGGGAGTTGAGCATGGAAATGGAGCCAATATGAGCCCACGTACGTTTGCATCATCCGCAGACTCAGGATATGGTCATCGGCATCGATGTTTCCTTCCATCAGCAAGTCCTTTCTCGTGTGCACTGCCGAATGTGCCGTTTCGTTGAATCGAGTGCTGATCAAATGGAGCAGATCCTGCCTTTTCTCCTCTGATATTACGGCCTCTGGTGGCGTTGATTCCACGATGCTGGTTACGCTCATGGGGTGCTGTGAAGAAACAAGGTTGTTGTGCTGGAAAGGATGATGGTATGGTGAAGGATCTGTAGGGAGGAAGGGCACTGAGTTTGTTTGTTGTTGCTGTTGTTGTACATCCGTATAGCCTGAAATAATATTCGAGTAATTGACGGGAGAATGGCCGGTGGGTTCATTGAAAAGCCATGCTGCAAAGTCGTCGGCCATAGCAAACGGTGATCTATCGTACGTCTCCCCGCCGAACACTGGATAAGGGTATGAGGAATCGAAGCCGACCTCGCCCTCAGCACCCGCTTCAGGAACCATGGCTGCAGATACTGTGTCAATGCCTGTAGTCCCGTACTGTGCCGTTGGCGGTGGTATGTCCACGCTCGAGTAGCTGAGATCCGGCACGCTCAACCCATGAGGCACTTGCGACATGTATGCCGCTGCTGAGCCTATGCTTGGACTAGTACTACCGGCCAACCCATCCGAGGGCATATATGACGCCCCTGCAGTCACTGTATTCGACGGATCACGCAGACCACCTGGACTGAACGCCGTACTCCGGTACCCAGAGCCATATGCCGATCCAGACCCATACAAAGCACCAGTCTGCTGTGTCTTTGGTGGGGTCCTAGTCTCCCCACCAAACCTCGCCGATGCATAAGATTCCTTCGATACCGCTGGCGTTTCAAACGGGGGCACTGCCGACTTGGACGTCGTAGATGTCGGTGACAGAATAGCCGCGATGTTGGTGGACGACGGGGCATTCTCATCCTGCGCGTGCAGCGGCTGGGGTGACGAAGAAGAGATTATCGGGCGCCCTGACGCCTGTGTGAAGCTGTCGCGTTTGTGCAGCTGCGAGCCATGGGTTGTATGTCGTTCGCGATGACGCATGCACAGATCCTGGCGGACAAACGAGCGGAAGCAGTCGGGGAAATCGCAGCGATAGATTTGCTTTGGGGTATCTAGATGAAGGAAAAATAGGTTCCCATCAGCTCAAAAACCAATACACAGAGAGACAGAAAGAAGAATGAGGGGGAGAGAGAGAGAGAGAGAGATAGCAAAGGCCATACGGTTCAATTGATGGCGATGCAAATGCTCCGCACGCGAATAACTCTTCCCGCAGCCCTCGTGCTGGCATTCAAACTTCTTATCCGGATGCGACTTGCGATTCCTCTTTCGCTTTTTCGTCTCTGATCCATTCTTCGCCGCTACATGGCCCTGCGCCGTATCGGCCATGGTTGTCGTCGCGGAAATAGCAGCAGCAGCCACTCTCATTATCCTTGTCTGCCGCCGCACGGCCGGATTTTGGCTTTTTTGATTTAATTACCCAAACCCCCTTCCCTGGCCCAGAGACACGCGGAGTCGAATCTGATTAGACATGTGGCATCAGCGCTTGTAGCTGTATGTGTGTAGTCAGGCATATCCCATCGCTTTCATCCAAGTTGGGACTCGAAACCCGCATTGGAAGGTTATAACAATCGGACGTGCAAAGTAGGAGAAACCGATGGACAAGAACGCACGATGGATTTGCTCGTGTGGGGAAAGCATACCCCGGCAATACGCGGCAACACCACGCAAACGGGCGTAAGTTACGTCTCCAATACCGTACTGTTACCGATGACAACCCGACGAACTCCGCCTTTCCCGCGACCTCCTCCTGCTTTGGTTTGGCGGGGAAAACCGCCGCTTACGTAAGCCTGTTAAAAAAACCCGGGGGGTGTCGTCAGGTGACTCGCTCTGTACGTAGACTTCGGTGGATGATGCAGTGTGTAATTATACTACTCTAACGAGTATATTCAATAGTTTTCAAAAGTTGTAACCAGCATTCAATTCGACTGCATCTACGGGATAGCAACCCGGTATTTGAACTCTTTTCTCAGCGCCATTTACTTATGTACCTAGATCGCGGATCATACACCAATTTCCTGTCCTACCGCGACATGCGCTTCAGCTTGAAACAGAAAAAAAAAATAAAGAAAGAAAGAAAAGAAAAGAAAAGACCAAAGAAAAGAATCTATCTATCTGCACCTACACCTAACGGGTAATCTGGAATTATGGTACATTTGTATATCAATGCTGGATGATTTTTGCGGGAATGGCGGTAGTTTATGTTAGCCCTAGGAAAAGGAAGATGGCGGAGGTCGTCTACTTATCTCCGAGGACTTGGACTGCCTAAATTCATGAATTTGCTTGACTAAAGCGTTGCCCTTTCTTCTTCTTCTTCTTCTTCTTTTTGTAGATCAGCTCTTGAAAATCCCGCAAGATACGGGGTAGCTGGAGAATATTGGAAATTGGAAGGGTATAGTATAATTTTCTATCAAATGCCAAATCACTATGCTACATGAAAATAAACTAACCAGAATATGACGATGGCTAATGATATCTTCTCTCTCATTGCGATGAATGAATGTCTCCCGTTTGTTCGCCGTCATATGATGCGCCTGCCATAGAAGGGCATTTCCAGGTGTAGTATAATGCAAAGATAATAATCTCGAGTACAAGAACACCGCATGTACGTGTTGATTGTTCTGCATGCAAAACATGGGTTTATTCCGGATGCGCTTCGCTTTCTAGAGTCGGGAGGTCGCTACGATTAAAGCGTAAACGGGAAAAGATGGCTTTTTTTTGATATATTAATGGTACCCGCTACTTTTTCCTTATTATCCGCTGAATCGGAATCGACTTGCTTCCAGTCTCCCAAGTCCATCGCGTGGTGCAACATTCCGGCGCCGGTAAGAATTCGTAAAATCTATCGACATGTCAATGAACTGTAGTGCGTAGACGAGTTGACTAAAGGATCACAACTAACCTTGTAGGAGCGCACGTATCTTGCGGCTTTCCGATAATTGTAGTTTCTCGGATATACTTGACAACAGTCTCTCCGCTTCACCAGCTTTCATTGTGCCTGCGGGCAGTCGTTCGATCGTCGATTGCACCCACAGCCCAGTTTGCTGCGGCATCAGCTGGAACAACGTCATAAGTATCCCGGAGGCATCCGGAAAGCAATCCTCGGGGAAGCTGAACATCATGCCCGTCAATACCCGTTCAACAAGCAGCTGGCCTTGGTTTCCAATGAGCTCTTTCACTGCGTTGCGTATATCCACCGGGTTTGTGTAAGGTTGGCCATCAGGACCATTGAAGTTCGAAATAGATGGCGATTCAAACCCGAAGCTTAGCATATCCCGGTAATAATGCAGGGTTGAAATGAGCGGGTCAACTTGCTGTAGTGTGAGGGCACTGAGACCAGCAGAGAACGTAGGCACCACCAGTGTCGACGTAATGCATTCTTTGGGATAGAAGCGGATCGCATCGCTAGCCAGACGGAAGAAATCCTCAATCACTAAAGTTTCATTTGCCATTTAGTATGAAAACAAAAAAAAAAGAAAAAAAGAAAACAGCAAACCGAGTAATACGTACCATCTGGTAGTTGTTCAGGAGGCAGTTCGTTCAAAATACGTAAGAACACGAGACTTTGCTGCTCAAAAAATTGATATACAGCCTGGCTTGTTTCCGAGTCAACAAGCTCAGTCCCTTCCGCAAATTCTCTGACAACAGCATCCGTTGCCCACAGAAAGCAGCCTTCTCGAGAAGCCTCAAACCCGGCTGCCAAGCTTTGTGCCAAAGTCGGTAACAAGGGAATCATAGCCGTTCGGTAAGATATGATCATGTACCTCCAGCAACGGCAGACTCGTTCCAAAATAGGCGTAGACTTGGTAAAGTTCATCACTAGAGTGCTTAGAATCGACATGATTTCACCACAATACTTCACCGCAGGGTTTTCTCCTTGGGGACCAACATAAGGTGTGACAACCTGAATAAAAATAGTGATCAACTGCAAATGGTCTGGTCAAAATATTAGCCCCGTTATTGCACTACTACACAGGCATACTGCTTGTTTTATAGGTGACAATCTACTTACCTGCAACAGCTCTTTGGCCTTGCTCATCTTGCGCGTTGTTTGCCAAATTCATGATCCTTGCCATGATAGGGTCACAGAAAAGCTTCATCGATTCATATATCTTATCAATGGGTTGCACTGCAACAACTGCAGCGACACCCTCGGTGACTTCTTCCTGGCTGGGCGGTTTGAGCTTATCGAGTACAGACTCGTAGAAGGAGTGCAACTGCGGTATATGCCCCCCAAGGAGCTTATCACAGTCGCTGCCCAGATATTTGAAGGCCAAGGCTGCTGCTCCAACAACCTCCGGGGAGCTGTGCTGAAAGCCTGATATCACATAGTTGAGCTGAGCCTCCAGCGTTTCAGGATGATTCGCTGTCCACTCTGTATAACGACCAAGCGCCATGATTGCGGAAAAGCGCACTTTTTCGTGGTCTGGAATCTGAACAATGAGAGGTATAACTTGGGGTAACACAGTGCTTTCCTCCGCGTCGACCATTCGCCCCATGGCTCTCATACTGAACACAGGAGCTTCAAGCTCTTGCCAATGAGGCACATTTTCATTGCTTGCCTGTGCACCATATTTTGACACCCACTGCTGGATCTGAAGGTATGCCTTCATTAAGCATTCGCTTACACCAATAACAGCGCAACAATCCTTCAGCACGTCGCCCATCGAATGACGGAAGGCACGGAATCGATCTTCCTGTGCACGGTCGCCATCAAACAGATCACCCGAGTCACCGTCCTCGGGCGTTGGGAACTCGAGATGCTTAATCATAACATCAACCAGGCGGGAGAAAACATCGGCAAAAGCGGTCTTCGCTTGGGCATAACGTTCCAGAACGAGATATTGCTTCAGCTCGTACCAGAAATTAAAGGTGAACGAGACTGCCTCTCGCTCCTTATCGAGCACGCAACATTCAAGGACGGCCTCCACAAGACCACGGAATTCTGTCGGAAGCCTTGCGATCAGGACTACCCAAGCTTCTCCGGCCTCAGCGAATAGCCTGGTTAACCCTTTGAATGTCTCCACGTCCTCGGCTTCCGCAGTTTCCTGGAGTTTCGGCCTAAGTCCAACAACACGAGGATATAGTCTCAATATAGCAGGCATTGAATCATCCACCTCACGTGTATCTCTGTAAATCGAGCAGAGGCATTCTACCGCAGCATCGAAGGATGACTCGTTATCGAGCGCCTTCAAGATGACATCTAGCAGCGGCGACTCCACAATCAGAGTAGCAGGTATCTCACGCAGCCAAGAAGTTATACAATCAATCAATCTAGGGTTCGTCGCGGCCGAGGCTAATGCTAGACGTGAGCTAATCACGACTCAAGTAACTTAGGTATGGGGGAAAAGATACCTGAAGACTGCGAATATTGTGTAAGAAGGTTCATAACCTGTTCCGCATTGTCGTCCAATAGTTCTTTGGTTCTAACTGCAAGCTCCTCTTCCTATTTATTGATGGACGAATTAGACTCCTTTTATTCCCAGTCGAAACACACACACACACACACAGAGAGAGAGAGAGAGAGAGAGAAAGATTTTGTTGCTCGTAAAGACGCAAGTTGTTCAGTTGGGTGGATATGATCGATCGAACGTACGCTCAGGTTGATTTTGCGACCTTCGGTCACTTCCTCAGGGAGGATTTTCAAAAATTCCAACACACAGTCTCCGGCATTGCTTCCCAGTGCCGATCCTACCGTGGCTAGCACGTCTTTCCATGAAGTCATCTGAATAGCAAGGTTCGCCAGGCCCACGCAGAGCTGTGTCTGGATTGGACGCGGTCCCGAAGCAAACGCGACGAGTTGGTTCAACATGGAGTCCCGTAGCGCAGGCACTGCGTCAGCAGGCAACTGGTCGAGATCGTAGGTGATCTAGCAGTCCAATTATCAGTATTCGCGTCGTTTGCGGAGGGGATGAATCGCTCGCTCGTACTTTTCCTTTGAGTGTCGTGGCAGCAAATAGTTTTGCCTCGATTGGAACTTCAGAGGACTGTAACATGGCATGCGTGGCTGTCCATGCTTCGACCTACATATATAACCGGCGTTAGAAAAGGGGCATCACGGTCGCGGACGAGCGGGAAGTAGAGGGAGGGTCGCACTGATTTCTGGAATTTCTCAAGATATTCGTGAGCATGGGCCTTGTCGGAGCGCGACACATTGGCCTGCATGGTCGCGACAGCAGCAAGCACAGGCGCAAATGCCTGGCCGTCATTGCCTTTGCTCGTCATGGTCGTGGTTGTTGTGTGAGGGGTAGAAGAGGACTGAATTGAGGCGATGGAGGCGGTACAGAGCAGGCAAATTGAAACAGCCTTGGCACTGATTATTTCACGTCATGAATCCCAGGGCGCAGAGCAGATAAAGCCGATTGAAAGAAGGAGGAAAAGAGAGAAAACGAGATAACAAAGCACAGAGGGCTGCAACTCGATGGTGGTTGAGGAGAGGAGACGCTGAGCCAAAAGTGGGATGGGGTAATTGCTGCGTGACGGAATCCAAACAAGCCAAAAAAAAATTGGTGAGCCGCAAGCAAAGCAAGAGCTGCCTTTCTTCGCTCCTGCCCGCTCTTCCCCAGCAACAGCCAACAGCAACAGCAACAGCAACAGCAACTCCTCCAGCCAAGTCACACCAGGGCTATTCGTTCAACATATCGTCCAGTAACCTAGCTATATATCGACAGTTCCCGTTTTCGCAGGCACTTTAAATCAACATGTCCGGTCGCGGCAATGCGGGAGGTCGCAAGACCCTTCTTGCTCCCATTCACTTCATCTTCAGACTCCTCCAGCAACGCTCCACAGTATCGATTTGGCTCTATGAGCAGCTCTCTTTCCGCATAGAGGGCAAGATCCGAGTATGCTGTCGTCCAAATTGTCTCTCGGTGATTGCGCGCTGACCCTGTTGTGTTCTTAGGGCTTCGACGAGTTCATGAACCTCGTTGTCGACGATGCTGTCGAGGTCCGACTAGCCACAAAGAGCGACGAAGAGAAGCGGAGAAACTTGGGTACGCTCGAACTTGCTGGAGCAATCATACACTTTGCTTTGCTAACAATAATTACAGGTCAAATTCTTTTGAAAGGCGACAACGTCTCCCTTATCCAGGCAGTCCAATGAATGATTACTCTATTCTAGTTTAGGCGACCAATGGGCGACTTTCATTTCTGTTCGGCGTTTTGGGATATTTATGATATTTGTGATATAGAGGCACCAAAACAAAGAAAGAAGGATATGGGGAGAAAAGATGAAGATTCTATTTTTTTTTCCGCTATGGGGTTTTTGCAACAATCAACCTTCCGTCACCGACAATGACCGCATCTACAGGTTGGTCATGGCTCGCAACAGGGATCGCTTCGGGAGGAAGTATAATCTGTTCAACCAGGGCGAGGGCAACTGCATTTGCCATCCGGTCAGCGTTCGTTTTGACTTGAATGGTCTTACAATAAATGGAAGGGGGAAAGTCTGTTTTACCAAGGAACGGCCTCTGGCTGGCACGCGGAGAGCCTGCAATTTCCCTATTGTAATTATTCAGAAAATAATCATAATACCCTTTTCCGTGGCCCAATCGTCGCAAATCAGTATCGAATGCCATGCCCGGCATGACAATCAGGTCCAACCCCAGATCATCACTGCCACCACGCGGTCTTTCTGGCAGAACGCCGGTGCCTCCGAGACAATTTTGCTTTAGAGGAATAGAGCTCTTGTCAAGCGATGGGATGCCCCATTTATCCGGCCGGAGTGATTCGAATTCCTCCATAGACTCGAGCCGGAGCATATCCATTACTGATATCTTGGGCTGAGTGGACTCTTTCCCCGTCTCCGCGAGTTTGTGCGTGTACGGAATGAAGACTTCTTTCCCACTGGCTAAAGCATCCCGGACAATGCTCGTAGTTGATATCTCTCCCTGCGGCATGGACAGAAAGACGCTGATTCTTTTGGCATTGACATATTCGGGCAGGCTGAACAGCCTATTGGTAGCGGTGGAAGCTGCAAGTAATATTCGTCAGTTCATCTGCCCTTTTAATTTCGTGTGCCTAGGAGGTATGTATTCATGATATAGGTATATATCGGAGACCGGGAAACAGTAAAACAAATGGCAAGGTTCCGAACATTGAATATTCACCGATTCTCGAGGCAATTCCTGCAGAATGGCTTGAATTTTCCGCCTCAATTCCTTCTTAGCCACCTGCACAGCTGCCATGTCTATTGATATCTGCCTTATAGAAACGTTGACGGGCGAAGATGTCATGTGCGGGCCTGGAAAATGTGGAGGTCGAAGCGGGAATAGGCTGGATTCCGCGAAGGCGGAATTTAGGACATTCCTCAGTCCAAGCAAACACAATAACATGCCACCAACGTCACGGGCAGCGCCCCTTTCTTTGCGTTGTCGCGCTTGATGGTCAGTTTGAACTTGCATTGAATCTTGCCTTCTCGCTGCTGTCGGACTTTGCGTGTGTTCCCGGCACAACAAAGACACAACGATGGCAGTCACTACTCTCTTCAGATCGCTAATTCTCCTCTTTAGTTCCTTGGTTTGGACAACACAAGCTCTGGTCGACACCAAATTGACTGGGACATGGTCGTCAAAGTCGCGTCAAGTCATTACTGGCTCGGTGGGTGGCAAAAACAAACATGTCCTCTCAGATGCAACTGTCGCTCATCTATCTATCGTCTTGATATCAGGGGTTCTATGATCCGGTTGCAGATGCTTTCCAAGAGCCTCCCTTGCCAGGTATATCGTATTCGTTCACGGAAGATGGCCACTATGAAGAGGCCTATTACCGAGCTTTGCCGAATCGTGAGTTTATTCTACATCGCATGCTCTAGAATTGGAGCAAGCTGACAGACCACAGCAACGCAACCCAATTGCCCCAAGGCGATCATGCAATGGCAGCATGGTACCTATTCAGTACAGCCTAATGGGTCTCTCGTGTTGACGCCAATCCAATCCGATGGGCGTCAGCTAATGTCAGATCCCTGTGCCGGACATTACTCTTCATACACGCACTACAACCAAAGCGAGCTGTTTCAGGTAAGAGTTGTCTTCTAGTTGCTGTGCGACCACATTTAACAATAGTTTTTTGGGGGGGTGCAGAGTTACCGGATATACACCGACAAATTCCATGGCGTACTTCGGCTCGACCTGGTTCAATTCGATGGAGCACCTATGCAGCCACTCTACATCCTCTATAGGCCTCCTGCAATGTTGCCTACTACAACTTTACATCCAACCACAGCAAAGGCCACCGGCAAGGCAAAGAGAGAGACTCTTATGGAAGGAAAAGGGAAGCAAGGATCTTCGACGACCTGGCTGACTGATCCTGTGGCTATTGAACGGTGGTGGTGGTTCGGTATCATCTCGACTTCTGTTGGGGGTATAGTGCTATGGTGCTCTTAGAGCAGTCGAATCTCGCACAGAGATAAGTCAGGTTTGATCTAGGATCACATGGCTCACTGACTGATAGCCCTTGGAGCATCATCTATTGTATATTCAACGTTGTACCTGCTTCCTGTTTTTTCTTGTTTCTTTTTTCGGAGTTGAAGCTAAATCGAATACCATTGCGCCTTCTTGGTCATTGTTCATTTTTTTTTTTTGAGAAAAGGGAGATAGAGATAGTATACATTGGTGTGAAGATAATGATGTGCCTGCATCATTTCGTATCTATTTTTCCGGGAGGAGCTCATTAATAACTTGAACAATATCTGACTTTGCTGCTGGCTTTCCATCCAAAAGCTTCCCAGGAGACAGGAGATTTTTCAGCAGAATTCCCACAGTGATCTTGGAGTTCTCAGACTGCAGTTGAGAAATCACCTCTGAGACCGCAGCTCTTATATCCTCTGTGCTCAATCTGTCGATCTGGCTGGCGTATTCCTCCAGCACGGCAATCTGAGCCTCTTCCTTCTCCTTGAGGTCCGATCTATTAGCGGTTGCAAACATGTCAGCTGCATCTTTGGCGCCGGCAATTTTCTTCTCAATTAAGGACAGTAATTGTACGTCTGTTTGGATGGGCGAGGTTGTTTTGGCGGCGTTGTTGGTCTCGGATATGAGGGCTCGTAGGACATTGAGTCTGTATATATAGGACCCATTAGCTGAATGATCATAGATTGTCAATTGCATTCCACTGAAATTTTCATTTACCTCGACACGTCCTTCGCCCTCATTGCGTCTTTGAGATCTGAACGAAGCTTCGCCATTAGCGGTGGCACGGGGATGCTGCTGGTCGAGTTCCAGCGAACTGCGCGCAATCCCACGCGGGACGAGAATCGCAACGAATTGAACATGCTGGGAGAAGCCTGATAGTAAAAACACAAAAGTTAACAAGACCGAAGGGCTTTTGAATGGACGAATGCGAGTATGTTGAGCGGTTTCCTCGACCTGGAGCGCGAGAAGCTAGAAACAACGGTTGGCCTGTGCGCGAAATTGTTTCTAGCTGTTCCACGCTTTCCCTTCCTTCCCATTGAACCAGCCACGCCCAATACTTACTTACGTCCTGCAACACCAGCGCAATGAGATTTCTGTGAACTATCAGACACCTCTGCACCTCATCCTGTAACGCTTCAGCATCGTAATTGCGCCCTCTTTCCTGGCCTCTGCCATTTGGGCCTTGCGCGGCTTCGTCTCTCTTCGACGCGGGGAGACCAGCTGAGCTACCAGCAACGGACAGCATACGAAAATGTCCTATCCAGCTCTGACTCCGACTCGACCACTGCCAGGAACATATTTTCAGACCCCTGCAGCAGCCACTTTCCACAATGGAGCGCTCTTCCAGACAAGGACGACGCCCTCAGCGCCCGCTGCGCAGCCGGACCTCACCGCAACAACAACCCTTCAAAAACTGTCGCCGGCAGCACCGAAGACCAAGAGCGAGACCTTGAGCACTCGAGAGCGCGCCGCGCGAACTATCAATGATACTTTGGCACAGGAGGCTCGCTATCCAGACTTGGACAATTATCTTTCTCGTGCGTCAATTGCCAAAATTCCAAAAAAAAAGGAAAAAAGAAAAAAAAAATGCCGCGCCTTGAAGGCTAAATGCTAACTACTTTTTTCTTTCTCTTTCTGTAGAAGGGTTTTCATCAGACTACGAGATCCCTGTTCACCCAGCATGGGCCCCATTTCACAAGATCAAGATGTACAACATCCCCGATCAAATCTTCGATCAATACAACCGCGCCCAGGTGTCTACGAGCATGGGCCTCTTTGCTGAACTGAATCATGCTTGGGTTGCCATTGACAATGCGCTCTATCTTTGGGACTACACCCACCCCAACCCTCAGCTGGTTGGCTACGAGTCTCAGCCCAACAGCATCAATTCTGTCAAGCTTGCCAAACCACGACCGGGCGTTTTCCTTCCCTCGATCACGCATATCTTGGTGGTTGCTACGACTGCAGATATCATTCTGCTGGGTATGGGTTGCGAAACGGCTACCGGCGGTGCAAAGCAGGTTACATTGTATCAAACCGGAATGTCGACTTCCATTCGTGGGCTCGATATTCATGTCATTGCTTCGTCAGACGTGTCGGGTAGGATTTTCTTTGCTGGGTCATCTGACAACGACGTCTACGAGTTCACATACCAACAAGAAGAGAAATGGTTTCAAGGACGGTGTGCAAAGGTGAACCAGACTAGTTCACGCTTTTCGTCTTTTTCGCCGTCATTGAGCTTCAGCCAAAAGCAATTGGAGTTTGTCGAACAGATGGTTGTGGATGATACCCGAAATCTTCTGTACACATTGTCGTCTCTATCTACGATTAGGGTTTTCCATCTAAAATCAGATGGGTCGTTGGCATTGGCTATTACCAAACCAGCTATTGACATATATTCCAACATCGGCCATATTATCCCATCTAACGAGGCATTGAACCCGAAAGTGAAGATTGTCTCCATCAGTCCTGTGCCAACGCCCGAAGCATCGAGATACCACCTCGTAGCCACGACGGCTACTGGCTACCGGATCTATCTCAGCGCAACAGGATCCTACAGCTGGTCGCCCACACCAAGCGGTACTAGCCCTCCTACTAGCATGCAAGCCCATTTCGTGAAAACCCCTCCTTTCGATACTCAGACTTCAGGTACGATGCAATTCCAACAAACTACAACTACTACGAAAGTTCCTATTCATACTCTCGATCCTACCCGTCTGGCTCAACGTTTCCCCCCCGGATACTTTTTCTGTTTCACATGTAGAGACCCTTCACGGAAAGAGGACACCCTTTTTATCTCAGCGCCGGATTCTGGTCGCATTGCTCGTGCGCACGAGAACGTTGTTCCTCCGAAACCTTCTGAGTCGGCGATCTGGCTTTCTTTGGGCAGCAGAGCAGAAGATATTGGATTGTGCTCAACTCCTCTGGCAGCTGTCGCATCTGCCAATGGGTTTGGAAATGAACTGGCTATTCAGTATGACCAAAGCGCAGCAGAATTCGCGATCTTGACGAACACGGGAGTTCATGTGATTCGCAGACGTCGTCTTGTCGATATTTTTGCCGCGCTGGTACGCCATGGAGGTGGTGATGATGGATTGGAGGGCGATACTAAGAGTTTTATTCGAGTTTATGGACGCAGTGAGGCTCTTGCGACTGCTCTGGCTGTCGCATGTGGGCAAGGAATGGAGATCTCCTCGGACTCTCGCCTTTCCAAAATCAACGACCCAGATGTGCTAGAGTATGCACGGAAAGTTTTCATCGAATATGGTGGGCGGCCATCTATGAATGAAAATGCTGTTGCCGACAACAGTACACCAGCCATTGATGCAATTCTGCCTTCGCCTCGTCATGCCGGTATTGCATTATACATGTCACGGCTTCTCCGTTCTATCTGGAAAAAAGAGATTGCTGTCTCAAAACCGTCAAAAACTGGTCCGATTGACGTGCTACCTTCCGTGAGCATCGCCAAGTTGCAAAGCATCCAGCGAGATTTGTCTTCACTGCAGGACTTTTTCAAGGCCAACAAGAGCTTTATTGAAGGACTCAGTGGGCCTGAGGCACTCTCGCGTGCAGCCACGAAGCAGGAAGAAATTGCTTTGCAAGCAGAACACCGTGCTCTGCATTCGCTGGTGCAGCTCCTGTCGGATACCATTGAAGGCATCTCTTTTGTTCTGGTATTGTTCGACGAGCGCGTCGATGAGATTGTCCTTGCTCTGCCGGAAGAAGCCAGACAGCGGTTCTTGAAGCTTACCTTCGAGGAGCTATTCAGCAGCGGCAAAGGGTACGAGATCGCCAAGGAGCTGGTCAAAGCAATAGTGAACAGAAATATCGCAAAGGGATCCAATGTGGAAACAGTCGCTGATGCTTTACGGCGTCGGTGTGGCAATTTCTGCAGCGCCGAGGATGTCATCATTTTCAAGGCCCAAGAGCTGCTCAAAAGGGCTACTGAAGCAGGTGCAAACTCGGAATTGGGACGAAACCTCCTCAACGAAAGTTTGCGCTTGTTCCGCCAGGTTTCGGAGGAGCTTCCAATGGACAATCTCATGTCTGCTGTGGAGAGTTATATTGACAACCAGTTCTTTGCGGGTATGTGGCCAATCATTTTCAGTGCTTGTTGTATTGTGTGAAGCTAATCTGAGCTAGGCGCTATCCAACTTTGTCTCAATGTTGCTGAGAGCTCCGACAAGGCCAACTTGGCTCTCAACTGGATGATGGATGGTCGTCAAGAAGAGGTATAATAGCTGGAATACGTGGTCAAAATTCGAGTTGCTAATGTCTTCTTACAGGACTCGCGTAAGGCGTACTTTTCGTTCCGCAAGCAGTGTTACGAGCTCATTTTCAAGATTGTTGTTGCTGTGGACAAGTCCGCAGCTTCTGACCCGGGCGTGATTGATGGCCAATTCACGCCACTTGCCAAGCGACGAAACGAGGCCTATGCTGTTATCTCCGACTCTAATGACGAAGTCTTCCTCACTACCTTGTATGACTGGTACCTGGAGCAAGGCTGGAGCGACCGTCTTCTTGCAACCCAATCGCCTTTTGTCGTGACGTATTTGGAACGCAAATCAATTGACGATATTTTCCATGCCGATCTGCTTTGGCGTTATTATGGGCAGTCTGAAAGATACTTTGATGCAGCCAGAGTGCAGTTCCAACTTGCGCAAAGTGCGTTTACTCTGCCCCTGAGCCGGCGCATTGAATACCTCGGACAAGCCCGTGCCAATGCTTCGACGTTTACTCACGAGATTGGCCGTCAATCTCGACAAAGGCTTCTGCAGGAGATTGGCAATCTCATGGATGTTGCCAATATTCAAGATGATCTGCTGCAACGGTTGAAAGAGGATGAGCGACTAGACAACGAAAATAAAGCCGAAGTATTGAAAGAAATCGATGGGCCGATTCAAGATCTCACACTGGTATGTTACCTACTCCTCTCTTTAGAAGAAGAACAATTAAATTCTAACAACTGGATAGCTTTTCAATAGATATGCGGACGCAGGCGGCTACTGTGATATATGCCTTCAGATTTACTACGCAGCAGATCACCGGAACACAACCGATATACTATCGACATGGGAAACGCTCTTAGATCAGGTTCACATCGCAACGGTCGAAAAAGGCCAGGCGCAGCCGTATGAAGCAGTGATCCAAAAGGTCCGGTCGCTAGGCAGCCGGCTTCGCATGTCTGAGATTGTGTTCCCGATTGCACAGATTATCCCCATGGTTGAGCGGTATTCGCTGCAGTACCAACGAGGCGTTGGACCGCCGACATGGGTGGTCGACTTGTTTTTAGATCTGGAGGTTCAGCACGAGACCATCTACACGACGCTAGAGAATATGTTCTATAACGACGAAGCGCCCTTTACGGGCTCGAACAAGAGGTTTATAGCTAGCGATCTTCTGTACATAATTCAGCGCTGGTACAGCGATACGCTGCGCGTTGGCGGCGCCGTTTTTGGAAGCGATGTTATGGCTACGAGGATCTCGGAGATGCTGGTTCTGGTGCAACAGGCTGGACTGCCAGGCGAGTTTGTGCAGTTGGCTCAGGAGTTGCGCGTGCAGATTGACAGCAGCATTCGATAATCTCTTCTTTGTCTACCAGTTTGTGTTTTGATGGTGTCGTCGGCGTGTGGTAGAAACAACAACAACAGAAAAAAGTGGATGGATGCATCACAGTGAGTTCTTTTTTTTTTTCGTGATAGTCAACGAACATTACATGATTTATATTTTAGCGTGTACCTGGAGTGAATTTTTTGTTTCGTTCTTTCTGGTGGCATATTTTTCATCTACCCGAGTTACACATGTTCTTTTGGTTGGAGATGGATGGATTCAGGAAACATTTTAGATACGATAGTCGATAGAGCAAACCCAAGTAGATTATCAAATGATTTGACCAGGTAGTAGATATAAAAAGTGAAAATTGCAGCCTTGAATTTGATAGCCTTGAAATTGCCATAAGCAGTTAGTCTGTTGACAGCTATGTAAAAAGCTCAGCTCAGCTGAATATAGCTTCACCGGGCAAGAATCATTTTATTTCCCCAAGCATTCTTCCCGCCTCTACAAGACGAAAGAATAAAGAAGGGGGAAAATATGAACAAAACGAACCTCACAATCCTCATCTTCTTCACCCTCCACACCTTCTTCGTTACCTGCATCGACTGCCTCGACCTCTGGCCAACATGGCTCGTAGAATCATCGCCCTACTACACGCCCTGGTTCACGCTTGGCCGCACGCTGCGCCAATTCTATCTTGACACGTACCAGGACAAATTCCTCACGGAGCCGCCCGGCTGGTTTGTGGCTTGTACGTGGATGGAGCTGCTCTTTCATTTGCCTGTTTGCGTGTGGGTTTTGAGGGGGGTTTGGAATGGTTTGTTCTACCCCTTTCACTTTCGTTTCTTACGTACTTTATAAGTACTAAATTCCAGGGGATTGATGACTGACTAATTTGATGCGGATAATAGATGACCCCCTTTTACCGTTAGGCGTTATTCCCTGGGCTGTGCAGACGTTTGTCACTACGCTGCTTTGCGTGCTTGAGTTGTGGAGTTGGGAGGATCGGACGGTGGAGGTGAAATGGGGGTTGACAGGGTGTTATGGGCCGTATTTGCTTATTTGTGAGTTCTTCTTTTTTTCTTTCCCCTCCGTCCGCTTTTTGTTTTACGTCGTTTCTGGTTCTGATGTGTCTAGCGGCGTGGTTGTTTGTCGTTATGTCTGCGCGAGTGAAGGATGCGTTGGTCTTGCAGAGACGGGTAGGCAAGGTTAAGGGGGAGTAGTAGTAGTAGACAGATGAGAGGAATAGATATCAGTCTATAAAAAAAACCTATGGATGCAATTTGCAAAGAAAAAAAGAAAAATTATTGTACATCGTTATCATCCCCCGAGTAGAAACTCAACGGCTTGGTCTACATTGCCGTTGCTAGCATCCAACCCCGATATAGCTTGTTCACGACTGAATCCGAGTTCTGTGATTTTGCTTATTGAGCTCGCTGACCAACGGGATGAGGATGTAGCAGCATCGCCTAATGTTCGGCCTTGACTTGGCTGTTGCTGCTGCTGTGCTGATGCAGACGTAGGCGCATTTTCAGCTTGGTGCGTGATGGCTCCAGAGCGAGCGCCAATCTGAGCTCCGTCAGCTCCTCGAATGAGCGGCTCATCCTCGAATTCGTCCTGGAATTGCTTGGGGATTTCTGCTTCGCCGAGGAATGGTACGGCCTGGTCTTGGATGACCAGGGCGCCCTTCTTCAGGTCAATGCAGGCTTGGTGGCGTCTCAGCATGTCAAGACCGAGGAGTAAGTCGATGTGTTTCCCTTCCATCACCGTGAACGAGCAAGGCAGGAACATAGACCCGATCTTCAGCTGCGCCGAATGCACGCGTCCGATGATCTTGGCTGTGCCAACTCCCTGCGCGATACCGCCGTATCGTCGGTCAACGAGACGCATGATGTTGCATGCTGCTGCACACTCGGGTGACATGATGGTGACTTGAGCGCCGGAGTCGACAAAGGCTTTGATCGGTTGTCCGTTGACTTCAACGGGGATGTACAGCATAGTCACGCGACCAAAGGCTGCTACCTATTAGCTTTGCTAAGGGTCGGACTGGGGGCGGGGGAAGAAGCCAGATCACCTTAGACTTACATTCTGGGTGGTGTTCCATCGCGTTATGCAGATTCTCCGTGACCGCTTGCTGTCGAATAATCTCTTCAATCTCTCGTTGAGCATCCACGTTGAACGGGTCGGCGTTGAGCGCCGCGATCTTTGCTTCCTTCTCCCGCTCGAGTTCTTGCTCCCTCCGCTTCTGAGACAGTAGCACTTCCTGAAACCGTCGCGCATCGTCTGCGGCCGCTGCGAGTTCTGGGTTTTGACGGCGGACAGTCTCCATGACCCGCGGGTCGCCGAGGAGGTTTAGACGTAGCGTCTCGGTATCGAACATGGGCTGCTGCTGCGACGCCACTTGTCTCTGGAAGGCCTGCGGATTTGCTGCGGTGCTCGACGAAGGACCGCCAAGTGACCGGGTTGTTGGAGCTCCTCCTCCGGGCTGCGGGCGGCTCATGGCCACATGCACTAGGAGCATGTCCCCTTCTTGAATCCCGACTTGTTCCAGCGTCTGGGCATCGTTGCTGAGCAGCTGGTTGTTGTAAACTAGTCTCTGGGCGGGCGGAGGAATGTTGGAGTCGCTTTCGATCACGGCTTTGAGGACTTCCAACGTCATGTCGCCGGCGACGTCGAGCGAGATGATGTCGGCGTCCGACTGGTCGGGTTTGATGACGCTGACGGCGATGCGCCTGAAGCAGACATGTTAGCGGTATCCCATTTTTGAAATATTTATTTGTGATAGTCAAAGGCTTCGTACATCTTGAGACAGCGCTCCTCCTCGTTGCTGGCAGCTGCACTGTTGTTATCTTATCGGCAACACGAGATTCGGGCGAGAGGAGAGGGGCAAGAGCACGCGTCACTGCAGTCGGTTGAATCAGACACGGGGGATTTGAAGAAGAATAAAAAGACGACGAAACAGAAATGAAGCTCGGTACAGGCCTGAAGCCACGGAGATAACGGCGTTGCCTGATGTCAAGCAATAAGGCTGCGAGCGCTCGATGGAAGCGAAGGGAGCGACAGTTGACTAGCCAACTTCACTAGCATTAGCTAGTCTGGCCGGCGCCGAAGCTCGAAGGGGGCCGAGTAAGTCGAAAGGATGCTACAACGCTGGAAAGGTGAAAGGATCCCAGCGAAAGGACAGGAGTCAGGTCAGGGATGAAGGAGAAGACCGGATACGGTGAGGTGCATGGCAGGCATTAAGAGATGCCGCATGCAATTATTAATAACTACCGCATTCTTCGCTAGTTATATAAGAACTCTATACATACGGCCGCTACTCTTCTACCTGATACTGCAATCCTGTGCGGTCTCGTGTACTCATTGCAACGAAGAAGTCCTGGTAACTGACTGGTGTTGGAATATTCTGAAGTGCTGTGCAGTCTAGAACAAGCTCTGCGTTATGTATGTATGGCTATGCATGATGTCTTGCATTGCCGGTGGAGCAAGCCATGAGAGAGTACTACCAAGTAACTAACCAGTTAGTTGACTATGTACATACTACATCGTCATACATAGTGCGAGGATGAGTGGTGGCGGGGTCGAGGCTGAAATTTTTCGCGGTATTATTACGGGCATGTCACGGGATCTTCTTCTCCAGCATCTTTTCCCCTCGTTGTTCAGCAGACCTGGCCTTCCTCTAGCCGCGCTGTCATACTTTGGGCTCATTTCTCGTCGGAGTCGTGTGCATAGGTATCGTCTGAAGCTGAAGGTACCGGGAAATTCCGGTCGATTCGTCTTTTGCATCCCAATTACTAACCATGCAACTACAGACCGAGGTGTCCCGCGCAACAATCCCAAGTCACTCCAACGATACAACCACAACATAATGGATGGAAATATGGGGTCGCCGCCTGCCGAGGGCGCCGTCGCTGCTGATGGCGACGAAAGCGTGGCCGCGTCTTCCACCGCCAGCGAATTGACTCGCATCTTCAACAGCGCCGGCATCGTTCCCGGAAGGGGCTACCTGTCGTTCAACCCGCGCGGCGACGACGACGACGACGACGATGATGAGGAAGAAGAAGAGGTGGAAGACTTTGTTGCTGTGGACCACGACGATGCTACCGACTACTCCTACTTATTTCGCAGACCATCGCAGGGACGGCCGCGGACGGCGCTCGATGACCTTCATCCTTTTACAAGTGTCTTGACACTGTCGAACGTTGACGACTGCGTGAGCGTGGAAGAAGTATTCCCAGAACTTGAGCGAGCTTCAAGGGACAAGGTATCTATAATCTGTCTAGTAATTCTACGACCTAATTTTCCCGCTGACGGCTGCATAGTTCGTGTATCGTCTTTCGAAATGCCCCGAGTTGACTCTCGGAATATTCAGTCTACCGGTCCTGAACGAGCATCAGCCCAAACCACGACCGGAGCTGATCGCACATATTATTGCAACACGCACGTCGTCTCCGCGTGTCACCGAGGCTTCGATGAAGGTCCCCGCAGACTGGCAGACCAAGAAGCGTAGTCTGCCCGACGCCGGCGATAAAGAGTATCTAGGCCATGAGGATCAAGGCGGCACTATTGCCCTGCACTCGCTCGCAGTCAAGGCAGAGCACCAGAGAAAATCGGTTGGCTCGACACTGATGAAGTCGTATATTCAGCGCATTAGAGAAGCGGCAATCGCAGACCGCATTGCGCTGCTTGCGCATGACCATATGGTTCCGTTTTATGAGTCGCTCGGCTTCAAGAACTATGGACCGAGTGCCTGTACGTTTGGCGGGGGAGGCTGGTTCGATATGGTGAGTTTCATCACCTACAATCTTCTTTCCTTCTTGTTTGATACACATGTATTAACAGCACAGATCCTCGAACTCCCCAAAGATCAGATTGTCGAGTAGCTTCGAGTCTCGACAGTCGCATTATATAATCTCTTAGAACCGGGGTGAACTTCATTCCGTTGAAAAAGATTTTGTCTTTCTTTCTTTGGGCCTTTTTAAAAACTTCAGAGAAGGCGGCGTTCTGATGATTTCGCTTACGATAAGACTGGACGGGTGAGAGGCTGGCTGGCGCTCAAATATGCATGGATTTGATTTTGTACCATAGGGTTGATTGGCAGCATTGACTATTCATTTTGAACGTTGATTTAAAGATCTTAAAAGACTCAAGTCCTCTCAGTGCATAAAAATAAGAGTGCATAAAATGCATAAAATGAACTAAACATGACCGGCTGCAGCTGCCGCACACAGCGCTCACCGCCTCGTGAAAAAATGCCGTTTGGGGCCAGTCTGTCCCGCTTTTCGATTAGAATTTTGATTGTATTTTTTTTTTTTTTATTCTCTCTCAATCGCTCGAGTCTGGCAGCAGAACAGAAAAGCGCCATCTCTGCCCATCATGAAAACTACGTGGAAGGAGGTACGATCAATCACCGATTCTGAAAAAAAAAAAAAAAAAAAAAAAAAAAAAAAAAAAAAAAAAAAAAAAAAAAAAAAAGCAAAAAGATACTGACCATACCAGATCGCTCCTGTGCCGACCAACCAGGAATTCCTCGATATCGTGCTCAGTCGCACGCAGAGACGACTTCCGACTGTTATTCGAGCTGGATTCCAGATCAGTCGTATCAGAGGTATCTTCTATCTGTTCTATAGACTATGTAAATCGATGGTTTCACTGATGGCTGGCTTTGGATAGCTTTTTATACCCGAAAGGTCAAGTTCACATCAGAGACTTTCTGCGAGAAATTCCAAGCGATCCTCGATGGCTTCCCTCGCTTGCAGGACATCCATCCTTTCCGTATGCACCTCTTACCATCCCGTCGATTCCGTCCATTGCTAATTCTTTATCTTCACAGACAAGGACTTGATGAACACACTCTATGACGCGGACCATTTCAGGATTGCGCTGGGCCAGATCTCCACCGCCAAACATCTCATCGAAACCGTTGCTCGCGACTATGTGCGTCTCATCAAATATGCCCAGTCGCTGTTCCAATGCAAGCAGCTCAAGCGTGCCGCGCTCGGTCGCATGGCCACCATCTGCAAGCGTCTCAAAGATCCGCTGCTCTATCTTGAGCAGGTGCGCCAGCATTTGGGCCGTCTGCCCTCTATCGACCCCAACACCCGTACGCTCCTGATCTGCGGATATCCCAATGTCGGCAAGTCCAGCTTCTTGCGCAGCATTACCCGCGCCGATGTCGATGTTCAGCCGTACGCTTTCACGACCAAGAGTTTGTTCGTGGGGCATTTTGACTATAAATACCTGCGCTTCCAGGCTATCGATACGCCCGGAATCCTGGATCACCCTCTCGAGGAGATGAACACTATTGAAATGCAGTCTATCACGGCCATTGCTCACTTGCGCTCTGCCATCTTATATTTCATGGACTTGTCCGAGCAGTGCGGATACTCTGTTGTCGATCAAGTCAAGTTGTTCAACAGCATCAAACCCCTCTTTGCCAACAAGCTTGTCTTTATCGTCATTAATAAAATCGACGTCAAGCGTCCCGAGGACCTGGACCCGGAGACCAAGGAGCTGTTGGAAAACGTGCTTAAGCAGGGCAACGTTGAAATGCTCCAGCTTTCCTGCACCACCACCGAGGGTGTGACGAACGTCAAGAACGCGGCATGCGACAAACTCATCGCCGAACGAGTTGCTCAAAAACTCAAGGCGGGTACCAACAGCAGCAGCGGTAACCCCAGCGGACGCCTCGGCGACGTCCTATCTCGCATCCACGTTGCGCAGCCCATGGGCGGCGTTCGCGAATCATTCATTCCGGATGCCGTCAAGGAACTCAAGAAATACGACAAGAACGATCCCAACCGCAGGAAATTGGAGCGCGACATTGAAGAAGAGAACGGTGGCGCCGGTGTATACAGCGTGGACATGCAGAAGAACTACCAACTTGCCAATGACGAATGGAAATACGACAAGATCCCCGAAATTTGGAACGGCAAGAACGTCTACGACTACGTGGACCCAGACATTGAAGCCAAGCTCGCCGCGCTCGAGGAAGAAGAGGAGAAACTCGAAGCCGAAGGCTTCTACGACTCGGACGACAGCGTCGAAGAAGCCGAAGACGCCGAGATCCGCATGAAGGCCGACTTGATTCGCGAGAAGCGCGCCTTGATGAAGAATGAAGCCCGACTGAGGAAGTCGCTCAAGAACCGTGCGGCGATCCCTCGCAGCGCCAAGGCGAAGAAACTGTCCGAAATGGAGAGGGCACTCGACAATGCCGGATATGATACGTACGATGCAGTTACTCGCGCGCAGGGCCAGAAGCAGCCATCGCGCGGCCGTGCGTTGACGCGGGATGGCGATAATGAGGGCGATCAGGATGCGATGGATGTGGACTCGACGCCCAGCAACCCCCGTGAGGCTATTGCGCGCGCTAAGAGTCGTGCGCGCAGCCAGGCGGCCACAAACAGATTGACGGATGGAGTCACGGATACGACGGCGCGCAGCAAGGCAGAGCGCTTGGCCAAGTTGTCGCAAAAGAAGAACAATCGCATGGCACGACAGGGTGAGGCAGATCGTCACCAGACAGTGGCGTTAGCAAAGCATTTGTATGCAGGAAAGAGAGGCATTGGAAAGAACCAGCGTCGTTGATCATTTCCATTCTCATTGTGTTCTTCATTACCATCTTTTGAAAAGGTCTGGCGTTTGGCTGGGTTGTTATTAATCTTAGTTTACGACATGATTGTGAAGATATTTTCCATATGATTGATCTTAACTTATCCTTTGTCCAAGTCGTAGTCAGCCATGGCATGAGCTTGCTTACCTAGGTAGCGTAGATGCTATACTTGACTATGCAGTCGACTAAACGCTCACTGTGCCCTAGCTCAGTTCTAGAGGCAATGCAATAACCCCAAGTATATCAGCAACTGAGTAGCAGGTACGTGGACAATGTCTTCAAGACTACCTAGTAAGACGTTTATACAGAAACCTCAGCTCTTGATCCAGGAGTTGTTGTCTGTATATATGAAAAAGGACTATCGTAAGATAGTGTTAGTAGTATTTCTATACTATACAGGTACAAGACAGTCTACAAGTACTCCAAGACTATCCACCATTGCCATCCTCAACGAGTAGACTTCCCTGCCTTGCTCTTGTTTCTGAGAATCACTGCATCGGCTGCAAATGCCCAATGAAGCAATACGACTATCCCATACCTGTAAAGCAGAACATGGGCAAAACTTCTCAACATGTATAGCTTGAATCGTCATGTATGTCATTCTTGATTCGGGCATCAGTGCATCGCATCACGACAGAGTCCACGCTGGTAGAACCGGCATGGAAGTTGTGAACGCGAGTCCGATTGAAAAGTGTACGAACTTTCGTTTTTGCTGCCATGGTCATTGCTCGCTCTGTCGAGCGCCTCTTCTTTATCTTTTTCTGACTGGATAAGTGAGAGAAACGGCACACGCAAAGAATACTAAGGTACATTGCTTACATCCAAGAATAAACATTTGTAAATCAGAAGTCTGAAGTCCACGGGTATACATGTGCTGTGGCCTCATCACAATCATACACTCATAACCCATCCAGTCCACTACCAGAAAGATTCGCTAATTCCCAAACCCTGAAGCACCCTCGTTAGCATCTGCATCAAAACTTGGGGGCGAAGAGAGAAAAAGGACTTACTCCCCAAGGGCCTCGCCCTCTTCGAAATATCCGCTGCTTGATCCTGCTTGACCCTAGCCAAGCGCGCTTCCTCCGCAGCCTCCTTCTCGAGCCTTTTCACATGCTCCCTCGCATCCCTCACAGCCTGGCGCGCAGCCACAAGCGCCCGGTCAGCTTCGCGCTCCGCGCCCTCGGCCATGACGACCTGTTCGCGGGCGGCGCTGATACTGGGGTCTTCACGGTTACGGCGCAGGAGGCTTGTACTGTGCTTGGTGCTGCCATTGCTATTCTTCGATGAGGAAGTGTTGGTGGATGCTGCAGTCGGGGACCTGTCGTGGCGAGAGCCAAAGAAACCTCCGCTGGTGCGTTGGGTTTGGGGTTCTGGGGCAGTTCTGGTAGTTGTGCCCTGGCGAGATTGGCGCGAAGAGCTTGCTGTAGAGGAGGAGTTGGGGTTTGAGTTGTGGTGGAAGAGAGGCATTTTCTTTTCCTTTTTTTAGCTCTAGAGGGGTATATATTTCCTTTTTGGGTAATTTTGACTAGATCCACGACATTCGGGTAGTTATATCGATGAACTGATCAGATGCAAAAACAGAATTGGCATCCGGAGAATAAACGGAATATATATTCCAATCTTTAGATTCAACATCTATCATCGACATACCTAAGAGATAGGATGACGTCGGAGCACAGACTTGACGTCAAAAAGCGACGATCAGGCTGAACGGTGGCTATAAGAACACCCGATATACCACAGCAAGGCCAATAATTTATAGTAAAGACAGCCATCAGCCATGAGTCTAATTATTGATATTAATGAAACGCATCGTCATATTAATGTCCTAACTTGATAATAACTAAATCATGTCATGACTGTCATCATGCGCCACACCCTAGTGTTGACTAGCTAGCTAAAACCGAGGAATTCGCTCAAGTCTGACAATTGATTGATTGTTGTGATTTGACTGATATGTGCTGTAATTGTTGATCTTTTTACTCCCACCTAAAAGATGTGGAACGCTAGATGCTTTATGACCAGCCTAGCTCGCTAATCGCTTATAACACAGCCCTCGAGGCTGCTTGCTCACTGGGCGCCCCGAATGGACTGTGCGGTCACTACACGGTATATGATGCAAGTTCAAAGTACGGTCTTGAAATCTCTGATTCATGTACAGTTCCATACTTTCTACTTTTATCACGAGTATTCCGTTTTCGTACATAGTTACTAGGTCTGGCACTTGCCTTATTAGGAAGTACTGCATAAGTTAGGGCTATTCGCAGACACGTGATGTATGAAACGGAGCCGAAGAACTGCGAAACATGTTGTTGCTGGTTTGAAACCTGCGGTTGCTCATTTGCCAATTGCCACGTAGTGGAAGCAGCCGACGCATGTAGTACGAAGTTGGGCAAGATTTTTCCATTATCGGCTGCCGTTGCTTTTCTAAGAGCGCATGTTCTCAGCACTAACCGCTGATTTAGGAATGGATCAGGTAGAAGTTGTTGAGGAAGAGAACGAGACCCTTTTAGGTGTCGTTCACAGAGGCAGAGAGCCATTTGTAAACCTTGATTATTTAGACGGACTACACTGTGAACGTGGAGGGTATGCGTCTCAGGTAGGAGAAGCTGGGTGATGCACCATTTTAAGAAAACTTCTGCGCTATTCAAGTTATATCCTATCTATAATGACGTGAGAAAGGAGTTTATTGATACTCAGGAGCATAATTACCTCTATTTTAAAGTCCTTGAATAGCTATTGTGAGTTTCTTTAAAAAATCAGAAACCATGTTTGGATACAAATCGCATTGTACTGAGCCTAGAAATATCTGAAATAGCTTTTGAACTTTTAACAACAGTCCCGTGAAAACCAATCGTAACCTGCCGTCACTTACGCATTGCAAAAGTCCGTATTGAAAGAAAAAAAAAAAATTCAAGTCCTGCCTGCTTTGCCTTTCTTTCCCATTATAACTGCACCCTGGCTAATTTCTGAGCTTAGAATGCTCATGCCTAGCCTCTTCTCATACGACTCCTTGCTTTTCACCTTGGAAGTTCGCAGCATTGCCCATCTCAGATAAGGCAATGAACTCAACAGCTCATCCACACAGTCGATCAACCAGCCCCCAACACCAAGGCCTTGGTACCTTGGGAGAACATATAGGTCGGTCAGGTATGCAAAAGTAAGATTGTCAGTGACCAGCCGGGCAAACCCAATCTGCTCGAGATTGTCTGCAGCTTCTGTATGGGTGACTGTTGAGGCTGGCTCGGTGCCGTCCGCGGAAGTAATTTCCTTCGCCGTTTTGTAGAGACCGAAACAGAAAGAATTGTCAATAACCTGCTGCAGGATCTCATGTGGCACCGCTCTGGTCCAGTACACGAATTCCTGGTCGAATGCAGAGTTAATTGCTGGAATTGAGAGGAGCTTTTTATCTGTTGATATCAAGAATCCATCTCGGATCCATTTTTGAGCTTTGGTGGGTAGGGACATGATGAGATAGCTGTTTGAGACGAAATCTTTAGAGACTTGAATCCCGCAGAATGAGGACTCGAGTTCAACAGGAAAAAATTTGAAAACAATGAAGACTGAGGGGTGGAAGTATGACATTAATAACCAGCGTGTCTAGTTAACTTAAGCCAAGCCGAAGCTAAAGTTGAGTCACAGGCTGGCCCTATGCATGTCAGTCACGGACCCATTTTCTCGCGAGCTCTGGATATTTTCCCTGACGAGCTGGTGTGTCATGAAAGGTAATGAATGGATCCCTGAAAATAATGACCAATTCGCCATCAGTCTCGAATTTTGTACATTCATACGCTAACCTCTGCCTACGGGACAAACGGTAATTGGTCAACCCGTACCCCTAGCCATGACTTGAAGCATTTCGACTTCTAGGGCAGTGAGTATCATTCTTTCGGTTATAGAAAACACACACACACACACACACAGACAGACAGACAGTGTTGCACTGATAAAAAAAATTGAAGTATCGTAGATCTGGTCCAATGCAAAATTGGCGTATCAGGAGCATCGGACTTAAGATACCATTTGTGACCTCACTTCCTTGAAGAGAAGGAGTTTCATGTGTCTATGGACTCGAGACAGTCTTTGAAGCGAGCAGTGGTGCCGGAGGGGGCGATTGGTTTTGTTTCAATGCAGAATACGACGATGCCCTGACAAGGTGATGGTGATTTATCTATCTGGATAAGTATGGCGGGAGGTGAGGCTGACTGGTACGCGAATATATCATCCACTAAATGAGAATAAGAATAGGAAAAGTATTTTAAGATATTTCTACGTGGCAAACATGTATATATAGTATATACTGATGGTCAGTGATTATTTGCTCTACTTTACTAGACCATAATCAGCAAATATAGTACAATAATGAATGAATTCATGAATCAAAATGCAGATGCAGTACAATAATGCAACCCACGCCTAACCGCCAATGCCAACCACAATGCCAAGTATCTGTAAAGACGAGTACCGAAACCTACCACCTAGGATGATACCTAAGTATTAGAATACGAAACTCTCAAAACAATGATATATAATACAAAGTCATTCATCTTCATCCATGTCAACTTTTCTGTTCGTTTTTGTTTTAAGAAAAGGAATACTAGAAAGAAGACTTATTGTCCATATCCAAACGCCGATGTGATAGATAGAATATAATAAAGTAATTATGATTATGATGATGGAGATGCAACAGGGACTTCCTCGGCACCCTTTGCACTTTCATCTTCATCTTCAATAGCAGCTCGGCGAATGTTTGCCGGCGCAACCCATTTTGTACTCTGCCATGGCTTGACGTACTGAACGTACATTGTGTCGACTTCCTCAAGTGTGCGGCCTTGGGTCTCGCACACGAAGAAGTACACAACAACGGCCGCAGTAAAAGAGCACGCGGCAAAGACGTAGCCGTACTGGTAGTCGATGGCGCCAGAGATGAAAGGCGTGAAGAACGAGATGAGGAAGTTCCATGTCCAGTTGGATGCGGTGGCAATTCCCATGCAGGTCGCTCGGTAGCGTGCTGGGTAGAGTTCACCCACAATGGCCCACACAATAGGACCCCAGGTGGTCGCGAATCCGACAATGAAGAAACAGGCAAACACGATCATGGTCGTACCAGCCTTGGGCGTCGCTTGGGGGTTGGCATGGTCGAGAGAGTAGTGACCCACTGTAGAGAAGATCATAAAGCAGACGAACATCCAGAGGCCACCGACAATAAGAGACTTGCGACGACCGTAGTGCTCGACGATATACAGACCGACAAGTGTAACACCAAAATTGACAACAGTCAAGATAATCTGGGTCTCGTAACTGTTGTTCAAGCCAGTGGAAGCGAAGATGGTGTTGCCGTAGTAGAAGATGAAGTTGGCGCCAGTGAGCTGCTGGAGGGACTGCAAGACAATACCGAGCATTGTGCGGTAGAACATACGAGGGCCAGTGAAGATTTCAAAGACGGAAGCCTTTCCAGCGGTTTTCTCTTCGTCGAGCTTTTCCTTCATGTCTTGAATCTCTTCAGCAACGAGGCGGTGATTCTCGGGAACGCCGTAGAGTTTGATCATAGTCCGTTTGGACTCCTCAACGCGGCCCATGCGGTAAGCATAGCGAGGAGACTCGGGCAGGAAAATAATTCCAATACCAAGGATCAGCGGCCAAGCAAAGCCGATTCCCATGGTGATACGCCAGGAAGCAGTGGATTCAAGGCTCTCTGTGCCGTAGTTGATACAGGCGGCAATAAAGATACCGAAAGCGACAAACAGCTGGAAGGCACTTTGGAAACTTGTTAGCGGAGATGCAGGGAGACTGAGACACAAGGGTCGGGGCCCCAACATACCTAACCATGGCACCACGGACTTGACGAGGAGCAGATTCACTCTGGTACATAGGCACAACGCTGGAAAGGGCACCGACACCGAGACCGGCCACGAGACGGCCCACGGCAACCTGGTACCACTTGGAGGTGGTCGAAATCTGCACGATAATACCGACAATGTGGATGATGCACCAGAAGGTGATGGAAATTTTCCTTCCGAAGCGGTCTGCGATAGGACTGGCACACAGAGCGCCGATCATGGTACCAATGGACATCTGTTAAACAAAAGCCCGTAAGCATGGAGCCGCAACAAGTATACATACGGACGGTGCACTGTCAACTTACCAAACCAACAATCAAACCAGAGCGGACGTTGCTAAAGTAGTAGCCACTGGCATCATGCTGTGCAAAGAGCTCCATGAAATTGTCCATGGTCTCAAAGCCGGAGATCTGACCAGTCGAGTAACCAAAAATGAAACCGCCCATGGAGGCGACAATGCCCATGATGAATGAGCGCCATGTCAGGTAAGGGACTTTGCTGTCATCGTACCGGGCGTTCTTCTCAGCGAGAGAGGCAGAGCCAGACGTGGGCACGGACGGGGAAGAGTTTTCTGCGTGTTCGGTCTGTGCATGGTTGGGCTTGAGCTTGCCCAAGATCTGAGAGACAGCCATATCGGCGGTGGCAGAAGAATATACAGGCAGGCAGGCAGGCAGGCAGGTAGACAATAGATAGACAGAGTAATAGAGAGGAGGGAGAGGAGGGAGAGGAGGAGGAGGAGGAGGAGGGAGGCAGAGTACGGAGTAAAGCGGAGTCTTTATAAGACGGCGTCTATGGGGTACAAGGATCACGCGGGATTAAAAAAAGCGCGAGAAATATGGGGGAGGGAGGCTTCTGGATGGATTCGGCAAGTTCTGGCCTCGCGCTGGGAACGTGACTGTGCCTTCTCTTCCGGGCCTGCTGCTCTTTCTGCTCTTTCCTCGGTAGTGTGCTCCTTCCTTTCCTGGGAGTGGACCCTACCCTCCATCTTTCTCTGCGCTGTGCTACGCTTTGCTTGATGTGCAACATTCTGCTGTCATCAGCCTGTACGTGAGTGCCAACGGCGTTACACTAGGATATGAAAACAGGCGTCCCTGACAGACCATACTCACATTACATGCGCATACGGGAGACTCGACAACACACAATTGTTGCCTCATGCAGCATTTGTTTATGCTGCTTCCGGACATGCCCCAGCCACTATTCCGCTTTCGGTCATAGCGCGCCACCTTGCATGACGATGCGGGTGCGCTAAGCCCGATCAGACCCTGGCCTGTTGATCCCTTGAGTGACTGCTGTTGCTTGTTCGCCCTTGACGGTGCACGACGCATGTCTCGCAGATCTGTACATGCTGTTTGTGTCCTTTTCTATTTGCATGTACTATTTATATTGATGCTTTTCCGTATTCATCGCGGACTGATAACCAGTGCGAGTGGTTGGGAAAGCGCAGGGATAAGAAAAAAAATAAACTCGCGCCGGTTGTTTACTTTGGGACTAGTGCCCCACTTGGCTTTGCGCCTTCGCCTTCTAGGCCCTCTAAAACTTTGATGATGCAGAATCAGATAACCTCAGACTCTTACCCTACGGATCACGGTGCACATGATGTGCACTCGTGCATGTGCTCCATGAAAGATTCTCATGAGATTTTTTTAATCTAGGTCACACAATCAACACAATTACTATAGGATTCGCCTCCTGGCCCGACGAGGGCGAAAAAACAACAATCCCTTCTGAGTCTTTCCACCGAAACTAATTTGGGCGGTTCCAATGGTTACCCTGGTCCGACTCCACCTAGGAAAATTTTCTTTTGCGTGCCTGTCGCCGCTCGGCCTCGATAATCCATATGGCACACGGGTGAGACGTCTCGGCATCGCAGGACATTGGTTCGGTTTGCCGGGTGGATCCACTCGGCATCCCGAGAAGGTTTCTCGGTGTGTGCCTGACCGGGTGATCTCGGCTTGCCTAGCGTTATTAGCTGGACATCTATCGTCATGCTCATGACGGGGCTAGTTTCAGGTACGAGTGAAAATGTTCCTGTTACGGAGTACTCCGTAAATACGTAACTGGTTTGGACGACCTAGTTAATTTCGGACGTACGTAGATACCTACTATGCGCGGAGGCGAATACAAAGTGATTACACAGTCCTAGTACAGCCGAACGTTGAAATACAATTACATGGACAACTACACCCGCTCCGTAATTATTTACCTACTCCGTATATCGGTGCATATCCTTCGTAAACATCATGCAAATTAAGTACACGCACTATTTCTGGTTATCGCACGCCCCTAATGATAGAAGTCTCAGGAGTCAGGAGTGTGGAGACTCGGAACTCGAGACTCCAGACATTTTTTTTTTCTAGGAATGTTTGCTAGCACCGGAAAGTGCGGGCAAAGTAGCCCCGAGTTTTTTTTTTTCGCCTCCCCGGTCAAATTGAATTTTGTCCCCGCGGACAAACGCAAATCCGCCAGCTCACCGAAAAGTATGCGTGAATAATGTTGTGCATAAAACCGTGCATAAATCAAGGGCCCAAACCTAGGCTGGTTGGCTCACCTGAATTCACTTGACGCCGCTGACGGTACAATGTAGTTGGTGGCTGGATATATATCATGCAATGACGCTTCTATAATAATATTAATGTTATTAGAGCCAAGACACTTCTTCGCTCATTGTCATGTTGACTGAATTAGCATACATGAACGCGTAACAATAGAAACGCAGAAGCCGAAGGATAGGCAAACAATCACGCAGAGATTAAAAAGGAATGCTTCACATCATGGATTATACTTATACTCTACTTGGTCTTTTCCCTCTCCGCCTTTCTCAACGCCCTCTTGCGAATCGATACGTGCATGTTGCGGTTATAACCCAGAATCCAGCTACTGTAAACACCCATCACGCAGGTAATAAACCACGCCATCATACCATGGCTGGGGTACGGACAGGACGTGTAATAGTAATGAGGCGAGCCACCACGACGACCAATTTTGCTTAGCGCAGACTTGACCCATGCCTTGGGTGTAGGAATCAGGAGACTGGGCCGCTTGATCTTGGACATGGACGAAGTAATCAAGTGGGCCTGCAAGAGCTGGACTGTAATTCCGTAAGGCTCCAGTTCCGAGCCTAGAGCGCTCGACCAGTGTTGCAAGAATGCCTTGCTGCCCGAGTATGTCGCCAGGAGAGGGGTTGGCACGAGACCGCCAAACGAGCCCATGGTCATGATCAGACCGCGCTTGCGCTGTATCATGCCGGGTGTGACGATCTTGGTGACGCGCAGGGTGCCGAAGCAGTTGATCGTGATGATATCGGCCATTTCGTCTTCGGGTGTCTCGTTGAATGGGACGGGGATGCTGTGACTCTTGCCCACGTTGTTGATCAAGATGGCAATGTCTAGGTCCTGCACGAGAGCCTCGAGTCTCTTGAAGTCCGAGTCCTTGTTTTCCGCAAAGTCCATTGCTAACACCTTGATCTGTGTAGTTGGGTTTTTGGCTTTGATTTCGTCGGAGAGCGCGATCAATTTCGATTCGGTGCGTGACACGAGGACGACATTGAATCCGGCGCGGGCAATCTGCAGAGCAAATTCCTTACCCAGGCCATCCGAGGCACCGGTGATGAGCGCCCAGCTGCCTTTGGGGCCGAAGCTGCGTAACTACAGATCATTAGCAGGTATATCAACAGAAAAGTTGGTAAGAAGAACATACAGACTTGCCCGGAAGCACAAACAAACTGGCCAACACGCGGAGAAAAGTCAGGCCTTGAGTGAGAATCCACGCGCCACCGATCACGCCCAATCCGAAGACCAGTGCCGTCTGTGAGTGCGACATATCTGCGGCTCGAAAGGTGGTGAGTTTTTCGAGGTAGTTGTCTAAGCAGTGCATATTGGAGGATTTTCCCGGGTTTTGCTCAGAGAGAGGATAGGGCGGAGGAGGTAGCGATAAATAGAGAATTGCTGACTATGGCAATTGCACACCTGTCAGCATCGATATGGATAATGTGACCGGTCCGACAGACTACCGAGCAGAAGAAGCAAGGAGCCGGCTTAATGTAGGATGCTAATTTATGTTGTTTTCTAGTGACTTTTTGTTGTTGGATCACGGCCTAACCTAAAGCGGCATGGAAATTGTTGGGGTTTCGGGACACGGAGCATGTGATTGGCCACGCCGCTCACCACCTTCTCTCATATTTTGTTTACACTCTTGACTCTACACATCGAAAAGTCGGACTTCGTTCGCCCTGTACCAGCCAATTAACCACAAGTGAGCACCGAAACCAGCAAATGGCATCATCATTTCTTGAACAATTCCGTCTTAATACAGACGAGGGCTGGCTGCCAGCCTGGCTACTTATTGTACCACTCACTTCCCCTTCAACTCTCCTCTTATCCCCGATTACTGACTGTGAAATGTATGAACAGGTCTCAGTAATATCCACCGCAAACTCCATCCAGTCCTACCTCTCCCCCAAATATCACCAACAGCTCTACATCGGCTCAACCTTCACCAACCACCAATCGCCCTCCTCGCCGCTCGCCTCGCGCACATTCGGAACATGGACGTTCCTTTCTTCCATTGTCCGCGCCTACGCTGCCTACAACATCCATAACCCTGTTGCTTACGACATTGCGTTCTGGACGTACGGCATTGCATTGCTGCATTTCTTGTCGGAGGTTGGCCTCTATGGGTCGGCGCAGATTAGGGGCAGGTTTGTTTTCCCGCTGGTTTTTGCCACTAGTGCTTTGATCTGGATGGGGTTGCAGCGGCCGTATTATTTGGGTTGAGTGGCTTGGAATGGGTTGTCCCTCAGGATTTCATGTTTCCTGGGGGAAGGATGGTTTGAGTTTGTCCAAAAAAAAAGACGCCTTTGAAATGGAGAAGGGGCGAAGGAGTGAGTACATATGCGTTGACAATATTGCTAGTCTAAAAGGATGATTGAAAATATGTATCATATAATTATAATGAAGAAACAATTTCTACGCCAGCTGTTTCCTGTACAGCTCGCCGCCACAGCTTCGCAGCCTAGTGGTGGCTTGTTCCGGGGTAATGTCACGCTGAGGCTCGGCCATCATCTCGTAACTACAGCCTGTTAGCGCGAGACGGACTTAGTTAGAAGAAGAACAGACTTACCCAACTAGGAACTTGCGAACGGTTGCACTCCGCAGCAAAGGCGGGTAGAAATGCAAATGCAGCCACGAAGACTCAATTTCCTCGTCAGTACCTTCGAGCGGTGCCTGGTGAATGCCCATACTGTACGGGAAGTGCGTTTCGAACAAATTGTCGTATCGCCGCGTGATCTCGGCAATTGCCTCGGCAAGCTGACCCTTGTCGTCGCCGTTCAGATCGACTAGTGCACGCTTGTGTGTCTTGCTAATGATCATAGTCTCGAATGGCCAGGTCGCCCACCATGGACAAACCACAACGAAGCCGTCGTTTTCAAATACAATGCGCTCTTGCTTCTGCAGCTCGAGTGCAACGTAGTCTCCGAGCAGGTGGTTGCCGCCGTGCTCTGCTCGGTATTTCTGGAGTTGAGTAAGTTCGATTGCGGGCTCTTCCGGCAGACTGCTCGTCGTCCAGACTTGACCGTGTGGGTGCGGATTAGAGCAGCCCATTGCAGCACCCTTGTTCTCAAAGATTTGCATGTATCGGTACTGCGACTGTGGCTTGGTGAGAGAAGCGTTCGGCGCATCAGGGGGGAGATGCGTCACTGGGGCGACCGTGGCCAGAGGGCTCTTCGGTGACAAATGAGAAGCATAGATATCTGTCCATGCATCAATGACGGGAACAATCTCGATAGGCGACAGGTCGGCGAGAGTCTGGTTGTGGGCTGCCGAAAAGGTCAATACGTAGCATTTTCCAACGACCGGCTCGGCGCGGAGAAAAAACGATTCGGCGCCTGCCAGACATTCAGTCTATTAGTGATGATGAATCCTGACTGATTGTTGCAAGAATCGCCTACCCTTCTCCTCAGGCTTATACTCGGCCTGCTCCTCCTTGACAGCGCTATAGTCATTGACGAAGACAAAGGTGTTTTTGTAGTGCGGGTTGGCGTCACCCTGCGCACGAGTATTACCGGGACAGAGATAACAGGCCGGGTCGTATTCTGGCAAGGTGGTCTTAGATGGCGACTCCTGCTGTCCTCTAAAGACCAGTTAATGAATTGCTCATATCTCGACCGGGAGCGTTTTCAAAAACATACTGCCATGGCCTCTTGGTCCGGTGAGGAGAGACGAGAATATACGAGCCGCGGAGAGGATTGTACCTCCGGTGCGAGATGTCGTCCAGCACGTTTCCCACCATGGCTGTTTCAGAGTCTTGGAATTAGAGAAGACAACGATGAAGGGCGAGAAGAAGATCAAAAGGGAAAAAAAGAAAATAAAAGAGAATAAGAAGAAAAGACGGTTAATTATGTTCAAAATAGCCTCACGGAATGCGACATTGTCATTTTGCATGCGGGGGCTCCATACCAAAGTTACACAGCATAGATTAGGCGGAATGGGCGTGGATTACGTATTGTGGTATTCGTATTACCGGGTAAAAAAGTCGGGGAAAGCGCGGGGCTATTCCGGTGGGTCTGACGTAATTTCACCGCATCCAAATTAAGCAACTCTTGATACAATCTTGTCTACACTTTCATTCTCCAGATATTGTTGTTCGTTGCTGTTGACTAACATTGGCTTTGATACATCTAATCTCTGGCCCCTGTTAGTCGAGTTGCAAGATTCCAGAAATGCGACTGGCCTGTTTCGAATATATATCGTCCCGTCCGTCCCATTTGCCCTTGATATTTACTCCCTGACCTCATATCAAAACGAAGCACAAGATGGAAGTTTCGAACAGCCAACAGGATTTGACTGCGACTTGACTGCCAAGTGATCAACCGACGACACCGGTAGACACTCGTCTTCGAGGATGCAGGGATTCGGAGGCTGCTCGTGTAATAAGGCTGACCGCAGCCGCAGACAGTACTTTTCTATCGACTCAGCATAGTAGCAATTTCAATTCTTATGAAATACAAATACACGCCATCTCAATGGATTGTGTTTGTGGCAGCAGTTTAATACAAATCGCATGAATACGTTAACTGGTCATGTCGGGCTTCCAGGTCCTCGGCATCGTCGGCAATATCGTCCAAGGAGCTGATCTCGGCGCCCGCGGAGCGCTCAAGCTGTCCACCTTTTTTGACAAAAGTCAAGCATGTAGAGAAAGATGTTCTGGCATTTATCAAAGGACATTATGTTTACGTCTTCCGTCCTGCGACAGCTACGCAATAATCTAGAGCAAGATGGACACGCACAGCTCTACTCACAGGATGCGATTCGCCTAGCAAAGGACATCTCGAATGAATGCGACGCCGGCAATTCATATGCATTGATTTGACTTCCTTTGCGGCCGATGCTGCTGCAAAAATGACGAATCCTTTGAAATTGACTAGGAAAGTCAATTTTGTTTTCAAGCAGTCGCATTTGGATGTTCTGCAAGCCAATTTGGATAGGATGAAGAATACAATGCCGCTGTTGCTCAATGTGATTATCCATGCGGGCCAGCTGAGAAAAAGAGAGGCCGGAATTAGAGAGAGTGTCAGCAGCACGCCATTAAAAAGTTGGCACGACAGAAACTAAATTCGGACGACAAGATTAAACAACCAAGGATGGCGCATGAAGGCATTGAAATGGGTGATCATTCCGAGAACCCCCAGTCTCCGGTATATACGATGACCGCCCGGCCACCTACTTTTGCTTATGCCGAAATTCCTCGCGATCAACTTCATTGGTCATTGACGAAGTCTTGGAATATTCAAGGTCAATAAAGACGAAGTTAAGGAGTATTGAGAAGGCAGCGGATGGACTTACCTCAGACCGCCATGAACGCATTCGACAAAAAGTCTTGGATGTACACCGGGGAGAATGTGAGATAATTCTCTGATAAAGATGGACCATCTTTCAGATACCGTCAAGGCATGAAGAATATACACTCCAGGACGACTCAACGGCGGCGAACACGACAGGGCTTGCGGCAGCACGTCGATGATCAATTGGGTTTGGAAGATGAAAAATCAGACGCATCAATAAGAACCACAAGGTTCTAGAGAAGGTGGCGGAACTATCCTTAAAAGCATACTCACTGGAAATCCAAGCTCTCATTCAAGAGCCTATCCATGTGTCAGTGCCAGCGCCTCCTACTGATATTTCGAGTCAGAGCAACCTGGTAGAGCTTGACCATACTTCCTGGGATGTGAAAAACTTGTTATTAAGTCGGACTACTTTAACAGCGAATGAAATCTCTTGATAGAGTCCGTCAAGTCATGCTTAATTAATATTATCAGAACAAATTTTTCTTGTATTTCATTCAAGGTAAATACGATGTAATTAAGTCAACATATTCATTCATCTCAGAATAAGCCTAAGTGCCTTTGTTTATTTCACACTGTCCTTTGTGTTTTATCATATGCCAATCGATGTTTTCCAACGCTTGCCTTCCTCATCGAGGAACTCGCAACTAGCCTAGGAGCGAATCAAAGTATGCACAGAAAAATCTATTCTCAATCGTAGCAACTAGACAAGGCCCTATACATGCAAAACTAATCGGATCAATCTTTAGAAAGAAAGCGAAGTGAATCCCCAACGATGGCAATAGCACAACCTTCTTTTGGCCCTATATAGTTCCATTCCCCACTGTGTGGATTAGGGGCGTGGAGGTAGAAATCAATTTAATGTAATGTCATATCTCTTCAGGCGAAGGGTTCAGGAGTGGCGGCAACGGCGGCTTCATCAAGGTCAGGGGCACCTGCGTAAGGGGGCTGAATCCTTACATACAGTCTTTGGAATAATTTATTCAATATTCTCACAGTTGGCTAGTACCTAGGGGTTGCCCTGATCACGTAGCTTAGTCTGAGGCAGAACAGGCATTTTAGGTATATGCACGGCTAGAATTCCACGATAATAGCAACAAAGCCAGCGTACTTCATCCAAGTTCATTAGCAGGTTATCTTCTTCTTGTACTTTAAATCCGTCAGATCATTCTTTGTGGCAACACTTATCCGACAGCTCTTGATGTCCGGTCGAGAGAGGAGCTCGGTATACACATGAGCGAAATCCGAAGCCTTCATTGCGCCTGTCTTCTCAGCTGACGAATCAACCTCGACGCGGGTTTGCAGGTACACTTCGTTGAAGCGGACATTGGTGTTCTCGTTGTCACGGCAAGCCACGTTCGCCATCGAGAATAGGGGACCTTGGGTGATGGCTGGAGCTGCGCGAGCACCAATGTCGCCCTGTGATCCGGTGCAGAGGGTAAAGGAAGTTGGACCGCTCTGCTCTAGCAAATATGGGATACTTGCACGGTAGGCTACTACAAGGTAGTTTTTTGATTCAGCGTTGTTCGATCCTTGTGTGAGAGGAGGACTCACGAAAGTTCGATTCAAAGTTGATGGCCATGAATTTGCGCAATTCGCTGGTAGTGAGATCTCGCAATAAAGTCGCGCCATATGCTCCGCCAGCTAGAAGATAGACACACAAGATTGTTAGCCTACGTATGCATCATGGCGTTGACTAGAACGCTTACCAGCAGCGTAAACGTGTTGGAAAGCTGGCAGCTTCCCAGCCCGGACCTGATCAACAACGCCCCGAACTCCTTCCTCGGCCATGATGTCGGCCTCGACGATTGTAATCCCGTCTTTTGATTTGACATGCTGGAACAACTTGTCGGCAGATGCTTGATTTCGTACAACTGCAAGCACGTTGCGTTTGGCTCGCAGGACTCCAAGGACGGCAGCGACACCGATGTTGCCTGTTGCTCCGACGACTAAGACGGTTTCCATTTTGTTGTGGTTTGTTCTTCTTTCCCTTCTTGTTCTTCTTCTTTCTGGCCTTTCTCTAGAACTGACCTACATATCTGTGACCAGCTTCTTATTTATATGCATGTCCATTGCTTAGGGCTAGCTGGTTTCGGAAGCGTTCCGTCGGGATCTCTCTGGCGGCGCAACATCACGCCGAGCCGCACTTGACTCTGTTCTTTTTCAAGGAACCAACTCTCCGACTTTTGTTCCAACACGTCTAAAATAGCGTCAACATACGGAAGACGGCATGGAAACGTCAAAGCCCAAGAGGCAGAAGGTCCCTACTGCATGCGACCCTTGTCGCAGTCGGAAGGTATGCCCCGGTACCCAACAGATCCCGGTAACATCAGCTAATCATACTCACAGGTCAAATGCGATGGACATCAACCAGGTATAGTCCTATGAGCAAAAGTTCCAGCCACGGTCACCTCACAGACTGTCATCAGAAATGCTCGGTGCAGTTTTAGTTGCACATGCTAAGCAAGTCCCCCATAGTGTGTGGCCCATGCGAGAAAAGACCCAGAAGCGAAACTGCTTGTACATGGGCTACGGACTCTTCGCGCATTCGGTATGCTTCAACGGGATACGTTAAACAGCTCGAAGATAGGATTAGACTTCTTGAAGGGCATAACAGTCAAATCCAAGGCCGCAACAGCCGAAGCATTGATCATGCTTCAGAAAAATCAATCGCACGAACGACGGGTAGTCATGTAACCGCCTCCCCAACCTCGCCCAAGCCTACTACACGGCAGACGTCTCTCCCGTGGGTGGGACTATCATTATCTAGTCCTCCAGGAACAATTGCAGACTCACGGCTAACAACTCCAGCAACCTCCATTGTCCCACTGTTCGTTCAACCGCTTCCGGAGACCCTGGAGAGCACGGATTCGACATTCATCTCCAATAACCATTCTGCTCATGACATCGTAGTAGGCGATGGCCATATTCACAGCCCCGCCAGCAGCCCTATTGCTAGAACTCTTATGCAAGAAGTGGAGAAAATGGTCAAAGAGAAGCTCGGCGAAGCATCAAGTGCTCGAGGTCCATATAATGATTCAAGGCAGAATGATTTGGACTACCCCCTGCCTGCCCGACAACAAGCAGACAATCTACTCAGTTCCTACTGGAATTACGTGCATGTTCTCTATCCATTCTTAGACAAGCCACAGACGGAAGAAGACTACGCCAATATTTGGAACCAGGAAAACTTCATTACCAATAAGAAGTCTTTTTTATGTCTGCTTAATTCTATATTTGCCATCAGCAGCCGACACGTTAGACTAGCAGCTCCAGACGATGAGCGCTTGGCTGCCACCTTCTGCCAGAGAGCACGAGAATTAATGGACATCGAATCATACTCTATCTGTTTAGTCCAGTCATACCTGCTATTAGCACTGTATTTCCAGAGCATCGATGAGCCTCGTACGTGTTGGATGTTTGTTGGACTCGCGATACGCACAGCGCAGGTTCTGGAATTCCACCTCATCGAAACAAGCGAGCAGGAGCCCGACAATCGGACCACAGACCTCTTCCGCAAAGTCTGGCTTGGTTGCGTGCTCATGGATAGGGAGGTTTCCATGATGTACGGTCGACCATGTATGATTGATCATAAGACAGCTGCCGCTGTTCCCCTCCCCTTGTTGGAAGAAGAAATCTTTCAACTGGGACATGTTCAATCGCACAATACCCAGGCGCCGCAAACTCATGCTGCTGATTTTTACTCGATCTCTCTAAGATTATATGATATCTTACATGACGTTCTCCACCATACGTACCCTGGAAAATCTCAAGGATGTTCCAATTCCGCCGAGTACTGCTCACCTTTTGAAGCAAACACCTTCGTCGTCGAGCTCGAGGAAAGGCTCTCAAGGTGGGAAGATAAGATTCCTAACTATTACAAGGTCGGAATGCACTCTATAAATAATAGCATGAATGGTTCGCTAGTCCGTAGAGCAGTCATTCTTCGTCAGAGGTGCGTCTATAAATACCCCCCCGGCGCTATGTTTCAAGTCAAAACTAACAATATTTCAAGGCATCTCCATGTCCACCTACTATTGCTAAGACCTATGCTCCAAAGCGTCATTACATACGAGTTCCGAAACAAGGGAGAATCCGTCCCTATTGGAAGCTTGCTGTCTCATAGAGTCTCTATGCAATGCGCAATTGTATGCGTGAAGGTGGCACAACAAGCTATCGATACTATATTCGTTAACGAAGGTACAAGTTTGAATGAAATGAGAGATCTGTCCGCATGGTGGTACAATGCGATATTCTTGTATACATCTGCGACAGTGCTCATTGCAGCCAGCCTTAGCCCCTCAGTGGTGGCTGAAGTATCGGAGGATTCGATATATGATAGCTTCCATAAGGCCATTGCAGTTCTTCGACAGTACACCATCTTTAATACTTCAATTCTCCGGTTGACTAGTGCATTACATATTCTGTCTTCGGTCATACCCAAGAATTATTCTCGATTAAAGCAGGCCTCGCAACGAACTGAAGTAATGCCTACGTATGACGACTCGAATAAAGCTGCTACATTTCAGTACTGGTGTCCTATAGGACCAAACCGTCGCCAAAAATCTCCTCCCAGTGATGATCCGAAGGCGCACGCAAACTCCGAGAATAATATTAATAAGGTTTCATCCTTTCAGTCACTCTCAAACCTTGATCTGTTTTTTGATCCTGATGACTTTACATGGCTTATAAAAATCCCTTTTTGTACTTGAACAAGACTCGATCTTGAGGAGTTTAATGAGTGATGTAATGATAACTACATCTATAGTGATATTAAAGTTGCGGTTTTTAGGATTTACAAAAGAACCACGCAAATTACAAGCGCTTGCTTCTCTGTTTATAGCCAGGGTTCTAGCTATTTATCTATACTCCTTGATATGTTCTGTTGATATAGACTTCCAGAATTCCGCTGCCATCTGGCTATAACGTATATTATATTCCTTCAAATTGACCTCGCTGCTTAGGCTAGCCCCAGTGCCCATCCATCCACGACGCATTGCAGCACAAGTTTCCACCTACATCCTCAGTCCTAGGCCTTTCTTCTTCAGAGACAGAATAACTTAAATGAAAGGACAGCTGCAGCACCTGGCTTCCCCTCTCCTTCGACAATAGCTATACAGGCTTTGACCACCTTGGAATCCTTAAGGAAAAACAACTTGAGCAATAATGAATGGTGCATAACATAACCGGAGAGGAGACATGGCTAGTTGTGCACCGGCCAAAATTTTGATTCCGGGCCAGACAGCAGCACAGTAAGGTCAGACTAGAGGCACCTGCTAATAACTATCTGCCGCTGTTGCAGACTCGGAAGGATAACATAAAGTCCGGTTTCTTCGAGTCCTGACTGCACTCGGGAGCTCTTCCGGGGCCACCATTGCCGACATAGCTCGGAGACCATCCGAGAAGCCCTAACTCATATATTTCATCCGCCCCGCCCATGCCTGTTTGTCATCTCGTATTTTTTATCTTTTCAAACATGGCTGTCAAAAGACTTTCTCCAATGAACTCTTGAGTCTGAAGAGCGATATCTAACAGCGTCCTCCATCTTAAGTTGACATATACCCCAGCTACTAGCACTGACAATAGCATGGCAACTGATCTGGAAAAGGCAGAGACCAACCAAGAGGTACTTCACGACATCAACCAACCAGGCCTATATCCAGAAGGCTCAAAGACCTTAGATACACAGTTGAATAAAGATGTCGAATCTTCAGCAGGCTACATAGAACCAACTCTGGCGCAACCAGCGTCTCCCCAATATGCGAGATTAAATCCGGCATTAGTGCCTTCCGAGACTATAATAGCAATACCACGGTCAAAACGAAGAGGGTTGCTGGGAAGCTTTGCTATTATCCCGGAAATTGAAAGACCATATAACTACGCAAGTAGCACGAAATGGGTGATTACTCTCGTTGTTGCTTTGGCGAGTGCCGCAGCGCCTCTCGGTAGTGCGATATTCTTCCGTGAGTGATCCTCAGCCTCAAAATTTTCTGAATTCTTGCTGATATTTGTGCAGCTGCACTTAGTCAGATTTCGCAAGACTTCCACGCCACCCCAACGCTCACCAACCTCACAGTGGCGCTATACCTGCTGAGTATGTCAATATTTCCACTCTGGTGGTCGTCCTTTTCAGAGACGCTAGGCCGCCGGACTATCTACTTGGTTTCTTTTGCGCTCTTTACGTTATGGAACATTATCGCCGCCGTTTCCACTTCGATGGCTATGCTGATTGTAATGAGAGTTCTCGGAGGGGGCGCGTCATCATCTGTTTTGGCCATCGGTGCAGGCACTGTAGCCGACGTTTGGGAGCCGAGGCAGCGCGGAAATGCGATGGGCATCTTTATCCTTGGTCCAATGTTGGGCCCTCTGCTAGCCCCGATCATTGGCGGTGTAGTGGCAGAGACATGGGGATGGCGGAGCACCCAATGGTTTCAGACCATCTATGGCGGAGTCTTGTTAATTGTGTTGATATTCTGTCTTCCCGAGACTCTTGCAAGACGAGGAGCCGTCGAGCAACAAGCAGCCGTGGACAGTAAACCAACAATTCTACAGAGAACGAAAAAAGGTGCGGCCTTCCTGAAACGGTCTATCATCGATCCGCTAGGAATATTGAGCTATCTTCGCTTCCCAGTGGTCTTTATCACGGTGTGGATCTCAAGCGTTACTTTTGGAAGCTTATATATGCTTAACATCGCGATTCAAAGAACGTTTTCGAACCCGCCATATAGTTTCTCGGAAATCATAGTCGGACTCACCTATATCCCAGGCTCTTTGGGTTACATGGTTGCAGGCATCACAGGCGGAAAATGGGCGGACGCGATAATGCACCGAGAAGCGCGGACTGCAGGTCGATACGATGCGTCCGGAAAACTTATTCTGAAGCCGGAAGATCGGATGAGGGAGAATGCTCTACTTGCTGCTGTGATATACCCTGCTGCTCTCCTCTGGTTCGGATGGACAGCAGACCAGGGCGTCTTCTGGATCGCTCCCCTGATTGCAAACTTTTTCTTCGGCTTTGGAACGATGATCATCTATGGAACGGCGAATACGATGTAAGTACTAACCAGACATACACCAGGGAAAAAATAGACATGAAACAAGGCTGTCTGCTAACAACAAGGTAGGCTCACAGAGTTTCTTCCCAAGCGCAGCTCAAGCGGAGTGGCTGTGAGCACCTTCGTGAGGAACATCTTTAGTTGCGTCGGCGCGGTCGTCGCTCAGCCCATCCTTGAAGGCATTGGTGATGGATGGCTCTTCACCATCCTTGGAATTATTGGTTGGATCAGCGCGTTTTCTGTTGTTTATGCCATGAATACATTTGGGCCTAGGTGGCAGAATGAGATGAAGCAGAAGCTGGCCCGGTAGGCCTCTTACTTACAGTCCTTAAAGCATGAGCATGGAAAATTCTGGGCCTGGATGGTTCCACAATACTAGGACGATATGTTATCTGTGTTTACTGTTTTAGAATGGATGTTCTTCGGGTATCGATACATGATTTTCAACTGTCACTATTTTGAGTGGAATTGCCGGCAATCTAGTCTGATGTCATTATTTGTGTAAGAGGTCTTTCAAAGTAGTCGCCAAAGAAACGCCGAGAAGTGGGAGATAAAAAACAGCTGCTGCTCTGCGAAAGTCGTCCTAACAATTTTTGTAGGCTGACTTGCTGAATTGGGATCCGAACCCATGCCCTTTTATCAAGCCATCAGCAACGAATACATACATGATATTATATCAAATCGGCTCTCACATTTCTCCGAATCTGTTTTAGACGAGCGTTACGGTTCAAATAGCCTGCTCTGGTGGTCTCACTGCACTTCACCTGCATCCTAGCCTAAACAAACCGGAGATGCGAAGCAAGCTATGCTAGTTCATTTCTCGCGGTGCCATACGGTAGGTGCATCCCCTTTGAATGAACTATGCCCACCGTTATAAAGCTTGTACATGTCTAATCTTTCAACCCGTGATTTAGCTTACTCGGCGGCGCTGATGGACGCTGTTATACTTTCGGCGATCGAGCCAATCGCTATGCACGCGGCGAGGGCATGCACTGTTTATACCTCAAGTCAAGGCAAATAGCTGATAGTCCTAAAACGTCGTCATAGATAGTAAGTTGCTTGAGGCCCTCGCAAGGTTCAACGGCTGAAAGCTCGAGTGCGCCCTGGAATATAAGTTTAGTCAGTAGTCCGCAGCTGCAAAAGCCAGCATTGTAATTGAGTTCACTCTCGACCGACCTGTCACGTATCGCGAATGTCAGAAAGATTTCAACCCGGATAAGCTGTGATCATAAAACGTCAAGCAAGGCACTCCCTTGATCAAATTGTACTTTGTTCAAGCCCTGTTGACAGTAAATGTTAATAACGATCCACTGGAGGAATCTATATCTAATATACATGTTGATATCTATGCGAAAATTCAATACTGAGATGACATATTAAAAAAAGTACACTGTTCTTCACTGTCTAGTCCGCCACATCGCATTCCTATGTTTCAGATACTCCTTCGACGCAATCGACTTCCAGATCCCCCAAACCCCACCAAGAGGCCACAGCGAAGTAATCTTCTGCTGCCACGACATACTCGACGGATTTCCCGGCGGCACAACTTTTACCTTGTGCCACACGCTCGGCAGCGTAGTCGCAGAATACTTCTCACGTAGGGCATCGTACCACTTCCGATCAAAGCGTTTCCAGAATTCGTCTTCGGGATAGTATGTGTGTGCATACAGCCATTTCATACCGCCTAGTTGGTTCAGTTTATGTTCCAAATTGCGATTCTTGGCAACAAATTCGGAGGTTTGGTTGGGCCCAAATCCCCATAGGCCGATGTTCAGGAGGCGTCCGCTGTATTTGGTGTTTGTGTTGTGCGGATGCATGGTTGGGGTGGAGGACTGTTTGAGAGGGCAGTACCATAATGGCCAGATGTTGAATGTCTTGGTGGTATAGTCGATGAATTCTTCGGCATTTTCGTAGGGTAGTGCCAGATCTTGGACGATGTATCGGTTTGACTCACCGCTCGCGTGCAGCGCCTTGTAGAGCATGCGTGTGTGCAAGAAGTCGTCTAGGAACCAGCGCGTGAACTTGTTGAACGGGACGAATTTGAAATATTTGAACGCCGACGCGCCAACCCAGAATCCGCCTCGGTCGTAACGGAACAGATACTCGGCTAGAGGGACATACTCAGTAACCACGTCCTGCGATTTCGTGATGTCCTGCACGTGTAGATAGAACCAGGGATCCCAAGGGTTACTGAATGTTTGGAGTTTGGCATTGGCGGGCTTCTCATCTGTTAGTTCGCCTTTGATGACAACACCATGGTCCGGCGAGAATTGGATGCCGTCGATGTACTCGAATGGTGCAGTTTTGGGATTTGCAGATTCTTTTTCTAACGCTTGGACTGCAGCTGCTATACTGGATTTTCGTTCATAGGTTACTTTCACAAATTTCTTGGCTTCAATGAGTTTGAGCTCAATCAGCGTCGTGATTCCGAGACTGCCCACAGCGCCCGCAGCACCCTTAAACAGATCCTTTCTTTGGTCGCTGCTGCGTTCACTCGTCTTGACAACCTCGCCATTCGCAAGAACCATCTCCACAGAGTCAATGGTACGATCAAAAAATCCATGCCTGAAACTCGAGGATTCGCCCGACGTGCCGCTGTAGCCTCCACCGGCAGTGATGCCGGGGAACTCCATGACTACGGGAGGCACTAGGCCATGTTTGAGGGTTGCCTCAACCAGCTTGTCCATGGGAACATTGGGCTCGACAGAGGCCGTTTTGGCGCCGCGGTCTACGCGCAGCACATTGTTGAGGGCGCTGATGTCGACGAAATTCTGCTTTCCCCCCAAACGCGGTCGAGTGCTGTTTGTTGAGCCATGGAAGATGCGGTATGGCTGGTTGAGTTTGTGGAATTGCGAGACTACGCGAGATATCTCTCTGACTATCTCTTCGTGTCTCGGCATTTTGCCTCTGTGTGTTATTTATCTTATGGCAGAGGCGTACGCATGCAACCACTCGATGAATATCATCCAATGTTGAATGAAGAATTGATGGATAAAAAAGAGGACCCAATGAAAGTTGGCCAATGCCAAACGGCACTAATCCAAGTATGGTTAGTCTCCATCTGCCGCACCAAACATTGAAGTAGTCAATCGACCCAACTCCACAGCTCAAACATCTCCGAAGAGTTCAAAATTCTCGTTGCAAAAGAAAGATTTTGTTTATATATACTGTATGCATTTATATGCGTCAACCAATGATACAGACATCAGGTATTACATTCGGGGACTCAAGTTCAAGGTGCCTCGGGGTCGGTTACGTGCATGCGGCGTCAACCTCAATCCACCGACATACAGTAAGTAGTTACTGTACGGACTGAGTGTCAGCACCGAAGCGGGTGACGATAAGTGTGATTGGCAGGGGTTCATTCACTGCCCGCTAATAGTTTCAATTTCTTATTATTCGGCTCCGCTCACGCCGATGGAAAGCTCACGGCACACGTCAAAAGGAGAGAGAAAACTGTAGCAAACCATGCCGTGCCGTGTTCGCCGAGGACTGCCCAATGAATTCTGAATCCGAGTTGCCGGAATATGGCGCAGGCATTGAAGCTCAAGCTTTGGTCCTCAAAGTCACAGCCAAGAGCCTTTGCCACGAATCTGAGATTGGTACGGTAAATATCTCCTTGGAGATTCAATACTTGGGGTCTTCAAGGACACGTTATTCCAACGTTCCGGCAGCTTCAAATACGTTCCGTATGCAAAGATGACATAACATCGTCGTTACGCCGCATTTGGTCATTTTATTTCTGCTATTCTTTTTGGAGAGATTGTTCTAAGTTGGACCTCTTTAGCCCGTATTAGACACAGGCGAGATCTCCGGTGAATTAAGATTTCACGGCCGCATGTTGCCAAGCCTGAGTCTTCGTGATCTAGCGGTGAGGATATTTGTCTCATATCATCTGGTATGATTGGTTGCAAACAACTGAGGAATCAAAATGCCGGGGTTCGACTCCCCGCGAGGACATTCTTTTTTGTTATTTTTGATGATGAGCTATTTTCCGTCGGGAGGAGTCTGATCAAAATCGCAACTGTAATTTTCGATGCTCAGTTGACCGCTTCAAAAAAATATATACATGATGGGATCCTCCCAGGGCTCAGAATGTATGTGCAAAGACGTGTAGCCAGCAAAGGCAAATATAATATATATACCCTCAAACCACGCTAGCCTAAGTAAGCCACGACAGGGCGCAAGTCGTAACTCGTGAGTACAGAAATCATCTGTAGATAGTAATCCGGGTTACTGTGCACCCTTTGAATAGAGCCGTACATGCACCCCATTTCGGTGCGTCAGTGTCAAGTCCATCTTCGCATCGGGAACCGGACTACCGCCGTCATTCTCCAGCGTGTCGAAATTCTGCGCTAGACGGATGAGCATATAGCTTGCTTCAATAAGGGCGTATTGTTCTTTATTTTTTTTTTAAACAATTGTCAGTAATAAACAAAAAAAGAATGAAAGAAAAAATAAAAGGGGAAAGCAGTGAGGGGCAACACTCACGACCAAGACATATGCGTGGCCCGCCATTGAATGGAATATATTCCCATATGCGCGAGGTGCTGTTTTCTTCCCATCGCTCAGGTCTGAATTCTTCGGCATCAGGGCCCCAGATATCAGTACGTCTGTGCATGCTGTACAGACTGAAAGGGATTACGGTTCCTTTCTTGACGAAGATGGGTGATTTGCCGTCTGGGCCCCCGCCGCGAGGGAGCGAGGTATCATGAACTGCCATGCGGCTGTTGATGGGCACTGGAGGCATGAGACGTAGGGCTATATTCAGTTTCGGTATTAGTGAATGGCTTTTACCTTTCAATTGAGGTGGGGGGGAGGAAAGGTACCTTCGTTCAGAACATAGCGCAAGTACCGCATATTCTTGATTTTAGCATGTGTAATCTCGCCAGTTGGGTTACCAGCGTCGCCATACTCGTCGATAATCTCACGATGCAGTCGCTGCCACACAGCGGGGGCGTGAGATAGATAGAACAGGACCGAACTCAGCAGACTGGCGGTAGTATCGCGGCCGGCAATCAACAAATTGAGAATATTGTCTCTCAGCACTTTAGGGTCCTGAGTATCGTTGGCAAGGGCCTGCAGGAAAACGTATCGATCGGATTTCTTCTCTTGATTACGTGACTCGAGAGCTAGGCGGACATAGCGATCCGCGATATCGTGTACGTATTTGCATGCAGAGGTGTATTCATCGTTCTGGTCGACGAGGAAGCTCAGACTTTGAGCAGTCACTCGCCGACTTAGCCATTCTAAGGACTTGTCAAATGCGCGACCAAACTGGGCCGCGTCAGTGGTGCCGGACAAATTCTTTGAGTGCGCAAGAGACTCGCCGAATAGGAAATGAGTGGACGAGTCGTTGGTAAAGGAGAAGAACAGGGGCTGGATATCGAATAGTGATTTGTCTCTGGGGATCTTCGTCATGAAGTCTGCGATATGCTCATCCATTAGTTGTAAGTCGGCAACCTGGTACAGCGAGTTAGTTTGCTTCGGGTTCTCAAGTTCGGCGGAAAAGAAGCTATACATACCTGATCCTTGGTGAATTGAGGTCGCAGCAAAGTTCGGGCATGCGACCACAAGTGGCCATCTGCATTGAAAATCCCATCGCCTAGTAACGGCCAAAATGTTTTGGCACGATGGCCCAAGCCAAAGTCGTGGAATTGAGAGGTCAGGATGGCCTTTACATTCTCGGGGTCGATGGTGAACACGATCTCATTGCTGGGGATTCTTTGTTTGAATGTATTGCCATGGACCTTGTAGAGGTTTTCGTGAAGTTGCATTCTCGTCCCTTCTCTAGCTGCTTTGGCAGCTTTGAAAAAGAAGCCCAAGCCAAAGGGGCCTGATCGACCGTAGACGCCTGGTTCGCATCCCAGGGACTTTGCAAGCTGGTAAGATTGTGCGGAGAGGTACAAGGAGCGGACGATGACCAAAATGAGTATGATTGAAAGCGCGGAGAGGACGGGGTGCTCTGTTGGGTCTACCATTTCGTATTCCTCTTTTCCAGACTGCCGTTTGCTATGCTGGATTGACTCTAGACGATGAAATGAAGGGTATTACTAGGCAACGCAACAATCAAATATTTATACGCAAAATTGCAAGCACACTTCAAAACATTGGGTCATTTCCATCAGAATTCTATTTCAAAACCTAGTTCAAGGGTATGGAGTAACACCGCTCGGCTTCACCGACACAGCGCGGCGAACTCCGTGCTTATAATTATATCACAAGAACTTCAGAGTTAAAAACGAAGCGCTGTCTCCGTCTATCTCGGCCCAGCGCCTCATATCGAGTTTAGTTTTCTCGGCTTGTCTTCTACGTTGAGCTCGCGCCTCCGATGAATGGGGCCTTAGCGTTTTGCCAGTCGGATTTCATTCTGACTGATCCGTTTTGCCGCTTATGCAAAATATGCGCTAGATGCATATAAGTGCGGTGATACAGGATCCGCTTCAGACATCACTTCATGTAGGGCGGGCCGACTCGCTGAGATGCAGCTGCATACTTTATATATACGGACTTGCAACGTTCAGGATCTGCGATGAGCCTTTTTGCTGAGATGCCGCTAGGAATGGATTACCATGGATGTAACGTTGACAGCCGGCCGGAGAATACCTAATGTTCGGGATCGCCGAGGTTCATTTTTTTCACGTTTCTTTTTGTATCTCGATTTTTTACTCGGGTCTACAGCTCATGGGGTGTTAAAAAATTTAGTGTCAAAAGTGGATCTAAATGCTAAGACTTTGGATCTACTCAATCTCTACTGCGCTGTAAGCCTTTTAGTATATGCCTTGTATATATTAAGTACAAGTTACTAGACAAATAGATTTGAAATGCTGTATAAGCTAGTATCAAAAATATTATATAAATCGATACTTATATTTCTTTAGAGGGCCAACTAGGCTATGTATTCTGGGGTATTAATTATACTAATTAGGTGAGTTCTGATTATAGGCTGAATCCGGAATACTGGTCATAATCCGCTGTAAGATTCATTGCCAGGTAAAAGTATGTTATATTGCGTCCGAAAAGCCCACAGATCGAGTCAATGCATTATACAGACAATTTTATTCTTATCAATTGGAGTCTAGATTCATCGAGATGCAGAAAAAGCCGCGCAAGAGACGTTTCATACGTCGAAATAAGAGCACTCCGTAGAGATTGGTTCTGCAAGCTCTTCTCCCAAGCATTGCCCTAGCCTTCGCATGTAAGGTGAAGAAGCCGATAATCCATACTCTCTGCCTGCATCAATATGAACCACTTTTTGATTGCTTTGGTTCCTAAACGATATGTGCGGCCGTTGTACGGTCATCCGTTTTTGGCCTGCCTAGCTAGTCCTCCATAGACTTGTTGAAAGTTAGTGTTAGGTAGGGCTCCAGATAGAGTTTTGTGGACCCATTCAATATCATTTGAATGATGCAGTACGTCACTAACTTCGCTAGTTCTGTTACTCCACTCCAGCTGTTGGAGTACTTTGTGTTGTGTCCTAAACAAAACCTCTCTAGTGATCATTAGACTGGGAATTCTATTCGTTTTTAAACCATCCTACAACTCATTCTTTTTAAGAAGGCGTGAACCTATTGAAAAGCAACTTAAGAAGGAAAAAGGAGAACCATCAATCTTGTTGGCGGCAAAAAATCTCTAGGGACACCCATGTTCCGAACCCCCTTTACCCCCATTGTGAAGTCCTGTCAGATGTTTTGAAGATAATTCTCCAATTTACTTCAGTTGTGACTCAATCCATTGTTCAATCCATCGCGCCATTACGGTTTCGTTAATTGCTGGTGCAGATCTCAGATTTCTGCTGGCTTGTTCTGCTCTGGTATATTCCCACTTCCTTGTGACATGTCCTTCACCATTGGCTCCAAACTGTGCATCGAAGAAAGCAATAAGTTTTAAAGCTGGATTTTCCCGAATCGCAGAAATAGTGGCCTCATCAGGAACATCCTTGTTGCTAGATAGAAGTGTTGAGGCACTGTTTCGCAAATGCAAAATCCACTCTGCTGGAGAGACGACTTGAATAGACCTATGTGCTGAATTCTGCAAAGATGCGGTAATAGATGGCAACAATGCTTTCCATGTCGTTTGATGAGGATTCAATATATGAAACACATTGACACTGTGGTTGGGATCTGTAAAATCCCCCAGACTTAGTTCAGCAATTGCATCGGCGGCAACGTCAATAGGGACCCAGTCAATGATATCTTCGCTCTCAATTTCATTTCCACTCAAAGACTCTGGAAGTACACCTAGAACCTTTGAGCCCAGTATCAAAGCGGGAATCCAGTCAGCAGAGTTCCATCGACCGTTGCTTCTAAATGCACCGGCAATTATGCCCAGGCGTAAGATTTTTACTTCAAGGTTATGCTTGGAAGCTGCGTGGGCTAGAAGACGTTCGGCGATGTACTTGCTTTCTGAGTAGCCAACCGAAGGGGGTGCACTCATATCCGTAGTAATAGATTCAGTGATGTATGATTGCTCGAGATTCATAACGGAGGAAATTGATGAGATGAAAACGAATCGTGCTTTGAGTGCAGAGTGTCCACACAATGAACTTAAATTCACTATCCCTGAAAGCTGGGAATCAAATGTTTGGAAGGGAGCATTAAAGTTGACCATCTAAGCATTATGGATAACAAGCGTGATGCGTTCAGCGATAGTGTTGTAGACGTCTTTGGGAAGGCCCAGCGATGTTGAAGCAGAAAGATCCGCCGATAAGAATGTGACTTTATCTTTTGAGAAATCAATAGGAAGGCTCGAGTCCAGAAACTTATTCCGCTCCTTCTGTAAAGTGGACGAGTCCGCAGACCTATTCAGACAATAGATGTGGGAAACACGATCTTCTTGTAGCAGAGCTTTTAGAATGTAAGAACCGATCGATCCAGTTGATCCAGTCAGGAGAACTACCTGCTTATTCATTTCATAAGCAGTAGTAGGGGCCCCAGTGTCGAATTGAAGTTGGTCTATCTTGTCCATGTATTTCTTCAATGTACCAGACATGATGCTGAGCTGTTCGCCTTTTTGATTGCTCTCCGGGTTGGAATCTTCAGTGACCAGCTTTTTCAAATCTAGTGCCAGAGCAGTGACCGTCGGGTAAAGATATATCGTGCTGGGCTGGATTGTACGTATAGAAGTTTCGACCCGAAGGTTACGTACCAGCTTCAAGACCTGAAGTGAGTCCATTCCCCGCTCAAAGAAATTGTCATTAGCTTCGACATCAGTCCACTTAGTTGCTTGGAGAACTGCCCGTTTCGTAACGTTCTCTATAGCTTCCATGGCCTTGATGCCTTGTGAGTGATATGTACCCGGAGCCCACATTTGCTCCACATCTGCATACATCTGGTAGATCTTCGTGGCATACTGCTCGAGAGTTGCGCTGCGTCGTATTGAACCTTTCAGAGTCCTAGGAATTGGGCTGTCTGGCTCTGTAAAACAAATATGCGAAGGTGATATTTGCGCATAAGCAGGGACGATACTGTTCGCTTGTTCAATGATTGGCCATATATCCCGAATGAACCGGGCTTTTTCAACAGTGGTTTGAGGGTATGCAGAATCGCTTGGTTGTATCAAAAGGCCAGCTTCGAATCGTTGATAACCGAACATGAGGGCAGCTGAAATATTCGGATGCCTGCATATACTACTTTCGAAACCAATGGGATTTACCTTTTCGCCATTGAGGAACACTATAATATCGTCTGATCGAGATGCATGAGTCCACACATCTGGCAATTCTGGATGAGGTGTGAACAAGTCTTTCGTGCGGTACACATCCAGATCTGGATATATGGTGAAAACGGTCTGAAATGGCTCACATTCAAGGGAGCGTTCCCATATAAGCTCAAATACGTCTCCAGGCAATGGGTCGAATTTGGCACCGACAGACGGGTTGATTTGGAGGTAATTCCAATCTCTTTCGAAATCATAGTCGTTTCGATACATTGTTGGTATAGGCCCACACTCAGATGAGCCTATCTGGGTCGTTAATTTTATCTTCGACGCAATCACATCTCCGAACACCTTTGGCAGACTTCCACCGGAATAGACCACCATCTTTAATCGTTTTGAAATCCCATTGAGCAGAGTGGCGTTCTTAGATATTTCTTCGAGTGTCAACGGAGCCATCGCTGCCCAATCTGCTTGTCTGTACCGAAGCATCTCCAGAAGCAGCTCCCCATTTGGAGGAACGCCTGGCATAGGTAGTATAACGGTGGTGTTGTTAAAAAAAGCATTCAATACTCCGAAGTAGATTCCTGCATTCTTTGGAGCAAAGTTAGATTGTTCTCCGAAAATCATATTTTGTTATCAACTTACATGCCCCAAAGGAAGAAGCAGGATGTTTCGGTTATTTCCCGTGATATTGCTAAACATCTCATGTCTAGGGGGAGCCTCTAACCCCATGTTCTGGATCATCCGTGACATGTATTCATAAGAAATACGCACCGGCTTGGGGAATCCTATTCAACAATTGATTAAAAACACTGAAAAGAGTATCTTTTCGTTTTCTTACCAGTTGAGCCGGACGTATGGACGGTAAATGCGGTTTCTGTTCGCATATCAGCAAGCTGATTGGTGAAAACGTAGTCTGAATGTTGCTCATGTAGTAGATGACGCAATGGAAGCAATTCCACTACTTCCAATGTTGTCTGTGAAAGCAGTGACTGGACAGGTGCAAAAGTCTGATCTGTCATTAGAAGCACAGAGCAACCGGTATCCTCCAAAAGCTTAAGATTGGCAGCGATACTATTTCTTTCAGATAACAGGAACAACTTAATCAAAGGTGTTAGCAAAGACAGATTATTCATTGACATCCAGAGCGAGTAGTATATGCTCACATTGCAGCCCACTTTCATTGCTGCGATCAGGGCTATGGAGCAGCGCGGGTCGTTGGCAGCAAGGTAAGCTAGAGGCTCTCGGGTATCCCTTCTACCAAGTTGTTTCTCGATTTGATGAGCAACTCCATTCACCGCGTTGGCGAATTGCTTGTATGTCAGCTCCTCATACCCGTCGCTAAGAGTAGTTCTCGACCTGGGATACTCCCCCCAGAGACTGTTGGGCTCATCTCGAGCAAGTTGATCAATGATAGTGGGTAGGAGGCTACGCTTAGCCGCGTCAGTTCTGCTATTAGGCATGACGATGAAGAGGACTCGAAGCGGGTGTTTTGCTTTTGTGGATGAAGGAGGAAAGTATCGGAGTAGTCAAAGAAGGCCTGGTGTTAGGCACGTGATTTCCATGGTCGTACAGCTTACAGTCATGGTTGCACCGCGGTACCATATATATACACCGAAGAAAACAAGAGGCGACGAGTCTCATTCACCGCATACGCTGTGTACCATCAGATGTCCTCAGGAATGGCATTAATGCCGTTGAAGCTCAAGAAGTTGCATGCATTCTTGGAAGGGTTATACATGTGCTTCCCAAGCAGTCAGCTTTCTTCACTCAGCTGGTGCTCCTTCATATATCTCCATATTTATTCCTCCATGAATTTCAAAAACAGCTAACTAATTCATCATTTTTCTGATATGTGATTCCGGGTTTCTACATGTGTAATCATTCAACTATGCGTACGACTCGGGTTTGCAGGTCATGATTAAACACTTATGCTGATACCACTTACGACTGCTATACTGAGAAGTGATATATAGCCCAACCTAGAGACAAAAAGTTATTACCGCAAGTTAGGAGCTACAATGTCAAGCCCAGAAACGGTAGATATCAACAGAGTTCCGGTGGTTGTAGCAATTTTATGGACGGAAACCGCGGTTGCGGTCACCATTGTCTCCATGAGATTCTGTGCAAGGACTATGATCAAAAGGATTAGTTGGGACGACTGGCTTATGCTTGTCACACTGGTGAGTATTGTTCCCATGAGTACGACTAGTAGGGAGGATGTTTATTTACATTGTATAATGATTGATAGGGATTACTCATTATCTGTGCAGCTCTAACTACAGCCCAGTCCAATGTGGGCGGGTATCGACATGTACAGTTCCTCTCCCAAGATGAAATTATTGATGCTCTTGAGGTCAATTTTTTCCTTCGAGCCGCCAATATCTTGTCTTTCGCGACAGGGAAGGCTGCTGTGGGTAGTCTCATCCTCCGCCTGATGGGCCGCTTCAATCAGTGGCAGAGATGGGTGGTATGGGTGGTCATTGTCCTGACAGCACTTACCAATATACTAAACTGCATATTCAATTTTGTCCAATGCCGCCCAACCAAGGCGAACTGGAATCCAGAGGTGCCGCATAGCTGCTGGCCCCCGCGGGCACAGCTGGATTTTGCATATTTCATGTCAAGTGTGTCCAATAATTTTATTTGTCCATACATGCATGTTTCTTTCTTCTCGATTTCGTTTGCTGATTTTGGTGAATTTACGCTCATGACCATAGGTGAAAACATCATGGCTGATGTGATTCTGGCAATACTCCCTGCAACTATCTTTTGGAATCTCAACTTCAGCACCAATAGAAGAATTTATTTATCCGTTGTGCTAAGCCTCGGCTCGATGTAAGCTGGCGGTTGTTCTTTAGCTGCTTTCTCTCCCAGAATAACTCATTCTCATGCTAAATTTAGGGCTGCTATTTGTGGTATTGTCAAGACAACAGAGCTCGATTCTATTGGTGACGATGACTTCACATGTAAGTGCCTTGCTTCCATGATGATTGCCCTATTTACCTGTTGATTTTTTCTGACTCCTGTGTTGAACGAACAAGGGAGCGAATACGGTCTAACACTATGGAGCATATCAGAAACTTTTGTCATTATATTCACCGGCTGTTTACCAACATTGAAACCCCTCTGGGATTGTGTCTCGTCCAAACAGCCCTCGAACGCAAGTTCGGGTACTGACCCTTCGCGGCACTTGCGCGATGCTTATTTTGCTCAGCAGCAAGGTTATCAGATGTTTTCCATAACATCTCCAACGAAAGGTCGCTCCATTTTCCGCGATAATATACACAGTGATAGTTCTCAAAGGGAAATCAGGGCGACAACTCAGATTAATGTTAGCTCCCAGTCCGTATAACGGGAGCTTTTATTGTCATGAAGTTCAAGAACAATCCGTGGAAAGTCTGTCACGCGTTTTGCTAGAGGATAGACTGTCAAGGTAATCGTTGGCAAGCTGGTGTAGATGCTAGCTGTATCATGGCCGTGGGGGAATGGATACCACAGGATCATCAGTGTCAATATAAAATACTGTATCACAGCAAAGAGGTAGGCCCGCGTAGTGGAGACAGCACCGCGAGCAATAGGTCTAGACTGGGTACGTGTGCCGCCTTGCGATCGAATTCCTGGTCCAGATTATCGTTGACCGTGCAGACCGCGCCGCGATGAACTACCACCAAGAATCCCTCCAAATAGAGATCTCCCATGCCGCACGCGTAGTTCGCCATATCGTGATCGTGATCTTTGCCTTGGTCAGCTCGTCTGGCGATAGCCAAGAGCCGATTTCCTTTGATCCAACCGACACGCGGCCAATGGCGTAAGTAAGTAAACGATCCATTCTGTCTCCCAGGTCCGTTGACTGTCGAGATGCCCCTGTTTAATCTGGCATCATGGAACAACACTCCTACTGCATTTGTTGCTTGGTGGAGTGTGGTCTCCGTTAGATCTTCGAAACACAGTGGAATTTGCCCGATTTTCTCTGCAATATCGGACGTCTCAGAGGCTCGATATGCCTCAGGGAGAAAGCGCCATCCTACAGGCTCTGAATGTTCTGTGTCGGGATTGCTCTTCTTCCTGGATTTCTGACTTTGATATACGGAATTTGAATAAGTCTCTCGCCGCGTCCCTCGACTCCAGGATGTGGTTCCACGCGCGTATCGGGCGTCTAGTGTGCGCTCGTCATAGAAGGGTACTGAGCCATCACCTTCGCCGACCACTTTTACCATCTCGATCACCCTTGACGGCTGGTCGAAGGATCGTCCGCTTTCCATCAACGCGTTAAACACGTGGTTCGCTGATAATTCTCGATACAGCATCTCTTCCACCAGCTTAGCGGTTTTCTTGTTTGTCCAGTCGCTGCATCGCCTAGGAACTGCGCTAGAGGCAATGTCCATATTGTCTAACATGTCGTCGAGTGCCAAATGCTCGATCTTACGTATGGGGAATAAAAGGTACGTAGTATTCGAGGCACAAACGTATCCATGCGTATACACCAAGACTACTCATACTTAAGGAGATCCGTGGCACTGATAGTATCTGCTTCCTCTAACGCATCCACCACATCCACGCCATCGTCGTTAGTTCTCAACACAATTAAATTCTCCGTTTGCGCCACATGTCGTAACTTACTCTTCCATATTCATCACTACTCTCAAACAGAAGCCACAAACTACATGTCATGGCTCGCCACAGTTGATACGACGCATTACATTCAGGCTTCTAATCATATAGTCAACAATATTATGGATTTGTCAACGGAATATTACCCAGTAAGCCACGAAAAAGGGACCGCTTAATGAGGCTCTGGTAATGCTCATTTTATGTGTGGATAATGCCATATATTCCGATGTCAGGATTACAGTATGGGATATCGACAAACAAGAATATGAGATACTCTTGCATTGCTATATCCAATCCAAAGGCAGTGGGCAGTCACTCAGCCTCCCTCTAGTACGAAAGAATCGCGACGCACCTCTAGCGGAGAGGATTTCGCAGAAGGTCTGTACAAGAAGCAACTTGGACTGAACAAAACTGATCGACGTATGTAATATTGGTTGAGGACAGCGATCAAGAGGTGAACGAAACCGAAGCAAAACGGCACCAAATTATCCTCCGCAGTTGATCCATTTGAGAGCTCGCAAGTCGTGTCACTATTGTTTCCAGCCGGCACGAGAAGATATTGATATGCAAAGGGGAGATGGGAGGATCGATCATTCTACCTTATACGTAATCTTTATCATGCATATTTAGCTACCATGAACTTTAGCAACCGGCCGGAGAATGATGTTCTTCTCTTTCCTTCCTTTTACGTTTCGCGCCGAGGTTAAAATGGATTCAACGGATCTAAAATCTTCTCGCTTTCCGGTGTTTTTATTCACTTGTCCTCCATATTCATAAGCCTACATGTTCAAATACATTGTATGGATTGAACGATGAAGATCTGCTCCTAGATGCAAACAGAAAATGAAATTCAGATGTTGTTGCGTAAGAGGAAGCCATCATGCTGCAGCTCTTGGAAGACGCCCTCAGGGTCATACTTGGCCGCAGCCTCCTGCATTCTTTTGACGTTGTCGGTGCCGTAACTGCGTAGCACCTTTTGGGAGCCCGTAGCAAAGGACATGCACAAGTAGTCAAGCAGCAATCCTTTTGTTTTGGCCAATGACTGCACGCTCTCAACCATGGTGTCTACTGCCTTCTGTGCAGCGGCATCGTCGCTGTCATCCTTCGGCCATTCGCAAGTAAACACCCACCCTAAGTTTAAATCTGCATTAGTTTCGATATCTTATCTACCAGGTTTGATACAATTGGCGCCATTGCGAGACACTCACAGCACTGCGGAACGCTCTCCAGTCCCATGACGTTGTCCCCACGATCTCTTCCTACTTGTACACCAGCACTACCTACTGGCTGTATCGTATAATGCAGAACGCTACCGGCTGGAAGGTACTTGCACGTCTCCATCCAGAGACTGTAGACCTCTTCGTAGAGTTCCTGGGAAACCTTAGTCGTTACTGTACCGATGGTGCGCCTGTTGCATCGCATTAGTGACTAGGTGGCTAAGCAAAAGCATGTATAAACTTGCGCACTCACTTCTTTGCCTCTTGTGCATGACCCATAGCCTGAGCTAGCGACAACAAAGTGCCATTCGTGGAAGGAACCGCATTCACCATGAGACTCTTGAGGTTATCGAAAGGTGCGAAAGGTGAAGGCCCCTCGGCAGGGGTGTCTCCATAGATCAAGCCCACGGCGACAAAGCCGTTGTTGAAGTTGGTGAAGAGACCGATCTTGGGGTCTTTCTCCATGGCTTCCTGAACGGCTATTGTGGCCTTGATGATTTCGACGTAGTCTTCCGGGTTGTAGAGGTTGATTGTGTATTGCACGTTGATCAGAGGGTAGGTTTCAAGATCGAACCTCGTCACAATGCCTATTTACTTATCAGTGGTATCCTCGAAGCTAAATAAAACATGTCTATTAGGCACATACCAAAGTTAGAGCCACCACCCTTCAGAGCGCGGTAGAGCTCGGCATTTTCGTTTGCGTTCGCGTTAACAAGTTTACCATCCGCCAATAAAATCTAGAGGTATTGTCCGTGAGAATAAGTTGTTGACCATCCAAAGAAAAAGCAGCAACATTTACCTCCAAGTTTTTGACGCCATCTGCTCCAGTTCCATAGAGATTGGGTAAAGCCCCCATACCACCTTCGGACATGCATTAAATCCCGAGCCCAGAAAATACGACATAAGGAATCATTGAGAAATACCTCCAAGGAGGAAGCCTCCTAGCCCAACTTGCTGATCTCGGCCTCCAATGGCGGACCGCTTGTGCTCCTCAAGCCAGGCATACACTTCGCCCCAGGTATTTCCTGAGCCAACTCGGGCGATTCCATCCGAGGTCAGCTCCTTAGACTGGAGTTGACGGATGTCGAGGACAATGGCAGTCTGGTCTGCGCTACTGAATCCAGCGTTGGGATTGTGGCCAGTGGTGCGAATGACGAACTTGGATCCGGTCCTTTTGACAATAGCGAGAGCCTCGCCGAGCTCTTGAGTGTTGCTCAGAAAAACATAGGCAGCCGCAGGCGTCCAACATGTTTGGGACCAGGGGCGTGCCAGTGCTGTCTCGTACTCAGACGCAGCATCTGGAGTCACTACCTTCGATGGGAAGGCAGACTTGAGTTGCTCAAATGCGGTTGTACTGATAGTCATTATGAGCGTCAAGAATTTCTTTCAACTTTATATATGGCGGCAAAGCGTTCAAGGTAACTACTTGGGTTTGTTTGAGTCAAACTCAATAAATTCCTTTTCACGGACGAAGGTGTGAAATGGCTGCTGGGAAGCCTTTTCTTGACTTTAGTTTACAAAAAGACCCTCCCATATGTTCCCAAATTCACCAACACATCTCTACACAATCAGCGGATTATGCAATGCTTGTTCTTGGGCGTGACAGCCCAAGCCCTTTAAGAGAGTCAAACACCAACGGAACTTCTGAGCTGAGAATCTTTACAACCAAGCGTTCAAGTAGTAGCCTCGCAGCCAATAATGCGACAGCTGAGCCTGTTGCGTACCCACGTTGATAAGCCCTAAGATCATTAGTGCTTAGCAGCTGAAGCTCCTTGAGCGACATTTAATCTTATTCTCAGTTCGTGCTGTGTATGAATCAAAGTTATTTCAGCATCGAAACTACGATAACAGGTCTTAGGATTCCAGACCAAATTCCAGATTCTCATATAAGATAAACGTGGTGGTGGTAGTTGTAGCTGAGATTAGGCTTCGATTAGGGTTAGCCCCGCATGAACCCCGCAGAGCTGAGCGGCATTTATGGAGAGGGACGTTTACAAGCAACTTGACCACAATGATACAAAAATCAAGACGAAATGTCTAGCTACGACCAACACAATATCGAAGACACTAACATTTGGCTCATCGGCTCCGATATTGACCACAAAGTCAAATACAACTCTGCCGCCACAGAACCCGCCTGGAACAATGGCGACATCGGCACTCATCCGGGTCTGAAGGTGTGGCGCATTGAAAACTTCCACGTTGTATCCTGGCCCAAGTCTTTGTATGGTCAGTTCTACGACGGAGATAGCTTCATAGTTCTCCACTCGTACATCATCCCAACGAAGGACCATGAATTGGGGTCGTCGCAGCAGAAATTAGGACACGATATCTTCTTCTGGCTAGGATCCAAGACGACTCAGGATGAGGCTGGGACAGCCGCGTACAAGACCGTAGAACTCGATGAGTTCCTGCATGGAGTGGCCACTCAGCATCGAGAAACCCAGCTACATCCGTCGGAAGAGTTTCTGAGCCTCTTTCCGAGACTGTCGATCAGGACGGGAGGCGTGCGCTCTGGATTCCATCATGTGGACACACAGCAACACCCAGCAAATATCACAACGTTGCTTCGCGTCTTCAAGCATCCTTCCCCAACACTGGCAGAGCATGGCCATTCGATTGTTGTCCATGAGGTAGAGCCAATTTGGCAAAGTCTGGATGATGCTGATGTGTTCGTTCTTGAAAAAGATGGAAAGATCTGGGTATGGCAGGGCAAGGATTGCAGTCCCATGGAAAAGGCTAAAGCGGCACAAGTGGTCAATGACTTGACGCTTGCTAAGCATATGGATGTCGAAGTGCTGTCGCAGACTGAAGCTAGATCTAGGGTTGTTGTTGATTTGCTAGGTGGGAGAGGTATTGACCAATTCTCCTTCCATAGCAGCCGCCCAATTCATGCTGTGACACATCACACTAGCGACGACAGGACAACCCCTCGACCGCGGAGGTTGCTTCGAGTTCTTAATGACGGACTTGGAGACCAAGTTCGGTTTGAGCTGGATAAAGAGGGTGACACGATCCAGATATCCGACCTGGATAGCAATGACATTTTCATCTTTGACACTGGCAAGAAAATATGGGTCTGGGAAGGATTGCAGGCTGCTCGTGCAAAAAGGGATGCGTGGAAATTCAGCACGGGGTCGTATCTTCGCTATCTGCAGCAGCACTCGCGGACTCCAGAGATCATTGCTACTACGCCGATTGCAAAAGTTGTTGAAGGAAATGAGAATGCGGCATTTTTTAAGGCTATTTCTCTGTATTAAATTTATATCCTGGCTATGAACGAGAATATCTTAGAATGAACAGCGTAGGATTTTGTCGAAAGTGCTATAGTAGTACATACTACCTAGATATAATGCTCTATTCTTAAGAACAGTATGTGGCATATTTTGGACGGCATATATTAGATGGCAATTCCACTGGGGTTGCTTTTTTTCTCTCGCAGTCCTAAAACAAGTCCTCATCAATGTAAGCGTTAATAAACTCATGGCCACATATTATTTAGCATGGAACATGGAAAATGATGTCTTCGTAGGTAAGTATATACAAAAAGGAATATGGTTATAGGACCTCGGAGAATTCATGAGTATTCTTCTTCTACACTGTTATATAGTAAAGGTTAATGCAGAACTCCATTTATCACTATTTCCAGGTTCAATACATTGACCACTAGTGCGCCAAGGTAATCATGCCATACTAATGGTTATTCCACATCAGATAGGAGGCGGAAGACATGGCTATAATCCGACAGATATCCCTCCTGATGCTCCCTTACAACCAACAGATTTGCCTTATAATCCCCTGTCTTGCACACGGGATTCACCAAAAACGGCGATTTGGAGTGCCCCCATTGATATTCACGCCCATCGTTCATCACCATCTTATGCAGGATCATTTCATGCAGAAAGCGTTTGCTGCTGTTGACGCGCCGAAGGGAAAATGCAGGATATTCCCCGGAAGCGAAAGGCAGCGAGACCACCACAACTTTAGTTGAGACATCATCAAGTATTATATCAACAACCATTTGGTCCTCAGGGCTCCACTGATCCTTAAACCATTGGACCAACCGGCCTGTATAGTGTTCTACTCCAGCCCAGCGATCTAGACCATAACCCTGTCGATTCTGGCATTCTGCTAGGACGGCCATGACGTCACCCATGAGGAGAGAGCCTGTCATGGATGCAATAAGATAGTACCTAGCCTATTAGATTGATAGCTTATAGTAAAGATTGAGACCTCTCTCTTACAATGTTTCGTCATGAGAATAGTCGCCGTAGCATTCGATTAGCATATTCTGACAGGGAGGCTGGGTGGCCTGCATTGTTGCCCATGATCCAGGTATGTCGTAGATGCGTTCCGTTAAATTGAACTCACCCCAGCCTTCTGTGGATATTGAGACGCCTATTCGGTTGAAACAAGGGTTCAATCTCCACGCTTGCCGACTAGACACTGGCCGTGTTTGTGTATCCCTGGTACCGCATGGTTCGTACCAGCAGGCAACTTGGATTGCATGGGATGTTTGGATAATACCTCTCCAGGTGCGGCACACGCGCTGGGCTCGGATCAGGTCTATAGGACTCTCGAGTTGTAGGAATATAAGTTCGGCCAGCTCATAGATGCCAAACGTTTGCTCGGCGAATGGTCGCATTTCCCAGTACTTCCGTATGAAGTATCAAGTACGCACAAATGCTGCTTTTTCAAGCCAATGATCCCAAAAGATGTAGATTGTAGTTAAGCGGAGTAAGCCTTTGTGGCTTTTTGCGGTCGCTTAGTCTTCAGAGATATATCGTTACGCTGCCAAACAAATATATGTTGTCTCCGTGTCTTTCCATCGGCCATTTGTGATAACAAATTCGGTCTTCTCTATCACATCATAAGCCATCTTTGTAGTGGACGATGCAAGTATTTATAAGAAACAATGTATACTAATTTAAGAGACTGCGGGACTGCGAGGAAGTACAGATCTCGCTCCGTTGGGGGTTATCGGCGGTATTGTTTACTTCTACCTCGGTATGTCTTGATAATCGATCTTACCTAACGTATTTCCCGGGTAATGTCAGAGAATCAGAACGTCACAGCCAATAGATAAGGAACGCTAATACGTGGGAACAAAGGATTATCTGAGGACGTCACGCACAGGCCGCTCGACCAGCTAGTCATAGTGCTTTCCGTAGGGGGGTTGAGAATATGATTGGTTATACAAACTCTAGTGGCTTCTCAGTGCTCTTGGCCTAAGGCAGCGACCTCACAGACGACTTACTTGAATCAGAATCAGGGAACCTGTGTCTGTCAACTGGTATAGGTCAGATACAGACCAAATGGAGTTGACATGGACCCGGACTAGCTCAATTGGCAGAGCGTGCAATTGATAAGTTAATTGTTAGGTCGCAAGTTCGATTCTTGCGTCTGGGCGGCACCAATAGCGACGTTTTTTCCCCCCAATGTTTGTGCACCTGACTAGCCCAATTGACAGAGCGAAAAGCGTTTAACTACCACCGGTCAGTTTTGAGTCAGCCTCATTTTTAGAGCCTCATTTTTAGATTGTCTGTCTAGTCTACCAAATATCACGTCGCCCGGGGATATGTAGACCACCCAATAGATCGTATCGACTCGTTTGAACTACATTTCCATCGGAATATCATTTCCCGGATCGCCGTATCACATCCGTCATCCACCATCTTCTGTTCTTGCACCAAGCCCTGCGCTAGCCATACCCTCAAATACTGTACAAACGGATTCGGGCTGGATTCGTATTCCCGCCCAAATCCAAGCGCACATTGGCGCGCATCCTCCTTTTCCATTTTTTTCATTGCCTGACGGAGTAATACCCTGTCTGCGATGCATGTCGGGGAGCTAGTACATTCCTCAATCAGGTCTAGTACGCTGGAAGTGAATCTCGCGTAACGGGAAGAAGATTCTTTGTACAGATGTGGGAACGGCAGAAGCAAAGTCTGGAGCTGAAGATGAGAAGGCAGAACAGGAGGGCTGCGTTGGGGATTATTGTTCCATTCCTCGGTTCGCAGTCCTCGGACATCTGCGACTATTCGTTCCACTATTGGCAAGGCTTCATCTCTACGCTCAGGAATGGTAACCTCTAGCACTGAAAGTAGGTTTGTGAATTGTCCCAGGGATACTTGGATATGACCGTTCATAAACATGAAGGGATTACGGATGATAATTCCCGCACACGCGACAATTTCCTCCGCGACAGATTCTCGGGTTATGCCATTGACGACCTTTGGGCTTGTTTTGTCGTAAAGGCTACTCGACAGGAGACGGAAATACTTCGTTTTCGCGCTACTGTCGAAAAAACTTCGCCAGTGATAGCCCGCGTTGGTAATTCCCCATGATCGATTTTGCTCTGTTAACTTGTCGTTGATGTTCCGGAGCTTTATACAGTCCAGATATGCTAGAGCCCACGCCCTGTGCTTGAGAAGGAATTCGCAGGGGAGGTACGGAGACCACATATTCATCACTCTAGGTATCAGGTCTGGAACAAAAGGACCAAAGTCTGTGACGGATAGTTCTTCGGCCGTGAGCTCGAGTTGAGAAAGGAATTGACGCATCCAGAGATTGTGTTGTCTGGTTGATTCCTCGAGTAGGGGTATCAGGGTCTTGTGAACATACTGTTCATGATACTTTGCGGGGATTTTGTGGTAGGCTGTTTCGGTAAATAGATTGAGTAGGGGCCGTTCTGAGTCAACCCTTGGAAGCTTGGCCTGTTCCGATTGCAACCAAGATTTGGACCCGTTGATTTCGCTTGGCCCGGCTGCGTAGGATGCCAGCGATGTGAATATTTCGTAGGCCTGGTCAGCGTCGTCGTACTCTTCAAGGATATCAAGTAAAGCCGAGCATACTGTCGCTCGCACATCGATATGACTGCAGGCCTCAAATAAATCCTTCAGTGCGCAAACGGCGAAAGAAGGAGACACGCCGAATTTGTTTTCTGCCAGCATAGTGCCCAGCATTTTCACCGTCGTGATCTTAATACCTGTCTTTTCGGTATTTATCAAGCCAGACTTTGTACTTCTGACTTCCTTCTGCTTCCGTAGAGCGGTAAGGACATAAGCAGTGAACTCGTGCATAACCCGCTCTGCGGTTTCGCGGCTGAGGGCTTTCGCGAGTGACGAAGGAAACGCCATGCGGTGCCATGAGGATGCGTTGGGAAATAGCTCCAGTGCTTTCATTCCCAGTATCGCAGCCAGCTCTGGCTTATCAGACTGTCGCACTAAGGTCATTGTTTCAAAAGCACATCGCTGAACCAGTGCATATTTCGGCGAAGCGCTTTCAAGCTCGTTGAGAGTTTCCAGGAGGGACAGAGAAAGTCTATATAAGAGACTAGATGGTACGACTCTCACCAAGCCACGCAGTAAAGCAATCGCAGCTGTTGTCGCTTGCCCCTGGTCATCAATGGAGGACAGAAACTCGTAGTCGAGATGCACTGACGGATACCGAAGAACATCTGTATCTTCGGGGAATGCCCCAGATAGAAGGCGTTCCGAATTGTGGGCGAGACTGTTAAGAAACAAGAGGGCAGAAGCAATGAGAGCTTCTCTGTGCTGGCATGAAAGTCTTAACGGACCATATTTGGGCCGCCATATATCAAATGCTTTGGACTTGGCAGGCAATTTCCATGCGTTCGGATGGGAGAACAAAAGGGCCAAGGCTTCTAAAGACCCTTTCTGCTTGGTGGCAAAGAACCGGTGCTGCAAGAGCGTCTCTTCCCAACGCTCTCGTGACGAGTCGTGTGTGTTCTCTAAGCGAGGCTCCCATCCAAAGCAGGGGGAGTCGCGTGACATACGCTGGAATATATCCAGCGAAGGCAATTGAGGAGGTTCGATCATTCTCGCAGCTTTATGCAAGCTTCTGGATCGCAGAAGGCGACACAGGTATTCTCGAAAGCTCTCTGTATGCCCTGCAGAAGACGGAATTTTCTCCGAGTAGTGCCTCCATATTTCTAGTATTCTTGCTCCTTGTTCTTCTATCGGCCCATTGCCGATGTAGATACTGATAGCAAATTCTAGACTGTCCACGAAGGGTCCCAAGCGATAATCCTCTTGGCTTATCTTCTGGAGGACTGTACCAACATCACAAAATACAAGTTCCGTGACTCTCTTCGTGACAAAGCTGCCAACTTCTTGGGACTTAATCACTTCCATTGTCCATTCCTTCGAAGGAAACAGATATTGAAGCGGCAAACCTCGCGGCAAACCTTCAGACAAATTTGCAGTTTGAGGGTTCCGTAGAAGGCGCTGCTGGGCCCAAAGACGATCTCGCTGCTGTGCTAGCGAGTCCATGAGCTTCAACACCCCAATATTTGGCTTCTGTGGGCATCCAATATTTTCTAGCGGGCCGGACAAACATCCCCAACCAAGGGATTCATATCCTTCTGTAATGCCCACACTTTCATATTGCAACATTATTGGCACCACATTATCTAACAGAGTGCCCACTATCTCATTTTCGCTTCCTAGACCACGGCGACACAAGCCCTTTACCGCATTTATTCGGCTACAAACGACAAGTTGAAGCAAAGAGCCAAATTCGCGATCTTGACAGCTTTTGTACCAGGGCTCCTGCAGAGCTAGAAGGGCTTGTTCCATAAGATACTTTATCACGGAGTCCGCAATACCGACATCAGCCGCAAGGTCCTCTAGGGTTGGCGACACCACACAGGACAAGACGGATGCGGTATCCGCCTGGTATATTCTTCCCACAAGTAAAGGTCTCACGAACTGGAAATACATATCATATAAGCAATGAACAAATATCTGAAGAAATGGAGAATGAGTTTACCGGATCCCGCAAGAAGCGCGATGTCCAATAGATGGCGTCTTTCAGGGTTCGAACGTTTTTGCTTAATTTTGCGATGCTGATTGTAAGGTCTGCCCAGTCTAGTCGATCTTTAGGATCACGGGCTTTTACTGCCTTGAGTTTGAAGTCTTCAATCACTGCAGGGGCCGCAAATTAGTATTATTCCCGACAATTAAAATAAACCAAACTTACATTGATATGTCACTGAATCACGGGCATTCGCCTCTTCTTTGCTCGTAGACTCTAAATGTACTCGGACAATGTTCTCCAGAAACGAAGGAAAGTGTCCTCCACTGACTGGCCACCGAAGTCCCATAGATGTGGTCAAGCTTTTCGTTGACGACAGTCGTAGCGCGCGCTCAAATAGCCACCTTGCATCCTGTCCGGGAAGAGACATAAGGAATGATGAATTCCATGGTAAAAGCTGTTCCTCATTTTTTGACGGCGTTGGCTGGTTTAAGTCAATGTCAAGGCCTCGCAGGTGCTTGCATATGATCTTGAGCAAGGAAAGCCTTGCCTGCGCAACGGTTTTGGGAAGGATAACACCGACACAAGGGCCGAGTTTGGTCTTTGGAATTGTCCTGAAAGCCGTTCGCAGAAGTGCCTCCAAGGAGTTTTTGTAAGCCTTTGAAGGCCTGGATGGATGCAGTTCCTCCCGGCGACGTGCAGCAGGTGCATCAGAAACCGACTCTAAATGCGCGTCGGGGAAAGCTGCGATGACCCAGAATTCTACCAAAGCGTGCATAAGGTGTTCCCAATCATGCAGGGTTCGCTCCGAATGTCCCAAGTCTGGTAACACCTGCTCAAGAAATGCGAGAATCTTGTCGAAAGGCACTTTTGAGCGCCGGGCTATTGTAAGGGTCATGTCAATGCAACGAACCCGGGTGCCCCAATGAACGTCATCCGCCTCTGCTGACTCACCACAAGCGTGGTCACAAAGATCTAAGGTGAATTGTATAGCTGGTATACTAGCCTGCCCAGCTTGATAAACTTTGGATTCGTAAGGTTCACGCGATGTAAGCATCGCGGGAGATGTATATCGAGCAAACGCCTCCGCAGCGGAGGGTAGACTGGGACTGACCCGACGGCGAATTTTCTTAAAAGCGGCAGGTGAGAATTGAGCAATTGCTGTATCAAAGGGTCAACAAAGTCGTTAGGTCGGTGTTTTGAAAATACTTTGATCAAAATGGCATCACTGGACAGATTGAACAACGGCACTAGGTCGCCGACTCTTAATAGCTGTCGCCTGCCCTCAAGCGGGGCCTGGGAGGACGAGCACCCCAAGAAATTAGGAATCAAGAGTTGAAGAAGCTCATCTACCGCTTGCGACTTGGAAGCATCCCTGGTGTTAGAAGACCACCCGATGGCTCTCGCCAGACTTCTAACCTCTTGTATGCTAAGCTTCTCAAAGAGCTCCTTCATGCCGATCGTACCTCCGACCGCATCCCAGCCTTTCTCCCGCCAATGATCCGTTTTCATGGCACATTTTAAGACGTTTATGCCAGCATGGCGCACACCAGAGGAGTCCTCATCCCCGAGGGCGTCCCGAAGGATGCTGGGAAATCTGGGATGGGCGCGAAAAAGCCATACGGCGAAGATCTTGGGAGTGATCCCTCCGCTATGAACACAATCTAATAAATATCGATTGGTCCCCAACACCTGTGTTTCAGAAACCCCTTCTGCGAGGAGAGAGCGGAAGTAATCCACCGCCTGTTGCGGGCCGAACCAGGGAGTAAACACCGCGGGATCGTTTGCCATTTTCGACGGGGGGTTGGATGAGCTGATGAGGATCCGTGAGGAGCATAGCAAATCCTTCTAGTAGCCTTCGTCATTTATGCTAACTACTTATAACTGTGGGTGAGTCTGAGTCATTGTGGTGCATGCGGGCTCCCACGTTACTTATTAGTCAGGAGCCCCACATGTGAAAATTCAAATCGAAATCATATTGAAGCTATTTTCAGCATCGCGGCTCTCTGTTTCGTGCTTATTGTTCTTCCACGGAGCTCACGGGTCTTTCACATTTTCTCTGCTGGTAGTTTCAGGAATACGTTGAGAATCATTTGAGCTGAGCTAATCTACGGCCAAGTACACGTCACAGGAGACATTCGTGGATGTTACTGCAATGAAAAGAAGAGAAAAGGATCTCAGCAAAAGAGGCCGTATAAAAAAAGATAGCCATTTCTCACTTCCTCGACTTTTTAGGGCAACGAAACAAATAAGCCCTAGCCCTAGCCCTAGCCCTAATCATCCTTGACCGACATTTGTTCTTATCTTATCTTATCGCATAGTTAGTGCTTAGTCAGCTGCGGATGCGTCATAGTTAATCTTTTAGAGCGGATGAAAGAATCGACGGAGAAAAACACTTCATACTTTGTTTATATTTCTATACTATCTGCTTTTTTTCAGTAAATATTAAGACATGCGTCTACCAATTCCACCTGTCTAAGAAATAGAAAGACAACGACATATATACAGCCCAAGGGTGTTCTCTAGAGCGTCCTCGCCGCCAATTTGAACTCGTCTCTTCCGCCTTCCTACAATGAGTCATGAGCTCTCAGTCCTCGAGGATTCTACTACACAAGGCAATTCCAATCGTCCAAATGACACGTTATTCATTATGCTAATATATTTCTTCTTCTCTAGAGACATGACTGGTCCACCTGCCGTAACGTCCAGGCGCAATTACGGCATCGCGCGAGATCCTATCAAAAAGACTCCCAGCAAGCGGCGCGCAAATCAGGCTTGACAGATCCGTTGGTGGAAAATGATTTCAAAAATTCCGCTCGTCATAGAGCCCGTGAGAAATTGGCAGATAAGGTGCGGCGCAAAACATAATTCGGTGCAAAAAAAGAAAAAAAAAGAAAAAAAAGATAGAGCGGGGTAAAGGAAATTGACTTTGTTGACTTTTTGTTCGATCAACGCAGGAATTTTTTCTCAGTCTCCTAAGCTCTGCTGCGACCAAGCGAGAGGCCAAAGCATATCTCTCAAGATTCCCGTCGGTCAAGAAAACAAAGTATCCAATCACGAAGCCAAAACAGAGTGCAATCGAAGCACAGTCCGCAAAGGAGATGATAGATCACAAGCCAGGAGTCAATCTGGGATCTTTTTATGGAGCTACGAGATCGGTGTCGGAAACACCAGTCTTTCGACAGGGGGAGGCGCCCGAGACAAAGACAGCACAGGGGATTACTCTCGATGAGGCATTGCATATTGCGCTGGTCAAGTTGACAAATTCGCAGTCGTTAGACGATGAAACCGTGCATGGAGTTGCTTTGACATTGTCACAACTCACCCGGTTGGGCATGGCATCTTGTGTTGTTGTTGACCCTGGCCCTGTGGAAGACGAGACAACATGGAGAAAGGTAGCGGCCGAGCAAGCTGACCGTCTGTCAGCTGCAATCGATGCCTGCGACGGAGGTAAAGCTCGTCGATTGGATTCTGTGCTGACTAAAAACGACAAGGAGAGACTTCCAAAGGTAATTTCTCGTCAAGTCTTACTACGGCCTTTGCGTAAGAACCACACAGTCATTGTTACCCCCGTGGCCTATTCGGAAGAGACGTGCACGGCATCTCTGGTTTCAGCCAACGATGCCGTGTTAGCTTTAACTCGAGAACTAGCTGGCTTGGAAAGAAAACATGATCCTGATGAGGATCCTCGTGTGACAGCGGAAAAGTTTGCTGTTCTTCAGAAGGAGGTGGCCGTGGACCGACTAATTGTCCTGGATCCTATAGGTGGTATTCCAGCGTTTGAAGGTCCGCAAAGGTCTCATGTTTTCATCAACATGGAGCAAGAATTTGAGGATATTGAGAATGAGCTTTTGGGAGCCACAAGGGCGATAAGCAACGAAGTTCCCCCAAGGGTTGAGCCGAGCTCTGTTGTTGCCGCGGTGAACAACAGCAATCCAATATCGAGCATTGTTGCGTCCGAAATTGCTCCGATAGCCTCTGGATACCAGCAACAACGAGATGGCCAAATTGAATCCAACGGCCCTCTGCAAGGGCATCTCGATAATCTGCGCCTGCTACAAAAAGCACTTGCTGTACTTCCGCCACTATCTTCAGGTATTATCACGACGCCCAAAGACGTAGCGAATTCGGCGCGCCCCCAACAGCAGGGCTTCCTTTCCGTTTCTCAGGTAGGAACTAGGCGTCAGAAGAACACCCTGATTCACAACCTCTTGACCGACAAACCGGTCTACTCATCCTCACTTCCATCTGCGCGACTAGGGCCTAGTCAAACATTCAACGGGCAGACATTTCCCGCCGTGGTGCAGTCTACTTTTGTAAAACGCGGAATGCCATTGACCATTCTTCCTGACCCTCGTATTGCCCCATGGTCTCCAGAGAATAGCCGCGGCCCGCAGCGTTTGACTCTGGATGATCCTCGGATTGATCTCCCGCGCTTGGTATACCTTATTGAAGATTCCTTCAACCGAAAACTAGATGTCCAGGACTACCTCGATCGGATCCATGGCAGAATCGCAGGACTCATCATTGCAGGCGAATACGAGGGCGGCGCAATCCTCACCTGGGAAGCACCGCCAGACATCCCGGAAAGCGAACTTGACAAGCCCGAAAATATAAAGCGTCTAGTTCCATATCTTGATAAATTTGCCGTTCTCAAGCGCAGCCAGGGGGCAGGGGGCGTCGCTGATGTAGTGTTTAATGCTATGGTTCGCTCGTGTCTGCCGCAGGGGGTGTGTTGGCGCAGCCGAATGGACAATCCGGTGAATAAGTGGTACTTTGAGCGGTCGAGGGGCACGTGGAAATTGAATGGGAGTAACTGGGCGATGTTCTGGACAACACCCGGTGTGCCGGAAGAGGATCCATTGAAGTTCAGGGATTACGAGGCTGTGTGTAGGAGTATTCAACCAAGTTGGGCGGATAAGAAGAGCGTTGTTGATTAGAAGGCTATATGTATATATATATAGCTATGTATTCATATAAATAGTCAAAGATATTTGTCTATGGACCGTGTTTACTCGTCATTCTCAAACTTCAATCCAGAAGCTTTCCGAATCGCACCATACATTCCGGCGATATCCCCCCTCTCCCCGGAGTGCTCCTTCACATCCCTCAGGTACTCGTCAACCACCTCCAACGACTTCATCTGCATGCCGCTTTGCTTCGCGATATCAGTGACATGCCTCAAATCCTTCCTCGCAAGGTCAACTGGGAAAAGCGGGTATTCGCGCTTGTAATAGTCGCCCGTCTGCATACGCTCAACATATTTGGGCAGCGGACCGGGGAACATGAGTTCCATCCACTGCTTCAAGGGATCAATGCCCACGCCGGCCTTTTCGGCCAGCGTGAGGCCCTCGCCTAGCTGTTCGACGAAGCTGAGGATAAAACTGTTTCCGATGAGTTTGAATGTTGACGCTTTACCGATGTCCTGGGTGGCATTGACGTCGTCGTCGTATGTGAGATCGATATTGGCGCGTGCCATGACGCCGATTGTGTAGGGCAGGATTTTGGTGACGTCGTTCTTGTGGCCTGCTAGTACGCAGATGAGCAGACCAGCTTCGGCCATGGCGGGCACGCCGAAGACGGGACAGGAGACGAAGCTGGCGCCGCGAGCGCGTATTTGGGTGTTTAGTTTGCGGGTGGTGTCCGGGTGGATGGTGGACATGTCGACGAGGAGTTTGCCCTTGATGTCTGGCACGCTGCTGAGCGCGGTGTCGACGATGTTCTCAACGGCGGCATCGTCACCCACGCATATGAAGATGATGTCGGATGCGCTGACGGCGTCGGCGATGGATGATACTGCCTTGGCCTTGGAGGGGCCGCCGATGGATTCCGCGTGAGCTGCAGCTTTGGATTGCGTGCGGTTGTATAGGAGAATTGGCGAGCTGAGTGCGGCTTTCTGGGCGAGGTTTTTGGTCATCCCCTGACGTAGTTAGGAGATTGCTAAGGCAGTTGGTAGGCGATTAATAGCATAACTTACCTTGCCCATATTGCCCAGTCCGATGTAAGCCAATTGAGGAGCCATCTTGCTGATACTAGATGTATACGCTTGTGTTAGTCGGGACGAGGTGTTGCGCAACTATACAACTAGCTAGGTATATATACAACTCGCTCAATGCATCCGGATATAGATAGAATGCCCCTCAACTCACGTCCCCACACTTTCGGCGGCCACTGCGGATGCCGCAATAGCCGTCGCATCTGGCGGACAGTGGCACAACCTGGCCTGGATCTGTTCAAAGTCCGCTGTAACGAGTGACTTTTGCAATGATCTAATCCCAAGAAGTTGTGACTGTTAACGAAGTCATCTTTACAGTGTCAACCTTGATTCTTCCGTACCCACCCGCCGAATCTGAACTGCAAGCAAATCCGATAGACAAGCCCTGGAGGAGTCTAGTAATTGATGAATGTAGAACGACTATCTAGATAGCTATCGACAGAAACATCGGTTCGATCCCATTGAATCGGAATTTTTTCTGGTGTCTCTATGGCTGCTGCCACAACTTAACCCTAATCCGTCTGGAAGTGACCAAGAGGCGTTTCGGCATGGACGGTTTCATTTCCTCTCGTACTACAACAAGAACGAAGTTTGATTGTGGCGGCCTAAGTACATGTACGATGCGTTTGGACAAATCATTGACGATCCACAGAGCTTCGCATACCACGGAATGGTTCTTTATCAGCGTGCGTGTGCAAGGGAAGACAGACAAAGAGATGACCTGGGTATCGCACGTCGGTCTATATGAATAAAGACTCTGCTCTTTGCTCCGCAGCCCGAACATAACTCGGATTGCCTTGAATCTGCTCTGACACTCCATTATCACTAACTCATAGCCGTGGCCTCCGCATTACTGTACGCCGCTGCAGCTGTAGTCCTCGCTTGGCTGTATCTTCTCACGAGAACAAAGACTTCTTTGCCATTTCCGCCTGGGCCGTCTCCCTTGCCCATTCTCGGCAATATTCACCGGGCACCCAGGTCACATCCGTGGCTTCAATACCATGCCTGGAGCAAGACGTACGGACCCGTCATCCATCTCAACATGGCTAGCCAGCATGTGATTATCTTGACCAGCTCAAAGGCGGCCCATGATATCCTAGCTAAGCAGGGTGCCACCTTTTCGGATCGACCGCACTTCGTTGTAAGTACCGATGAGCCCAGAGTACTTCTCACCGGATGTAATCAACTCTTGTGGGTAGCGCACGAACTAGCCCTACAAGGAATGCACATGCTTTTGCGGCCTTACGATGAGCGTTTCAAGTTGCATCAGAGACTGGAAAGCCCAGTCCTGAGCGAAAGGGCGGCATAAGCCTATCTTCCCTTCCAGGATCTCGCGTCGAAGCAGCTGCTGTTCGATCTACTGGAAAACGCGGACCGCCCCGTTGATTGTCACGGACACATGGTACGCATAACCGCCAGCATCATATACTCGCTATTCTACGGCCATCGTGTTCGAACCGCGCTCGACGCCAGTACCGAAACCATGATGTGGTTCGTGGTGGCCTGCATCGCCGAGGGTCACCGTGGCTGGGTGTCCAAGGCCCAGAAGTATCTAGATAACGTGGTGGGACACAGACGGTTGCCTGGAATTGAGGATTGGCCGGGATTGCCTTACATTGAAGCTATCGTGGAGGAGCTACTGCAGTGGAGGCCTGCTGGTGCTGCAGGCGTGCCGCACTTTCACCATGGTCGAGACCAGCTACGAGGGTTTTCGCATCCCGGCCAACTCGGTCGTCATCGCGAACCACTGGTCCGTCACACGGGAAGAAGGCGTGTTCGGGCCTGATGTGGAATGTTTCGTGCCAGAGCGGTGGCTAAACATGAAATCCGCGCAAGAACTTCCGACAGTTGGGTTCAGGTACGGACGCCGCATATGTCCTGGACGCCATGTTACGCACAATAGCCTGTGGATCGCTATTACGCGCCTCCTGTGGGTTTTTGGTGTGAAGCGTGAGCTGACGGAGATGGGCGAGCCGGTTGTCTTGGACACCAAGGGTACGGATGGGCTGGTCACCAAGCCTCTGCCTTTCAAGGCTTGTTTTTTTTTGCGGCGGGGAAACTTGGTCTAGAATATTGTTACGAGAGAATGCAATACGTGGGACGTGAATCATGATGAGATCGGACTTATTCAAGTAACTGAACGAATTACTTTAATGTGGCCCAAGTTTCTTGGTACAGCAATGATTATCGGTATTGGGTAGAGAGTTTAGTTGAATTATTACTGAAATTTACTCTCCAATTCTTTTTAGTGAACTTGTTAGATTTTGTGGTACCTCTATACTGGAGCTTTTGTATGGTGTAACACTGCAGACTTGAATGTTGACCTAGCCGAACATTTCATATTCATTGCTTGCTTCCCTTCTCAATATGGGATATCAACAAACAAAAAGAGTCAAATACCCTCTCCCCACTCTGTCCTTGCTATACCATGCTCTGACGATTTAGGTACAAGGATGCTGCGTCTCATTTCGCAAATCCCTCGTTGATCTCGACACAATTATCCACACAAGCCGACTCCGGGCACAGAGAGATACGAGCTCCTTTCCTGTACTACGTAGTGCCCGCCGGCGCGGGATCAACTCATTGATGAACTGACTTCTAACCCTCTAAGCCTTTTATCAGTATCCAAAGTCGGCTATCGCCGCACTCTCGCGGCCAGCGCGTATACCGCAATAGCCGTCGCGTTTATCAGTCCAGCACATACGAGCAGTGGGTAACTCACAATCCGATCTGTTTTTCTTAATAAATAAATCGGATATAGTTAACTAACTTATTCAATATCCGCAGCAGGCTGACCAAAGACGCCTAAGCAGACTCCCTGGCCGCTGTCGTTCGCCTGGTCTGCTTCGCGCACTTTCCGCTCTCGTAACTATAGCTGCTTCTCTATCGATGCCTGCTTCCTGTTGTCCTGCTGTGTCTTGTATGGCTGGAAGTGTCGTCTCGGAATCCTCCTCCTCTTCCTTGAATGCAGCGATACTTTTGATTTCGAGCTCGAAGCCGCCTTCTTGATAGCCGAAGAAACTACTGCAGTCAGTAGAAATCATACACAGGTAGTTGATTACATACCTCCGCATCATTATAGTAACCCTTTTGATACCTGCTACATTCAATTCCCGCTTCAAATCATCCTTTAGTCGCCCTCGATATGTAGGCCGAAAGTCCTTCCATCGTAACCGCACCACATTCCCTTCTCTCATCGTTTCTGACGAGGGAATAACAAATTCGTATTCCCAGTTCACGGAGGTGCGGTTTCTGCCATCTGGCCGTTTGGGAAGAATCTCGTCCTTGATAATGAAGACATATCTTTTCCCGTCTGACTCGCCAATTTGTAGCTCGATGCCGTCGTAGTCTGCCAGATTCCAGTCGATGGTGTTGGTTTTGTTTCGGTGGGACGCGAACCCAGCGCCGCCGAGGGTGCTGGCGTCTAGCTTGCCGTAGAACAGTACCGAGTTCGACTCGTTTTCGGGTTGGTCTTGGTTTTGTTCGGGATTGGTGATTGTTGTTGTAGATGACTTGATGGCTAGGTAAGATATGGATGCGCCGCCGCGCACACGGTCGTCGCAGGCAGTCCAGTCCGAGGTTGACCATCTTCTGTACAAGATACGTCGGTCTGATTGAGCGTTGAGAAGGAAATGGAGGGCTTACTTGTCACCCCCGAAGAGATATTTGCGTGAAATACTAGCCATTCCCGTTCTTTGTAACACATCCAGTCAGTCAGTCTCACGTTCAGAGCAAGGTCATGGCGCAAGTATAAAATACCATTTAGATCCTTCGCTAAACTAGCCTCAGCACCACTTATCTTGATGCTTGTCGAGTCTTGAAAGACTGAGACTGAAAGGCCTCCAGAGCTTCAAGGGTGACGTAAGGGGCGTTGACCGAACTCATTTATGAGGGTTGGGATTAGGGTTATTCCACATATTAACATCTCCCACCGGGCTACAGATCCGGGCTACAGATCGCAGCGTTCCAACTGATCGACTCACTCGGGCAGGGCCAAATTCTGAATCTCGCATAGGTCATCAGTCGGGCTAACGTTTATAAACAGCACCTCCTTTTAAATGCTCGATATCCTAGAATAAGACGATACTATAGTTAACCTAAGAAAAGATTTGTGTCGACTTGCACTCAGAGCAATTCAAAGCTAATGACACATTATGTTAGACTAGCCGCTCGTAACGGTCCAATAATATTTAACCGCTGCAACTAAATCTTGGACCGCTGCAATCTGCAGAGCCCTCGGGAGATTTGTTGATTATTCAGAAAACCGAAACACCGGCCCCAGATCATCTTTATGACCCTTGTTATTAACAAATGGATTCAGGCAGCAAAACAATGTACAAAAAGAATATGCTTGACAAGAGTGGGATTCGACCACTGAGGAAATTATTAGTACTTGATGTATCATCATATGATAAGTGGTAGTTACTAACCGTAGATTTTGTTTTGTCCCATATTCCTTCATGAATGCCGATTTATTAATATTTCTAGTCAAACTTCTCAATTGTTAGATTCGATGAACATATCAATCACCAGAAAACGCCGGTTTTTACCCCCCATGGCAGCACGGACTTGTCAGATCGTCGTAGTTTGGGCCAGCAACATGCGTTGACTGGCGGAGTCACCTAAATAGCTAGATACATAAAGTTGTAACCAGCTAATCCCCATACTCTCCTTTCAGCCCTACCAAGAAGGCATAGGGGTTGAAAATCTTCATTATCATAACGCTGATAATAGGTTACGCTGTACTCCTTGATAGAACTAGCTGACTAGCTTAGTGAGCCAATTTAGCCAGCGCCCCACTCTAAGTTCAACCCTATCCAGAAAGGCAAAAGCTTGGATAATCTTGACTGCAATACATGAAGTTGGCGAGAACAACGTAAAAATTATACAATTGTCGACCGACGTCACTGACAATCTTCGAAATAATCCTTCGTCAAATTCTTCAGAGGATTTTGGATTGCTTGGGAAGATACATAGAATCTTGTATGTGTATGGCAGATGAATGATGCCATAGGTACTAGACTGGGTTAAAAATATTTCCTACTGTTTCTACTTTTTACTTCACGTGTTCTTAATTAATGATCTAACATGGTACATGCAAATCTGCTCAAACACGCGTGCTATTCAAAGCGTTGGTGATTAGTTGTGTTCGACGACGCCCGTATGAAACATGGTTAGTAATTGCTATTGTATGCTGAGATGTTCGATTCGCCTATGCCTCAATATGGTGATTTCCCGACCTCATTGGCTAGAGAACTATAACATTCTATTACAAATATTTTGGGGACTACAATTGCATATAATTGCGCCTTAGTGTGCCGCGCTAATCTTCCAATGGTCACTTCCCCCACCTGTACCCTCAACTGAGGGGCTCACAACCCATCAAGTTCACCCAGACCGGTAAATATTCGCCCGCCAGGTTCGGCCTCAATCCACAAAGGACCTGAAACCTATGTAGCGTGTTATTTCATGAACGGATAAAAGAAATATGGCCAACGACAGTTTTACCAATGCTCGACCAGGTGACAATGACGGCACTGCCCCCGAAGCACCAGACAGGTCCATCAAGGTGTTCACTATGCTAGGTAAGTGACGCCAGCTTCGCTATGGCTTTTCAAATGAATTTGAGTTCATATCTGGTATGCTAGAAAACAATCCGGAAGTTATGAACAACCTTGCTTATCGACTCGGTCTTTCGAAGCAGCTTTCCTTTCATGACGTTTATTCCCTCTACGATTCTGACATGCTGGACATGCTCCCTCGACCTGTCCTAGCTTTACTAGTCACAGTTCCCATGTCCGAAGCTTGGAAACAAGACCGCGACTCGGAGGATGCGCCTCTGCCATGGTACGATGGCGCGGGCCAGGAAGAGCCGGTAATCTGGTTTCAGCAAACCATCATCCATGGCTGTGGGCTCATAGGCCTTCTGCATTGCATCTTTAACAGTGTTTCTTCAGAGATGATTGTGCCCCGAAGTGAGCTGGCTAATCTCTTGGAGAAAGCAGTGCCTCTTGGGATGCATGAAAGAGCAAAACTTCTGAATGACACTGAGAAGCTCTTTGAGGAAAACGAGGCTGTCGCACGTACAGGCGATTCCCAACCTATAGATTGCGATGAATTTACCGCAACCGGGAACCATTTCGTAGCTTTTGTGAAAGGTCGTGACGGACATTTGTGGGAGCTCGAGGGCTCAAGGAAAGGGCCCCTTGATAGAGGACCTCTGGGGGAGGGCGATGATGCTATTAGCGATCGGGCATTAGAGCTGGGTATCAAGCGCCTTATCGACATGCGGCGTGAGGGTAGTGGAGATTTGATGTTCTCCTGCATTGCTCTCGCCCCCAATGTTGAGTAAAGGCATTTCTACAAAGATAACCAAGCTCTTGAAATTCGAACATGCATGCTTTCTTTGTTGTGATATTTCCTAATCCATCATAGCGCTTCCATGCCTACATAGTACAGACAAGTGACATGGAATCCTTTGCTCTTCACATTCATCATCGTCAAGGCTCCCACACCCATACCTCCATTCTACTACATGAGCGTGGCAGCCATGGTCTCGAGTTTGCTGAAGCAATTTTCTCATCCGTAACCTCAAAGGGCCAAAATCTACCCTCTTGTCTGCCTACCTACCGTTGGGCCTTTCCAACCCACATGCAACCGACAGAACATAACATTTCAAGAGAAAATGCGCTCTTGGTTCGATACCTATTCTGTAGACGACATCCAGGCGCGACAGGAATTACAGAAAGATGGGTTGCGGGGGTTAGTGTTGGACATTCCATAGAAGCAGAATCAAGGCTGCTAAATGGCCAGATCAACCGCATTTACCTCGGAGTAATGCGTCAGGGTATGGCAGCGATGATGTGAGTTTTCTTTGGCACAATGGGAACAAATCGAATCCAAGGACCGCTAGCTAGGATCCGTTCGCACATCAGCTGGAGATTTTGCTAGGCGAACAAGCAAGCCCTAGTAGTCCTTGCACACCACAGATGCAACGCCTAGTGTCTGGGCTCTTTGCTGTAATCACCAATCTGCAGGCTGCGGAACACGTGGACGCCCCTATGCTATCAACCCCCGTGTTCTTGAGCCATGGAATAGACGATGCGTGGGTATCCGTGGACCAGACATCGCAGGTTGTCTCTCGCGTAGTTAACAGTCCAGTATGAGTCACGTCAAGCCACAGATATCGCATCAGCCACACAAAGGGCTGTGCTTGATGATGTTCGTATAGAAATAAAGCGCAAGCCAAGCCTGGCCAGACGCTTTGAGGCTGAGTGTGCCCAAACAAGCAATATCCGGCGAGCGCAGCAACCAATCACATCTGCTGCCTGCCCGCGCGCTCGCCTCGCGGGCCTTCTGATTGGCTGCTGCCCGAACTAGGCTTGCAATTGTCCAATCACAGCGCGGCACGGACGGCGTCTGCTTTTCGCGCGGTCACAAGAGGAAGGCAGAGTCCGAGTCAACTTCCTTTGCTGGCAACAGATGAGGCTGAAGTCAAGGACAGGCTGGTATATATGTCGCCTGTTCTTTCAGTATATTCTCCTTTCCAGGAGAGTAACAATAACAACATCAACGTCAGCTCGAGCACACGCTTTGGCATCATGCAGGGAAGTATAGCACCAGCTGTGCGGGCAAGTGGGCTGTGTTGCCATTGCGGCAGAGGTAGGTCTCTATTTATTGGTACTCTTGCTCTCTATGCTTTGCACGTTACTGATAATACTTGTGTATGGCTAGGCCTTCCATACGACACATACTACTTCTGGTGCCTCTTCTGCGATCTCACTGTCTGCGCTAATTGTCCCGGCTCTCATCCTGCTGTCCATCAACCATACTACAAATATATGCTTAATCGTACAACGCCCCGAGGTGCACGGCCTTCGCAGTCGCTTTGCACAAAATGCAGACAACTGTCCCATTGCGGTCTGTCGTGCAACGACTGTGAATTCAATCTTTGCGTGAACTGTATGACTACGAGCCGTGATACGCTGGCTAATCATCCTCATGGCAAGATGACCATTACTAAAGCCCCAGATGACTTTGGGCTGGGCATGTATGATGTGCAGTGTGACAGCTGCCGAGCTGGTGCAACCCTTTCTCACTGTGGCCGTTGCTGCAATGGTAAGCTCAGACATGCCAATCACCGAGCTCTGTTCAGGCGTGAGACTGACTGAATCGCGTCTAAACTGATCAGGAATTCGAAAGGGTGGCAACTTTTGGACTTGCGTCACATGTATAGTTGATTATAATGCTCAAATCCGCTTCTGCGAAGATTGTCAAGCACCGGGACAAAGGGAGCATGATCCGACACATAGATTTGCTTCATTTCTCTACCGAGTCAATACCAATAAGGATGCAAGATATAACGCTGTCAAGTGTCTAGACTGCAAATCCAGGTACATGGAGATCTGTATTCCCATGCTTAATGACAATTACTAATATAGGACATCGACCACTAGTGTGCCATTCAGCGGTCGTGAGCTTGCGCGTCATCCACATTCACGGTTCCAGCTTATCATGGGCGAAGCAGAAAGAGATCGCAGGAATTTCCACAGTCATAGAACTTGTGCACGCAAACCAGTCCGAGACATAGCCACAGTATCCGCCGAAGCTCACGATATTGTCTGCGGCTGCTGCAATCAGAGTGAGTTTTCGAGATCAGCATGAATTGTGATAGGACAACTTGCTAATCTAGAGTCTCACAGAATTTCCAATGGGATCACGTGTTTTCATGTGTCCTACGTGCACTATGATCGCCTGTGAGACCTGTGCTGATTTTGGCGGAGCTCGCTCGCACCCCCATATCATGATCCCGGTCTTTTTACAGTGGACTGTTCCTCCCGTTCTCCTGGGACAAGTCAGAGCAAATTCGATTGTCAAGGCTTGCGCTAAATGCGATAAATCAATTGTGCCTGATAGTGACAGCTACATTGAATGTAATTATTGCCAAGTGTGGGATATATGCCTCGACTGCACGAAAAAGACCAACATGCCGGTTCGCCACGCATGTCTTGAAGCTGTCGAGATGACTCTTTTTGATCCCATAAAGCCAGGCCACGACAGTCTCGTTACGCAGGTCTTGGCGGCACAGAAAACGATGACAAGTAAGTCACCCTTGTTCAAGTTTGTTTGGTTGGTCAGCTAATGGAAACATCTCATCAAGGTGGCGTCCCATTGCAACTACAGCCCGTTCGTCAACAGTCGTTGTCAATCAGACGCAAGCCCTCTTCCAATGGATCATCATCGATCTCATCTATTTCACCCATTTCGCTGCCCGTCCAGCCACAAATAACTCAAACAGCTGGCATGCAACGACGTCCGGTAATATCACAACATGGAAGTCAACTAGCATTTAATCAACAGTCCGTGCAACTGCCCACTGGTCTCACATCCGCGGGACTTCCCATGCAACAAGGGGTTCTGCCTTCGATCCAGCCAGTCATTCAACCGATAGCAAGTGCCGGAGAAATCAAACGAAAGGCAATACATCCGGCAATCATGGATGCTTCTAGATCTGTCATTGACAAATCCAACAATGTCTCGAAGGCGGCTTATGGGAAGGCCTCCACCATGGTTAACGACGTAGACAAAGAGAAATTGAAGAATATGGGCAAGAGCATGGGAAAGAAAATGGCGAGATATGCAGGTGCAGTCACCGGGCAAATTATACGACAGGAGATACAGAACGACACAGGAATCAGATTGCCTCCTCTACACCTATCCCAAAATCCCAATCAACAAGCTCAAACCTTGCATGCGCAAATGCAGGCTCAGCAGGGAAAGCAGGAAATCGAGAAGCTACAAGCGCAGTTACAGCTGATGCAAAAGATGTCACAGCTTCAATCACAGGCAGCATTAATGCAGCAACAGCAGCAGCTCCAACATCAAGCAGTAGCTAACCCAACTACTGTTACTATGTCACCGAGTAATCCGAGCTCATCGACACAACTTCCGGCGACAGCTCATCTAACTCAGTCGATCTCGTCAATACAGGCGTCATCCTCTCCTATAGCACACAATCAAACTCCGTCAACTTTCAGTGGGAATAGTAATATCCTTCATGCTACAACGGCAGTCAGTACTTCCGGAGCACAAAACCCTAATTCCAGCATCATGGCATCTGTTCCTCCAAGCGGAGTGAGCACCCCGCAGAATGGATTGCCAATCACTGGCATAACTCATATCCTCTCAAATGAGGCCGTGGTTGTTCCAAGTGTCCACAATACAAACTCCAATGATATTGCTTCTATTCCGCCGAGTGAATCGAATACAGTATTGCACAATGGAAACCCATATACTAGCGATATTGCTCCGAATTCCCCAAGCGAGTCAACCACTGTGCATAGTGGCATAATTGCAATTCTAAATAATAGCAGTATAGCTCCTATTCCAGTCAGTGAGACGGACATCGCACCCATTCCCCTATGCGAACAAACACCACCCGTTCCCTCAATCGATAGCAATGCCGACTCGCCGCATGCTGTAACTTTTCATTCCACTGCCCAGTCACCTGCATCAACGCAAATGATGGAAGCACTTAGTCTGAATATCTATTCCAGTCATCCGGTCCAGCCACAGGATCCACAATCACCGGTACCACAGCAACAAACACATAATTCAGGTACACAGGGTTCAATAAATGACGCCCATTCTCAGACCGCTGGTGCCCATTATGAACATCCGTCGGTAGAAGAAGACACTCAAAGTGAGATTTTGCAGCCCGGTTCAGCATCGGAGAACCAGGAGGCAAGTAACCCACATGTGCAGGGAAGCGATAACTTGTCAAACGTCAGCCACTCAGTTCCTCAACATAACCATCCCCAACCTGAACATCCACATACTGAGCACGGAAGCTTAAACACACCTTTCAATAATCAACCAGACAATCAACAACAGCAATATCCGCCTCAGCAAGATTCCTTGGGTACAGACCCAAACCCGTCTAACTTGCATGAAACAGCATCAAGCCAATATAACGGCTCAAGCAGTCAACATCTTAGTGCAGATCAGCAGTACCAAACTACTCACTCGAATCTGTCTAGTGCTGTTACGCCAAGTCAACACCCTTATAGCTTGCTGTCCCAGCCCAGCACTCAACACTCGCCTAACCCACATGGTGCTTCTACGAGTCAACATCCCAATACACACAGCCAGCAGAACCTGCCACAAAATCTTCAAGCAAGTCCACCGAGCCCCCATACGGTAAATGAACATCCCTCTTCAAATAACCAGCAATGTCAATCGCATAACCAAGGAGCCTTCCAACCTCAGCATCAACCTAGTCAGTTGCCGACAGGTAATTCATACCCTACTGGCGGTCAATCAAACGAATATCATCAGGCGCATACGTTCAACTCTTCGGCAACAGGGACCGGCTCTACATATAACCACGCTAGCCCTCAACAGTCGTCATCTCCATTCCAACCTCAATCTACAATTCCGACGACTACTGCGCCGACAATGAATGCTAGCTCTACACAGTCTCCACCTCTACAAAGCAATATGCCTCCAGGAGGGATCGGGCAAGGAATTCCCCAAAATCCACCCCCAGCATATACCCAAGCTCAAACGCAGCAACCCAATATGACCAATGATCAGCTGAACCTTCAGAATCAGCAAATAATGGCATTACAGCAACGTATACAAGCGATGAATCTGCAACAACAACAGCAGCAGGCTCAGCAGGCTCAGCAGCTGCAGCTATTGTCAAATCAACTTCAACAACAGCAACAAAATCAGCAAGGAGATGGTGCACTTCAAATCGTGGACAGTGGGTTATCAATTTTAAATAATCTCACTCAAATGCTCGGCAATAACAACAATAATAATTCTTTGTCTGTCGGATTGAATAACAACAACCTGCAGCAATTGCAGTTGCAGGAACAACAACAGGAACTACTATCACTCAATTACCTGAATGATCTACAATTACAAAACCAACTCGACGCCGAAGCTATGGTAGCAATGAACGACCAAATGCAGACAAACATGCAATTAGAGAACCTGAATGCCCAACTCGCGGCTCTTAACAATACACAGTCAATGGATAACTTCAACAATAGTGCTATCGGTATGGGTGATGTTAATGTCAACATGGATATCGTGGTTGATCAGTCGTTTGACATACAATCTAATGCTGGAGTAATTGATGTGACGGACTCTTCATCTTTTTTTGTGGCTGATAGTGGCAGCTTTTAGTTTGGGTTGCACTTCTGGGTATTTGTCGTCATTTATGTGATCTAGTTATAAACGATATCTATCTGTCATGAGATACAATTCTATATAGCTTGTCCTTTAATTCAAAGCCATCAACTCACAAAACCTAGGCATCGACCGAAGATTGAAACCCCTCCCCTCTCTTCCTCTCTTCCAATGTCAAAAACTCCTCCTGCTCCTTCCTACTCTTTTTCAAATCCACAAAAAACAGCAAAACCGCAAAACTCACCAAGCTCAACGCAAACAAGAAATAAAACGGCGTCGACTCATTCCCGCTGGGCGTCGCGTCGATAATCGCCGACGAAACAATAGGCCCAATAAACGAAGACGTCTTGCCAATGATACTGAACAGCGAGAAGAACAAAAATTCCTTGCCGCGCGGGGTTACCTCGGATATCATGATTTGGCTGTACGAGTACCAGGGACACACGAAGAGGCCGTAGTAGGCTTGGTATACCCATACTTCCCAGACGCTGTGGAAGCCGAAGCGTTGCGTCCAGATGCCGATCATGCCCCAGCCGTCGAGTAGGATGATGCCGATGGCGATGAGGTTGAACATGGTTTTTGTGCTAAGGTGAAAGCGCTGTTGGATGTACCAGAAGCCGTAGATGCCGATGGCCTAGTTTGTTATGCTGTTGTTAGACTCAATCCGTAGGTAGGTAGGTGTTAGTAGGAGGATGGAGGGAATATATTATATACATACCTGCGCGGCAATGCCGACGATTAAGAGATATGTCAGCTGCAGCGTGTTGTAAGCCACAATGGTGTTTTGGAGTGTTCCTATGACTGTGACAGTAGTGTTGAGCGAGTCTCCGAGGAGGAAGTAGCCTTTGCATTCCGGCTGATTAGTTTTTTTGACTTTCTCCTAAGTAGAAGACTGGGCTCACCAATTAGGTATATCAGGCTCTGCTTCAAATGAAGTATCTGCCTTCCCGCATGGTACAACTGCCACAGACCGGCCATGATGATGTTTCGTGGCGCAGGGTCTTGTCCTGGACGTCTCTTCTCACAGACAAACCATGGAATTGCAACCAGCACCCAAACCCCAGTCGCAAAAGCGATGAGATCACTCAATCCCCAATTATTATTCTGCGTGCTCGCATTAACATCCACTCCGAACATGACGCCCACAATAACAGCGAGAATGAATATCTCCGCGACAGACTGCACATAAAACGCAATATTAGACAGTTGACTTCTCTTCATCGTGTCTGCATAATCATAGTCCTCGCGCGTGATTGAGCCGGAAATCAATTCATCGGCCTTCTGCTTCATTTCCCGTGTGTTGCGAGCCAGACCGGGGAATGCAGCTGTCCAGAAAGTCAGCGTAGTCTGGTACGCGATCAAGCCGACGATGTACAGGCCTGTCGCAGCCTCCCATTTGCTTGCGTCGTGCACGCCGAGCCAGGCAAAGCCGATGGCCCAGGCGACGATGGACAGCGCAATGAGGATGTTTGGTCGCCAGGTGCCGAAGTCGGCAAATGAGCCGATTATGAGGAATACGACGATCTGGATGGCGAAGGAGATGCCGTTGCAGAGGAGTACGATGCTGTTGACTGAGCGCATTTTGCCGGCGAAGAGCAGATAGCCGTTTGCATTCGCTGCTTGCGACAAAAGATTTTGAAACGCCGTGGGCGCGAAGTCTGTAGTCAAGTTATGTGAATACTATAATCATTCGGTTATACGAATGATTGAAAGTAAATAAACGTACTGAATAATGTCAAGCCATTGTTACCGATGTAGTAACTACACATCGCACCCGGTTTTCTTTAGCGAGCTGCAAGCCTGTGAATCAAAGAGATTGACTTTGCACGCACGAGTAATAAGACCATATTTCTCTTCTGGTAGTTTGGTATCGGTCGTCAAACTGGTCTGGCGCGATGACGGCGCCTTCTTCTGGCTTCAAGTTGTCCAGTGCGTTGACCTCCAGGTTGGAGGATTTCTGAAACCCCTCGTCTGCGTCCGTCATGGCGTGTACACACGATGTAACTACAGTATACGTTCCGGTTCAGTTTCTGTCACTTCGGTGAATGATTTGTGAGGAAACAGATGCCTTTCAATGCATTCTTCACTCCGCGGTATGCAGTTACAAAGATAAATTAAACAAAAAAAAATTCAAAGATAAGAAGGAAAATTCAGAACCCCCTCCCGGGGCGCGCATCTCCCTGCCTAAAACAGAAAAAGTGATATGCATCTAGCAACGCTTGTAATCTTTAATCGGACTGATAGGAAGGGCCAGACCAGACTAGTGAGGATGCTGGCGAATCAGTCCGGTCGCCACATGCCAGATGGTGACTTTGCGCCATGTGCTAGTAGGGAAAATATGCACCGTTCTACTGTGGCCAGGATCTAGTTACTTGTTAAAGACTGGTCTGGCTCCGAGACTGCGGTATCTAAACTAGTGACCCTTGAATATGTCGGGTGAAGTAGATACAATAGAAAAGGCAAGATGAATATTTCATTTACCATGTTGTTGACTGGATGGTCGTCGGTTGGAGGGGTTACCTAGATCGGAAAAGTTAGGGCTTTGCCACACGCATGTAATAACCGATGGAAGACAGACCCGCTCAATGTTGCTAATTGATACCATGGCAAATGCATATTTGTAGCGAATTTTTGTATCAAGAGGTAGACAAAGAGTATGAAAGTATATCGTTCGAGTCTTCGCTATAACCAAGACCTCGATCGCTGACTTTAATCAATCAGATCTTAAGAATGCTGAACAGGAAAACAATATTTAAGACCAGGGCACAACAAGAAACTCTTAGACCGGCGACAGAACTGGAGCAGGCTATGTTTGTAAGCCTGGCTTTCCATTTGCGTCAGCCTCACGAGCAAAAGGACTCTAATTAGTTACTGATTAACTTGCACGTAGCCTCCGGATTGGACAGTTTGACTGAAACGCCAAAGCTAGTAACATGCCTACAGATACCGAGCTATCGATTGATCAATGCGTGAATACTGGAGCATCAAGGTCAAGAAGACATTTTCCATGTGATAAATGCTTTAAATTACATTCCAAAACGGTGAGGTAGTAGTAGGGACAGTGTTCTAGCTGTGGTATTGCTAACAGTTGTGGCTTCTGAAGAGAAGAAAAGACACACTTGCAGATGACATCGTGATGATATACAAGGGGATCAAAGCAGTAATAAATCTCCCCGAAGCCTTCAAAGCAGTGGAACAAAACGTTCCCCTGGTCAAGGAGACACTTGTTGCAGCAATCAAGGCCTTGAACAGGAAGATTATTAGCGATAATGGCGTCCTTGAGAGCACTAAAGCACTGCGAATCCAACCTCACAACCCTGCGGGACACTTTGAAGATTGAAGATATGAGGAAAAGCTACCACGCAAGCATGGAGTCGCAGGAAAAGTTTGTCGGGCTCCACAAGGCAGCTTTCCTCACCTTGGGCAAGTTAACCAAGGCAAACCTCGTCGAGAATCTGATGCGAGACATCATGAAGGACTTGAAGGCCCTCGCGATCTGCAGCACCTTCAATCTCTCAGATCAGCTGGGGCAGCTAGAGGACGCCGTCACCGAATTGTCAAAGGTCAAACCATTCTGGCTCGGGGCTAAAGAAGAACATTTGGGGAGGCACGAATTATGACTCCGGTGGAGGGACTATGAACTTTGGTATGCCTTTGCCACAGATGTAGCCATATCCGAACTCTGAATACAATGTTATACTCTCGTTGAGGAAGCCCGCGATCTCGCAGCCAAAGTTAATAACAGAGGCGCTCTAGCGATTCGTGCCAAACTCTTGCAAGCCAACAGCTGCGGCAGACTTGGTCATCTCCCGATATCAAACCGGATCATACAAGAGGCTCACGAGGAAGCCTACACCAAGCTTGGCAAGAAGGCACGACGAATCGCCGAGGCTTCGAGCTTGTGCTGACCAGAGCAATGATAGCGCTCCTATACCTCTACATGGCCCAGTGGAGGATTCACAATGTGGTCCCGCTGTTGAAGTATTTCTTCAGGCATTTTCAGTTCGCCTACTTCTTTAGAACCAACAGGGCCAAGGTCACCATCGCGGCTGGTCTTCTGCTGTGCTTTCTGTATTCAATAAGGGGGCATTTGAGAGCGATTATCGTGATACTCTTCGTGGTCGCGGCGATTGGGCAGATTGTCTTGAGGTAGCAAAACCGAAAAGACGTAAACATATTCTCGAGCACCCGTGGACGCAGAGCTCCGACGTTCCTAGTTTGTATTCGTGTGTCATTTCTTGAAATATCCCAGATATATCCATCGATAGAGCCAACAACCTTGGAGGTTGAAGTCCTGTTTGAGCCCAAGTGCCGTAGTAGAAACATTGAAAGTCCACGAGAGTGCCATATTCAGGTTCGTGCTGCTAGGGTGCTCCGTCTTCCCCGTAGCTGTAACACATCTTATTGCTATCGTATATTTCTTCTGCCGAAAATGAGGCGCCAAAACGCACATTTACGCCTTGTGACACGTGATCAACACTGGTTAGCTCCTTCCATCTTCACTTTGCACTCACCAACTTGATCCAAGCCAGCACAGCAGAGTGACTACACAGCAAAAATGGCCAACAACCACGACAATGCCCTGCCAGCGCCAACGCTTTACCATCTGTCATCGTCTCAGTCCATGCGCATTCTTTGGGCTCTCGAGGAACTGTCTCTTTCGCGCGGGCTGGAGTACAACGTGAAACACCACCGACGCGAACGCGGGCGTGCACCAGCAGTCCTGCAAGAGACCTTCCCACTAGGAAAATCGCCCATTCTCGAAATTCCAGGCGTGCAACTATTCCGGCCGTTGCCATTCATATACAACAAGAATGATTCACCAGACACCATCATCACAGAGTCTCGTCTGATCCTGCAATTGCTATCAGACCACTACTCCGCTGGCGAATGGATGCCGACCAGCGACGAAGACCAAGATCGCAATCTTTATTTCCAGGAATTTGCAAACACTACACTCAGCCCCATCGTGGATCGCATTCTGTACTTTCAAATCATCCCCCCTAACGCACCGTGGATTGTGCGACCGTTGATGTACGCTATCTTCAACCCTATTGTGAAAATCTTTGTTCACGATGTTGATGCACCATTTGCGCTCATGGAGCGTGCCTTGTCAGATGAGAAGCCATGGTTTGCGGGTGCGAACTTGGGTCTGGCTGACTTTAGTATGTCGTGGCCCTTGGACTCGGCGTCACAGAGGGGTTTGTTTGACGAGAGGAAGTACCCTAAAGTAGCGGATTGGCTGAAAAGGGTGCATGATAGGCCTGCTTACCAGAGCGCGATCAAAAAGGGGACTCCTTATGATCTGGTGCGGTTTGAAGTGAAGTAATGACTACTCTTCACTGGTGGTGGTGTTTTTTGAGGGCTGTTTGTTGAAAAGTTGGAAGTACGATGAGTATATTTCTTTGTATATTATTCTAGCCAATCCGTGTCTAATGTATATCATGCATACTTTAATATATTCAAAATGGTCTATATAATAATATCCATATTGAAGTTCGGCCCTAATTCATGGTCAGAGACCTCATTGTTTAAGACCAAAGCTCCAAGGTCATGCAGATATATTGATGTATTGATCTAGCTTATACAGAGTGCTTTGCAACTGATTCACCGGGAATGATCTCATTCGTAAACGATTTAACAGCACTACCATCATTAACAAACAATCAATGCTCCGAAACAAACACAGCCGCCATAGCCATGCCCTATATAGCGATATGGTTAATGTCTTAGTGGACTTAAGACACCGAAGATCAAAGAGAAAAAGGCAAGAGAAAACTTACTGTCCCTACACACATCGACGTTACTGCAACCCGCTTGTCTGTTCTTCGCAATTCCGATAGTGCAGTGACGACCTGTCGTGCACCTGTGGCACCGAGAGGATGGCCAAAGGCACTTTATTTGATTTTAGTTCTCTGTGTCTATTAAGCGAATGAACGAGGGTAAGGCCTACATTGCTCCGCCGCGAGGGTTGACTTTCTGAAGCGGTAGTTTGAGTTTATCCACGCAGTATACTCCCTTTAGTCATGGTTAGCAAGTGAGATATCATCAAGTAGATAGCTTCGAAGCATACCATCGAAGCAAAAGCCTCATTGATTTCAAATATATCAATATCCTCCTGGCTAAGCCCAGTCTTCGAAAGTATTTTTGGGATAGCAATCGACGGGCCAATGCCCATAATTCGTGGCTCGAGACCAGTGACCGTAGCAGCCACAAACTTGGCTAGAATGGGCTGGCCAAGCTGTTGAGCTCGAGATCTCTTCATCAAAACAAGCGCAGCTGCGCCGTCCGTGATCTGTGATGCATTGCCACCAGTCGTATGGCTGGGTTCCCATTGCGGGAACGCAGCTCGAATCTTGGAAAGACCTTCAGGTGTCGTGCCGTAGCGAATACCGTCGTCACGGTCGACTACAACGTCTTTGATTTCGCCCGTTTTGGAATCTTTAATACTCGTTCTAACCGGCACGATCTCGTCTGCGAACCAACCCGCTTTTTGCGCCTGTTCAGCTTTCTGAAAGCTCCATGCTGCGAATTCATCAAGTTGCTTGCGGTTCAACTTGAATTGAGCGGCCACGTTCTCTGATGTCTGGCCCATTGGTTGCTGGTTTTGGGATGCAAGTGGATGGTCCAGGATCTTCTGAGAGAGTGCCGGCGCGCCGCTGTCTGGGTTTGTGCTCATTGATTCCGCGCCGATGGCAATACCAACGTCGATGGAGCCGGCTATAATCTGATTCGCAATCTGCTGCACGGCTAGAAGACCGGATGAGCAGAATCGGCTGGCTATTGATGCTGCGGTTGTTTCGGGAAAGCCAGCTGCGAGGACGGCTGACCGGGCAACATATGCAGCCCCGGGGTTGAGCACGTTGCCAACGCAGACATCTTCAACGAGATGGGGGTTGAGACTCGATTTTTCGCGGACAGACTTGATACGTGTCAATCAGAATCGCAGACAGTTACTTGAGATCTAATCTAGCTTACCGTTAGAAGAGATATCAAAAGGTCGTCTAAGGATGTGTCTTTCAGCGCCCCCTTTTTGGCTTTAGTCAGGGGCGTTCGGACAGCAAGAGTGATGACCTGTAGTACGGATAAGCTTCATATATATACAGATTTTGGTGCTGTACTCACAACATCATCCGGGCTTTTTGCCAGCACTCGTTCTCTGCCAACAGACTCGCCGCCGCCAGAGATCTGGCTAGCGATGGCGGAAAGTCGCTGTGAAGGAGACGACATCCTGTGTATGATGGTTTGGTTTGATGTGTCGAACGTAGAGGATTAGTGAAAAGCAAGCTCAAGCTTAATAACCTGATAGTTTAGATAGCTCAGCTTTATCTAAGCAACCAGATGGTAAAAGTTTCTATCCCGAGCCTCGGCTGATTGCAGATAATCCATGCATAGATAATAGGCAGTTGTTCGCTTTCCACTTGCTGCCAGCTTGGTATAGCAGGACGACTCTTGTCGAGGTTGGTTGAAATGCCGGCCAGAGAGCCGAAGCGCATTGTTTACGGCTGGCGTACGATACCCGTCACGATCCGTGCCTCGGCTAGAATTATGCTGGCGGCGGCGGGTTTAGTTACGTACGGTACTGGTATTGTTTCGACGTGTTGCCCAGGCTCGTTATTCCATGGTAATATATGCCAATCCTGAGTAGCAGGCGCGTATTTGAGTCTAGGATATCACTATAGACAGAATACCCACGCGGTTGCCTGATATCGTGGCAATCATCCTTTGTTCCGGCCTCAGGCACAAAGAGCGGAAGAGGACCAACAATCTCGGAAAGAGCTCAGCTCGACGTGAACCTTGGATCCTTCGAATCCTTAGACGAGGATATCCTCACTAGCACAAGCTGGCTCGCAGCTCTGCTCACGAAGGGGTACACGCGGAGGGATCATGCATGGTAATTTTACTGGAACGTACAGATCTGGAGCTAGCGCTGCACGTCGCTTCAGGAACCGAACGAGCTGCCGACTGTCAGCTGCCTAGGTACTAAATACTATGGCCTTTGCTTAAAACGATACTTATTCCCTGTCTCTTTCCTTGAATAACTTTTGTCTTTACCAACAGCCACTCGTCATGGATATCCTCGCGCAAGCTGCAGGCAGTGTTGGCGGGGTGCCAGCAGCTCTCGGGGGGGCAGCTTTGGCACTCGCAACAGCCGCCTATGCCAATGCGAAATTCGGCATCAAAGCCGATATAGATGGATTGAGGGCGGAGTCAAGCCTTGGAAAACGGCTTGCACAGCGCATTGGCGAATTAGGCGATACCTGTTCACTGTATGGGATTCTGCAGAGGACCATTGACGTGTATCAGAAAGGCTCGTCGGAGGCGCTGTGGTTCGAAAACAAGAGCTGGACATATGATCAGCTCAGAGACTGTGAGTACTCTTTTGTTTTTGTTCAATTGTATTGCCACTAATACATACAGAAATAGTGGTCGATCGCCTGGCTGCCTACATTCATGCCCAGGGTATCAGAACGGGGGATTTTGTGGCTGTCTTCACGACAAACTCGCCCGAGATGGTGATCACCATATACGCCCTGTCAAAGTTAGGAGTCGTTGCTCCCCTAATAAACACCAATTTAAGAGGTGCCTCTACCTTTGTGTTCTTTGTATTCATTTGTGGATTTTCTCTGACCTGCAGTCTAGATGACACATTCAAACACTGCCTCCGGATCTCCACGTCCAAATTGATTATCTCAACGCCGGATCTCGCTGACTTCGTCAAGTCTGATCTCCCCAAATTCTCATTTAACATCTCTTCATTTGACAATGTCTCTGCCGAACAGATACCCGATACTACACCTATCAATCTAGAGACATTGATGCAGCTTTCCCCCGAAGCCATTGCATCTATCACCCCAGCTAAACGTAGCCCCAGAGACCTTGCCGTACTAATTTACACGTCCGGGACAACGGGCAACCCAAAAGCCTGCGCAATTCGCAATATGATGATCCTGGTGACTTCCACTCTAGTAGCTAAGGACTTTGACAATCCGGCAAAATACCTCCCTCTTCGCATATACTCTGCATTACCCTTATTCCACGGCACGGCGTTATTCGGTGGTCTCTGCTACGTCTCTAGTAGTGGAGGCACACTCTGCCTCAGACGCAAATTCTCCGCCTCCCAATTCTGGAAAGACGTGCACGACTCCAGGGCCAACAGAGTGCTATACATCGGTGAACTATGCAGATACCTTCTCGCCTCGCCGCCATCACAATACGATAAAAATCACAATTGCATTGCTGCCTACGGGAACGGTCTACGCGGTGAGATCTGGGACAAGTTCCGTGAACGATTCAATGTTGAAGAAATCCGCGAAATTTACCGTTCTACAGAAGGAGTTGCGCGGTTCAACAATTTCTATGGTGGAGCTTGGGGCGCTGGAGCGGTGGGATTCTATGGGCCTATTAGGCGAGCATTGGAACGAGATACGTATCTCATCAAGTTTGATATGGAGACTGAAATGCCTTATCGGGACCCAAAGACGGGGTTTTGCGTCAAAGCTGGTGCGGGAGAGGAAGGCGAGGCGATTGGGCGCGTTCGTGTTCGGCAGACTCTGACTGAGTATTTGAATAATAGCGAAGCGACGGAGAAAAAGTTACTCCGTGATGTGTTCGAGAAAGGGGATGTGTTCCAGCGGATGGGCGATCTGCTGGTTCGTGATGACGATGGATGGATCCGCTTCGGTGACCGGGTCGGCGATACGTTTCGCTGGAAAGGGGAGAATGTCTCTGCAGGGGAAGTGAGGGATCATATATGTCGGATGGATAATGTGCAGGATGCCATTGTTTATGGCGTGAAGTTGAAAAGGTAATCCGTCTATATATCAGGTTGACGGTTAGTTGACTGACTTGGAATAGCTATGACGGTCAAGCAGGCGCCGCTGCTATAACACTTGTGCGCAGGACGCCAGAAACGGAGAAGAAGCTGATTGCGAATCTCTACACATTTCTCAAATCAAAGGGCGTCCCATCTTATGCCATACCCAGACTCGTTAGGATCACCAAAGAGTACGTGCGCACTTTATTTCCTCTTGATTTCTCATGGCGCTTGATTAACACTAACCTCTTTCCTATGTTATAGAGTTTCTACAGGGGTAACATTCAAGCAAGCCAAAGGGGATCTCTCCAAACGCAGCTGGGACCCAGCATCCCCATCCTCATCAAAATCGCCAAAGGACGGTGATACGTTGTATTGGCTAAGCTCAAAGGGTAAAAGGCCAACCCTTGAGACGCTTGACATACATAGTTGGGCCGAGATAGAGAGCGGGCAAACGAGGTTGTAGATGCGAAATACTTCGGTAGATCATATAACTCGTTCATATATTCATATTTACTCTTCTAAATCCAACTCTTGTCAAGGGTATATCTATCATCCACTAACTTAATTGATTGAACCAATACAAAATATAATAGCGCCTGACAAAGTAAATAATGATGTGGTGACCGAACCTTGTGAAACCCTCCCGTGATGCTAACGCTTGCGAATGAACAGTAACAATATAACAAAAATCTTTGATGGTCCACGTACGAAGTCATATGCTCAACTTACTTACTCATCCTTGCCAATAGAGCTCAGAGAATGTGCGAGTTTCAGCAGGACGACACTTTCAGTTGCCGCAAAATAGTTCAGACTGGCGTTCAACACGCATACGTTAGTATTCTTCGTTCATTCACCTCATCATCGTGTCTAGCTTCATACCTGTCTAAGAGTATTCGCAAATGGCGATTGAAGTGATCCTCGTATCTCTTCAAGGTGTCTTCCAGCTTGGTCAATCGCGTCGAATCGTACGGACGGGCATCGGCAGGCGCTCCAGGCGCTCCAGCGGACAGATCTGGATCGGCCGAGGACATACTCCGGCCTAGCGATGCTGCTGTCCAAGAGGCAAACATTGTGCAGCATGTCATGAGTTTAGAATGGATCTGGAGGGAGGGGAAAGATGTCAGTATGTTTCAACCCTGAATGCAAATGTAGTATGTTAATACCTTTAAAAGTTTGGCCTGAGTAAGCATGCATTCCTTGAGACACGTATCGAGGAAATCAACATGATCTTGCATTAACTCGTCTACCGTTCGATTAACCTGTCTCGATCCTCCATCTACATCTCCAGGCAGACTGTCCCCGCCAGCTGCAGTGCCGTTGACACGCTCCATCAGGTTCTGCCAGTTGGGCTCAATGACTTCGGCGGTGCAGAAATATAGAAGTTGTTGGATGAAAACTAACATCTTCGCGCGAAGGGTCCACGCTCTTCTCTTCCACATTTCCAGCCTCCGATCAGACGACTTATGGCGCCAGCCAAGCACTTTTTGTTGGTCTTGCCAGGAAGTGACGAGGAGATTTTCCAGATGTCGCAGTGATAAGAGATATCGGAATATGAGCTGGTATCTCAAGACCGTCTTTCGACTAATCACAAGCGACAACGGGAATGGCACCATGTAGTCCAGTTCAAGAGCGTCAAACCCAATGATATCCTTCTCGTCTTCGGCTGGCTGAGTGGTAGGGGCTTGATATTTCTCAACCCCGCCATCTGGATTGTCTTGATCAATGCCGGAGACGCTGACAACCTGCATCAGCCACCTGGTCAGGCCAATCTTGTTCATTTTCACTTTGACATCTTCCTTGAAAGGGTCTGAGGCGGCAATGCTCCCCGGTTGTCGAAGCACCAAGTCAAGAAGGGACTGAAGCTTGCTCTCGTTCACGTTCTTTGCAGCCTTGCGAAGTTCAGAAGCGCTTAGTTCCATGAAGTAAGAAAAGAAGTCCGATCTGTCGAGGAAGAAGTAGTGTTTTAACGAACGGAAACGTGTGGTTAGTGAATTCTCGGATAGGAGAAGGTTTAGCAGAGATGTGTTTGCGTAGGCGTAAGCACTGTTCACGTTGTCTAGGAATCGGGGATCATCGAAGGTCTTCGGAATATCTTTGACGGCTTTATTGACATCCACTCCTCCACACTCTCGTACAACATTGAGGTATTTCCCGGCAAGTAGCACTTTATCCCGGACGCTCTCTAACTGTGGTGGTACCTCGTTATCACGAATCGTGTACCGCTTCTCCCAGTACTCGTCAGTGTAGTCTTCTTCAAGCTTTTCTCTCTTTATCCACTTCTGTTCCTTGATCAAGAATTCACTGTGGGGGTCCCTTATCACCCCATGGTGCAGCCATTCATTCAGCATCGTCATATACGGCCTGCTAGCCTCTCGAAGCAATGTCTGCAGCAGTGTCTTGGTTGCGGGATCCCCCGAAAACGTGGCCAGCCGTTCCGTCAGAAGCCCCAGAACATTACCACCTTTACATATCTTTTTGCTCGACATACTCCCCGGTACAAGATCGCCACCTTCCTTGAGCTGCTCGAGAATGTTGTCAACGTCATCAAAGTCGTCGATTGACTCGTCCAGATCTTGGTCAAGTAGCTTATTACGTCTTAACAACTCCTGACTGAGCGAATGAAGTTGCGCTAAACTCTGGCTCGTCGGCATGGTCTGAAGGTGAAGAACGTGTAAGGTGAAATTCGGGTTGTTGAGTAGCTGATTCTCGAGCTGTGCTACGAGAATCAGATAATCTTTCAAGAGCTTTCGAATAGCTGCGCACAGGGCATGACTGACTGCGCCATACTCTGGGCGACTCAGCACATCCACGAATGCTTCCAGGGCGCTGTAATGCGTAGCCATTTTTAGCATCGAGATTGTCAAATCCTTCAGACTGGGATCTAAGCCTGAGCCGATCTGGAAAGATGGGCCAACTAGCCGGTCCTTTTCCACCGAAGGATCGTATGAGGTGTGGTAGCGTATATATTGACCTTCGTAACCCATGAACACAAAAAGGATGTCCTGCAAGATAGCATTCTCTTGCTCGTCCATAGACATTTCTTTAAACGATATAGGTTCGAGCGTCTGCGGAGAAATCGACGCAAGAGGAGGTACTGAGACACGACTTGCCAAGGGAGCAGAGGAGTGAGGAATCAAAGCAGCCTGAGGGATCCATGGCACTAGATATTACTTGCAGTCAGCGTAACTAACTTCATAACAGGAACAGCAAGTCGAACTATTGCGTACCGTCTCCAGCGTCCTTTTCCTTCCACCTAGGAGGAGGCGAGGCTGTCTTTTTGGACCTTGATCTTTCAAATTCTCCACGATTGCCTGCATTCGGGGACTCCTTGACTGGATTTCGCGTCTTGACGTGAATTTTGTCGCGCGTTGTAACCGCTGTCCGCTCCGTTCGGCGGTCAACTGCCGTGCTCCCGGGTTCTCTGTGCACGCCTCTCGCGCTCGAAGTACTGCCGCGGAGATGTTCCATCTTTTCAGAGAGCAGCGGTGATTTGATGCTAGCCTCTTCGCCTTGTCGAGACGCCCTGTAGTCGCTTTCGCCAACAGCGCGCCTGGAAGCGACGCGGGGTCGTGTACCGCCGCCTATGTTGTAGCTGGCAGCACGGCGATCATTGGAGGACATAGCCTTTGGGTAAAGCCGGTAGTGTTGGCGGCTCGGAGCATGGAAATAGAGCGAATGTTAACTAATGGCGTAAGTCGTAGGATTTGAGCTGCGTTGACAACCACCAACTGCCATGCCAAAACTGTATGCGGCCCAAGTTGTGTATGGGGTTTCTGTTTCGGGCCTAGCGCCCAGGCACCGGCGGCTGGCCTGGGCGGGTCATGATGAACTGACCGACAGCTTTGAGCTCGACAAGCTTGCTATTCCCTCCATCGCCTTACCTGCTGCTCATCTGCCTCTGCTTAACTCCCGCCGTCTCGGATTCGCCCTGCATTTGCTCTTTCAAATAGAAGACTGCTACAGATAACTAGTACAATATGTTTATTGCGCGATCAGAATACGGTAAGCTGCTGACCAGCTCAACTGCTTGTCATGATTTGTATCTAACAGCTCTGTGCAGACCGCGGAATCAAGTATGCACCGCCGATATGTTATGCTACGGACGGTCTTTGAGCTTAACTGACAATCGTTGACAGCACCTTCTCGCCTGAGGGTCGTTTGTTCCAGGTCGAATACTCCTTGGAAGCTATTAAACTCGGTTCGACTGCCATCGGAGTATGTCTGCTATTCCATTTCCACCATCTCTCATCGTTCTGCACACCCGTCGTTGTTCAAGAACTTACAACCGCTAACGGCAAGCAATAGGTCGCTACGTCGGAAGGCGTTGTCCTCGGTGTCGAGAAACGTGTCACTTCTTCGCTGCTTGAGACGTCGTCCGTGGAAAAGATTGTCGAAATCGACCAACATATTGGCTGCGCCATGTCCGGTCTGCAGGCAGATGCACGCTCTATGATCGAACATGCCCGTGTTGAGTGTCAGAACCACGCATTCCATTTCTCCGAATCCCTTCGCGTTGAGAGTTGTACACAAGCGATTTGCGATTTGGCGCTGAGATTTGGCGAGGGAGCCGATGGCGAAGAGAGTGTTATGAGCCGGCCATTCGGTGTGGCACTTTTGATCGCTGGTTATGATGAGGATGGGCCACAACTGTAAGCTCACAAATCAATGGCCGCCTGATTGGAAGTGAATGGAAAGAGAAAAGCACATTTTCGCCTAACACTATAACTAGATTTCACGCCGAGCCTTCCGGAACATTTTACCGATACGACGCAAAGGCCATCGGCTCCGGTAGTGAAGGTGCCCAAGCCGAGCTTCAGAACGAGTATCACCGCTCCCTCACCCTCGCCGAAGCGGAGACACTTGTGCTTAAGACCTTGAAACAAGTAATGGAGGAGAAACTGGATGCTAAGAATGTGCAGCTGGCCAGCGTTACGAAAGAGAAAGGATTCCGAATTTACGGCGAGGAGGAGATGGGTCGCGCAGTTAGTCAGTTGGGTGGAAATTAGACAAGCCATTTTTCGCGAGAAACACTGTTTCTTTTTTATCATTGTCAAAAAACAATATGTAGTCACGAAGAATATTATTTAGTTACATCCTGAGGGTTGGACTATACAATATGCTTGATCCAATGGAATTTTTCTGTCCGGGGTGACCAGTTGCAGTATCACTATGTAGTATGTACTATGATGGATAAGCCATGCCAGAGAATGGAAGCCTATCTAATCTTATATACACACGGCTTCAAAACCTTGGCCTCCTGTTCGGCGGTCAATCCTTTGCTACTCTCATCATCATGATAGTCAATGAACTTCTTCTTAGTCTGCACTGGAGCCTGCTTGTCTCCGCGTGCAGGAGTCACACCGGCATATTTGCCCTTCGTTGGTGCACCGCCAGCCTTCACAAACTCCATCTTGACGAACATCTTATTCGACTTGTCCACGGACTCCTGCTTGAGTATAAAACCCCGAGACTTGAACACTTCCACGAACGCAGAAATGTCGGTGTCGTCGCCATTGCTACTTGCATTTTGTGGAGCATCTTCAGCATAAATTTCTTCATCCTCGTCCTCGTCGTCATCAATGTCGTCAGAGTCGCTGTTCTTCTTCTTTTTGTTTTTCTTGCTGTTCTTCTTCTTCTGTGTGTTTGACATGTCCGCCCTTTTCAGTCCGATTTGAGCCTTTTTGCGAGACACCTTGCCAAAGCGGCTCTTGACTTCACTAACCCAGCATTCGCCTTTGCCATCGCTGCGTAGTACGCGCCAGGCTTCTTCGACGAATGATACCCAGTTTGTGCCCATCAGACTGAGACAGAAGATCGTAATATCAACGCTTCCATCGGTAACGGGAAGATTTGAAATATCTGCCTTTGTGACTACGGAATCAGGTGCTTGTAGATCGTAACTGAGTAGTTTTACTTGCAACTTCTTGACCGACGGGGTCAAAGCACGCGCAAATTGGGCATCGCCACAGCCCAAGTCTGCGATTGTGCATAGACCGTTTGGTCTGCGGGGCAGAGCCGCGATCTGGCTTTTGTTGCCGTGTCTTTTGTCGGCGTGTGCTGAGATGGCGCCCCGTTTCCGGACGGCGGCAATGTATCCATCTACAGGGTTCGAGGGCCATGATTCCTTGACTTGCTGCGAAAAGCCAGCGTGATATTCCGCAAACAGTTCCGGGTTGGCATCGAACATTTCAAGGGCTTGTTTGGAGGGGGTGGTGTAGAGGGTCTCGTTAAGATGGCGGAAGCGAGCAGACACGAGCTTGTCACGCATTTTCTGCTGGAGCGGCGTAAGTTTGGCTGCCGCTGCAGGTGGGATTGAGGGAGGTAATTGAACGGCTTCAACGGCTGGGGCATCACCAGTCACCGTATCAGCTTTTGGCGTGTCGCCGTTGGTCTGTGGTTTGTCCCGGTTGCGGTTGTTCTTTTTCTGTTTTTTGCTCAAGCGACCACTTTCCTCTGCGTTGGCAGCAGATTCCCCTGCAACTTGACGCTTTTCTTTTTGATTCCCATTAATGTTCCCATTTTGCTTCTTGTCCTCTCCCTGATCCTTCTTCTTGTCCTTGCCCTTGTTCTTTTTGTTGTTGTTTTTATTTCCCCTCGAATCAACTTGCCCTTCGATGTGACGCCGAAACATTTCATCCAAGTTAGACTTGGTAACGCCATCCCCTCTCTTCCTCTTTTTTGCGCTTTGACTCGCTGCTTTCCCATTCGCTTTCGCTTCAGTGGGTACGTCGGGCGTGACTGCAGTTTCTTTCTGCTTGGACGATGAGTCTTCCTTTTGCGACTTCAGGTCGGAGGTCGAGATCGACCAGCCGGGGACAGCGAACATGGCTGCAATTGGCTTCCTGTTTGTATGCTACAAGAAGATGGAAATAGGGAAAGCCGCCAATGATCTTTTTTGATCGGCCTCTTCCGTCATTGACCTGCCTTCGATGGATAGAGGTCATTCACAGCTTTCCAAGCCTGGGAAATTTTTCGATTACGGCCGGCAGAATGTTTGCGAGTGCTGCCCCTTTCGACCAGTAATATCGGTGGGCGGTCAGCCATGCGTCTTACTATGCCATCGGCTCGTGCCGCACCGAACATTCACACGAGGTGAGAGAACGCTTTCAACGACTATATCACCACAGATTCGACCGTATGATAGGGATATTCCCTTTGACGTCCATTAGTGCCACAGCACTACATCGAGTCGGCGAAGTATCTCCCGCCGCTGGGCACTAAACAAAGCCTATCTCGCAGTATAAGCCTGGAAAAGGCAAGCCTGCACCTGCTGTTACCCAACGTTGACTATTGAGTTAATTGAACAATTCGCATGCCATCATGCGCCTGTCTAAGTTTGGAATCAATATGGGCCAATATATTCATCTGCCATCATCGGCATCAGTGCCTCGTTTCCGATCCAACATCACTTGAGTGATTTTCGTAGCAGAGCCTCCGCCAGGCTGAACTCTACCGAGGGCCTTTAATATATCCGCGTTACATTCCGCAGCGGAGATTAGAGATAGGCATCTCTCGAATCTGCGTTATGGTGAACGGGATGGCCAAGTCTAGTCAGTCACATTGGCTATAAAGCCACGGCTTCAGCTTCGTGCTCGGCTCTTTTCACTTTGTTCCACTTGTAGCTAGTAAACGACTCAACAATTCCCGGTTGGTATGCGTGGTAACCGATCTCAAGTTAGACCATTCATGTCGCACAAATGTCCTCCGGGCGCTGGTAAATCGTTCCCCATATCGTCAGTCCTAGCAACTTTTTGACTTTGTGTTTGCTGGTCAAGTGGCGTTCCTGGCACCCATAAAGTCTCGTAGGATCCATGGTTGCAGCAGCGTACCCGATACATGCTCTTTTTGTCCGAACTGAAATTGAGCTAGTCGTCAACGTTCGATTTGCAGTGCACAAAAAGCAACGCGGTAGAGTGGAAACTAGTTTGTTCTTGGGTTTGTAGCACTCACTATCAGCTCACGACTCGGCCAGGATTACGCGCCATACATGTAGCGACAGATGGATGGGAGGTATATATCGGTGGCCCATTCTGGAAGACAAAATTTTTATTTTCCCCTAGCATTCTTATTATATTTGCCTCTCTCCGTTGGGGTTTCGCTGCTTTCTGTGCGAACGCTGGGAGCCGGATGCAAGATCACGATGGCGCACGATTTGGTAGGGAGCAGCATAACAACCCACAGGCAGACAAGCAACCAGCCAACAGTGATGCTCCCACGTTTCGGATTCCTAAACGGAGGACCAAGACAGGATGCTTGAGTAGGATCCCCGGTGCTAGCGAAAACCACCGCGTTGACTGACATTAAAATGAACACACAGCCTGTAGGAAACGGCGCATCAAGTGCGGGGAGGAAAAGCCTCGGTGCAACAACTGCGTCAAGGCCAAGCGAGAGTGCGAAGGATACACGCAGAGAGTCGTGTTCAAGAACACGCTCGGCGTGGGTTATGATCCGGCCGTGCCTGCCAACCTGCAAGTCCCCGTGACGCTCCTGCCGCGACAGCAACAGCAACAGCAGCAACAGCAGCAACATCACCAACACCACCAACAACATCAACGTCAACCCGGACAGCCGCTTGCTGGCCAAGTGCTGAACCCCCAGCAGCGCCTGCTTGCACCGCGTCTGCCGAATGTTCCGCCACCTCAGTTTGCTCAACCACCCTCGCAGTATGCTTCTATCCCGAGTCGAAGCCACTCATGGCAACTAGAGCAGCCCTCTGTTCCTCTCACTGTGGACAGATATGCTGTCCAGGCCCAAACAAGTCCGCCTGTTGCCCAATCTGCCTACTTATCTCTGTCTCTTGGGAGTAGTCATCCCTTTGAGGGTGGCTTTCAGCCTGGCCATGATCCAGCGAACCCATCTGGTGAGAGGGCCAGGCTGGGGGTTATCAACCATGCACTACCGCCTCGCCAAACTCTGGAGCCTCCTTCGGCATTTGCCAACCAGCATGATCAGTGTCTTGCGGGAACCCTTGACAGTTACACTGACAACACTTTTCAACAAGCTCAGGCTTATCACTCATGGAATTCCGAAGATCAAGGTAAGTCCTCACTGGCTAGACTTTGCTTCCTGGAAATAGCAACGTTTGTGGCTGATCAATGCTCGCGATACTGTGATTCAAGAAGCAGCTTTCCCTGTGCTATATTCACCTGACGCTGTTGAGGACGACTACTACGATGTTGATTCAGATGAGGAGCTAGTATACGTGACTGGCGAAGAGGGCTTCAACCAGTTGAATCTCATCATGGCCTCAGCACACCAAGATGCGATTCGGTCGTATAATACATATCTCAATGAACCGAACATCCTCGCATCGTATCAGCCCTCTATGGGGTCATCGCCACTGAACAACCCCAAAACGGCGCGAATCTGGGTGCACTTTATTCACGCCACTGGCCCTTCTTTGTCAATTTGGGAACGACATAATACGAATGCAACGACACTACTCAGTGGTCCTGTGCCGCCGTCGCAGCAAGGACTATGGACCTATGTGATGCCTCTGAAAGCCCTCCAGCATCCCGCCTTGCTTCAGACAATACTAGCCATGAGCAGTTTCCATATTGCCAAGCTGCAAGAGAATAATTTCATTATCACATTCAAGCATTACCAGTATGCCTTGAGAAAGATTTCTAAGGCCGTCGGCTTACCGTCACGTCGCAAGCAAGTGGCCACGCTCGCCGCAACCCTTCTTCTTGCCTTTTACGAAGTTACTGCAGGGGAGCATTCGAAATGGGACAGCCATATTGCCGGTGCTGCGCAACTTCTGAAAGAGATTGATTTTGTGGGAATTACCAGAGATCTTAGGGCTTATCGACGAAGCATACTGTCCCAAAAACAGCACTTGTGGGGTCAATACGATGCCTTTGTCCGCCATGGATACGCTGAGGATGACCCATTTGCAGACAAGGAGTTAGGAGTAGATCCGAATGCCGTCTCGACAATCAGCGGGAAACTTGTTGATTTTGACCGAATAGGGCACGTGGATAGCTATCCGAGGTATAGAAGGAAACACTTCTCACGCAAGGATATCGACAACTTCAGACTTCGGTGTGACTTATATTGGTGGTACTGCAAGCAGGATCTTTTCCAGAGCTTGATAAGTGGCAACAGACTGCAGTAAGTGAGCGTCCTTTCTCCACACTACATATGAGCCCCCGATTTCTAATCACCTTCTAGTACCCCCTACGAACGGTGGGATCAGTGTCCTCCTCGTGCTGGTCTTGGAAAGATAGATGCACTATATGGTAGCTTTGACCACCTCGTACTCCTCATGGCTCGCATGATGGATTTCGGCTATCGAGACCGAAAGCGTAAAATTAGAAGCCTCGAAGCTTCTGGGGGAGAATGGCGTCCTCATCCTGGGTTCTTTAGGTTTCTAGGTCGTTTTGGGCCTCCAACACCACCAGGAGGACCTCGGGGCCTGTCTGATAGCAGTAACAAGGTATGACAAACTGCTTTTTGCATTGAAAGAGGAAAAAGGAACTTGGGAATCCCACTAACGACAAGCAATTCAGCGACCACCGCCGGCTGGAGGCTCTGGAGAAACCCCTATGTATGGCATGATGCCAACAGCAGGTCCCAGTGCGGCACCTGTTGCTTTTACGTCAATGGGTGAATCTCCGCCATACGCAGGTTTCACGGATAAAGATGAAAATTCAACAATCAACGAAGCGGAGGCCGAATGGGAGAGTATTCTAGCTGCCTACGAATATTACGAGAAGCATCTAGGAGAAGCGTTTGCACCTTTACCAGAGGACACTGTCACACCAGTCAGTTCCCCATTTGGACCAGCATTGCAATACCGGTCTCATAAGATTGCGGTACTCTGGGCATACTACTATACTGGCAGGATAATGCTCAACCGTTTGCATCCTAGTATGCCACCAGCCGCGATGATAGCGACAGTAACATCGGCCTCGACATGCGAGGGTTTTGCGCAGACGATTGGAAAGATAGCTGCTGGGTCGTACTATCCGCAAATGGATACTCAAGAGATAGGCAGCATCAATCCGAATTTGGGTGCTGCGTGGATTGAAATCACACTCACTCTGTACGTGGCAGCAGTTCAATACACTGATGCAACACAGCGAGCCTGGACTGTGGCGACTTTTCGAAATCTCGCTCGCCTCACTGGGTGGAAATCCGCAGAAACAATTGCAAATGGCTGTGAATTTGCGTGGATCCGCAGGGCTGAAGCAGGACGTGGTCCTTTTTATAGACCAAGTCCAGTTTCTTCCGAAAAAGTAAGTTCCAGCTCCGAATGTTGTAGGAAGAAGAGGAAGCTTACTCCTTCACAGGAAGGAGTCAACGCAGGCGGTGAATGGATCAATCGACAAACAACGCAAGATCCCAATAACGAGAGACGCTTTGTAACCGTTGAAAGACCGCATACACCATGGGCGCAGGGGCTATTACAGCTGGAAAGCGATCTCACCGACCTCAAACTTGGTAATCGGCATTGATTACATAGGGAGATGCTAGGGCGAATTGATTTTTTGATCGTGGTCGAAAGCAAGCTGTATACCTACGGGATATATACCCAATATTTACGAATGCACGTTTGTATGGTTAACTAGTCACTGCACCATCGTACGACCTTTATTTAGGGCGATAGAGTAGATGCGGAGTAAGTAAAGTCCATTGCAAAGTACATAGTAGGCACTCCGTGGATGATGCGCGCTTGCCGCAGCGAAGATCTTCGGCCGATCTCAGGCCCCGACGTCCAACCGCAGACATCCACCACGAGCAAAGCTAGACTCGCACCGCGGTCGCATTGCCACTACCATGTCTTGAAAATGCCTATGTGCATTGAGTGCTCCTACCCCGTGTCGCAGCTCTACACGTCTTACAGCAAAGCCGACGACCGCGCGCTCGGCAAAGGTGTCCGCCTTACGCAATGTCCGCGCTGCAAGCGATTCGCCGACAAATACGTCGAGCACGATAATGTGGTTTTGTTTATCGACCTGGTGCTCATAAAGCCTCAGGTATGCTCGAATACGTGCCCAATGTGTCTTGGTCTCAGGCTTACCTAGAGGGGGGCGCGCGCGCGCGCGTGTGTGTGTGTGTGTAATAGGTCTACCGTCATTTGCTCTTCAATCGCTTGGGGAGGGATGACAAGAAACTCGACGTAAGTGAAATTGCTGCATTTTGGTTAATCTGTTCGCATCACTCTGACAGGAAGTGTATACCAATAGCGCTCGATCATACGCCTCGGAGTGCTCCTGCTTCTATTCGATGTCTATCTGACGTGGGCGCGCATTGAGAAATCCTCCACCCTCGCCTCGACCTCGCTGTCTACGTCGCCAATCATCGTGCAATATCTTTTCTTTCTCACGCTCAATGCGCTTGCGACGCTGGCTCATCACTTGGTGGTGCGGCTAGGAGCGTCGATAATACCCAAACGATCTCAAACAACCTCACTTGCGCCTGGAGATGGCACAAACGAGACACCGTCAACACCCACTCTTTCCAGCCCGAGTCTTGCCTCCGCCTCCATGAACGTGACTCGCTCATCCTCCAGCCAAGATATCCTGCACAGAAATAACAGAAATAGCAATTATCCTCCGTCGTACTGGCCCCCTGACACGTCACCCCCGCTTGCAGGGCAAACAACGCAACTACGGCGTGTGTCGACTTCCCCAGCACAGCTACAGCCACTGCCGCCCCCGTCTCCGCCCAGCGCCAATGCCGTTAGCACGGCTCTATTTGTCAGTAGCTGTCCCAAGCTGTTCCCGATACTTCTGGTGATATGGGGTTCGAAGGAGGCCGCCATTCCCGACGAAGGCAGTGCCACTGCCGACAGTCCTGCTGTTACGAAGCTACACCAGACGTTAGTGACTACAACTTCGTCGTTCTTGTCAGGCTCGACCATGACGCGTCCCGAGGCGTCATTGTCATCGTCGTATGTGTCGATGAACAGCGAGGCTGCCATCAGAAGCAGCGGCATCCCAACAGCGTCATTTTTCGGCAGTAGTTTTGCAACGCTTTTCTCGGCATTTGATTTGCCCTCTTTGCTTTCCTTTCTCTCATTGGGCACGGCATCTACACACTTGGTCCTGTTGAATAATACAGAGGCTCTCTATATCCTGCTGGACTGCGGGTATCTGTGGGCTGTTGCTCTCGCTGTTGCGGGCCAGCTTGCTCGGTGGCTTGTGGAGAAGCTGATACTGAGGCTTTTCGGGATTTACTGAGAATAGTACTGCTGTATAATTTTATGAATGATAATGAGATACCCCTCCAATCGCTGTGCAGAATCAAATAAAGACCGCTGCCCCTGGCATAAGTAAGAACAAGGCCAGGACTCCACCGCACGTACAGAACCAACGCATATGACAGCTCAGACGATAGAATAAATCCCCGACTCGCATCGCCTTGAAAGCTGACTGGCACCCGGTCCCCAGGCTTCATATTTTCTACAGAGAAGATACGACAACGAAATCGGTGCCAAACACTGAAACATCAGGGCTGATTCTGCACTAGGCCCAGAGAGTTCTAGTGATGTGACCCTGAGACGCTTCGTGCGTCACTTTCCTTGCCCAACTAACTACCTCTCCTGCAGCAAAGCGCTATTCCTGGAAAAACAGCAGGCGAAGCTGAAACAGACATATAGCTCGCTTTGCTTGCTGCCAGACTTTTCATTCTTTCTCTAGAAACTACGACTGGGAACTTTGTTTCTATCCCTTCTGCCTGGAGCCGCCCGCCCCTCATTTATTCCATTCCGCCCGCCTGAACCGTCATTGTCAGCGGAGACGGTCACTCATCCACGGTTCATCGCAAGTCACGCCCGTGGTTCGAGTGACGGGTTGTTTACTACTGATCAAGCAATAAGAGGAATACTTAGCCGGGTCGTTTTGCTTGTATTACAGGCAACACGCGCCGCAGCTTCTCAGGATATGCCTACTTACGAAGACATCCGGTCCACCACCGACAGCTACGCCAGCGGGGGTGGACGATGGGACACAGAGCGCTTCACACGTGAGCGCGATGAGCGCATGTACCGTGGTCCCGCGCCGCCGCCTGCTCCTCTAGTGAGGGAACGCTCACGATCACGATCACGACCACCGCCGTTTTCTGAGCGACGTCACCGTGGAAGCGATCGCTTCGTCGATGACCGATTTGAGCGCCGCGTGGTTGAGGAGGAGGATATCTATGGTCCACCGGGTCGTCGCAGAGACCACCGCCATGTGGAGGAAGAGGATGACTTTTACGCTGCTCGTGGTTCGGGCCCGTTGATTCATCGTCGAGAACATCATGATGACTCGTTTCGTCCTCCTCGCTTATTGAGACGGCAATCCTCTCTGGATACCTTTGACAGACAGCCGGCACGCAGAATTGAGCGTGCGCCTCCTATTAGAGGGGTGCGTCGTGGTCCTTCGCAGAGACGACGACCATCAGGAGGTCGATTTGTTGAGCGCGACGAGTACGAAGAGATTGATATTGCGGAACCTGACATTTATGGTGACGAGGAGTTTCGCCATTTCCGGGAACGAGATAGGCCTCATCTAGTTAGAGAAGAACTAGTCAAGGAGAAGATCGTCGAGAAGGACAAGCCGTACCCGCGCAAGGGCAAAACCAAGATGCCCAAGCGCCTGGTACATCCTCGGGCAGTCCAGGAGCTAGGCTATCCGTACATTGAAGAGGTGCGATACGAAGATGCTCATCTTCGAAGCTCTATTTTCTAACCCTGTTGGTTGATTTATAGGAACGAGTCATCATCATCCAGAGAGCTCTCTCGAAGGAACTAATCGACGAGGTGGTGAGCTTAAGCAGGGAAATACGGCGCCGATCCGACAGTGAGCATATCTCCCGTTTCGTCCATGTATATGCACTAACTGTTCCCAGATGTTGTCTACCGAAGGTATGAGTCGCCATCCCCTTCAGTGCGCGAACGAGAGTTCGTCGAGCGTGTTGTTGTCGCCTCTCCCTCCCCGGTGCGTGCTGAACGCTTGTATGTTGAGGAATCGCCCTCTCCCTACCGTTACCGGAGTCCCTCTCAGGTTCGTGCCGGGCGTTATCTCGAGCGCCCGGAGATAGTCGAGTCACGACCTCGATCGGTATCCGTCAATTATCCTCGGCCCGCATCACCGGTGATTATCGAGCGGCGTGGAGAAGAGGTGCGCACTGGGCCTGTTGTCATGGTTGAGCGGCCCCGTCGTTCGGCACATGATGTCAACGAAGAGATCCGCGCCCTTGAGGATGAAAGGAGGATGCTCCAGATTGAGCGTCTTCCAGAGCATTCGGGTGGCGTGGAGATCATCAAAGACAAGGTTATTCATCGGAGCGACGGTCAGACGGAGGAAGTTCTTGAAGTGAAGAAAGATCGAAGACGTGAGTTTTGAGTTGCCCTTCGTGAGCTGTTAAACATAGCTGACATGCGGTCATGATATAGCCGGCGATTCACGCCTTATCCGTGCGATGATGGCGACCTTGACGTGATGCATCTATTGAAATGACCGACGAGGGGAGGACATGGGTTTATTATGCATTGTTCAATTGTGACTTGGATTGTTGCGCGGCGTTTGAGTGTATTCGAGGGTTCGACACGATGTAACGACAGGACATGGGTTCCGCAGGATCTGATAGTAAGATGTGTATGATTCACTGGTGATTTCGGGTAATATATCGTTCAATGTCCACCAATATCAACGCCTCATTCCGCTGTAAAATTATCTACGAGCGAGAATCGAAAGCTTCGTAGCCGTTGAAGAAAAGTGGGGGCTAGCAGCAGCTGCCTCAGCCCTCAGGCACCAAGGTTTCAGCTTGCGACAGCCCAGAACTCCTTGGGTTAACCAACCCAAACAATCCGCAACTTCTGCTACGCTCGCTCGCAAAACTCCCAAGTTCGTTTTCAAGAGATATCGATACCTAGGCCTCATACTATATACGAGCTCTTCTTTTTTTCTAATTGACCAAGATGGATAAACTGCAGGCTTTCGGAAAGAACTTCAAGTAAAGCTCCCTGCCCCTCCTTATCGCCCCCGTGTTTGTTTGATGCCCGCGCAAGTCCCAGGCTGAACACGTTGATCCTGACTGACGGACGTCTTGTTTTTGTATATAGCGCCCAGTTCACGCCTTTCGCGGCTCGCACTCAGCAATTTGTCAAGGAGCAGCTTGGCACTGCAGATGAAAAGACCCAGTTGCCTGACGATTATCTCGAGCTCGAGAAGCGTGTCGATGCTCTGAAGCAGGTCCACCAGAAGCTTCTTTCCGTTACGTATGTATATGTATTCAGAAACCTGGCGTGACCGCCAAGACCACGTGCTAATATTGCTATTGGAATAGCTCCCAATATTCGAACGAGCCGTATGATTACCCACCAAACATCCGGGAATCTTTCAATGACCTCGGCCGCACCATCAACGAGAAGGTCCAGCTACTATCCCATGCCTCATCTCCTGCCGAAGCGCAGGCTGCCCTGACCGCACCGCCATCTGCGAAGCCTCAGCCCAAGACTTTCAGTCATGCTATCGCGCGTGCTTCCCTTTCGGGATCGCAGTTGATCGCGCAGACCTCCCCCAATGAAGACCCACTTGCTGTCGCACTGGAGAAGTATGCACTTGCATTGGAGAAGGTTGGCGAGGCCCGTTTGGCACAGGATGCTCAAATTCAGTCGCGATTCTTGGCTGGATGGAACACCACCCTCAACACAAATTTGACATTTGCTACCAAGGCTCGCCGCAATGTTGAGAACTCTCGGCTTACCCTGGACTCTGTCAAGGCTAAGAAGAAGGCCGCTGCTGGTGGTGACTTGGACAACTTGACTGAGGAAGCTCGCGTTGAGATTGAGCAAGCTGAGGATGAATTTGTCGGGCAGACCGAGGAGGCAGTCAGCGTGATGAAGAACGTATGTTTATATTCATTTATCTGGTGCTTTGTCACCTGCAAACTAACAGAACATGCCTACAGGTTCTTGATACCCCGGAACCCTTGAGGAACCTTGCGGATCTGATTGCCGCCCAGCTTGAGTACCACAAGCGATCATACGAGATCCTCTCCGAACTGGCGCCCGCTGTTGACGCGTTGCAAGTTGAGCAGGAGGCGAGTATATAGCTCCATGTCCCGTCTTACAATGCCACTAATGGAAAGCATACAGGCCAACTACCGCAAGAGCCGTGAGGGTGCTTAAACGGACGAATGTTTTTGTTGGTCGCATTTGATGTCGGAAGCTGTGTGCTTATCTGTTTCTTTTCTTTTCTTTTCAGTTGGACTGGACTGCCTTATTTGGTACTATGTTATAAGCTTGTGATGTGATTCCCAGGACCCAAGGACTGCCGTCGTTTCTACATGGAATTTCGTTCTATGTATCTTTTATATCTTATGCAATTTCCTGCTTCACTATTCCTCTTCCGTGTAGCTATTGTAGCTGTTTCTCACTTCTATGCTTATAAAGCATAGTGGTTGTAAAATTGTTTCGCAGGTAGACACAAGTCATGCCAACGTTGATGTAGAGAGAATCACATGATTTTACCCGCGCTTCAATCAGATTTGCCAAGCCTGCACCAGGCGCCATCCGCCGCAGCTCTGGCATTGCTCAACTCTATAACCACGACAAGCTACAACAATCCCATTTGGCTGGGACGAACAGGCATTACAGAGCTCACGGCGGTATTTCCCTTGCGTCTACCTCAGGACCCGTCAATACAGTCTCGACTGCCGTCTTATTTAGTCGCCAATCTATTGTTACCGTCTACCGATCTTCCACCGATTGATCCTCTTCGATCGACAGCTTTCGAGAACGAGTCGACTATCATTCAACTACGATTGCAGACTTCTCTCATCGTCTTGCTGACGAACTTGCCAATCGTTTGTACATACATACAGCATATTATTTGACCTCCGGGCTCCCGAGCAGCGAAACATCGTCGTCGCATCTACACCTTTCTTTTTCCTATTAGGATCCATTCAATCATACAAAAAGGGCTGCGAGGGGTTGTCCAACATATCCATAATGGCGAACGGGTAAGGGAAGGAACAAGTGTTTTTTTAGGGAATTACTTAAGCTGACCAGATTTGTCGCAATCAAGAGCAAGTATTATAATCGGTCTTATTTTCGTGGTCTTGGCCTGTCTCTGCGCGTGGTTCTTTGCGCCAAAGGGTGACAATCAAACGTATTATCCCTGTTTTTCTCTCGCTTTTCGCAACTCAACTTGGATATGCTGGGTTCTTTTTCAGGCCAGTGTAAATGGATAAGTGCTGATTTATATCTTTGGCGTGAACAGGGTCTGGAGGAGCAGTCTCATTCTTGGCTTTTCTGCTTGTTATCTTATGTGGGGTATGTTTTTCTTATTGATGGTTCCCTTTTGTGTCCGAATATGGAGAGCTAACGTATAACTTGTCTGGATTATAGCTATCACGTTCCTTGCACAGTGGCATCCTCTTATTGCGCCTACGAGATCGGATATGCGTCCCGGCCGGGTGCCGGAGTAGAGAAGCTTTGATTATTTTTTAAATATTTTGTTCTTGGGGGCGATGGTAATGGAGATTATAGCTATGCGAATTGATATATTCTTCTTCTTATGTATTTGTTGATTGGCTTATACCTCGAATTCTCCGACAGATCAATACCAGATCACTATATGTATATTCACGAGTCTTGAAATTGCTCTAGCGTTTTGAATGGCCTGCATTCGAGACCTGGCGTTAGCATAATACGAGTATGATACTGTCGATCTCAGGCGACAAGACGCCTAAAAGGTTCATCATAAAGAGCCATTTGGCCCTCGAATCGCAACTCGATTGAATCAGTCTGCATCACTTGTTTACATACGTCCAACTGCGTCCGAGCTCCCAAGGAGGTATATTGTACTACCATACACTACAAAGTCACCGCCCACACAGGATGGTGCTTACATAGCTACGTACAGCTAACTATTCCTTCATGAACAACCGGCGTGCGAACTAAAAATCTTCCACGCTGTCACTATGGCAGGCTGCGTTCCTGGATGCAAGATCCCGTAACTCACCCCAATCACCGCAGCGATGTAGTTGGCCGTCGCTGGCCGCGAAGTTGCCGGTGGTGTACATATAGGCTTTCACCCGCTTCCCGAGATGTCTGGAGGATTTATTCCTCGTCATGGAGCAAGGAGAGTGGTTGAAGCCAATGACTGGGTATAACACCAGCTTGACTTAATTATGATGCAGCTTCAGTCGCAGCGCAAAATCAGACCAAGCTATTTTTATTCATATGAGGGCCACGCAACTGCGTTGGATGCGGGTATTCCCTATTCGGGCAATATCGCGTTTACGTTGACGGTTACTGCACACCCTAAGCGTCTCGTCACGCATGTGATTAGTCGCCGACCTCCCATCATTCCCACTTCCCGCAAAAATCCATCGACAGTACTCCATTTACTATGTTTAGATGTTCATATTGTATCCTGGATACTAAGGTCTCGTTTTGGCGTGGAATGCAAGACGGGGTGTGTATTCAGTTCACATCTTTTACGCCTCTAAACTGAGATCGTCATGCAGATCTCCTTAAACTGCGCCGCATGAGGTGGCACAACCGTTCCTTGAAATCCCAGTGGTTAGCCTGAACTGAGCTTTCTTGTATAGCGGCGCTAAGCTACTGCCCAAACGAGATCATACATGAGATACGCTTATGGGAGACCTGGATACGCCTATCAGGTGGCAGTACGAGCTCCGTGAGTCATAATGCTACCTACGACTCATTCGCAAGGTCTATACTGTCATGATCACTACTTCAATGTATGCACGCTTATGACTCGCTGCTCTGGCTATATGGAATGGTAGATTCCGTCAAACATCGAGTATTGGACGAGGCTTCTCCATTTGAAGCCAGTAGTCACACCTCATCCTGCAACATGCGAGTGACCAGTTTCAGTTCGTCTCGACTTGTTGATATACAGACACACTGATTCGTTTGCTTAAGCGCCGGTCCAGTTGCAATTCCATGTAGCACATCACATCCGTCTGATCCCATAGAGATAGCCTTGTCACGTACCTTTCTTCCTCCTCTTTGTAGAGCGGCGAGTGTATGCACATCTGGCTATAAAAAGGTCCTACATCCTCGCTGTCAAACGAGTTTTTAAAAATTCAAAACCAATCTCACTCCCAACTGCATTACTCATCACTGCTTTATAACATATCCAAAACGAACGAAGTTCATACTCGAAATGCATTTCAAAACTACCACTCTCTTCCTCGTCCTTGGGCTGGTCTCATATGCTATGGCTATGCCTATATCTACCGGTATGTATTACCAACTTCGAGTCCCGCAGATTGTCTATTCCACTCAGCGTGAGCGCATAGCTGACACAGATATACGTAGAACCCGAGACAACAACCGAAGCCCCTGAACATCTTGAATCCACCAACGCTGCTGAAATTTGGTGAACTTGCTGTATTTCAAGCTTGGATTGAGGTCTTCGATTGTCGAACAGGATTTGATCTATCCAACGCTCTATCGGATATGTCGTTATTGTCGTCTGGCACGACTTGGTTCCTTTCTGTTTGTATTTGCAGGCCAATTTGAAATCGGCGGTTTACCTCAGGGGGAAGTGTTTATGACCAAACGTCAACCTATTTGTGTGCTTTTTCGTGTAGTTCTGCAGTCAATTTATGAGGTTGAAATTTGTTTTGAAAGGATGAAAGTGAGAAATTATGAATAACTTATTCTTGTTTTCCACTATCTACTAGAAGTTTTACCCCAGTGACAGAGTAATCCGTACCAAACTTGAAAACGCATCCCATGCAGAAATTTGTTCGTGCGTGCTTTATTCATCCCACTCTGCCCCAATCCTCTCTTATTATTTTTTCCTCCTCCTTTGCCCAGATTGAAGGCATGGTCATTACAGCAATGAGCTAACAAAACAAATGGGATGAACCTGATACTCCAATCCGATACAATCTTTCCCGTAGTCAGCAAGTCATAACTCCGTCCTTTAACATCAACAAGAGACTACGATTGCAGCAGTATATCAAGATGCGCACATAGGAGTAGATTCCGGCTGTAACAAGACGGTTCAGTTTGCGAAGATGGAAGGTGGAATCGGTATCAAGATCTCTTATAGACTTTTGTGCGAATATAACCGGAGAAGTAAACGAAAAGCATTAGACTAGTAGTATGAAAGTATGAAAGTTCCATTTTAAGGGTTTCCAGTTTGCCCATTCAATGTTCAAATCCCACTAAAAAGTATTGCTTCACGATAGATTCTGGCGCATATGTACTCCACACTCTCCGCACGTTCCGTTCGATGTACAATTGGACCTCGGCATCTCTCTACAGCAACCTCACCTCATCGTGATGCACTGCTTCGCTCCTCCATATGCACTGACGGCCATTCCAAAATCAGCGCGGCAAACTTAAACAAGCTCTCTTATTCCCTTGCAGGGCATTTCCATAGCGAATTTGCACTTGCATTACTTAGTAACCCATAATGTCCTCTGACACGTTCCAAGGCTGGGTAGCCCACGACGCCACTAGCCCATTACAATTCACAAAATTCACCCCGAAGCCATTCACACCAAGCGACATCGAGATTCGCATCACTCATTGCGGTATCTGTGGAACAGATGTCCATACTCTCCGTTCCGGCTGGTCTGCAACCGACTATCCTTGTGTATTGGGCCATGAGATCATTGGGGTAGTCGTCCGAATTGGCTCCGGAGTTGCGACGCTTGCATCCTCGCCGGCCTCTAGGGAGATTCGGGTGGGCCATCGCGTCGGTATCGGTGCGCAAAGCATGTCCTGCTTACGCGCTGACTGCGAGGCATGCGTAGCTGGGAAGGAGAATTATTGCTCCCGCATAACAGGCACATATAACGGGCGATACCAGGACAAAAGCAAGTCATATGGCGGATATGCAACCTTTTGGCGTGGCTCTGCTCACTTCGCTTTCAAAATTCCAGACTCTTTGCCTTCTGCCGAAGCAGCGCCGCTGCTTTGCGGTGGAGTGACTGTTTTCCGGCCCTTGAAAAGGTACAACGCCGGGCCGGGAAAAGCAGTTGGCATTATTGGAGTTGGCGGGCTTGGGCACTTGGGGATATTGTTTGCTAAGGCATTAGGCTGTAGTAGCGTAATAGCTATTTCGCGAACGTCTAGCAAACGGAGGGATGCCGTGGAAGGTCTAGGTGCGGACGGGTTTATTGCTACGGATGAAGACAAGGAATGGGCAAGGATTCATTCTCGCTCTCTGAATCTTATTATCTGTACGGTAGATGCCCCAGACCTGCCTTTGGGCAAATACCTGCATCTGCTGAAAGTTGGTGGCACGTATGTTCAAGTTGGAGCTCCGGAGGGACCTCTACCGGGGGTGAATGCATGGTCATTGATTCAAAAGGAAGTTCAGATTACTGGATCAAATATTGGATCTCCAGATGATATTAGAGAGATGCTCCAGCTAGCAGCTGATAGGCGTGTGCTTCCATGGATTCAGAAACGGCCGATGAGCGAAGTTAATGCTGCTTTGGCTGATATGGATTCTGGAAAGGCACGATATAGATACGTGCTGGTAAACGATGCAAACTTCAATGAGGCAAAACTTTGAATGTGATAAGCCCGATTTACAGACAGAACCTTTTTGTTAAACATACTTTAGTCATAGAATGTGAGGCGATGCATGGAGAGGGAAATAAATATCTATGGATAACCACAGCCTGTGTGCACACCAGATATAATTAAATATTCAGTAGAACAAACTCCAGCATATTTTACTTCGCTGTCTCAAAAGGCCTATGGTTTATTATGGGTTGCTCAATAAGAAAATCGCTGGGATTAAGTTTGCACTGCATGATCCCTTCCTAGTACCTTCTACTCATATAAAAGAACAAAATGAACCCATAAATATATCATTCTTTACTATCCTAGAATTATCTGGGACAGAAAGCAACTAGAATCATGATAGGCTAGGTCTAAGCTATGTGCGTAGCTTGTTTATCAATAACTTGCTTATGTAGCAAGTAGCCTGTTTCCTAGAATACTAATGTATTATATTCTCTCACACCCTTGGGTTTATAATTAAGGGGCACCAGTAGTTTCCAGTGTCAGGGTAAGGATACTAAAAAGTTTCTAAGAGATAGTGGTTATGACTGCTAGGTTGCTCTGTAAGATGAGATGCGAAAGTGGGAAATGGGAGATTTAGACGTATAGCTGCCATGTGGTTCCACTCAAATGATTATTCTCGACAGGGACAATTGTATTGATGGGATTTGTTCTTCAAGCCAAGCATACGACAAATTACCTTAGCGACTATTTTGATTCATGTAGCTAGTTGGGAAAGACGTTGTGAAATAGAGTCAAACTCACAATCGAAGTGCAGTCGCCTCAGAAGATCGATAGGCGTGGACTGTTGTGGCCAGAGAACGAGAGACTCTATTACAGCATACGTTCAATTGCCACCAAATTAATTGTTGCCAGTGGCTTCACGTCAGTTTCTAATATGCCTTCGCTACCAGGAAGAGACGGTTTCCTCGGTCAAGCCCTACATCAGGATGGGTTTGGTTCGTCTTGACCTCGGCCTAAAAGTCAAGAATGCCACAGTTCTTGGTGATGGGAAGTCATTCACCGATATGGTGTATGAATCTGTCCAAGTTGGCAAAACTGTATCCTGGGTCCTAGAAGCTACCAATACAGCTGGTCCTGGGGTTTTCTCTCCCCGAAAGGAGGTGGTTGATAAAAAAGTGCATTTGAGACTTGTCGAGGCTGGAAGAGCAGGAAAAGGATGTAGCCCTGTTCACAAAGTGTTGTTGGCGTCGATATCTTAGTACGGACGCCAGGGCAATGCCAGGCCCTTTGAGTTCATCAGATATAGGAATACATTGTTAGGTGACCTGAGTACTTGTAGTAACCGCGAAGGATGTTCAAGGTATTTTTTATTCCCCGTACCCTATGTGGGTGGTAAAAATGCAGATAGACCTGAATTGAACGATTTTTTGAGAAATTTGCCTTCTTCGTAAGCTGTGTAAACCATGAAGCCACTTGGAGGTAAAGAGTGAGAGTGGAGGAATTGCGGTTTCTTGGCCCCACGTGGAGTTAGCGGCAGAGTGGAGCAACCAAGCGTATGCTCCACACCCCCACTACACCGACTAGACCCATAGGTATGCATATAGGAACAGCTCCGGAGGTAATCTTCGCGAACGTAAACAACTCAGACGAGACATGCGATTACATTGCGTTTAGTAATTGGTCGTAAGGTATCTAATCTCTGTTCATTCTTCCTCCTGGCTCTAACAAACTCTCCATCAGAGTCCTTGAAGCCGACATTGGCATACTCTGCGCATGCCTTCAAAATTTGCCCGCTTTCATCCGCCAGCACTTCTCAGAAAACACCAATTTGAGCTGAACCCGGTGAAGTGTTGCTTTGTTGCTCCGTGAGCAGTATCACTGCGTGGAAGGATTGGAAGAAGTAACGTGTGTTTTGCAGCTGTCTCTATTCGGTCTCTGTGGGTCGTAGTGAGTGAAGGAGCTCTTCGCACTTCGTTGAAATGGCCATGAGAATTAGATTAGTCATCGTTGGTTGATCAAGCATCTTGTACCAGCTGTTACGCTGTGTGCTACCTAGTAGAGCAGGTATAATTTGCTGGCACTCGCCGTTGACAAGTGTGGGCAGATTATGATATCGGTAGGACCACTTTTGTCTGCTCAAGAGCTAGTGCGAGCATATGAAGTTTATGCAGTACCGTACCATCGGATACAACAGATTTATTAAGACTAGATCGAACAAATCTTCTACAGATACGAGCATACGTCAAATGGTCACCGAAAAGCTATACTGGCTCGTACGGGCGACAAGGCCAGACATCAGGCTCTCTACGCAGGATGCCCGATTAGGTGGAGCAGCGAGCTACAGTGCAGCGGGAGCACGCCAACGATTGAGACAGAATCTTACACCCTCGTGCATGCAAGCAAGAAGGCCGTATAGATCTTGAGCATTGCGGACTGGCTGCAATGAGGGAGCACAGGGGTCCACCTACGGTAATCTACGGCGATGATCAAGGCACGCTCGCATTCGTACAGAAACCGGAGTTCTATACCCGGACCAAGCATATCGATTCGCTATGGGTGCGACTTGGTTAAGGACTACAAGATCAGTCTGCACTACATCCAGACAGACTGCTTACGAAGTCTTCAGAGAGGTCCAGTCACAGTCAGAGCGCCGAGGAAGCTAAATTGAGAATGTTGAAAAAAAGCAGGGTGGTGTTGTGAGTTGACTTCCTCATGCCGCCATTACACAATAGGCACCACACGTCGCACATGAAAGTCATGTATATTATATCGCCCCAATCCAGATAGACAGCAACAAGTATGCGGCTTCCTCAAAACATCTTACCTCTTAAGCTATGAGGGTTTACATTACTTCTCGATAGAGATAATCTAAAGTAAGCATGGTATCTGCAGTCCTTACTTCGTCATCAGATCTTACCTGTCTCCCATCGACGTCAACGTTGATTGCATCTAGCCACCTTTGCAATACTCTTTTGTTAGGGCCACTCCTCGTCTAACATTATCCGAGTGGCAAGTTTCCGCTGGCCGTCCCTGCTCAATCTACCAAAATTCCGCAGAACCAGGAAACTTCTCTGGCGATGGTCTTCACCGGCCAAGGAGCACAATGGACATACATAGGCTCAGAGCCCCTCCGTTTCAACACCAATCCGGTCTTCGGCAACACGATTGTGTCCCTTGACAAGGCACTTCAAAACCTAGGGTCGCTAGACCCATCATGCCCCATTGACGAAGAGATTAGCAACCCTGCGCGTGAACATCATGTTGGTGAAGCCGAGTTCTCTCAGCCTATGTACAGCTGCAGATCGCCTTGGTAGACACTTACGCTTCGATTGGGATCCGTCTGGCTGCAGTGCTTGGCCATTCCAGCGGCGATATTGCTGGCGCATACGCCACTGGCAACCTCAGCGCCCGCGAGGCTACCATTGTGGCTTTCCTATGCGGCTAGTAACCACGCGGGAGTGTCGCAAGGGCGCCATGAGAGCTTTTAGTATGAGTTGGGAGGCTGCCAAGAAACATCTCGTCCCTGTCGTGGTGCTCGCCTGTGACAAACAGCGTAGCAATAACGGGAGATGCAGTTCCCTTAGAAGAATTGGTCAAGAGCATTATAACTGTCGGGCTCTGGAGTTCTAGCCACCATGCTCAAAGCTGAGAAAGCTTATCAATCCCCACATATGGAAGAAATCGGGACTGAATACTGCACGATCAAGACCGACGCCGGCATTTTGGGCAACGTGCACACTATCCCGTTTTTCTCAAGCGCTTCAGGCGAGTTCTTCGTCCCTCTCGCGGGGAGTAGATTGGACCCAAATGCTGGCAGATTAACTTGAAATGCCCTGTGCTGTTCACGTCAATAGTAAGCTCCGCCATATAACATCAGGCTCTGATGCCGGGTGGCAACGCCCTATCATTTCTGCACGCTTACCCATGGGATAATCATCGCAGACATTGGAACGAATCCCGCATCGCTCATGAATAGCGCATGCGCAAACACCCATACCATGACCTCGAACCGGTATGGCGGAACTTGCTGCACACATTGAGGATGTTCTATGGATACGTGACCATAAAATCAACGCGGATATTATCTCTTCGCAGGGTATATCGCCATGGCGGTTGAGGCTATCCATCAGATCACTAGCATTCAAGAATCAGTTGAGTTTCAAATTTTGCCGTGCGCACCGCGTTAGTGGCCAGATAAAAGTTCGCCCAAAGAGCTTGTGACCACTTTCCATCGGCTCCGTCTAACAGGTTTGCTGGGCAGCAAATGGTGGGAGTTTAGTATCGCATCCCACAACAGACACACCTAGACAGAACATTGCTCCGGCGACATTTGGGCTTGAAAAGGGCCAGACAGGTGAAACTTTTTTTTTCTGACGAACATGGTAATGCTGACGCTTTTTTGTAGTCTGTTTTCTCATTCATAGCGGCTGTGGTGGCGTAGGCCTCGCTGCAATCCAATTGGCCCCCTTGATTGACGATGAAATCTATACAACGGTGAGCAGTGAGAAAAAAGATCTAATAAGAGTCTGGCATCTCGAAAGGTGACATTATTCACCTCGCGGAGTGTGAGCTTCGAAGATGACTTACTAAAGGAAACCAAGGGTAGAGGGGTGGACGTAGCGCTCAACTCGCTCTCGGGTGGGTTGCTAGATGCAACTTAGCGCTGCATTGCCAGATGGGGTACATTAGTAGAGATTGGCAAGCTGCGTGTTCCTTGCCAACCGTAGCTATCGATGCGTATATATTGACCAGATTTGCAGGGAGAGGATATGATCGGCTGGTGAGATCTGAATATGAGAGTAACTCTGTATGGGATTCCCAGCGCGCATCAAATGGAACGATAAACTTATATTGATTAAATAAATGAGTATATGTCTATATATATATAGTGCATATTCCAACGCGCCGTAATGAATGTACCTGCGGCGCCAGTAGAAGGCTGAAAGGGGCGACTACGCCAAAAAGGACGTTGGAGATAGGGCAAATCCTGTGATTACCCTAACTACTGACAGGCTAGTCCCAAGCCGGTATGGTCATTCATCGTCAAAAACAAAAGCACGGTTGCCGAATTAGGGAATTTGTAGGGTTAGGGTTTGCGCTGGTCGAGCACCTGCCTAAGTAGGTATTTCACGCATATTCGTGAATTTGTCGATTGCTAACGCGTGTTATCTAGCGCCATACCTATGTAGCTGGCGAGACTAAATCCTGGTTGGTGTGGCAATGGCGAGAAAATGTGCTTCGTGCACGCAGATGCATATAACTATGCACATTGCACTGGGATGCATTCCTCCGTCGATTGGCAGTTACACACTGCCTAGGTACGTAGTTTGTACGGCGTATCTCCGGGAGTACCTAAGACCAGACCAAGGAAAAAGAAAACAACTGCATCTAGGATGTCATCAGTATTCGGTCAGAGTGGACATCGTCATTTAGTGTAGGCGCGTAGATGAGGGGGATGCTCCGATATCATGGCAACAAGAACTTACTCGGCCCGGATATTAGATAAACCTTTGGTATTTTGATTAGTGCTGCAAAAGATACTATCATAGTAAAATATTATTACCCGATCGCATCTATTCTACAAACGTCGTGCATGCGAAGCGAGTGGTGATCAGATCAGCTCTCGAGCGTTCTGGGCTGGCTTAGTGCTGAGATCATCAAATGGTGCGATCTCGATCGTCTAACTACGTCGTCATGGTTAATATACTACTAAAGCTAACTAGCGAGAGCTTCCTCCGTACAACAAACTAGCCAACCCCCACCGATGTGGCAAAAAGCGAGATTAGAAAAAAAAGAAGCAACACGATATCATGCAAGAAAGATTGCTATTGGCAGATAGATTGTTCGATGAATCGTAGACGTATGTACATAGTTCATTCATAAATTCACATCTTCCGTTGTCTCGGATTTGGGAATCTCCCAATACCCCTCTTCCTCAATGCACGGAGAACATACGTGGCTCTCCACGGCGTGCTCTAGTGTCTAGTATCGAGGACTAATTGCTCCCTTGGCACTCGAAGGTACTACTAGAAGGCTATTTTGAGGAGATAAAGTTTCAATAGAGTGGGCAAAAGGCGAACACTATCAAACCCGAGCACTGACTTTCCCCCCTCCTCCCCAACTTTTTCACATGGCCTCAACAGATTGGAAACACGACTTGCATAGCATGCACCTCACTTGCCACGGTGCTGTATGACGTGCTCAAATTTCATCATTGCTTTTTCCCTTCCCACTTGATAGCTGATACTCGTCTTTCTTACACTCCCCGGCGAAGAACGGGAAACGTTGATCAGAGTTCGATTTCAGAGCGATCGATCAAGCAATTTACCATTAGGACTAGGAGTATTCCTTGGACACGATCCTTTGAAATAAAATCAGTTCACTAGATTCAGGCTGAGGGGGAGACTAGAAGCCTAGCCACAAAGAGCATGCCCCTCTATTACCAGTAGCTTAAACACTAAAGCTCCGCCAGCTCCATTCAGCATCAGCACAGCCTCAGCTACCAAAATCACAAGCCACCGGGGCGGCCGATGGAGGGGCTGCGCGCGGAGATAATTGCCTCAATCTCAGGTCGTGAGGGGCGAACACCAATCCAATTATATGCGTTGTCTGCGAGAAACCTGATGGGGAGGGGGGGATTTTTCTTTTTCTTTTCTTTTGAGGGGTTCCTTTGACAAAACGATCTCGGTAGATCGGTCGATTGCAACCCAATGAAGGAATAGAGATGGACCTTGCCCCTCGTAGCTTTATATCATTGGTAGAGCTCGTTTTTGCTCGGAAAATGCCCCAAATCTAGGTATAAATACTAGGAGTTTTCTCTTTGTTTTCGTCTTGGAAAATCAACTTAACATTCTTCTTCTATCCATACAAAGTTCATCTCATTGGATTGATCTAATCCTCATACATTCTCATAACCCTATCCCTAACCGCGTCAATTTATTTACCATCAAACATCATGAGTCCTCACCACGGCGGCCAGTCTGGCTTCGGAGGAGGCAACGACAGCTATGGCGACAGCAGCGATAGCTACGGCAGCGGAAACCAGGGCTCCTCTGGCTTTGGCGGAGGCAATGATAGCTATGGCAGCGGTAGCAATGATAGCTACGGCAGTGGAAACCAAGGATCGGGATTCGGAGGCGGCAATGACAGCTACGGTGGCAGCAGCGGCGGCCGTGGTGGTGATAGCTACGGCAGTGGAAACCAAAGCTCCTCCGGTTTTGGCGGAAGCAATGACAGCTATGGCGGCAGCAGCGGTGGCCGAGGTGGTAACGACAGCAGCTTTGGAGGAAGCAGTGGTGGCCGTGGCGGAGACAGCTACGGCAGCGGAAACCAGAGTTCGGGCTTTGGAGGTGGAAATGACAGCTATGGCAGTAGCCGTAGTGGTAATGACAACAGCTATGGTGGAAGCAGTGGTGATAGCTACGGCAGCGGAAATCAGGGTTCAGGATTCGGAGGAGGCAATGACAGTTATGGTAGCAGCAATCAAGGCTCCGGTTTTGGAGGAGGAAATGATAGCTATGGTGGCAGCAACCAGGGTTCAGGTTTCGGAGGAGGCAATGACAGCTATGGAGGTGGCCGTGGAGGCCGGGGAGGTGACAACTTCTAAGCGCTGTCCGTGGATGTAAGAGCTTTTTATACTCATGTATGAATTGTACTTTTTCAGGATATCCGGCCATACCCAGGTATGTCGGTCTCCACGAGACTAGTTGAAAATTTTTTCCCGGTCAATCCAGTTTGTGATAGGATCTTCGGTTCTCTTCTCAAATTTGAGCATTTTGTAAATCTGCAGCATGAAGTAAAGAAGCAGTGGCTGAGATACTGACGTAGCATTACATATATTCTTCTGAAACACGTTTGCGAGAGATGAATGAATCAGATTTGATAAGGTATCTACCTAGAAATGAAAAGTTTTTACTCCCAGCCAAAACGCCCAGCAATGCCTTTTGAGAACTCCGGTAGAGTAAAGCCAAAGAAAAAGTGAAAAAGAAACAGTTTTCATGACTCTTCAATCTCGTCTGTCTCCGTCTTGGATTTTTGCTTCTTCTTCTTCTTCTTCTCCGTAGACTCATCTATGTCCTCGGCATGCTTCCGCTTCTTCTTCTTCTCCTTTCTATCTGCCTCTTCAGTGGGAGGCACGAAGTCTTTCTGGCGTTCTTTCATCTTTTCTTCTCTCTTCTCGCGTTGCTTTTCTTGAATCTCTTCCTTGCGTACACGCTGTTTGGCTTGCTTTGACAAGAAGTACTCGCCAGACTCCAACTCCTTGTCGATCTTGCTCTTCTCTTGCGGTGGCGGGAAAGGTGTGTAGACCTTCTTTGACTTATCAGTGATATTGTGGGGAACACGGCGCTTCGAGAGAGTTCGTTTCTTGAAATTTGGCAAAAACCGATCCCAGGATTCCGTGGCCAGCGTCGGATCTTTGGCGAGTTCACGTTTGATCATGAGTTCTTTGATGTGGTAAATTGGATGGATATTTGCCATGCAGTCTTCGACAACGCGACGCAGTTCCTTCAATCCCTTGAATGGTCCCATAGCAGACACGGTGTTTCCTTGTACGAGAATGTATGTGTTGGTCAGAAGCTCAAGAGCCTTCAATGTAGATCCTGATGGTCCGAGAATACGCTGTCGGCGTTTGACAAAGCGTTCTTTGTTATTGACAAGGTTGCGGATTTTGATAATATCGCATGCGACGCCATCGTCCAGAATTTTGATAGCCTAAACCGCACAATGCTCTCGTTAGTAACAGCTTCTTCTGTCAGCAACGCAGTCGCGTGGAATTCAGCACGAACCTGCTGGGCCGGCACACTTCTGGAAAGAAGCTTAATCAAATCGCGAGCCTTTAAAATTGCCGCAGGGTCGAATGTTTTTCGTGTGGTTTTCACAGTCATGCTACCCTCAACCAAATCCAGAGTGCAAGCAATACCATGCTTCTCCAATGCCCTCGTGATTAGCGGCCATGCTTCCTTCAGATACACCTCGCGATATTTAGGGAATAGAGTCGCAAACGACGACTCCTCGGCGAATGTGCCACCAGTGTTATCTTCAGGTTTGAAGTCATCGATCTATTGAAACAGTGTCCCGCGCGCATTAGTCGATAATATACTTGTAGAATGGGCTTCTGATAAAGCAATGTTGCAAGAATCAACTTACCTTCCACTTATCAATATCGTCCGTGTCCCACGGCTTGTCCTTTTTATACGTTGAAGGCATTTTGAATCGTTGAAATGCGATGCCACGCTCGAGTTGACTGTGAATAAGAATTTAACTGGGGAACGGCGGAATAACGCCGACTTTTTTTTCTGCACCTGCAGCCCGCCGAGCTCGCCCAATGCAGTTAAGACCGTATCTTTTTCTGCCTCAGGCAAAAATTATGGTTTCTAGTATAAAGATACTTTTTAATGGCAATTTTTTGCTAACAATATATCTGTGGAACTCCCTAGGAGGGCTAGGCTATCAAACAATATCTGTTATAATCACCCTTTGTTACTCAAATCCACCGTTGCTCAGTTCCTGCACGATTATGCTCCTCCCCCTTTTCTCTTATTACCCAAAGCTTCACGCAACCTAGATCTCTGATGGGCAATATTATGAAAAGAGAAGTTGATGACCTTGGCGCTGACAAGAATGATCATCGCCTTCAATTTCAAAATATACCCGGCACACTTGCACGCAGTCCTGCCTTTTCAAATCACGAATGTATTTCTCATGAAAACCTTCCATTTCGATGTTCGTGCCTTGGAAAGGAATATCTGAACCATTGCACTTTTAGTTACCATGCCCTTTGCAATATATATGCGGCGACATGCAGGACCTTGGAGCGTAGCGGGAATCTGCCCCAGAAGTCATGGCAAATTTGTTGCAATACTCTTGCATGGTCCAATCATATTTCAATTAAAAAATAGGACATAGCGTGCAAGCCCCTTATCGCCCGATCCAGGGCCGCAATGAGATATAACCGAAGCTTCCTTCCATGCAGCCCGTATCGATCTCTTCTTGAAGACGGATACCCCTTGGAAATCTATCCCTTGTCGGTTGTAGCCCATAGAGAATAGGCTGCTGCTGAGCTAAAATATCCGAGTGACAGTCAACTGATGCTTCTCCTTTGTCTAACCATGACAAATATTCCCCGGGCGGTGAAACTGGTATGGGTGCATTGTTAAACTTAATAAGCTGACAGACCTTGGAATACCGCCCTGGATTTTTTCACCGACATAACTTCGAGTTGAAAAGAGCATACCGATCAACAGTTCTGCACAGCACTTCCCAATGCCCCATATAGTGCTGCATATTATGACATCGCGTGGTCATTCGACGTTTCGATCAAACTAATGCCCACAATAACACGGCATGAGGCTTATCGTACTTGCGCTCACTGTCGAGATGCACCATGGTGGAGATTGAACAAAGACAGGACGCCAGACTCAGACGCAGCCGAAGTAATTCGATACTCACTTCGAGATAGGATGTGGACACAAAGTCAACCATTCTTTTTTCCTTTCCCACACCACCTAGCCCTTACGCAGACACCAAAAGCTGCACGCATTCCCGCTAGAGATACGTACACATCATCTTCTTAGCAGTGTATCCCTGACGATCGAAGGATTGGACCACACTTCAATAAACCATCCTCTCGGCAACGCTTGCGGGTAACCTCTTAAGTTCGCCAATACTCCGTGGAATGTACGCTTTTAATCTGCTTTTCTTTCCGCATTTTCGACCGAGGTGGGAGTTCTCTCCCGCATACATGTAACCCCATCACATGTTGTCGCATTAGAAGGCAACAGCAGCGGCATCCAGACTCATACTAGTAATTCAATGGGAATTTCTGGACCCGACTCGTATCTTTCTTTTCTTTATTGTTCATGTCAGGAATTAGCAGTGCAAAACAGTTGCAAGCTCTTCGTGCTCCATTGGGTGTTGCAAAATCCAATCAAGTCGAGGGAAGTCTCACACTGGGTCACAGGGAACTCGATGAGCCGTTGTTCTTTCCTTCCACGGAGCAAGTCAGGTGATGGCTCCCTCGTTCTCGTCAAGCACACAACATCCGACCTCAGCTTTTTAACGGGATGCAGCACACTTCACCACTACATACCGCCAGGGAGGAACAGGGGCAGAGAGGAACATAGTGAAAAGGTTAATTTTCATTATTTTTCATTCACTTGATGATATGTTTCGTTGAACAATTATCGATTTCAGGTCTTCAAAGAAGGTCCCGTCATCTATCACCCTCTGATGTCTGCGGTCTTGACAGAGCAGATTGCTCTTGGATCAGACGCTATGTCGGTTTTCGGCCAATAGCAACATATCTGGTGTATATTAGCCAGGCCGAAATATGCCTCAGGCAGGTTGCGAAGCACCTACAATGGAAAATAAGCTTTCAAGTTATGGTCGTCAACCTCTGCTCTAGCTCGGTTGATCAGAGTGCTGAACTCATCGTGAGACATATGCACACGCTGCGTCAATGGATACAGCGCTACCGATTCTAGGAGTTGATGAACATTGTTTCGATTTGCAGCACCGATTTGACGCATGCGGGGGTCTTGTCAACAATTAGTTCCACGTGTACGGCAATTTTTTTTTTTGGTCAAGATTACGCATACCAGTTGACCACGCAGATAATGGCAGCTGAATCATTCTCATGTCGACATCTTGCAATCCCGCTGCTGTCATTAGACTTGCTAGTCTAGGACCAACCCTCAAATCTTTGATATCTGCCAATGCATCCATATACCGTCTGCTCCATTCCCTCAGGGCATGTTGATCTGTTATGGAGCCGTTGTCGGATTGAACGTTTGCATATATTTCAGCCATTTGGACCCAGCCACCGCGTTTCGTCACACTATTGCGCCAACAACGTTAGGCATTTGCATTTGTGCATTTCAGGTGCATGTCCAACTGGTCGCCTTACCGCACTAAGTCACGTACGTATGATGTCCAACGAGATCGCGAAATCCCAGAGGCAACGAGTCTTGAATGTACAAGATCGAAATGTCGCGAAGGGAAGGTGAAAGTACGGTTCAGATCATCTACCTGATTTTCAAAACAGTTAGCGTCACATTCCTTGTCTAACACGAGCGTTCTTTTACTCCCAGATCCAGCATATAGCCTTACTGGAAGTTAAAGAGTGATTACACGTTGAAAGGTTGATTTCAGCATACTTGTAACCACAAATTTTCTGGGGCGTCAAGTGGCTGCATATGTGGCGATATATCGACTCCGATTACCTAGTGTTGTACATGATGAGCGATTGAGGTTTCAACACAGTATCTGATTTTCGTCCAGATACCTGACAGTCCTGGTATTGCTCTGCCACTTCCAGCGCCCAGTTCGCAGCACCATAGCCACAGTCCAACACTCGTCGGGGATTAGGAATCGGCGGAAATATTAGGCGATTATCAAAAACTAGGTTGAACACTTGTTGCTGAAGTTCCAGTCGGTCTATCTCAGACTGGGGAAGTCAGTAATTTCATGCAGATGAAGACCATTGCCTGGGACGATAGAGTGTTAATACATACATCATCGACGGGGCAAAGATAAATACGGTTGTTGACTGAATACCGTTGAAATTCACGGCCGTGAATGATGACGATTTCCTGCAAAGCGCTGTCTAGCGATGTGGTATCCACGTTTGGGTTGCTAGTACATTGTCAGTTGAACTACTTCTTGAGGTAGTGAATGCTCGTGGAATTTTATACTTCATGATGTTTAGACCAATCTCTGAAGGCCCTAGGAGGGAGTGTCGGCAGGAAGTGGTTTGTCAAACTTTTCAGCGGACCTACCGAGTTGGGAGGGAATTGCGCGAACCAAATCAAAATGTGACGAAGAGAGTGATTGCAGCCGATGACACAGCTCTTACACGAGATTTGACAGCAATCGAGATGTGAGCCTGTAAAACTCTAGTATGTTGGCATAGCCATTGTTCAGCAGTCAAGGCACAATCGACTCCCTGAAATAGTTGCCGCGAAAATGGGGTACGATACTAGGCGGCGTGATACAATACGAAAACAGATGCTCAGTTCAAACAAGCCCTGACGTTTGTATTACCGGCCGCAGATTGCTTTGCTCCTTCAATAGGTGATCTGCAGAAGCGAAATTCACAAATTTTAGTAACCTCATGTCACATATGGCTCGCTATTTGCATCATATTAGTCAACAAGACTGTGTTTTTGGGGCTACTAGTATTTGGGGTATTGACGCTCTTCTGCCTTAACAGGAAATTTTTCAGGACGACCTGAAAGATGTTGACGCTTAGTGTGAAGCGTAGGACGGCCGTGGTGGCCGTAACCATGCCCGGAAAGCGACCCATGTATCCTGATCTTCGAGGGATGATTCAGGCAGCTAATGTGCAATGATTAGTGGCAGCCACGCCGAATATCCCTTCCACTAAACAGGAGTTCTCCGATGCAGTGAGAGCAAGTTGCATCCACTGTGTGGACCCAGATACACACCACTCAGATGGTTGAGGATTCATGGTTGGCTTCCCGAAACGAGCGACAAGAAATAAAATAACGAAAGTTTCGAAAGGTCCCTTGAGTATATTGCTCATCAAGTGCAGGGAAGTCGAACGTGGCTTATTCTTACCTTAGAGCATGCGTCATCAGTCTCAACGCGGCAAGAGAAAGCTGCCTTGTTATTCTACCTACTCTAGAATGTCTCATTCGTCGCCGTTGCTGAGGGCGAGCAACATTGAGATTGGCCATTCTACTCGGCAAACTTTATAAAGTCCAGGCATAACTTTGCACCCGGCACTCGATTGCCCATATAACAATCATACGAGAAATCTACCAGTCTGATCCAAAAAAAAAAAAAATATGGGAAGAACTCAGCCAGTTGTTGCAAGTAAGCAAGCGTTTTTTTTTTCGGGTCCAAGCAATCGCATTATTCGAAGAATGACCGTCGCCACAAGGATGCAGCATTATAGCGCGCTCTGTTAAGTTGTCCTAGTAGAAAAGGGCCGGAAAATTTAGAGGGCTAGCTTTACTCGATCGAGTAGTACCTGACCAAATTACATTATGCAGGTCTCCGTACGCCAAAGTTTGTTGAGGAATCTGATTGGAAACTCACCGCCCCTTTATGCGGCTTATGTCAAGTGGTCAAGCTCTCAAGGCCAGTAACAGGGTGAGTAAGTGTTACATTGGCCCCGGAGACCATCTGGGGTGCTTTTATTGACCAACAATCGTCGTTACAGTTAACAAGCGCTTGTTTACCGAAACGTCCGAAGGACGACAAGGATTACGAATGAATGGTTCTATACTCCACGGTTCCAAAGCAAATTGGCGACTACAACCCTATCCTACGGTCTACTTTGCAATACATCCGATATACTTGAACTAGGCTTCATCCGTTCAGACCAACGTAAAATGCCGAAGAAGTAAGGGAAGTTGATGCATCGACAGCCGTGTGTTGAATCTTTATGCCAAAAACCGACGATGTCACACTGCGTTGTTTACCATCGGGCTGGCACACCATCTCATAGTTCCCGCTTACCCGCGAATAAATAATGACCAACGCATGTCAGAAGAGATCATGCACGAACTGGACGGGATCGGTTAAGTTCCATCGTGCTATCCAAACTGTCGGGACGGTTGCTGTGCAAAACATGAGGAACACATAAAACTTAAGAGAAGGGTTCCCTTCAGGGGAAACGCTCCCGTCCCAGCGCCATGGTTCGCAGCGATAAGTTGCCGTCCTTTGCCGTTGTCTAATTATTGATAGCTCCCGTCAGATCGTGTCCACTGAAACCACGATTCTATATACTCCCGTATATAGTATTCGAAAGGTGATAAACAGGGACTCGAAGAATCCAAGACCTGAATCCGAGACGTGCGGGGACTTCTTGAGCAGAAATTTGAAATTTCCTTATTTTTAAGCCTGGACCAACGGAAGTTTCACTTTGACAGCGGCGATTTATGTTATGCCTTGCAGGATGAGCTACGTAGCTGAAGCGAGTGGGAACTAGTGGGACCTTGGCCGGCTGCGGCAAGTCTACTTTAGTTGCCTTGCCCTAATTCTGTCAGCGTGGCCCACGTCAAACACTTTTTACGAGCAATAAACACTACTCATGCTCCGATCAAGGAATACTAATACGTATGGCAGTCTGCGCAGAATTTGAGGAACCACTTGGCTCGTGGGCTACTTCTGTTGACTGGCCAACAGGCTCAATGAGTTAATGTATCAACAAGTTGGGCTTATCACTAAAACGTCGTTTATCCACTTTTCAGCGAAAGGGGTAGTGGGCTGAATAACGTCTGTTTTTGCAATTTACAAGCACTTTTTCCCGGCAGGTCACAAGAGCAAGTGTTACATACATTGCATTTGGGATGGTGGGTATTTCTATGCGCTATTCTTTGGCTGTCTATTAATGGCAGGACAACACCATGGCTATTCGACCGTCGACATCTTGCAGCGACCTCTATGACTTGTTCGTGCGTGCTGTGTTGCTGTTGCCAACAAATCTGTACCATGCAAAAAACGCGGGCTACCCTTCTTTGTTTTCAGCCAAGTACACTTCGTACGTATGATGGTTTCTGCGAGGATCGGTGTATGTACATGGCCCCGCTTGGATTCAGTCGTAATTATGCGACCTGCCTAATTCAGTACTAGAATCCACATCTGAACAATACGGCGTGGTTTATATTCAACTCGGCTTTCTCTCCTTTTCGCGGGGCAAGCCCATGGATGCATTGAAGGCCCGAAGTGACACTAATATCCAAGAAAAATATCGGTTGGCAAGCTAAACGGTTCATGACACCCCATGTTCATGCGGCAACAAATTGATTTGTTCCACTTACATGTTTAGTCGTCCGGCTGCGGGTGATCAAGATTATACACACTACGCATGCGCTGTAACCCATCTCAGGAGTTAAAACCTAATGGTCCGTCCCGCAGGGGGGGATGGCTGACGGCTCCTCCCGGATCCAAACTTCTACGACTTGCACTTTCTAAGTGGGCTATACAACAAAATCACCATTTCCTATTTACTACGTACTACTCAAGCCACCCTGTCATCTATCAGGATTCCCCCTACAAACTGCCGAGTCCTGACATATCTGCTAGAAGGGCTCCTAACTTCATCTGATGCTGTCAAAGTTAGCGCATGCGTATGCACGGAATACTCCGTACGGCCTAGTGGGTACAGATTATTCCCCATTTGGCAGATGCTACTACAGCTTATCGGGTCGATTTTGTTTGAAGCACAAAAGACAAACAAAGAAGAAAAAAGAGGAAGCAAATCCTTGTCCACCAAAATTGGCGACGCACGATTGATCATGATTGATTGGGTAGTAAGATCAACTTGCAGGGCTTTTCATAATTTGCTTTTTTCGCGAACCATGGTTCTGAAGATTATAGTCCATGGCCACGTCACTGGCAGATGCGTTTCGTCTCTAGTCATGGTGTGCTAGCAACCATTCTAGGACTTGTAAGTGCCATCAAGCAGTAAGTCAGCCAGTATATGGCAGGGAAAGAGCGTGGCATACGCCTGAAATCAAGTGATTAGCGCTTAAAGTTAACCGGGGGGGGATTCATTTTTATGAATTTGATATGGCAATTTCTCTTGTCTAAGGTCTTTTTTTTTTCTTTTTCTCTGGATCTTCAAGCTAGATGCTAGACTGCATATGCAGGAAACCTAACGCGTCAGCAAATAGGATGGCAGCAGGTAGCTGGAGTGCTGCAGCCTGCAGGTGCGGGAGAAGGGCTGCATTTGATTCCTGCAGGCTTGAAGAAGTTTGTCACCTCCCCTAGAGACCGAGGTCCCTAGTTATAGCAGTATGCATGGTAGACATCTCGCATGAAAATCATCTTTGTTTTGCATGAAAAAGTCATGTCGCATTCAAGCATGTCAGCCTCGGCAGGATCAACATGTCGTATTTCGGATCCCGACAGTGCTGGATTCATGGTTAGCTGAATGCAAGCATCCTAAATAATGCTGAACAAAATTCATTCGCGAATAAGACACGCATTGCATATTCTTTTGTGTTTATCGAGGCATCCTGCCTTGCTGGTCATGCGGGAGGAGCAAATATGAGGCCGGTGGGGCTGTCCTGGCTAGCTTCGGCGGCTAAAAGCAGCGATAATGGAAACTGAGTGACAGTGACGGTGGCAGCGACAGAAAGCTGAGAAAGCTGAGCCGGAGATCCCATTTCCGCGGGATACGAAACTAAGCTCGAACAATTAGCGAGAACCAGAACGGCGAACGGATGGGTGATGCGATGTTCCTCAGCGAGAGTCAGTCAGCAGGGCGGCGCAGAGTTAAACTGCGGCGGTGAGGGCCCGGGCGTGTGACCCGTCACGTGGCGGTGCGACTATTGGCTGGAGCCTATCGTCATCATCGGGAATGGCCTCAATCTAAGCTAACGTCGTCTCTGAGTCTCCTGCAAGAACCCTCTGCCTTCACCACCGAGCGAACCACATCACGATACGGTACAGCCCTGTCATTGCTTTGCACGCCTTTCCTGCCAGAACCCAGCCGGTTTGTCTTGCTCCGTCTAGCTCTTCCAGGCGTCTTATCGTCGCCCTTATCTCTGAGCGTCTGCAGCCATGAAGCTCTCCTCCGCTCTCCTCTTTTCCCTCGCCCCCCTCCAACTCTGGGCTGCATCGCTCCCTCTCTTTGGCCAGTCGCCTATCAAATCCCTGGGAGACTCGTTCCCTGTTAGCGGTGAAAATCCTCTGGAGTTCTGCGCCGACCCCGAGAATGACATTCTCGAGATCGTCTCGGTCGACTTGACTCCCAACCCACCTGTCCCGTATGTACATATCGCTGCACAAGATGGTCCTGTGCTCGCATTTGCTAATCAGCTACATATCTCTCTGAACAGTGGCGAGATCCTCACTATCGAAGCCGAAGGCATTTTCCACGCCCCCGTCGAGAAAGGCGCCAAGATTCATCTCCAAGTCAAATACGGCTTGATTCGCTTGATAAACGTCGAAGCCGATTTGTGCGACGAGATTGAGGCTAACACTGATCTGCAGTGCCCTCTTGAAGGTCATCAGAAGTTCACCAAGGAAGTAGAAATTCCCAAGGAGGTTCCACCTGTAAGTGAAACTCACGGCTCGATTAAGCTCTTATCTCGATTTTAGCAGTACTAACGAGATGTAATTTATTTTCTATACAGGGAAAATATGCTGTTCTTGCCGACGTCTACACTGAGGACAAGACCCGCGTCACCTGTCTTCAGGCCCATGATATCATCTTTCATTAATGTATTATGCCATGTGTCCATGCTGTTGATGTGAATTTCTCGATTATATGCCGACTGCTTGTTGCAAATCGACGACATTTTTGCTATTTGCTAGTTACTATTGTTCCGATGACCATGACGGTCAAGCTCTCCCTAACTCTAACTAACTGAGAATTTGTTATGCACAGCGTTGTTTCTTTCTTCTCTGCCTGCCCTCTTTCGTCGTATCTGTCCTATTGTGCATTGCTCTTTTTGATTTGATCCATCGCCTAGGTAGGTTCGCAGCTTTTTTCCGCCTGTCTGTTCCGTCTGTCCAACTGCCTTCATTCAATGCGTGATCTTTGCTGTTTTTGGCATGCCCCGTTCAAGGTTTGCGGGATGATATCAGCCGTGTTTGCCTTTTGACTCCCTCAATGTATATAGGTACATCGCGTGAGACTCATTAAGCGAATTGCCATTTGACTTGGGCTTGAAGACTGCTTGTTTTAAACAGATAGAACAGCGTATTTTGGTCCACGCTTTATGCTGTAGGTTTCATATGCACATACGTTGACAACAGACAAATTTATAAGCATCGTCTAAATAGCGATGAAAGGAAAAGAGTGCAACAAACGCCAACAGAATCATGATAGATGTTAACTAGAAGCACAAAGAAACAGAACAAGGAGAAATCCAGCACAGATCAACTTGGTTACTCGCCAAACAGTCTCCGCACTCGTCGAAGAACACTATCCTTCTCAGGGTCGTATGGATGATCCTTACTCGGGATCTCGAGCACTGCCGGAAAGGCCTCTGCAAACGAGTCGACTAAAGGTCTGATACGCTCGGCAACCTGTAGAGTGAAAGAGATTGTAAGATTTTAGATTGACCGGATATACGGATGTGGAATCTTCTCAAACGTACATGTTGATTGATCAATACCACGCCGATATCTTTCCTTTCCTGGGTGAAGCTCTGGAATGCCTTTTCGATGGTTGACGTTTCGGTTTTGGAGTCAACGACTAGGAAATTGCGTTGTGAGTCCGGGGGTTCGGTTACATGCTGTATGCGGAGGTTGAAAGCCACGATTAGTCTTTGCCTGTGCCTTGGTTGTATGTGGTGGTGAGTCTTACGCCGATACCCGCAAGTAAAAGACCAGTGACAGAGCTATGAGGAGAATCCAGTCAACATAGTCCAGAATATAATCTGCAACGATAAAAGACCTACTCTTCATCTCCAATCACCGCCAAAAATTGTCGGTCCTATAATGTCCAGTTTGATTAATCGACTGCCGGTACTGCGGGGAGAATGGGTGCGCGGTCGATGGACTGATTACCTTGTAGGCTGCGGCGGCGGCCATGGAGGGCGAATGTAAAGCTTCGTGAGTCACTCTTCAGAAAAAATTTGAAAACCCCCGTTCTATTCGCTGAATTGTAATTTTTCCCCCACGCTTCGCATTGCGATTGTGAATGTATTGATTGAAGATGTTCGGAGCTTGAAAGCTACGCTGCATGGACGATGGATCCCCGCGGGATAAACCCGCTAAGCCGCTTTGGGTCGGCCTCTTGTTTACCTTCACATGACACACTGAGCTTTTGTCGCTTTGCTTTCCGCAGCTTCCTCAACCACCGCCCATCTTCGCTGTCGATCGAACAATCCCAAGGAAGATACGATATGAGTCAAGAGCCGGCAAGCTCTTGAGTGTCGTTTACCCAATGCATAGCGCGACAGCCTGGTGAAGAACAAACTTCTCTTCAAGTTTTTGGGAAGTTACGAGGAGGAGGAGCGAGGAGCGATCTATCCATCCATCAGCCATGCCACGAGTCGTACGTCGCCAACCGCTTTCTGAGCGCATTGCCAGCTTTTTTAATCCGTTGGATTTTCTTCTGTGGATTTCAGAGGAGGTAGATTCCAGTGATTGGACCCAGTTGGAGAAGGACTGGGCTCAGCCTTTGGGACTGGGGCTCAATTTCGTTTTTATGGTTGCTAGAGCAAACAGCGCTACAAGGAAAAGTCGGATCGAGGATGACATTTTTGGGCATGATGGGAGGAGCAGAACGTCGTTGTTTAGTTGGGCTGTAGGTGCACACTTCTTGCTTTATTTTCTTCCCTCTTTTTCTTTTTCGGCAGAACAAGTTCTTAACTCTGGTGTGGCTGGCAAATTTAGGCTACTTTTCTTGTGCACCTCCTCATGTTGTTCTCGGTGACGAATGCTGTCTACACATTTTGGCGCAAACGTCGATATCGTCTCTTCGAAGCTTCTATCGATAGAGCACCAGCGACAACATCGGCACATCGAGTACAAGTGTCATCGAGTCCCATGTCCACATCGCCGATTCGATACCTTCGCGATATATTAACAGGGGAAACGGCCGAGTCAAGACGACATCCAGACCCAAAACGGGATGTCTGGGAAATAGCTGTTTGGGATCCGTTCCCCCTATCACTACGTCTGTTCTGCTCGTTCAGTCCCGGCCATGTCCTTATTTATTGGCTGTTTCTACCTACTCTCCCATCAGATCCTCGGCCAAGCGTTACAGTCTTTACCACGATTGTCCTCGTGGGTCTCCTCTCCATTCAAATGTCCTTTATTTCGACCTCGTTCTCCCGACAAACCAAAGATCTAGCCTTGGTGCATAAAGAGGTAATGCATGAGTATGACACGAAATTCGTTCATCCTCGCACTCAACCGCTTATGCGAGATGTGGGTGTCCAGTTTTCAGAAGAGCACGTTAGTCAACCTGAGTCAGATGATAATTATAACCAAGTCGAGCTCTGGACGCCGGCTCACATAATTAACCGGGGCTTCAAAACAAGTCCCAATCCCAACTATGTTGCCCATGTTGATCCCGACTCAGCTAGCAGGCAGGTGTCGCCATCTCGACGAAAGTCGTTCATGCCGGCTAACACCCAAACCGGAGTTCAAATACAAACGCCCAGCCATCTACGAGATTCTTCACCGTTAGTGCAGAATCAATTATCTAACATTCGACAGCCACAATTCAGGCCGCCGACCGCCTCTACTGGTGTAGGCGACGGTGGCAGTCTGGGTATCTACTCTCATGCCAATTCCCCGCTTCGAAAATCAATGTCAGCCAACCTCGTCGCGGAAAGGCCTGGGTCCATACGCAGCTTCAACGATAGAATTGCGTCCGCAACACCCTCGAGGAAAATGGCAAGTCCACTAAAGCGGACAAGCACTCCAGGAGGGTTGAGTAACTTTTCCGTTGCACAACCACGCTTGGGACATTTGGATGATTCCACCCGACGAGAGAGTGGACGGTTTTAATAGTACAAATTGGCATGGGCGACACAATCTCCTCTACTAATTTATTCTATTTTTTTTTGGGGGGGGGGGGGGGTTCTTTCGAGGCGTCTGCGATGCGACACCGGCTGGTCGTTGTGTCAAATCTACTTTCAGAGGTTGGCATCTGCATTCTGGTTCCCTGTATTTCATATTGTATATCAAAAACGAAGCGAATTGAGGAGGTCTTGAAATTGGATTCTGTATGGATATGACGCGAAAGATGTCCGTGAGGTCGTTGAGCATGCAAAGGCATTTTCATCTTAAGCCCTAACTCGCAACGAACCATCTGTGTTACTAGGTGCGTCCAGGCATTTATTGCCACAGAAGCTGCTAGGCATGTGATGAGGGCTGTTTATAACCAGAACTACCTATACAACTGTGACTGGATGCCTTACGACAAGATATTTGAAAAGTCAAAATTACTATATTTGGAGGGCAGGGCTAAATAGCCCTAATATATACTACCACCAACCTTACTCTTTCCCTCCCTCAACTCTGTCTCTTTGCAAAAACAATTCAACTCCAATGTCTGAGTGACATTAAGTCATGCGTCATTAACACAATACCTAATTCCACCGTGTCAAGCCGCTCTTGCTTCAACGTGAACTGTCTTTCATGATGGAATGGGCATCAGCCCCGGTGGCTCATTCCTGCTTGAGGCAAGAAGACATGCCCCCCTGCCCCTTCTTAAGGCAAAAGTTAAGCGCTCACACGTATTGATCAATGGCTCACGTGTCGGATGGCACTTTGGACGGTTGGTTTGCTTGGAGGAGGCTGACATTCCACACGCTTCTCTCGCGCATTCCTCACGGCCATCCAGCCAACCAGCACCCATCTTACGCTACATATTCTTATCGAAGAGTGCCTTTTTAGTTCAATGACAGCACATTCATTACATCCGCGGCGAATGTCTGCCTCCTCCTTTTTCCCTATTCGCTGGACGCCGGTCCCTGTGACGATTCTCGCATCATCATCTCAATCATGCAGTCCTCCTCCTCAAACACGTCCAGATCCCTACATACAACCTCGCGAGCAGCGTAGAGACCCCATTTCGACAGCATGGGACAAGGTTAAGCATCTCTTTTCTCGGTCGCATTATTCTTCAATCCGTCGTCTAGAGCTTCTCGCTGAGGCACATTCATACTCGCAGGATTGTATATGCCTGTCTGATTCGAATTGCTCGAAAGATACCGGGGCATTCTGCAGCGGCTGTCATGGAAGCAACGCAGAAGAATTGACCTCTGACATCGCGATGGATCTTGCAGATAATACTATGATAGGACCTAAAAAGTCCTTCGAGCGAGATTGGAAGGATATCAGACAACGTTTGGAACGGAAAATTGCTGCAGCTGCAGCACAGGCAATCTCCGGCAGACCTGGTGGCGCTGAAGCTCGCAAGCCTCGATGGGCTACACCGCCCAAGCAAAAGGAGCCGCGATTCTATCAGGTCAAGCAGGAGGATAAGCTGACCACAAGAGGCGCCAACCCTAGAACTGGCGTGGTTAGTCCAAGCAACCGCACTGATAGCTCTTGTGAAGATCATATTCCTCGGCCGCGTGTCAGTCAGAAATGGAAAGTCAATGGTGACCAGTGGGTCAGTGTTGATGTTTCTCAAACGCCATCGCCGCAATCGTCGCCATTGAGCTACAAATTGGCAAAGACCGTGTCCTCTGCTGGCTCCGGCTCAACTGATATGTCATCATCGGATGACTGGGAAGACCGATTTGTCGTACACATGCCTTCTGCGAAAGATCCCAATCCGCCCTCCATGTCAGTTGAGCAGATCCGAATGTATCAAGAAAAGATAGGGAGGCTTCATACGCCGACGGTTAGAAGGCACGAGATGGATGCGTCTAAACCGTCTTCTGGCTCTCCACAGCACCAAAGTACGGCACGCCCGAAGAAGACGAGCTCAATTCCTATAGTTCAAAAGGACTCATCTTTGCATTCCTCTTCAACAGGCAGCAGCCAGTCAATCTCCCCTCCAGTGGATGGACCGAAACAATCTTACTTCAGTCCTGATGAGGTTGGGCGGGCCAGAGTCAGTCCAGTAAACGACTATTCGAAACTCAAACAGAAAGATTTGGTCAAAAAGTTAAGAGAAGAATGTTTCCTGGGTTGTATGGGAGTAGATGAAGCAGCTGCAAAAAATCCAGATGAAATCCTTTTATTTCCGTCTCTAGACGATGAGAACGAATCGCAAGCATCACCAATCGTGAAGTCAGCGGACGAAGGTGACAAAGCTAAATCATCTGGCATTCCAAGATCATCCAAACTGCCACAGCTTTCCGGTCAACCTCTCGCTAGGACACCCCCAAAAGCTCCTAGCAAGGAACATGCGACACCTCATACCAACCCTCTAGACATTCCACTAGCATTGACAGCAGCACAATCGACAAAAATACCAAAGCCCGCGTCGAGCAGTCCCAAGGAAAGTGCCCAGCATATAGTCAAGGAAGGTGAAGATAATGCCCTCAAATCTACTCCTCCCGCCAGCACCAAGAAACCCCTCACTAGAGCAGTTATACAAGGATCACGGACACGTTTAGCGTTCAAGACATCGTCTAGGCCACGGAACTTTCCCAGCAAGACGAAGCAGGGAGCTCCAGAAAATGATGTGTTTTTGGAAAGCTCTTCGCCTAGCAGCACGCCTGAAGCGGCTCCTCAACATGCTCCAGAGCAACCTTCCAAGCCTACCTCACCTGATTTTAGCAAAACAAACCTTGAGCAGATCCCAGAAGGCAAATCTATGACTACACCCAAGAGCAGTGACAGTATTAGACTGAGCCCTAGCGATATCTTCAAGGACATTCCTGGCAAAGGTCCGCAGCTCTACGAAATCCTTTCCCCGGAAGAAGCGAGAGCGCGCAATGCAAATCAAAAGGCACCAAAGGCATCAAGCGTCGCCGAGTTGGACGGCCTTCAAGTGCCTCAACAATTGCCGAGTCCGCCCCTGAGCACTTCCCCTTCCCCTCCTCCACTGAAAGCCAAAGCAGATGTATCACCAACGAATGCAAAGTCTCCCCAGTCTGAGAAGAGGAATACTCACTCCATCCGAATGGAAATTCGGATGAAGGCAGAGAAGGCGAGACAGGGTGCCGCCGCTGCAAAAACTGCATCTGAACGATTGGCAGCCGCTCGAAAGCACGCAGAGCGACTGGCTGAAGCACGTGCTGCGTACGACAAAGCAAAATCTCAAAGCGCTGCTAAGAAAACAAGAGAGCCACTGGACGAATTGAAAGAACAGAAGCTCAATACTGAAAGAATCAATGAAGCTCGTAGGGCTTACAAGGCAGCAAAAGCTAAAGAAGAGGCAGAGAAGCAGGAAAAGACGCATCAAAATGAAGCCAAAGATCAGTCAACCCCATCTTCTGCTTCTTCCTCTACCTCCGCCCCTGCTTCCCAACATACCGACACAAAGCCAGTCAGAAAGCCCTCACGTAAGAGCGGCGCAAAACGTCCACCGAGAACCCACACTATCAACGAACATGAAGATGCTGCCATTCCTCGTGCTGGAGGGAACAAGGGTCCGGTTAATATTCCTAACGACGTCCGCCTAACCGATATTGCGTCCGGTCCTGGGGCTTTCTACCTCTCGCTCATCAGATTTCACGATTCCCTTGGCCATAACCAAGTATATTCACATACTATTCTCTTTTGCGAGAAGCTATTCCATATGGCCACTCATTGTTTCAAAGTATGCAACCGTCTGGCGGAAGCTTGGTTGGAATACAAACAAACCGGAGTGTTACCACAGTCGTGTGTCGATGAATTTGGAGATCTGGCAGGAGACATAGGACAAGCCCTTGTTAATTTTGCAATTTTGTACTATGTGTTTATAGTTTTTGCGAAGACTGCCGGCTACATTGCAATTGTCACCAGCTGGATTTTGTGGTTTAGTAAGCCTGCTGGGTGGATTTTTGCACACGTATTGGACGCTGTATGGGAGTGATGGTATTTATATCGCTTCCTGCACATTTTCGACTATGTTAAGTCGAAAATTCCTGGAGTCTGTCAGAGACAAGATGGAGTTGTGCTTCTTATTTCCAATTTTTTTTTTTTGGAACTGCGGTTGGAAGTTCGTGTTTTATAATTCTCTTTTGTTCGGACATTATTATCTCTTCGTTGCTCGTTTCCTTTATTTTCCTTTCAATGGTTTTGCTTGTTATATGTATTTAGTCTGAAGCTAGCCAGGGGTACGAAAGCTATTGTTAATAATAAATGTATTCGTTTATCTACGAATTCAGCGTGTACGTTTATCTTTTAATACTGACACGGAGAAAATTTGAGACGAAAAGGAGAAGAAAGAAAAAGGTTTACTTCAATATAATTTTTAGAACTGTTTTTTTTTTTTTAATTTCCAAATAGAAAGTAGGTGTACCTAGGTAAGATTCAAGGTATCTCCGTGTGTATGGAGTACAGTAAGTAGTTCTTTTTTTCAGAACGCGGCCCACGCACTATGTATGGGTAGGAAGGAGGAAAAATAATAATATAGATGGAACCAAAGAGGAAAGGAGAAGGAGATTAACATGAAGGAAATAAAGAAACAATTAAAGACAAACAAGTGGGAAAAGCAGGAAAGGTGTCTCAGAAAAGAAGGAAAAGAGCTCCAGTCCTCCTTCACTTCTTGTCCCCCCTCCTTCTCCTCTCCAAGATGTCCGCGGTATATGATGGATGCATGTTGAATGGTATTAAATGTTGAATTTCATCACGTCGTTTTTTTTCTTGGCATCAATAGTCATTAACTAGCTTGTTCTTTTTTGGAGTGGCTGTCGTATGTTGAAAATGAAAATGAAAATGAAGATCGAAATCGAAATCGAAATCGAAAGGATAAGGAAAGAAGAGCGCTGATTATTGGTGTCGAAATATCCGCTCGTCTTTTTTGCTTTGCGCTTTTTTTTTAAAAAAAAACCCCGGTCCCTCCTGATAATGCTCCTGAAAAAAATCATTAATGTTGAATGGATATGTTTGTTTTGTTCTTTTTCTCTCCCCGGAATATCTGGGGATGTTGGTTTGTCTGGGTGCAGAGTGAGCTTTTAGTCGGTGGTGCTGTCCGCTGGAGTTTCGGTTGCGAGGTCTTTGATGACAAGGCCATCGAAGAGGCGGAAGATGTCGTCTTTCTTATGAAAGTCGTTGTTGACTGTTTACGTAAGAGGAAAGTCAGCTAACACAAAAACTTTTTTCAACTTGGCTTTGGTACTGATGTCTACATCAGCTCTAAACTTACCGATATTTAAGATATACCATTCGTCCATCATACGCTGGATAAGTTTGCGACTGGGGCTATCCGCAGGATGACATTTCGCCCAATCGTCACCGAGTTGGTAAGCCTCGTCCTTCCAGGCCATGAAGCTCACGCTCTCGACAATGGTAGGCTGAATGATTTCCTTCGAAGCAAAGATACCCCAGGTAACGGCATTAGGTCCGTCATCGCTTCTCGCCTTCAGTTCGCCGGTCTTGTTGACGCAATAGTATGTCAGATCTGGGTTCTTCTCGATGCGGCGTAGAAGCTCGTCTACGTGCTCTGGAGGAATGAACAGTTCCAGATATGCCTTTTGGTAGACGTATCCATTGCGTGGACCCCAACCGTGAACCGGGTCGGTCGACTTGACGCCATTGACGGCTGGTTGGGAGTTGATGGTGAGGAAACCGCGCTTGTTAAGTTCAATGAGCTCGGTCTCGATACCGCTGGTCTCGGAGGTAACGGAAGTATCACTCCATGGTAGTCTCTCCAACTTTCCGTTGAGATAGTTGACAAAGATGTCGGCTAGGTCCTTCAGAGACTTGGGTGTGCCCCAGAGCTTAACGTTCTGCTGGCTGGTACCTTTTAATCTCACGCCGTAAGCATTCAACTCGCCGAAGGCGGGGGAACGAGCATCAGTCCAGCGTCCATTGGGGTACTCATCCCAATCCGCTGTACGAGCAATGTAAGAGTGGTTTCGATTCCGCCAGAAAATTGGACGGACATCTTCGCTGCGTCGGCGCAAACCAAGAGACTTGCGCCATGGCAGAGGTTTGTGAAGAGGAGCTGCTTCTGATGGGCAAAGGTTGAGTTCTTCCAAAATTAGGCGGGTTGCTTGCGCAAGGTTCATAGTATAACTGGGGAATTCAGATCAGCTTGGCTGCAACCGGAAGGCTTATTGAACGGCAGACTTACAAGTGTAGGTGGTGGATTTCGCCAGACTTTAACAGTTTACGACACAGTTCCGACACAAACTTCGTGCCAAGTTCTCGGACTCTGGCATCATCGGCCTTGACCGGCTCGAGCTCTTCTAGCCACTGTGGAGGCACGCGGATTTTCGTCCACTTTGAGCGGCGGATGAAAGCGTCATATGTTGAGATAGGCATAATTCCTGGAATGATGGGAACATTGACCCCCTTAGCGCGACACTTTTGTACCCAGTCCAGGAAGTTGTCCACGTCATAAAACATCTGAGTCACAATGAATGAGCTTCCGGCATCGACCTTCTCCTTAAGATGATCAATTAGTAGGTCGACGTCGGGGTTGTCATCAGCACCCTCGGGATATCCCCCGACGCCAATATCAAAGTGATTGCCGTATTTCTCCCTAATATATTTGACCAGGTCCTTGGCATATCGGAAACCGCCCTCTGCAGCTTCCCACTTCTCATGTTCGCGGGGCGGGTCACCCCGCAGGGCGAGGATATTCGTGCAACCGGCATTATAAGCAGCCTCCAACGCAGCGTCGACTTTCTCACGGGGCATATCAGTGCAAGTCAAGTGCATGACAGTCTCCAAGCCGAAGACTGTCTGCGCAATTCGCACCATTTCACAGGTCAGATCAGATCGGCTACCACCAGCGCCCCAGGTGACATCAATAAAAGCTGGACCTAGGTCATGCATGCGATCCATACGATCGTATAAGTTCTGGACACCCTGAGCGGTCTTCGGCGGGAAGTATTCGAAGGAGATTCCAGGTCGACCGGAGGCCGCCTGGTCTTGGAGCCTTTGCCCTACGTGCATTGTGACTTGGTGGCCGTTGCTAGGAAAGGAATGTGCTAGCCAGTATGAATAACTGATCTCCTTGGAATTGACACAGTCAAAAAAAAAAAAATAAATAAAAAAAAAAATCGCACACGGCGTGCGAGGAAAAGAAGCTGGATATCAAATTTAGTGAAATGTCCCGCGGTATATGCACCAATAAAGCAGTGGCGGCAGGAAGGATGAGGGTATCGTCTAAAAGAAGCAGAAGCACAATCGTATGATCAAAAGAAAGACGAAAAGAGAAGAAAAGAAGCAAGCAAGGGCAGCTGAAAGGGAGAGTAGAAAGCTGGCAATTGCAATCCCGAATAATTCTTGGTGTTTAGTCGCCGGCTCCGAAGGTCATCCTAAAATATGAACGCTAAAACCGTTATCGGAGACCGGAGAAATGACGCTAGCTCGGATTTGGAAGTCCCCGCCAATCGCAAAGAGCAGTCGATGCCCCAGGCAGACAATCGTTCTCGCCCACAGCGAGAGGACGAAGCGGGCAAATCCCATGGTCTCTGCTCGTATGCGCCATGGCTAAGCATGCTGAGAACCATACTCGAATATTATGCCTGAGAAAACGCAGTAAACCAAGAGACAACCTGGTTGTCTGTGGTACTGTGTACTCGGTCAGCGAGCGAGATAGCCAATCAGCGCCCGCCACCGGATCCGAGCGCTGATTGGCTGCCTGAGGCGGGCTATGGCTCTGCCTCTTTCTCTTTCTGTTTCTGCCCTCTGCCCCTCCATGCAATTTTTATCCAATCTCTCCCAACAAGCAACCAGCTCGCACACAAGACGAGGCTCACTTGGCTTCTTGGTACCCCGGACGGCAGAGCGCTTTTCCCATTCCCTGAGATACCCCAGCCAGTTTTAGTCATGTCCCCCGCTCAGCCCGTCGATCAGGACTACAAGTCCAACCTTCTGTCTTTGCTCATAGCCAACAATGCTCTTGCATTCGGAACATACACATTGAAGTCTGGTCGCGAGTCGCCGTACTTTCTGACCTCGAGCCGTCTCTATACTGCGCCTTTGTTGCGCCAGACCTCAGCTGCTTTCGCGAACGTCATTTCATCCCCGCCTTTTGTGACAATATCCGCCGATGGCAGCATCACGCCAATTTTTGACATTGTATTTGGGTATGTTGCGCCGTGCTTCACACTTGCTGAACACTGACTAATCTCTCTGAATGCCTACAGCCCGGCTTACAAGGGTATTCCGGAATGCGTTGGCGTCGTGACCGAACTCGCTACTCGCGATGCGCTCGCGGGCACCAAAACATGGGATAGCATCAGCTACTCTTTCAATCGCAAAGAAGCGAAGGATCACGGCGAGGGAGGAAATATTGTCGGTGCCCCTCTCAAGGGCAAACGTGTCTTGATCGTCGACGACGTCATCACCGCTGGCACCGCGCTTCGCGAAGCTGTCGGAATCATCAAGAAGGAAGGTGGAACCGTTGCTGGTGTTGTTTTACTGTTCGATCGTCAAGAGAGAGTCAGCGACACAGAGCAGAAGAGTGCTATCGGAGCCGCTGAAAGAGATTTGGGCGGGGATATTCCCATTCGTGCGGTGCTCGTATTCCAAGATTTGATTGACCAGCTGGGAGACAAGATTGGCAAGGAAGAGATTCGCAGGCTGGAGGAGTACCGGGAGAAGTATAAAGCTACATAAAAGTCCATTTTGCTGAAAAGTGAGGAAATTAGGTTAACGAATTATGCTAAATAGGATCTGGGTGGCAAGTGTACTTAAAATTTAGAACATAGTATATAGCACGCTCGCAATGTCGTGATTTGTATATATATATATATATATATATATATATCTTTTGTAAATAAAAAGTTTGTGTATATCAAACCATTGTTTCTTCGAGTCTGTGTCCATGTTCATTATGAGGAGTGACCTTCCAGTGGACTTATAACCCTTAGTAACTTAATGTAAAACTTTTGATCATGTATACTCCGTAAAGAAAAACTACCTCGAACTAGGTTGGGTTCAAGTTGAATCAGGCACAGTGGCAGCTCTAGCGCCTAGCAATCCATTATCCCTGTCGAGATCCTGCAAAAGAGCTTTGGGGCACAATAGTCTCGACAAGCTACTGCCACTCTTGTATCCTCCCTCGAACGCCAAACTTATCGTCTTTTCTGGGCGCAGGACATACTCGGGTAGGGCTTGCACGCCTTTTTTAGCCCATTTCCATCCGGTACCACCATCCGGCTCCTCGAGTCTGAAGCCCGCTAGTGATGCCGGATTGTAATTGTTGACCTTGAGCTTCCGGAATCTAACAATAGGGTGTAAATATTCATTCGTGGCACCCTCAACTCCGTCACCAGCGTCCCGCGGATAGGCTCCTGGCGTGCGATCCTGCTTTCCCAGAAGCCTGAAGAAAGCACCTTGCAGTCCAGCGAAATTGGAAACGATTGGTCCGCATCCCCATTCGTTGATAGATCCTTTGGGCTTGTTATCAGCCTGGCTGTCATGATGCTGCTCGATAAAATTTTTGATTGCCTCTTCTTCAAACGTCAACATCCCTGAGAGATTGTCCACCTGTATAAATGCTCGCGATTAGTCGGTTCGGGCATCACATATATAGCTATCGAAAGGCAGAAAGCGAGACTAGTAAGCTTACCATCCAGGCAAATGTAATGTCTCCAATCTCTCCATGGTCATTAGCAGGGCTCGTAGGATCATCTGCTTGGCCACCAATATTGCCGTGGATGCCGGGAAACCAACATTGCTTCATGTCCTTCGCTGGAGCCCCTGCGGTCTTGTGCCACAGGGCCGGGGGGAACGTTAATCTTCTCTCGTCAATAGCGAGACACTGGAAAGCATAGTCCACATCTAGCCGAAAACGCTTTTTTAGTGACGGTTTCCACTATGTATCAGATAAGTGTGCTCGCCATGTAGACTTACTTTTTGACAACCTCGTATTGTGAAAGCTGTATTTCTTGTTGAAAGCAATGCCAGATCTCGCTGCTAAACCCACCAGAGGCCATTCGGGGATTCCCTGTTTAGTCTTGAGTTATTATCTGTTATAAAAATAGCAGGGGAAGTATTGTTGGTATCATCGCATACCAAAGCTCCGACAGTGTCCCAGACACCTACAACTTTGATCTTGATATTCTCCGATAAATGTAGCTTGTCCTTATGCTTTTGGTACCATGCTGACTTGCTGAAGGGCTCCCCGTCCGTATTCGCCGTGTACGCCTTCCACATGTCTGCAAAGTGCGACATATTGACTGGTGAAAGGATACCTATATCACCCACCAAGCCAGCGACTGAACGCGCGGTGAAAGCGCCACGAGAGAAGCCGAATAACATCAATTCATCCCCAGGCGCATAATTGTTGGAGATGAACTCATAGAGTTGGCAAATGTCGATGTCCAAACCCCAGCCGACGCCACCTGTCAATGAAGCAGACCAGGCATCAGTGACTCACATCCGGTTGGTATAGCTAGTTTCAGAAATCCGTGACACCCACCATAGATGGCTTTCTGAAGCGGGAGGTCTCCGCTCCCCAGCCCAGAATGGTAATATACGATCTGAGGCACAATCGCGCCTTGCCGATCTGGACCGCTGGTTGCGATTGCTCGAGCAATCTTCGCAACGTTCGTTGGCACGGACTTGTCGCCTAGATCAGATGACAACCATGTCCCATCGGCACAAAGGATGATGCGCTTATAGCCTGCCTGCTTCGCTCTTTGCTGTGCCATGCTGTACTCTGTCGATCAGTTTAGGAGTACCCCTTATTCAATGTGATGGTATACCAGCAGGCCGATTCCAAGATGAATGGCAGCTATGCCTCTTTTCACAATACTTATAGGAAAAGTCGGAGACTAACCTGGCTATCAGTGAATCTCCTGCCAGAAAGGCTACCTGCAACAAATATCGTCGTTTGCGTATAATGCCCAAGGTTCTAGACCGGTACACCCAGTGCGTCTACCATCTGTCAACAATGTTGTTACAACTCTTTTTCGTCAACCATATTTATAAGCATTTACCACATTCGTCTCCTATACGACTGGGCTTGGAAAGCCATTGACGTCTATTCCGTGAGTTGCAACCCTCCTTAGAATGAGTGACGCCACATTCCCGAGTTTTGAACTACCTGCATGCGTTATGAGACCATTTGTGTAATGGTGATTTCATTAACTTGGGCTGTTAATTTGTTAGATAGATCCATTCAAGTACACATATCTGGGACCTCGTTGAATACTATGTTGTGCTGGTTAATCATCATAGGGTTTAACAACTAAAGTTAGCTAACTTTGAAAAGACTCTATACTCAAAATTCACAATGGTTTCCCTACTGTCTCATACAGTCCGATCTTCTCTTCAAGAACTACGTGATATGATAAAGTGTAGCGTGGGCTGCGATGCCACTGAGGACTCGGATTCCACCTTACGCGGGTTGTTGAGCCGCTTCAACTCCATCCTTGCGTCAAGTGGCGACGATAATACCACCAATGCCGTCAAACGTGAGAGCTCGACACCATGGAGCACTCTGCTGACCGACATATTTGATTTCCTCGAGAAGAATACTTCCCTTTTATCTGATGAGAAGAGTCAAGCCCTTCGGATTCATGAAGATATTGGAATTCTGATTGACATTGCTCACACAAGAGCACTGAGAGAGGGCATAAACGATAAGTCTTACTTGGTGCGTTATTCCGTAACTTGGTTTCATTGGATGGAATGTGTTGTTGACATGCGAATTCTTCCGCAGATGGAGCGTATCATCAAGCTCGCAGCTTCGTTGCCTGATGGCTCAGAAACCCGGAATGCAATTACGGGAATTCTTGTCAAGGGATTGTGGGATAGTTTGCAACACCCTCCATTATCCCTTCTTGGTGACGAATTTGTTTATCGCACCGCAGATGGGTCGAACAATGTCAGTTTCAGATTTAGCATACTTACTGCCTATTGACTGATAAAATGGGCTTCTAGAATGTCATGTACCCGAAGCTTGGGATGGCAGGCTCAAGCTATGCCAAGTCGGTCAGATCACTGACCCAAGAGAGAACATATCCTGATCCCTCAGAGGTGTTTGATAGTTAGTATGTGAAGACACAGAGGACCAGTTGCTAATCCTTCCCAGAACTTCTGGCTCGTCGAGGACTGCCGAAAGATCATCCCAACAAGATCTCGAGTGCGCTGTTTTACCTAGCCATTATTATCATTCACGGTTAACTTCTCCGTCTGTTGAGTAAAATATACCAGCAACCGTTGTACTAACTGACAATCAGATCTGTTCCGCACTAGTAATGACACAGACAATCAAACCCCGATTTCCAACGTCTCATCCACTTCGTCCTACCTAGATTTATCCCCTTTATATGGGAACAATGACCAGGAACAACATGCTGTGCGAACTATGAAGGATGGCATGCTCAAGCCTGATACATTCTCTGAACATCGTATTCTTGGGTTTCCACCAGGCGCCTCCGCTTTACTGATTTCGTTCAATCGCTTCCATAATTATGTCGCTGAGAACTTGAAACAAATCAACGAAGGAGGACGTTTCAGTTTGAATCCAAGCTTGAGCAAGGATACCGCAGAGAAAGTTGCTGATAACGCCCTTTTTAACACCGCAAGGCTGTATGTGACGACCCACTCCATCTTCAATTATTTGCATCTTTTTTGTGCTGAAAATCTACTTTAGCATTACTTGCGGGCTATACGTCAACATCATTCTCTCCGATTATGTGAAGACTATCCTGAACATGAACTATTCCCCAAATACCAGCTGGGTTTTAGATCCCCGAGAGTCATACTCTGACGTCTTTAAAAATAACACTGAACTCCCAATGGGCACTGGAAACCAGGTTTCTGTGGAATTTAACCTCATTTACCGTTGGCATGGCAATCTCAGCGTAAGAGACGAGGCGTGGACGCAGGCTTTTATGCAAGATCTATTCCCAGGCCAAGATTTTACAAAATTGCCGCTGGCAGAGTTTCTGAGGGGCTTGGGCGAGTGGAAGGACCGCGCCCTCGCGCAGAAACCTGAAATCCGAACTTTTGGAAATCTGAAGCGCAATAGCTCTGGTGCTTTCGACACCAAAGAACTAGCATCACTCATTGCCCAGAGTACGCAGGACGTTAGCGGTATGTTATTTTTCATGCATGCATATCATCAATATCTTCCTACCCTCCGATAACTTACACAGATCTTAGCTGCGTTTGGTGCAAACCAAGTGCCTGAGGCTCTCAAGCTTATTGTCATTCTCGGAATGAGCCAGGCACGTAGTTGGCACGTTGGAACGTTGAATGAACTACGCAAATTCATGGGTCTTGCGCCACATAAGAGCTTTGCCGATATTAACTCGGATCCCGAAGTTCAGAAGGCTATGGAAGCGCTGTATAAGGACCCAGATCACGTAGAATTGTACCCCGGCGTGATCTTCGAAGAGTCAAAGAAACCAGTCTACCCGGGTTCAGGTCTCTGTGCGGGTTTTACGATCACCAGAGCTATCTTGAGCGATGCTGTGACATTAGTCAGGGGTGACCGGTTCTATACCCTCGTATGCCTCCTATGTCTTAAGAAATATGTATGTAAATACCTGCTGACTTCTTCATCAACTTGAGCAGGACTGGACTCCGGCCCATATGACGGAATGGGGTTTTAATCTCGTCCAACCCAATAAGCCGCAGGATAAACTTGCTCGCGGGGGTAAAATACACCATCTGCTTGACGTGGCATTCCCTAACTTCTACGGAGAAAGGTCGGTCTGGAAGTTATTCCCCTTCACAAATCCAGACGAGATCAAGCGTATATTTGATAGGCAAGGTGTTGCGGGGCAATATGATTTCTCAAGCCCATTGTCATAAGCGAGGTTGTTGGGACTTGGTTTTTTTTCACTTTTCAGCTGTGTGCTCATTGAGAAAAGTATCGGAGAGAGCTGAGATTTTATATGCATGCGGGTCTCTTATTCTAATTCCAACCAACACGCTGAAATGGCTATGTAATTACAAACCAGGATATCTTGACATAATTTCTGAAGTGACTAGAAACAGACTCCGGACGTGGACTTATCGACAATGACTTCCAAAACATGTACTCTGTAGGGCTTCCTGAATGATGCGGAAGAATAAACTGGTACTTTCATTTGCGTCAGTATGATCCAACCACCTTGGCGTCTGCTCGAGCTTTGTGTTTGGGTTCCTAACGACATCATTTCTGAAAACAGCCTCAGGTTGTTGTTCACCACGGAACGATCACCAGCCCAGAACGAGATGCAGCATTTCCATGTTTTACGGCTGCCTTTAGTACCGTTTGGGCTCATAATAACCAAATTGTATATTATATGTTGATTGCAAAGACAGGCTGATAGGACCGAATCCATAATTATACTAAATACATTGAGCACGAATTTTGTTTATGCGCAATACATCACGTCGAACTTCCAGAAGAAAAACTGGTTCGTAAATCCGGCTAGAAGACAGACCTTCCAAATTGATAAACAAGCCAGACTTCTAATGCTATCGTTCAGTATGGACAAAGCACAAGTGCATCATTAGAGACAAAGCTAAAGCTTTTGCTTTTCGTTGATGTTGAACTCAATTGCAAGGGTTGCAAGTTGGGCTTGCTGTTATACACAAGATATGGTCAGTACGTATAGCTATGTCAAATCAGATATGAACAATCTTGGAAAAGAGAAAGTACCGCAATTGTATGGCCGAATGCCTCTCTATTCTTGGGTTGCCACCCGTACGGTAAACGCTCCTCGGACAACCAGGTCCGGAGATCTTCGACTTCGCCGCCAAAAATCGAGAACATGAGTGCAGCATTTCCAGAGCCTAGCACAGAACACAAGTAATAGTGAGTACATATACGAACATTATTAGGGAAGTGATGTACCAAAGAATTTGTGGCGGAAGCTGTACGTTAGCGAGTATTGACCATTGGCCTGTTTGCAAGCGGCGCGACGGTCCCCGGAATAGGTCGCCAGGTCTTCAATTGAGAGGGTTTTTCCATTTGAAGAGTGAGATATGAGGCTTTCCACGAGGCTAAGGTCGGGAACGCTTTGGTCAGGGCAGAAGGCGATGTCAGGACGAGTGAAGGAGGCATCGTGCTGAATAACCTGCAGAATTGCGGAGCGACAATCAGTATCCCGGATCCTCTTTGAGACAAGAAAAAAGGAGCAAAAAAGAGCATAGAAAGCGCAAATTGATCTGCAGCTCTTATCACCTGGCTAACATTTAAGGCATTGAGGTCGTGTAAGTTGATCCAACCCCGCCCTTGATCAAGTTGCACGGCGGCCGCAGTTAGCTGCTGTGCAAGGGTTGGTGAAAGATTGTATGCATGCTGAACAGCATGTGAGATCTGTGTATAGGTTACATGTTTCCCATTATGCGGTAATATATTGTGATTAGCGAGGGCATTGAGTCCCGGACAAGGCGATCGGCTGTCTCTGCCTTGAACAGGGGCAATATAATCTGGCCAAATACCACGGTGTCCTGGATAGCCAGGAGGAACGACATTTCTCGCACGACGACTGGGGCGGAAGAAATTTGCAGCCTAAATTGTGAACAGTTCAGAACCTATTTTAGACAATTTCATTGATAACATGTATGAGGACGTTTCAACGTACAGTATACAACAAGTCGCGGGTATGGAGCCTTATAACAAAGAATAGCACAGGCAGAAAGGAAAAGAGAAAATGAATGGTCCTCATAAAGAGACCTGTGAATGTACTTAGCACTATGGACATTGTGAGAGCAGAGCATGAACGGGGAAGACAATGAGAATGAACACTACACAGCTTAGCTACGGAGAACTGTTAACATATATACTTTGAAATTATCAGAATCTTTTGCCCAAGGGACTAATGAAAACAAACGAAAGTGTTTCTGAATCAGAAAGCCCTATGTCAACATACAGACTTGTACAATTCCGGATCTAGAGAATTTCCTCTGCTTGCAAGACTGGGGAACATTCTAGCCCTCCGATCTTTGGGTCGTGGCATTATCATAGACTTTTTTCAGACGTTTTCATCTAGGTATTTCTAACGTCATAATTATAGCTTAAGAGTCTTCGTGCAAATAACAAATCAATACACGGGCGCCATCAATTTTCTCAAATATGTATGAAATGAAGATGTTACGGGAATGATTTTCCCTCATTGATAGCCCTAACCACTTCCTGCACAGAAAAAAGATCAAAACTACTGCAACCATCCGAACTTGCACATCAAGTCATGAATGAATCAACCTCAACTACATCGGGCTTCAAGGGCCCAACAGAGAAATTTAATGATCTGCAAGGATATGAGTACGTCATCGTAGGATCGGGTGCCGGTGGTGGCCCATTAGCCGCCAATCTTGCTCGCAAAGGACATCAAGTTCTCCTACTGGAGGCTGGAGATGATCAAGGGGCCAACCTCAACCAGCAGGTTCCTGCCTTTCACTTCCAATCCACGGAGGATGAGAAGATGTGCTGGAATTATTTCGTCAAGCATTACGGAGACGAGACAGCCGCGCAAAAAGACTCTAAGATGACATGGAAAACGCCAACGGGGGCCTATTACGTCGGATTAAAGCCACCTGAAGGATCAACACAAAAAGGAATTCTTTATCCACGCGCAGGGACATTGGGCGGCTGTACGGCTCACAATGCCATGATCACCATTTACCCGCACGAAAGTGACTGGGCCAATATCGCTCAACTGACCGGAGATAGTTCGTGGGACCCAAAGAATATGCGCCAGTATTTCACACGCCTAGAAAACTGTGCATATCTCCCCAAGAACACCCTTGGGCATGGTTTTAGCGGCTGGCTCGGTACGAGCCGTTCTGATCTCAAGCTAGCTCTTGGGGACTGGAAACTCCTGTCCATCATCAGTGCAGCTGTCAGAGCCATCGGGCATGGCATCCTGGGTGCAGTACGGGAAAGAGCTTCTCAATTACTGAGGCTACTTCTTCACGACATCAATTCCGCCAATCCTCAGAGGGACATGACCGAGGGCATCTATCAACTCCCTCTGGCCGTAAAAGACGGAAAGCGAAATGGCCCTCGGGACTTCCTTCTAGATACAGTCAGAAAATATCCGTTGGAGATAAGGATGTCCTCACTCGCTACCCGCGTTCTTTTCGATCACGGTAATGCCAACAGCACGCCGAAAGCAGTAGGGGTTGAGTTCATTCAAGGTCCTAGTCTATATAAGGCGGATCCACGTTCCAATTCATCAGCTCCCGGTACTAAATATCGCGTACTCGTTACTCGGGAGATTATACTCGCTGCAGGAGCTTTCAATACACCGCAACTTTTAAAGCTAAGCGGTATCGGTCCAGCTGATGAATTAGCGAAGTTTGGAATTTCTGTTGTGAAAGATCTGCAGGGCGTTGGAACCAATCTCCAGGATCGGTACGAGATTCCCATTGTCACCAAGATAGGAGAAGATTTCTCCATCACGGCAAATTGCACGTACTCGCAGCCAGGAGATCCGTGCCTGAAAGAGTGGAGTCAGCAGCGCGGACCTTATCTATCCAATGGACTCCCTTTCGGAATCGTGAAGAAATCTAGTAAATCCGATGTTGATCCTGATCTGTTCATTTTTGGCGGACCTGCGCTCTTCAAGGGTTACTATCCTGGTTACTCCAAATTGACCAGCGTCGACAAGCAACACTTCACATGGGCTGTTCTCAAGGCTCACACCCATAACCAGGATGGAACAGTCAAACTCACATCAGCCAACCCGTGTGACGTTCCTGATATCAATTTTAATTACTTCAAAACAAGCGCAGAAGAATCTCAGGTAGCAGAACGTGACCTTGATGCTATAGCAGAAGGTCTTTTCTTTGCGCGTCGCATAATGGATGATGTTGTACCAATATTCACTGGGTCCGTAGTGGAGGCATCTCCTGGCCGGCATGTGGCCTCGCCGCAACAAGCGAAAGACTTCATCAAAAATGAAGCTTGGGGCCACCATGCTTCTTGTAGCTGCCCAATTGGAGCAGATGAAGACCCGAAAGCAGTTCTGGATTCTCGTTTCCGTGTTCGCGGCGTGGATAACCTGCGTGTCGTGGATGCGTCCGTCTTTCCTCGCATTCCCGGTTTCTTCATCGTTGTCCCCATCTATATGATTAGTGAGAAGGCAGCCGACATCATACATGAAGATGCCAGGTTATCTTAAAAGCGGTAATGCTACGTCTCTGTCTTTTACAATACAAATCTCTAGCCAGCCTACCATTCGGGCTGCGCGTAACCATGCTCTATTTGATCAAATCTAGGAAAGGCTTTGACTATGACTTTTAATGCCGTGTACATAAATCCATACAACAGGTATGAAAAAAGCTTCCAGAGATTTTCTTTCTTTCTTTCTTTTTTTTCATTCTTGCTTTGCTCACCTTGCCGAGTTGGTGTTAGTACAATATTTTCTCCGATTTATAAGAGATATCTGACCCCAGGTAACCGTACGAATTACAGGGAGTCCACTTGTCGGTTTAGCCCGGTCCATAGCAATGGATCAACAGCAATTCATTTAGTTTCGGAAAACGGTCATGAGGCAGTGGTGAGCGTGCTTCTTGAGAATGGGGCTGATATCGATGTTAATGATCAAATAAAGTGGACAGCACTTTTGTTCGCTGGTTACAGAGGTCACAAAGCGGTGGCAAAGTCACCAGTCTCAAAACTTTCTCTGATTCTGGTAGTAAGGGTCGTCATCGATCTCGGGAAACCTCGCGACCTAAACATCACCTTCGTCTCGATGTTGTGAAAGAGAGGCGACCTGGAAAGCTAAGTTTTCTGGAACGTAAAAATTCCCTTGCGGCCAATAAAGAGTTTAATAGGTATACCGCTATATGGGCTAGACGTGAATTAGCTCTATTTCGAAATTGAATGAAATTATCATGTGATTACCTGCTCAGCGCTGATTTTTCTCACGATTATCAGGGGAGCGGCGAGCAGGAATGTGGGCTCCGTGATCTGACTGTCCGATTACAATCTGCTTAACGGCTTCACTGACGTTCTCAGAAATGGGCTCTGGATTTTCGACAGCAAGAATCTCGCAGGGCTCTTCAGCAGCAAGCTCTGTAGGGATTTCCCATTCTTCGGCCACAGCCGACTCAACAATGAAGTCCCTTTGGCTCTTCGAGTTCTGTTTCAAAGACTGCAGGAACTGGGAGTGACATGCTTTATAGTCATCAAGCTTTGGATTTTTGTCAGAGCGGCATGGAACAGGGATATTCAAGATACGTGAAACAAACGATCTGTTTCGAGTTGTACATAGCAGTAATACGACCTACTTGTGCCCCTGTAACTAAGGGAAAGTAAAATAGTATTGATTTTGGATATATAGTCTCAAATCACGGCGGTCCACCTCTGTCCGTGATATTTCTTTAGTTGCGTCAAGAATGATATAAGCGGGTTTTGGTTTTGTTATCGGCTTCTTGAGTCCGCCAGGACGCAACCCAGGCAGGACAGACCTTCTTTGCTTGGTTTCGTTGTACCTCGGGAAGAAGGCTTCTCGATTCTTGAATCTTTCCTCTCTGAAATCCGTTTCTTAGTTCAATGATATATGATGAGTTAGGATATTCGGTCACGAGCCCAGAAATATCGGCACGAATCCCGAGTAATGCTTCTTTTGCGCCATCATTACTCTCAGTACCACCATCAGCGTTAAGCATCGAATAGTCAACCAACACTGATGGACCAATTCGTACTTGTCCCATAAATTGCACGTCACCCTCAATTAAATTAGACGGGTCGTCCTCTGATTTGAAGGCTTCAAAGGAAAACGTTTCGCCAGGCAGGAAACGTAATCCTGGAATCTCGAATCCTGTTTTCGCACTATCTGTGTCATGAATCAAGGCTGCATCAATGACTCATTTACATCAATTAGTCGAATCCAACATCCTCTATCTTTGATTCATCTTCTTCACCCTGTTTGCATTCCAAAGTCATCATTTCAGAATTAAGTTGTACATTCGGTGAACAACTGAGTAGGTGATCCATGTTGAATATCGCTTCTGCAATTGTCTCCTGATGAGCAGAATAGACAAAGAATGTCATCTTTTCTGGGTAGGTCGAGCTCAGATCTGAAGAAGCCAATGACCTTCTCAATAGTGGTTTAACATCACTGAGAACCAGATTGTCTGATATTGGCCTCTTATCCCAGGGGAATCCATCTTGAAGAGTTGCAGTAAAGGATGCGCCGTCCTTTATAAGCTGTGATAACAGGGCTGGTTCCTTGTTGCCAACAGTTAGAAACATCTTTGGATTCCTCTTCTTCCTCTCTACCAGAACTTCGCGATCTCTTAGAGGCAATGTAAACGAGATAATAGCTTGAGTCCGATGGTTCTGCATATTAAACATTGGAAGGTGAACTCCACAAAGGCGTTCCCCTTCGTATCCCTGAATGATGAAGCCATGGAAATTTGGAAATTCGACATTGCGCTGTATCATAGCTTTCACCTCATCCTCCACTATGGTCTTAAAGTCTTCAGCGAGTTGTTGGGAAGTCGCAAGCAAATGCGTTAATCATAAGGTCACTCCCCAACTGTTGAAGTAACTGCACAGCTTCGGGATCTAGCATGAGATCCTCATTATCTGCCTGTATAATGTGTTCCCGAGTGAATTCTTTTGGCGCCTCTACGTTACCTTCATCTCGCTCTGCAGGTAACATATTAAAAGGAGTGATTAGGAGTTTTGCTGATACATCTCCAATTTCGATTAGACTAACCATCAAAGTAGCCCAGTGACAGTAGAGCTACTTACGTTAGCATTCCTAATATCTTACCCTTTTGCCCGTGAATAATGCTTCACCTAAGAGAGTCAAATATCCGTCCTTGTGTAGTCCGATAGCTTGATAGGATAAATAAGGACCGACTACTAGTCCTTCTGTCACTGCAAGGAAGTATCTCATCATAGTTAACCCACCAGCTGCAGAGCCAAGCTTACTTCCCTCCACGCCGTAGAGACCAATGCTCTCAGTCAGACCTTCTTCACTTTCACAGTAGATTATAGAGCTAGTCCATGTCACCAAATATCGCATTCTTCCATCACGATAGCAGAGTGCACCTGCTAGGTATAGACTATAGCCGGACCTGAAGGAGTAAGTGATTAGATTATTAGCATATGATTAGACGGTAGTACTTATGTGGATCAGTTGTGATGTTATCCGTGAACTTTAAAGCTTCCAATTGCTGATTCGTGGAATCCGAGGCGACTGAGGTAGGTACATATGCTGAGTAACCCTTTGGGATGCTAGGGTGAGATGGGACTCACGCAACGTTGAGGCGAAATAACCACCCCCCATGCTGCATCACAGTGGATGACGAAGGACAGACCCTGCCGCTCATATTGAGAGCGCAAATCAATAATTTCTTTCAAGGGATCGACTGCTCCGTGTTCAATAGACCCCATGATAGCCACAACAGCGTAAATGGATTGTTTCGTTCCACAAGCAGTGTCCAGTATTTTATCAAGCTCATGAATGTCCATTCTCGCATTTTCGTAAACGGGCACATCCAGCAGATGCTGGGATCCGATTCCGGCAACCGCTACAAGAAAACCAATCATTGACCATATCAAGTCAGAGAAGGGAGCTACCTGCTCCTTTTGGCCATGAATAATGTTTTCTGTCGCTGATAAAATTATTTGGACGCTCAGAAATTTTCCCGGCGTGTCTTCTATGTGCCTCTCTATCGTAGCTATACTCAACAGTGTAATTTATATAATTTAATGTATTTCTTAATAATATTCATTAAATCATACATCCTTTAAGAAACAGTAAAAAGAAGATATAAATCTATATCATATAAAATTTTTAGGTATGGTTTATATATAAAATATTTGAGATATCAAGATCTTAAAAATCGTCCTTTATTATGTAATACAGAGGTGATCCAATGACCCGGGAAATTCGTTAAGGACCAACCCTCTCTTCATCAGGCCTTGCTCTGCTGGCTACAATCAATGATGAAAAAAAATTCAACTTGCTTGACGTAAGGCGGGTCTTCCACTGATTTCACTAGACAAGGGATTGATGATTGCAAGACCGAACCAATCGTACTCGCTCAAAGACTGGGCCCGCGATCGGTGAGTGGGTGGGGCAATAGACCCTAATTGCCCAATAGATTCTAATTCTTAATCTGAGTCATGCTGTTAATGGCTAGTGGGATCTACTGTCATCGGATAAAGTGGGTCTTCGTTCTTTATCCCGACCTCCCGTCAAATGTGATACATATGTCGATGCTGTTAAGTTCAGAGGCAATGATATGCTGATAGAGAAGACGGACAACGAAGGAGCATACTTCTGATTTGAAGTAGCAAGTGCCCTATTCACGAAAATTTGTTATGGCATTGCTCACGTTAGAGTAATACGATTAATCGAGTTTGGTAGTTTCCTCGGTACCTTGAAACACAACGGACCCGCTAGCCTTGGCTGCTTGCTATATGCAAGGGGATTGCATCTTATTGCTTGTGTCTTAGACGCCAAGGCCCACTTGAGAGGCTATTAGACATAAACACTGACCGAATCTGACTCACTTACTCCACTGGTTGTTTGAACCCAACCGCAACTGGCTTGAGCACACTAAAAAGCGCATCTCTTTGTATTTACTCAAAAGGTCCTGTGGTATATACAGTAAAATGATAAATCTACACTGCTCCTACTGCGATATTCAACATGAGTACTCGATCATCATGCATAGTTATCAGGCAGCCTCATATATAAACCGTTTCGCACACCGCTTCTCCTGATTATCTTTACTCATGATACGCAGTACAAGAGTACATAAAGTCGGAACTCAAAACACGAACTGCCCGCATAATTTACAGCATCATCTGAGAGCAAAAGATTCTGTGGGTCTTTACTTTTTCCAACCAACTGTTCCTGAAAAATGTTAAACCAACTAACCCAGTGTTTGATAGCCCCGAGACAATTACACAACAGTCCGCATAGAAGAGAATCACGCCAAGCACCTCGGTACCATTGCTGGGACTCGTAAATCTCAAGCCAGCCACTTTTTGGTTTATAATGGTACATGTCACAAAAGATCGATACGTAGCACATAAATATCGGATTTTATCATACTCGTATCGGTAATATGAGTGTCTCCAAGATTAGATGGCATAGCTATAGTACGCCTGGCATTTTTTCTCTGATGCTTAATAACACTGGAAATGCCAGATCATAATTTAGTCTCTCAGTACCAAGTTGATAAAAATAATTAAGTCATATCTATGGCTGAGCTAGAAATCTTGACCCCTGGTAGATCATCCACCAGCGGTAATTAGCCCTAACCACAGTGCCTACTTACCAGCATCCCTTCGGAAAGAAACCCACAAATTTCCTAATTAGATTATGTGTCGCAGATGCATGCATCCATTATTTTTCCGAATGTTCTTGTCGGACGATGCTATCGAGGACGTGTGCCGTGATCCTGTAATAGGGGCAAACCGGAAAACACAGAAGACTGGGAAGACATTAGTGACCTAGATACTGCCCAGACAGGAGAACTTTCGATCCTTCTTTTAGATAGGGATAACAATTCCAACACACAACGTTGCTGTACTTCACAACTGTGAAAGGGTTTACAAGCCCTGTCAAACTGCGCAATTTCTCGGATTATTCCTCGCAGCGCCACGCCAACTTACGGAGCTGCCCTGTCATCAGAGTTCAGGTTTTACGGCACTCCTGCTTCTGAATTCTACTTTTTCCTACACTATCTACCACTCCCTGTCTACTCGAGGCTTATCCCCTCCTCGTGTAGATCCATCGGAGTTCGACCTGATAATACGAGCCTTTTCTCACTCAGTCAAGATTTTTCCAGTCAATATTCCTTGATCTTCTACCGTTCGTTACCTTCTATATTTATTCACCATTGAGATTTATTCTTGTTGTGGCATCTATTTATAAACAATATTCCTTTGTAATCACGCTTTATTTGTCCTCTCTTTGCAACAAATCGGCCTCGAATTCTACACTCTCAAGAAGGATACATTTCTGTCATTCGTTTGTTACAATATTGCGACACATGCGGCATACATAAATCGTTACTTCCCCACTGACAGCCCTTCAAGATGAAGTGGACTATAGCAGGCGTTCTGCTCGCTCTCTGCGACAAAATAACAGCATGGCCATACGACGAAGATCTTACAGAGTACAATCTGAACGAGAACAAGACAGCCACGACACCTACTGAATACTGGGGAGAGTGGCCAAATCACGAATATTTCCCATCTCCGGACAATTGGCGTGTTCCGATCTACTCGTTGTTCCTTGATCGATTTGTTAACGGCGATCCAACGAACGATAACATCAACGGCACATACTACGAACATGATCTGAACTCAAACCAAATGCGTCATGGAGGTGATGTGGTTGGACTCGTCGATACCCTTGACTATCTTCAAGGAATGGGAATTAAGGTGGGTGAATTTTATCTCGACGATTTATAATGGTTTATTAAAAAACAGCCTCTAACTCATATCGCGCCATGAACTAGGCTATATACATTGCAGGAACGTCACTAATGAATCAGCCCTGGGGCTTCGATGGGTATTCGGCTCTCGATACAACGCTTTTGGATCAACACTATGGGCAAATATCTACTTGGAGATCAGCCATTACGGAGATCCACAATCGAGGCATGTATGTCATCTTTGACAATACACTTGCAACGTAAGTCATGGCAATTCCCCGATAGGAGGATTTGTTATCATTTGGCTAATCAAGTTTTTTTGATTGATTAAGAATGGGTGACTTGATCGGATTCGAAGGCTTTCTAAACACGACAGCCCCATTTTCGTTTCAAGAACATAAAGTCGAATACAAAAGCTCTCGTCGGTATGCCGATTTCAGCTTCGGAAACACATACAACTCAAGCTGTGATTATCCACAGTTCTACAACGAGACCGGCTATCCTGTGGACAGTTATGTGTACAACGAGTTGAAAGGTTGTTACAACAGTGACTTCGATCAGTACGGCGATATAGAAGCTTTCGGTGTCTTTCCCGATTATGAGCGTGAACTGGCCAAGTTTGCTTCAGTTCAAGACCGTCTTAGGGAATGGGTTCCATCTGTTCGGGAAATACTCATTCGGCATGCATGCATCATCATCGCATCCCTAGACGTTGACGGTTTTCGCTTCGATAAGGCAACACAAGCAACAGTCGATGCTCTAGGTGATATGGCTGAGGGCTGGCGCCAATGCGCCCGGGCTCATGGAAAAGAGAACTTTTTCCTTTCAGGTGAAATTACCGGTGGAAACAGTTTCGGTTCTATCTACCTTGGAAGGGGAAGACAACCAGATATGTGGCCTAGTAATGTTCAAGATGCTGTACTCATGACAAACGACTCTTCGGATAAATACTTCATTCGCGAGCATGGTCAGCAGGCAATTGATGGAGCTGCTTTCCATTACACAGTGTATCGCACCCTTACCCGGTTCTTAGGGCTTGATGGAAATCTTGCTGCTGGATACGATTTACCTCCGGATTGGGTAACTATGTGGAATCTCATGCTTTTGTCTAATGACCTGGTGAATGCCAACACGGGAAAATTCGATCCGCGCCATATGTATGGAACAACCAATCAGGATGTTTTCCGGTGGCCTGCTATCAAAAATGGCACAGAAAGAATGCTATTGGGGATGTTCATCACCACACTTCATATGCCCGGTGCACCACTCGTTCTATGGGGTGAAGAGCAGGGTTTTTATATCCTCGATGCGACAGCAGACAACTATGTTTATGGTCGTCAGTCTATGTCTGCTGCCACAGCGTGGTGGTCTCATGGTTGTTACAGGGTTAATGTCACCCAGTACTTTGAGTTCCCCTTGGAATCTGCCTTGAATGGCTGCGAGGATATCACAGTCACATACGATCACAGAGACCCAGCTCATCCACTACGAAACATCATAAAGCACATGTTCCAAATGCGGCAGCGATTTCCAGTACTAAACGATGGATACTTTCTACAATCACTCTCCAAACAGACTCACGACATCTATTTGACAGGTTCGAATGGCACGCCAACTGAGACGGGAATGTGGTCTGTTCTGCGTGGCCGGTTTGAAGGCATCCAGGATCTGATAAACAATCAGTCGGTATGGCTAGTTTATCAGAATGACAATACCACAATTAACTACAAGTTTGACTGCAACAGTTCAAACACCAACCTCTCCCTAATTGCTCCTTTTGATGCTGATACAACAGTCAAGAATTTGTTCTACCCTTACGACGAACAAACATTGAAGAAAAGCCCAGTCAAGCTTGGATTAGAAGGATCTACAAACTTCAATGGCTGTCTGGACAACTTGACAATGGTTCCGTGGGATTTCCGGGCATATGTGCCAAAGGAGGCTTGGGTTGCACCCTACCCCATGATCACAGAATTCCAACCGGGACATGACGCTCGTATACTATCTAGTGTTCACCCAGACGAGCCAGAGTCTGTCCCGCTTCAGCTTTTCTTCTCGGAAGAAATGGACTGTAGTTCGGTCACAAATTCTATATTGGTAAACTCTACCACTGAGTTCAAACAAACGGCCACCCTCAATGCGTCCAGTGTTCAGTGTGAGAACGTTCCCGCCAGCACAACCAGATTCATTGGCGAGATAGCGAATGCCTGGGTATGGAAAGCCACGCTGGATAATGTATACAATGGAATTCACCGCGTCACTGTCGCCAATGCAAGCAATTCGGAGGGTATCGCCACTGATGCCATTGATCATTTTCTGCTGCGGGTTGGTCAGCAAGATAACCCTATGATTTTCAACAGTGCAAACTATTCAAGTAGTCTTTTGCACAAATATGGTAACGGCAGCCTTTACGTGCAGCACCACGCCGCAGGAGCAGATATGTGGCGCTATTCGACCAATTGGGGTTCTACTTTCTCAGATTGGATGCCCTACTTTGGTGGAAATGACACCATATCAAAACTCGACTGGTCAGGTACCACTTTACAAGAATGGACCGGAGAACATGTTCGTGTTGAGTACTTCAGCAGGATGTCTGGAAGCAGTGATTATGTTCAGGAAGGAGACTACGACTGGAAGCCTTCGTTTCCCAGGAGATTTCCACATTTGTTTTGGAATGGTCCTTATAATCAATATGGATTTGACGCAGGGCTGAAGAATGAAATGATCCAAGATCCAAGTGACGGCTTGTGGAAAGTCAAATTTTTGACGGAGTGGCCTGCGCAAGGCCAGGTCAACATATGGGGCATCAACCCAGATGGTAAACCCGACCAAGGCTTTGTCTACGGAGATGCTGATGGTGATTCTGTCTTGGATCGTTTGCCCCCCTCGTCTCTCTCAGCTGTTGCCATCAACATCACACACCCACCACCTTCATCCCATCTTGGATGGGAGATCAGAATCAACGATGCAAACCAACGATTTGAGCTGCTTCCGGTTGGGTCGACCAATGTCCAGATAGTACTATTTTCTCTTTTCTTGATTGTTCCAGTTCTTTCGGCATCTTTTGGTATCTGGCTATTCATGAAATCCTTCTACAGAGTCAAGCTAAATCAAGTTGGTGTGACTGAGAAACGAAGTATTCTACCTCTGGCATTGAGAAGGAGGTTGAGACGAGAAAAACTTGAAGGCGTTGAATTTAAGAATCCTCTGTTGCGTTTAGCCAATAAATCGGGATTTCTGCAAACGACATCAGCTTTTGCTAGTGCAACCAACGGTGATCGCCGACGGATGGTCATGATCGCAACTATGGAATACGATATCGAGGACTGGGAGATCAAGATAAAAATCGGTGGGCTAGGCGTCATGGCACAGTTGATGGGCAAGAACCTCAGTCACCAAGATCTTATTTGGGTTGTACCTTGTGTTGGTGGTGTTGATTATCCTGAAGACCAGATTGCTGAGCCGATGTTTGTGACGGTTCTTGGAAATTCCTACGAGGTCAAGGTTCAATATCACGTCCTACGGAATATTACCTATGTGCTCCTAGATGCTCCCGTCTTTCGCCAACAAACGAAGGCTGAACCATATCCAGCACGTATGGATGACTTAGACAGCGCAATTTATTACTCAGCTTGGAATCAGTGCATTGCTGAGGCTATGAAACGATTCCCAATCGACCTATATCATATCAACGATTATCATGGCTCATTAGCACCGCTGTATCTTTTACCTCAGACCATTCCTGCATGTCTATCACTTCATAATGCTGAATTCCAAGGACTATGGCCTATGCGAACGCAAAATGAAAAAGATGAAGTCTGCTCAGTTTTCAATCTAGATGTCAGCGTCGCCACTCGTTACGTTCAGTTCGGTGAAGTTTTCAATTTACTTCACGCAGGAGCCAGTTATCTGCGCGTCCATCAACAGGGATTTGGTGCTGTGGGAGTCTCAAAGAAGTATGGCAAGAGGTCTTACGCTCGCTATCCGATTTTCTGGGGCCTTAAGAAAGTTGGAAATCTACCAAACCCCGATCCATCTGATACTGCCACCTGGGACAAGTCTGTTCCCACAGATGGTGATATCACTGTTGACCAAGACTTCGAAGCAGGTAGACTGGAACTCAAGCGACAGGCACAGGAGTGGGCGGGCCTGGAGCAAAACCCAGAGGCTGACTTACTCGTCTTTGTCGGTAGATGGTCCATGCAAAAGGGTATCGATCTGATTGCTGATGTGATGCCATCTGTACTCGATGCCCGCCCTAACGTTCAACTAATCTGTATTGGACCGGTCATTGATCTTTATGGGAAGTTCGCTGCACTGAAATTGGATCGCATGATGAAGCTTTATCCCGGTCGAGTGTTTTCCAGACCTCACTTCACCGCGCTCCCACCATATATTTTCTCCGGCGCCGAATTTGCATTGATACCCTCTCGCGATGAGCCTTTTGGTTTGGTTGCCGTCGAGTTTGGTCGAAAAGGAGCACTGGGTATTGGAGCTCGTGTTGGCGGGTTAGGGCAAATGCCCGGTTGGTGGTACACTGTTGAGTCTACCACTACTTCCCACCTGCTTCATCAGTTCAAACTGGCAATCGATGGTGCTTTGAATTCAAAAGTCAAGGTTCGCGCGGAGATGCGTGCCAGATCAGCCAAACAACGATTCCCCGTTGCTCAGTGGATTGAAGACCTGGAAATCCTTCAAAGCACCGCCGTTAGAATTCACACAAGAGAGGCAGTCAAGTCAAACGGACAAATTTCTACACCAACCGGCTACCGTACGCCAAGCGGCTCTATCAGCACTCCATTGTACGCCTCGACACCAGGTCCTGTTTCTGGTATGCAAACGCCCCCTCTTTTGGATTCTGGCAACATGGGCTACTTAAGCATACGCCATAGCAGCCTTGGTCCACAGCAAAGAAACACCATTGTATACAGCAGGGATCCAAGTCCTGACTCAGAGACTCGACACACTTCTAGTCTCTTTCGGCAACTGTCCCTGGGTGTTCGAGCTGGCCCCGGTCATACTGCTGCCATTGAGCGCCGCAACCGGCTTCGAAGAAAGAGCAACGTTCCAGGCACTGACGAAGTCATCGATAGTGATCGTGAAGCAGACTATGAGACAGAAGACGAAAACCTCCAGTCTTACTTAACCGAAGACGAATATACAGTGACCCCTGAACAAGCTGACATCAGTCGTCGATTAGATGACGATTATCCTCTTCCATCCCCAGTTCACCTACCCAACTCCGGCCACTCTGCTAATAATTATTATCCATATCCGGCGTCTCCTGGCGTCTCAGAGGCAGATGATTCTCTTGCACCTCCAAACAGGCCTTTTGTGGACGCCTCGAATCGGCTTAGTAACTCGTCTGTCTTGTCTTTTGACTCCGTAGTGGGCGACAAGAAGAACTTTAAGCTGCAAAAGGTTGACCCATTCTTCACCGACAGCACTGGCGAATTCTATCGCACGTTTGAAAAGAAGCTAGAGGAGCTCAACGGTTCCAACTCAGATTCACAGCTATGCATCGAGGAATTTTTAGTTAAAAGCGAGAAAAAATGGTACGACAGATTCCGTGCAGCTCGCCTTGGTCGAGACTGGTCACCAGCTCCATCGCTCAAAGGGAAAGACAACCTCGCCTCACCCGCAGCCTCAATTTCAAATGCCGATAGTACTAGTGATATTCACAAGAACGCCGATGAATTCTTCCTCGGAGACGACTACAAACCACCGACGGGCCTCAAGAAATGGATGCAACTCCGCATTGGTGACTGGCCAGTGTATTCACTTTTCCTCGGTCTTGGTCAGATCATTGCTGCAAACTCTTACCAAGTGACACTTCTTACCGGAGAAGTTGGTCAAACTCCACAGAAGCTGTACGCAATTGCGACCACATACCTGATCACATCCATTGTCTGGTGGTTCGTATTCCGCAATTTCAAGTCAGTGGTGGCACTATCTACGCCATGGTTCTTTTATGGACTTGCTTTCCTCTTAATTGGAGTGGCACATTTTGAACATAACTCGGTCAACCGCGGCTGGATTCAAAATTTTGCAAGTGGTATCTACGCCACTGCATCCTCCAGTGGCTCGATTTTCTTTTCGCTGAATTTCGGGGACGAGAGCGCTGCACCTGTCAAGGACTGGGTTTTCCGAGCTTGCATCATACAAGGCACTCAGCAACTATACGTTGTGGCTCTCTGGTATTGGGGTTCCTCGCTATCTAAGCAGACTCAAGCTGGTATTACCGATATTCAGCCTGTTATCAACAGCTGGAAGATCACTGCTATAACAGTACCGATTACCATCTTTCTCTGGACTATAGGAATTTTGCTCGCGTTTGGTCTGCCGGACTACTACCGGCAAGCACCAGGTAAGGTTGCATCTTTCTATAAGTCCATCTTCCGCCGCAAGATCATTATGTGGTTTTTCGCGACGGTCCTGATCCAAAACTTTTTCCTTTCGGCACCTTATGGACGAAATTGGAGTTTCCTATGGAGCTCCAATCATGCCTCGACCTGGCAAATTGTTATCTTGGTCGTCGTGTTCTTCATCTTCGTGTGGGCCGCCATGTTGGGAATCATGTTTTTCCTTTCCAGGTCCCATAGTTGGATCCTACCGGTATTCGCTATTGGTCTGGGAGCACCTCGATGGGCACAAATATGGTGGGGCACATCTAATCTGGGTCAGTATGTGCCATGGGCAGGCAGCATGATTTCAGGTGCTCTGGTTTCTCGGAGCTTGTGGCTCTGGCTTGGAGTGCTCGATTCTCTTCAGGGCGTCGGCTTTGGCATGATACTGTTACAGACTCTTACCCGACTGCATATCTGCTTCGTACTTCTTGGGGCTCAAGTACTAGGCTCCATTGCTACAATCGTGGCTCGTGCCGTTGCACCGAATAATATTGGCCCGGGAGATATATCGCCTGACATAGGGACTGGCGTCAGCAGTATATGGGTTCCTTGGTTTTGGATTGGACTTTTCTTTCAATTGCTTATATGGTGAGCTTTCTATCAGATTCTTAATTACACCAGGTCAGTCATACTAACGACTGCACAGTGCCGGCTTCTTCATGTTCTTCCGTAAGGAACAACTCAACAAGCCCTAATGCATCCACCTACTGTATTACAATATTATTAACCACCAAACATGATGATCAATTCCTTGTATCTCATTATTTTGTTTATATGGAACCTGAATATTTACCTTGCCAGCCTTTAGATGCTCTGAATTTTATTAGTTGAATAACTCCTTACTGTACCATAGGCTCCTGTAGGATTTAGAGTTCGTTGTACTTAGCCACACATAGTAGTATATAGAAACACCGGACTCTTACAAGTGAGGAATACTTTGCCAAATGAGTCATTATGGAAGCCAACTGACGAGTACCAATAACAGCTTCAGCGTGCATGACGATTGTTTCCATTGACTCAGAAAATGGAGATGGCTGCCTAGATAAAGCCCCCTTTCTGCCATCCGCACACTCACCTCATATTTTCTGTTCTGATGTACAAGTACTAACGAACAGGACACTAACGATTAATTACAGACTAAAAAACATAACAGCGTCAGCAGGTTATTGCGGTGAAATCGTCAACTCGTACTCACAACAAATTGGTTTACTGTGGACATAATATTGGGATAATAGAGCTAACACCGGCGTTCGCTACTAACACCGGCCTCAGATAATTGTATGACTACTTACTTGCCTTGATGATGACCGGAATACTTAGCACGACTGAAAGGCACCTGAAAAGACAAGGCAAAAAGATCAGAAAAATCCGAACATAGAGGCTACCGCAGAGGTGTAACATCGTTAGCCATAGTCTGAAGATCAATTGCCTTGATGATGACTGGAAATTTCACCTAACTGAAAGGCATATACGAAAGAGAACAAAAAGTGGGAGCAAGGTGTGAGAAAGCAGGGATGAGTTGCACGGAGGACGCGATGAATATATACGTTGCAACTTTGACACTGGTAGGAAAGCAAAGTGCTTGCTGTTGTTGACAGGCAAGGAATTATGGCTATGTCCATTCTCTCTAAGGTATCCCAAAGTAACTGATATAGAAGATGTCTCGACTCAGTAGATGAGCCTTCCAAAACACTACAAAGGGCCTCCTTAACGGGCTTCTGGTAATGCTCATTTTATGCATAAATTATGTCACAATATGATCGAATCTGTGATTGGGCTGTGCTGTATTTACAGCGGCCTAGGGCATGCGTGAGCAAACCTGAAAATCGGACGTCGGGCTACAAATATATGCCCGGTGGTAGACCCTAAGTGCTGCTTTTGCAAGGCAGCAAGGATCTTAGGAAACAAGTTACCTCTAGTAACCGGTTAGATAGAGATGTCTTGCAAACTAAGGAAGAGAAGGGATTGTGAATTTAATTCAGGAATTTGATAAGACTTGAATTTCTTTGTCTTGACCCATAAACATCAACAGGGAATCATTAAAATGAAAATTATTAACAATGCCTTAAAATGAGCAAGGACTGTAACATGAAAGGGATCACATCAAGGCATAAGACCTAGGTGATACCTTGTAAATTACCGAGCAAAAACCACGTCATGAAATGCCGTGAATAAAAGATCAAAATTAGACGGCGCAGTCAAATATGCAAACAGTAGCCCGAACAATTTTTAGAGAAAAGAAATGCAAAACCTCGACCCTTTTACCATTCAAGTGGCTCGGTCTTAACCTCCCCACGATTCGTCTTAGGAACTGGTGCGGCCTCCACTTTCGTAGGACCGCTACGGCCACGCTTGAGATAGCCACTTCCATCTAACCATGGGGTTTCGATGGTACGCTTCCTTTCGAAACTGCGGATCTTATCTTCCATCTGAAGGGTAAGGCCAATGTCGTCGAGGCCATTGATTAAGCAGTGCTTGCGGAAAGAATCAACCTCGAAGTGAGCTAACTCAGCACCATTGGCATCGCGAATGATTTGGTTGGGAAGGTCAACTTCAATTTCTTTGCCGGCGCGCGCTTCGGCGGCGATCTTTTGCAAGGCAGCCTCGTCAGTAATGGGGATAGGCAGCATGCCGTTCTTGAAAGTGTTGTTGAAGAAAATGTCCGCAAATGAAGGGGCGATGATGACCTTGATGCCAAAGTCCAGCAGAGCCCATGGGGCGTGTTCACGAGAGCTACCGCATCCAAAGTTTGGTCCTGTCACAACAAGGATCTTGGCATTCCGGTATGGTTCCTGGTTAAGAACGAAGTCTGGCAGCTCGGAGTTATCCGCAGTGTTATAGCGAGATTCATAGAAGAGAGCACTTCCAAGACCTGTTCGTTTGATAGTCTTCAGGAATTGCTTTGGAATGATAGCGTCTGTGTCGACATTGGCCCGCTCCATTGGGGCAGCAATACCCTTCAAGACAGTAAACTTGGGAAGACCAGCACTTGAACCACCACCCTGGGTATTTGCATGCGGTTCGTTGTCCTCAGGAATGTCCAGAATGCGTTCAAGGTCGCTATCATCCGCAATATCGTCAACCTCGGGCTGAATGGTGATAGGAGCAGGAAGCTTGTGACTGGCAGAATCTGACTGAGCAAGATCTCGTACATCAGCAAGTTTGCCCACAATAGCAGCCGCAGCAGCCATTGCTGGTGACATCAAGTGAGTTCGGCCAAAGGCACCTTGCCGACCCTCGAAATTACGATTTGAGGTACTAGCACATCGCTCGCGTGGAGCTAGAATATCTGGGTTCATACCCAAGCACATGGAGCAACCCGCTTCACGCCATTCAAAGCCGGCATCGGTAAAGATCTTTTCAAGACCTTCAGCCTCTGCTTGCTTTTTAACGAGACCTGAGCCGGGAACAATCATGGCGCTCTTAACATTGGATGCCACTTTGCGGCCTGCAGCAATCTTGGCAGCAGCCCGCAAATCCTCAATGCGGCCATTGGTGCACGAGCCTATAAAAACTCTGTCTATTTCAACATCCTGAAGACGTGTTCCGGGAACCAGACCCATATACTCTAGAGCACGCTTGCAACCGGTTTTGCGAATTTCGCCTTCAAAATCGTCGGGGGAAGGAACAACACCAGTGATGGGCAACACATCTTGGGGTGAAGTACCCCATGAAATTGTAGGGATGACATCCTTGGCGTCAATGAAGACGTCGATATCGTATTTGGCGCCCTCGTCGGAACGAAGGCTCGACCAGTATTTGACAGCCTTCTTCCATTCGGCAGAGTCGTACTTAGGTGCCAACGGCCGACCCTTGAGGTACTCAAATGTGGTCTCATCGGGTGCTATCATACCAGCACGGGCGCCGGCCTCGATAGACATGTTGCAAATGGACATACGAGCTTCCATGCTCAAGGCACGAATGACTGATCCACAGAATTCAATGACGCATCCGGTACCACCAGCGGTTCCAATGACTCCGATAATGTGAAGGACAACGTCCTTGCTGGTGACACCAGGATGAAGCTGTCCGTCGACCTGAATACGCATGTTTTTGCTACGCTTGGTTAGGAGTGTCTGAGTCGCGAGCACATGCTCGACTTCACTGGTACCGATACCAAACGCAAGAGAGCCGAAGGCACCATGGGTCGAAGTATGGCTGTCACCACATACAACTGTTGTGCCTGGAAGGGTGAACCCTTGCTCCGGTCCAATAATGTGCACGATACCCTGACGATTATCATCCAAGCCAAAGTATGTAAGGCCGAATTTCTTCACGTTGTCTTCCAATGTGGTGACTTGAAGGCGTGAATCGGTTTCCTTGACAAATGTCTCGGCATTTTTGTATGTTTTCCTCGAAGTCGTGGGGATATTCTAGTCGAGTTTTAGTATTGAAACAATATCTATTGGTCTCTGGAAGGAAAAGTGTACGTGATCAACGGTACTTAGAGTGCAGTCCGGTCGGCGCACTTTTCGGCCGGCGTTTGCCAATCCTTCAAATGCTTGCTGATGACCTGTCAGTACGGAGCTTGTTGGATTATAGGGGAGGCAAATATCGTACTGGAGAGGTAACTTCGTGGACCAAATGTCGGTCTATAGCAAGCCTGTTGTTAGCAAAGCGTACATAGCAAACAACATGTTTTCAGGAGAAGCTTACCAATGTAGATCAAGATAGTGCCATCTTCTTGCTCATTCACGATGTGGTCTCCGAAAACCTTGTCGTACAAGGTCTTCGGTTTTGCGTCTATGCCGGGCATGCTTGCTGGGTTCAAAACTTGACGCGATGCAATGTCATCAACTATTGACAGAGAAATGGGACTCTCTTTGTTTTCCCAGCAGCTGTAGCAGGTCAAGGGGTATATACCGGAGTATAAATAGCTGGATTCAGTTGAGTTGCAGATGAACACGACATCCTGCAGGAGCGACTCCTGCCTTTTCTAACCGCACCCCCAGAGGGGCTTTTTCGCCGGTGTCGGCACGTAAGCAGGAAGGCGACGTCAGTCATTGGTTGTGGCGCGGCGAGCCGCTGCAAGTTTATCTTTTCGTCGGGGCCCGACATCGGGGATGCTGGCAGGGTCTGGAAGATCACGTGAGCTCAACGTAACTTGACGGAGAAAATGGGTCATCTTTTTGCCAATTAAACGTCGCCGATTGGTGCTCCAGCAATCTACGCTCTCCACCGTGAATTTGCGCGCGGTCAAACCAATATCGAACGCAGATATTAGAGTCACATTCGCGATTCAGCTGCTCCAGGCTGCCGTGGCCCCTATTCGCCCAACCTATACACTAGTTACTCTGTAGTTTATTTATCAGTAACAAGCCAGGTGGCCGGCGGAGTTTTCCTGCCCAAAAGGGAAAAGCATTCGGCTCCATTCTAGAAAAAGGAAAAAGTGACATCAGCGTTTCGGTGCCTGAGGTGTCACACCTTATTGTTTGTAAGAAGCATTTCCACGTGACCGCGCAAGCCCTCAGGCGGGGCAAGCGGGCGGGATACCCCACGTTTTGTCGCGAATTTAGGCTGGACATCGCGATTTTGATTGACGACATTCGCGAAGACCAGCTAACGGAACACGTGATTGGCCCCTGTTTGCAGACAGAGGACGGTGTTCATCTTACAGCAATAAGGGATATTAACAGGAAAGATGCAATTGAAGGACTTGGCTTCGCTTGAGCTGCCTCCGACGGTATGTAAACCAAAATATTTTCCCTACGCTTTCCAGCCATGCACTATACCCCTGTATCTTGCACAAATCCTTGAATGAGCTAACACATAGATGATAGGCGGATATGCATGTCCATCTTCGGCAGGATGCTATGATGGAGCTGTGCACTCCCCTCGTGGAGAAAGGAGGCTGTGATACAGTATTTGTAATGCCTAACCTGACACCAAAAGTGGGCAGTGTCTCCGATGCATTGAAGTATTACGAAAAGTTGCAGAAAATTGCACCCAATGTCAAGTTCCTGATGTCGCTCTATTTGCACACTGGATTAACGGAAGAGGAAATCGAGAAGGCTGCCAAGTCAGGGATTATTTACGGGGTAAATACATAACACACAATCTCCAATAATAGAATTGATAGGTTCAGTATAACTAAGCAATTCTCTAGGTCAAATTCTACCCTGCCGGTGTAAGTGCCCCAGGTGTGTCGCTGACATGGCTCGGGCTTATGTTATTTAACATCCTTAGGTGACTACAAATTCCCAAGAAGGAGTCTTCGACATAGAGCAGCTATATCCCGTCTTTGCTGCTATGGAGAAGCATGACTTGGTCTTGAACCTACACGGCGAGATGATCAGCACGCCGCCTAGCGCCGTAGGAAAGCAGAAAGAGCCTGTTGTCACTGTGCTCAATGCTGAACCTCTCTTCATTCCTCAGCTTGCCAAGCTGCATGCGGCATTCCCAAAGCTGAGGATCATTTTGGAACATGTCAGCACTAAGCAAGGCCTGGATGCTGTCCGAGCCTGCGGACCAAATGTGAGTTAAAAGACATACAGCGCACCACAAAAGAGAAGATCTAACCTATCTCGTATAGGTTGCAGGAACAATCACAGGTAATTCTCCACTGACCGCGATTCTGTATATTTTCTAATCACTCCACAGCGCATCATCTACATATCACAATCGACGACGCTGTAGGAGACGTCTTCAACTTCTGCAAGCCAGTTGCAAAGGTACGTTCCGCGAAGGCTCCGCTTTCTCTTCACAATCAACCGAAAATTTGTGTTTTGTTGACCAACGATACAGACACCTGAGGATCGCTTAGCTTTGCTCAAGGCGGTTACCGAAGGCTCTGGCAAATTCTTCTTTGGTTCGTACTCCTGTTCAGTATCAACTACAGTCAAGAAAACGCATACTTATATACTTATAGGGAGTGATTCTGCCCCTCACCCAATCCAGTCCAAGAAAGGAGCAGGTGCCACGGCAGCCGGATGCTTCACACAACCATACGTATCTCAAATCGTGATTGAAGCTCTGGAAGAGGCCGTTGAACAGGGATGGGTTAGTGAAAGCGAACTTACTGTTGAGGCTATTGAAGGCTTCTTGTCGCTCTTTGGCCGCAAGTTCTACAAATTGCCCCCTCCAAGTGGAACAAAGAAGATTCGTCTCGAGAAGAAGGGAGAGAAAATCCCATCAATTGTTAGATCAGCGGATGGGGCTGTCGAGGTTGTTCCATGGGGTAGGGGACGGGAAATCAGGTCGTTGTCGTGGGTTTGAATATAAAGCTATTCCAAAAGTTTAATATAATGTCAAATTCATAAGCCATTGAAGGTAGTGTATGTTCTATAGATAGCATAGAATTGCAATTTGGAGTAGGTTCCTAATCACAGTGATTCAGACGCCCTTGTCATTCCTTCATGGCATTCTCCCTTCTATACAGTAGGTGCCTAAGCTCTGGCTCGTGTTCTAAACAGCCTTGGCAGGCTTTATCTATTCACGATGCTCATGGTCATGGTTTCACGCCACTACCATCATGTGAATTTGAACTAATTCTTTGAGGGCCACCGTGCCTACGCTTACAATTCTTCTTTCTTCTTTTTTCCCCTCCTGCCTTTCCATTCATCTTTCAGTCCATACAGACAGTTACCATCACAACAGCAATCATCTACATTTCTACAGGTAAGCACCATACCATCCTTCCTTCCATACTCGAAAGATACACGTCTAACTCCCCGAGAAAAGATAGACTTGATTTTTATCTATCGAACCCTCGATAAAGAGACGACAGTCCTGTGGCTATGGATGAGCTTTTCCAATACTGGCCGCCTCACGAACAGGTGACAATGACAATCCCGGTGTACATTCTGTCGGCCTACACTTTCCAAGATCATAAAAGCCCCGTGAAACTAAGTCTACGCGAGCATCAGGCGGCATTTGTAAGCCAGATTTCAGATGTTTTGGACAAGGAGATCTGCATCAACATCGCCGAAAAGGCTCCCTCCTTCGTAAAGGAGCCGATAATCAACATCGTATTCGACGAAAAACATGACCAAAAGGGGCCCTCTCAATTTGTTGCTCGCTTGGGCAACCGCCTCACTACTGGCGAGGTAGAGACTTTAGTGGAGAAGCTTATTGCCACTCTGCATTACATGCTATCTACCAGAAAGGAGCATGAATATCACATCAAGGTGTTTTGTCATTTGAAGGATTCTGACCGCCTGCCCTACATCACTGCACCATTTGACAAGGCTGGTCTGAAATACGAATCGGACACTTACGACTCTTTCGAATTGACTATTGTGAATGGGCCAGAGGACAAATGACTAACAAGTCGCTATGGCAATCGCAAATGCTAGGGGGGCTAGCTATAGGTGTGGTCGGTGGTCAGAAAACGGGCTAGCCTCAGGTCTGCATATCTCATGTTTCGATGTGATGGAGAATAGAGAAATAGCTAGTTAGCTGAGAAAATTCTAGATGCCTCGATGCATGCAGAACGTCGTCCATTCATTCTTCTGTAGCCATGTTCGTTGTTGTAAATCTGCCTCCTCCTCCTACACAGCACCTTATCACCCTTGCTGCTCATTTCCTACCCCTCTAGATCCTCTAGTGTGCGATATTCGTTGTGGTTTCCCTGACAAGAACCAAGACATAGGCCTGCTAGCGCTGCAAACCTCACTGATGAGGTTCTCTCATTTTGAGATCTTTAAGATGATGTAAGAATGCTAAGAAGGAATAATGGTAAGAATAGAAAACACGGCATGAAAACCTTTCATATAAATCTCAACGCTCCATACAAAAATGGAGAAAATCTGCTGTGCGAATATCACATATTGGTTGTTGCACCAGCCTATGTGGGCCTTGCATATAATTAGCTACCTAAGAACTCGTGAGAACTATGTACATAGTTAGTTAGTGCTCGCTGAATCTTGAAAGCGAACCACTTCTATCACGATCGAGACGGAAAATTCGCCAAGCATTTGAGCAAAATTTTGACTATATAGACATTGAAATGGGCGAGACTGGGGAATACTGGAGAGATGTGAAAGAACACCGAAAGAAACAGAAGCGTCAAGGCCCACCGCATGAAGGCCCGTTGCGAAAAAGGCAACAGCAGCGTCGATGCTGGGATGGGATGATCGTCTCTGGTAGCTGTCACTATGCTAGGAATCGTTCATTCTTTAGGAATTACCGTCGAGTGGGGCAAACAGTTACAAACGAGTTCACATCTGGGGAAACCTTAGTCGCTGGCGTGGGAACGGTGGGAATTGAAAGCTCGCTCAAGCCCGGAGGAAGGCTCGCCAACACGCGCGCTGATGTTGGAAGATGTGCTGCATATTCCGGATGCTATGTGCAACGGCTCTTGCTTTGCAATATATCATGCCATTATGGGGGGGTCGACTAGGTTGGGTACTACTGTATGGAGTCAAGCGACAACGAAGGCCGTCCTCTGTGGTATTCTGAGAGTTTCCGCGGGCTGAAGCGGCTGGTTTTGGATGGAAACCCACAAGGGGAAACATATCTCACTGATGATCTCAAGTTCCTTAGTTTGCATATTAGCGCAGAAGATCTTGATAGAATTCTGTCCTAAATTTAGCAAAGGGTCGCGAATAGCTTCCCATGAGATGGGTTTCATGCTTTTTTTTATCCCTTTTCTATCCCTTTTCGGCAAAAGATTCATGTCCTTTTATTGTTTGAGTACACCAGGCATGGTATTCAATATACTTTGTTTCTTTCTCTCTCATATTTGTATCATATCTGACCCAATATGAAATCATAGTGTCCATTCATAAGGCTACACACATGAGTCACTCACCATCTCAAACAAGAGGGAGATGCCTAATCCATGGCTAGACTTGTATTTACCGATTAAAGAAGACTTCATTTAATGTCGTTCACCCACCATATCATATCATAATCCAAACAGATTAGTTTGGCTTATTGTCCTGGTACATGTATGTGGATGACATGTCATATTGGGGATTGGCTAGACCTAGCTGCAAACAACCCTATCTATCTATGGATGTGGAGAGACCAAGATTAAGTCCATGGAATTGAAATCATACGAAAAAAAGTACAAGGATCTTGGTACCAGTCTGTTTGATCTTTGTTGATCCTTTCGTAGCAATGGAGTTTTTCTAACGCAGTATTCCGACGAATGTGCCCGCTGCTTACCTAGGTTCTTCAGTCGATTGTCTACTATCTATGCTGCTTTCCTTCTACTAGTATCTCATCTTCTACTCAGGTTTATGAAAACAGGCTCCTATTCCATCCATTTCAACCCATTTTTCAAACTTTATCTTCAGATCCAACATCGTGGCAAACCTGATCAAACCTCCTTATCAACCACTCTTTACACGCTCTACACAATCTTGCAAAATCTCACGGAACTGTCTTACCGGAACTTGAGAATGGTGTCCAATCCTTTTCACACCGATGCTTTAAGAGGCCTGTGTACCAGCGACCAACTCAAACTTCTCGATTCTATCGACAGCCTGCGCTCTCAAGGCATCAGCCACTATGTATCTCTGCCACAGATCATCGTGTGCGGCGACCAGTCATCCGGGAAAAGCTCCGTGCTCGAAGCCATCTCAGGCGTCTCCTTCCCAATCAAAAGCAGTCTATGTACCCGGTTCCCAATCGAATTGGTCCTCCGCAAGACCTTCCATATCGGCGTCAACGTATCCATCGTCCCCGACCAATCTCGGAGCGAGGCAGAGCGGCATTCACTGGGCAGCTTCTCCCAAACCCTGGACGGGTTTGACGGTCTTCCGGCGCTTATTGAAAGTGCGCAAATGGCCATGGGGATATCCATCCACGGAAAGTCCTTTGCGAAGGATTTGTTGCGCATTGAGATTTCAGGCCCGGATCGCCCTCATCTAACCATTGTCGATTTGCCGGGACTCGTGCACTCGCAGACAAAACAGCAGACCTTCTCCGATGTCGAACTAGTCAAGGATGTCGTCAAAACCTACATGAAAGAACCAAGAAGTATCATACTTGCTGTGGTCTCGGCAAAGAACGATTACGCCAACCAGATTGTGCTGAGCCTGGCGCGAAGCGCTGATCCGGACGGTACTCGCACGCTGGGCGTCATTACAAAACCCGATACACTCAACCCCGGTTCGGAGAGTGAAGCTACCTATGTTGCGCTTGCAAGGAACCAAGATGTCGAATTCCGTCTCGGCTGGCATGTGTTGAAGAACATGGACTCTGAAAAAGGGGAATCAACACTAGCGCAACGTGACGCCAAAGAAGCCGAGTTCTTCGCCCAGGGGGTATGGCAGGCGCTCCCTCGCTCATTGCTGGGGATCGACAAGCTGCGTAACAGACTTAGCAAAGTCCTGGTCGGTCAGATCGCGACTGAGCTTCCTAGCTTGGTTGCAGAAATCGAAAGCAAATCAGAAACCTGTCGCCGTCAGCTGGAGGAACTGGGACAACCCCGAGCCAACCTGGACGAGCAGCGGACCTACCTACTTCAGATCAGTCAGGAATTTCAATCTCTTGTCAGAGCCTCTATCGATGGCACATACAGCGACTCCTTTTTCGAAAATGCAAAATCCGAGACCGGCTACAAAAAGCGCATCCGAGCCATTGTGCAGAATCTCAGCGATGATTTCGCCGAGAACTTGACCGAGAAGGGCCATTATTGTCAGATCGTTGAGTCGGAGGCTGACATGGCCTTTGTTCCAAAGGGAATCATCGCCTTTACCAGGGCGGACTACATCGTCCGGGTCCGGGATTTGATCAAAAGAGCCAGGGGAAGAGAGCTGCCGTCCATGTTCAATTCCATGATTGTGGCGGACTTGTTTGTAGAACAGTCTAGTCCATGGGAGGGCATCACTAACGACTACATTCGGTCGATCTGGGAGGCTGCTCGTGAGTTTGTGTGTTTGACTGCCAGTCACGTCGCGGATTCCGAAACTTCCAGGCTTCTTTCCCACGAGGTCTTTCAACCCGTTTTGAGTGCTTTGATGGGAGCATTGAAGTCAAAAACTGCGGAGCTGTTGACGCTCCATCGATCTAGCCATCCGATTACGTATAATCAAGATTTCGTCAATGCCCTCCAGACAGTGCGCGAAGATCGCGATGAGAAACAGAACATAGAAACTATCAAGAACTTCTTCGGTGTCTCTTCGATGGAAAATTTTCATTCTAACAGAACATATGACCTTCGCCCACTAGCAAAAGCGCTTGTGCATTACGCCAACTCTGGCGTTGACAGTCTTGCCTGCTCCGACGCCCTGAACTGCATGGAGGCATATTACAATGTCAGTTGAACTCATCTTTTTCCAGTCATGCGTAATGCTAACTTATCAAACCCTTCTCACAGGTGGCCCTCAAACGTTTCGTTGACGACGTCGCAATCCACGTCATTGAGGCAAAGCTCATTGCCCATCTGAACAACATGTTTTCCCCAATGACCGTGCTTTCAATGGCGCCTGATCTTGTACAGAAGGTAGCTGGAGAGTCTGAGGAGAGACGCGCAGAGCGAGAACAGTGGGCCAAGCAGCGAGAAATCTTGCTCAAGGGAATTGAGACGTGCAATCGGTTCATGGATGTTTCTCTTTGCCAGAGTGGTATGTTTATCCCAAGATGATTCATATTTTCTTCTTACTTAACTTTTGGCTTGGCTTGACTTGACATGGGTATAGACGGATTTCCTGCTCAGGCCACTCACATTTCCATCACCACTGGCGGAGGCCCTGTCGAGGCTGTCGCAACGGAGGAAGGTCCTTCACTAGCGGAAGTAAGTCAGTCCTCCTTGAAGATGTGCAATTGTTTAATAACTAAATTCAAGGCACCTTTAGCAACTTTATTAGACGCCGAGTTTCAATCGACTGAGAACCTGGGGTCAAAGTCTACAGAAGCAAGAAGTATAGAAAGAGGAAGAAAAGACTCCAAGGGAAAAGCGCGTATACACGCGAGGAAATGTAATGGGGGCATGAATGATTTGTTACTTGTACTTAACACTAATACTGATTCTGATTTATTTTCTCGCGTTCTATGTTTCTTTTCACATTGCGTTCGTAGTAAGTGAAATGCGGGCTGCTTGACTCGATGAGTTAATCCTCGTAAGGAAAAAGGGTATTAGGATATGGATATGCCGAAATAGGGTTTGGAAGTCCATGTGATTTCCGAACTGGGTAATTCCAAAACATCTTACGTCTTCCACATCTATAGCAGAATTCTTAGCGGTAAACAGTTCAACGCGATTCATAATCATTCTTGAAGATAAAATTATAGCTCGTCAACAGTCCCATTATGCTACCTAATCATGCAAATAATGGAAACCTACATCTTCCTCTTCGCACTATCAAACATGTGATGATTATCATATACTTACAACTACTCCGTATCGTCCGGATGAAACACCAGAGCCCTAACTTCAATACTCTCCCTCTCCGGAAACCCCGTCTCAGTCTCCGGGTTCACAAAGGCCGAATGCGGCACACGCCTGGCGCGTCCATCGACCTTCGAATCAAAGCATTTGATCAGCGTCACCATCTCGGGCGTCTGCCCATACCGGTAATACCACTTGTGCTCCTTGTTTGCTTTTACGGTATACGTCTCGCCTTCGCGGTCTGGGTAGATCAGTTTTACGGGCACAAGGTCGCTGTCAGGCACGGAATGGGCGTCTGCGACGGCTAAGGGGTCCTTGTAGATTGCCTTTATGGGTCGCCAGACGTTGATTATTTGGTAGCGGCCCTTGAGTAGGGTTTCGGCTTCGGAGGGGAGGTGGTATTTAACGCGGTTGGCGGATGCTTCGTAGCTCTGGTCGATGTGCACGCGCTGCACGGGGCCACGAAGAGTGTCCTTCTCTGCGTTGGGGTCGCTGGGGGGTCGGCGGATTGTGTGGTCGAAGATGAAGACTTTGGATGCACCGGTCCTATCATTTTTTATAAGTATATACCTCTGTTTCTGAAATGAACGGAAGTTAAAGTAGTAACATACGCATCTTTCAACAACTGCTCCGTCTCGGGATAATATTCTTTCTTTATCTCTTCGTCGTCCACAAAGGCCTTTTGCTTACTCTCATGGTAGTAGATCTGGAATCCGTTTTTGTCGAGAGTATAGTCCAGCTCATTGCCAGACACGTCATGCACTTTCACGTCAAAGACGGTGCTTTCACGGTAGAACGTGTTTTGTTTGTTAACATAGTTAGGCTCCGGAGGCGCGCCATCTTCCGCCGGCTTGTAGTAGTTCAGCGTTGTCTCGACGTGGTGTTTCTTGGAGTCTGCAGGCGACGCGGGGAATGTTGCGACTTTGAAGGCAGGCTCCTGGTTAGGGATAGACGAGACGGCTGCGGAGGCCATATTGATGTCAATTTATTATATTGATGCTATTCAAGTATTTTTCCAAGTATTTCTGATCCTATGCTATTCCGGCATGGGGAGAGGCCGGGGGCTTTATATTCATGTCCAACTGTCTGGTGATAAACAAGCATTATTAATCATGGACACCAGCACGCAATCTGTTCTCGCACCGACGCCATGACTGCGTTGCATCGGCCACTAACGAGCGTTTCGATGAGAAATCCAGCACAGTGGTCTGCAGTGGCTTTGAAATACACTACATTGGTCTTCTACTATCGCTATTGCATGTTCCAAGCTGTTTGGGTGAAAGCCGTGATTTGTCATCTTTATGAAGGATTTATACTGTGAATAATCATCATCTCGTCCGACGTGTTATGCAGCCACTGAATGTATGTCGTCTACTCTTGATATCTACCAGTTCGAATAGGTGTATTCCCCTGCATCTTTCCTCTCCATTCCCTGGCCCATCGCTGCTGCAAAGCTGCCCTTCACGGCAGCTTGTCTCAGTAAAACAACGCCCTTCGCACCACTCCCAGTAGAGGAAGCGACCGCTCGGTCTCTGACCTCATCAGCGGCAAACAAACCTTTGTTCTCTTCCTTCTTGGAGAGCACCATCTCCGCCGTCCCCTTCATAGCCTGTGCTGCCAACAGCAATGCATCGGGCTCACTCAGCCCCCTCGCCATGGCTTCCTTGGCGATACCCTCAAGCGCAACTGTATAGAAAGCAGGAGCCAGCCCGCTCACCATCGAAGCACTAGTTACCATTGTCTCAGGCACATAGGTCACCGTGCCAATACTGGAGAAAATCCACGTAGTCAAATTCTGCAAATCAGGCGGGAGCGTTGTATCTGCTCCCGCAATCGTTTCACTAATCAGCGTTGCCGATTGGCGCACACTCGCTGCAGTGTTAGGCATGGCTTGTACGATGAAGCACCTCGTTTCCTCTTCGCTGCCTTCAGCAGCGGCATCGCTATAAATAAGCTGCTCGATCTGTTGCACGGACAGGTCGGCACATGTACTCAGCAGCAGTTTGCCCGCCAGATGTTCTCGCAGCGACGGGTCTGTCAGGATATCCGCTGCCTGGCCGGCCCGGCATGTGAGCAGGATTATGTCGGCTTGTTGCACCGCTTCCGCAACCCTGCCCTGGGAAATCTGTATATTGGGGTAGATGCTGCGAGAGAAATGGCCGAATTGAGTGCGCAGTCGCGACACGGATTTCTCGGTGTTGACGCAGGCGATGAATCGGGATGGCTTCAGTTTCATCGCCAGCATGGGCAGCGTGTGATGCTGGTGATTCGAACAGGGATGCGAGAGCGTTGTAAGCAGCACTTCCAAGATTGTTGTTCCTATTTGGCCGCAGCCGATGATCGCTAGGGTCGATCCGGCCCTCATGATTATATTCCTCTTTTTGTTTTGGCGAGGTTTATCTGATTTAATGAGTGACGAGAGAGGAAATCGCCTATCTTCTCTCTGCAGCGCCGCCCTTTCTGCTCACTGCCGACGTGCAGGGTAATGGGATTTCACAAGATTGAAGGGAGGCTGAGCAGATCGAAACAAAATATAGATTCTTGACTACGGCGTAGCAACAATGCAATGGCGCAGATCATGTGACGGACATAGAGGCGCAGGCTCCATAGCAAACATGCAATATCAAAATCCCACTGGTTCATCTAGTTTAGCCTGCTTTAGTCTGAAGACACGCGGAGATTGTGGGGAGATCCACTCGGCGCTGATGATAGAGTTATGTGAACCCATCAGGTAGAAAAATGCGTTTTATGGGTTTGCACTGTGCGGGTTTATGCTTTTTCTTTTGTTTGCATATATTTGCCAGGGTTGCTGGTGCTATGGGCCAACTGAGGATTGTGCCATTTAGCTTATAGGGGTGCTCCCGTCTTTTGGTGCTGGCATGCTTTGCATATCTCCTGGTATAAAGTTTATTCATCTAAAAAAAGAAAAGTTTTCATAGTCCCAGCCTCGCCGACATGACCGTTGCTTTCTTGTAATATGGTAAACATAGGATCCCGTCCTAAAGCGCCGTCGCCATTACCCTCACCCCCTTCGAACCCAACTTCGGCATTGCAACCTGGTAATCATGGTAAAACCCCACGTCCGTCTCATCAGTCTGCCACAGCGTCATGTCAAACCGCCTGATGAACGCTGCTGTCACGAGATATAGCTCTGCTCTAGCCAGCTCGATGCCCAGGCATTTGCGCCCGCCTCTGTTGAAGGCAAACTGGAATTTGCGGCGCTCACAGCCTTGATCGCCGAGCCAGCGCTCGGGATCAAAGATGAAATGGGTCGGGGAAGATAGTTTCGTTGGTGCGTGCGCTGAGGATCGTGATGCTGACAGGCGTGCCGGCAGGCAATATGTAGGGCTTAGGGGTGCTGGATAGGGTGGTGACGTAGGAAGATGGGGTGTGGGTGAGCGGTTCATATGCGATGCGGGCTAATCGTGCCGTGACGCCAAAGGAAAGGCGGTTGGCTTCCTCGATGGCTGCTGAAAGATACGGGAGTTGCTCGAGCTGGGTCCAGGAGGCAGATGTTGGGACTGTGTTGAGTTCGTTGCGAAGCTTGTTAAGGATTGAGGGATCAGCTAAGATGTGGTAGAAGAGGATGAGAAGGGATTTGGCAGGCAATTCGGATCCGGCGAGGACAAGGAGTGCGCCCTTCTGCTCGAGACGGAGTATGGACTTCTCCGGTGGTGGTAGGATAGGGCTGTCAAGCACAGAATCATATACCGACTCCTTCCCTGTTGGGCCCCCGGCCTCTTCGCGGATTGTTCCTGAAGATTTAGCTTTCAAGATTGCGAGCAATTGGGTGCGAACTTTCTGTATCACCGCCTCAGAAACTTTGTGTCGTAGCTCGATAATCGAGTCAGGGCTCACCTCGAATAGGTCCAGCAAGTCGGGCAGCCCAGGAGGCATCATTGGCTTGCTTACAGGGAGCGGAAGTGACTCGAGGAAGTCTATAAGCCAGGGGAGCTACCTGTTGACGTGGACTCCAAGCAGAAGTTCATTGATATTGTGGCGCAGTGTAGCTGCTTTTTGCTTCATCTGCAAGCACGTCTGCCTGTTGAGCGAAGAGGAAATTCGTAGCAACACTATACGATATCAGCATGTACAATCTTGACATGTCAAGCTCGCTCATGCATACTCATTGGAAAAGGCAAAAAACACATCTGAAAGATTCACAGGTGTCCTTTCGGCGGCATGTTTGGCGATCAACTGGCACAGCTGTTCAACTTTTTGCGTGACCACTGGCTCAAAATAAAGCACATTCCGTTTGCTGAAGAAAGGACTCAGAGCCTCGCGGCGTTTTCTATGGACATCATAAGTGGCTGTCGTGCCACCAACACCTCCGGGAGCCCGCAAGGCCTTCAACTAGTACTCATACTAGATTATATTCTATATACAGTATGTATTACGCAAAAGACAAAAAGCTCCGATTATCCGCAGGAAATACGAGCAACGCCATCTGATGCCGCACGAATAGCGCGACAAGTCCACAGAATGTTTGCAAGAGCACAATGCTGAGTGCAAGTCGGTTCTCCTTCATCGGGCCAAACCAGAGGATCCAAAGGTTGAGCAGTGTCAAGTTTGTCGACTCTGTAATTTCTCCTTGCTCATTGATCTTGATCCCGACCAGTCGCAGCCGGTGGAGGAGTCTGAGGGCCGTGCTGATCAGAGGTGATGGCGGGCGTACCCATTCGATGACGGAGTTCTCCAATAGACCAGTCAGAGCGTTGAATTTTGGTAGACGGTGTCGCGGGCATGGGATAAGGTGGAAAAGCTGCGGGCAAGAGTAGAGGAAATTAAACATCTGTGGAATGAAGAGTAGAAGGAGGGTCTTGCTGAAGTGTCCTAGAATGCCAACAACTGCAAAAACCATGCCGGCAAAGTAGCAATATGTATCACCGACGAATACCTTGGATGGATACCAGTTGTGGAGCAAAAGGGCCAGGGAAACACCGATAAACGGTAGGAGAAAGTATATAGAGAATAAGTGTGAATCCATAGCTGGGTTCGGATATGGAGTAAACGGCGCTAGGTATAAGAAGTCGTTGAAAAGAAGCAAAACCGCAATAACCAAGGACTGTGCCACTTCGATTCCGTTCACTCCTGCGAGCATATTGATACTGTTCGGGCAGAAAATCGTTACAGCAGCCATATAGACATAGTAAAGCCAGCCGAGATCAACCATTTGCCCAAAGTATCTTTGCAGTGGCATAGGCACTACTACATGGGTAACACCGAAGTCGACAAAGTATACGACCAACATTGGAAATGCTCCCAATGCTGGTATCAGAACTTTGTGTCGCCATCTAATGTCAAGCAGGTCATCCCCAATTCCGAGCAGAACGATAGCTTGCAACGAGAGGAGTCCCGAGAGGTAGGATGCCAGCTGCGACGGTCAGTAATGATAGCAGCAAGGGAATGAATGCAACATAAAGACAAACCTTATTGTGAGGAAAGCGATGAAGAAAACGTCCCGTTTCAACATGCTGGACGGGCACGACAACATCGCGATTGCCACCTCCAGATGTAGCGGCCACGATATCCTTGTAGAAAGGAAATGGAATGAAGGCAATCATTAACAGAAGATACACCACAGCGCACACCGCGCCCATGGTCTCCGGTCTAAACACAAGACCGCGTTAGCAACAGGCTCTCACAATTCCATTCTCCAGACCATACTATGCATACATTTCAGGCCGCTTGGCTTTGGACATATCCTTCCCTTTTAGTCCAACCTTCATGAAACTAGGCCCCAACCATCGTATTAAGCTGAATGTTGCAGCAAAGGCGAACAGACTGAAAGCAAAAGACACCGCCATCGGCTCCCCATCGCCGTGGAACGAGTTTGCGACAATAGCGATGGATGTGCCGATGAGCACCCAGAGGCTCCAGACCTCGCTTCGCGACAGAGCGGTCGAGGGCGCCATCATGGGATTAGTATCGAATTTCAAGTTGTGCCGAACCTATCCGTTCCAGAGCAGAACCATTAATTCCAATTCATTTCTGAAGTGTTAGGATGAATGTTTTGCGAAAGTCGAGGCAATCTGGCTTCAACTGGGTTTCTTTTTTGCCGTGTGAACTTCACCGCCCTTGAAGGCGGTGGGGAGCTTGCACCAATGGACGTGTAGCAATTGCGCATTATCAAATATCGGCAGGTCCCCGGCATCGCGGGGGGATGGATTCAGTAACACGAAACAACTACTCATTGCATACATGTCGTGCAAGTCATTGGCACAACCAAAGATTAACTATTCACCCGCGCGTTATATGGATTGATGCGACAGCAATTGGCGGAAATCACTCTTAGGCAGACGCGTCCTTGGAGATGGGTACCAACTTCACTGATTTCGAGTCCGGTCATCGGGACTTGGTCACAGTCACAAAATTCAATTTCTACGGCAATCGCATTGTCACAGGGTCTTCAGATCATCGATTGAAAGTCTGGGACCAGAAGGATGGCCAGTGGCAATTGACCGATACTTGGCGTGCTCATGACGCGGAGATTCGAGATGTGAGTCAATTTACGTTCGATGGCAATGTTCAACCGATCCACAGGCACTAACTCCGCTACTGTAGGCGACATGGAATGGCCCTTTCTCTGGGCAGCACATTGGCAGTGTGGGCGAAGATATGCGACTTAAAATCTGGCAAGAGGACGTCACGCAACCGCCAAATTCGGGACGTCGGTTTAAGTCAATATATCGCCTGTCGGCACCGCATAGAGTCCCCTTTGTGTCCTTAGACTTTCGCAATGTTGACCTGGATACATGGCTAGCTCTCATAACCAGAGATGGATATCTCATGGTAATGGAGCCAGTCATGCCGGATTCGCTGGGGGATTGGCAGGTACTCGATCAATTCCGAGTTTGCACTGCGCCGTCGCGAGGGGAAGAGACTAGCTTTCGGGTGCAATTCCACCACGACTCGTTTGACGCTACGCATCCCTTAAAACCTGACGGTGACCGTAAAAGCTTGTCTCTGGTTGTGGCAGCTATGGATACCGTAAAAATCTACCGAACTGACTCCAGCCGCCGGTTTTATCACGCTATTGAATTAACTGGGCACGGTGGCCTCGTTCGGGATATTGCGTGGGCCAATGGCTCGGTGCGGGGGTACGATCTTATTGCGAGCGGGTGCAAGGATGGATTTGTTCGGATATTCGAGGTTTATACATCATTGTCAGGTAATGGAACACATGGCAATAGTCGCAATTCCCAGACTTCAGCGCCGTCGCCTTCTCAACGCGCCACAGCACAGTCGGGGATTGGCTCTGCACTGGCCAATCGAGTTCCACAGTCTGTAGCTCATCGACAAGCAAACGTTGACAGCCCGTTCCGACACGAATTTCGGGAAGTGGCCTGCATTGACAGTCATCATCTAGATGTTTGGCAGGTGCAATTCTCGTTCGCCGGTATGGTTATGAATTTGCTGAATAAGTTTTTGGGAAAGTATCAAACCACTAACTTGTCCCAGGTGACTGCTTGATATCTTCTGGCGACGACGGCAGTGTACGGTTCTGGAAAAAGGCCCTCACTGGCGAATGGCTAGAATTTGCCGAGACAGATATGACAGATGAGTAAGTTTTTTTTTTCTTTGCTCTGGCCTCGTTTAAGATAAATTGGTGCTGACTTTGATACAGTGACGCCTCAACTTGATTTTTTTCGAACGGACTGTCACAAGTGAATGAAGTTCTGTATTATATGTCAAATTACATGGGGAGTTGGGCATTGCACTTTATTATTGCAGAGAGTTATAGCGATCTATTCTGTCATATACAACTACGCGCTGTGTGCGCAATTGAAATGATACCCATTTGTACGTGACTTTTTGTTGAGATCACGACCCAGTCAAGCCGTTGTTAACATGAAACGTAGAAATGCATATCAATCCCAACTGGCTTTGATATGGCAGATTCTTATCACATGCCTGAAAAATTGCCTGGTTGGGACGGGGCGCTGTTGACCCCTCGGTGAGGACTTTCCCAGCTTCCTCCCCATTCCCTTCCCTTCTTTCATCTCGTTACACACTTCTACTTCTCTTCTTCTGCTCCAATATGAGATCGTCCTTGACATCTCTGCATACTTGATCTCGGGCCTTCGTCTTATTACAAGGCTAAGAGTGACCAGTGACCAGCACGATACTGAGTAGCTGCAGTCAGACCTCAACCCTCTTGTCCACACAGCACAAAATCATGTCTGAGAAGCACACCCACGATGACGGCCTACCTGGTCCATCGAAACGCCCGCGCACAGAGATCGATGACCTTCGAGATGACTTCGAGTCCTTCAAAGAGGAAACTACAAGTCAGCTAGCAGGTATCCTAGCCTTGCTTGAGAAAATACAAGGGGTTCCCGACACCAAACAAGACATCGAAAAAGAGACCAAAGAAGAACCGGCCAAGCATCAAAATTCCAGCTTTGATCAACTTAAGCCACAATTGAAAATTGGCTACATTAACCAGAATGACAATACTGTATCCGAGCCAAAAGCATTCTGTTTTCTCAAGAGCGAGTTGACCTTCCTCATTACTCCTGATCTCCCTTTTCGCCTACCAGAGGGACGCTATCCTGGTGAAGACCTACTTTTGGTACCAGGAGGCACGATTCTCGATTCTGAGGCTTCTACGGGTGAAATCAACGCTCCAGACGCACAGATAGCTTACGCAGACTTCGACCCGTATGGGACGATCGAGACGGACCTGGCGGGTAAAATCGACATCTCATTTACCCAGCGCCACGGGAAAAGAGTTGCAGAAAAAGGACAGTCACATGTGGTATGACAATAACGAGCTGCAAGGTCTTGGTCGGAAACACCTTGAAAAGCAGGATGCCGCAGCCAGCAAAGAGCTTTCATTGCATATGGCCAAGCTAATAGAATGGATGCAAAAACACAGGAACCGGGAATGGAGGGCATTCTGCCTCGCGCGGCAGCACCATGTAATGATCCACTGGTCTAAAGCCGCTCGGTACGACGAAATCATGGCAGCTGAGAAAGACTCCAGCTTGCTTAGCCCTCACGAGTGGCTGGCCGCCAACGAAAAAGGGTATAGCCTAAATGAAGAACTTTGATAGTCGTGATGATGTGACTTAATTCATGCGACATTCTTCTTTGTGTTTCAATTCTCTTGTATTGATTGATTTTACTTTGCTCAAGAAGGCGTACTTGTTATATCGGCTTTCGGGGAAGATTTACTGATGTTGTCCTTGTCTGGCAATTCAATTCAAAGCCGATAGTTTGTTATGCATCAGGTGGCATGTAGTTAGTTTCCTAGGTTAATCAATCTGCACTAGCAGTAGATCATCTACACGACATCTTTGATAGCACTGTTACACTCGACCAGACCACGGGTTCAGCGACGGGAATTCCGCTGCTTCCCGCCGCCGAAGCGAGCCTAAAGTGGCAAAAAAAAAGCCAGCAAATCTTCCGCTGCGAGTCATGATCAATCGGAGCCTTGGAACTTTGCTGGGACAATTTCATTTGCGTCTTCTTGCTTCTTTCTCTTCTTTCTGTTCTCTCTTCTCTGTTCTTTTTCATACATCCCTTGCGTGTGTTTGGTGGACAACTCATCTGACTGGCTGTTGTCTTTACCTCCGAAACTGCACTACTGCGTACTATCAAGTTTTCACGGATAACGCCGTACACACAAAAAACTCCCCTCACAACCCATCTTCCCATTTTCTGCTCCAGGAGCTCCAGCGTTTACTCGAATTTTTGAAAATTTGGGTTTTATTTTTCTCCTCTGTTGCGTAATTGATTTTTCTCTTGTTCTCCTCTTACAAACGCAGATACTGGTGCTGTCATCCACCGGGCACATCACGTCTCGCTCCAGGCAGTCAGCGCCCCTAACCTTGGACGCCGAGTGTCACCTACCTTGGAAGTCTCTCCTTTATCCTGCCTGCAAAATGCTCGCCCTCGACTTTGTTTCCTGTCATCCTACCTCTTGTTCAGTTTGATCCTATTTTCTCTTCCCAATTTACGAACCTGCAGTTGTTCCTGTTTCCCTCCGCCATGGCGATCGGTGTCACACTCTTGAGTCACGACTTGGCACCGCAGCGTGCTGGGCACCCACCGCTTATACTTCTTCTTCTTCTTCCTCTTTCCTACCGCTAATCCAGCCTCTTCATTTTTTTTACCCTACTTCTCTCGAATATAAACGTGCTGGTGCGTCTTGTTAACTGTGTGAATTGGCTGCTCATGACGCACTGCCATGATCTTGCTCAAGGACGTTCCTGATATCATGGCTTGACTACGGCCTATGTTGTGATAGCGGATTCCAGGCAAGCAAAACTGTTGACTGTCGAATTAGTCGGCCTTGGGTTGCCCTCTTTTACTTCATGTCGATTCCTTTCTGCCTCTGCCTGACTTCCCCTATTTTCCTTTCTCTCTGCATGTTGTGCTGCTCACCGTCGCTCGTGATGCTGGCCAGGGCACGTGCATCTGCCGTGTCTGGCACCACCCCCGTTTTCGGCTAGTGCGGCACTAGCCGAAAACAGCAAGCGAGTGTGGCCGGATGACTCAGCGACACGAGTGCGATTGGCCGATGCGCTGACTAACCAGCGTCCCTCGTCGAGCGGGCGCGCCTTACCCGAACGAGCCAGCAGAGAGGCGATCGAGGTGGAGCAACGGAGACTGAGGCTCGATTGTCAATGGCCAGTCCAGCGCCCCCCACCGCGCTGCCTCTGCCCATTGGCGGCCCGGGCTGCTAAACTAATGCCAGTTTGCTTTGGCAGCCAAGATCGCAGGCGGCGCCATTTTTTCCGGGCAGCGCAGGTGACTCAGAAGCATTCCTTCCCTTTCCCTGGCGCGCTGAGCCGCCCGTCCAGCCACAGGACACCGCTCGTTTTCGAGGCCGTCCTCCATCTGTTCTGTCTTCTTTTCGTTCGTACATATTAATCAATCCATTATTATTGTATATTACCTTTTTATTTTTTTTTTCCCCTTATTTTTTTCTATTTCTACTTTTTTGTTGCGGCCCTCTTGCGGGCATTCCTGCCGTGGAAGCACAAAACTGCGCGGTCGCTCCTTCCCTCCTTCCACTCGCTGCTGCCGGGCTTTCAGGTTTCTCACCCGGCAAAACCGCGCCTTTCCTCTTTCGCTCGTTTCGCTTGGCTTCTGCGCGACCTTTTTGGCTGGCCCAGTGCAGCAGCGTCCTTAGGCTCCTCTTCCCTTCTTCCTCTCCTTCTCTTCCTTCGATCACTTCCTCCCTCGCCAATTCCACATCCATCCCTTTCCCTTCTTTCGCCTCCTCTTCTATCAATCATTTCCTCTCTGTTTCTACTATTAATCTTCTTCTTGAATCCTCGCCGCCGCCCGACCTTGCTCAACACTGCTGCTACCACTACCCTTGGGATCTGCAGGTTTTTCACTCTTCGGATCTCCCACCTGATGCGCGTCGACTCGTCAACCATCCTCGGTCGCCTACGTGGACTCGATTCATCCCGCCCTTCCGATCGCAAACCTCGAACTCGTTGACGGCTCTCGCGAATACGCACCGCTGTATTTTTATCCTCCCCTATCTCGCCACCGCGCTTGAGCCAACAAACCCGGTAACACCTCAACCTACCTTTTCAGACCCTGGATTCTCGTCTTTCGTTGCTGCTGTGGTCTCGCTATCATCTCCTGTCGTTCTTCTACGAAACGGAAGACTAACAAGGACCACTACGTGTCCTTTTTAGCCTCGCCCTCTCGTACTACTGGCCCTCTTGCGGTTTTCTCTCCTAGCCGTTTAAATACCTATCCGAAGCCGACCATACGCTTTCCCTTCTTCATCCTTACCGGACCAAAGCGACCTCAACAGCTGCTGTCATGCGCGTTGGGGAACCAAGCTATCAAACTGGGTGCTGAGGAACGTCTACCATCACCTGTTGAGGGAAAGGGGGTTATCTGTCGGATTATGACAGATACCTCCTTGCTCGCAACGACGCATTCGACCGGGGACTCGTATCCGGTCACTGCTCCTATCCACTCCCCGGTGCTGAATGGCGCCATCTCAGATTCTGTCCCTCTGGAAGACGAAGAGCCCTACACTATCAAATGCATCTGTGCCTTTGAAGACGATGACGGGAATACTGTCTTTTGCGAGAAGTGCGAGACATGGCAGCACATCGAGTGCTATTACCATGGCCAGGAGGTGCCAGACGAACATTTCTGTACCGACTGTGCACCCTCACCACTGTATTTGGACGGAAAACGAGCCACTGAACGACAGCGGCGACTACGGGAGCAAAGTGATGGCGGTGACCGGAAAGCTAAACGCTCAGGAAGCAAGACACAGAAGAAGAAGCTACAACAGCACAAAGATCAGGAGTCGGTGAATGGACACCGACATCGCAGCGATTCCAGCTCGAGGGATCAGGCGCCTGTCATGAAAAAGTCAAAATCTTCTCACAAACCATCCGCCTCGGTCAGTTCGGTGTCCGGCCCAAAACTACAGCCGGAGTCCCGGAAACGATCTGGGTCCGTCGCTACCATGAGTCCGACGAAATCCTCCACTTTACCGCAGATTCCCCTTTACTCACACGAATTTCTCCATTTGTACGATAATGATCAAGGGTATGTGAACATGAAGAGCAATTTGGTGGTCAATATCCACCTTTTAGGTGACATGGGATCTTGGGTTAAGGATCCTTCGGCGCTCTTACGAACCGGCACTGGTCGCTCACCCCAAGAAATCTTTAACTACGCGGATGTCTTGGACTCGTCCAGGTGGCCAGAACTATCGCTGGATACTCTCGTTGATAGAGATCTTGAGATCGAGGGTGTTCATCCCACCTGGAAAGTCTTGAAAACCCAAACTGCCGTCCAGAAGGATCAAATCGTCGGGGAGGTCAAGGGTAAAATCGGCCAGCTTCGTGATTATTGTCATGATCCAAGTAATCGATGGCCGGAGCTGAGACACCCCCAGCCGTTTGTGTTCTTTCACCCTCAGCTTCCTATTTACATTGATTCCCGCGAAGAGGGCTCCATTCTTCGATACGTGCGTCGTTCATGTCGCCCCAATGTGACTATGAAGACTTTCATCACGAACGAGGTTGAGTACCACTTTTGCTATGTTGCAAATCAAGATATTCCCGCAGGATCTGAAGTCACAGCGATGTGGTATTACGATCGTCAATTGTCTGGCTTCAACAATTTTGGGAAGCAGGAATCAGGGGATAGCGATCAAGAAGAGGCTAGAGCGATCACCATGAGTAACATCCTGGCCCATTTCGGTGGCTGTGCCTGCATACCACCTCAAAACTGCCTGTTGGCTGCTGTGGATCGCCGCCGTCACCCAAGCTCGAAATTATTGAATGGAAAGCGAAAGAAATCCAAATCCAAGTCCGTCGTATCTCCAAACAGTGTCGGCCGCTCCAATACTAGTCGGGCCGGTAGTGAAGCAGCTATCGAGGATGATAATGCTGATAATCGGTCGACCTCTGGCTCTGTGCGTGGACAGACGCGCAGTCGCGATTTGACCCCGACACATCCGCCACCCGAGTGGGCTTTGCAAGATACGGAACTGTCGCAGCGCGACAGGCGGAAGATAGCAGCTGTGGAAAAGAAGTTCGAGCAGCTTGAACATGACCAACATGGAGTAACCCGAAAGAAAAAGCGAAGCAGTGGAACGTCTTCTCATCCAAATCAAGTTACTTCTTTACCTGTACGTTTCTAGATTACCCTTCTTTTTATCTATGTGCCTGGTTTACTAATATCCCGTCATTAGAAAAACTCAAGCTCTACTGGCAAATATTTGAAATTAGATACAGCAACCAGCCGTTTATCTGATGAATCATCCTTGTCTCCATATCGTGGATCGCGCCCCTCTCCAAGGAAATCTTCCGACCCTATTAACGCTGCCACACGTTCTCCTCTCTCACGGCCCTCCTATGTCGATGGGTCACAACAAACACGTTCTCCAAAAATTGGCTTTTCTCCTCTAGGTCGACGACTTTTGAAACGTTGTCATGAAGACAGCTCAAAAGCTCAATGGCCCGCAAAGCGCCAGGAGATGCCTCCGGGTATAACAACAACGGATGCTAATGCTTCCCCATCTCCTGCAATGTCCGCACAGCCTTGGTCCTCGAGTATGCGCCCTTCTTCCTCGCATAGTGAAGACGTAGATATGAAGGATGTTGGAGATGATACAAAGCCGACAAAGCCTCTCCCGTATCCAGACGTCGTTATGAGCAAACCACCCTTACCTTCGACGGCCGCTCATAACACGCTTATTCCTGGCATGTCGCTCAACAATCATCGGGCAAGGGGCTTTCATGTCCAAATGCCTCACAACAACTTTGCCGTTCCTACATCAAGTACGCCAGGAGCTGGAACGTCTGGTTCACTCCAGTCACCTTCAGATTCTCTATCACAGCCTGTTCAGACACCCGGTGGTAGTATAACGGCACCCAGTCCGGTAAAGAAGAAAATGAGTTTGGGTGATTACCTGGGTCGCCGGGGAACGATGGCAACGCCGACTACAGAGAAAAGCCAATCTCAAGCCAACGCAAATCTCGCTCCGCCCAGCAAGCCAATGCCCTTTCACCACCAATCCAGTACTCCTCCGTTGTCGACGGATGGTGAATCTCAAGTGGTGACGGCGACGGAGCCGATAAAAACTGAAGTCTCACCGGCCGACAAGGATGCTCCGATGAAGGATGTCTCTAGTAAACCACCTATATCTCCTCCTTACCTTTCTACCCTCGGAATGCAGGACGACAACAAACTCTCCCCGACGACGTGATACCCTAGATTTCGTTTCCTCTTGCTTTTTCTTTCTTCCTCGACATATCTTTTTTTCCTCTATATTTCTAATGAGATAGGGTATTGGATTTTATCTTTTTATCACGGCGTTTTCCACTTATGATGACGAGTCTTGAAAAGGGTTCTTGTGATAGCCGGGGGAAATGGCGCGCGTAAGGCGTATTGTGGCGTGACGGTTTTATCTTTTAATTGTTTCGATTCTATTCCCTAGGGCTGTCCTTCATTCCTGCAAGGGTAGATTCTGACAATGTACTTTTGACTTGACCTGATTTGATCTTGATCTTGATTGATCTTTTGCTTGATCTCTTTTCTTTTCTTCTGTTCAACTGTGTGAGACTCAGTCGACTGTGTGTGTTATTCACATTTATTTTATTACCTTTGTCAAATAGGGGTTTCAGGATCGACTTCTTTCTCGAAATGGACCCTAATTTTTTCCTCTTATTTCCTTACTGGTAGGTTCTAGGATCATTGAGTAGTACCTAGATGATGTTGATGTTTCTATTGATAACTACCTAGGTATGCAACATGCAATGATTTGGCAATCTCCCTCGCTCATAGACTAAAAATAAGAAATAATGATGATGATAATAATAATAGAATAGAATCAAATACAATACATCCCATGGAGAATCAAAAAGATAATAATCAAGATTCAAAAAGTACAAACGAGAAAAGGAAAAAAAAAAGAAACTATTTATTCATCCACCCCTTCGCCTTCATATTATTCTCAATCACATCCCAAATATGCTCTACAATCTCCCTATCCAACCATCTACCGGCACCCTCGACGCCCTTTTTCTCATCCCAGCGCGCCAGAGTGAATGTGCTCACGCCCCGACCCCAGTCCTTGATTTGGTTGGGGACGTGTTCGCCGGCCATGCCGACATAGATTCCTGCTGCGTGTCTGAAGAGGTCGGGCGGGGTGGTCCATTTGTAGGTTTTGAATTGCCATGCTTGGCCCGTTGTGAATACGGCGACTAGGCGTTGCCAGTAATCGGGTTTGAAGTTTGCAGTGCTGTCGGCGAGGATGAAGCGGGTTGGGCGTCGGCTAGATGAGGATGAAGAGGTGGATGAGGATGGTAGTTTGGGATCGGGTTTGCTGCTTCCTGTGGCGCTGCCGTCGTTGGTGAGATTGAGGTGGCGCGTGATGATGTGGATGTTGGAGGTGGTGTGGGTTGCGAGTGTGGGATGGTCGGGGGGTACGAAGACGCCGTCTTGAAGGAAGGTTTTGATATTGGAGAGGCGGATGGGTGAGGAGGCGGATGGGGAGAGGAGGATGATGGGGTCCGGTCGACGTGAGCTGCCGGATGATGAGGATGGCTTTTTGGGGAGGGCTAGTCCTGCTGAGGGTGCTGGGACGATGATTCCTCGTTTTCCTGCGTTGGCCTTGCTACTTCCAGATGGATATTGGCCACGAGCGCTACGGCTGCGGCCGAGAAACATCTCTGCGGTTTTGCGAATGTGTGAAAAGTCCTATAGCACCTTTTATTAGAATCATATCATGAATAAGCACCACAATGAAGAACAAAAGACGCACAGTGGGCTTGATACCGTGTAGAACGGTATTCCGATCCCCCAATTTTCGCTCTCCATTGTAAATTTCCTGTAATTGAGGATCAATCACTTTCGTCGGCCTCGCTCCCGCCACTGCACCTGCAGCTGACGTCGTCACAGCTGTCTTGGGCGCTGTAGCAGTAGCAGCAGCATCAATCTCAGCCGCAGAAGCGGCCACATCGGCTACCGCAGCGGCCGCTGTTGCTGCTGCTGCTGCTTCACCTTCCAGAGGCTTGATATATTCGCTATCATCGGAAGCACCTTCAAGCCAAGTGATAAGATCCAACCGCTCAACAAAAACAAGGTTTAGCACCTGCTCATTCCCGCCGGCATCCTTCCGTTTTAACGCCTCGTTGACTTCCTGCGCCGAGGCGATGTATTCGGGGATAGCGACGTCTTTCTTCTGCCATGCAAAGAAGATGCTGCGCAAGTCGACTTGTGTGTCGTTGTTGGCCGCGGAGACAAAACGCGTCAGTGTGTTTAACGGTAAGGTGTGTGGAAGTGGATGTGTAAAGTACAGGTGGCTGGCTTGTGCGAGGTCGTCTGTGAGGTTCTCGTTGGCGTTAGAGACGTCTGAGGAGGTTGTCGGAGATGGGAGAGCTTGAGCTGCGATTGCTCGTCGCAGGGACAGTAGAGGGTCGGAAAGAAGAGGATCGGTGGCCATTTCCTTGATGCGCAATTTTCTTTGTTTTCTAAGTCCTCTCGATTCTTGCAGTTGGCCACGGACGGGAATGGGGAGTGCTCGTTTATAGAGCTGTTGTCGAGCGAGAGGTAACTTTCTTTACGCAGGGCTGGCTGGGATGCACAGTCCTCCGCGCTGCGGGTCCCGAGTCACGTGCATCCTGATCTATCAAGATCAATGACCATTGTCAGAAGGTATAGAGTTTTGCATTCATTACTTTATTCTCACATGTGTTCTGTCCATAATCTAGCATTGATTGAGCCAAAGTTTTCATGGTTCTCTGATACAAAACTATCTTTACATCGAGACGTACATATGCACAATGGCCATGTACTTTGTACATGAAATGTAAAACAAAAGAGAGTAAAAGAATAGGTAACAATGAAAGTATAATAAATAGACAGCCTCCCACATGCGCTCCGTGTATCGAGAAATTCAAAAAGAGATAATTTTATATCAGCAGTGCTTCCATGTGATGCAAGAGAAAAACATGCAAATAGCGTTATCAAATCCGAAAAAGAAACGACGAAAAAACCATTGTGCAAGGACAACGCCCGTTCAATGCTTTATAAAAAAAAGAAAAGAAAAGAAACAAGAGATGCAGTCATCTTCGTATACTGACTCATTCCCTGCTGCCTTGAAAGAAAAATTACATGAAGAGAATATGTAGCCAGTGCACCTCCCCCGTCTATCTTGACCCAGAGAATAAGGAAAATCGTAACTCTTTGGAACCACTCGGTTGATAAACAGAGAGGCCCAGGTGGAATTAAGAATATTCGTTCAGCGCGTCTCTAAAATATGGTCCGATGCCTTCCTACGTCCTCACAGAACGGCTCATTGATCGCTCGGGTACCGGAGCAGGTGTAGGGGAATACGAACGGCTATTGGATCCCAAATCGAACTCGTGCTCTTGGAGAACAACGGAATACTTGGGATCACGAACGAACTTGGGAACAGAATCCTGATTCAAATGTTAGCAGCCTTACTGGAAATGACAGACAGGTTATAAACTTACACTTGACATCAATTTAAAAACTGAAGTCTGGGCCAACTCGAACAGATCAACGACTTCCTGAAGGCTCTGCAGCATGGATTCGTCGTCACCCACAGCCTTTGTCATGCGGCTAGCAAGACTATTTCGCAGACCATGCTCGATGTTCAATTCGCATGGCGATCCAGGCGCTAAGAAGGCGTTATAAAGACCATAGGCAGCAGCAAGGGTTTCGCGGACCGTCTCGATTTTGGTCAAAGAGCCTGATTTCTCCAATCGATGGTAATGGCTTGTGAATTCACTGACGTCCAAATAGAATGACAAATTCTCCTCGCACAGTGAATAGCGTAGGAATTCGCGGAATAAAAGTCGTAGGGCAGGGTCATGCAAAATGTGATTAAGACGGGCATTATTCGAATCACGGGCGCCGCGGTTATCAAAGTGTGACATGTTGCTTTTGTCGCGAGCGATCCATCCACAGATTCGTTGACCGTGCTCGGTCACGGTGTAAATGGCATGCTTGGTAGGTTGAAAATCAACCGCAGTGGGCTCCTGTTGGGCATATGGCCGGTCTTCCTGAACAGAGGTAATCATTCCATGTTTGATGAACAAAGCGGCGATTAAGCATGTTTCGCGACGATCGTTGGTGGTCGAGCAGTCCATGAGCCAGTCTACCGCAGCTTTTCCGGTGAAAGTGTTAGCAACGTACTTGTCGCCAATCCTCCTCTCTTTAGCCATCTTAACTCCTACGAGACCATTGGAGTAGTCGCTTAGCGAGTCAGAGTCCGAACTAGAAGTCGAAGACTTGATATTAGGGCCTTCCTGGCCAGCAAAGCGGCGGAAAATAACCTCAATCGTCGCACGGTCCGTCGAAAGCTTGTCAGTTTCAGTATCGCGTTCAAGATTGACCAGCTGCATAGTATTTCGTGGAGACTCCAGAACCTCCATGACGTGGCGGGCAGTAATGCCGTTTCGCTGGCAAAAGCGTTGCAAAACATTGATTCCCTTGGGAGTCAACTGATACAAACCTCCCTTCATAGGAAAAAAAGCAGCTCCTCGACCATCGACAGCCTCAATAAAACGAGCATCGGCAAACCGTTGGCATACAGATCGTGCCATCTCCTTCGCCATGGAGAAAGTTGTGGTAGTTGTGGTAGTGACAATACGGGATGGATCTTTAGGATCCGGCATGCGGTTGGATTGAGAGAATTTCAATGAGCCCAGATTATTGATAGCCTCATCGGATGTGAAGGTATGCTCGTATCTGGTGAAGCGCACGCGATGAGTATCTAATTTCAAGCTCACCATCAAAGTAGCAAACAGATCGTTGAAGTCCTGTGCCATATATTAGATTGGGATCTAACAACTCCCGATTCTTCTTCTTTCTTTTCCACACGCACCTTGGTAAAAGGACGTTCATCTTCCGTCATGCGGAGAAGCCTCGACGAGGTTTGGTGCATCTTGTTGAGCCGCGAGTCCGCGGGCTGGTCCAGCTTAGGAATCTCTTGAGGTACCAGTCGCACTGTATTCCGACGACCGAGTGACTTTTCTTCAAGCGGCGATGGCTTCTCGTGGTCCTCGACGAGCGAAGATGCACCAGCACCAATCTGAGCGTACTTGTGCGACTGCTTCGACAAGCTCCCGTGAGACAGGCTGGGGCGCAAAGATTGGCTTCCTAGCGAGGTGAAACTGGCCAGCACGTTGGACGTCTTCTCCAAGGCAATGCCGGCAAGAGAACGGCGAGGAGCGGTGCCTTTCGTAAACGGGCCAAGAGTAGCGAATCTGGCGGCGGTGGGCGGCGGAGGGTCGTCAGACGAGGAGGGGTGAATGTCTGCGAGGTCGGGCGGGTGTGAAGAGGTATATGGGAGAGTGAGGAGATCTGGAAGCGAGTTGCCAGCGGATACCCCGGTCATTGAACGCAGGTCGGGAGGAAAATCTGGAGGAGGAAGGTTTGAAGAGAGAATAAAATCACGTAGGTGGCAGGCAGGGGTGTGAGGAAAGAGCGAGCAAGGAGGGAAAGACGATTTGAGGCAATCGAAATTGGCAAGAGCAGCGTAATTAATCCATACCAAACTCTGTACTCCTCAGCGGGTACTGTTCATTACATACATACCCGCATACACACATAGGTCGTTACGGGTACGGACGGTCTGGGTGGGGGGGGTGCTGCAAGTTTTCTTGGCTCGTAAATTACCACTTACCGGTACCACGAGTGGGTCATCTTCATTGGAGGACATGCCGCTTTTGGCAAGGAGTGGGGCTGAGCCGTATGTGTATTACCGATACAAGGACTACGCAACGTGGGACTGAAGAGTAAGACGAGGCGACCCAAAAAGCAGCCGCGTGAAGATCACTGGGGCGATTATATAATCGGCTACTCCGTGTCTCCGTGGAGGTATTATATACGTATTATATCGGTACCAATTATTAGCAGCTGTGACACACCGTTCATCCTCTGTCTGACCATTTAACGAGACAGAATTATCCTGTGCGACTCGCCGCCCGAAGGATATATAGTATATAAGTATCCGTATACATATATGCATGTCTCCTTTGAGACTCACTGATTGGTGGGCGGCAACGCGTGGGAAGTTTGTTGGTGATCGGCAAGGCTGTACGATGATGATAACTTATACATCTGCTATACTATTATCTTACGGTATTCTTCACGGCAGTTGACTGTTGCCAAGCATCGTGCCAGTCCAGTCCGCAATAATGCCTTGGTGGCACGATGCTGTGTACTTATACTACGGAGTATTTATTACTAACACGATGGCGTGCCAGCGCCCAAAAGGGGAATTGCCTGTTGGACAGACCGAATTAGGAAGTCTCCTGAAACGCACGTGTTCGGTGCAAAGTTTAAGCATGGCTCAAAAGAGGCGACTCTCTGAAAAGTTAAACACGCAATTTAAGGCTCGTGGTTTAATAGAATACCAGTGGGGTGATTACAATTTGTTTACTACGTATCCAGTAATATTTACTCCGTAAGTTACTAAGCGTATGCTGTACAGGCGGGATGCATGGCACCCACAGCCACGTGGAAAGTCAAAAGGGAGGGGGAAAGGAGGGATAAAAAAAAAAAAAAAAAAAAAAAAACTCAAAGCAAGGTAGTACGCAGATAAGCCGGGAAGAATTTAAGGCAGAGAGACCGATGGCCTAAAATTCAGGTCTTGCATGTCAGCAAGGCAAGGCAAGAAAGATCGTCGACTCATCATGCCTTATGCTCCGTGCTGCATGACTCATTGCAAAAAGATGTGAGGAGGACATTCTTGGCGTGCGCACATATCCGTCGCTCGGAATATCTAGCGGATATATTGTGCGGTCGGGGGAATTCCGTGATTCCAACGCTTTCCGCTTGGTCGCTCACGATTTCTAGCATGTACTCCGTACTTAGCACTTGCTACTTATGATTACAGAGTCTCCATAATGGGAGATGGAGATGCAATGGATGATATGCCGATAAATATGTGAATAAGGATTAGCTACTTACGGATTAGCCAACCGCCCGTGCGTGGCTTACACGGTTTTCTCGGTCTTTCTTTTCTTTTTTTCAGCCTTTCGTTTCATCTTGTCCAGATCTCTCAGCTGGTGGTCAAAGCGAGCGTGGCTTGGCCAGGATAATCGTCTAAGTTCTCGTTCTCAACACGATATGAAGCAAGCCCACCTCAGGTTAAACTTTCCAAGGCTCTGCCTGATTCCATCCTTATTCCACGTGGCAGATGTGGAGTTATGTTTTTTCCTCTCGTCTTTGATTTTTTAAAAAAGACAACTGATTCTTGTATCTTACGAGCCGGAGATTGTAGATTACACTCCAGAAATAGATTCAATCTGATAGGTCCATGACTCGTGATCCTTCACTGGAAACTGTTGGTTTCAGAACTGAGAATGGAGTCGGTGGACGTTTAGCATACGTAGTTACGTCGCCGGACTCGCCGGAGAGTGAAACTAGCGCCCTGTACTCCGTACTCCGCACTTCGAGGCAGTAATCTGAAAAAAGAAATAGCGGTGAAGCGATCCATGCACAGAGAGAGATACTAGGCAGGTCACTACGGGCTCTTGAGACATATAAGAGAGGATGCTCTCATGAACGGCGCTTATCAGGAATGTTGTCCGAGTAAAGTTCAACCTTGCCCTGTTTTGTGTATACTATCAGAGTGCTAGAAATACATAAGTACCGACTGAGAGATTGCAAGCCTTGGACAGCCACGAGGTCCCAGCACTCTGGTATCGCTTCTAGTTATGGCGTGGTCAGAACCTAATTTTTGTAGGTCGGAGGTTAAAGTTGTCTAAGGCTTTGCTGTCGCTAAGTAACTTGCCTTGGAAGTGTTATAGGTTAGAAGAATAGAAATTAGAACTAATAATATGCGAACTTGACATACATTTTCAAATCTTATAGTCAAGTAAAAGAATACGCCTTCCTCAAACGGCTTAGCCTCCACTATTGGACGGTCACGGGACACACTCTGCCGCGCTATTCCCCCTCTTGGACAGCGGTATTCTTTGTATTGAGCTAGTATAAAGTACAACCAGTTTGGTTAGTCAGTCCGAGAGGCCTGACGAACTCCTGAACTAGGGCTTAAAACTTAAATGCTGGAACTTGACCACGTGGGAAACAAGCCGTGCCGTCAGTCGCCGCGGCCGTTGTTTCGGCCTCGTTTTCCCCCTTTTCACTTCGCATTGGCATAAAGAAGGAGCATTTAGACGACGCTCAGGCGTCGTGCGGTGGGCGTGGCCTGGGCATTTCAACATCCAATGTAATATTCAGACCCATGCAGTCTCAATGCTCGGTATTGTTGAGCCATCATAATTCACGGCTTGTCCCCAACGGTTTAGTTCACGTTTCATAGTTGACGGCGTGTTGACAGCGGACTACGGAGTACTCCGTATACTCCTACGCAGAATACAAGAATAGCACTACCCCTGTCAGCCCTATTCGAAATTGAACCAAGACAGCCAGTGGGTCGGCATAAGCTCATGTCCTGCCGAGTACGAAGTACGAAGTACTCCGTACATCAAATCTAATATCCCGTCCTCTGCCGCAGGAGTCAAGACAAGGTTTGCAGTGAGCCTAAGCCCTAAGTGCAAAGGTTAAGGATTGGTGACGTATTCATATGCGCTAGTCTTGTCACAGAGTCATGACATCGGGGTACGTAGCTACTCTACATTGAATCCGAAAAACAGCAGTGCCAACAGATCTACGTAAAAGTCGCCGCATACGTAGTAAAATCCACGAGGCTGCAAGGAATAATTCTTCTCCTGGCAGTCATCCAGTTTGGTTAAGTACTGAAGGCGGCCCCATGGGAGATTTCGGTAATATTCTGGAAGGGCTGGCACACCCAATTAAATTTGATTAATCGAAGAGGATCGTTCACGGTTCCCGTAAATAATACCAGTACTAAATACCAGCTAGTCACGCAAGCAAAAGTTTGAGCCGCACCGAGTCATGTATGTTGGTATGTACGTACATTGCTGGTCTAGTTATTACAGCATCATAGTTTATTAGATTTAGTTCCCTTAGACTCTTGGTCCTGTATAATCTATATGCCACAAAAGGCAGGCTGCATAACAAACTAACCCAAATCGTCCAACACGTGGAATAGCCATTTCCAGACAAGCGAGTGGAGCATTCCCGTCTCGTCTCGTATGTACGGTAATTTACACGGGCTACGCTACCCACAAATGATTACTAGCGCCTTTCAACAGAGATTTTGTCTGAATTTTGAGTTAAAATGATCCTCGTTGGCCACGCGAGCGGTGGCCGAATTACTTACCACGTGAATACAGAGCACACCGTGCTCTGTTACGTATACGAACACACAAAGTCGGAATAGATTTCTATCTCACCCTTTCTTCCTTTGGGGTTCTCTAAGTTTTTAACTTTAACTATCAGTCATGAATCTCTTTTTTGAGATGAAGGAATTGCCGGCTCCACTTGTTCCCTGTTTCTTGTTCGGGAAAGCACTTCCCCCCCTTTCACTTTCTGCTAAATCGGTCTATGACGACAGCACTCGGCGTTGGGCCGGATTGGGAAGTGCTCAATCGCGTTTTCCATTCGGCCTAACCGCAAGTAGTAGCAGCATATCTATCGCTAGCCGGAGTTACGAGATATCCTCCGTATTTGCTCCGTAGATTAGAATTATACTACTATAATAGACTTATCTGCACTGTGAGCTAAAGCGGGATAAACTCTTCGTTGTCTAAATGCAACTAGCGATTTGAGATAAGAGACAATAAACTCGATATACTTCGAATTATAAGGTGAACTCAATTTCGGCTTACTTTAATAAACTTGTCTTTGCGGAATTCAAAAGACTTGACTATCTGGTCGATAATACAACATGACTAGAGTATTTTAACACGTTTCTTATAAATCAAAACGTGGAATGACCCAAGTCTATCGGCAGTATATTAACTAGTCACCCCACTAGCAGACTGGTTGATGCCAGAACCAGGCAACGCAATGCAACTTAATCTCAAGCATACTGAAACTAGCACTCCGTATGCATGATCACATATCGCTAGCTACTAGTTTTCGGCCGACCGGAGTACTCAACAATTCAAGTGGACTGCGTATGTTCTTATCTGCATTGGTCTATGTTGAAAATACATACTTCTACGCCCATTCTATTCAAAAAGGTCTAGGTAGTGTTGGGGATCGTACTATGGACTACTCCGCAGTCGAATCGGCTAACAGCCCGAAGCTCTAATCTCACAGTAAGACAGATACCACTTTGACAGAATTAAATCGATGCTAGTTGTTATGAAATTCGTGTTCCATATCAATACGAGTGCGTGCATGTTGTAAGTACATGTATATTTTACTACATGGCATATATATATATATATCCCCTGCAGTGCATCGCAGACTATTGATATAAGCTTGCCGATCATGATCTACGCCTGCCACTGCCACGCTCTACACGGAGTACGGAGTATACACATACTCCGTGCGTAAGTTAAAATTCTGCATGCATGCATCTGCCAGGTGGTCAATACCATGCACTATGCACTAAACTTATAGTTAGTCATAGTGCTCAACTACTCACGTAGGATACTAGGTTATATACCAATCATCCCGAATGGGGCAACTCATGTCGATCGATCACACATCACACATTCCTTTTCCCTCAACCTGTTACGCAAAGCAGGCTTCCCCGCTGTATGTTGCATGCTGCCACATGATATCCACACGCCGAGGGCTGCGGTAAGTTAAGAATATGCAGCTAGACATGCAATGCACCTGGTTGTGCCGGGTTGTCAATCCTGGCTTGTACGGACCGGACGGAACGCTCAACATACTACTACGTAGCACGTATATAGTATGTGCATGTATTACCAGGATATATAACTAGCTAACTAATAGTAACGGGGCTTGGATTATTAATCTCGTTGATTTTCACGGGAATCCCGAGGCGGATGCCGCCGGACGCATGCAGATCCATAGCATCAAGGATCTGTCTATATACCTAGGTTACTATACTATATATAGAACCTCGGAAAGAGTGATGAGGGGTATGTCCAAGTACCTAGGGGATAACATGTAGAATCGTGGGTGGTGGCTTTCCGGATTAGCGTGCGCGGCCCGCCGCTTTATGATTATCCTCACCGATGGCCAATGGCCAATGGCCAATCCGCTGATTTACTTCAACAGTCGATGTCTTCAGCAAAGGCCGGTGTTCCAGATTGGCATGGTAAAGCGCCGGGTGTAGTCGTAGTCAAAAGCGTCCTTCGTCGCGGTCGAATCTAAGGATGTATGAAAGGTCTTGAGCTATAGGAAGGATGAAATTAATGAGCATTCGGCATGGGGACGGTTTGCAAACTTACCCTCAAGCAGGAAATCTCTTGCATAGGTTGAACTGTGCTCCCAGATGCCGTTGAGAAAACTCTCCGTGGAAACTTGGGGGTCCGCTTGGTGGTCAGGATTGACTGGTGCTACCACTTTATCGAGATTCCGCGATGGCATCAAATTCTCTTGCACAATGCCTTTCCATGTGTAGGTAATGATATCCGCCGAGCCCGAGGTTGGGATTTTGAGCTCCGGGACGATCTAGCTGACGATGTGTTTCATAACGCTATGAAACATATTGGCCGTGAATTGGGTGTCTTCCTTCATAACCTTGTCCCAATTGGGGAATGGGGCACGATCATTGACAGTCACGAGGTATTTGAGAAGGGAAATGTATTGTGCATCCGATAGCATGGCAAGGAAGTCGAGACGACGAGTACAGTATGTCGACACTAAAAACTGAAAGGGTTGGGCGAGTTGCACAAACCGAGGTTTTGTCCCATTGGCAATTCACGTTCTGACATTCGATGCATCTTGCCTTCAATCTTGCCGCGCTTTGTGATTGACAAAAGCTTCCACGTGTGCCTCTACGTTCTCCGTCTCCAACCCATTCTATAACGCGCAGATCTTGGAATGGATTCTCCATGGTGTGTTTGATTCTAGCCCTGTCAGTCAGTAAGAAAGCAAGTAAGCGGGAGCAAAATGTCGACAACTTAAGAGACGGCTAGGTAACAGGTAGATAAGGCAGAAAAATATGAATGTAAAGAAGATACTTACAAAGGACGAAAGAGATAACTCGACGAAGCGAAGGCTTGGAAGAGAGACTTTGACGAGATGACTTGGGGTAACCCCTAAAATAAATTTTCAGACCTCGGTGGGTGAGATTTGTATAAAATTGTTGGACAATTAGATGCACACCCATTTCATTCATCTCGCCTACCCAGCCTCGAAATTAGATGAATGAGTTTTCTGGCCACCAATGCTATTCGTTCGACAATGCTATTGATCCAAAAAGTCTATCGATTCAATAATGCTATTCAGCTCAATTTCTGTCTATGTCGGAAAGGTGTTCAGATCGGATCAAATTGGTAAAACAATCAATATACCATGGCATCGTTGAAGGCATAGGAGCCTTACACAGCCGGGCAACGGAGGCAGCAATTCTTGCGGTACGGGTCCGGCGAATAAAGGCCGTTCCCACACATTGGCTGAGGCTGTTCCCTTTTCTATCTTTTTCATGATTGGTGGTCTTGTAGACCAGGCCTGGTGGTTAGATAGTTCCAACCAGATTTCGATCATCACATACAGAGTGGTTTTTGCTGTCAGCTACAGGGACAATGAGTTTGCAAGGTGAAAGTATCAATATTGATATACATTGATATACATTGATATACATTGATATACATTGATAAAATATTGGGCATATTCTTGACCAGCGGAAATAAGAACGGCCCTGTGGTTAGATATGCCAAAAAAAAAAAAAAAAAAAAACGTCTGAAGTCAGGTCGTCAAGTCGTCAAACATAGCACACGTAACCTTTGCCAGCCGTCACGCCTAATGCCCAATTATAGGCAGCCTTGAGAGTTTCAACAATGCTGCGATGGCTCAGGCCTTCAATAATTGCCGCCCCTTATAGCGGCGGCCGCACGAACTAGATTGGGACGGGTTCCCATTAAATGCTCAATAATTATCCACCGAGACTATACACCACCGGCATCAATCGATGTCAATAGCCTGGAGTCTCCTATAGGTATGATCGCATGACTCGACAGAGTAAATGCCTCACTTTATTAGGAATATGGAACTGCTCATTCGAGAATTCTGCATATACGTTGCACAGAGTAGGCGGAGATCATCAGATTATACTCATTAGGTATGAATAAGATCCATCACAATTGAGGTATAACTATGAACCATAATCTTCAGCTCAGCATAATCAGCCACCACGTCATGCCAGGGAAGCTATTGGCACTAGTAAATCTGTATAGTATTACACTGTCACAACGTAATTATGTCACTATCCCGCTCAAGCAAGTATCTATCGGAAAATTGCGAGTTGTATGGCTGCTCGATCTTAGAAATGAATTTAGAACACACGGCAAGGCGCGTGTAGATAGTAGATGTTTAATTGATTCTCACATGGCTTGCGATATAAAACCCATTGTATCATATGTAATTAGATCTTATTGATGCCTTACATCTCGTAGAATTCTGCCTTTCAATTTCCTCTCTTTCACTTTAAGCCTTCTAATATCATATAATGCTATCACAATCTCTAAATTTCGCTTTGCCTTACTAGGAGCTGCTGGCTAATTCGCGTTCGCCGTCAATGTGAGAATGAGAGTAGTCAAGGCAGTCCCAGTGGCTTGGATGCTGAATTACAATTCTTTTATCTGTAATTCTGTGGAATACTTCCTCTCACATTATCTGAGGATACTATTCACTTTATAAGAATAAGACCCGTATCAAGATCGATGATCGGTTAGGCCGTGGTGAAAAGTGTTAGGGCTACCTAGCTACGGAGATACAAACAGGCGAAACAAGCTGCTAGTCTCTAATTTGAATCGGAAACAGCAGACAAAGGGATATGATGTTTATTGGAGCAATAAATATGATTTTAAATGGAATGAACGTTCGTATATCACTTAGGGCTATGGATAATGTTGAAGACAGGAGACGACATCCATCAATATAGCGTGGACCCTAATTTTCATCAAGCTCAATGTCCGAAAGTTCAACGCTCCGGAGTTCAGCTTGATGAATCATTGGCTATTACTCCTGTAAATTCTTGTAATCGTTGACTCGGGCGTTCCTTCTGTATGGCATGTGTCTCGTCTTTCTTATAATCGATGATCCCAGGTTCGGCGGTCCAGTTAGACTGGGAGAGAAACTTGCTCATATATGCCGCGGCTATGTGCAGAGAGCTTTTTCTGGAATTCCTGTGTTTGATGGTTGTGTATCTGTCGTCGCTCTACATGTGAGAGGCCTTAGTACTGCTGACATGTATGGTTTGGGTTTAAAATGACTTATCGCGTCCCAGCCCATGGGAGATTGTAGGCCATCAAAGTCTCGGGGGGGCAGGAGCTTGCGATGGACCTGCAAATAGCAGTTGTCAGTGGGCTCCAACCTTTGATAGTGGCAATTCGGAACCCCTTATCCTAATATAAGCCTTCTTCTCCCTCTCAGTCTCGATCCTGAATATCTGAATTATTGTCTCAATCTCTTCTTCACTATATCCAAGTTGAGTGCCTATGCTTTCCCTGAACGAATTGTCTAGTTTCGTCTTTTCTTCCTTCTGTCTTTGTCCAGCCGTCTCCTCCCAAGCCTTCTTCCCCTCTAACTCTATGTTACCCTCCAGGAGCTCTACGCTGTGCACGGCGGGATTTGCTTCCGCTGTTTTTGCGGTTGGACCTCCAAACCGGTATTTCGATATTGGAGTATTCTAATTCAAATTATGTAGTGACTGGTATCCTCTCACCCAAAAAGTCGCTGAGGAGTCCCCCGGATGATAATGCATGATGTTTGCTTTTATTTTGTGGTCTCTCCGGTAAACCTCCAATACGAGGAACAGAATTAGAGGTTGACGTTGCTCTCTGTCTCCTATCGTTGATCACCCTTGCTGGATAGTCACCATGAGGTTGTTCACTAAGATTATTCTCTTCATCCGTCGCTTCACCTTCTTCTGAGTCCGAGTATCCTCTTATCGGTCCTCTTTCTGTGTCATCACAATACTCAGGGTTGTGACATCTAACTGTGTTTTCCAGCTTTTATCTCACGAAAGGTACAGGAATATGTCGTTTGATACGACCTAGTCTAACTTTGAGAAATTCTGCCTGTTTTTCACGACCCATCTCTGCCAGCATATGTGCCCATACTTCGATCTTCATCCACGAAAGTAGCGGGATATTAGAGGTAATGTTAGAGTTCCTTCTTTCTCGCTAGCGTAGTCAAACCGCGAAGGGAAACTGTTGGAAAAGTTAGAGAGATGAAGATGGAGATTCATGCGCTTGTCACCAGCCCCTTGAATCCCCAAACAACAAGCATCATTGATCAAACAAATGAGAAATTATGCTGTATCTTGCATCGAATGCTGACACGGCACAGATAGCTCCTTCAGCCTCGGAAGCCTTTGTCAAAGTTTTTGGATTCGCGAAGCATGGTTTGAGGAACGGATTGTTGCAATCGATAGTCTCCTAGTTCTTCGGCAGTCAAAGCGACAGGCTCAAGGAGATTCTCCATGGTGGCATCTAGAATTGTCTTCGCATCCGTCAGTCCGTTCCTGTGGTCCTCGGTAGTCTCGTCGGACAGTATTCTGTCTGGACTGACCGCTAGCAGACCGGAGATAATTGCTCTGACTGTAGTTTCAAGCAACAGCCAATTTAAGTATGGTTGGCTGTTGACCAGCGGAGGGTGTCTCGAAAGTATATATAGAACGTGCAGGAGAATGAGCCTCCCTGTAGCTGGTAGGCACTCCATGTCTACCAAAAAGAGGATTTGACCGTTAATTATACCGTGCAGAGGTATCAGATCCTAGACCGATGTCGTTCAATGATCTAAATGAAGATACAGCGGCATAAGCCCGGATCTGGTGCGAGCCCTCCCCGCAACGGACCTCTACTAGCGGCGATGCACCAAGTTGTCGACCAGGAGCCGCCGAATCTCATTCCAAAGGGCTCTACCAGAGTAGAACCTGATGCTTCGAAGAAAGTTAGCGAAACGACCAAGCCTGATTATTTGTCCTCTACCCCTCGCGTCAAGTAACTGCGCTTAACATATGATTATTGTCGTGACTCCATGTCGAATTGTCCAGCTTCTCGCAATATCACTCGGGCTATTCACCACAAGGGTTTATGTGCTACATTCAGCTCTTGCCCGTGTGGGGAAGTGATATTCAACTGCAATTAAATTATAGGTTGCTAGCATATATGAGGAGCGTATCTTCTATGTATGAAGCTAGGGCTACGCAACGGCTTGCCCTATCCCTGCCCGCGCACGGCTGAGACTCAATCTAAATGATCATTTGCATTGTCACCGACTTGACTTTGCTAAATTGGATCAGGTACAACGCGAATAATTAAAGTTCACTGATTCTCTATGTCTTCTAAACTAATATGGGTTCTGATTGCTCATCTTCCCTTCTTGCTTATATCAAGCGGTATTATAAGGTGGGGAAGAAAAAAAGAACCTAAGAGCCAGCGAATTCGTTTGAATTTCCATTTTTCTCCGGAAAGTCCCCAGCGCTTTGACTCCTCGTTGCTTTTTCTTTGAATTCACTGAGGGATGACCATTCAAGGAGGAATGCCTGGCACCGCGGTTGTTGCCTTGGTTGTCCTGGTCCAACTATATGGGGCTAGTGCTTTATATTGATAACTGAGACGTCTGAATACCTTATTATTTTCCAATTTGAAGTATTTTTATCTCCACCAGTGTGAGGTAGAGCTTGGCATATTATTTCGACATACTGACGGCTGTAAGCAGATTATAAGAGCGTGCTTCGCGCCCCTGTACGTTATCTACCGAATGAACGTCATAACTTCCAAATTGATTGTCTTCTTTTGGCCAATATCCTTGGCATTATACGCCCTGTATCGTACTTTTCTCATTATTGTCGTCGCCACCTCATTCTCTCAGACAACGTTTTAGTATAACAGAGAGTCTGGAATCCCCTCGCCACTACATGTGCAAGGCTCATCGGACGAGTCATAGGGAATAAACTTCCAATTTGAATATGGCTTACAAATATTATCATATTCCGACTGCCGCCCCAGGCAACGTTTGTAGTTGGCCCACTTGAGAGACGTCTTGGCATGCAACCCTATTTCAACCTCATTATTCAACTCTTCCCAAACTTGTACCGACTGGGCAACAATAGCAATTTCAAATAGCCGGTGTTAAGCCAATTAAATCGAAGGGGCAAGCGTCACATGTCAAACTTTTGACAAAGAACGGGCGCAAACGGTACTCTTATTGCTGTGACCTGGAGGCTGGTGTTTCACATTTCTTTGGCAAGTCCTTTGAGGGCAACGGAGAGAGGCAACATGTCTTAAATCTGGTGAAAATTCTGCTCCTCAGCGTCCACGGGGGCGAAAACAGGCAACGCATGAATGAGCTGATTGGACCTCCAGACTTGGCTATTGGCCCGGCCACCGTGAGTTTCTTGGTCTTATGATCAGGAACAATGAAGGAAATATGCATGTGTACAATAGAATGATTAGGCAGAAACAAGGCGTGCTTTCACCGGGTTTGATTAATTGTGTCAGGTATAACTGTAGGCGTTTTCCTTTGTAAGAGAGAGGGGGGCTGGGATATCAACTGTGTTTGTTGCCCACAGATGGGCACGTCAGCTCGTCTATAAACCCCCCAACTTCCCTCTCCCGCAGTCTTCTGCTTTTTCATATTTTACAGCTGTCTGACCAGGCAGTACTGCGGTGCTACCATCTGCTTGATAGTCCTCTCTTCGATCATTCATGCTAGCCATCGATCTTTATCATAGCCCTTTTACATCTTTGCCAACGCTTGACATCGCTGTTTGTCCAGAACCACAAAAATCAGCGACTGCTTTCCCTGCTTTTCTCGTCTTGATTGAGTGTGTATTGGCATGAGCTGACCTCCAGACTAGCGCACTCTAGCAGAAGATCAATACTGCCATGCCTGCAAATCCTAGGATTGAGGTCAGCGTTCGCCGTGAGATTCAAATCCTGCGCTTGACCAATATCAACCCTCAATCTTTGGTCAATATAAACTTTTCGTTGCGGAATTCCAATAACGAATGGGCGGTCGTCTCGTATGACGATGATTTGGCTACTGCTGCCGGTCGGGGATACGAACAAATGGTTAGTGCTGCTGTGATCTTTCCTGTCTTTCTTCTTTTCTTCTTTTCTTCTTTCATTCGCTTCTTTCTTTTTTGACGTGCATACTAATGATGAGCGAATAGATACTACCATGCAGGCGAGCCTGACCCCTTTAGATGAAGAGCCTGTCGCCGCAATTAACGAGTCTGCCGTCGTCGTCCAGCATCACGCATATTGCTGGAAGCTTAAGTGGCTGAGTCAGTGCATCAATACCCGCCTCGGTCCTAGCCGGTACCCCGCTGGTCGGCGCAAGATGGTGATCGTCGCCAAATTCCCCTGCGTGACCCTCGCCATTCACGAGGAGGTCGCTTCAATGGTTAGTAATGCCCTCGTTTTGCCTTGTTTCTGTCTTCTCTGTTGTTGGGCCCAGCGATAATGATGATTCACAGATAGCCGTTTCTGAATGTGATCCAAATACTATTGTACTGATCTCCTCCGCCAAGGTACAGAGCATCAATGGTGCAGGACACTCTATGTGTCTTTTTTTGTGCTTGATAATGGTACAAAGATGCCATTATCACGCGCAGGCGATGAACTGGGTTTGCGTTTTCGCTTCGAGGGTATGGGCGCAGACCCAAGAATGGTTCTTTTCATCTCCGGAGGCAACAACTTGTCGATAACAAAGTCCGGGTTCCCTGCTTCATTGGAATACCGCGCGGCCTACATCGATAAATTGAGTTTCTCTTTGCGTAAAGACACAAAGCGAAGAGAAACTTCCTTCGACATAACGTTCGATTCGCTTGGAGGTGTCACCAACAGCCTTTTTCCATCACAGAGCGACAAGGACACCGAAGCTTTGCGATGCCACATGAGAGACATAGCTGCACCCAGGGCTCGAGTTCATTTCGTATTTCGAGCACCTACAGACGACGTGGAACGACAGTCATCTCGAAGCCATGAAGACTTGTTTCCCAATTCACTGGAATCAGTATCGCAGCCAGTCTAGACACACGGCAATGACAGAAAGCGAAGAGAAACTTCCTTTGACGTCAGGTTCGATTCCCTTGGAGGCGTGACAACGGCCTTTATCCACCACCGACCGATAATGGGACAGAATCCTTGCTGTGTCATATGAAAGGCATTGCTGCTCCGAGGGCTCGTGTTCATTTTGTGTTCCGAGCGTCTACGGATGATGTGGAACGCTACAACCTCAGGGGTCATCTGGAAGCAATGAAGTCGCGTCCTCTGATTCCCTGGGACCAGTATCGCAGTCAAACCAGACACACTGCGTTGACTCAGTTTGGACAGGTACTCAGCCGCGACAAAGTCGTTGAGAAATGGGGTGACGCTGGCCTCCACAAAGTCCCCGCCGCCGATTCCTTTTTCGATATGGATGAAGCACTGGTCAAGTTGGTCTATGGTTCAGTGCTTGATTTCAATCACTCCATTGTCGAATTCAGCCATTTCAAGTTGACACCCGCGACTCGATGCAAGGACATGAGTGTCATCCTGGATCGAAAGAGTTAGGATGATTTTGTTTTTTCTTTTCTCCAAAAACGATCGACCCATAAATGTCACCATCATGAGAGCACGGGCTTCACTCACTGTGGCTTGATGCTGCGACCTGAATGTGCAGCCGGATCTCAAATGCAAACCAAAAGATCCTCGGGCGCGCTTCTGATGCAGTTGTTGACCTAGACAGACCAACACTGAACAAATTGAAACCTTGGAACACGACAGTGGAGCATCAATCTGACTTGATGCAGCCAGATCCTGGAACGCGTAATTCTAAACCTAGGACACTGGCACGATTCTGGTGTACACCATGATGGTATCAGGTGGTTCAACTTGGGCTTAATCTTGGGAAGAAACACGTGATAGAGATCTGCCGTCACGTATGTTCCAAAGAAATGCTTCAGTCAGTGGGAATCTTGATTGTTCATCTTGTACAATAATCGAGTAGCGAGCAGACTAGTTCAACCAAAAAACTGTGCAATTAGCAATCCGTGTTGAAGCGTTGGAGATAGTGGCATTTAGCTTGCGCCGGTATACATAGATGTCAGTACAACTAGTTGGCACTAGAAACATAGCAAACATTGAACTTGAATACCCTCCTGCGAAGCACGTTCAAGTTATTCAGTCTATAATTCGAAACGCTGCGTCCACGCAATGTATTAGGCGTACGAGCCTAAAAACGGCAGGCGTAATTGCGTTATCTAGACCTAATTAACTTGCTTACTGTCATACTGATAACGAATCTTGAATATTACGCGGCCTCATGCCGCACGTTATAGCAGCATGTCGCACCAACTTAGACCGTTGTCTCGCCCTCGGTCATCTAGGCCCGGAGCCAGGAAGCCGAATGGACACTTGCTTGACCTGTTACACACATTCTAATGCGATATCTGTAGCTACGCATGCCAGCGGTCCAGAGAGGTCTATGACTGATTGTCGAGTCTAGACTGATGTGTAATATGTAGGTAATATACTGCATATTGAGACAGGTCGAAATGATATTACAAAAAACATCAAAACGTCCCTTGTAACTAACTACCTTGAAAATAAAAACCTGAAGAAACTTGTTTTCCCATCCATGCATTGATACAGTCTGCATGAACGTGGCAACCTCCTCTCCGTAATTTCAAGCAAGGGTAGGGTCTATGCATAATATGATGCAGTATATCTAGCTATGTAAAGTAATGTTGATCGTGCAAAGTCCGTGCGCATGCCATGTGCCACCATCTCAGTACCTATATCATCCTGTTGTGATAAGTACTCCGTATCTATGTGGTTGATTGGAGATTTGGATGGGTGGTCTGATACGTAGGTAATATACCCAGGTAAATAATATACAAGCTTTGTACTTGGATTAGCCTGTATGTTTCAGATAGATTGTGGAATAACTCCGAAATGAAGTAATATCGAGTACCGCCGAACATATATATGTTCTATTATTCATGAAATATATATTGAATGTATAGTATACATCACTGTCGCCACCACCGCCCTAATGACCCCCCACCACCAACGAGATCAGCAACCTCCTCAAAACTAATTTCAACTCGAAACATCGTCCCGTCCGTCGTGCCGTTGCCCGAGCCAAGAGGCACAACCAATCCCCAATTCACCAGCTTTTCCCAGGCTTCCCGCGACACGTCACGGCCCCAGACCCTACCACCCGTAGCAGCTGCTCCTTGAGCTGCAGCCGTGGCTTTAGCGGAGGTTAACAGACGGACGTATTCTGCGTAGGCAGCAGGAAAGGAAAGAGCAAGTGGCGTGGCTGACTGCCCGTTGACTACATCCAAGCCAGGATCGTGAAGAGCAGTCAAACGCGTAGCTGCTAGAAGAAGCGACAGTGGCAATGACGTTGCACTTGTAGATCCTGTCATGGACGGTGGGAATGGAAGCGGTCCAGGATCCGGACACATCAAAGCTTGTGTCGTGAAGCTTTCCGGGGTTGGGATGTTAAAACAAGCTGAATCCTCACTTGCAACTGCACATGCGCTATGATAAAGGCTTGATATTGGGAGTAAGGCGCTAGAGTAAAAATCCTTGACTGACTTGGTCTGGTAGAAGATTCGTCTCAAATGCGTGTCGAAACCTTTGTCTTCCCAGAGGCCCTACATTTTTCATTAGCAAGTGAATCACGTCGGCATAGTACGTCAAGAAAACTTGCCTTTAAATATATCCGCCAATAATCAAGGAGTTCCAGAAGTCTGCTTGGCTTGATATCGGGGAACTCGCCTTCTTGAATTTCCGTATTCTCTACGGTCAGGCCAGAAAGACAGGCCTCTGAAAACGAGTCGATAGTTTTTGCTAACGGTAAATACACGTAGCGATGGCTGAAACGGCTCTTCACACGCTTCTCGAGCGTTTCCGTCACGTCGACTTTGGTTGTCAATCCAAGCACGGCCAGTGGCGCCTTGCGCGCCTGTGCAATGTCAAAGAGATTATACAGTAGAGTCTGTCGGGGATGCGTGGCGAAAAGGTCAAACTCGTCAAGGATTATGACAACTGACTTTGCGGTTGTGATGCCATTGGAGGCATCTGTATTGTTTAAGAGCTCTTCGGGGTGCGATAATAACGCTAGTAACGTTGCCATTGTGTCGGCATAGCTGTTGATCTTGGAAGCTTCATCTTCTGTATCTCGTTCACGGCCAAGCTGCCGCCAGATCTCCCGTAGAGCCAGACGGTCGTCAGTATGGAAAAACCCATTGAGACGGACAACGTGAAAATCGTCTTTGTAATCCTTTGACAGAGAAGAGAGAATCGATTCCACCATGGTAGTCTTGCCACTCCCGCGTGATCCCATCAAGAGCATCGAGTTTCCTTCTCCGGCAGTAACCGTCTGCTCCACTAGCTGATAGACTTTCTGATACTCTGCATTTAAATATTTCAATGAGGTCAGCCGTTTCCCACTCAGCTTCTCAAGGACAATTTGGCCCAACGTGCGAGTCTCTTCCTGAAATTCGGAAGCACAAATCTTTTGAAACGTCTCTGCATAATCCGGCAATGGAACAGCCTGTGTCGTTCCTTCATGGGTATCGGCCTCTTGTACTAGATCTTCCTGTAGCTGCGCAGCAACTGGATCATAAGTATCATCCATTCCACCATTAATAAGACCCAACTCCGGGTCGTTTTTCTCTGTTTCCGAGCCGGACTCGGACTCAGATTCCCTCCCACTTTCCTTCTTTGTAGATCTTCTCGATTTTCTCCGTGACACTGGGACATCGATTTCAGGAGAACGACTGTCCGATACTTCTGTTTCTGTCGTGACATTCTTTCGCGTTCTATGTAATCCATTCGCTGACCGAGGTGTCTTTGAGGGCGTTTCTGTCGTAGAAAGTTTGGACCGACGCGGAGTATCATTCGTCAACATCTCATCTTCGTATCTCACAGGCGCCTTTCGCTGTCTGCCGCTCGCTCTGACACTCCTCGACGGTGTTTCATTATCTTCAACATTAGCTACTTTAGCAGCAGCAGTGGACCGTCGTCGGGAGGACTTGGATGGTGTAGCAGCTAAGGCTGCATCGACTTCTGGATCATCGATGTCCATCGCAATGACATCGTCCTCGTCCGGATTGCTTGGGGGGGTCTCGGGCACTTCGCTGGGGATCTTGATATCTCCATCCTGATCTACATCCTCGGACACCCTCCTTCGTTTCGCTGCGCGGGATTCTACCATTTTCAATAATCTGAATCCTCTCCGATTCACGCAGTTTCCAGAACTGCTTTTCACTTCTGGTAATCAATTGAAGTCGGTGTCAAACGGCGAGACAGTAACCTATGCAAGGAGCGCGGTATGTCAATGAATCGCGGCGGGTCACCAGTAACGTAGTCAAATGGCAGATCGATGCACGGCAAGCGGACGGTATTTATTTGTCTGGATTGTTGTCGGTTGTAGTGTATCGTTGGCAGAGGTTGTCAGGACGAGCTTTCTGTCAGGAACGGAAATATCAAAACGCGAAATGCCGCAAATGCGGAAGGATGATTGGCTGCGGCAGAAGGAGGTCCCCATGCTTGACTGCTTCCTGAGAAATCAGGCATAAATTGTGATATCAGCTACGGCACACAACATCGTGCCATTCTTTACATTATGTTGGTGGTCGCAGTCGATATAAAGAGCTAGTTAAGGATTGAATAAATGAAATCCTATGATATAACACTCAAACCTATGGCTATACACCTCTTTGTATGCACCACTTGAGACGCGGTAACCGTCCAAGTGCCGAGGTAAGTCAGTCAGCTTAAGTGCCTGGGCAGTTATCTAGGTACACTCAACACTGGACTTTAGTATCGCCAGTTGATGCCGCTTGTGTCTTCGCGTGTTGTTTGAGAATTACGGTTTTAGCAGTTTTATATACAACTCATTTATCAGAATGGCCGGCGACAACGATACACCCACGGCGAGGAAGGTCCACGATGACTTTGAGGAGAACATGCGCGAAGTTGTTAAACATTTCGTTGACACTGAAGGCGAACATGAGGTGAGTACTTCAAAATACTTCGTCACTGATCAAATTCAAGTTAGATACATAATCCGCATCCTACTGACTCCCATTCACATCCATAATAGCGATGGGACATAGACCAAGTCGAATCAAAACTCCGTCTAGAGTCCGCAAGCCGCGGCCCTCCAGCACGAGCTACATTCAGGCTCTACATCACGCCCAAAATGGCCAATTTCCACAACAGCATACATGGCGGTTGCACTGCAACCGTGATTGATATCTTGTCCTCAATGCTGGTGATAGGTGCTTCGCAACCGGGCATGTTTCAGGTTGGAGGAGTCAGTCGCAATTTGAACGTTACCTACCTGCGACCTATGCGAGTGGGCAGCGAAGTACGCGTCATTTGTGAGCTGGTGCAGATGGGGAAGAGGTTGGCATTGGTAAAAACTGAAATTCGCAGCGTTGATAATGATGAGCTCTGCGCTCTGGGGGATCATCAAAAAGCTAATACGGATTCAAAGCCGTTTGGGAAAATTTGAAGGGTACATATACCCAGCAGTTGTATTTACTACTGCAGCGTTCCCCTCAATGCTAAGTCAAGGTTTATACCGATCGTGAATCAATCGTGGATAACATATCTCACTATATATCTCAATTGTGGCAGATGCCATTTGGCTGCATTGGAAATATTGGAATATTGATTGAGAACTGCAAATTTATTCTAGGCCAAATTCGATTAAGGGCAAGGAGTATAATGATAGACGAAAAATTCTTAACCATCATGTTCCACGAGGAGGAACATCAAAGTCTCGGGTACATTTCAGTGCTTCTGGAAGAGCTCGCCCCTCAAAAATATGGACCACATTTCTTCAATTTTGCACAAAGCCAACTACTTGAACAGCACTTATTCTTCTCCAACAAGGTTCTGGCCTTCGCGAAGACCCTCAACGATAAGCTCATGACCTTCGGCACGCTCGTAAATGTCACGGACGTCATCTGTTTATATATTAGTAAAGGAGAACATAGCCTTGTATTTGTTTCAAGGAAAATATCTCATACCAGTCGTTGTCTCAAAGTGTGAAGTAGCGTCGTAGCTCTTGGAAATGAAAACATTGTCCTTCTTGCCATCGTCGACAGGCTCGTACAAAGGAATTGCTGGGCCCATGAATTTCTCCTCAATTTGACCAAGTCTCTGAAAACCGGGCTCCAGCTCCACGTGGTGGTTTGCTTCGTTCTCGGCGATAGTTGAGACAATGGCCACATAGTAGCCCTTGGGGCAGACGTTATGTGCTGAGGATACAACGGCAATGTAGATATCTGAGTCTGTCAGTTTTGTGTTTCCGAACTGCAACACCATAATATAACTTACCGTGCTTGCGTCCAACCTGTGATTGCGGAATGATAAGCTGAAGCGAATCGCTTCCGTCGGTCTTATCAACGGGGTGCTTCAGAATGCAGATAGCACGGATGACATATCCAGTGATCTTAACTTTGCCGGGGAAATAAGAAGGATCGGCAATGATTTTGGTGGTCTTTGTGGTGAACTTCATGCCCTCGCCAGCCTCGTCACGCTCCTTCATGGTTGCTCGGATACCGGACACTTTGCCGGCCTCGTCGTATAGGACCTCATCGACACTCGTGTTGAGCATATAAGTACCGCCGTAAATAGCGGATAGACGTGCAAAACCCTGTGGCAGCTCTCCAAGTCCATAAAGCGGGTAGATGTAGGGAGACTTTCCGTAGCGGGCCATCGAGTTAACATACAAGCGGATACGCTCAATAGTCTCTATCACTCGTCCGGGGGCTTCAATATATTCGTCCGATGGGAATAGAGCCATCGAATGGCCAACGAAGTCACGAGTTGTCGCCTCCAATCCGAATTTATCGTAGACATCCTTCATTGTGGCAGCGGACAGGTTGAGACCTGGAGTGATTGAATGATTCGTTAGAACATTGTCCCTTCAAAGAAAGGCTACTCCGAGCAGGTGACCTACCTTGATGGGTGCTGGGGTCATCTTCCTTGAACTCGCCGACCCACTCCAGGAACTTCTTTGCCCGTCTCTTCTCAAAAAGACCCATGAGAGAAGAACGAAGTGCCTCGCCAGCATCCGAAGGGACCTTGGCGACGGTTGCTTTGGGGCCCTGTCCCTGTTGGACATAACTTCCAGCAATCTGCTTGAATTCCAAATATCTTGTGACATCGGTGGAGACCAAGATGTTGGTCAATTCTCCATTGGACATAAGCAACTTGGGGATCAAGTCCACGTTCCAGTCGTTCACACGGCCATACTTCTTCCATGGTTCATCGCCGGGTCGAACGTTGCCGTATTTTTTGAAAAGCTGCAGGATATTAGACTGTGGAACTCAGACAGACGAGTCATTTTATTTACCGTTTCGATATTGACAGAGGCCGCTTCGCTGTGTTGACGTTAGCTGTCAGATGAGACCGTAGAAGACACACGGCATGGATGAGGGGGATATGTAGACCAAGCTTACCCGCCATAGTGGTCGTTGCGATCAATGTGAAGCACCTTCTTGCCCTTAACACTCAGAACACTTGTTCAACTTGTCAATAATTTTCCAGCAATTTTCGAAGCCCTTGTACAATCCAAACTCTAGACAGCTTACCCAGAGAGAACACATTCAGTAAGGCCTGGAAGCAGGTTAGTCTGCGATGCGAGCTCGCTGCGGGGTAGACTGCATACCAGTGCCTAGCACGACCACATCGTACTCGGGGGCAATTTCATCCATGGTGGAGAGCAAAATATGGGAAATATAAACCGAGGTAAGCGCACAGTTATCACCGCGTAAGAATATTCTGGATTTGAACAAGGCGGAATGCAAAAGGGGACTCAGGTTATTATGGATGTGCTCTACTCCCGCGCTAGTAACGCCCAACTAGACTAGCCTGCCGCGGAGTCAAAACCAGACTTCAAAGAGGCGGTGGCATTCACTAGCGCGCTATGGAATGCCAGAGCTGACGCCCATTTAATATCATAACATAGAATATCCAATTGGAAGTGTCTAATATTAATAATGTACATGTTTGTTTGCCCGCGACACAATATAGAACAGCGTCGATATAAGAAATGTAAGCCTTTTGAGTTGTACAAATGCGACTTTATTCTCAAGCGTTAAAGTCTCAAACAGAAGTATAAGCCCGGCGTAGGAGGTGTTGATAGGGCTGCAGCCTTAGACTAGGCCGTTGACTTCGTCTTGGACTTTGTTTTCGACTTCTTTTTTGTTTTCGGTTTCGCTTCAGGAAGATCAACTCCGAGTTGTTCGGCCTTCTCTTTCGTTTGTTGCGCCCATAGTAGTCTCGCATCTTCCCAAGCGTAGAATCTTTCCCTAAGAACATGCTTGATACACTTTTGGGTAGCCCGAACCTATGATTTCGCGTTGCATTAGAATTGCCAAAAGTCATGATTGTTGTTTAGGCACCTACCACGCGGTCACGCTCGATACACTCTGCTTCTCCATAGCCTGCCTTGAGCCGCTCTCGTTCCAGGTTTGAGGTAGCAATGCGGTTCCGTTCCTTCACACAAACCCACCATAGGCAATGGAGATCGTCCCAGGATTTTCCGCGGAGTTCTTGAACTGACCATGAGCGACCTAATGAGAGCACCGGTTAGAATGGGTACATAACACCAGATACCGGGTCAAGACTCATCAACATACCGTGCGCAATATCGTACTCGGGTGTGCTCATTGGTGATTTGTCGGGAGGGAAGAATCCCCATAGTCCATGATTGGGATCAACCTCACGCGGAGGCAGGTCTTCCGGGCTGACAGGCACAGGTAACGGGAAGTTTGAAACACTCAATTTATGCCTTGGGCCCGTCCTGTGTATAGCCGAGACTCCACGGGTTTTGTTCTTATCGGGGAACTGACGACGAGCAGCATTGGCCGCTGTAGACGAAAAGTTCGAAGACTGAACGCTGTTATGTATCGCAGGAACGAGGTAAGACGGAGGTAATTCTGCGGACAGAGGAGTGCCGAATTGGCGAGCCAGACGAAGGACCGATTGCCGATTCATCGCGGGTTTGATTTAATTTTTCTCTTAAATTGCTGCAACGCGGTATCCAGTAGGCTGATGGCGACAACCCCTGTGGTCGGTCTCTCGAAATAAGATCAGCGAGCGGCTCGACGGCAGTCACAAAATGCCCATTAGCGCTTAATATCACGTGACAATTTTGCACGATGAAAGATCGCAAGGCATTTGATACGTGCGTTTGATAGGGAATGGCTGAACTTAATACACGTGTATTTGAAAAATTAAATATTATATAATAATTATCAATCTATATTTTACATTTCGAATGGCTGTGTTAGGCGCTGTTGTATAATTAGACACACCTCGCATTCAGTGCCATGAGCAACTTCCATAAAACCTTTGAATATATAAGTCCTTTTCCTAAGCACCTAACTTAGTCGACATCCATTCAGCCTTATGACAGCAGCTCCTCTTGACTCCTTTCCCGTGAGCTGTGTAGCTGCAAGAGGCTTAGAGCCAGGGCGGGTCCGCCTACCCAATAAAAGAAGCGCGCGGTAAGGCGCTCGGCGGCTAATGGCACTTCTCAGCCTGCGATCATTCCAAGAGAACCAGAACTGGAGCCGCGAGCTTGTCTTATCAGTTTTCAAAAGCAGTGCCTACAGACGAGATCGCTCTGGAATCTTATCTTTTTCACCTTCATTCTTCCGATTTTGAGTTGTCAGAAACTACTGGAACTGCTTTTTCAATATGAATAGGCCAGGTAATTTGCTTTGCAAGCCCCCACCAAATGCCTTGCGACAGCTATTCGCCCACAATTGCGCGATCTATTCTTTCTTTCTGGACTTTTCTGGTGGCTATGTGAACGAATAGAAATGGCGATTTGTCGGCCTACAGCTGTCCCAATGCGAGCTATTCCTTTGTGTGATTCCTGCGGAAGATGGGCGTGTCCCAGTCTTCGTTCTTTGCTTTGATGGAGCCCACAATATTGATGCTATATAATCCTCCCTTGGTGCAAGCTACTGACCTCGAGTGACATTTTAGGACCAGGCCCGCAGCCGTTAAGGGGCATGCCCGGATTTCCTACACAACAACAAGCACAAGCTCGAAACACACCTCTCGCCTCGAGTCGACTACCAAACGGCAAAATAGGTGCGCCTTATGAAATCCAAGTGTTAAATCGCATCCCACTGACTTATATGGGAATTTGGAATGGTTAGGATCGAGTGCGAACTGGAATTTTGGTCTTCCGATGGGCGCAGCTCCAGGCTTGCAGAGTCATCAACAGCGAAATATTGGATCAATGGGAACGTTCGCGCAGAGTCTCGGCGGATCTCAACCCGCAACGCCTTTGGATCTTTCGTACGTATTATCAGCCACACCCAGCCAGGCATGGTTCAAAGGAATAACAAACTGATCCTGGTTGTACCAGGGAATTTCCGTCATTGTCAGGAGCACCGCAACAGAACCAGGCCCAGTCCTCTGCTCAAGCGGTCTGGGCAAATGCAGGACAGCGTGCTACCCAACAAACACCCGTTCAGCGACAGCAACCTCCCTCACGGACCTCTCAGACCCAAACACATTTCGCCCAGCAACAACCTTCCCAAGATGATGTATTCCCTTCCGGCGCCCAATTTGCGAACCGGTTAGATGATTTTCGGAATGGTGGCCAAGGCATTAGTGGCCAGCTAGGGGGCGGTGGGCAGCCGCAGACAGGCAACATTGATGAATTCCCGCCGTTAGGGAGAAATGCAGCAGATATCCCGCCAGGAGGAATTCAAGCTCGACTGAACGATATTGGGCAGGAGCGGAGGGGGTCTGTATTACAGAGTACGGGGTTTGGAAGCTACGGGCCTGGCTTGGCATTTTCAAGTCAGACGCCATCTACGCAAACCCGAAACATCATGTCTTCGACTATGAATGGGCAGGAAAATAATCGGGTGTTGTCACCGGGCTCGTCAGGCTCAGGGGGTACGTTACTATCCATAACCTCCTTGTTTGATCTTATTGAAAGCTCACGAAAGTAGCTATAGGCATGTCAACGTCGAGATCTCCGCAAGGGCCGAATGGCGTTTCCGGCCAGGACAAAGAAGTATGGCCGTCAAAAATCCAACATCGAGCGTTTGTGACAGGTACTAATTATCTCAGGACGCCGATGCCGCTATACATCGAGGCCTTCATTCCGGAACCTTTTCAGAACATGAGAGCAGTCAGGGACAACAGTTGCAACAGCGTCAAGCACAGACTAGCGGTGTGTCCGGGGACAGCCAGGAGCTTTCAAGCTCAGGTCAAACCAGTGATCAACCGCCTCTTTCTCAAATGAGTGAGCTTGACAAGTTTGGACTGGCAGGGTTACTCAGGATGATTCACAGCGAAAGTCCAGATGTGGCGAGTCTCGCGGTTGGACAGGACCTAATGACATTGGGATTAGATCTGAATCAGCCAGAGTAAGTGTTTAAAGTTGCGCAAGTCGAGCAACTTATATGGCTAATTATTTGTGTGTGTAACAGGCCGCTGCATCATTCCTTTGCGTCACCTTTCGTTGCTTCTATGTCTGCCGTACCTCTCGAACAAGACTTTGCAATCCCCGGTTGTTACAATGTTGCAAATGTACAGCCTCTACAGTCTCGTATACCCAGCTTTAGCGACGAGACACTATTCTATATCTTCTATAGCATGCCGCGCGACGTTTTACAAGAGCTCGTTGCCGAAGAATTAATGGGGCGCAAGTGGCGATATCACAAGGTCGAGCGCTGCTGGCTCACGCGAGATGAAACCTATCCTGGCCCCGTTGATGTCGAACGTGGTGTGAGTGAACGTGGTGTCTATCTGTGGTGGGACCCGACGTCCTGGAAGAAGATTCGGGTATGTAGGAACGATGAGACATGTTTACTATCTGTGGAAACTGACGGATTTGGCATTACCAGCGCGAATTCATACTTCGTTACGAAGATCTTGACAACAGACTCGATCCTGGTCGGGGCATACAACGGATTGGGTTTCCCTCCCACGCCTCATAGTGGTGGTGTATTTGATGCTTCGCGTGTTCATGTTCTTCTATTCGGGTAGCATGGGGACGAGCGTTTAGACGTTTGGCAAAATGGCGTTATCACTAGGCACAGGGACTGCCATGGGGCAATGTGGGAACTGCATTCTTCTCTGGTTAATGGTGAAAGTGCCTGGGGTTTGAAGAAGAGAATGCTCGTATTTCGAGTACTGCTTCTCAACTACTATCGATTGTTTGACAAGTAACGTGTAGAGTACGGCATCCCATATCGTAAAGAGATATAGGACGCGTGATGACGTGAAGATACCATTTGCATCCACGATCTCCTTTCCATTTCAGTAGCAATGGTAGAGTGTGTCAGTATGATACTCATATATGATAACTACTAAGGGGGACGGCCCTTGTCTTGACGCGCGGGGCTAAATGCAGCTGCTCGGCTTGCACGTGACCGCTAGGCTTGAATAGGCAAACCATAAACAGCTTTGGCGGGCGGACCAACAACACAAAAGTCCGTCAACACAAAAAGCTGTGAAGATTGTCGCCCAACCCACATTCAACAGCTGCAAGAGCTGCCTCCTTACAGGCGCAAACTACTAATGTTTTGCTGTTTAAGAATTGAATAGGCCTCGAGAGTCTTGCAACCATGAGGATCGTGGAAATCATTATTGACGTAAGTTTTGTGTCGTCGGTGACGGAGTTGGAATTCTGTATTAACCGTCAATCATCAACTACAGGGCTTCAAGTCGTACGCCGTGCGGACGGTCATCTCAGGATGGTATGTTATGCTTCAATCTTGGTTTCGAACAATGTTTTGCGCTGCCTATCGTGTGCGATGTGGACAGTATTTGACATACGCGCGCGGTCGCATGAGGCTGGTTGATAGCTGACACTTATGCGCGCAGGGACGAATCGTTCAATTCCATCACCGGTTTAAACGGTAGTGGAAAGTCGAATATTCTCGATGCCATTTGCTTTGTTCTAGGCATTACAAACATGAGCACCGTGCGAGCGCAGAACCTCCAAGATCTCATTTACAAGCGCGGACAGGCTGGAGTCACCAAAGCTAGCGTTACAATTGTGTTCGACAACCGCGACAAAGATAAATCACCTATTGGCTTTGAGGAATATGGAAGTATATCAGTCACGCGACAAATTGTTCTAGGTGGTACCAGTAAATATCTCATCAACGGTCATCGCGCACAACAGCAGACGGTCCAGAATCTCTTCCAGAGTGTCCAGTTAAACATCAACAACCCGAACTTCTTGATTATGCAAGGTCGTATTACGAAGGTCTTGAACATGAAAGCCGTTGAGATTTTGTCTATGATTGAAGAAGCAGCTGGTACTCGAATGTTTGAGGATAGGAAAGATAAAGCGGCAAAGACGATGGCGAAGAAAGAGATGAAAGTTCGCGAAATTGAAGGACTTCTTAACGAAGAAATTGAGCCTAAGCTCGAAAAGCTGCGCGGTGAAAAACGTGCTTTCCTCGACTTCCAGCAGACACAAAACGATGTTGAGCGTCTGACACGGCTAGTGGTCGCACACGATTATGTGAAGAGCAAAGACCGACTCCAAGTCGCCGGAGAAGAATATGAAGCGAAGAAGCAAAAAATACAGAGTCTTGAAGATAATGCGACCAGGCTAAAGAGTGAAATCACTCATCTCGAGGAAGATGTCAAGCGTGTCAAAGCTGTTCGGGAGAAAGAATTAAGGAAAGGCGGCAAGTTTCAAGCCTTGGAAAATGAAGTCAAGGAATACTCTCATGAATTGGTCCGATTGGCCACGGTCTTTGAGCTTAAAAATTCCAGCATGGCAGAAGAGAAGGAGAAAAGAAAAGCCAGCAAAAAGAATGTCGCCGAGCTTGAGAAGCTCCTCAAAGACAAGAGAAAGATATACGAAAAGCTCCAAGAGCAATACGACACCGCGAAAGCTGAATTTGACGCTCAAACAGCAGAAGTGGAAAAGAAAGAGGAACTACTTCAGACACTGCAGACCGGCATTACATCCAAGGAAGGCCAGGAGAATGGTTACCAGGGACAATTGCAAGACGCCCGTAATCGCGCAAGTGCTGCTGCGACTGAGCAGGAGCAGGCTAAGCTCAAAATTGCGCATCTTGAAAAGAGGATCAAGGAGGAAGAGCCCCGTGCCAAAAAGGCTAAGGAGCAAAACTCGGGTCTTCTCAAGGAATTGGAATCATTGCGAGGACGAGCAAGTAAATTAGAGGCCGAAATGCTCAAGCATGGCTTCGAACCTGGCAAAGAAGAAGAGATCTACCAAGAGCAATCAACTCTTCAACGTTCCATCAGAGAACTCCGAGAAAGAGCAGACGGGATGAACAGGAAAGTTGCTAATATTGACTTTTCTTATTCCGATCCGCATCCAGGCTTTGACCGGTCCAAAGTCAAGGGTCTTGTTGCGCAATTATTCACTCTCGACAAAAACAAGACGGAGGCAGGAACAGCACTTGAGATCTGTGCTGGTGGACGATTATATAACGTGGTTGTTGATTCTGCGGAAACCGGTTCTCAGTTGCTTCAAAAGGGCAAGCTTCGCAAACGTGTCACCATTATTCCATTGAATAAAATCTCAGCTTTCAGGGCTTCAGCCGAGAAGATTGGGGCTGCACAGAATCTGGCACCTGGAAAAGTCGATCTTGCTTTGTCGCTAATTGGATATGATGACGAGGTGTCTGCGGCGATGAACTATGTCTTTGGATCAACACTTATTTGTCAGGACGCGCAAGTTGCCAAAACAGTCACATTCAACCCGAGCGTTAGGTTGAAGAGCGTAACCTTGGAAGGTGATGTATATGATCCTTCCGGAACATTATCTGGTGGCAGCTCGCCGAATTCTAGCGGTGTGCTGGTAGTCCTTCAAAAGCTCCACGAGATTACAAGGGAGTTGAGAAGCAAAGAACGCCAATTGGCCAGTTTGCAAGAAACTATGGCAAAAGAGAAGAGAAAGCTGGATGCTGTCCGAGCATTGAAACAAGAGCTGGATTTGAAAAACCATGAAATCAAGCTGACAGAGGATCAAATCAATAGCAATAGCTCCTCATCGGTGAGCCTCCTCCGCATCCCAGTGGATAGCAATAGAACTGGCGCTAATTCTGAGTAGATTATCCATGCTGTTGAAGAAATGAAGGAGACTATTGAGCAACTGAAGAATGATATTGCCGACGCAAAAGCTCGCCATTCCGAGGCCCAGAAAGAGATCAAGCGGATAGAAAAGGACATGAAGGAATTTGACAACAATAAGGATGACAAACTCGCAGAACTTCAAACGTCTCTAGACGCACTGAAGAAGAGTCTTAGTAAGAATTCTGTTGCCGTCAAGACGCTGCAAAAAGAACTCCAAGCCTCGCGTCTCGAATCTGAGCAGGCTGGCAGCGACCTTTCTGCTGCTGAGGAACAGCTGGCCGAGGCTGATGCTACCATGGAAGCTCAATTGGAGGAGATAGAGTCTCTTAAGAAAGAACAGGCCAGAATCAAGGTAGGAAGATATCGGATTTCCATCAGGATAAGTTTCTGTACTAACGTTGTCTAAGGATTCCCACGACATTGCTCAAGCGCAATTAGAAGAGGAGCAGGCAAAATTAACTAGCTTCGACGATGAATTAGGCGATCTCGAGGAAGCCATTCGTTCAAAGAATGCACGCATAACCGAGGAAGCCCTAGAGATGCAGAAGTTGGGACATCAGCTCGAGAAACTCCACAAAGATCAGCAAGCGGCAGCTCAAATGGTAGCGAATATGGAGGGTGAACACGAGTGGATCGAGGAAGAGAAGGATAGTTTCGGTCGTCCTAACACTCCTTATGATTTCCGCGGACAGAACATTGCAGAGTGCAGATCAACATTGCGCAACTTGACCGAGCGTTTCCAGGGAATGAAGAAAAAGATTAATCCGAAGGTCATGAACATGATTGACAGCGTTGAGAAGAAAGAAGTCGCGCTTAAGAACATGATGAAGACCGTCATTCGGGATAAAAAGAAGATCGAGGAAACCATAATCAACCTGAATGAGTACAAGAAGGAGGCTCTGCACAAGACTTGGAGCAAAGTCAATGGCGACTTTGGCCAAATCTTTGCCGAACTTCTTCCTGGCAGTTTTGCCAAACTCGACCCTCCAGAGGGCAAAGAGATTACGGATGGATTGGAGGTCAAAGTCTCCCTTGGTAAAGTCTGGAAACAAAGTCTCACTGAACTCAGTGGTGGTCAACGGTCAGTTTTTATTTTTCTGCCCGATGATCCTTGTACTAATAGTTATCACAGATCACTCATTGCTTTATCGCTCATTATGGCCCTTCTTCAATTCAAGCCAGCACCAATGTATATCTTGGATGAGGTCGATGCCGCTCTCGATCTGTCCCACACGCAGAACATCGGACGCTTGATCAAGACACGGTTCAAGGGATCCCAGTTCATTGTTGTTTCTCTTAAAGATGGCATGTTCCAGAATGCCAACCGGATTTTCAGGACACGTTTCAGCGAAGGTACAAGTGTGGTGCAAGCATTGACACCGGCTGATTTGAAGTGATTTGTCTTATATACGGATCGTACTTTTACTTGACTGCACCTGTGTGAATTCTCATGCTTCTGTTTTTTCCTTTCCTTCTCATTCCAATATTCTTGGGCATTCGTGGAGTGGGGTGGGTTACTTGGTGTTGGATGGAGGATGTCAAATGTATATGGGACTTTGCATATTCATAATGATTTTATTACTTAGAGTTATGAATGCCTGACGAAAGAAAATTCCGGTTTCTGTTAAATAGTTTGCCAGTTTCCTAATCCGGAATTCAAGACATTTTCTCAAGGATGCGACTTTGAGCATGTCGATAAGGTTTATTGTTGTAGCCTTTGACTTATACACATCCAAGTCTGTGGATATAAGTATCTTTTAATACGGAAAATAGTTAAGTTGAATGGCTGCGTTAAAATAAGCACCTAATTTTGACGTGCCTTACGGAGCACGTGAACACCGACCAAACAGCCGGCCGCCGCCTAAGGCAACGTCGCCACGTCCCGTCGCTATCGCCCCCCGTCTGGATGTCACTGCTGAACGCAGCTCGTGCTGAGAACCACAGGCAACCGTTTCTCCATGACCATTCCACACCATACAGCGCACCGCGAATAGAGGCATATTTCTGTGGCGACTTTCAGATCTTACGCCCTTCCTTGCTGTTTCTCAGTACTTCGTCAGCATTCCACGCGCACACACCCCCTTCGGACATCGGGCCGCAGATAGGATAGGATAGGATAGGATACGACAGCACTGACATCACATTCACAACCCGAACAAAAAATAGAAAAAATGGTGGATGAAGAGCCTTCCATCAACATCCCCTCACTGCTCACGCTCGCAGTTGTCTCTTTCCTCGTTATTCGGTGGTTTCTGAATCGCGATGGCAACAATGCAGCCAATGGCTCTGCCCGTTCACGGGGTCGCATGATTGATCCGGCGCAAGTCGAGCAGATCTCGCAAATGTTTCCGCAGCTTAGTCGACGAGATATCATGTGGGATTTACAAAGAAATGGGGGAAGTGTTGCGGCGACTACTGAGCGTATCCTTACTGGACGAGGCTTGGATACTGTGAGTTTTATTCTTAATGCCGTTCTGCAATGGTCATGGCGGCGCATGGCAGATCTAAACGGTGTGAACTTGGACTGACCCTTTTGACTCTCTTTTTAGCCTCCTCCGTCATATCAACCACAGATCCCACAGCCTCAGAATCCTACGACAACTGCTGCGCCTGCACCTGCCGCAAAGTCGGGAACACCGGACCTCATCTCTCGCTACAATCTTGCCAATCGAGTCTCGGAAGAGCAGGAAGTCGCCACGAAACCAGAAAGTGGCTGGTCACAGAACAAGAGCGAGCGCCAACGATTGCTGCAGAAGCGGAGGGATGATATGATTTTGGCAGCTCGCAGGAAACTCCAGCAAAAGGATCGGGAAACATCACATGCGACTGGCCCTGCCTTTTAGATATTTGTATTCGTGTTCTTTTCCGATGTCCTCGTCCGGAACATGAGTACCTACCATATATTTTGGTCACTGAACGCAATTGCAGGGGTTTAAATATTTGGAGACTTGATATCGACCCGTGGTCAATTGACTCAGACACTCATTCTTGGGCCTTCGTTTAGCATCGTGTACGGCGTCTTGGATCAATAAACATAATCATTTTAAATATGTAGATGCAATGAGACTTCATTTCACTGGGTATTATCACAACGTAGCATAAGCAAGCACCTCGCTAAAAACAAGACATCACCGCCAGCCGTTCTATGCACCAACCACTCAAGAAACGCCCTTAACAAATGCGAACAGAATTAAAAACCACTCCAAAAACCATTTCAGAATTCCATGTCATCATCATCGTCTTGAGTGTAGCCCTGAGTAGGGCCTTCTTCGGCGAGCTGTTCTCTCCGTGCCTGCTCGCGTGATGCACCGATTTTCCTGAGTCCCTCGACGACCCCGGCGACAAATCCTCTCATTTCACCGATTTCCATAGCTCCGACGCCGGTAAGCGAGACTCCGCCTCCACCTACCGCTGCGGTATCGAGAACATCGACGCCCTTTCTCATTTTCGACATGCGCACTTCTCGCAGATCTTTTAGTAATCGCCGTATCTGGTCGGGTTCGGTGAGGTCGTCGCTCGCAGCATCCAAGAGCATATTCCCAACCTCTAGCCAGTGGTATGGAAGCGCAATTTCTTTGTCCGTTTCCGATGTCTCGGATGTTGCCAATGCCGTGTTTTGCGGCAGAAATGGTGGCGTGGGATAGTACCGCTCCCCATCTAGAGTGTATTTTGGTCGCGGAAGAGTTGTCGTTGGTTGCCTCCTGTTGTCGCCGCCGGGCCTAGGTTGGCCTGGTAGCCTCGGCGGCGGAGAGAATGCATCTGTATATTCGTTTGTTTCTGTTTCGAATTGGAGGACTATTTGTAGGCATTCGGGATGGAGCCAGTGCGGCGGAACAATATTCACTCGCCGTTGTCTTTTCAGTAAAATCGCAAGCCATAGAGGGAGTGTTGCGCGCTGCGGTGGTAGTAGTCTCTCTGTAGGACCCTGTATACAGCCGCGTTAGTTTGTTTATCAGCACAGGACTCCTCGCCGATAAAGAATATATCACAGCGCGAGTGAGGAATGTAGATCTCCAAAATCACCCAATTCCGCGGGGGAGTGAGCAGAGAGACGGCGGGGGTGCGACTCCCACTCACAGATAACAACTCAAGCCCTTCTAAGCGCTGTCGAGGCACAACAGTGACCAATTCCATCTCCGAGAGAAATTCGATTTCGGGAGGCGTAATGCCTCGTTGCAGTGGGAAAGCCATCAATGGGCGTGATATTTTTCGCGGAAGTTTGGGGATCAGACGCGTCGGAAGTCGTGTTTGTGTTTTATATGAGCAGCACTGTATCGCAGTGGTTGGAATTGACAGCACGCATGCGATCAGAAGGGGCGCAGATCGGGGTTTATATGATCGAATCCATATTTGCGTTGGAGTCCAGCATCACCATCAACATCAACAACTTGAATAATCTGCGGGGCGAGAATGTGGTGTGTTTGCACAGTTTGCACCGGCCCAGCCAACCGGAGCTTCGGGATCCTTTTCGCTTTAGACCCAGAGCAACGTCTCACATTTTTGTCCTGTGCAGGTCATGCTTTGAAGCCATTGAAAAATTGGAAGGGTTGAAGGCCAATGCGCAGGAGCCGATGTTGTGGTTGTGTTTTGATAGCCAGAGCGAGAACGCATTATCACCATGAGCTCTCCACAGCCTGAGACTGGCTTGACGTTAGCTGGCCGCTACTTGGTGCCATTCGTACTGCTTTCTCTGCTGCTATGGAGGAAGCTCGTAAACGATGTTGTGCAAGAACCCTACCTTGATGAGGTATTTCACGTTGGTCAAGCGCAGGCTTACTGGGGAAACGATTGGTTCCACTGGGACCCAAAAATAACCACACCACCAGGACTATATGTATGGTCGTACATCCTATGCGCTGGTCTCTTGTTGCTCCAAGGATCTCCGAAAGAAGTCGGCGTTACTGAACTTCGCTCTACGAATCTTGCCGCTGCCGGGTTCATACTGCCATGGCGGATTCAGACGCTGTTGGATTTACTGCGAAAAGAACGCAATACCCGGGCCTCAGGGGCCTGGCTGAGTCATACCGTACTGAATATTTGCTTGTTTCCGCCTTTATTCTTCTTCTCAGGTCTCTATTATACCGACCTGCTTGCCGTGCTAGTTGTCATTGAGGCATACATATGGGATACGAAAAGATCAGATTCCAACGGCCTGAAGAAGACAGTGGGTGGTGCCTTACGTGGTCATGCCTCCCTCCAGACCTTTACTTTCCTCGCAATTGGATGCATAGCACTTGTGTTCAGACAGACCAATATCTTCTGGGTATCTGTCTTTATGGGGGGACTTGAAGTGGTTCGCACCATTCGACAGAACACAAAATCCTGCGAGAACACCGGGCCGCTTGATATCATATCAAAGAGCTTTCAGGCAGAATTATACGATCCACTAGTGGCTGAAGCAAGTCTTTTCGGTAAATATTTGCCACGGTACTATATATATGATCATTACTGATATAATGCAGACTATTTCAAGACTAGCTTGTCCCTGGCATGTGCTGCGTTGAGCCAGTTACCTCTCATAGTAGCTTCAATTATCCCACATCTCATCATCCTAGCAGCATTCGGCGCGTTCGTTTTGTGGAATGGTAGCGTTGTCTTAGGACACAAAGAGTTTCACACCGCCAGCATCCATATCCCTCAGATGCTATACATCTGGCCATATTTCATCTTTTTCTCGTGGCCTCTGATTCTGATAGCCGTCATAAACGTTATTATCCCGCGGCGTTTCCTTCCAAAAGTTTTTGATTACCGACTATCCAATCATCGCAGGTTTCCTGGAATCCTCACAGCTCTAGCTGTCACCCCCTTGATGCTGGCGGCCGTACATTTCAACACCATTGTACACCCTTTTACCCTCGCTGACAATCGTCATTATGTTTTCTATGTTTTCCGGCTCTTGACTAGACACCACCCTGCTGTCAAGTACGCCATTGTCCCCATCTATTTCCTGTGTGCATGGGCTGTCCTTGCTTCTTTCGGGTTCTTCTCTACACCTGCACCCAAAGTCAAATTTGCTCCATTGCCAACCGAACAAGACACAGCCCCTGCCCAGCTCGAATCTGAGAAACTAAGCAAAAGGAAAGAAAAAGAAGCAAAAAGACAGCAAAAGAAGCAAGCCTCAAAGCAACAGCCCACCACGAAAAAGACCACCAAATCTATAACTGCCAAAGAAAAAGAGCAACAACAACAACAACCAACCCAGGTACTCACACCCGAGCTCCTAGCCAAGATTCAAGCCCATGTTCTTCAGCGTCAACAACAGCGTGATCAAGAGCAAATCCGCGTCAGTTTTGTTCTTATCTGGCTGGCCGCTACCACGCTTTCACTCATCACGGCTCCTCTCGTCGAACCGAGATATTTCATTATCCCATGGGTATTATGGAGAGTACATCTTCCGCGTCAGCAGACTCCAGAAGTATTCCGGCGACAGCAGCAGCAGTCCGAATCATCTGGCGTAGAGCCATTCAAGGCACAGATTTTCACTGCATTGCCTCAGATTATGGAAACGGTTTGGTTCTTGATCATTAATGCCGTGACCGGGTATGCGTTCTTGTATAAGGGGTTTGAATGGCCACAGGAGCCAGGGATGGTTCAAAGGTTTATGTGGTAGACCAGATATAGAGTAGGGGTGTGTTTTCCGCTTCGTGTATGTATTGATATTTACTTAGTTCAAGGCACATGTATCAGTATTTGATTTTTAAAGCAAAAATTAAAACCTGCAAAGAAAGGAGGGCTGTTTAGACCCTTTCTAAATTGCATAGTTCTTCCACGCATTCGCATCTCCATTATTATCGTTATTCAAGCCCTACATTTGTTTTCAACATCCAGGTTATGACATACACTGCAGCGAGATGATAACACGAAATTTAAATAGTGAACCAAAACAAAATACCTACCAATAAGTAGATGGTACTTCTGGTTTTCACTTCTACTACGCACTATGGTCATTGCGCAGGAGGACAAGTTTCGGCGCCTTCCACGCCGCAACACGGAGAGCTTAATTCAATTCCTGCCATCGAATTGTGAAAGCAGTGGCTGTACTTGCGTTGGTGGGTTGTCATACCAGTATTATGTCCTTTTTTATGAACGTCCTCGAAGCGTTACTGTGTCCGACAACGGTCCCAATATATCGATTCTCATTCGCCCATGTCTGAATGCGAAAGCGTCTACTATATTCAGGTGTATTGTCTCCCTTCGTACCCAAGACCTTGTCAAGCAGGTACCACTCTTGCCCGGCCATCTGTTGAGGCGCGGGATGTTCTGGGTATAGAAGGCGATGGTGTCGCCATTCCTGAAAAGCTGCGTTAATACGGAGGATCAAAGATGGGTGGGAACTATAGAGCTTCAGCAGATTCTTTTCATTTTCTTCTAGATCTCGCAATAGCAAGCGTCCGCTCAAACCTCCATTTGGCGTGACTGTCAACCGATCAGCACTTGAGGATGCTGATTTAGTGTCTCTCAGATCGAACAACGAGGGTGGATATCATGACCATGGTCCCGAGCCGCTAATGGTGATTTGACCGTGATACAAGTGCCACGGTTCTACCTACCCCAGAGACTTCAGAACCGCTTGTGTGATCTCAACCTGGTTGGGAGATGAGTCGAATCCATCACCTATCCAACGGCCTTTGTAGGTCAGCACCAGAGCAGTGATGATCCTGCGGTCTCGTCCCCAGCAGGTATGCCTGGGCCTCATAATATCCAAAAGCTCTTGTGTGGCTGAATCATGGAGTGTCTTCAAAAGCCCTAATTGTATCCCCCCCCCCCCCTATCCCCCTCAATCTTCCGATGACACGCGATACCGCTCGACGTGCTGGGTGAACAAAGGGGTCCCTGGAGTGGGCTAAGATATCCTTGTCAAGATCTTTCAAAACCAAGTCGCCGCTAGAGTCTTGGAAAAGCACTTTGACGGATTTGGAGGCAATGAGTTCAAGAGCAGTCCACCCGCGACTAAACCATGTCGATAGTGCCAGAGCCAGACATGGACTACCGTCTTCTTTCCACGTGAAGTTGACCAACTCCAAATCATGGACAAGTGTATGTTCTGCCCTTGTATAATTCTCATGCATTTTGTTGAGAGCCATTCTCCTCTTATCTTTGTCTGTGGGAACACTGATAGAGTCCCACCAGATTCCATCCCAATCGAGGCGGGCTGCAATATCTGCAAAACGTTTGAAGAGACACATGTTAGAGTCGATGGAGGCAAACTCCCTTGATTCGTGAGCTCTTTTGGACCTCCGGTATCGAGAGAGACCCGAAATCGCCTCCCCAGGCCCTGTCAATCGAATCTGGTGCCACGGGCAAAGGCGAGGCAATTGCAACCCACTCCAGCAGCTGTAAGACGCTAAACAGGAAGGACGGTCCATTACTCCCACGGATCGCCTGCTGTAGGGCGTAGTCCTTGCCCAAGTGGTATGGGCAATAGAGAGATCTGGAGTCAGGTCTGCCCCGCGATTCACGCGCCAAGTCATCCAGAAGGCGTCTGCACCAATTCGCCGCTTCTACGGGAAGATAGGAAGGATCATATTAGTCAAGCAGTAATTCTAGGCAAGAAAGGCGTTGGATTAGACCTCGAGGTCCTAGCAAGAGGAACAAGAACAGCGCGAGCGTCGCTGGTAACAAGAATTACCACCGCCATCTTAGCACTTCTTTGGATTGCGCTTCTGCTCACTGTGGGTGGCTTAAGACGCCATACACGGTGTACGCAACTTGATGTTCTCTGTTTCTCACACCGTCAAACTGACATTTCTGATCGCTAGATCTGTTCGGAATTGGCCTTAGCAGTCTCCAGAATGTCGTTGTCGCAGGGGTGGTCAGAACGCCTAGCGCTATGGGCGTGCATATCAAGAAGGTCTATACGATAACAGGCTCAAGTGTCGCGGAAGTGCTGAGGAAAACACAGCTTAAGCACCCATTTGTAGGGACATCACTGTTGGATATCTTTTTCCCTGGATCTCTGCGTGTTAAGGATGGGGCTAACCTCGAATTCTGAAGGAGCGCCATGGCGACAAGGCTTGCACCAAACAAGTACGGAACACGTCTCGATAATCTAGGGTCATATCCATGAATGGGAAGAGACGGCAAGTGATCTGACACCACTTCGCCACTTTTCTCGAGGACAATTTATCACGCTACGGTCATGTTGAAGATGGTGTAGGATGAAACTCGTGTTCTACAAGATAATATGTAGGCATGAATAATCCTTTTTTTGGCGTAAAAGTGCACATAGGTGTGATGGAATAGCTCCGGGAAGTACCTAGATATGACTTCTCGAGAGGGAGACATAAATGTCGCTAGGTTCGATAATTCTACAGTCCGGATTTGGGACATGGCAGCAGGTGAAAAGGCGACGCGGCACCCTTAGGTTTGAATAAGCAGAATGTATTGAGCTCTAATTTACTGTATCTAATCATCCAAATCCTCCTCGTCAGACGTCTCTGTGTCCCAATCAGTCTCCCATCCTTCCATTGTTGCTAGGCATCTGAAACAATAGTATTCACCCGGCGAGTACTCCCCATTCCACCTTCCATCCTGAAGATAGAAGAAATACTCTAGTGCTTTTAATGGATGTCCCCAGCGCTCGCATTGACGGTGATAAAGCTCATTATGGTCGTCGACACTATCCGAGTCCTCTGTGGAATTAGGTGTTGTTGCTTGAGATTTGTAGGTTTTATCGTTATCCATTTCTCGACACCGACGACAGAGAAAACACACAGATGGATTTTCAGCATCGATAATCCAATTATCTGACTCACCAAGCAGGAAACAAATACATTTTTTGGGTCTGACTCGTTCTTTCAATTCTTCCCACCAAGGTTCAATTAGACGATCATCATCGTGCATTTTATTAAAGCATCGGTGACAAAGAATATTGAGGAAATTATAGCTCAAATGATTTTTCTTAAAAGTTTCAGTTGGTTTCAAAGTGAACAAATCACCAAGTGTATCGTAAGACCGGTTAGCGTGGCCTAGTACCTGTTCGGTTGATGTTTCGCGCTCAATGAATCCGTCCAGATCATGAATCACGGATCTCAGACGTTCATGCCATCGGATGAAAAACTTGGAAAACCATAGTGATATGGACATCGCTGTTTCACCTCTGTGAATTGCATGAATATCTGCTTCTTTGTCCCAAAGAAATTTCAGAATCTCACTTCCAACGTGAGGTCCAAGTACAACTTCATGAATTGGGGGTTCTTCAGGGAGGCCGAAATCATTATAATTGTAGGTTATTGCTTTAGGGTCGAACTCTAGTATCAGTCGAAGACTTTCTTTATCAGAACGCCTAATGGCAAAACCCAGGCAATAACGAATGGCCCCAGCATTGATACAGTCAGTTGATTCTGTGCGAAACATTCGAAGTAGCGTAGATAGCATGTCATGGATAAATCGATGCTCAGATATAGCAGTAATATCTCCGAGTTGCGTCGCAGTAATCAAATTTCAACCATCACTTATCGGCCCATGAAAGTCGATGCAATCTTCGAATAGAAGCACCATATCTACTGCAGCCTTGAAAGTTGAGGGAAAAAATAATGAAGCCGGAGTGCTATACGCATAAAATTGTCAACATGACCCCGAGCTTTGAGAGGAAAATATAGACTCACAAGCATTTCTTGTATAAACTTCTATGCACCAGCGCCATTTTGTCTGCGCCTTGCAAAACCAGAAATTTGGCCAATTCGAAATGACCGCCATGAGTGGCAAACTGCGGAATAGAATAAGATAGGTATTAGAGATATGTCATAGATGTATATTATAAACCGCTTTGTAGATTATGGCTGGCTAGCATAGTAGTGATACTCACATGTAGTGGCCTCCACCCATCGGAATTAACATCCAAGACGGAGGCATCCCCTCTCTCGAAAAGCTCAGAAACAGCAGCTACGTTTCCCGACTTGCAAAATTGAAATATAAGTGCATCGTCCTGCACAGCTCGCACAGGCGATATGCTGTATTGCCAACCTGTTTGCGAATTCATGGTAGTTGCTTCAATTCCATATTTGAGCCCAATTCTAATCATCCATGAAGCCGGGTGAAAAATGAATGACGTTGTTGTTCTATATTGCACGGAGCTTTCACCATAGATCGTGATTGAGCTTTTCACAACCTTCGTCTTACAGATTATCGTACCAAATCTAGTCCTGTGGAACGACGTCTGGTAATCTTCTGTAGTCTGTAAACTTCGAAATGCATTAGGGTTTGCTTTTGGCTGCCTCGGTAACACCTGATACTAGAAATTCTCTGACAATTGGACTCAATAATTTCTTCTTTCGTTGGCGCAGTTCCTCTTCCAGGCATTTTATATGGTGATCCACATTTTCAATGCTGCGGGTACTCGATGAAAACTTCCATTGATATTCAGCTTGTCGGTTTGTTGAGCTGTCAATGGACAGTGATGTATCATTTTGTAGAAATGTATACGGGCTATCCGTACGATTCTCAACGATTGCTGCAATACATGAAGTAGATATGTCAGCGGTAGATAAGACGGGCAGACAGATGTTAAGCATACCTTGGGCCCTCAGAGTTTCAAGACTAGCACCGCGTTCATCTCCATCTACGGAACTTTTAGAAAGGACAATACATACACACCAAGAGAACTGACGCTCCCATACCATTGTGCATGGTCTCCCACAAGACCTCGAGAAACGCTTTGGTGCAAGACGCTGCAGTCGCCGCAGCATACTCCTGCCACATTTTACTTTTGTGGCTATCTGCATAATCACAGACGCCCTTGATGATAATACAACGTAAACTGTCGCATATCCCCACACCCTCCATTTTAAAGCCGATAATTCCTGTCTTTTCAGCCAATTTGTCGCGGTGTTCTCCAGATTTCATTAGGGTGTCTCCGGAGGCAAGGGTACCAAAGTGCATTCGAGGAAATGGATTCCGTCCAGTGAGCCGGTTTCGTTTTATTAGCATTTCAGCGCATCCAAGCTGATTGCTATCACTCTCAAGTGCCTTGCCACAAATTGGGTCCTCGTTGAATTTGCAATCACTGCAGATGCACGTAGTCATCCGGGTTTGATGTTGATGCTTATGGCGATTTGTAGCCTCAAATAATTGATCTTGTGCAGCACCTGGGTATTGCCACCTAGCTTCCCGGCTTTGGAGATGTGAAAGATATTTCAGGTGTCTTTCTTGAAATTGATATTGTAGCCTGCGAGTCTTCAAAGCCGAGAGAAAGCTTCGGATGTCTCGGTCTGCACGGCAAAGCGTTTCCGTAAAATCGTGCTTCGGCTGGAGTCCGTCAGGGTATAGTCTTCCAAAATCATACTCAGCAATTTTGGAACTAATAATGACATCCCCTAGTATGAGCTCGGTGTCTGCTGATGGGAATGGCACACCTCCACAGATTCCGGTCAGTATCGCTAACTCAATCCCAGGAAAACTGACGAGTAGACTCGACGCGACGCTGGCGGCACTTCCTTTCCCCATTTCTGGCAAACATACCAGGACGATGTTGTATTTATCAATTCTTCCTGGTTGGTAGAAATTCATATCCTGTCGTTGTTTCCCATAGACCTCGTAGTGCTCATCCAAGAGAGCTTCGACAGCATCGAATTCCACCGGCAAAGCGCAGACAATCGCGATTTTGAAGTCATTGCGAGATCGAGGGCGCATTCTGAAGACAGTTGGACAAGACTCCTCACAGCCTGATAGGTGAAAAATGGGACTCGCTGCTTTCGGGAAGCTCTGAGACGACTTATTGATAGTCCGCAGGTCTTGGATGGTATCAGACGAATTTCTACCTGAGGTATACAAACGGGATGTGTGTTGGACTGCGCCACGGAATGAGGCCTCTAGTTTTGCTTGTTGGGGTGTGCCTTGTGTCACGTGTGAGTGTCAGGGTCTGCACAGATGATTTGCTGAAGTCTACCTGTGGACGACAAGGCTGAAGTTTTGATGCAGCATTCTGGCTACTCAGCCTCACTGTGACCGACCCCTTTCATTGGATATCAACTAATTTTTCCCTTGCCATTCAAATACATATGACTAGAATTTCTGCTACCTAGGTACTACAGAGTTAGATAATCCCCCTGAAGAGTTCTTGACTCGAGCTCGTTCGTCTGTATATATTTCACATCAATATCGGGATGGCTTCTATAACTACCTAATGAAATCCACACAGAAGTTATCAAAGGCTTGCCAAATAGGAAATTTCTTCAAAGTGTATATGTACGGAAATGAAAGTCTGAGTGTCAAATGAGAGCGAAATTGTACAAGATGTACACATATGTTTGGCATTGCTGATCACATACAATTACCTTCCCAACAAGAGGCCTAGTAAGCATACGTCAGTAGGCTGTAGTAATAAGGATTCGGGCTGCCTACCTACCTAGCGAGGTATATAGCACAAAAAGAAAATATCTCTTCCTATACAATCGAATCGACAGGTCATTCCACTGCCCCTAAATCCTCCAAGATCTTCACACAATCTTCGCGTCCGTCCTCTTTCGCTACTGTAAGTGCAGTATCACCATATTCATCCCGTTGGTTAATGTCCACACCAGCTTGCTCGACCAGGTACTTGATGTATTCTTCATGTCTCTTTTTAGGTATAGTTTTCATGTAATTCGCAAAATTGAATGTTTTATGCCCGATGACAAGCTGAACTGCCAAATGGCGTCCGGCGAAGATCGCATAATTCAACGGAGTATGGTCTTCTGCGTCTGTCAAGTTCGTGTAAATCTTGCTTGACATTTTGTTAACAAAGTTCCAGTCTGCACCAGCATCAAGGAGGATCTCCGCACAGGAGAGACTATCGCGAGGGTCCTCAGATCCAAGATCCAAAGCCAATTGCAGAGCTGTGAGTCCATCACGTGTTGCTTTATTTACATTAACGCCTTGCGCGATGATGTTTCTGAGAATTTCTTCGAGACCGACGGCCGCGGCTAGATATATGTAGTCTTTTGAATAGTCCCTCTTCGTTTCATCGGCATCCTTATATCGAGACCAGATGGATGGCATCTTATGAAGACTGGTTAATCGCATGAACATTGTGGGATCGAGAACCGGATCCCCTAAGCACGTCCAATTGGGAAAATTAATGACATGCGAAGGGTATCTGAAACTCAGAATTCGCTTCATTTTAGCCGGCTCTTTTATGAATATGTAATCAAGCATATTCCAGAGCTCCTCCGGTACCGTTGTGATACTTTGAATATGGCTGTCAAAGTGTCGACCACAGTAACCAAGACACGTGCCCCAAATCATGTCCAATGGTTCCACCTCAGCGAGAAGATGTTGCAGACACATGATAGCCATTTTGGCATTTGCTGCGTCGTTATTTAAAAGCACCTCATGTAATTCAGGTGGATGTTCTGTTCTTGGATTCGTTGCAAATTCTTTCAGAGAGAAGTGAATAGGCCTGACATCGTCCATGCCAAAACGGTTGAGTTGAAGAAGACCATTGGTTAATTTGTTAAGCATGAAACCGTCGTAGGGATTTTTGTCTTCCCCAGCCATTTTGTATTTCAGAGATACTGCGTCAACAAGGGTTTCATTGTCGATAGTTTCCTTTGTGTAAAGTCCCCAAAGGAAACACATCTGTATGAGAGACTTCGTCGTTTGTGGGTAGGAAGTGATCATTCTGCGAAACATCGATAGATACGTATTTTCTAAATCAGTTGGCAGCATTTTCAGTTGTGTCCTAATATCGGGCTCGGCGACTAGTAGTAGATCATTTAGTTGGAGATCGACCCATAAATACCTTGGATATGTCAGTTACAATCTTCTGAAGCAATGAGAAGTCAAGGCATACATTCCATTAGAGTTCTCAATCAATGTCTTTGTGACCTCTTCTCGAAGTTTCGGATTGATATGCCCAAGCTCCGTTGCCACGCGGTATTTAACAAATCTTTCAATATCTTTTTGTGCTGAGTTGTTTTTGGAGCCCAGCCAAAACGCATCAAGACGACGAATTTTGCTTGATATATCAATTTCTTCTCGGCTCGCAAGAAATATTTTCACATTATGGACTTGATCATCGATTTCACAACAGAACTTTAGAATCGGCTTTCGAAATTTCTCGTCGCATTCATCTAAGCCATCAAGGACAACGAACACGCGTCTAAAAAGCATACTGCATTGGAGAAACAAATACCTGAGGTCGTCAAACGTAAAGTGTCGTGCATTCGTCGCGAACTCGCGATAGAGCTTAATTACTGAGTCAGGAAGTTCTTTGAGTTCCCAACATAGCTGTTTCACAAGATTGGACATCATCTGCACCGGCATCAACTGTCTGTTTGTCTCTTCCCCTTTGAAGTAAGTATATATGACTGTGTCATTCGTCAACCTGCTGCGTTGGCTTAAATGATTGATGACCACCGAGCTACTGCTATTAGCATCTCGCACATAAACGTAACCAACTCTTTGTAACTTACGAAAGTATGGATTTGCCAGTTCCAGCTTAGCTATAATGTTAGCTTAACAGCAAGAAACTATAAGCTAAATGGGAACGAACCAGGGCCGAATAACCAAAAGATGTTCGAAGACCGGCTCTTAATCCAATTATTGAAAGCCTCTGTTTCAAGGAGCCATGATCCAGTGTCCTTATATCTTTTATTGCTCATCACATCATGGATTTGCACAATGTTGTCCATGGAGAGCCATTCGAGGAACTCTTGCCTTTCTTTTCCTGTACGGTAGATATCTCTTAGGAGCTTGTCCATCATTCTGATAGTAAAAGTGAAACATACGAGCGTTTAATGAATCTCTTTTCAACATGTTCTCCTCAAGTGCTGAAGTTGACTTTATAATTATCGCGTTGGAAACGATATTCAAATTTTCGGTTTGGCGTTTTAAATTAGACTGTATCTTGCCAAATTGCGCTTCGAACGGAGCCCACTGGACTCTTGCAAAAACAGCAAGAGCATTCGCATCTGCTTCCTATGAGTGCACATTTCATTAAGTATCCAGAAAAGAACCACTCACTTTTCCCCTTATCTTGATCAAGGTAAGCTCGGCGCGCATGTCTGCAGAAGGAGAGTATATTTGTATACATTGAAACCAGAACCTAATAATGTCAGTGTTTCATTCAAGTGTATCTGATTTGATATCCAACCTCATGTAGTCGTGGTTCATTGGACTTGATCTCAGCAAAAGCACGCAGCGCTTTAAGCAGATCTGCAATATCCTCCATCATCTTCGTCAGCTTTTCATAGTATTCAAAATACTTGACTGCTGCCTTATCCTTGAGTTAGCTTAGAGCCACCAATTCTCAGAAAGTCATTACAAACATCGATGACAAGTCGTATCACTCCAAAAACTATGGAGCTGACTTCGGGATAGGCTTGGATTCCAATTGTCGCACCGGCCATCAGTGATTCGACAACTTGCAAAAATGAAAGCGTCCGATCTGCAATTCTTCTGGCGACGGATTGTTCCCGGTGTAATTTGTCGATGTCCTCTATGGCCTGATGGACCTGTAATGAAGATCGAACGTCCTGAAAACTCCATGCTTTTCTTTCGTTCTCGCTGAGATCGTTCCAATGCTGCTTCCATGCTTCTTGAAATGCAGCGTTCTTGGATTTCTCGATAATGGCACCCGTCTGTTCTGTGCCTCCCTCCGAGTTAGAAGGTTCTTCGACTTTCTTGACATTCGCGATATTCTCGGCTGGCTTGACTGTTTCAGCCGTCTGTTCCGGCTGTACCTTCGAATGAGAAGATTCCTCGACTTTTTTGACATTCTCAATCGGCTTGACTGGCTCAGCCGTCTTTTCAGGCAAAGACGCCGGAATCCTGGATTTCTTTTTCTTAAATATCTTCAAAAACTTAGGCATCCCGTTTTTCAAATATAGGTCGATGTGTTGAAAAATACAGAATTATACCGCCCAATGGTATTTATCAAAGAGATTTGACCTTGAAAGTCGAATCAACCGCCCAGATGCTTGGGACACATATAAGTACGCTGCGGCCGACAAGGCTCGCACAGCCGAGCGCCATGGTTTCATGTTTGCAGGGCAGTGCAAGCGCATGGTTAGTGAGTGGTCGAAACGGGGCTGACTGGCGTGCAAAGTGAGCATGCAATTGGCTTAGATGAAGCGTTGGATGCAGGGTGTTGGCGGCGCTGCTGGAGGGTTGCAGACGCCGACAGCCAATGGCCTGGAAGGAAGGCGCAACAGTGCTGCTTCCCGCGTCAAGCAGCACAACATCGTTTTGTCCGTCATCTTTACATCTGCAAAACAACTCATCTAGCATGTACCATTCGGCGAAGAAAAGAAAGCTTTCGAACAATGAAGACGTTGAGGATAATGTCCCCGAAACAAACAGAACCACCCTTGCATCCTTGAGCAGGTCCGTCACTCCGCCATTGACTACCCGCGCCAGGCCGTTTTCTCCCCGACAGCAGGACAAAAAGCCGTCCATAGACGCTGCCTCTAGAGTCAAGCAAGACCATGCAGTCGATATTGGAAAGCAGCCTGAATTGATTGAGCGAAAACGCCACGTCATCCCATCACCTATACAGCTTACACATATCCGAGATCTTCCTTCAGGCAATAATGTTGACACGGTCCAGTTACACGACATCCTGGGGGATCCCATGATCCGGGAATGCTGGCAGTTTAATTATTGTTTTGACATCGACTTCCTCATGAGTCAATTTGATCAGGATGTGAGAGATCTTGTACAAGTGAAAATAGTCCACGGCTCGTGGAAACAAGATTCTGCAAATCGGATACGAATAGATGTACGGCTAACAAGTCATTTCCAAGTATGAATGTCGCGCCTAACTAGATCCAGGAAGCTTGTTCTCGTTATCCAAATGTTGAGCCTATTGTTGCGTATATGCCAGAGCCTTTCGGTACCCATCATTCAAAAATGATGATTCTTCTTCGGCATGATGACCTTGCTCAGTATGGCCCCCAGCCCCGTGATATGGCTTGTCCTCTAACTATAATACAGGGTTGTTATCCACACTGCTAATATTCTCGCTGGAGATTGGGCAAATATGTCTCAGGCTGTTTGGCGGTCGCCACTTCTCCCACTAGCTCTGACGCAACACGACCTTGATGCAGAAGTTGAAGTATTCGGAACCGGCGATAGATTCAAACGTGATTTATTGGCTTATCTCGATTTTTACGGTAGGAAAAAGACGGGCGTATTAGTAGATCAACTTCGGAAGCATGACTTCAAAACAGTTCGTGCTGCTTTGATAGCCAGCGTGCCATCAAGAGAGAAACTCAGTCGTGCGGATTCATCCAAGTCAACGCTATGGGGTTGGCTTGCTTTGAAAGACGCTCTACGACAGATTCCACTGCGAAATGTTTCTCACGGAAAATTTTCCCATATTATTATACAAGTATTTATTCAATCCACCGCAGAAGCCTTCTCCGAATGCTAATTTGTTTAGGTCTCCTCGATTGCCTCTTTGGGGCAAACAGACAAATGGCTAAAGGATGTATTCTTCGATAGCCTTTGTCCTTCATCTTACGTTTCTAACAGAACTAAGACTAAGAAGCCGAGGTACTCTATAGTCTTTCCCACACCTGACGAAATTCGAAGATCCCTGGATGGGTATGGATCAGGAGGATCGATTCACATGAAGTTACAAAGCGTCACGCAACAAAAGCAGCTTCAATATATGCGCCCTTACTTGTGTCAATGGGCTGGAGACAAAGATTATCTCACCACAAGAGCAGGTTGCCTAGATTCTTCTAACATCGAAGGACTTCGGACTCAGCCGAAGAAAGAGGCAGGACGTCGTCGTGCTGCACCGCATATTAAGACTTATATACGGTTCTCTGACGAGACAGCAATGGATTGTATTGACTGGGCTATGATAACTTCTGCTAACTTATCTAAGCAAGCTTGGGGTGCTGCACCCAATTCAGCAGGAGAAGTACGAATTTGCAGTTGGGAAATTGGAGTTCTTGTGTGGCCGGAAGTAATTGTTGGAGAAACGCGCAGAAAAGACGTTGCTAAGCAAGCAACTATGGTACCTTGTTTCAAGAGAGACCTGCCAGATTCAACTCTTCTTAGGGATGATAGTTCGGTTGTGGGAATCCGGATGCCTTACGATTTACCTTTGACAGCCTACGGTGACGACGATGTACCTTGGTGTGCCACGATAAGCCATGCAGAACCGGACTGGTTAGGTCAGACCTGGGAGACGTAATTTTCTATTGCATGATGGAAGCTACAACAAACAACAAGGAAACACCACACCAATGTCTCTTCCCGTGAATAAGCTCATATATAGACAATGTTGCTCCTGTAAATTAAGCACCACATAGGTTCTTATTTTCCTCTTGACTTCTTGTAAGGCGACCTCACTCGTGCATACTAAATCCTTCAATGGGAGGTGAGCCTTGCAGGCCCTACTAATTTTCGTCTTCCCACACGTCTTCCCTTTCTTCCTTCTTCGCTTCCTCATCATTTTCCTTCGCTTCTTCTTTTCCTTCAGCCTCCGGCTCATTCTTTTTCTCTACTTTTGGCGGTTCAAAGCCATATTCATTCTTGAATGATTCGACAAGATCGATATAATTGAGTTGCGCTTCTTCGACAGAGAGGTGGCTGAATTTCTTCCATTCGTTATATTTCATTTTATCCTATACATGGAATTAAAATCATTTGTGAGTGAGAAAGACATAAGCAACGACAGATCAGGCGGAAAGACTGAATAGCGAAAAGAAGAGGTATTTTTTAATATCTCACCTTGAAATTAAGACTAAAAGCGCTTGGTTTTGGGGCTTTGCTAAAATCAAATCCAGAACCTTGCTTGTATAGGCCATAGAGCTGCGAGGAAAAGTAAATAGAATATTCCAAACAGTGGTTTCAAAGAACACCCGTTTCCCTCTCGTTGTCAACATACCTTGAGTTTTTGCAAGTCGTCTGGCTCGGTCTTTAACATTAGGGACTCAGCAGAAGCCCTTTTGAATCTCTGCTCTCTTGTCTCCATGGTGTTGATATCCGTAATTAGTCTCGACGAGGATATAGCACGTATATTTCAATCAATATAATCCGTAGCGAGGATAGTACGAGGAGCTGTTTGTCATACACAATATAAACATATTCGTTAGCCAGTGTTTCACCACATCAGATAATAAGTGACACATAATTAGACGAAAATAAGCTTATCTCATTTCACTCATCCCATCTAATCTCATCTCATTCGTCCCATCCATTCATAGGACAGGACAGCAGCAAAGAAGACAACTCACCTAATGAAACGACCTTCAATAAGACGATACGGATCCGACCTGGAGGAAACGACGAATCGGAGAAAGTATGTATACACGCCTAACTCTGAAGCACGCGGGGGACAGTGTGGGCTTTTATTTATTGAGGGGGAAGCCAAACTTAAGCAGCACAAGTGGATTTTGGCCCTTCGCAAACGACGTAATAATCCATAAATTACATTATACATTGCCGTATCCGGCTAGCCTGAAGAATAATGCAGGCAGCATGACCATACAATGGTATTGTCCATACCCAGACGGGCAACTGGAGTGGGGGCTAGGGAGCTGATCTGCCAATCAGGATGGCTCTGCTGCTGTTCCCAACGGTTTTTGGGTGGTTTTTTTCTCAGGCCGGGTTGGGATGAAATACATCACATCGCCAAAACCAGAGCCTGAGGTGTCCGTCCAGGTCACATGCACTCTGTGATCATTTGATCATTTGATATCAATACACCTTCTCAACCGTCAACAGTCAATACAATCGCTATGTACAAATACGAATATAGTATGGAATCCAACGCCAGTTCACATGCTTCCGGTATAGATAAGAGAATCGAAAACGGAAAGAGAAAGAAAAATAATAATCAATAGTCAACAGCCCAGCCGTTCTTGGTCAGGAATTCTTCACATGCTGCCTTGAGTGCAAAGTTTGGTCGCAGGTCCTTAACGGTCATGGGTGCGCGAGTCACCGGGTCAACGCGCGACTGCTCGAGGTATTTCGTGATGCCAATGCGGTCGAAGCTGTGGCCTGACACGGTCATGACGGGGTCGTGCATGACTTCGAAGGTGATGTTGTCGATGAGATAGTCGGGGACGACCTGCAATCCTCCAGTCAGTCAGACCTCAACCATGAGTGTCGCATAGAAGCCAAAAAAAAAAGAAGAAAAAAAAAAAAAAACGCACCCGCTCCTCAATCCTCGCATCCGAGGCACTCTTAAAAGCTTCCCGGACGTGCCTAATTTTCTTCTCTGCCTCCGCGCGTAGCGCCTTCTGATCCTCATTGAACCCAATCTCCCCAATTTCCCCTTTCTCCAACTGCGCCTTCAAATCGCCCAATTCCCGCTCCAAATCAGCCTCAATCAGCCCCTCAACACTAGCCAGCGTATCATCCATCTCTCTAAGCCTTGCCGTCTCCTTTGCGGCCCAGATTTGCTGTTTGGAGCGCAGCACAATCTTCGAGAGGTTCTCTGTTTGCGCGTTCATCGCGCTGAGGCTCAATCTGTAGGCATCAATGGCGACGTCGTAGGCTTCTTGCGGCCGTTGAAGTTCTAGGAGGGCTTGCGACAGGTAATATGAGCCCTTGAGGCTGGCGGTGGCTTTGGGTCCCCCGTTTAAATCGATGGCGATGCGGGAGTCGTGTTCGGCGCCGGCCCATTTTTCGAGGCGGAGGCGCGTGACGGCGCGGTTGGTGAAGAAGCTGGGTTCTTTGGGGTTCATTTGGATGCTATTCGTTTATCGCGTCAATTTTATGTTTTGTATGCGTGATTGTACTTGAAAGTCAAGTGGACTCACGCTTGAGAGTACATCTCCTCCGCACCAGCATAGTCGGCATCCTTGAAGAGCTGGTTGCCCTTTTCCTTGAAACCGAACGACATGGCGAATGAAGTATTTCCACTGGTAGCGTGGCTGGTAGATAGGACTTGTCGTGGGCTACAGTACAGATTGGTCGATTAATTATCGGGAGGAACTTCGCGGGGGCGTGGTGTAATCAGCGAGCTTCGACAACAAACAAATAGCAAACGAAGAGAAAAGAGCGTATCATCCTAAACGGATACCAGACAAGCCTGCTCAGCACAGCATGGTGGACGTGGCTGTCTTTGAGCTATAGCGACCTGTTTGTTCGCACATAACAAAAGTATCGAAAGGCGTGGATCCCCGCAGAACGTTTCGACATCCGCGTCTGACTAATGAGCTGTCTGTCTCACAGAGTTTGCTCGCTGTTTCATGTTGACATGCCAGATATACAATTATACAATATTTTGTTGGTGCAATATTCTCGGATGCTGGTCAAAGTGAGTATGTTTAAATGCTGACAGCGCAGACTGTGTACACCGCTGCTGAGTGCTGGCCTCAAGTATACAAGAACTGACCAATAAGAATCAGCCGTTCTAGAGTAGGTATGCAGAACAATGCTGTACAAAGGATATACTCATATTAGACGAACTCCAGGCACTACTAGTGCCTGTTCATTCAGATCTATCCTAAAGATATCATGTAATAAAGACAAACGAAATGTCTTGTACGTGGCACAGCACATACAGAACGATGGGCCTAAAATGTACCAGAATTAAGAACCATCCCCCCTCCCCTTTAAACAAACCTTGCATAATACGCTATCATCAAGCACATCAAGTGTCATTCCAATTCAAGACAAAAGATCGAGGCGTGTCGTGCGCAGGGTGGAGGGTGTCGTTGAGAGGCAAAGTTCGAATAGAGAGAATACCATCAAAGCAACCATTCGGAATGTTCCCAGCCAATCCGCCGACAGAGGCTAATATCCTTCTTTTTTTTGTTTGTCGTATATGTCCAAGAGAAAACACGAAAAAGAGAAATGTCGACGAGTTCCAATAAATCTAAGCGCTGAGCTTCCGCTCATATTCATTGATAGCCTGCACCTTGGCCGCCGAGCTACTCTGTGGATCGAAGCGGTACGTGAGCCAGTCGAGGGCGAGCTTCTTGGCCAGCTCAATGCCAATCACGCGCTGGCCGAAGCAGAGCACCTGGGCGTCGTTGCTGAGGATGGAGCGTTCGACGGAGAAAGGGTCGTGGGCAGTCACGGCGCGAATGCCGGGCACTTTGTTGGCGGAAATGGCCACGCCTAGCCCCGTTCCGCAAACGAACAGCCCGCGGTCCGCTTTGCCCTCCGCAATCAACTGCGCCGCCTCCACGGCTGGGTGAGGGTACGCCGTCTTGTCGCCGGTCGAGGTCACACCCACGTCAACTACGGACTCGACGAGGGGACTCTTCTCGAGGACTTCCTTGAGTGCGAGCTTGTAGTCCACGCCGGCGTCGTCGCCGGCCATGACGATGCGGAGAGGCTTGAGATCGGAACCCATTTTGTTTGCTTGTAGGTAAAGGATTCAAAGCAAGTGAAGCTATTGCCTGTTGGAGTGTGTGACAGAAGAAACTAAGAAAAAAAAAGTAGCGGCCCTCTAGACCTTATATATATATATATACATATATAGAGAGAGCTACCTAGCACAGGTACACATCAGCGCCCCCTCCCCCCTCGTGTCTTGGTGTGGAAACGCCCCGTGTTCCCCCATACGTTTCCCTACTCCACAGCCCAGTTCGCCGTGGAGAAACCCATCAAAAAGTGGAATTGACCTTGCCGGGATCCTGGAGAGAGTCCTACTCCTTCGTTGTAGCATGTCGAGCGTAGAAGTAAGTAGTAGTATCTCCGTATCCCTGTCCATGTCACTGATTCACAACTCTGACTCGAGCGGTGTACAGGGCGCCGGATTCTGGCGTCTGCTGGCGTCATAAAGCATCGTTAGTTGCGTGGGATGCTCCACAGCCTGTTTTTGTCCAGCTCTTATACTGAGCTTCTTAAGCCCGTGAGCCAGGAAGTGAGCATATTACCAGTCATTATACCAATGAAAATTCGCCTCCATCCCTGCTCCCTTAGCAGGATCTGCCGGATCCAGTCCGTGAGAACCCGTCAATGCATGTGATATTTGCTGTTGCATGATGGGAGCAAATATACTGACTGGCTGGCTTTTTCTATATCTGTGATTGTATTGTATTGTACCATGCAAAGTGACGCCATTGCGGCATTTCCCAATGTGGATCTTCCGGGTGGTATTTCGTGTCACCTGACGGTATCACCGCAAACCAGGCCTGGGCGCTTTCATAGATCCAGCAAATGAGCGTGAAAGGAGGATATGGGTTATTTTAAATATATCAGTGCGAATTGTAAAAAGTGTGTTTATAATACAATAGATATTAATTATTTAAATAATAGAATGAAATTATGAATGTGGCATGTCTACATACATATGTGCCCGTAATCCAAGGCACGAAATTTAAATACTCTCTAGACTACGCCCAGATAGGCTTTTCCGGGCCTGAGTATATGCGCTTGTTATTCGATACTTCCACCTTTATTCGGAGTCAAAATTCTATACAAACAAGACACTCTGGATAGGGATTCTTCTGCCACCACATCCATACAAATAGCTTAACAGCTAGAATATAGCACGACGACCGACAGAAACGGGGTCGATTGTCTCCCGCCCTGAAAAAGCGGGCCTGAAATTCTAGGCTGTCCCCACGGAGGAGTACATGGAGTAACCCCGCCATCTGTCTGCCCGCGGGTTTTTTATAACAAATCAATTAATTAATATCATTTAATATCACATATCCTCGTTTGTTTCTCAATTGGTGACATTCCTTTGTTTCCCTCGGTCTAATTACCTAGATACATGACATCATTGCTGGTACTTTTCCGACCGTTTATACTAGGATTTTTGATACACCAGCTCTCAGACGGCCCTTTGTACCAATCAAAAGAAAAAGGAGGAAAATGGCAGACACAGTCTCATACCCGGTTCTGCCGCAGAAGCTTTTGATTATCTCTCTGAAAATGTACTTTACCCCATCCCGCACATTGCAGTATCTCCGAGACCTGCTCGACCCCAAGAATGAGATTGTTCTCGCCAAGAACCGCTCCAAACTGCTCCTAGCGCTGATCCCTGATTTCTTGACGGTGTATCCATCTGCGGAAATCATTCGCGAATGGGAGTCGAAGTTGCCTAAGGGCGACGATGATGATGATGATCATCATCTTGCAGAAAAGAAACTGCCGCCGCCGTTTTTGCTGGGTGCTCAGGACGCCTTTTGGGAAGATCTAGGCGCTTATACTGGCGAGGTATCGCCCTTGGCTCTGCGGGAAATTGGCGCTTCGATTGTTGAGTTGGGACATGCGGAGCGACGCGCCATCTTTGGGGAGACGGATGAAGTCACGGGCAAAAAGGCGGCGGCTGCCTCCAAGCAAGGCCTGATTCCGCTCGTATGTATTGGCGAGTTGAGTGCTCCTGGTCCGGTTGCGTCTGAGGCCGTGGGCCGCGCGGTTGGCGAATGTGAGGCGCAGGTTCAGGCTGTCCTGAAGGCCCTTCCGGCTCATGCTCCTGTGATCTTTGCCTATGAGCCTGTCTGGGCTATCGGGAAGCCGCAGCCTGCAGGCGTCGACCATGTTTCGGCCGTCGTAGATGGTATACGTGCGGTGATTGGGAAGCGGGATGGCGATGTCAGGGTGTTATATGGCGGTAGTGCCGGCCCTGGTCTTTGGAGTCAGGGTGGACTGGGCAAAGCTGTCGACGGCATGTTCTTGGGCCGTTTTGCTCACCAGGTCGAAGGCGTTAGGAAGGTTGTCAGAGAAGTCGAGGAGACTCTCTCGTAGCAGGCAATTCTTCACCGCTGAGCCTTGACGCAACAATTATGTTGCTGCTCGAGGAGGGGGGGAATAAAAAAAGATGGATGGAGAACAGGCTACACGACTGATGAAAACATAATATCTAATAATGAATAGAATACATAAACACTCAATTTACATCTAGATGCATGAACTCACGTCTATATATTCCTTTCCTCTCGAAGTTCGTTTTTCACTCGCGTGACGGTGCCTGTTCCGCCATACGTGATAGCCGTGTACATCATGGCGACAGACGCACCGGCGTCGAGAACAGCTTGAGCCTGCTTTCCATTGGTGATGCCACCTGATGCAAAGATAGTTTTGGGTGACTCGCCATTACCCAGTTTCTCCTTGTAGCGAGATACTAATGCCACAGTACGCTCGAAGAGCTGTGGACCAGAGTAGCCTCCAGTCTCAGTCAGCGTCTGCTCTTCCTTTTGTGGAAGCACAAATCCCTTGGGTAGCGGTCTGGGCCGTCTGTTTGTTGTGTTGCCGACAATGACACCATCCACGCCAGACTCGCGGACAGCGTGGCAGATACCGTCAACTTGTTCTTCGGAATCTTCGTCGGGGCTCACTTTGACCATAACAAATGGCTTTGTCTTGCGGTCAATTCGCTTGGCAGCTCCCACCACGCCTTTGAGAATTTCTGTCAATGGGCCCGCTGCTTGAAGACCTCGCAAACCCGGTGTATTGGGACTTGACACATTCACTACCATGATATCTGCGTACGGGGCGAGTCGATCGACACAATACACATAGTCATTCGTGACAGCAGCAATGTCCGTCTCGGGCGTAACTTTATTTTTCGCGACTTGAACCGCAAGCAGTTTTCCCTCAGTCAAACTCCCCGGCGGCACACCAGCTTCGCCATTCAGCACACGCTCTTCGGCGGCTTCATGATACCCAAAGCCGTTCGCAGAGGCAAACGCACGAACTCGTTGTCTCAAGACCTCAGCCATGTGGTCGGCACCCTTTGAATTCAGACCATAACGATTGATCATTCCTGATTGCGAGACAATTCTAAATACTCGAGGCTTGGGGTTTCCGTCCTGAGGCAAAGGAGTAGTTCCACCGACTTCTACAACCGCAGGTCCCAGCGCAAACAGCGGGTCAGGAATATCTGCATGCTTGTCCAACCCACCCGAGATCCCAATGGGGTTGGAGAGCGTGTATCCAAAGACCTATTCGTGGGTATCTCATGTCAGATATGAGCGTAGATGGTGCGAAAAAAAAATAAAAAGTTTCATTTTTACCTCTGTGGCTAATTTCCCATCTTCATCCGGAGAACTGCGCTCTCGCGGATGCAAGCCCAGTTTATAAAGCTCCTTGAGCGCGATAACACCAGTGTGATGAGCATCCTCCGCGTCCGGATACAGCCAACGTACAAGCGGGACAGCGACGTATCTGTGAGCGCTGGATCGAGTATCTGTGAGGTAAAAATATCCACCCAGGAGAACCAAAGCTAGCGAACTGCGGAAGACATATTTGTTTAATGGCTTGTTCTTCTTCTTTGTAGGCTTGACGAGTGGTTCTGAGCTTGTCGACGCGAATCTTCTGCTGAGGCATGGTGCGACCCCATACGTTTGTTGCAGACGAACCGTTCGCGTCGAGGACGTGATACCCTTCAATTGATGCATGCGAGGGCTGAAATTGAAGCCTGTCGCCATCTCTGCGTTGAAAGCGGTTTGTATTCGTTGCTCTTCAGCTTTGTTACAATCACTAGGCGCTACATATTAACATGTGGTTAGCACCTTGGATGTTTGCTGTTGAAATGCCTGCAAGATGCTTACCTGCGACTTCGAAGATTCAATTGATATCCGCAAATAAGGTTCTACGGCCGGCAATCATCCATAGTGCCAATTGGCTCGGGGATACTCGTAGAACCAAATTTTTGAAGCCTTTCACTCGAGTTCAACGCGAGGAACGAATGCAGCTACGTAAATGTGGGATATGCGAAAAGGCGGTAATGATTCTGCCAAAAGCTTTCATTTTCTACTGTGACCAATCAGATCCACGCATTCCAGTTATATCTAGAAATCATATAAATGGGCTGAAACAATTAAGTCACAAATTAGTGGCTCATAATAAGCTGTCATGTATAAGTTGGGTCGGTACAGAGCAACCTGAGTAAGGAAATAAGAACAAAAGCCATCCAATTCCCTTAGCAAATCACGAAAGGTAACACAGCCTACTTCTTGCTTCTTGACAGCATGGAAGGCCGATGTCTCAAAATATGGGCAGGTGTTAGCTGAACTCTATTAGTTTACTCAGGTCACATAGACTCCTAGTATTTAATAAGATAGGGTGCATGTGTGTTACAATCAGAGTTCAATAGACCACTGATGGTTTAAAGCCTCAACTCTTGAGTCTCCAAACTTTGATAATATGGCATCGATTCGGACACAAACCCAAACAGGCTAGATGATTCAGAAGTATGAAAGCTCCGTTTCAAGGTTGGGTCTGAGGTCGATGACCATCTATGCCCTCCTGTAATGTGATGATCATAGATGTACTTATGAGATGTTGATCTGAAATTTTGTTGTATTGTGAGACCGAGATCTTAGTAAGTTACTCTTGAACATGGGCAAGTAATCGTCATAGAATGAACACGGAAAGTGTTCTGTTGATAATAACAAAATCAGCTCACTAAAGAGGAAAATCTCGGATTCATACGCCAAGAGTAGCAGCCAGATCAACATCTATCTACTCTGTAAGCAAGAGCCGTGAACAGAACATGTCGCGCCATGTCACTGTTCTAAAAATCAAAGGCGGCTACCTAACCAAGTAATCAGCAAGTTAGCAACCAACAACAAATGGAATCTTCCTTGGTAGACCTACAAAGCTAGAGAGTAACACGACCTGTAACCCATTGAGAAAATACACTTTATAGATTTTCTTATAAGCGAGCTCTTGGCTACATTCGGAGATGCATGCCTACTTACGTACATACAATCGCATTTCCCAAGGGTTCGTGCTATGCGTCCACATGGACTTATTGGATTCTTTGGAAACCCGTGGTCATCTGTACCACCGTGTGTGACCATCGTGGCCTTGAGCCGTGTTGCAATAGTACAACATACAGCTTACAGAGTATTATGCAGGAAAATAGTAGATTAACAACTGACATACGTACGTAGACATGGGGGTTATATGGGCAGGTAGACACGATCAATATGCACACAAAGGCCAGGTATTTATGTATTACTTACGCGAAACTTGTATTTTCTTTGCTCTTCTTCAACCTACTACAAAAAGCCCTATGTAGACCCTTAGCTCATTCACTGCTTTGATATTCTATTAACCGGTTTAGGAAAGTACACAATTTTGCACAGATACAAAGTCTTTAGGATTATCCATTGTAGGCCAAACAGACTAGCAAATATTGTAATGAGCACCCATCCCTTTGTTTTCTTTCTTTTCATTCGTATGCCGATATAAGAGTTGATTGGTCGAAAAGAAGCGGTGGACTACTCAATACGGTCCAGCCACATTGAAGATTTTTTCAGGGCTGGTTTATTCTCAAATCCTATTGCCTATTACAGAACATCTAGTGCTGTCAAACAAAATAAAGCAAGAAAAGCCATTACACAAAAATGGTTCCGACTGAGCACATGTTTCTTGCTCGTGTGGCACAATAGGCAGTCCCGAGGTCGTCTGTACCTTAGTTGCTTAGTATGTACATAGGTAGTGTACTTTTAAATGAATAGTAGATTTAACCAATTTTGATATATGCCATGTTTCTACCGATACTAGTTAATAGTAGTTGTAATGTATTCAAACCCGCTTCTGCAAGTGTATTGCACGGACTCGGATTCGCATTGACCAAGATCTTGTTTAACGATAATCTTCCGAGACAAGCGTAGCGCTAATTAAATGAAAGTGAAACTTGACACTCTGTAGAGATAGAGTATTAGGCACACAGAGTTCAGCAAAGCGAGCAAGGGAATCCATGTCGTAGACAACATGACCAGCGTGAGCGCAGCTGTCAAACAAACAGGTGCAGGTGATTGAAGCTCCTAACAACCTTGCAAAATAATTCGATACATTGCATGAAAAAAAAAAGATTTATGTGCGTATGTAGCATGCATTCACGCATGGGAGATTGACGTGTCTGGTTGCATGATATCACAACACGAACAACCCATGTTCAGTTGTTACCTTGCTACATTATTCTTTTCGTTCTGATCCAACCGAGCAAGTAAGAGAAAAATAAATAAAAAAGATAAACAAGAAAAAGGGGTAAATATTTTCACCCCCAGTGCTACACTTGACATGTCTTACTTGACTTGCATAACAATTGCATATAGTCATTATCCAAATCAAGCGATCCACTACCCTGTGCAAGACGAGTTTTGCTCCAACTTTCTGCGTCAATGTCGACTCCGTACATCTATCAACCTATATATTGACAGCAGCGTTCATGCTCTTGTTGCTTCAAGAATTAAACACGTCGACAATGTCATAAAGATTTCTGGCGATGTCTCTTCCCTGTCTTGAGTAGATCCATGTCACGTCGCAGATCGGCTAGCGGCTATTCTCTTGGATAATATCCAATGGCTAAATAGATTAGCACATAGTTAACTTATATTAGGCTATTTTAATACGTCATGTACATCGATTTAGACCCTCATCGTCACATAATTTTTCCTACAATCAATGCGGAATGCGGTGAAGCTAACTTTAATTCTTAAAACCGTATCAGGCGATCAGAAAGGAGAGAAGAAGAATAAGAGGCGCGGTAACTGCGACAATCGTTTAAGTGCATAACTTAGTCTAGACATGTGCAGGCACGCCTATAACAAGTTGATTAAGATAGGAGGAAGAACGCCACAGTCGAAAGGAAAATTGACATATTTTCCCTGCCATAAAAGTGTAAAATGCATGGTTTTCTTAAAAAAACGCCGAGGTTCAAGAAGGAAAGATTTTCCTAGTGTCGAATCCAAATGATGTCGTTCTCTTTTATTTTCTCCGAGGATTTGACAAATAGCACCCTGGCCTATCATCGACTATACGACGGTGAATGACACATTCTGTTCACTAATCAAAGCAGATCCATGAAGGATGCCTAGAAAATAGTCAGATATTCACCTTTCTTGATTCCAATCAGACATATCAGATTGCAATAGTATAAGGGACCGGAATAGGTTTGAACTCTGTACACCAGGAATCGAGCATGTACCAGATTTAAGCAAGAAAAGATAAGACCCACAGCACTTCCTGGTGCGAATCTTGTTTCAAATCTTGTTTTTCAGAGATCTTGGTGGCACGGCATGTGAAGATTATAAGATCTCAGGCGAGTTACGTCCGTCGATATTACTCCGAAAATATCTAAAATATCTCTAGAATATAGACAGAGTACGGGGTACTCCGTAGATAGTACTAGCAAGATAGCACTAGTCAAGTAAAGTAGGAATAGACTCAGAACTATCGAGTCTTCACCGACCTTTGCATAACCCTCAGGCCCAGATCTGGGAATCTGAAGAATGAATCGAAGCTATTCTAGTTAAGACATAGTCTAACAACCATACTTAAATTTCAAGCCACTAACGACGAAGTTAAGGCATGCTCTAGTCCTCAACCCAACGAGCCAGTTTCAAGGAAGCTCGTACGGAGATCTCGGTATAAAAAAGACAGCATAATCTGTTTTCTTTTTCCCTATATTTTTCCAAATTTTATACGTTAGCATGCATATCGCCTCAAATATATAAATAGAAAGTTTTAATGTCAAGTAATATAATTCGTCGATGATATATGCCCTTCTGTCAGCAGTTCAGCTTATAGATTCACCTAGGGCTGGACCCATGCTAGGCCTAGCCAGGGACCGTGACCTGACTAACTTCCCGATTGGGCTACAACCAATCGGAGGCTCAGGCATTGATTGAAAGAATGCAATGCATTCCATTTCGTACTGGTCCCAGACTATGCAGAACTGGCAGCAGCACTGCAGTACGTATGAAGTAGTGGGCTTGAAATTCGTTTTCTTTCTTGCTTACTTTTTCCAAAAAAAAAAAGGAGAGAAAATAGCAGAGCAGAGAAAAAAGACATGATTTTATTTCGTCTAGCTCTGCATACGCATGGGTTTTACTTTTTTTGAAAAAACTAATTAACTACGTGTGGACTAGTGTGGCTGTGGTAGGGAAGACACGTCCCAATTTTTTGGGTTCATCCCGCGCTCAGCAGCACGGACACACCGACTGTCAGTTAGTAGATACAAAGTTGGATTTGGCAGGATACAACTTACATCAAATAATTGCTGCCTGTTGATTGGCCATATAAACTGCAACGGGTGCCGTGTGATGGGTGCTAATGTGGGCGCAGGAAAGTAAGCATACTCCGTAGATGAAAACCAAAAAAAAAAAAAAAAAAAAAAAAAAAAAAAAAAAACAAACGAGGAAAAGGAGAGAAATAGAAGGACAGTACGTACGGAGTAGGGTAGTATCGCTACTATCAGTCCCTGCAGTAAGCTAGCTTAAAACGGTTGCTGTGGCGGGTGACTGCTCGAGCCTCGAGTCTCGAGCTTGTTGTCCCGGTTGCTTGCTTGGAAAAACTGCTGTTTACTCATACTTTGGGAATAACAGAAGTTACATACATAGGTAGATTCGTGCTACTATTCGCATCTCACATATTCCCATACTCCGTTCTCCATACATCGAAGGCAATCAACTTCGTGCCGCTGATTGGCCAGACTTCTTCTCCACATCCCGTCGATCCGCATCCCCGCTTCCCGCTAGCGCGCGGCTTTCCCGAGATTCGTCAGGCTTGGGTTTTTGCTTATGTCTTCTTCCTCTCACAGCTCATCAATGTGCACGATCCAATCTGCGTGGGTATGTTACCTACATTTTATCCCATTAATTTACCTTTCGAGTTAGGCATTTCTTCTCCGTACAAAGTCCGAAGTTCTCGTATTATGTTTTGTTTGCGGAATGAATACGAGTTCTCTTCCTTAGTATGTATTTAGTAAGCTACGTGCTAATCTTCCAGTGGCGTGAAGTCTATCTATCACATATATCCATTGTCTCAGACCCCCACTCCCTTTGCCCAGCTTGCTAGCTGGTTGACCGTCTTTACGTGGGCAGTGCACCTGTCAGAATCCTAATAAACTTTTCCCTCGTTAGAGTTGTAGCTTCAATCGCACAATTACACTGCAAAGAACGTGGCGCTGCTAGCAAGTGACACAACCATCTCATTTAGGACCAAGTCGTTCGGCAAATGTTTTCCTTTTCTTTTCTCCTTAGTCATCCCCGCCCCCTTCTTCGCCACGGACCCACTGTGAATGAAATGGCAGGCACCTGTGGGCACTAGCTAGTCCCATCAACATGCTTTTTGCAGACCAGTAGCTTGGGGGACTGCATCTTCACATAGTCATGCCCAAAGCTCATTTGACAGTTTCGACACCGCTGATTTGAGCTTGTGCCAATGAATTTCTCTGGACTTTACTATCAATCACGATTAATAAAGACGCCCATGTTAGATGGTTTGTCCGGTCCCATGGAGGTTGCACAACAATCACATTTCTCCAAGGACTCGTCCTACCAGTTCTCCTTCCTCTTAATTTACTCTTGACTCGGTGCCTGCACTATCGTAGAGATGGATGTTAAAATAAAATTCTGACGCTTTTTGCCTCATATACTAGCGTGATATCTTAGTGTACGGAGTAATTCGTCTAAATTTTACTCGTTCCGGTTCTTTAAAGTGGGAACTATTGCCAATCGAATAAATAGACTCGTTGCAGATTGCAGATCCGTACTGATCAAGCCAAGAAAGATGAAGCAACCAACATCAACCAAGCAACGAGCACTCCCGCAGATGACGCTGGACACAGTGAGCTAATGCGGGTGCCGACAGGTAACCAGCTGCCTGGGCTGGTCAATGCACACCTAGTTGACTCGTCAAACATGAGAACAAAAGCGAAGTGGGCCAGGGGGAAATAGAAGCAGCAGGAGCACAGTCCATGGATGCTTGTTAAAAGAACACCACGGCGGATTTGCTTCATTTGCACATAGTACCAAGCTTGTATCCCAAGCGGTTGGAAGGTGGCTGGCGTAGACATGTTCATTCGGCTCTCGCGCTGCTTCTTAATTGGCTTGATAGGGTCGGAAACGGCCTTTTGATCAAGTTTAGAGTGGTGACCTTATCCGGGAAACGGTAAGTAAGATACATTATGAGGGACAGCCCGAGCAAGCGAGCAATTAGGAAAGTCCAACAGCGGTGTTGGTAACGCCAATGTCGCCCAAGCCACGCTGCATGAGTGTGCAACCAAAAGCGGATACCCTGTATGGTATTGAGATTTCAAGGCTAGGACTTCTCCTGCGTCTCAAGTGCGATTGAGATTAATAGTTTCTCCATGTAACAGGGCTGTGGGAGACCAAACCTGAAGAGTTGAGACTAAAAGCTTCCCTGTCAGAAGAAATGCAATGAGGCCCTGTTCAGTCAGCCCCAATAGAAGCTGTCATTGGCGAAGGCTCAGCTTAGATCAAAACGCCCAACCCCATCTAAATCGGGCGAAGATCATGGAAGCTCAATATTGGGATTTGACAGATTTGGAGAAAACTAGCCAGAGCGCGGAACGGCACGCAACGCCACCCCCAGGGATTTTTTCTAATTCCCCCCTCCTGGAGGAACGCCATTCGTTTGCTCACGGCCCTTCTATGAGGTTCTCTCGTTTATTTAAATAGCCTGCTCACTCTGCCACAGCTGTAGAGCCACTTTCCTTTCTAAAGGGCAACAGCAGCAAGGCACTGGCGAAATCAAGCGCCACAACGAAGTATAAGGACGAGGAAAAAAAAAACAACAACATTCATTTGTATCTCTCACGATAATCATTTATCACACTTCAAGTTCTTTTGCTCCTTTATTGCCGTTGCATCCTTTCGAGAAGAGATAAACAAAGACCGACAACCATTTGAAATGACCACCATGATGGCCCCAAGTCACATCACTCCTTTGGAGGCAAGTCACCACCGCCATCTCCATCACCCTGAAGTGATTCAGCAGCCCCGCCGATTCGCTTGCGACCGCTGCAGGATGCAGAAGCTTCGATGCGAGAGAGACATCTGGAGGCCGTCTCTCATGCCATGCAAGCGCTGCCGCAAAGCACGCATGAACTGTACGATCAGCTCGATGGACCGTCCGATCAGCAAGAAGAAGTCAAAAGACAGAGTCGGTCCGATCACAAAACTCGACAAGACAGCAGCAGCAGGAAAACGCTACCCGCAAGGTGACAATGGGAAGTCACCGGGACTGGATGTTTCCGAACAGTCTCCCCTTGATACTACCGCTGCCGGCTTCTACGGCGATGCAGTAACTGAAGGATTTAATATGATGGGTGTGCCCAAGTTTGTTTCGGAGATTGTGCCTCCAGAAGAATGCTATCCAGCCAGCAGCGGGTTTGAGGAGTACCCGGCTCCCATCTTCTCAGGTTTGGTGACACCTCCCTCGATGGAGAGCGAGCGTGAGCACCAGCTGTCACTAGAGACAACGTCGTTTATGGTACCGCAGCATCAGAATTGGACTCCCGTGAGTGATTCTAGGGGGTCGGAGAGCTTTGAATATGATGACCGTAAGTTAGATTTCCGTCATGACTCAGGAGCGCTTTCATAGAGGGTTAACCATTACGATCACTGCAGCATTCCCGTGCTTGGACGATAGAAAACAATGGTGGGACCAAGAAAACCTGCGAAGGCTGCTAGACGTCAACATGCATCTACTGGACTGCCAGGGTCTAGTTTCCCAAGAGCTTGCTATGCTGGGCAACATGGATGCAAACGTCGCGCTGAATAACCTCGAGTCTGCGTCACAAAACGTGATGCGATATTCCCAACAGTTCCTCGACGTCGTGAAAGTTTTTATTCACAGAGATTTTGCATCTATTCCCGTGTCGATGGCGTTCGTCTCTCAGATGCCAACGCCAAACCAATCGAGACGCCCTTCGCACGTCCAAGTAACAACTTCGACAGTTGAACCAGCATTGGTTCAAGGAGGAGATGCTTCCCTTCCTCCTCAGATCGGCCCCGTCACTGCAGCTCATGTATCATCCTCGCCTACTCAATCGCCTTGGCAAGGAAGTCAGTTCGAGGATGTACAAGTATCTTTAATACTAGCCACGATCAACTGCTACACCTGCTTGGTCGGGAGCTATCACATCATCTTATCATATCTCCTTCACGAGTTAATGGCCATCACGACTCCGGAACAACATCCTCAGTCGTCACCGACGTTCACAGGTTTTGCAGCCGCATTTGCAGCCACGTCTCACATTCCCTCAGCGGACCGAAACTCGCAGCTTCGACTGATTTTCAATAACTGTATACGCATGCTGTCACAGCTTGAGATGAGTTTGGGCGTACCGGAGCAACATTGCGTTGCTTCTTGGGCGCTGCCGTATTCAACTCAACTTCTCCATCAGCAGCATCCTCACGATGGGATTCTATCGGGTCCTGTTGCTGCGAATCTTCTGAACGCTCTTGTCAATCAGAGATTCGGGCTGTGCGTCAACGGTTTGGCCACGGGCAAGAACTCAGTGAAGGAGATCATCTCTGCGATCAATCAGTTCTTCGATCCTGTTCAACCAGTCAGTCAGGTCACCACAATATAATACGGAACCAAATCAAAAAGCCATGTACCAAATTTTGACTTGTACTTTTTCTTTTTTCCTTTTTTTTTTTTTTTTTTTTTTTTGGCCCTTCTTTTGTCGCGAGCGAGATGTGTGGTATTCTCTTCTTTCCTTTTTCTTTCCTCTTGTACTTTCTGGAACTTTAATGTTCAAAAGGAGGAGGACTGTTATATGATATGAGCGTTGAGGAAAAGAAAAGGAGAGACCCAAATGTCAACCGGTGTGGGTAGCATCCACCTGATATGCTGGATATGGAAATGGGAAACAGAAAAGCGGCGGATACGATCTTGACATGGGTATGAAAATGGATCGGATATGGATGCAGGCACAGCAATTGATACGCATCACTTTTTTTCCCCCTCACATATTCGTTTCTCTTCGACTGTTTCGGCGCGCTTCTATCAGAAGCAAAGCATGTAAGAAAGAAATTTCTCTTCAGTTGGGCATGTACTATTATTGTTGAGCAAGATATGCATGTACATTTATCTATATCATAGCACTCTACCTAGGTCTCAAAATATTATACTAATATCTAATACGCCAGTGCCCTTGCATTAAACAAGATTTCTACTATCTAGTCAGGTGCCGTTAAATATACACCTCCATAAGACATGTACATACCTACACGTGTAGGTACCCTTGTTTAAGTCTATACTATATGTACCTATGTAAATAGTAACGAATAAATATTCAAAACATGACTGGCCCCTCGCTTCCAGTATGGTTTCGAGTCCAGGATTCCTGGACTCTTTTGAATTATACAGGACCTGTCACATGATATAACCAAAGCATAGAGTGAAGCATGTTTGATGAAGGGTTACACATGGGTCTGTCATTAAATACGTGTAGCAAGGGGCTTTTCAGCGGATATTTGGTGTTTGTGGAGAGCACAAAGTGTACATTCAGTTCTCTATACGCCGGTACGTACTATGTAGGTAATGGTGAGTAGACCTCACTACAACACAATCCAGAACTTGTAAGCAGACACAATAGACCAAACTTGTACTCAGCAGTCAACTAAGAAAGAGAAAAAAGAAAAAAGAAAAAAGAAGATCATGGTAAAACTATCCTTATCTCTGAGAAAAAAAAAGGGGGGGGGGAAGCATACTTTTCTACATACATTCCATATCAAGTAAACAGTCGATCTACGAAGCGAACACATGTTCAAAAATGGCCTTCATCCAGATACGTATAGTACATATTTAACTAGAGCAGATTCAATACAAATTTCGTAGACAATAGGTGTCCAGATGATGATGTTATAATATGCTCAACAAGCCAAGTTCACAGACGTATCATATCGACATGCTATTGGCAGATCAAATGTGATGAGTCCAATGGTCAAATCCGCCTTTCAAATAGTACGTACATAGTCTGTTCATCCTCTCTGAAGGTCTTACTATTAGTGTTTAGTTACCTTCTATGTGGGACTACTGCGAGATGGTAAATAGCAGACCGTGGCCATGATGTACTTCTGAATGGAGGCTTGCCTATGTATCATATTGCCACATGTTGATGTACATATCACCTGGGCTGGATGTGTCTAAGCACGGAGTATTAGAAGATATCTAATATATGTCCGCCCTATGTGACGCCTGAAGCGTCCATGTCGCCTCGTTCTAGGATTGGGTTGATTGTCTAAAATCGAGCCATAAGCCATGCCCGTTCTTGTTTCTAGCTGGCCTCTCAAACTATCATACAGTAATCTCTAGCTAGACATCTACCGCTCTTGTCATTATCTAATTCCCATCAGGGTCCAAGAAAAACCATTCAGCGTCTTTGGATATGTTTGATGCCGAGTGCATTGTATTCATCCAGCTCTTGTATACCAGGGTATGACGAACGATACGTTCCTTGATTTTGACCTCATGCATTAACTCAACATTTGCCCGTATGGAATTTGACCATAAGCGGTGATGAACGCTATAACCATGCTCGTCATACGGAGTGGAGGATGGCGAACCAGAACGCAACGTAAAGGCGTTTGTCCCATGGAATTAGAATGTAGTCGTGGAGAGTAGGAGATGATGGAGTGAGAGTGACGGTGAAGTATTTTTGGACGGGAGAAGCAGACGTTCAGCAGCGCTCGCTCAAGTCGTGAAAGTAATTATGCTCGTGTAAGGAAATTAAAACGAGAATTCTCAGATCCTTAGGTGCCAGGTAGGTGGTGATTGAGAGAACTAACAGAGCAAGTGAGTACGGATATTGCGCGAAAGAGAAGCGTCATCGCGGCGAGCCAATTCGTTCCACCCGTTTCGCTCGATTCGATCAACAAGGTTGATTGCTTCGGTGGTCAAATCTCCCGCGGGCGGCTGCGTTTCGTTAGCAAGGATGAAACAACGAAACGCTCGAAACGAGTAAAACTCACTGACAGTAAGAAACGTGACGGCGTGTGCAGGGAAAGCACATCGAATTCTCCGTGCCGTTCGTTTCGTGAAACGTCGCTTGACAGCGATTCGGGGATTATAGAATATTATTCTCATATTCTCAAAATACATGGCCCGTTAGGGTGTGCGTTTTTCCATCTCGAAATCCTCCGTGGCCTCCTTGTAGCCTTGCGGGCCGTTGCGCTTGACAGTCGTCTGATAGCTGGTTATAATGGCCCGCGCGGGGAGACTTGAAGATCTTTTGGTCCTTGCTGAGTCCATTGGGAGGAATGACTTGATATTGCAATTGGTGATGTGTCTCGGACCTTCCGTAGTAGACATACATAACATGCCGCTTGTATGCTTGTAACAACGGAATATTAACCAGTCAGCCACCAAAAAGGGACCCCCTAATGGGGCTTCTGGTAATGCTCATTTTATATTCCGCTGTCAGCTTGTTGTACCCTTCCACCCACTGAAAAATAATAATAGGGGGGCACATGATAAGGGCTGGTTTTGGGTTCCGTAGAGCGAGATATGAATGAATAGGGCATCGCATCATTTGATTGATCCGTGGTCAGAGCCAGACGTATTGAATAACACGTCGTATTATTCGAAGTAAAAAGTAGTCCGAAAGGTATTCGTATCACGTTTTGGAGACATTTATTTTGCCAATACAATACATAGTTGTTGGTTCACGGGCCGTCGTATATGTCTTCTGTAAGCATGCACGATTCTGTTCTCACTCCCACTCCCACCTTTGCACTGGGCGTGACGAGAGTCGTCATTGTTGTCTTTGACGCGTCCTCTTCAACAGCTTTGATATGCATTGAGACGCGGATATTGAGATATTTGCTTGCAACGAAGAACTAGTTGATGTTGAAGTATTAGTTCATCTCGACGAATGGCTGGGTTTTTGATCACAGAGTACTCGGGCGCACACATTGCCGGTACTTCAGGGTAGAGGTCCGAAACAGTCCGGCCACTTCCTGATCACGAAGATTGAGGCAGAAAGTTTAGGAGACCGGCAACCTCACGAAGAAACGGGTCCTGGATATGTTCAATAGATGGAGATTCTGATTGTCAACGAGCTGGTTGAGCCACTTTGTTGTTGAAGAACACCGACATTTGGCTTGACCTTGAGCTTGACTGTTGACATGGCGTTCTTTAGTTAAAGCTCAACCAGATCAGATGGGTGTTCTGCTGCCCGTCATATCTCGTTGGACGGCCCCACGGATCTGGATGCTAGAGATGATGGAAAAGGTAAAAGTCTGAGAGGGAAAAAAAAAACAACCATCTACAGCTGGAAATGCCACGGGTCGAGTTCTTGGGGACGTGTCTGGTGGACTTAATGTTAGAACTTTGATTTTCTCCAGGCCGCTCTCGTAGCAGCCCGGGGCTTGGAGCGATGGGACTGTACCAACGATCAGAGTCGTTCCAACGTTGGCCATCAAGTGGCATGGGCATTTCTTCTCTGCAACGAACAAGGAGTTGAAAAGATGTCTAAATTAGACGGTCGATGGAGGAAGTCGTAAAGAAACATAATGATGGAAGGTGAATCTAGGGGTGCAAGAGTGGTGTAGGCAGAAAGAAGGAAGGGAAGGAGAGGAGAAGGAAACAGGCACCGCGTATGAGGGTTGCGTCACCTTACTTCAAGCACTTGAACCATCGAGCATCATGAAGATCATCCTCTATTTATGCCGTAAACCCAATCTTCCATCATCTTCCACGAGATCCAGCTGAAACAGATCATGCATGTCAGTCATATTTAGTCCTTTGTTAAAGACATTTGACAGATCTGTTTTGGCTACTGCCAAGAGCTATTTTTTTGAGGCATTTAGTGAGCTCTGTTTATTAATAAAATAATTATTTTCTCCTACTCATGTAGGTGACACCAAGGTGAATGCTCCCATCATCATCGCCGAGCAAAGCCCTAACTAACTACGTCCAATCTATTCATTTATTCGGAACATGATGCCTGGGAATACTGTCGGTCACCGAAAAGTTTTATCTGGGTGCTTTATAGGCACATTCCAAGAGATTTCTTAGTCTCTGTATATACCTATCTATGTGGAGGTACATTGTATGTTATAGATATAGATATAGATATAGATATATATGTATATGTATCTTGGGGCTACCAACAACCCATGCAATCCAGGATCCTTCCAGAGAATTACCCCCCAAACCTACTTTCTCACGACATAATACATCACCAACGTTTTCAAATTAAACATGGTGAAATAACTGAAGAGCTAAGATTGCACGTCAATTTGCGGCTGATAACGACATCGGAAATCGGAGGCCTCGGAAGCCGAGCGAATAAACATAAAAAAGGGGAATTGAATAACCTCACTCTGAAGAAACCAAAATAGATGGAGAACAAAAGGGAAGGAAGAATAATGCAACCCCTCACCATAGACTCCCCCCGACCAACGCGCAGTCCCCTGCGCATCGTTGCACTCATCTCCGTCCTCTATGCAGCCCTCTTCATCTCCGCCGTCAACACAACCATCGTCACCACCGCCCTCCCCACCATCGCGACACACTTCAACTCAACCTCTGGCTACACCTGGGTTGGCGCCGCCTATGTCCTCGCCGACACCGCCTCGGGTCCCGTATGGACCAATTTCTCGGACATTTGGGGCCGCAAAATCGTGTTTCTGGCGGCCATAATCCTGTTTATGCTGAGCTCTTTTATATGCGGCTTTGCGGTTAGTATGGGCATGCTTATAGCGGGCCGAGCGCTGCAAGGAGCCGCTGCGGGCGCGATTATGTTGCTCGTGAATATTGTGATTAGTGATATGTTTGACATGAGGAGGAGGACGCTGTATTTGGGCGTGTGCGATGTTATTTGGGCGGTTGCGGGCGCTGTAGGCCCGGTTATTGGAGGCGCGTTTGCGGAGTATGCTGGGTGGAGGTGGATTTGGTAGGATGTCCCTGCCCCCCTATATATATGTATATATATGTCTGTCTGACAAGATTAGGTATACAAACATCCCCATCGCGGCAGTCACGTTCCTCGTCGTCTGCCTCTTCATGGACGTGCACAACCCCCAAACGCCAATCTGGCGCGGCCTGAAAGCGGTCGATTGGCTGGGTAGTTTGGCGCTGCTGGCGGTGACGATTATGACTCTGCTGGGCCTGAATATTGGCGGGCAGTATATGCAGTGGACGTCGCCCAAGGTGCTGGTGTTGATTGTCGTGGGCCTTGCCTTTGCGCTCGTGTTTTACCTCATCGAGGCTAGGGTTGCTCGGTATCCGGTGATGCCGGTGCAGGTGTTTCGGAGTCGGTCGAATGCTGCGACGATTGCGGTTGGGGCGTTGCATGCGTTTGTAAGTCTACATTACTACTTCCTCATGATGTTGATGTTGATGCTGATGCTGATGCTGACATGCGTATTAGGCAATGATGGGTCCAGAATACTACCTCCCTCTCTACTTCCAGTCCGCACAACTCGCACAACCGCTACAATCCGGCCTGCTCGGTCTTCCCTTTGTATTCCTCGAAGGAATTGGGGGGATTGCCAGTGCCCTGCTAATCCACCAGACCGGCCGGTACAACGCGCTTCTCTGGGCCGGCGCATGTCTCATGACACTCGGATTCGGGCTGCTGATCGATCTACAGCCATCGACTGGTCTAGCCAAGATCATCATCTACCAGTGCATCGGCGCACTCGGGTCTGGACTTCTGATCCAGCCGCCCATGGTCGCGATCCAGGCGAACGTGTCGCAGCAAGAAACGGCCACGGCGACGTCGACGCTGACCTTTATGCGCGGACTGGCGCAGGCGGTGTCGATTGTTGTTGGCGGAGTGGTGTTTCAGAGCTCCATGGACATCAAGCAGTCGGCCTTGGCCGAGGCAGGGCTTCCGCATGATCTGGTAGTGACGTTTTCGGGGAATGAGGCGCAGGTGACGGTCAGCCAGCTGCGCGGGATCCCGGATGTCGCGCAGCAGCAAGCCGTGCAGATGGCGTACGCGTGGAGCTTGAGGAATGCGTGGATTCTGTATGCTGGCGTTGCCGGGTTGGCGATTGGGGCGTCGTTGTTTGTTGGACGGCATGCGCTATCGACAGAGCATGAGGAGACAAGGACGGGCATACACCACGGCGACGACGACAAAACTACACCCGCCGTGCCGTAAGCTTTTGCTTTTATCTCAAGTCGTGCTAATCCTTGGATCCTTTTTGTACTCGGTTACTCCATCAGGCGTATGGAGAGAGGCCCCGGCTGCTGCCCCAGTTATTTTTGACTATTTTAGGCTATGTGGATAGTATCGTAGTTTATTTCAGCCCTGTCTCCATCTCCATCTCCATCTCCAATCTCGATCAACATCAACATCAACGTCGACATCAACATGCTCGTATCGTACCATATACAATAGGCATACCCAAACTGAGAGCAATGGCTCGGCTGAAAGCGGAACCATTCCGTCGCGCCATGCCGAGCAAACCGAAAGAGCGAGTGGCGAAAAGCGACCCGAAACCATGGGCCATACCGAAAGTGGCAACGTTTTGGCCAATTTTATTTTATTTTACTTTTCTTTTTTTTTTTTTCCCTTAGCAATGGGTTAGTGCCAGACAATGAGAAGAGCTCGGCTCGGCGCGGCAAATGCCGAATTCAACGTATGTTGGCGACGACGTAGTAAGACCCGGATACGGAAGCGGCTAGGCCGAGAAGGGTAGCTGCAGGCGCTCTATATACGTGTAAGTTGGCGACTATTTATCTAGTCTGTAGATACGCGTTGTATGTACGCCGTCACTATAACTATATATGTACACGGCCATGTAGGTTTTGACATTTGCTTTGTTCATCGGGAAGACGACGTCGATGGGTCAGGTCCACAATGGAAGCGGGAGAAGCCTCGAGGGAACTTGGGAAGTCTCCAGTGCGGGGATCGCGAGATTCAGGAGTTCTGTTCTATCACTCACGACCTATATATACATATATGGACTTGGATTACGGAGCACTAGTTTCTGCGTACTAGTGCTGTGGCAGTAGTGGTACACCGACGTAATCAAGGTCACCGCGACGTATCAGGCCGCAATAAACGCACGCACGAATACCTGACTGCGACGGGTGGGCCATGCAGCAAAACTAGAGAAACACCAAAGTATGCTTAATTGCCAGCGGTGGATATGTCCCACTCCGTGCAGAGATTCATCTGCTACGTAACTACTACTATAGTTTAGTATATAGCATCCAGTGCGTACGGCTTCAGAAAATGCCACCACGTCGAATAGTAAGCAGGTATGCACGGCGACCAAACAGGCAACGCCATCGACACGCTGCCCCTTTTGGGAACGCGCCAATCAGCACTGCCCACATTGATTGATGTATTCGATTTCTGAGCGAGCATACACACACATCCACACACATGCGCGCACACACAAACCGGCCTTGCTCCGATAACCGAGTAGCGAATAGCAGCTGGAAGACACACAGATGGTCGGTCGGGTGTTTACTGGGCGGGCTAGCCCAACTCGGACGTTAACCGCCACTGGCCGCTTACCTAATAAAAGCTTTTCTCCCTGCCTTCTTTCCCTCTTTCCCTCGCTCTCCCTCCTTCCTCTCTCTTCCGCTTTCTCTCTCTCTCTCTCTTTCTCTCTCTCTCTCTCTCTCTCTTCTTTCTTCTTCCTCCTCATCCGCTTCCACTCGCTCTTCTCTCGTCGCTCCTCATCGTGCATTTCGCCGTTGCCTGCCAGTTCCTTTCGGACAAGCATCATCCTGCGTCCACCTAGACGCGAAGACCCACCGTGGAGCCAAGCCTTGACCTTGGCCGGTCGCGGATAAAGAGAAGTTCCCACACTTCCCACGCAAGTTTTCCACCGTGGGGACCTGCCCTTTTCTCGCTCTGCTGCTCCTCTCTTCTTTTTTCCACTCCCTCCCTGTCTGCTCGCCCGCCCCCCATCCAACCGTCCACACCCCCCCCCTCTCTCTCCTCTCCTAGTAGCACTGTGACTCCCTCGCTGGTGGAGTCGATCTCTCGTTCTTTATTTGATTTGATCTTCTTTCCTTCCTCCGTGACGATCTGTCTGCTGTTCCTGTGCGCTGCTGTGGCCGACGCGTCCTGTCTCGACGAAGACAAAATTTCACAGTTGGGGGATAAGAATTGATTGAGGCAAGAAAAAGGGAAAAAAAAAAGAAAAAAAAAAGAAGGAAAAAAAAAAAGGCAAGCAAAGAAGAGGGGGAAAAAAATTGAAGGAAAAAAATTATCCGGTCGCGTCTACCTCCCATCACAACAACTTCTTCTCGTCCTCCCCATCATGGATCCTCGCTCGCACCCGTCGCGACCTCCGTCAACCTCGCTGCCCCAGGGCTCAACTCCCCTCTCGAACATGCCAATGCCGCAGTACCAGATGCAGCCGCCCTACCCGGTCTCGCAACCTCACACCTTGCCGCCGCTGCAGCCTCATCATAGCCAGTCTCCAGCGCCGTACATGGGCCAGTCGTATCGTCCCGACATGGCGCGTTTCCCGGCCACCTCGGCTCACGACGTGTACGCCACCTCGGCCGGCCCAATTGGACCACACACGCCCGTGAACAGTCTGCCGCCCACCTCGTTCCTGGCTCACCCGGGGCAGCCCCAAGGCCAGCCGCCGCAGGGATACCAATCCCCTCAAACCTTGTTGCCACCCACGACCGCGCCCCAGACCTACCCGCAACCCATCGCGCCCGCCCCGCCCCGCGACCGCCGCCCGGACTACACGACATTGCCATCGGGTGCCTTCAGTCACCCGGAGGGAAAGCCTCCCATGTGGGCGAGTGCCGATGGACTGGCCGCCGCCAATGGCTTGGCTCCGCTGCCTGGCAAGGAACCCCCGCGCACCCAAGTCGTGGGATCCCAAGGTCGACGAGGCATTCTCCCCAGTGTGCCCGGACGCGCTGCGGTCCCCAACGGTGTGAACGGAGGCGCGAAGAGCACGACCATTCCCGCCAAGGATGCCGATGGCAAGTTTCCTTGCCCTCACTGTACCAAGACATACCTGCATGCGAAGCATCTCAAGCGCCATCTTTTGAGACGTGAGTTTTCTGCCCCTCTGTTTCTCACCCAGAGAGAGAGAGAGAGTTATTGTATTAATTGATTAGATACCGGCGACCGCCCCTATATGTGCGTGCTCTGCAAGGACACGTTCTCCCGAAGCGATATCTTGAAACGACACTTCCAAAAGTGCTCGTTACGCCGAGGTAACCCCACAGGAGCGAGCCATCTCTCGCATCCTCAGGCACACCTGAAACGGTCCCAAGCGGCGGCCAATGCCGCAAAGCCCATTCAGGAAGAAGTCAGTAACTCCATCCCGCCTTCCAATGGTATTGCGGGTACGACTTTTGGCGACGCGCCCGTGAACGGCCACGGACTGGCTCCGCCCGGCCTCACGGAGCAGCAGCCTCTGGGATATTCAATGTCCTCTGTCCACGGACTGAACAACGGCGACGCGTTCAGTCCTGGCCCGGCAGATCAGAGAGCGTCCTGGATGGCTGCTCACAAGCCGAGCCCGTACCTTGTCCACTCTGGTTCTGAAGCTCATGGTGGCCACCATCTGAATAATATTGACCGTCATTCAATTGAACAGGCTAAACCTCCTATGATTCACGATCCGAAGCGTCCAGTGATGCCCGGCCAACAGCCGCCCAACCACGAGCTCGACTGGGCCACCATGTTCCAGCCGGGCGCGCCCGAGGGCTACATGAACCCCGTATTCCCGCAGTCGATGGCTCCCACTCACGAGCCTATTCACACGCAACAAGTGGATGCGGACCGTAAATACTACCCCACCACGACCGGCGGACCACACCAGGATGGCGGATTGAACGGCCTTTATTTGGCTTCCACGAGCCTAAGCGGAGACGGTATGCGCAATCCCAGCGGAGTCCAGAACAATGAAAAGACCAATCCACAAGAGCCTATACCTATAGCTACTTGAGAAGTTTTTCCATGCTGTCGTTTCTTTTTGTCGTGAATATTCCAATTGACTTTTTTCTGCCTTTTTCCCTTCGGAATACAGGATCCGTTCAACCCGCTAGACAATAGGTTTAGAGATGTCTGGGTGTCTTGTGGAGGATTTTGTTTTTGATTATAGAGGATCGACTAGATCTGCGAGTTGCCGTCTCGGATCCACAGTACGCAGAGTTCGAACGTCACTACATTGTGAATTGTCGACACCTCGAGTTTAAATATGATACGGCCGGCCATGGTAAACAGCAACGCAAAAAAGGGGTTCCCTTTTCTTTTACATTCGATTTCTATCGTCATTCGTCATTCCGTCATGAATGGTATATCTGAGATGGGTTGGTTCAACCGGCGTCAAATCATCAATAGAACGGGGGTGTTTCATTTTCTGCCTAGGGTTTGTTTTGTTTTCGTTTTTATTTCGCCTCCGCTCTGGGGAAAAAAAGGAGAAAAAAAAAAGGAAGAAAAAAAAGAGGTTATAGAAGTGGGTGGAGATGTTTTTTTTTTTCTTTTCCTTCTGTCAGTACTGTTGCGTTTCTAATTTGTCTATCTGTCTGATCGAAGACTTCGATTCATCTTCGATTTTGCTTTGTTTCCATTCATCTTACTACCATACTTACTCTCCCCCCCCTTTTTTTTCTGCGCCAGACTGCTCGCTCTGGTCTGGCCGCATCCTGTATGTATGTACGTATGTATGTAAAGTTTTCCGTCTGTTCAGTCTGTCTCTTTCCTTTCTAGAAAAATATGGGCGGTAATCTGTTTTCGTTAGGTTAGACAAATGCACATCATTACCATTACCATGTAGTATTTGGAAAAAAAAAACATATCCATTTTGTATTCATATCGTAGTATCGTAACAAATCATATCTATTATGCAGTACCCTACCTATCATCATCATCRCCATCATCCCACTCCGTGGATAGGGATATGGATCTATAAACTCAATCGATCAACACTCCCCACCCGCCCACTGGCCCCAATCCGTCCTCCGCCCTTGGTCACCATGCCCAATCGATAAAACCGCTCTTCGCCCGTCGCCGTGCGCCCGCCGATGTACCATTTCTCAGGCCCCAGGGCGTCGCGGAAGCCGCCTGAGCCAGAGGAGCTGTCGCTGCCGCGGCGGGGGCGGTCGTTGTTGTTGTTGTAGGATATTGGGATGGGGGTTGACTGTGTAGAGTCTGCTATGTTTGTGGTAGATGGATTGTGGGATTGTCGTTGGTGTTGTTGGCGTTGGCGGTGTGTATGTGATGAGCGGTGATGCGTATGTGTATGCGTATGTGTGTGAGTGTGAGTGTGAGTGTGGTGAGAATTCTGCGTATTCGTCGTCCCCGTATTATTCGCGGGCGATAGAGGGGGTGATGATGTCGATGTCGATGTTGATGTTGATGTCGATGTCGATGTCGATGTAGTAGGAGATGTAGAGGTTGATATCGTCCTTCCCCCCGATACGGCTGATACAGAGGCTCTCTGCGCTGCTGAGCTGCTGGGCTGTGATGATGCCGAGGCGGAGGCCGAAGCGGAGGAGGCGGCGGCGGCTTTGAAGGCGGAGGACTGCGCGCGGAAGGCCGCGAAGAAGTTTGCGAGGAAGGGGCGGTTTGTGGACATTTCTCTCTCTCTCTGTTTATCTCTTCTGTATTGCTTTTTCGTATTTGATTGAATGTAGAGGGTTGAGAAGAGGGGGAGAGAAGGAAAAAAGGAAAAAAGAGAGGGAGGTTGATCCGAAGTTTCCCGTGGAGACATGGAACTGTGGGGATCCGATCTACCGAGCCTTATGACGTCGACTATTAACTCTCCCTTCATATGTATGTGTATATATATATTATGCTAGTTATATGTATGTTATCTTCACAGTCGCATCTTCCAACTGACTCTTCAACCGCGCAATGTCCGCGCGCATACCCAGTGCGCGCTCATGCAGCGCTTTGGCGGATAGTGCGATGTGATGATGATCTATAATATCGTTATCTGCCTCTTGCTTATTATTGGCCGCTACAACGCCAATCAAATCGTCCACTCGACTCGCCAGATGCATCGCCAGTTCTTGCAGCATGATGATTTCCATGGGCACCACTGTCGCTGATGACGAAGGCACGTACGAGCCTAGACTGAGCTGGGCGCAGCGCGATTGTCGTGTTTGGCCGTCTGGGGAGGTTTTGTGCACTATCTCGGCATGTTTGAGCATCGAGTGCCATTGGTCGATGAGGCGGTTGTGGCACGCGAAGAGGAGGTGGAGGAGCGAGTAATCTATTTCTGTGTTGTTGTTGTTGTTGTTCTTCTTCTTCTTTTGGTCTCTTCGTTGTTGCGTCTGCTCTATCAGGGGGATGTAGATGTCGGCTAGCTTGCTGGTTATGGCGAATGCTTTGCTGACGCCGTAGTTGTGGTCTACTTCTGCTGAGCTCGTTGTGCTGCTGGTTGGTTCGGCGGACGAGTCGTGTGTCTGAAAAGATGGTAGGTGGCGTGCTAGTCCCTCCAGTGTGACTAGTATATGTGTTAATTGCAGAAACACGTCTGGAGATTGTAGCGTGTCAGGGACCGAGTAGCCAAGATAGTAAGGCGATGACTGTGGTCGGGCTATGGGCTCATGCGGCAGTATTTGGATGAGATTGTCTTGCTCAATGCTGTTGCCGCTATGACTGGAGTGTGCTGTATTGCTGGTTCCATTTTCACTCGTATCAGGTTGGAGTTGTGGTATGGATGGGATAGATTCGAGAAATCCATCCCCTTCACCATGGCCAGTCCCTGACCAGTCTAAGACCATGTTGTTGAAAAAATCATCTGCAAATAATCATCAGCCATTCATCCAGGTATATATATGCTTCCCAGAAAAGAATTACCAGACTCAAACCCTGGCATGGCAACATCCCCAACAGGACTCTCATCATAGAAACTATCCAATCCCACCGGCGTAGTCCTGGTATAAGCCTGTTTTGCGCGTATTTGGCCGCGCATAGACGGACTGTAGAAACAGGCTACGCCTGCTTTGAGACATCTTGCACATGGGTCTTCACTCTGCAGTGATGACCGAGGGCACTTCAGTTTGAACGAGTGGCAGCGATCGCAGGCTAGGCGGCGTCGTTGTTGCTGCTTCTTCTGGGTTGACATATCGGCATGACTATACCTATACAACAGAATAAAGATGTTATCGTTTAATTATCTGCTGTAGATAAGTTAGAGTCAAGTTACAGATGAGCTTGAGAACACGCTGCGATATCACGTGACCACCACCATGCCCGAACAGGCATGGCGCGCCAGCTGCAACCCGAGCGATGATGTTCCGGTTTTCGTTCGCGGACCTTGTGCTCCTCTTCGACTTCTCGACATCATATCATAACCAATTGCAGTCCAGTCAAAATGGTACGTCAAACAGACAACATTCAATTGAATCGTCTCATCCTGTTATTTGCCAAAGGTGGCACCGAAGCCACGCTGAGCTCAACGGCGAACGCCCGAGGCATGGAATGATACGAGTTCACTGACATGAATACAGCCGGTCTACAACACTCCCGCCACGCAAAACCTGCTCAAGCGCGCTTCTTATAGCCCTCCCTACCGATCTCCTTACGGTCCTCAGTGAGTACTGCCGACTCGATCATGCCTACGCATCCGGTGCTTTTGTTACGGAACACAACGGAGTATAATTTGTTGGCGTGTCTTCGAAACTGGCATTGGGCATGCAACTTCGATTATAATCTGCTCGGAAAAAACTGACGAATAACAGATACACCGTCGCTACCCACTGGCATGGCTTGACACTCCCCAAGGTCACCAAGGCGTAAGTAACTACCGCCACCGTCATTCTTTCAACCCGTCGCTAATCAGTTTTACAGCGGCTTCATTGCTGGTGGCTTCGGTGCTGCCGCCGGTGTTTTCGCCGTTTTCTTCTTCGGCGAGGTCCCGCGTGTCAGGAAGGATATTCTGCAGAAGCTGCCTTTCCTCGACACCTACTTTGACCGTACCATTCCTGCTGAGGACAACGTAGGTTTCTTCTGTTGCCTTTTCCCGCCGCGATAGCAGTTACTGATGAGAGACAGCCTTTCTAAACGAGCAAGCAAGCAAATGTCCCTTATTCTTGGAATTGGTTGGAAGCCCGGAATTGATGGAAGGGAGAGAGCAGTTGACTTGTAGAATACAAACAATTGATCACTAGCATATTAACTTACCTTTATAACTATAGACATGCTTTCCGTCGTTCTGTTTAAATCCTAACGAACCTAACGTAGTATCAAGTAGCGAGACCTTTCCCAGCCGGGAAACTCAAGCCGTCTCGCGCTGTGATTTGCGCCTGCAAAACAAGGCTTGGCTTGGCGCTTGTGTGAACTGATAACGGCCGTTTCGCTGCTTGGTCAACTTTGTCTACTTCTCTGTAACCATCTGTGGAGTGATAATGCAGGGGTCTGCCTCCTTTACGGAGTACGGAGTGTACCGTACATCAGAAAAAAACGGCAGAGATTTATGGCCGTCTTGACTGCCGTTCCGAGTTAATGCCTGCCAGATCTGCGATCACGATAACGCCTGATTGCCCAATCATGCTCCATTGGCGCTTGCAGGGATATGTCAGGCAGATGCACAGACTGGTCGTCTTATCTATGGTGGCTGTCGCGTGGACATCCCTGACAGGTACTAGTGGTGTTTGTGCGATCCTTCCTGCGTACGCCTCTTGTCGTTATACACAGATGGACCACGTATATAACCGCATAGCACTGCACCCGGTCTGACAAGTCTGACACCACAGGGAGTACAGAAGGGCGCAAAGCATGGATTCAAAAGACCCCAAATCCTACCGAGACGTCGACCACGCCCCCGTCACCTCGGTGCTCCCGGACGGCGACGTGCCCGTGACCGACCATGCCCTAACCTCCGATGACGCGGTGCTGGTGGCCCTGGGCTACAGGCAGGAGTTCAAGCGCGAGTTTTCGTTGTGGACGACCTTCTGCGTTAGTTTTGCGGTTCTGGGTCTTCTGCCTTCTTTCGCGAGCACCATGTACTATGGCATGGGCTATGCGGGCACCGGCGGCATGGTCTGGGGCTGGTTGATTGCCATGGTTTTCATACAGTGTGTTGCGATGGCGATGGCCGAGCTGTGCTCTGCTATGCCGACGAGGTATGGCTGTCTTATCCAACTCAAATTTAGAGAGGGAAAACGGAGAAGGCTGACTGACTGGTGTAAGTGGCGGCCTGTATTATGCATCTGCGGTGCTCGCGCCTCCTGGCTACGGTCCTCTCGCCGCCTGGCTGACTGGCTGGTCGAACTGGATCGGCCAGGTGACTGGCGCGCCCTCAGTCGACTACTCATTAGCTGCCATGATCCTCGCTGCCGGCAGCATCTCCAACCCAGACTACGTGCCCACGAACTGGCAAGTGTACCTGCTCACCGTGCTCATCATCATCATCCACACCATCATCAGCAGCATGCCCACCAAGTGGATCGCAACGTTCAACTCGTGGGGCTCCGTGTTCAACATCCTCGCGCTCGTCATCACCCTCATCACCATCCCCGCTGCCACCAGCAACAGACCCAAATTCACTTCTGCAAGCGACGTCTGGGGCACTATCCTCAACGGCACCGATTTCCCAGACGGCGTCGCCATCCTCATGTCCTTTGTCGGCGTCATCTGGACCATGTCCGGCTACGACTCGCCCTTCCACTTGTCTGAGGAATGCTCCAATGCCAACATCGCCTCTCCACGGGCCATTTCGCTGACGTCGATTATTGGCGGGCTGTTTGGCTGGTTCTTGCAGCTGGTGGTGGCCTACACCGTGACCGATATCGATGCCGTGATGAACTCTGATCTCGGCCAGCCATGGGCATCGTACCTGCTGCAGGTGCTGCCGCAAAAGACGGCCATGGCTCTCCTGGCGCTGACCATTATCTGTGGCTTTTCCATGGGCCAGGGCTGCATGGTAGCGGCGTCGCGCGTCACATACGCCTATGCGCGCGACGACTGTTTCCCGCTGTCCCGGGTGTGGAAGCAGGTAAACCCGCATACGCAAACGCCGGTCAATGCGGTGATTCTGAACGGGGGTTTGGGCATTTTGATGTGTCTGCTTATCCTGGGCGGCGACACGGCTATCGGCGCGCTGTTTAGCATTGGCGCAATCGCACAGTTTATTGCCTTTGCCATCCCGATTGCGATCCGCGTGTTCGTTGTTGGGGATCGTTTCAGGCCGGGGCCCTGGAATCTGGGCCGGTTGAGCAAGCCGGTTGGCGCCGCGGGCGCGTTGTTTGTCTTGCTGATGCTGCCGATACTGTGCCTGCCGAGCGTGACGGGCAGCGACTTGACGGCCGACTTGATGAATTGGACGTGCTTGGTGTATGGGGCGCCGATGCTGGCGGTGATGGTCTGGTGGGTGGTGGATGCTCGCAGGTGGTTCAGGGGGCCCAAGGTGAATGTTGAGCATTCGCTGTATCGTGAGGATGTTGAGGGCGTCGACGGTGTCGTTGTTCAGGAGACTGCAGCATCAGACGCTCAAGATCAAAAAGACATGTCAGATAGCAAGCCGCAGTAGTTTTTACCATTGATTCGTTGTCAGGCCAGTTCCCAACTCGACTCTTCACTTCACACTTAGACTTAGGGCATGCACCGCCGCCCAATCCCAATCGGGCAATGCGCCCCTCTCCCACGCAGCAAACGAGCTTGTCCCACGCGACGCAACCTCGCTCTGATATCTTCTCCTTCTCCTTCTTGTTCTCTCTGCCCTCATATTGATTCTCTCGTCTGAAGACATGTCCTTTCCGTCCATGTCTATGCAGCCTGCTCCAGGCTCCTACTTCTACACGGCTAGAGAGAGGTGCGTCGATCATATTATCCCCTCTGATCATAGGAGACTTTGCTGTCTGTTCTGTTTGCATCGTAACTATCGTTCAACGCTGACTTTGTGCCCAGAATGGACTCAGTAAGTACTCATCTTGACAAGCAATAGCACCTGCTCATGAGGACATACAGAACAGCTCTTTTGCAGACACCGTCACCATCAACAAGGCGTATTACGAGCATCTGGTACGTTCCACCACTAGCTTTTATGAGCTTGAACTCATTTGTATGCCAGCTTCGAGTTTCCCAGCAATTCAGTATGTGACAGACAACTTTCTAGATGGAAGGAAACAAACTGACAGCAAAAAAGAAAACATCAAGCGCTCCCTCTTAGCAGGGGGCGTGAGTCGAGAGAATTTCGATGTAAATCTCCTTCCTAGAAAAACAGTGCACTCTACTGATGTCGACAGGTCCTGGCCAACGATTCTGCTTTAGCTGCACAAACACGTGCATCAACATCAACATCAGCATCAGAACATCCAGTCGCCAAATCTGGCCCATTCATATCAGGCCCAGGTCTTTCCTACGCCAGTAGCAAGAGCCCCCCTCGCGACGAGGATGAGAACGAGAGCAATGCCTCTTTCTATGTTACCAGAAGAAGTAGACACCAAGACCCCGAAAATCCATCTGATTCATCATCATCAGAAGAAGGAGAAGAAGAAGAACAAAAAGCACCCGATGCTGAACCGGAACAACGCACCCTCGAAATCCGCAACCTGCCTGACCGCACCACCCATCTCGACCTCACAAACGCAATTCGCGGCGGCGCTCTTCTCGAGATTTACCTGCGCTACATCGACAACTCCGCGCGCGTGACATTCGCCGATCCTGCAGCCGCGCAGCAGTTCCTAGAGCGCGCGAGACGGGTTGGATTTGTCGTTGGGAATAGACGAGTATCCCCTCTCTTCCCACCTTCCCCCCTATTCCTCCCTCCCGCATTACATGTCCATAGTACTGATACTAGAACAGACAGACATAACCTGGAGCGACCGCCAATTCTTCGTGCGCCCGTACATCAAACAAAACATTTCGCACGGCGCCTCGCGCAATCTGGTCATTCACAACACCAACCCCAACATCACCGCAAAGCTCATCCGCGAGCATCTCGAGCACATCCACAATCTGGTCGTGCTCGACATCCGCTTCGATTATGCGCAGTCTGTCGCGCATATATACACCAATTCGGTGCATAATGCCATGTTTGCGCGCTCCTGTATGAAGTCTAGGGCTGCTTATAGGGGGATGAGGATTGAGTTTGCGGACGATGAGTGTGCGCGGGAATATCAGGAAGATGTGGTGAGCAAGGTTAAGACGCGGAGACAGAGGCAGGGTGGTGATTCGACTTTGACTTCTTCGATGCCGATGAATCGGTTTGAGATGTTGAGTGTTGAGGAGGAGTTTGAGTCGGGATCCGACACGGAGACGGTCTGATCAGAGCGATAGATAGATGGATGATTTGTAGTATTTCTTTTTGGCGATAAGGTGTTCCATTCCCCATTGTTTTCTATTGATGACATTGCCATTTCAATCGCCGTTGTACTTTCACTTGTGCATACTTGATCGTTCATTGCATTGTACTACCTAGCATCGTCTTAAAATACATCCATACATCTGTCAAACCAAAAAGGGAAAAGATACATGTTCAAGCAATCCTCAGGAGGAGGAGGGCTAATATGTCCACATACTCTTATACGCCAACAACCTACTCCCCAGCCGATCATACTCCAGCCGACCAATCCAGCTATCATTCGTCGAGCTCAACTTCCCAAACACGCTCGCCCCCTTCCATACAACCACCTGCGCATCCAGATCGCGCGGCGGGGTTCCAATCATAATCTCCTTTGCGAACGCCGGCCGCAGCACATGCAATCTCTCTTCGAGGTAGGCATGGAACCCCTGTACTTGGCTGCCGCCGCCCAGAACCATGATTCCGCCGAGGAAATCGCGCATCTTCTTGTCGTCGGAGCGTGCTGCGTGCGTGATTGAGGTTAGAATGGCTTGGTCGAGAGGGTAGACGGGGAGAATGTCGTCGCGCTCTTCGATGGTGGGTGCTCGACGTGGTTGAGGCGGTGGTTGTTGTAGCGGTTGCTGCCCTGCACTTGACGACACAGCTGCTGCTGTACCACCGGTTTTATCCCCCGGAATTGGCGTTCCGTTTTGGTGTTGTTGCTGCTGTTGCTGAGAGGGCGTGTTTGTCGTTTCCGGGGCTGGAGATCCAGCAACTGATGATCGAGGGGTGGCTTCTACGTCTTGCACACGGCCGAGAATGCTCAGATGAGACCGGCTTGGCGTCGCTTGGACGTCAGAAGTGCCATTGGTTTGGGATGGTTTCTCGTCTTCGGTTGTTGTCACCCCCGCCAGCTCGGCAGGGAGAGGCGGTGCAATCGCTGCCAGGATCTCGGACTGTGCTGCAGACGTAGGATCATTCTGCTGGCCATCGTAAATGTCCAATGACCGAGGTAAGAGTTTCCGACGTCCCTGTAGTTTATCGCCATCACCACCGGCGCTGAAAATCGCCGGCTGAAAATAGCCCATAGGCGCAAGGTGAATCTCGTCGTAGGCCTTAAACATGTATTTTCGCGTATCCTGCCCGGAGATGCGCAGGTGGAAATCGAATACTTGCGTCGACACCCCGCTTTCGTTCATCGTGCAGATGGTCTTCTTCAGTTCCTCGGCGAGCAGGAAGTCGTACCTGCGTCTCAGGTTGATATCGGCGTATGGGAAATGGTCGTAGAGCATCATTTTGATGAAGGTCTCGGTAATGTCAAAACCGCCGTATTTCAGATTGATCCGCGAGTTTTCAATGCACATGCCTTCTTCGACGCAGCAGATGGATGTCTTTTGGGCGCCTATATCCACGATGCAGGCTGAGGTGTATCCAGCGCCAAATGTGGCCGCCAGACTTTCCTGGATAAAGCAGACACGGGCAAAAGAGAATTCCTTCATCAACATCTCCAACACGCTGGAAACGTAGGTTCTTTCGTAGAGGTCTGGAATCACAAAGACACAAGAATATTGCGTCCAGTCCTTCTTACTCGTAAGCCCCAATTGAGTCTTAATGGCGTCTTCTAAGATCAGTGATATGTCCAAGAACAAAAGCCTGGCGCTGTCGTAGTCCTTCTCATTGCACCAGCCATGTTGTATCGGCCAGGACAACTTGTAGCGCGGCTTGGAGTCGTCCGGTATCCTGAGCGCCTCCTGTCCGGTGATGTATTCTGGAGCCGGACTGGAAATTTCTGTCCATTCCACTCTTGAGGGATCGTTGTGTTCGGGGATATGCTCTGGTACTGTCCGACGGTTATAGTTGATGACCATTTCCTTAGAGTTGGGCAACATTCTCCTCTTGTTTTGCCTCATATGCGTTTTGAGTTCGGCGCACATGGTGCCAAATAGCGACGCAAACTGTATATTACTTAGCTTTACGCTTTACGAGAATATATCAATCTCAAAACGCACCTCTGGGCCGAACTGTTTTTCGGGCTGCACTTCCTCCCCATCTTCATTTAATTTGATCCTCTTCGGCCTAGGCTCAACACCATCTTCAGACTCATTCTTTGCCGACTTTCTCGCAATAACCATCGGCACGGTCTTGGGCAGCGCATCACTTGCAAGACCAATACGCAGATTCTGGCTTCCAAGGTGAAGAACAATCACCTTGGAGCCTGCTGTTTCGGTGGGCGCCTCTTCGGCGTCTTCCATAGCTGTATCGCCGTCGACTTCCGCATCGCCCTGTTCTTGCTTTCCTAGAGCGAGGGCGCGGTCGCGGTCTTTGGCCGTCTTGGCCATGCGGTTTCGAGCTTCTTCGTTTTGCAGGCGGAAGGCGAGGAGTTGGTCGTCGCGTTTGAGGTAGTCACTGCCATTGTCATCATCAGCCATCATCCTCCGTTCATCTACCAAGCATTGGATGAAAACCAAGAGCGTTACATACGTATAGTAGTTCTTCTGATTGATTGGAGCTATCTGAGGCCAGCTGGATAGCTCCATGTTGTTATCAGTCCTTTCAAGACCTGCGCGGCGCATTAGATTCGAAGTCCTCGTTGACATGCAAATAAGCATGCGTACCTTCATCTCGAAGGGCTTTTTCTGATTTTTTCCCAACCATGTTTGTGGTCTGACAGCAACAGAAAACAAGCCAATTCTTTCAACCTGAAGCAACTAACTGTCGTGTCGTCGTATGCTATGTAGTTATCCGTCAACAATTCCAGCAAATCGCATTCCTGATATGGCTCCGCAAGACATAAGCCGTGAGACTTGACGGTAGTAGACAGCAAGAAAACACTTCAGCGAGCGGTGCCTCTCTCACTGGTGTTCATGAGTCCAAAGGACCAAAGGTTGTGATAGACGGGCGACGACTGAGCTTTGACCAGGCGGAATTCTCCACGCGGCTGATCCAATCCCGCGCCTCCCCTGCAATGCGGTCACGACTCTACGTACTTTTTTATTTTCAACCATCAGAACTTACCACACTCACCAACTTTTGACGACAACAACAAGCATGCCTATACCCCGAACGCATTACAATTTTCTCTAATAATTAGCGAACACTACGACCGTCTACGTGCTTAGCGACAAAGCGAGATCAAAAGCGAACACCTCACGGAATATTGCCGCTGGTCATCGTTCACGAGGTACATAACTGAGTACAACAGATACGATTCAACGCTCTCACGCGAACCACATCGATTACTACGTCTCGGATAATAATAAGATAATAACAAGAGGGGGAATTAACTATGGGAGGCTCATTTTCTCGGCTGTGGTCCCTGCTGTGGGCAAAAAAGGAGATTCGGATTTTGATTTTAGGTCTTGTATGATTCATCATCTGTTGTTGAAGGCCAGTGCTGATGAGGAGATCAGGATAATGCGGGGAAGACAACGCTTTTGTATAGATTAAAGGTGAGATATGTGCCATGTACTCTTGGTGTTCTCTGAGCTAATGATCGCAGATTGGCGAGGTGGTCACAACAATCCCCACCATCGGCTTCAACGTCGAGTCCGTTACTTACAAGAACCTCAATCTGAATGTCTGGGTACGTCGACGTGATACATCCAAGCTGCAGGAGAATTGGAGGGACTAATATGTCTACAGGACCTGGGCGGCCAAACCTCCATCCGTCCATACTGGCGATGCTACTACGCCAACACAGCCGCCGTCGTCTTCGTGATAGATTCGACGGATATCGAGCGATTAGGCATTGCCGCTGACGAACTGGCGGCCATGCTGAACGAGGAAGAACTGCGGGACGCGGCGCTTTTGGTATTTGCCAACAAACAAGACCAGCCGGGCGCGAAGGGCGCTGGAGAGATTTCCGAAGCGCTGAAGCTCGGCGAGCTGCGTGACCGGAACTGGAGCATCGTTGCGTGCTCGGCTATTGATGGCAAGGGGATCAACGAGGGCATGGATTGGTTGGTGGTGAGTTTCCCCCCTTCTTGAACGTCGGGTCGCGCGCAGGTATACATACTGACGACGATCACAGCAAACAATCCAGTCGGAGAATGCATGAAACAAGAAAACTCTGTAACAGCATCAGTTGAAATCTTCGTTGTGGTCGTGGGTCTTGGTCTAGACGTGGTAGCATCAGACAGATACTTTCTATAATCCCCCTTTAATAAACGAGTATATACCCTTTGCTTGCAACCCGCAGTAAGGAAGGAGCGAGCGAGCGTAGCAGGAGGAAGGAGGAAGGAGGAAAGAGCTGGGGGATCGTTGTTCCGTGCGTGACATGTGACTGCTGCTCCTTCCTGCTCCTCTTTCTTTCCTTTTCCTCTTCACTTGTCTTCGACGCACTTCGAAGTCTTCTTCTGCCAGACACGCCAGACTATGCTCTTCTCAGACTGTTGGGACAGCACAGTGCAAAACAATTGGAACACAGCGCCAAGGATCACATGCAAATGCCTCTCTGACTCCATAAAAGTCGCTGCTAGCTCCGTTATTTAATATTGAGTCTTGGTGGGTCAAGTCGCTGGTTTCCCTATTTCCTCCGGGGGGGTTCTTGAGTGCTCAGGGTTCTGTCGATGAAGGTATGTGACATATTATGATTGACTGCGAGGCGGCGTGCAATCGAATGCAAAATGCATTAATGGACTGAGACAAGCAAATACCATGGTTCGGAGCGTATGGCGTGGTGGCAGCGCGGGCGGCGATTGGCTGGCGGGGCAAAGCATAAACCTGAAGCACAAACCTGAGGCAGCACATGCGGACAACGCGGCTTCTGTTTTGTTGGGATGCCTCGATCTTACAGCTATGCCGCTCGCAGTCAAGCGCCAGGCACTCAGCATGCGTTGTCGCAGCCATTGACCAGTGGAAAGAGCCATGGTGGGCGCGGCCAGAGGGCAAGCACCGGTGGGGGGCTTGCTTTGCGATGCACTATAATAACTGACGCTGGGTTTCCCTCGCTTCGTGAGCTCGTGCTATTCACTGTTTACTCTCCGGATCGGAAATTCAGCTCAGCTGCTTCAATTGAGTGCTCTTCGTGTCAGCCTTGGCTTCAACATCATTCTCACTATGAGTGTCGTGCACTCCTCCTTCCACGTCCTGGACGGCCTGTCCACCCCTCACATCATGGTGGGCGCTGCGCTGGTGCTCGTACTGGGCCTCGTCGCCTCCGCTGTGCTTTTGTCCCTGCAGAAAGACAAGCGAGATTGGAACAAGGGTCTTCTGTCGTATCTCCAGTTCGCCTACTCGTGCTTCATCAAGCCCCATGAGCGTGACCGTGCAGGTGAGACCGGCCAGCAGCACGCTCTGGAAAGCTTCTACCGCGCTCAGGTATATATTACAACAAAATTTGTTGCTTTCTTTCTTCTCTCCGCTGACCGAACCACAGGCTAGTGTGTACGACGCCACTCGTAAGAAACTCCTTTGCGGCCGTGAAGATATGTTGGCATTGTTGGCCTCGCAATTGAAGTACCGGGAATCGTGCCATGAAATCTCCAAGCCGGTTTGGGTTGATGTGAGTAACGCGATGTTTTCTAATTGCAATTCTAGCTGACATGACAATAGATCGGCGGGGGCACTGGGTATGCTTCTTCATTTTCAAACTTCTGAACTTGAGGCTAATTGATATAGCTACAACATCGAGGCCATGAACGCCTTCCTCCCCGTCGACAAATTCTTCTCACATGTATACCTAGTCGATCTATCTCCGTCCCTGCTTGAAGTCGCTCGCCAGAGATTCGCGCGTCTAGGCTGGAAGAATGTGTCGGTCATTTGTCGCGATGCGCGCGAATTTCGTCTGCCGGGTGCAAACGGTGCGAGCAACGGTGGTGCCGATATCGTGACCATGAGCTACAGCTTGTCAATGATTCCCGGTGGGTCTAGCTGTAATTATTTGTGATAGGATGCTAGCTAATACTGGACATTAGATTACTACAGCGTCGTTGATTCGATGAAAAACCTCGTCAAGAGCGATGGCATTCTCGGTGTGGTCGACTTCTACGGTATGTAACAACTTCTGTCGGTTTTTATTTCAGCTAACAAGGGTAGTTCAAAATATCGTCGACGTCTCCTGCCGCAACTATACTGGCGGTGTGTTCAATCGACATGTGAACTGGCTTGGCCGGGCATTCTGGCGCGCGTGGTTCGACTTTGACCGTGTCAATCTGGACGCTGCTCGCAGAGACTACTTGGAGTACAAGTTTGGTACAATCATTTCCGCTAGTGAGCGCAACTACCTTCTTGGAGGAATTCCATACTACATTTTTTTGGGCTGTCAAAAGGAAATTACTTCTGGACAGTCCAGCATTGAAATGCTCAACGCGACTTGGACTGAATCTCCCTATTTGTCTGCCGCCAAGCACCGACAGGCCATGAGCGATGCTGTTGAAAACGCAACCCCAGAGATCAAGTCAAAGGCATACGAGTCGGCGGTAGTCAACCTCAGCTCTAACCTTCCCTTGCCCTCGGCTTTCTACCAGAACCACCATTACCGTATATACTATAACGACCAACTGCCCAAACACACCCAGTTCAAGGACGAGTATATCTACGCGTTCAACTGGGAAGATCCTCGTGTGGACCATCGTCTATTGAACATCAACAGTGAGGACGTGATCTTGACCATCACAAGTGCTGGCGACAATATTTTAGATTACCTGCAAAACAGCCCCAAGCGCGTTCACGCAGTGGATATGAACCCTAACCAGAACCACTTGCTTGAGCTTAAAGTAGCCGCTTTCTCGGCTCTAGACTACGACGACGTGTGGAAGATCTTTGGAGAGGGCAAGCATGCCCAGTTCCGTGAATTGCTGATTGGCAAATTGAGCCCGCATCTTTCAAGCCAGGCTTTCCAGTACTGGCTCGAGCAGACAGATGTCTTCACTTCGGGATCCAACAAAGGTCTCTACGAGACGGGTGGATCTCGCGTGGCCATTAAATTGGTGCGATACCTGTTCACGATTTTCGGCCTACACAAAGTCAACGACAGGCTGTGTGAGGCTTCAACTTTGAATGAACAGCGCGAGATCTGGCCCTCTATCCGTAAGGTGCTGATTAGCCGAATTCTGAACTGGGCTATTGTCAAGACGGAGTGGTTTGCTTGGAAGGCTGCCGGTGTTCCGCCGCCGCAACGTAACATGATCATCGATGACTATCTGAAGCGCGAGGGTCTGAGCGGTGGCGTCAAGAAGAACTCAGATGTTAGCGGACGTGCGATTTGGGAGTATGTGGTGGATACATTTGACCCGGTTGCGAAGGATACGTTGCTTAGCAATGACAATTACTTTTATTATCTGTGTCTGCAGGGAAAGTTCTCCAAGAAGTGAGTTTTGCCCAGCCTTGGTGTGTCTTTTTTGTATTTCGTGCTAATGATTAGGTGCCATCCCACATACTTGACCCCTAAGGCGCATAAGAAGCTCTCCACGCCTGGCGCTTTTGACGGACTCCGCATTCACACCGACGGTCTTAACGAAGTCATTGCACGCATCACACCGCGTACACTGACAATTGCAGTGGTACGTTTGTCCGCCTTTTCCTTGTTCTTCCCCCTCCCCCCCCCCCTCTTTTTGGGGGACAATCTCGACTAATGGAACTAGGTAATGGATTCTATGGACTGGTTCAATCCTGAAGAAGACGCCGCTGCCAAGCAAGCGCAGGCCTTAAACCGCGCCCTGAAAATGGGAGGTCGCGTCTTGCTGCGTTCTGCCAGTATTGATCCGTGGTATGTCAAGGACTTTGAAGCCAACGGCTTTAGTCCTCGACGGGTTGGGGCACGATTCCCAGGAAGCTGCATTGACCGGTAGGTCTCCTTCTTGTAGATGTGTTTGAAATGAGATACTGACATCACTAGTGTAAACATGTACGCATCTGCATGGGTCATTACGAAAACTGCCGAAATCGACGGCGAGACACGCCCAAAACCGGAGCGATCAAGCAGTGTTGAAGTGGAGGCGTTGACTATTTAATCTTGGTATATAGATTGGTTGGTGTTTGCTTGGCGGCGTATAAAATGATACCTTGTTGCTTGTTATAGATTTTATAATATACCCTGAGCATATGATAGCGTACTAGTGCTTTTCGATTATGAGTGTCTCAGATGTTTTCTTGAGTCTTGAGTAATTCTTTAATCGTACCAATGAAATTCATTTCTCAGTGCCACGCCAAATCTTCGCGCCGCCTCTGTCAAATTCTCCTGCGAGGCCGAAGCATAGGTCGCGCGAAAGAACATTCGACTCTCCGGTGCACTGCTATCACACCAGAAGAAGCTCCCCTGCGTCAGAAAAACCTTTTGCTGCACCGCAGATGCGAATATCGCACGTTGAATTGTGCCATGGTCGGCGCCAGCTTTGTATAAAGGATGTGCCTTCCAATCAATTTCAATCCATTGCTAAGCACAATTAGCGACACAAAAAAAAAAAAAAATAAAACCCCCCTGTGCACTACATAGGTATCTTGGCATGGAAGTACACTTACAAACATCCCGGCCTGCGAAGGACTCCACCTCGCAATATCCCCAGGGAGGAACTCATCGCATGCTCGAAGAAGCGTATCCCGTCTCCATGTATACTCGGATTGTATCCCCTCCAACCACCGCGCGAAACCCGTATGGCCCCAATGGTGGTTCAGAAGCTTGTACACAATCACCTGCGAAAACCCGCTGGGATTCTGCGCCGAGATCTCGTTCTGTCGCACGAATTTATCGATTATCTGTTGTGATGCTGTTACCCAGCCTGTGCGGCAGCCTGGTGCGAGGACTTTAGATAGTGAGTCAAGGCGCAGGACTCGTCCGTCGACGTCGAGGCTTAAATACGACGGGATGAGTTGGCGAGGATTGTCCACTTTCACTTCCTGGTTTGTGTTATGGTATGCCGGCAGTTGGAGGTAGTAATACGGCTCATCCTCGACGATGATAAGATCATGTTTCTGGGCAACTCGATAGATATCCCTGCGCCGCTCGAGAAGTTGAGTTGCGCCGGTGGGATTTTGGCCTGTAGGCACGGTGTATAGGAGGAACGGCTTGCGGGCACCGCCATGGCGACGCTGGTTGTCTGCGTTGTTCCAGGTGGAAAGGAGATGGTCGAGGGCAGAGGGGATGGGACCTTGGTCATCCATTTTTATGGAGGCGGCGTTTATGCCCATGGGCAATGCTGTTTCCAGCGCGGTGGAGAAGGTGTATTCCTCCATCAGGATGTAGTCGCCCTTTTCGCAGAAGATGCGGAGCGTGGAATCCCAGGCGGATGTGCTGCCGACTGTTAGACAGCATTGCCAGTCGGCGTAGGGGGGGTTGTGGATGAGCTGCTCTTCAGGATTAGTCGAGTCACAAACCAATTTGGATGAAAAGGTAGAGGGGGAGGGGGTTTACTTCGGTATGTTCCGTGACGAAGCGTAGCATCTGTGCAGATCCAGTGCCCTGTCCATAGTTGAGAGCGACGTCCAGGCCTAGATGGCAAGTGTGAGAGATTGATAAATTCCGAGTTGCTGGAGTAAGCTTACTGTACTCATTGACTCCGGGCTCAAAGTCGTCTTTGCCCACGTGGATGGTTGACTCGGATGCCTCCCCTGGAGAATTGGAGACTTTAACCTCAACCTCATTGAAGGGGAAGTAAGAGCTTGATGGGGCTCCGGCACCCAGTGAAATCATGCCTATGCATATAGAATTAACGAGACAGTTTCATACTACGGGGGTTTGAATACGTACCTGGTTCCTGAGAGTCCCGAGCAGCAGATTTAATGCTTGATGGCTTGCTGCATTCAGCATGGGGTCAAGCACATGTAGCATGGCATAGCATAGGATACCTTTCTGTTCCTTGACTCCTCGGAAAAGTACTCTGTCCACAGTCTCGTCAGCAAGCATGGCGAGTAACCCAGAAGTTCAAGCTCGCTTACGATCCCATCTTTGTGCGTTCGGTTTACTTGAATTCTCCTGTCGGCACAGGAAGTATGTCATTTAGCAAGCATAATTCATCCTCAGGACCAAAGAACTTCTTTCTTTTTCTTACATTGCTCTTAAACAAGTCGCTACTGCTAGTGGCTTCTGATTGTTGAAAGGCGCTCACATCCTGTTTGCGCCAAAGCGGAACTCCGCTGGAGTCGAGGAGGGTTGATTCGGGGTTCAAAAGCATGGCGGAAATGCAAAAATGAACTTCTGGTCAGACTTTTAAGAATGCGTGACGAATAAATGTTGTGCGGACTGTGATTTTCGTTTTATAGTGATCGGCCTCGGCTCTCGGTACCGTATCAGGATGGCGTCGGTCGGATTTACTTGCTAAATATTGAGTCAAGACTGGATATTTATTGTATATATAATATCAATGTAAATGAAGAAAGACTCCTCCTACATAGATATAATGGCCCTTATTCAGGTAGCGCTGAGAGCCCTGGAGTATTCTTATTTATTTGTTCATTATGGATTGATTTCACTGCTCTAACCTGCACTTACGAGCGACTCGTCTACATATAATGATTTAAACTGATTCCGTTCCATAATGACAGCCTGTTACCAGGCACAGTCCAAACCACTGCAGCTGTAACACGTCGCTCCAAAAAGAAAAGCCTAGGGAGAAGCGACCACAAAGTTATATAACTTCTTTGCGTCAAGAAAGAGAGAGAGTAAGAGGCAGAGTAGACATAAGCAAGGCGCATCGGCAGGAGTATGAAGGAGGGACGCCAGAAATTGCGTTGATTTAGAGCATTTGCGCAGATTTCTGACCTTGCCATTATAACAAACTAATTAACAGCAGCTGACCCTTGTCTTCTGCATCGGAATTTGACAAACCGCCTACTTCCACCTAGATAGTTATATATTTCGGGGAGCCCGGACCTAAGTAGGATAGATTTAAGGCCGATATGCTTAGGTATACTTGGGAGCAATTAATGCATCAATGCCCGAGTTCGACGATCCACGTAATGTCAGTAGTAATACTAGCATGCCAGTGGCAAATATTGATTCAAGATCGGGGGCTTAGTATTGGTTGTCTTCGAGTGATCAAGTGCTTTATAAACACTCACGGTGCATTGGCCCACCCAGGGTTATTTTGGTAGTCAAGTGGCGAGGCATGATCAGTATGTAATCCACTTTAGGGCTTGCGGATTGAACTGCGCTACTCACTGGCTGTCAATTTCGTCAAGCTGCAGCAACCCTTGTATCTTTTGATCTGAAGTCCTGCGGGCAATGCCGCTCCATCCGAAGAAATATTCCAGGCCAAAACGAATTAAAAGTGTTGTCCCAAACAATCTCTTGCGTACCTAGGTAGGGGTCGCCTGAAGTTCTTCATACTTGGTTCCATCGTCTCCTTTTCTGGCTAATCACTCGATACCGAAGACTACGGACATGATGTTGCAAGCCATTTTCGCTATTATATTGATTTCCCTCTGCTATTATTTCTTTCGCAACGAGAAGACTAGTCATAGTCTCCCACCTGGACCGAAACCTCTTCCCATTGTCGGCAATATTGCACATCTGCCCCCGAAGGGGATTCCGGAATACCAACACTGGCTGCGTTTCAAAGATGAATACGGGCCCATCAGCTCCATCACCGTACTCGGCACAACGCTCATCGTAATCCACGACAGGCAAGCAGCACATGGCCTTATGGAAAAGCTTTCTGCCAAGACGTCGTCGCGGCCCCAGACGCAGTTTGCGACTTCGCTAAGCGGGTTTGGCGCGTTCGTGAACGCCATGCCGTATGATGCTACTTTCCGCCTGCATCGTAGGTTGATACACCAGCAGTTGGGTACAAAGTCGAGCGTCGCACCATTTCGAGACGTTCAGGATGTCGAGTCACGTAGGTTTCTTCTCCGGCTGCTAGATGAGCCTCGTAACTTGGTAGAACATATCAAAACGTGAGTCAGCTCATTTCATCATGTAGAGACATAATGCTTACCCTGTTACTAATACTTGCAGTGAGGCGAGCGCGATTATCTTGAAAATAGTATATGGTTACTCTGTTGAGCCGCGGGCACCCGATCCTTTGGTCCTCTTGATCGAGCGCATGATGCATAATTTATCGCTGGCAGTCATTCCTTTAGCGTGGCCTGTCGATTATTTCCCGGTCCTCAACTATCTTCCAGAAGGGCTGCCAGGTTCATCATTCAAATCTGTGGCCCGCAGATGGAACAAGATCAATCAGGCAGTTTTGGAAATTCCCTATGCGTTTGTTCAACAGCAGATGGCGAAGGGAATCCATCGGCCATCCTACGTGGCTTCGGCTCTCAATAGTATCTCTGGAAATGATACCGATAGTTGGAACAAAGACAACAACGAAAATGCTATCAAGTCAACAGCCGCAATCATGTATGGAGGCGGTGCCGACACTACCGTGTCGGCTCTTACTAGCCTCGTCCTAGCTATGATTCTGTTCCCAGAAGTTCAGCGGAAGGCACAGCAGGTACTTGATGCCGTCGTCGGCACAGAAAGGCTCCCCCGGTTTGAAGATAGACCAAATTTGCCTTATGTCAATGGCATGGTGAAGGAATCACTGCGATGGCTTCCGGTCGTCCCCATAGGAACTGCGCATGTCACTGATGAGGAAATTATTTTCGCAGGGTTCCGTATCCCAAAGGGGGCATATTTGTTGCCATCAATCTGGTGGTTCTTGCATGATCCGTCAATCTACTCAGATCCGTCCATTTTTGATCCAGACAGATACTTGGAACCGCGCAATGAGCCAGATCCTGCGACAGAAGCTTTTGGATATGGTCGCAGGATTTGTCCTGGGCGATATTTGGCTGATGAGAGTCTTTTCCTGACGATTTCCCGTCTGATAGCAAGCTTCAACATCACCATGGCAGTTGATGACCAAGGAAAGGGGATTGTGCCCGAGGCGAAAATCACCCCTGGCTTGATTGGCCATCCACTGAGTTTTCCTTATGATATTAAGCCCCGAAGTGTCAGGCATGCGGATCTCATACGAAATGTCGAGATTGACCACCCCTGGGAGGAAGGTAGCTCCAACCTACTCTCAAGGGAATTTATCGAGAATTACGGTGGGGTCTTATAATAGGCATCTTATTGGGCGTGTGAACAGGGCAGTAACTTGGCCTAAAAATCTTTTTCTTTGCTTATTCACAACACAGTATGAACTTTAAGCGCATCCCAGCATTGCCTAGTAACAAGGATAAGTGAGGAATAAAGAGGACCTATTTGTATATAGTCTACTGATGTAGCACAATAAATACCTATGTGCCTCGAAGTCATCCAGTGAGTACCTAGATAACAGCCTGGTATAGCACCCTATCAACACGATCTAGTAAGTGCGCAATGTCCAATCATCGCAGTTTGGGGCCAACCTGAGATCATTCATCAGATTAGCATGGATCTCAGAGGAAATCTAAGGTCTAGGAAATACATCCATAGTGGACGGATCCGTATTGAATAGCCCCAAGCCAACTAGTGGGTATACATATATGAAGGATCATACATATTTTCATCATGTCAAGCAGCATATCCAGAAAAGACGGGCAGAAAATAAACATAGATAGCACTTAGCAATTCATCAGTTGCTGCTAGGTTTGGTACAACATCAACAATTTCGGCGGTAGTCAGCTCTGATGGGCGAGTCACGATGGATTGTCGTGGGCATGAGTATAGTTCCCATGTCAATTGCAAGACCGTCTCTAACAGGTATGCTGTGTCAATAGTATAAGCAGATATAGGGATTATGGATAGATCTTAAGTGGTGTATACAATCAAGTACATAATATGTAAGACAACCTATTCCTACTTTAGTCGTCGGTATACGTCCGGGTGAGAGTGAGGTTATCCCGCGCCTAACGCCAACAGTGTCGTCAGCCGTGCCGTCTGTTCATTCCCTGCAAGTATCCAAGAACATGAGAATATGTCATTGAAACTTGTTCAGACCCATTCAAAGCGCCTCAATTTGTAATTACCCTGACTGCAAGCACCACGAGACCGCGTCAGCAACTCCCAACGTTCCTTAAGCCATGCCACAATGATCAAGGATCTGCACATCCCGTCTCGCCCATATTGGACAACGCACTGATTGATAACTATAATTATAAAAAGCGTCGTAATGGCCCAGGCGCCCGCACCAATTGCCGCTCGCCCTGGACATCTTGGCGTTCATGTCGGGAGCCTTGGCATGCGGAACATGGACGACAACCTTGTCCAAGTACCAAGCCATGAGTGCAACGGTGCAAAGACACAAGTACATCTGTCCGCGTTCTGTGTTAAAAATTTATCCGGCCTGCGCATGATATGCGTCAGCCTACACAGAAATGACTATATCTCATTTTTGTAATTCCGGCGAAAGTCGAGGTCTAGGTACGGTCGATCACGAAGCATCTGCACTCCCACCCTCTGCAGCGAATGATAAATCATTATTTAGTCAGATGCGGAGAAATAAACCTGGAAGATAAACGGAATACTATGGCCCGTCTGTCCTCAATTCTGTTCGATTGCATGGGGTGTGATCGAGGTTGCCAATTTTTCACCAATATGGACTCAAAAATGAGGACAAATGGATTGATCTTATTTCACGAGCGAGAATATGATTCAATAGCTTGGCATCAAGTATAAAATGGCGGGATGTGGATGCAAATGTCTTGGTCTGACGGGCACTTTGTTCCAGCCAAATACTTTTTGAACAAGTTCAAATTCTTTTTTTCTCTATCTCTCCTTTGAACACCATGAAACTTCAAGTCTTCTTGAAGATAGCCCTGGCAGGCTTCATCGGCCTCTCTGTTGCCCACCCAGGTGAGCAACATGAGGAAATCGACGAGCGTGCTCTCATCCAGAAGCGTGCCTTCCAGGAGCATGTTACCCGCAGCCTTGAGAAATGTGCTCGCCAGCTTGAGGCTAGCGGTGTCTACAAGCGTACCGAAGCACGCCGCCGTGATACCATCGAAAGTCTTCGTCGTTCAAAACCAGCTGGTGCACGTCTGACCGCGCGTGACCCGGAAACAGTGCTCAACACATCCCACTTGGTAACCAACTCCAGTATCAACGCCAGTACGGCCGACGACGTCCTCTTCACCAACAATGGCACATGCGTGCTCAACCCGGAGGGCGAAACAGGCCCCTTTTACGTGCTCGGCGAATATGTAAGGACGGACTTGCGCGAAAGCGAGGTCGGCGTGAACATCACCCTTGAAGCGCAGTTCATCGACGTCGACACCTGCGAGCCTTTGACCAACATGTGGTGGGATGTCTGGAACTGCAATGCCACCGGTGTGTACTCCGGCGTGGTTGAGAACGGCAACGGCAACGCCAAAGACACAGCCAACTTCAACCGCACGTTCCTGCGTGGCATACAGCAAGCAGACAGCGATGGCGTCGTCCGGTTCGACACCCTCTTCCCGGGTCATTACTCGGGACGCGCCACTCACCACCATATCGTCGCTCATATCGGAGATGATATCACTGTGCTGGCCAACGGCACTATCACCGGCGGCTCGGTGGCGCACATTGGCCAGCTTTTCTATGACCAGGACCTGATCACGGAAGTGGAGAGCACGTACCCGTACAGCACTAATACCATCACAATTACTGAGAATGCTGATGATCGTGTGTTCCTCGCTGAAACCGAGAATACCACTTCTGACCCTGTCATCAACTATGTGTTGCTCGGCGATAGCGTGGAAGATGGCTTGTTTGGCTGGGTTACAATTGCGATCGATACTTCTGCCTCGTATGATCCGAAGTATAGCTTTGTCTTGACTTCGAGCGGTGGTGTTGAAGAGTCTGGTGGCACGGATATGAAGTAATCCTGTTCTGAACACTGAGAGGCCAAGAGTGCTATTTGGTTGGCACATGGGTGAGACGTCGTTATCAACAGGTAGTTACTTTGCTCTTCAATGCCTTTATCGGAGCTCTTTAACTCACGGGGCATGTGTTGTTGCACATATTTGCTAGATATAGCGTACTTTCAAAATCAATTAAATATGGCCAACGATGTTATGACCCCATTTCATTGAGAATGGCAATATAATCACCTATAACGGAATTAGCATAAACCTATGACATGGTTTCAGAAAGGAATAGAAGGGGGAAAGTACAAGCAATCCCCCACCGTCTCGTCTGCTTTTCCAATATCTGTCTCATAACTCTCATTTCAACTGCGAATGCATCCCCAACCTGCCCCTGTCTTTGACTTGAAGAGCGATAGGTATGAACCTCCATCAAGATTAGGTAGATCATATGCACGGCATAAGGGAAGAGTTCGATGAACATTCCTTCTTTGGCTGTTATTTGAGCATCGTTGCCATTATCAATGCTAGTGGTGCTAACATCTCGATGAATAACTCCCGGTATATGATCAGTGGAAATATCAGTGAGAATCCGTAGAACGGTCTGTATTGCATGTGCGGATAAGGAGGATTCGTCATTGTACGAATCGGTATTTTGAGCCAATGACAGACGCCATTTGTGTAAGTGGAAGAATGCACTGTTAATTGCGTTAGTTGAATCCTTGGTCTGGGTCGGGTAGGATAAGATAGATGGTACTTCAAAGCAATAGCAATCGCCTCACAACAACTTCCCATGCCAAGCTGCACCAAAATCCTTAGGAGGTCGATTAATCCGCTGTCGAGGTCGCGAAAGGTCATGCCACTAGCACTCGTATTGTGTCCGCCACAGTTGACCATTTCCAAAACCAAATCTAGCCACACCGTAGCTTTCACACGCAGATAAAACGCTGCATAGTGTCTGTTGCGCGCTATATGTGGGAGCATAGACTGTACTTCGGCTTGGAGTTTGTCGTTGTTAAGTATTGCTTTTGTTTCTTGGTTGTTGGTAATACTGAGCGGTCGGACAGGGATCCCGGCTTTGGCGCTTATCATTCTGTACGCATATATATAAGGACATAAACTCGGGCATATAGTATGCAGGTAGACTTACCGTTCATGGGTAACTATTCCCCACCACGTCTGTGCCGCCTCATCCTCGAACTGCGATGTTGATTCTAATCTTAATATTGATATTGCTCCTTTGTCCAGCAGCGGCAAGCCACTGACTAGCACCATGCTTGAGCAGACAGATATAGTCGCATGCGCTGCATCCAGCAAACCCTGACCATACTCATAAACGGAGAGGAGGAGGCCGGCTTGAATCAGAGCCAGAGTTGGTTTTGCAGTTTTCGTGGCAGCCGAAGATATATCGCCACAGAAAAAGAGTTGCTTCGCAGTGACATACATCAAATGACGTAGCGGATCAGGTTCTAAACCCGATCCAGATCTTGAGGGTCTGCGCAAAGGCCGTGTGATAATACACATGGCAAAAATCAATGTCACGATCCCTCTATCCAGCAGTTGACCGGAGATTACACTGCTGGGATCAATAATACGACCAAGTCGGAAATCGTCTGTGTGCACGATGCGCAGCCAATCCTGACAGGAGGTTAGGTAGGCATAGGATATGGTATCGAATTGGTGTTTGTGGTTGACCAGTATCTGGTTTAAGCGAGGGAGATAAGAGGACAGTCCAGTGCTCTGGAGGTGCATAAATTCGTTGATGAGAATCTGTTCTTCATCCTCGTCCTCGCCATTATACTGACTTCCATCTTGGCTTCGTGATGAGGATGAAGATGGGGGAGTTATAGCAGTGAACTGTATGGTCGATGTTGATGTTGATATGGACAATGGGGTTGGATAGTGGCATTTTAGCCAGAGCCTAATCTATCATGTCAGATCCTTTGCAGTCTCCTAAAGGCGTATAATTCAATGTATGGACTGGATCCATTCGGTGGAAAGAATCAGGTACATACCGCTCACAGCGCGAACACTGCGGCAGCAACCGGTCACATTTCTGCTTCCGGCTTCTGCACGACGCGCAGACTGTGGTGCTTAGCATTGCCAGCTTGTTCCTCTGCTGTTAGTCTTTCCTAATACTCCGTAGTTCTCCATATACTCTAGAGTCTTATTCGAGAAACGTAGAACATGAAGGACAGACGGTGGCTAATCCTGGATGTGATAGGACGGAGATGTGATTAGTCATACGCTAGCGTCGGCGACCCCTGCTCTTTTAGCGTCGGCGACCCCTGTCGTTTTCTGACACTGTGATTGGCTGTAAGACCAAGATTGGCCGAACCCTAAACTTTAAAACGATTGTATGGTTTTCCGGAAACGGCAATATGGATCTCTCCGTACAAAGTAGCACGGGCAGATCATAACTCAAACAGAAGCTCAGAGTTTGTCATCTGCTGAGAAATCAATCAGAGATTTATTCTTTTGGCATCTATTTCCTGTTGAATGAAGGCAAGGCAAGTATAAAACGGACACTAGTCCCGTAGAAACTGTTTCTGTTCTATCTTCTTTACCGTCATACGTGCTACTTTTCTAGGCCACCGCAAGCTACTATACATTATATACAATAACCATGGGATTCTTCCAACTCCCCGTTCCCCCAACCCCCCCCGGCACAACTGTCCAAGGCAAAACAATCCTCATTACCGGCGGGAATTCCGGTATGGGCTTCGAAGCAGCCCGGCAATTCCTGTCCCTCAAAGCCTCTCGCATAATCATCACTGCTCGCGACAAAACCAGAGGCGAAAACGCCGTTGCCGCGCTTCGTCGCGAGTTTGCTCCTAACAGCAAAAACGAATCGCCAGTCATTGAGTTCTTCGACCTGGATCTTGATGACTATCAGTCTGCGCTGAGGTTCTGTGACAAGGTCAAGAAAGATGTACCGTACTTGGATGTGCTGGTGTGTAATGGCGGTGTTTCGTTGATGGAGTATCAGACAAGTAAGAGCGGGCATGAGAGGATTATGCAGGGTACACCTTCCCTTCCCTTTTCTTTCTTCCTTTGATTCATGATCTAACAAAATAAATAGTAAACAGCTATAGCCACTTCCTCATCGTCCTCGAACTCCTTCCTCTCCTCCAAGCAACATCTACCCACCGCCAGGCACCTTCACGCGTCACATTCACCGGCTCCGGGGCGCAGAGACTCACCACCCTAGCCCCAGGCAAACGACCTCTCGGCAAGACCGAGAACGTTCTTGCGCACTTTGACAGCAAGGAGGGTTTCAGCGGTATGACCCGCTACGGAGATAGCAAACTACTAGTAAACGCGTTTGTGCGCAAACTGGCTACCCGCGTCTCTCCTGACGAGGTTATCGTCAATAACTTCTGCCCTGGTATGGTTTCCAGTGGAATGGAGAAAAATGCGCCTTTGTGGATGAGATGCATTGTGAAAGTTATCATGGCGATTCGCGCGAGGTCGGTGGAGGTGGGTAGCAGGATGATGGTTTATGCTGTTGCAGTGACTGGGAAAGAGAGTCATGGGAAGTTCTATGAAAATAACAAGGTTAATCCGTAAGTTGTTATGCCTCTGTCCAGGTTTCGATATGTATGGGTGAAAGATGGATTGACTAATTGACGGCATTGCAGTGCAAAAATGTTCCTCGATGAAGATGCTGGCCAGGATTTCATCGGTCGGCTTTGGAGAGATACACTGGCGGAGCTGGTTTCTTTGGACCCAAGTTTGAAGCGTTGGGAATAGTTCTTTGATGTTGCTTTGATTGTTTGTTGTGCTTGTATTTACGTAATTTGATAATACAATTGTTCTCGTCGGATACCTAGACATTGCGCAGAAGCAGGAGATATATCATGGAATAAAAGTTATGGTAATAAAATAAGTAGTAATAATAACAATACGAGTAATGATAATAATAGTAGTATGATTGTTACATCAGTATCGTACCACATGCTCCTTTCTCTTCTTCTCCTCTCATGCTCCTCAGAACGTCATGTCAATGGTGATATTTTCATTTCCAGATCCATTAGATTGGTATCCAGATGCTGTATTTAACCGAACGGGGTTCAGCTCGATTTTCGAATCGACGAATGGGGGTCGATATCATCTCTTTATCTCATTTAGATAACTTCGATTGCATTAGATGGTGGATTAATCGCGACCATATCGGGTCTTGCCGATATTGAATGGGATGTAGCGGTATTTAATCATGTGTTGGATTTGTCGTCGCACTTTGTTAGACTTTAGTGAGAATTCGAAGAGATAAGAAAACGGCGAAGGCATCTTACTAGTCAGGAAAAACAGAATCAACCAATACATGACCAACACCGGCCAGAAAACCGGAATGTCAAACACCTTGAACCACGAGCACAAAAAAGAAATCGTAATTGCGCGGGTGGCCGAATGCCAGAATTTAAACTCGGGCAGACGACGGATAAATGGACGAAACTCATCGTCTTGTTTAATGGGGAGGCTCGAGGCGCCGGCCTCGCCGTCCTCAAGGCCTTCGTCTTGGGTCAGGGAGGGGTCGAATTTGGGCGACAGGAAGGCCAGGAACAGGTTTAATAGGTAGATTCCCAGGGTGTATGCCACTATACTCCGCCGTTGCCATTAGAATTCAATCCCCACGAGTTGAGAATCACGTTACATAACCGATTCGGGAGACAAACCGATATACCATCCTTGCGCGATGACGATTCGGAGGAAGAACAGGATAAGCAAAACGCCGGTTCCGACCCATCGGTACGCGGTGAAAGGTGTCAATTGATCTAGATATGCTTGGTATTGCTAGAGAAGTGTCAGTCAATACCCTTTCTCGTTTGTACAATTTATCTTTGATATATATCGCCTACCCTGGCAATCTTAGAAGTCTGCGCCTGAACGGCGTGGAAAGGAGTCTGATCCGGCTCGGGGACGTCCATTGCGACTGCGGTTGGAGACGCGATATTACGACCACGTCTAGGAAGTAATGTAAGGAGAGAAGTTTCGAATGTCTTTCGTTAGCCTATGCGACGCGAAGGCGATTATTCGTATGGGATTGTTGTAATTTGGCGTGGTTATCTGTGGCTCGCCTCGCCGTTTGAAAAGTGTCCTCCTGAGTTGAGTTTAGCTTGGCTCAGCTCAGGCCCCAAAACAAAATGCAGGCAGCCGCCCAGCCACAGCAAGCACGTGCGAGCTTATCCTGTTTCGGCGAACAATGCAAACTACGCAAACTTCTTGGCTACTCTCGGTTTGGCTCGGCTTTGGCTGTTTGCTTGGCTGAGCCTCGGCTTACGTTCACTGCGTCGTCGTCGTTGTTGTTATAGATACTGTTGTTGTTGTTCTTGTGGTTGAGCATTCGGTTGATACTTGACATTTTACAAATTGCACATATTTTACGCCGTTCAAAATGTTCACTCGCACCGCGCGACTCGCGACATCCAGCACCAACAGTGCATTGACATCATACCTGGCCCGCGCCAGCTGCCGACGCTTCTCATCCACGTCCCCAGCTTCCTATGAACACATTCTCACCGAGACCCCGAAACCAGGAGTTGGATTAAGTAAGCTTTCTTCATGCTTCGCTACTGAAATGCTCTAATCTGACAAATTAGTCACCCTCAATCGCCCCAAAGCTCTCAACGCTCTGTCCAGTCCTCTCTTTCAGGAATTAAACGATGCGTTGAGTAATTTTGACCAGGATAATGACATCGGCGCCATTATTTTGACAGGCAGCGAGAAGGCGTTTGCTGGTCAGTTCACTTCCGTTGTATGAATCTAAAATCATGAAACTACACATGACTAACCCGACGATAGCCGGCGCCGACATCAAAGAAATGGCACCCCTAACCTTCTCCTCTGCATACTCCAACAACTTCATTGCCCCATGGTCACATCTTGCAAACTCAATCCGCAAACCTGTCATTGCGGCAGTGTCCGGATACGCACTCGGCGGTGGATGCGAACTTGCCCTGATGTGCGATATTATCTACTGCACAGCCAACGCTACATTCGGACAGCCGGAAATCAAACTCGGCGTGATTCCCGGCGCAGGAGGTTCCCAGCGATTAACCAGAGCTATTGGCAAGAGTAGGGCTATGGAGCTTATTCTAACAGGCAAGAATTTCAGCGGCAAAGAAGCTGGTGAGTGGGGTGTTGCGGCTCGTGTTGTTGACGGAGGCAAGGAGGAGCTTCTGGCAGAGACGTTGAAGACTGCGGAGACGATTGCGGGTTACAGTCGGGTTGCTGTTGTGGCGGCGAAGGAGGTAGTTAATAAGAGCCAGGAGCTGTCTTTGAGGGAGGGTGTGGAGTATGAGAGACGTCTGTTCCATGGCCTGTTTGGCAGTAAGGACCAGAAGATTGGTATACCTCACCCTTACCCTTGCGTTTGAGGATTTGTTGGAGTTTGCTGCTAACACGTTATACTATTATAGGCATGACTGCATTTGCAGAGAAGAAAAAGCCCGAGTGGTCACACGAGTGATACACGAATGTGGCGGGGTCGTTGTTTATTAGATGAAGGATGCGAATGTTACGGGTGCGGTTTTTTATAGTGATGGGGGAGATTGTTGAAGTAGATCCTTCTTTTTCATGCCTAGGTTTAGCACCTAGACAGAATCTATAAACATAGCAAGTAGTTGAATAGCGTACTCCTTTCCTCTCGCCTACAATGGTTAAACAAAATTTCAGATATGTGTGCATGTTACTCCCAACTCAAGACGCCACGGTACCGCATCTTCCCAGATCTGAGCTTCTCCATAGCTGTCGTGACCCCTTCCAGAGTCATTGGGAACTTTTCAGTGATGCAGTACACCTTATTGCGAGCTGCAAAGGCCAGAACTTGTTCCCTTCACACACATACACGTCAATAAGACTTTATTTCTTCTTAAAGAAAGGATGGAGATAACTCACATTGCCAAGATAGGCGTAATGCAGCTTCCTATAATCTTACGCCCATACATGACAGTTTGCATGTACGGTGCCCTCAAGTCTCCGCCGTCCACAGAAAGAGGAAATATACTAGCACTCGGACTCAAGATCGGATAGAAGAGACCAAGATTGAACTTTGCCGAAGACGTAATGAGGAGCCGATCAATGGGCTTTGTGACCCCGAGCGTGGAGTAGTCTGATACGCCTCCTGTAGCGTAGAATTCGTTTGCGCCGAGTTTCTTGCTTTCCTCTTTTTTGTCATCAGTGGATGAGAAGACGACGACATCGCAGCCCATTTTAGCGGCTAGTTGGATGGCCAGGTGGCCAAGGCCGCCAACTCCGACGATTCCAATGCGATCATATGGTTTGCAGTAGTCAATTAGCGGCATCCAGACTGTGCCACCACCGCCTGTAAAGAGTAAATAATTTTTAGTTATCTGAAAACAACAAAGGAACCAAAAGGGATAAAGAAGGAATATGTACACATCAGCGGGGCAGCATCTTCTGGAGCAAGACTATCCGGGATCTTGAACAGCCACTGTTCTCTTCGCACGGCATAGCTACACATAGAGCCTTGAATATCGTAATCAGTTGAGCCATATGCCCTCATCTCTGGACAGTAGTTGTCCTGGCCGGTGTGGCACATTCTGCAGCGGCCGCATGTCGAATTCAATGGTCCCCAGCCTACTCTATCTCCCGGCTTGAGGGTACACGCCGAGCCAACTTGCTCGACGATGCCAATCCCTGAAAGATTGTTAATACTTATTAGGAGTAAATGAAGCTATCACCACTTACCCTCGTGGCCAAGAACTAAAGGCTTCTTGAGCTGGTGAATGTCACTCCCGCAGAGGCCGCTGTGGGTGACCTTTACGAGCGCTTCGTCAGGCTTGATGTCAGGGAGAGTTGCTCTCGTTTGGATTATCTGCCCGGAGGGGGTGCCGCGGAATTGGATTGCTTCAACCATGAGGGACAAGTATAGCAACTATCGAGATGTGAGAAGTGAGTAAGTAGACTTTCAAGCAGGTGGGCGTATATATACTTGAAGCTCTACATTACTAACTCATTCTAATATCTGGATGATATCAACCAGACACCCATGGTCTGCATCTGTCAGCCATTCGCATTGGCAAGACTCTTGATGTAAGTTTTGATCTTTGTTATCTACTCCGTATTGAAGAAGCTTATAAGGGTTGCGGCGTTAGCGGATATAAACTCGCAGATAAGCTCTGCACTTGTCAGCAACTTGCATTAGTCTAACCGTGATAGGTTTAGCCTGGATTGTTTCCATGGCTCTGGGATACTTGCAAAGAAGTAAATAACGCCTCGCTATTCCAACCATTCAAGTTCTACATTTTTTTGAGGAAAAGCAAGAAAATAGTGGGGGAACAAAAGTGAATGTGGCAAAAGCTTTCGACCGACATTAAAAATAAACGTGCATCTGCATCTGCAAGTGTCAGCCTTAGACTTACCATTCAAGTGCCGCATATTGCGTCTTAAACACCAAAATGGAATCAAATGGGCACATTCAACCCGTCATCCCTGTCAGGCTATTGGAGAGTTGGAAGGGAATCACCGATCCTAAGACGAGAAAGACGTTGCAGAATCGTCTAAACCAACGTGCTTATAGTAAGTGAGGTTCCACGTGTAACTATCTAGGATGTATTAGGGTTAGCTGACATGCACCACCAACAACTAGGGCGTCGACAGCAAGCTGCAAAGGGACAGCGTTATAAGAGTCCCAATATTAATTCACAGCTACAGCCACAGACGCAATCAACGCATCCTCTTCTCCCTCGCTCCCTCGACCATTTGGATCCATGCCATTTGCCGGTTGATACTACCGAACTGTCAAAATACGTACCCCTTCAAGAACTAGAAGCCGTAATCCACTTAGAATTCGCCCAAGGCTCCCCTCGCGCCGATCTACTCCTCGGACTAACACAACTAAACATCGTGCGCGCCTTATACAACATTGCAGACATACTAAACTACCGAACAGCCGACATGCGCGACGACTCCCAGTCTATGTTCACTGGTGTCATATCCGCACATAATTCTCATCGTCACTCACTACCGGCCTCATTACAACCGACAATAAAGCAATGCACTGACCCGCACCATCCCTGGCTGGATATGATTCCGATCCCGAAGATGCGCGACAATCTTATTCAGGCGGGAGACACTTTTGATGATTTGCGGCTGTGCCATGATATGTGTGGGTACCGTTTGTCTGCTACAGGTTTCCTGATCTGGAAAGAGCCCTGGGATCCATCGGGATGGGAGGTGACAGAATCTTTTTTGCAGGTTTGGGGATGGACAGTGCGCGATTGTTGGGATTTGTTTCGGTCGACGAATCGCTGGCGGATGAGGAGGGGGGAGAAGCCCTTATTTCGTGCTCTACAATCTGAATGAGATGAAGAATATGATTCTTTTTACTATCCGAGTACTAGAAAAACACATTTAATGTCCCACCATTGCCTGCTGCGCCGGAGCATACCTGTTTCCATGCGGTTTGGCTGTATCCACGATTTTCCTCATTTCCTCGAGTTCTTCCTTCGTGAAATCCACATTCCTTGAAGCCCAGTTTTGCTCGAGCCGAGAAGCCTTGGTGGTGCCCGGGATGGCAATCATGCCCTGAGCAGCTACCCAGGCAAGTGCAATCTGAGAAACGCTGACACCTTTCTTATCAGCGAGCTTTTTAATCTCCTGCACAATGGCGCGGTTTTTGTAAAAGTTCTCTCCTTGAAATTTCGGAGCTGTTCATTTTATTGTTAATTTTCGTGCAACGTTAAATATTTGATAGTAATAGGGATTAGAAAAACTCACACTTCCGTCTGAAATCATCAGGCGCAAAGTCGTCGGGAGATTTGTAGTCGAAATTATCAACTAGCCATCCATGCCCAAGCGGACTGTACGCGACATAGGCCACGCCCAGCTCCTTGGCGGTTTCAATCAAACCGTCCGTCTCGTGCAAGGTCTCAAAAGCTGAGTACTCAGCTTGCACAGCATCAATCTTGGCAACTATAACCTATATGTTAGTACATCAAAGCGAAAGAGGACTGAGCAGAACTTACTGGCATTGGCTTTCCGCAATGTAGCAGCCGAGCATTCAGACAGACCAATGTACTTTGTCTTTCCGGCTTTGCGAATCTCGTCGAGGGCGGGAATGGACTCTTCGAGTGGAGTTTCTATGTCCAGTTAGCACTGAAAGTATGGCAACCATCAACAGGACATTCGACATACTGGGGTCTATGCGATGTAAATAGTACAGATCAGGGGCGAATCCCAGTCTCTCGATAGTTCCTTCAATGTACTCCTTGATATGCGCGGCGGAATTGGTTACGCTTCCATCGCCGAAGGCATTGAAACCGCATTTCGAGGCCACTATACCAATGAAAAGTCAACAATTTAACATTCCCTTTATTCAAGAAAGGGAGAGAGACAAACTTACCGAATACTTTGTCCCGGACATTGTGTTTCCGAATAAAGTCACCAAGCAGTTTCTCATTTACGCCGGCTTGGTAGACGACCTGTCAGATCGAAACGTCAGACTCGTTTCTCGGCACTTTACAATATGTATGTAACCCACCGCGGTATCCCAAAAGGTGCAGCCCAGTTCAATTGCTTTGAGGAGCACGGGCTCTGCCTGCTCAAGAGTGAGGTTGGATCCAAGACCAAAGCTGAGGCCCATGGCACCAAAGCCAGGGGATGGCACGTCCAGGCCGGGGGCGAAGGGGAGTGTTGCGACCATGTTGAAGAGCTATTTGTTGTTGCGACTCTGAGAGGGTGAGTTGGATGAAGAATTGATGCTTTCATCATGAAATAGAGGGGGTTTATATGCTCCTTTTGTCCTGTCGCTCATGTCCCCAAGGTGTTCCAGGGTTCATAGATAGATCCCAATACGGCTTAGCGTCATGCAACCGGCTTACTTGTATAGTGTGGGTCGAAGGTGGCTATCACAACTCCACTAGATTTTTTATATACTTCACTCCTTATTGGTGTCCATTGGGGATTGCATACATGAATATAGAATTGAGTCTTGGCAACTGGATCCCCGGGTTCTATGCTTATGTTAAGTCCGGATTAAGTCCTGAAAAGTCCATTCTACTATGACGTACATAGCATATGCCCAGTCAGTTCTAGCTATTAACTGTTTACAGACAATACTTACTACACAAAGTTTGGATAGCCTTATAGCACTCTATATCTCCATCAAGGCTTGAGTTATTATATCAAAATGTACAGACAGGTTGTGTATAACCCTTCTTGCTTTTCTGCTAGCATAAGATGTTAATTGGACGAGCCCTATATATCTATCTAAATGAATCGTATCATCAATATCAATCATTCTTTAGACATACTATTTATTGTCTCGACCTTGGTACTGGGTTAAAATTATCATGTCGAGTGCTTCACGGATAATGAACAACAAGGTAGCTGAACAAACATATCTAATCTCTCACCTACATTGGCAAAAAAAAAGAAGGCCCAAGGCAAAGTACTTAAAGTGTTATTTTCCATCTAAAACTCGACGGCACCGCATCTTCCCAAAGGCTTTTTTGTAGCAATAAACGTGGCTCTAGGGAGTCACGTGCTTCAGTAAGCCCTAGCTTAGATAGGTACTTGATACCTACAACTATGCCAACTTGTCCGCTTAGGATGTGTAAATTGTATGGGCTAGTATATAAACAATCACAAGACACCATCTCTTTCTACGCCACTTCGTAGCCTCCTGTAAATGTCCTTGCCTATAATGACGTACATTCACATGCTACATTCACATGCCGAGACAAAGTCATGATATCATATTACAACAGCCCTATATAATATACTATATTTATCTTGGACGGAGATATGATATCATCACATCAGCTGCATACGTAGATATATATTCATTTATCCATTACCATTCCTCTCTTTTATTATCAGCGACAGCAATCTAGAAAATCGTTGACATCTATCCAAGCCGAACTTCTTCATCAACCATCCACGATGTCTCAAAACAATCGTTCGTTTCCCTTCACCCAAGTATAAAGAGGTAGTCTAATCACCTGAAATATATACAGAAAACCTAAGCGACACCCTCGGCCAAACCGTGAACGGCCTTACGTCTACCACAGGCGGCCTGCTAGGCAATCTCGGCAAGACTGTGGGTGACACTACCTCTGGCCTGGGACAGACTGTCTCGAATACCACGCAGGGTGTTGGGGGGATTGTCCAGAACTCTGGTTCTACTGCTGGAGGAAGCGGGGGAAAGAAGACAGAGAAACAATTTGGCGGAAAACAGCAGAATGCGGAGAATCCACTAGGATTGTAATTGGAACTTGTTGAGGGGGGATATAACAGATGTATGATATATTTTATTTGCTTTTTGAATGTACATTACAAACGCGCCTGCGCCTTGGCATTCGCTTCCGTGGCCTTCTCGATCCTCGCGCCGAGGTCCGGGTTAATCCGCGTGAACAGGGTGTAGGTCTGCTTGCGAACGCGCTCGTGGGCATTGCACAAATGGACTGATACGTTCTTGACAAAGTTCTCCTGCTGGCCGGGCGTGCGTCCAAGGACCTGCCAGAGGCCATTGGCCTGTACGTAGTCCTCGCTTGTAACAGGGATTTGCTCAGATGTCACTGCACCGGCCCATTTCTCGTGCTCCTGACTGGCCCTGACAGGCTGGTACTTCAGTGGCTTGAAAGTGGATGGGTAGTTGGCATTGGCGCCGTAGTTGCCGTTCACTGCCATGGCGCCATCGCGCTGGTACGGGTTAAAGGCATGCAGGGGGCAGTTGACTGGGATCTGCTGATAGTTGACACCGAGACGGTGGCGGTGGGTGTCGGGGTAAGAGAATAGACGGGCCTGAAGAACAGGGTCTGCGGATGGTTCCACACCGGGCACGAGGTGGGATGGCGAGAAAGCCGCCTGCTCGATCTCGGCAAAGTAGTTTTCTGGGTTCTTGTTGAGCGTGAATTTTCCGAAACGGCGGAGAGGGACTTCGCTCTGCGGCCAGACCTTGGTCAAGTCAAAAATATTCCATCGGAATTTCTCTGCCTGCTCTGGGCTTAGAACTTGAACGTAGCAGGTCCATGACGGGTACTCCTTTCGCTCAATAGCGTCGAAAAGATCCTGGGTATGCCAGTCTGGGTTAGAGCTGGCCAGCTCAGCGGCTTGTTCATTGGTGAGGGTCTTGTTGCCCTGGTCCGTCTTGCAGTGGATCTGAACGTAGTTGAAGGTGCCGTCGGGCTTGATCCACTTGAAAGTGTGTCCGGAATATCCGTTCATGTGGCGGTACGAGTAGGGCGTACCGCGGTCGCTGAACAGGTGCATGACCTGGTGCGCGGATTCCTGATGCGTAGACAGATAGTCCCAGAACATGGTGGCATCCTTGAGGTTGGTCTGGGGGTTCCTCTTCTGCGTGTGGATGAAGATGGGGAACTTGGACGGATCACGAAGGAAGAAAACGGGGGTGTTGTTGAACGTCCAATCCCAGTTTCCTTCCTCGGTGTAGAACTTCAGTGAGAAACCACGAGGGTCGCGGGCACTGTCAGCAGAGCCTTTTTCACCACCCACAGTCGAAAACCGATTGACCAGCTTTGTCTTCTTGCCCACACCCTTGAGCATGTCGATTATGGTCTATACTATTAGCTATTCCCCTCAACCCACTGCAGTTGAAAGTGTACCCTGAGTACTTACAATATCGCTAATGTCATCGGTAACCTCGAATTCGCCATAAGCACCGGCTCCTTTGGCATGCACGACTCTCTCCGGGATCCGCTCGCGGTCGAAATGGGCGAGCTGGTCGATTAGGTGAAAGTCTTGTAGCAAAAGGGGCCCATTCTTGCCAATCCGCTGGGAGGATTCCGGGTCGAAGACCTGTTGAGAAAACGGTCAGTAGGATACTCTCTCTTTGAGTCTAGGTAGCTACAGAGGTAATACGAACCGGACAGCCATTGGAGGTGGTGTAGGTGGGAGTTTCGTTGTAGCGGTAGGTTCCTGGCTCGTCTTTGCCCATGGTGAGGTCTCTCGCTGGTGCTTGTGTCTGGACTGCAGAGGGAAAGAAGTCTTTCTTTTATTCTTTTTATATTACCTGCCGATGTCCGTCCAGAAAGCTTAAAAAGACAGCCAATCGCATCGCCCGATCGGGCAGTTGCTTCCCTGTTCTGCCCCGTACGCAAACTTACGCTCGGAGCGCTCCGTTCTCCTATTTTTGCCCACAATTTACCCCTCGCCTGGGCCCGGCGGTGTATGAGCTCTGTATAGTTGCTGTAATTTACGTATTACGTCAAAATCGGCGGCTGTGATTGGCTGATTGCCACGCTGTTCTAGCTTTCGGCTTGTAAATAACACTAAGAAACTTGGGCAAATTACGGAGCGGCGAGAACAGTCCGTTTAGTAATACAAGCAAACACAATTAATTGGCTCTAACTTTTATCATATCTTATGGCAATGATAGTAAAAAGTACAACGTGCCGAGGTCGGGAGCGGACATTCCGTTGGAGTCCATCTTTACAGTATATACAAAATTTATACGTCAACTCCCATCTTTACTTCCGCCTTCCTCCTCTTTCACCTTTGGATCCCAGAGATCTATCCCATCCGGGATGGCGTCACCGCTGGGCTGTCCTTTCCGGTACTGCTCGAGCGATCCATTGATACCTATAATGCCCCATACAAACACGGCTACATCACGAATGGTCTCGAATAGTTCTTGGGGATTCGGTCCTCCGTTGTAACTATGATTGCTGTTTGGAAGCGTGTTAGAGGATTGTAAAAATGTTGTAGTAGTGGTGGTGGTGGTGGTGGCCGAGAAATTATACGTCGGGTAGCCTTGAGAATTCCACACTGTCTGTCTGCATCGGCATCGGTATCTGCACTGCATACGGTGGGAGTATCGGCTGCACTGCCCAAGGCGAGGCAAATAGACCAGGTGAGTGATTGACACGGACCGATGTAGATGTCAAGGTCGCCTGCTGTGGTATCGACGGACGAGCACGGCGCAGGATCACGACGAGTCCGTCGGATGTGCAAGAAACCACTGCTTCCACTTCAACCGGGCTTTGGTGGTCTTGAGCAGTGTTAGCATCGATCATCAGCACTGACTCAGTCCCATCAGTATTAGAATTGTTACCAACAACATTCCCCTCCACAGGATTCCGGTACCAAAACTGAAGATAAGCAATAGAATTATTCGCCTTGGCGCTTTCCAGGCACCGAACGGCATCATGCAAGCTTCGTTCCTGGATGCAAAAGTAGAAGCTCTTTGATACTAGCTGTTGCGGCGCAAGGCCCAGGATGTGTGCCACACCATCCGTCGCAAACATGATGGGCAATGTCCGCGAAAACCGGTTCAGGAACAACGCTGCCCTCGGCTCATGCGCAGCCGTCGAGAGGGACTCGGTAAATTTATTGGAGAGATAGGAAAGCATATGGTAGCGTGGATCGCGCGGGGAGGAGGCGAACATTCTACGGACAATGGGGGCATCAACGGCTCGCTCTGCAATGGTTACTATATACCAACACAAGACTGGAAACCTTAGAACAAAAGGCGAGAAGAAATTACGTTGACTCGAAGCCCCTCGGTGGTATATACTCGTACACGCCACCAACACATTATACACCACGGAAAACACGCATTCGCAACAAACCCAAAACGCTTGTTTGTGTCTAATTCTGCAGTACCGCAACACCGCGGCTTTATCGCGCTGCACGCCCCGGCCGTGCACCGACTGCGCAAAGGGCATTTCTTCCGGGTGGAAATAGTCCCAGCATGGCTTGTGGATGACTTCATGCGGCTGGTAGCCTAGAATGTCTTGGATGGAGTCGGAGGCATAGAGAATGCGAGCATTTTGGCTCATATCTGGACCGGGTGAGCAACAGTAAATTTACTGGGTGATGTGAATATAGAGTAACTTTAGTTAAAATTGTATACTCACCATGGATGGAGATAAAGGTTACATCCATTGTTCTGTTAACACAGGATTGAGAACCTGGAAGGATTGAGATGCAAGATGACGCTCTGACAGCCAAGTGGAGTACACTAACTGCATACCGCATATCTAGTGACTATTAACCGACGTATTATAATTCTAGTTCTATAAGTAGAAGATCAAAGCACCAATTATATAATACTCTATACTAGTACTTTAGCTATACTGTAGATTCACCACACTACTGTAGTAAGCTCAGCCTGTCAGCAATGCGGTGGTATCTGATGATACGAGCTGTAACCTAGTCATGTAACGGTCATCCGTTCATAAATCAGCGGTTGATATGTATATACATATAACACAATGAATCCGAATTTGGGTCTCATCTGACCGAAACCATACCAGACCTGAAATGGCGGAAATCAAAGGCTCAACCCTCAACTTCACCCAAATCTACCAAGACAACTCCTGGGGCGACTCGGAGTCGCGCTCCGGCCATGGCTCCAATATGACACAAACGGCGCACATCCGCGCAGCTCTGCCCTCACTCTTCACCGAACTCGGCATCCAGTCCATCCTCGACATCCCCTGCGGCGATTTCCACTGGATGCAGCATGTCACTTCACAATCAGGCGCAAACATGCAGTATATCGGCGGCGACATTGTCGAGGAACTGATAGCGTCCAACCAGAAAGCCTTCGGTGGCGGTCATATCGATTTTAGGGTTCTGAATGTGGTTAGCAGTGACCTGCCCAGGGTTGATCTCGTCTTTGTGCGCGACTGTTTTGTGCATTTGCCTCTAGCCGAGGTGTTCAAGGCACTTGATAATATAAAACGGAGCGGAGCAAAGTATCTGCTTACAACGACATTTCCTGGACACCCTGTCAATAATGATGAATTTTTGCTTGGTATGTGGCGGACGCTGAATCTGGAGAGGCCGCCGTTTGGGTTTCCATCGCCGCTGAAGGTGATTAATGAACGGTGCACGGAGGCGTTTTTGGGGGATTCTTTTACAGATAAAAGTCTGGCCTTGTGGCCGTTGGAGGATCTTTAATCCTTTTCTGTTTGTAGGTATGGTAGTGCGCATGTTTCGTTATACAGTCATATCAGTAGGAAACACCAATCACAACCCAACTGTGTTCAACGGTTCAATAATGATGATAATATGAGAGGAACTACAAACGCACAGAAGCATTCGCAACGCTAAGCAAGATTTCAGAGCCCAGTCGTAATTCAGTTTTGGGCTGCTTGGACGAACGTCGTGAGCCGAAATTGAAGTGAGAAGGCTGATTGGAAGAGAAGTTGACAATGGGATATTAGACGAGTAGAATGGAGTGTAATAAAGGATGTTCCTAAGCCATGAACAAGAAACACGTCAATTCTTAATTGACGTCGACTACATATTAGCTAATTAGCAAGGCAAGCGTCCACCTCGGTACATGTTGATATTGAAAAATGGAGCAGATGAAGCAAATCTACATCCCAAGCAGACCCCATTTTTATCCTACTGCATGACTAGCCACTGAATGTTCCTGTGACCTTTCCTTTCAAGCTTCTCATTATGTTCAAAACCAGCTCGCGATGGCGAACCACTTCCGCATCACTCGTAGTTCGGCTACCAAATACAGTCAAAATAACCTACGCTTCTTGGTTTTTTTTAACTCAGTGCCAAATCCACCTTGTGCTGAATATCTGTTGGATTAAGACCGGACTTGGCAAAGCAGAAAGCAAGAAAGTCGGCTGGCTTGGTCCAGGAACGTGTGGCCGAAGCATATACATTATCAAGCTTCGGTTTATCTACCAGCCGTTTGGTAATTACCAGCCGCCAGGCAACAAGATAAATCTTCTTTTCTTCTGGAGATTGAGAAGACATTCCTGCTCGCAGGCAAATGTTGAAGATGTATTCTTGAGGGCGAAAAGATGAAGGCAGGAAGGTGGCTATCTAAGAAGTCTCACGAGGAGGAGATATATCTTTTTCTTGAGGCGCTATTCTTAAAAGGTAACCGCAGACACGGTGCTGCCCTAACTGCCACACATCCTGAAGTAAACAATATACCTTGCCCATGGTTGCCTATTAGGGTCCAGTCAGGGTTAGTAAGATCCTCGCCTGTAGGTTGTAAACAGAACCGCCCAGCGGTGCCGCATTGATTATAGATACGAGTAACGGTGATAGCGGAAATAATCTACACATAAATGAGCATTACAAGCAGGCCCTTAAGGGGCCCTTTTTGTAGCTTACTGGTTAATATGCCCCTGTTAGATTGATAGTACATACAAGAGGCTGGACACTTCTACTGAAGAACGTCAAATGCGTTTTCGGCTCTGGATAAAACTGTAGATGTGGAAAAAAAAAAATCTTTATACTCTCATTCTAATAGTTCTATTTGTTGCAAAGGAGAGTCAGCGAAGTTGTCAAAGGGCGGCCCGATTAGGGTTTGTCTGTAAATATAGGCACTCTGGATAGTACATAAGACTGCGCTGAAAATAAACAATAACCCATAAACCAACCGGAAAGTTTATATATATAAGATGTTACCTGACAAATTTGCAATGACTTTACTCTGGACTAGGTGGATTCATAATCATAATAACAAGTCTATATTTCTGATATCCGTTCTAGCTAAGAATCTACGGCTGCGACATCCAATGTTGAACTACACAAATCGAACTTAGTTGAAAATTGCAATTCACATGCTGACGCTTCAAGTTGAAATATATAACTACAGATTGGTTCTGCACTAAGCGCCAGCCTAAGAAACAGAGCAAAGTCCGATTTATTGCTTGCCTTCCCTCTGGTATATACGGCACAATATCTGCGGCGAACGTGCTTGCTGGCATGCGGTCGACATTTCCCAGTCTCCAGTTCGGCCTGATGGTCGGTATTGGAGGTGGGGTACCTAACCTCAGCTACACCGCCGATATTCGACTTGGTGATGTGGTGGTGAGCAAACCGACTGCAACTTGTGGCGGCGTGATACAATACGATTATGGCAAAACTGTCCGTAACGGTCAAGTTGAACGAACCGGCTCGCTCAATAAACCCCCGCCACTTTTACTCACTGCAATGGCCCAGCTCGAAAACAATACCATCATGACGGGAAAGAAGCCAATCACACAGATTACCCGTGATGTCCTTGAAAACCATTATGAGATGCGCGAGAAGTGCTCTCGACCTGAGAACGATGATCTTTTTGTTGCGACGTATTCTCACGATGCCGACTCTAACAACACCGGATGTTCATCCTGCGACCGCAGTCAGTTGGTGACACGTATCCCTCGAAATACCGAGGACCCTCACGTTCATTACGGTGCCATTGCGTCGGGAAATCAAGTAATAAAGGATGCGCCGACGCGAGATCGACTTGCCGAAGAACTCGGCGGTATTCTCTGCTTCGAAATGGAGGCCGCAGGGCTGATGGATCAGTTTCCATGTTTAGTCATACGAGGTATCTCCGATTATTGCGATTCTCACAAGCATGAACAGTGGCAAGGCTATGCCGCGTTGGCAGCAGCGGCATATGCCCGAGCTCTCTTGTCGGTAGGTCCCATTCGTGCTTCGACGAAAAATGAAAAGACTGACCCCATTTGGATGGTGCCCTTTCCAAGAAATTTGAAGTTTGTGGGCCGTCAGGACCAGTTAACCGAGGTAGAAGCTCTCCTGTCAATGGATTCCGGGTCTAGAAAGATTGCTATCACTGGACTAGGGGGCGTTGGCAAGACGCAAGTCGCGCTGGAGCTGGCGTACAGAAGACGTGGCACTTGTTCCATCTTCTGGATTTCGTCAGTGAGCCAAGAGAGCGTTCAGCAGGGCTATATGGGTATTGCCGAGCGTCTGAAGCTAGGAGATGTCGACCCCATGAATGTCAAGCAGCAAGTGAAGTCACATTTAAGCCATAGGAATGCGGGAAAGTGGCTTCTAGTCTGTGACAACGCAGATGACATCGACATGTGGATCTCCAAAGAGAGGACAGCCCTGGAGAGCTTCCTCCCGCAAAGTGATCTAGGTCATGTTATCTTCACGACTCGAAATCGTCAAGTCGCCCAAAGACTAGCACCATCCCATACCATTCCCATCGAGGAGATGGACCAACATACGGCAACGCAGATTCTCACACAGTCCCTCCCACCAGGTCTCTTTCATGATCGATGTCCATCACCACTGCGCTTCTTCAGCAATTGGCCTTCCTCCCGCTGGCAGTCGCACAAGCGGCAGCATATATTAAGAATAACGGCATCACTCTCTCAGATTATCTATCACCTCTAAAAGAACAAGAGGAAGATATTGTGGAACTTCTCGGTAAGGACTTCGGAGATGATGGACGCTATGCCGAGGTCCAAAACCCTGTTGCCACCACATGGCTAGTCTCGTTCCAGCAGATACAGCGGCTTAATTCTCTCGCAGCGGACTATTTATCGTTAATGGCTTGCATCAATCCGCGCAATATACCTAAATCGCTTCTTCCAGCACCATCTCTGAGAAAGCAGGTTGAGGCACTTGGCCTCCTAAATGCTTATTCATTCACTAGCACACAAGAAAATGGGTCAGTGAGTCTCCATCGCCTTGTTCATCTTGCTACTCGCAATTGGATGAGAAAGGATGACTTGCTTCGCACCTGGACCCGTCGTGCAGCAGAACGATGTGATAAGCTTTTCCCTGACAGTGACGATACCAATCGATTCCTTTGGCGAGAGTACCTTCCGCACGCCCTATATATTATAAACAGCACGGATTTCAATGACAATAAAAAGGACTTTTTACCTTTATTAACAAAAGTTGGAAAATGCCTCTACCATGATGAAAGATATAATGACGCAGAGGCGTTGTTACATGACCTCATGATTCAATTTAAAGAGAAGTTTAAATCGCGCGCTTTCAATACTTCATCTACGAGTTCTCCAGTGCTCTCGTACTGTCACCAGGGACTTTATGGAATGGCCGAAGAACTGGCGATACAACTATTAGAGATGGATAAGGAGGTGTTTGGCACAGACCATCCAAACACATTATCCAGCATGAGCATCCTAGCATTATTTATCATTCTCAGAACTGCCTAAAAGAGGCTGAGGAACTGAATCTACAAGTGTTAGAGATGAGTAAGAAGGTGCTAGGCACAGCCCATCCAGACACATTATCCAGCATGAGCAATCTAGCATGGTTATACAAATCTCAGAACCGCCTGAAAGAGGCCGAGGAGCTATGCATACAAGTATTAGAGACGAGGCAGAAGGTATTAGGGATTTGGCATCCACAAACCATAGGTAGTATGTTTAGCCTAGCAATGGTATACCTTCTCCAAGGCCCAGGCGGCATGAAGAAAGCTGAAAAGCTGGGAGTCCTAGCAATGAAGCGGAGTGAGAGAGAACTTGGCGTGCTCAGTTCATTGACGCGGGATACGAAGCATCTGGTTTTATTGATTTATAAACTTCTAGGCCGAGACAACGAGGCTGTCCAGTTGATGAGGGAGTGTGTTCAACTCTCGACGCGCAGTATAGGCGCCGATCATCCACATACTATACCGTTGATGCGAATTCTTGAAGAGTGGCAAGCAGAGGATGCAAGTTGATCTATCTAGCATGCCCTGAAGCATCCAGTCCTGACATGACACGCTTCGGTGTAAAATCAACGACGAAAACGAGAGGTCGCTGCCATCGTCTGCCTAGGTAACGCCATGCCGGGGAAAAGAAAGCTGGATCGAGAGCACCATCTCGAGCAGGCAGGGAATAGAATGAACTAGGCTCATTGTACTCCAAACAAATTTATAATATGAGCGATATAGTTTGGTTGCTTCTGCAAGATTCAACAAGGCGGCAGGTGGGCATGGAGGAACGATCTGGAGTCCAAAGATTGTCAGACATTTTACATCAGTCACTCGTTCTTTCTTGGAGAGATTTGCCATCCCTGGTTTGCTATCACATCCATAACTCGATATCCCCTCTTATATTCATAACCTCCGCCACATTGTTCAGTCTTATATCTTTCATTTAAAGATGTGGGTTGCAATGTGACTTAAACTACCTAACCTGATATATCACTACGGAGCTCACATAACTCCAAGACGGCAAGGTGAGAGCTCTCACCATCTTATCTCTTCTCTCTTTCGTAAGAGAGTTGAAAATCGAGCAAAGAATGGGCAACAATTGCATCAGTTGTTGCGACTAGAGCATTACAATTTCCCTTTGAAGTGCTCGGGGTATTAGTCATGAAGAAACTCAAGCCTCATCGATCAATTTGCCTTTATGGCCGTTGCGTGGTCGGCGGTCACGATTAGGACTGCCTTTGTGCACGCCTCTGGCGCGCTTGCTGCAGTTAGAGTATTACTAGGCTAGTATGAGGTAATATTCTTTCCATGCTCTGTTTACAAAAGACAAGAACCACGGTCTTGGATCATGGAGGTCCGATTCCTTCAATGCCATAACCAGATCAAACCACTCCTGTCCATTGTTCTCCCTCTTAATGAGTTCTACATACCCGAGGTTAGACTTCACTTTAAGGGCTTCCTTCTGAGAGTGTTCGATGCTGAATCTGCCGGAGCTGACCGGGTTTTTCATCAAAAATTGCACAGCATTTTCGCTGAGCTGTTGCTTTGGGCTGTCACCATCCGACTTAGTAGTGCATCTTCCCACCCTGTGCGTGAGTGAACATACCTGGGCAGGATCGCGGTGAATCTTCGTTTTCAAGGAACCAGTCCCTCCTTCTGAAACGAGCTTTGTCTTTATACCCCTACCAGCCGCTGTGTGTATGGACGTTTCCCTTCCCATCTCATTTCCAAATGCCACTGAGGTGCACTGCACGCTGATGAACCGGACGGCCCAAGTGTATGCATGCAGATCTCGTCCGAATTATTAACAGACCACAGCCAATGTCGTATGTTATATGTTGCATCTCAGCGAGCTGATCTAGCTTGATGATGATGAGGGGGTACATGCATGCCCAACCACGCAGCGAGGATTTGGTGATCGATGCAAGACGTCCATCTGAACGCACGCTTCACATCATGGAAATGTGGTGCAGAATCCAAGACACTCGATGCCTTGGCAGCGTGTCCATCGCTGGGTGCCACGTACCCAACACGAGCATGACTGCGCAGATCTTCTCGATCACAGAATCCTGGACCAAGAGATAGATATGACTTGTGCATATCTAGTGTGTTGAAGACGGAGATCGGACCTTGACGATGCGGATGATTACTGTAGCCTCAGGCACCCAGACTGCTACATCTATGTAGATAAACTGCAGGAAGATAGTTAATGATATTCGCTGTCTTATTTACATACAGTATTATACACAAATATACTGAAAGGCCTCTTTTCGATCCAATCTAAACAAAATTCTTATTGATATATCTATGAATAACATCTTCAAACCTAACTCGCCTCTATACCTGGCTACACTATGATCATCCATAGGTGCTACACCTAGGTACAGGGTATCAGTAGAGAGTTCAGGAAAGTGTGTAACTTTGCGACTGTTTAGCTAGAAAAGGCCCATTCAGTTCTGAAAAGCTAGGGGCGTTCGAATACAATTTTTCAAATACTTTTCCACCCTAGATATATCATCCAGCTGCGCAAGTACTCCTACATACCCATCTGGCCGTACCACAACCAGCGCGCCGTGTACCGGGTCAACTCCGTAGATTTGGTAGACGTCATCCAAGTCGTAACCACTGTAGAATCGCATTTCTGCATGTATCTTAACACTGGCTGGGATATCTCCCCAACTGAATGGTCGAGGAAGACGAGGATGGATAATAATTTTTTCAATGATATTAGCTGGAAATTGCTTCGTGAGCTCGGACAGCTTGTTCAGCGTCGTGGCAGAAATTGATTCTGGGTCAAGAAGATCAGTCGACGTTAGGGCTAGAATACGAAATCTGCCGGTGGAAGATAGATCTGTAGAATTTCCCCGACTTAAGCATCTTCGTTGGTCGAGATGAGGTTGAGAAACAAGCATACCGTCTTGAATATGCCGTTGCCAGCCATCGGCAAATCGCTTCAGCTTCACATTTAGAAGTCTCCGGCCTGGCCGCAATATGCCACCCGAATAATTGGTTCCTTGAACTGGATTGGAAGAACCCCAGTTAGGAAAATCATTCACTACTAGCAAGTTAGCCGGGTATTCAACACCGCATCCACTGGTAAACCCGTTTCCTGTATTGAATAGATTCACGAAATCTGCATGGGACATGCCGGCCTCTGCCTCGTTAAACTGTTCGGAAAATACCGTGGAGAACTGGCGATCGAAGTCAATCAATTGCTGGGCATTAGAATAGCGTTCAATCTGATAGGTTTGCACAACAGAATCTGGTCTGCCCAGATCTGATGATGCTGGGCTAAGGCCGTTAACCCAGTAGGCGAGTTTCCAAGCTAAATTGTATGAGTCCATCATGGAGACATTCATTCCTTGACCAGCCTACGCATTTGATTAGTAACCCGATATCAAGTGCACATAATCCAAGAGAAAGATCGAACCTTTGGACTATGTGTATGACAGGCTAGTACAGTACGTTGTTAGCCATGATTCCACTTGGAAAAGATTGAGAATCGGGGACAAGTATACCGTCACCAACGATAAAGACTCGGTCAACCCCTTTCGAATCTCTCACGGCGAATTCTGGGGCTAGCCGCTGGCCAATTTGGTATGCTGCCCACCAATCGATTGTGTTGTCTCCTTTTGGCTCAAAATGGTATGGTTTGAAGACATCTCTGGCCTGTTGCAGAATGTTTTGTAACGTCACTTTGTTCCGGCGTAGTCTTGCATCCTCTGTCTGAATTTCTTCGCTGTTGCCACCTGTACCATTCTTGATAGCATCTGGAACATGAACATAGATACGAGTAAGATATTCACCCGTTACTATTCGTTCGCGAGGGATCACCATGACAGAGCCTGAGGGAGAGTGTACGGCGCAACGTCGGCGAATATCCGGGAAATCTGTATCAACAACCATATCAACAACGCCCCAGACATAGTCCAATGATTTTCCTTTCAACTCGAGCCCCAAGTTTTGGCGCACAGTTGAGTGGGCGCCATCCGCGCCAACTAGGGCTTTTGAACGAATAGTCTGCTTAACTCCGCTAGTTTCGATTTCTGCTATGACGGGAAACTCAGGATCACCTTCCTCGTCAAGGCGCACGTTGAGGAGCTTTGTATTTCGCACTACCCCTCGGTCAGAATACCTCAACAGGTCCGTTTCCATGATTCGCTCGATTCGGCCCTGGTGAATAGTCGCCTCGTACGGAAAGCGAGCTGGAACCATCACAGTGGGCATGATGGATTTCCGCTCAATGGTCTTCAGTTTATCCTGGGAAGTATTCCAAAATGCAACTTCCCACAGCTGGCATGCCTCGTTCTCAATTTCATCTGAAATCCCTAGAGTCTTGAATACTTCTAATGTCCGAGGCTGTACTCCGTCTGCCTGGCCGCTTTTGAGGGCACTGGCTTTTGAGTCAATGCACAGAAGACTCCGGTCACTTAGTCCATATCTCGCCAGTAGAAGAGCCAACATTAACCCGGCCGGTCCAGCCTAGGGCGTTCATGTATAATGTCAGTTTAGCATCGGCTTCAAGGTATAAAGGTCGAAAACATACCCCAACAACAACCACTTCATACCGCGTTACTCCATTGTATTTTATGTCTGAATGAAATGGAGAGGAAAGACGAGGTAATGGAGGTGCAAATGAAGGGAGCACCCTTAGGTCTCTTGACTGAACAGAGACTTCGGTGAAAATTGGCATAATTTATAACGTCAATTGCCTAATCTAGGTACTCTTCGTTTCTGATAAGCTTGAGAATCAGCAAGACATAAAGAATTGCCTGTCTAAATACGCATCCTTGAGGGAAAGAGACTCCCGTCTTCTATGAGGCAGCGGATATACGAAAAGGATATATCCGTTTAGGCACAGATGACTCCCTGCAATACGCCGCAAATGACGGGGATTAGCTCGTATGAGACCGTGGTCAGGGGATGATGATGGTTACTGACGGCGTGGCTTTCACCGGGTCAAAGTACACTCACATGCAGCGTTCCCAACTAATGAATAATGAACTGGATGGAGTTTTTCTTCGGATATACCCCCGCTTCCTTGGTCACAAAACCCAATCAACGAGGGTGAAGTTGAGGCGTCTCCCTTTATCTTATATGTATCCTTGACCTATAGCTCTGAGTAGAAGAGATAAGCATAGTGGTATGATGCTGCAATTTCAGACTACTACAAGTACTACCACGCCCAACTCCCGAGAAGCCACGCCCTGCTGCGACATGACGACATGGTGTCAGCCTTAATGATTCACGAGTAATGAAGAGACACTTACCTGCCCCTCCCCGTATGGAGGATGGAAGCAGGCATCATGGAGGGTTCGGCTTCTCTATGTTGGGGGAGGCACCGTACCATACTCCTGCTGATGTATTCGGTATTGATATCGGCCCTTAGAAGCCGTCGCTGGGTCAGGTAGCCGATTGGCTGTTTGGTAAGCGACTTTGCTGAGGTCGGGCTTTTGTCCTTGTGGCGGACTTTCCTCGTTATTCATCATGCGTGTTAGTTACGAGTGCCGTGTAAGTGGCTGATGCGCCAAAGGAAGTGATGTAACACAATTGTAGATACCTACACGCATCAAATAGACCCAGAGACGAGGAATGGATGGTCTTGTAACAGGGGACTAGAGATGGTATCCTTAGGAAGTTGGTTAATGTTCGCCGGACTAGATCGAGGATGGTATCGGAAAACTGAAGGTTCTTCAAAGAGATTTCATTGTCTTGAGGAAGTGACGCCTATTTAATGATTTCTAAGCTGTAAGCGTAAGTTGCTATGGTATCTATGCTCCCACACGCAGTTTATATCCAAACAAAATAAAACAAAAGTAGATAGATCTCCCCAGCCTGGAATCTTCTGCGTCGCCAATCGGAAGCATTTCAGAAGATTAAACACAGGAAAACAAGATAAACTCCGTGGAGCCCCGCTTGGTTCATACAAAAAAAATGCAAACAAGACGCCAAACCAAACGATGATGTAAGATAAAACTCCAATGCTTAAACATAGCGGTTTGAGAACAAACTACCATGCAACCATAGCTATAGTACTGGAGCTGCAGTGACTAGATGTTCTGCGGCAGTAGCTGGATTGTCCTCATATGGCAGCGGAACAGATGCTGAGCTTGGACTCTGGGTGGTGGTAGGATCCCGGCAGCCAAACCAGCCGCGATCATGACATGTTGATGTAGAAGTGGCCGTTGTAGCTGTTGGAGAAGGATGAAGGCTTGTAGTAGTAGTCGTGGTTGTAGGATCTTTGCAGCCAAACCAACCTGGAGTTTTACAGGTGGTTGTGGTTGTTGTCAGGCTGCTGCTAGTGGAAGTCGTGCTAGAAGAAGTCGTCGATGTCGTCTTATCCAAGCAACCCCACCATCCTGGAGTCTGACAAGTCGATGTCCTGGTTAATGATGTAGATGTTGAAGTAGTCTTGGTTGTGGTCGTTGTGGTCGTAATTTCAGAGCCATTGCTCTTGTAGAATTTCCACAGCTGGCAATCGTAACACTCCTCTTCTGGCACGCAAGGTGGAACGGCATCGTAGACCTCCAAAACATCAGAAATCACATTTTTTATTCGATGTGTACCTATTCCCACTCGCCAGCCTTTGTCTTCGACTGTATCGTATACGCACATCTTCCCATTGTGACACGCAGATTCTAAAGCGTACCCAGCCCAAGTACAGGTAGCACCTGCACCATTGCAAGAGCCCATGTATATAGGGTCTGCTGTATGGCCAATATGGTAGATAGCAGTATCTCTCCGTTTTTGGGGCAGCAACGGATCGTAGCCAGGCGGTGTGGGCAATCCAAGTCTGGCCGCAGGCAGCGCGTCCGGTATTGCATCAATCGCAACAGTTGGGAGACCAAATGTGAGACCAAGTAGTGCACTCATGGCACCCCCAAGAGAATGGCCGGCAAGCCAAACGTTCGCATTTGGATATAACTGTGTGGCATTGGTATACAGATCAATCGCAGCACCATAATATCGATTTTCACTTTGCATAGCTTCAACGATGCAAGTCAAATTAGCGGTGAATACGTCTGTTGAGCAATCGCATACTTGACGCGAAAGGTAGGAGGCCCCTTGACCGCAGCAACAAGAGAAATACAGGTTGTCATTCTCCTTGTCGTTGGTGGTCGTCTCAGCTCCATCAAACAACGCAGGAGAAGTCCCCTTTAAAGATATGATGATGGTGCTGTTGGCCTCATCAGCATATATATGGCCTCTAAGCCCATCACGCTGCCAGCCAAAACTCGCTGACCAATTGAACCTGCCACTAATCTCATTCCAATCCCCAGTGCCCGGTTCTTCGATGTAATCATTTGCCGTCATTCTCGCAAATGTCAAGACAGTCTCTTTATCGGTAACATCAGGACCCTCAATGTCCTCCATGACCCACGCATCATCCGATAAGATTGCCGCAGTGCCGGACGATCTTGCATGAGCCAGATAACCCTCGATTACAGACGGCCGGCGGTCTGCCAGCCTATGAACAGCCACGGCATCCGACATGGCAGTCAGAGAAATTTGTGGTTCATCAACGGGCTGAGGTAAATATTCATCTTCGGTTAAGATTGATAGTTTGGTGTCCGGCGTCACATCTAGCCTCAAATGGAGGTCCGGTTGGTCGTACGTCCCGCGGTGATAAATATGACGGAGCGTCTAGATATGCGTTAGCACCATCTCCCCCGTATGACATCATTATGCCAATATACCCACAAATTCATGCTTTCTTGCTATAGAGCCAAATCCATCTCCTTGAGGAATCTGGGGCGGAAGAATGGGGATCTCGTTATGGTAGGCTGGGGATGGCGATCCAGGCACTGTGGCGAGGACGAGTCCCGCGTGGAGACACCAAAGTACGCTGGTTATTCTCATCAAGCTGGAGCTGTGGTGCCAGACGCCCCTATATTGAGTAGACATGTTGATAGGGAGGACGACTCGAAGGAGCCGGGTCAGGTTGTAGAAGCCATAAATCGGTGAGATGACGACTATCGGGGGTTGAGTGAGGCAGCCGCGGGCTTATCACCGCCTATCAGCAAACGCACGGGCCATTGCATAATCAGCACGTGATAGTCCCGGTCATCTGACCGCCTGGTGTGACTTGAGCCACTCAGGAGTCAGCTGGCCTGAGCTTTCAGGAACCAAGGCTCCCCAACGAGACCCGCTGCTAAATTAGTGATCTCCACTTGAAAATACTCCAAGATTTCTTTTATCAGACGGGACAGGATACGTCTACGTCAGAACCCTATGCACATGCTGCCATGTTCATAGAAATGACCTATCACACACACGCAAACTGTGCATCGGTAACCTGGAATCCATGATCCAGCCGAAAGTATCTGTCTTTTCCTTGCCACTCGTCGCCTGGCAGCAGCATGCTAGTGTTCGTGCAAAGAAATACGATGTTAAACGTGGGCGCAGGAGAAGAAAGCCTAGCCATGACTTGCGGGACGAAGAGAGCGGCGTGGATGAAAGCGGCCTAGAGACCACCGATGCTGAATCCGGTTATGAATCTAGTCGCAGTCGAGCTCAATCGGTTGTGCTCACGCCAGAAGAAGCTCGTCAGTACAGAGCTGCTGGTCTGTCACTCGATGAAGAGCTTTTTGAGGAAGATTTCCCGCATGTCGGACTCAGGGACAAGTCTCTAGAGAGGAAACGAGCAAACGATTATGTTGAGGACCTACAGAACCAATGGCCTCCCATATTCCTTCCTGGCTCGAAAACAACGGAAAGCACTTTGCATGTCCGCCATTTAGGCGTGCTTACCACCATCTTACACAAATGTCTACTTGAAGGAGACTTTGTGCGTGCCGGCCGCGCGTGGAGCATGCTGCTTCACGAGAGATTTGGTCGTCAACCGGTCGACATACGGAGCGGAGGTCGATGGGGTATTGGGGCGGAAATTCTGTTTCGCCAAAACTCTACCTCGGGTACTGTCTTTACTCGCCCAGGATTCGAAGCAGCGAAAGCTTACTACGAGAGGCTCATCATACAATTCCCTTCTCGGAACGCTCGTACAGAGGCTAGCGGCTCTTTACACTTCTATCCTGCAATGTTCACTCTTTGGATATACGTTGTTGAGCAAGAAAGCGCGAAAGCAAGGGAGGCCCTGGAGTATGAGGAGGATGAGAATGTCTCAGAAAACCCGTCAGAATCGGGCGATCACGTCATGTCCGACCCAGAAAACAATACAGATCGGAACCGAGACATCCTCAGTCGTAGAGCCAAGATTAGACAGAAAGAACTGGCTGGAGCGCAGGAGATTGCGACCCGCATGGATGATGTTATGGTTGGACCACCGTACTCCGACAGTCCGGCGCTTCTACAGCTTCGAGGAATGATAGCTCTGTGGCTCGGCGACCTCTACGTGTTGTCGCTAGCTCGGGATGATGAGGATATTGATATGTTGGATGATGACGATGAAGACTACAACGTGTCGTCGGACCGGTTGATTGCCAATCGGGAACTGCACATTGCCCTGGGAAAGCGAGTTGCGGAGGTGGCCAAAGCGAACGAGCTCTTTGGGAAAGCTAAGAGGAGGCGAGAAGGTGCAGATGAACCTGCTGAAGAGGATTTCTAGATGGCTATCAACGAGCATACAACGTATTCGATCCTTATGCAACGCACAATGACAATCATAATAACACGAGTGGTATTCAAGAAAGCATGAAATGAAAAGTAATGAAGAGAAATAGAGTAGCAAAGATAATCTAAAATATGTTGTCTTCAATTCCATCTGGATCACGTGCCCCGTCTGACAGCTCGGGGAGCTAGTTATCGATAGCTTGACGGGAGCTTTGTCCTTCTCCATAAATAAACCAACATAATCAACCAACAGACAATTATCCCTCTGGGCAAAGTTACAAAATATGGTCAATTTCGAATAGATGTGCATTTCATTCTGCATCCTCCATTTGACTTTGCATTTATCAGTCACCAAGAATCAAAAACATGGGCCTGGAAGATTACATCCGAGCAAGAAGCGACCAGTATCATCCCTCAAGCACCAGAGATGACAGGATTCTCAGCCCTCGACAGCAACAAAAGGTACAGGTGAACGACAAGTTCGTACTAGGAAGTGGCTTTCCACCGTCAAGGTTCATGCGGCCCTTGCCTTTGCCATTCGTGGAACCATTACCACCACTGCAACAACAGAATGATCTGTATTTGGCACAACAACAGCCAGAAAAAAGCATATTTGACACCGATGTTGAAAATGTGGATGACTCCACAATCACAGTGACCAGCGTTGGTGATATTGAGGCTCAAGATCATGCTCACGGCCGGGGAGGATTATTTGGCCATGATGTGATCTCACAGGACTGGGATGCAAGTGAGCTCTCTTCCGAATCTGGCCATACCCAACATGAAGACCAAATGGAAGTTACTACTACAACAAACCGCCGCAGGAAATCTACGCTTCCCTCGGCATTGGACAGCGGCAAAACCACCTATGCCGACGAGTACGACTCCCAGCCCTTCGACTGGATTCTTCAATCTGAAGCAACACATCGACCCGCTTCCGCAAACAACAACAAAAGTAAAAGGAACTCAGTGGACAAGCCAAATGCATCGCGAATACCCAGGGCTAAATCCCGCTTGTCACTACAACGTAGCGATAGTGACCCTGGGGCTCGTCCTCGTTCTCGAATGGCAACTGAAAAAGAAGCAACGGCAACAAATAATACCAGGACAGTGCAACTGCCGAATCGTCCTGGGCCTGGATATAGGAGGATGAGCACCTTCCCTCAAAGTCTGACTACCACACCAAATAATCGATTCAACTTTAAAAGTGAACGTCCTTATGAGCGGCTCATACAGCAACAATCACCTACGCGCAAGGTCAGTGGTCCACGACCGCAGCCTGGACGACGAGATTCCACAAGCCCTCGTAAAACTGGCCAGGCAAGAAGGAAGCTTGAACTGTCCTCTTCTCGCGTAGCCAGAGACACGTTAGATACAACTGATGAGGAGGAGGATGATGACGGGGACGAGGGCGCGGACAAGGACGATGACACCACCCAAGGAAGTCTTAGCAGTATCATCCCCGAATCACTGTCCGACATCACGCAAAGAAAAATATCCGTATCGACTATATCAGACAAGCATCACCTTCCAAATCTCACATCCGACTACCCCGACGAAATCCTACAACAAATGGACTTCACGGAACTCGAACAAGAATCTTTCGATCACATCCCCAACTCCTTAACAACCAACTCCCCCCTGATCACTAACAGCACCCCACACAAAAAACCACCACCTCCTCCCTCCCCTCCACCACGAGCCCCAGCACCTCCCGTCTCACCCCCAGAACCCACAGCCCCAGCCTCCGAAAAGCTCGACTACGCCCTCAACGCACTCTCTTCCGCCCCTTCAAAACGCCAAGAATACTTATCCTCAATGACCATAACCGAATGGGAAGACTTTGGCGACGAGCTAATTGGACAAGTAGGCGAAATGCTCAAATTGATTAAGGAGTCGCGGCAATCGCGTCGCCGAACCACGGCCTTGTTTGAGGCTGAGATTCGGAGGAGGCATGATGAGACGCAGCATCAGTCTGCGGATTTGGATAGGAAGTTTGCCGAGATGAAACAGGGTGGGTTGGGGGTTTTGAGGGGGTTGAAGCCGGGGGTATAAAATTAGAAGATAAAAGGGGGGCGGGTGTTCTGGTTTTTTTTTTTTTTTTTTTTTTTTTTTCCTTTAACTGATTTTTGTGCACTGCTGCTTTGCAGCTTTTTCTTCTCTTGCTCTTTCTTATATATATCTCAGTACTTACTAGCTAGCGTTGTTAACGCATTTTAGGCGTTTCATCTACTTTAAGTCTTCTACACCATGATTCAATTTTTTTTATCATAAGTCCGATATCATATTCTCTTATCTGGTTACAAGGAAAGATGAAAGAAACACCATAACAATGCCTTTACATGCAAGGAAGATTGCCCAAAAATATCATATTCATTCCTTCGACTGACTACTAACGAACGCAGCCGCAAGTCGCTTGTAATCGTGGAGAAGTTCAGCAACGTCGCCAATACGAAGGTCTTGAGGGTCATCAATTTCGAGAAAACGTCTAATAGGTGGATTTATTTGCGATAATTGCACCTCTGGGAATGGTACGGTAGACGACGTTGTTGCAGGCGTGGCCGCGATTGCGGATGCGGCTGTTGATGGTGATAACCTTGCCTCCGTCCTTGAAGACACAAGTCGTGGTCGTTCTGGTAATGTGGCAGTTGGAGTTTCTGGAGTATTGCGGCCAAATCCCCTGATCATGTCTGGTATATGATTTAAAGGATTGAGAGTAAATGAATTTCCGAAGCTTTTCATGGATTCTAATGGTCTAGTACCGGGACTAGGGTTGAATATGGAGCTGCCAGCGCTCGAACTAGGAGTAGAGTTGTTGTTAATCAGTCCAGCTGAGAGTGTAGTAGCAGGGGTCTTTTTGATGTTGCCCTCATTACTCCGAGCACTGTCGGCACTTCTATCTCTTGGGGTTCTTCGGCCGCTAGATCGTCTATCTTCTGGCCGCAATCTAGATGGCTGAATCGGCCCTTCTTTTGTATTGGCATTTGCAAGGTCTTCTTCACCGAGTATGTCGCTTTCTTTCACTTCAGGGGGACTGGCCACGAGGCGTCGGGCCTCATCTAGAGTTTTAGGCACTAATGGTTGTTCATTTACTCCACGGGTATTTTGCATTTCTTTCAGCCGTCCAAACAAGAAATTGAAGCTGTTGTCTAGCGTACTGCTGATATTCTTCAAGCCCTGGTCGGCAGTACTGCGCACGGCATCATTGGCGGCTCCTAATACCTTTGATGGGGGTTGAAATAGATTGCTTAGACGTCTCTGTTGGGCTGAAGGCGCACTGAGTTGAGATCGTGAGACAGAGCTCTTTGTAGAACGCACCGAACCAGAAAGCTCTGCACTAGGAGGAGTTGTCGCCGCATTTAAAAGCCGTGGCTGTCCGTCGACTGGAGCATCCGTGTTGACGCTGCTGAGGTCCACCGACTCTAGAAAACTAATAGCCGCCTCCAAGTTGGTCAAACAATAGGCGGACTCGCCATTTATCTTGCTTGTAGCCCTGAAACGCTGGACGAATAGTAGATTGCTAATCACATTTATGCCTTCCGGAGGCGACGTGATCAAAGTATATATCAGGGCAGGCAAAATCTCATCTGCGGAAGAGGATGACCCAAGAAGGACTGTCAGGGCGTCCACGATTGCTTTGTGCGCGGATATCAAACACTGAAGTTTGCCCAGGGGGTACCGTGCGTCGTTCATCTTTCTCAAGTCCTCGCTGGCTGATGAGAGCCGTATTTTGGCGTTCTTCTCTTTTTCTTCATCGGCTTCTGGCACCTCAACGCCCAGGTCCTTTAGCCCCATACCCAGAAGTGATAATGCAGCTGTCTTAGAGCGCATTTTCTCGTCTCGCACCTCGTCGAGACTAGTTTTATGGCGCCATATCTTATCATAGACCTTCTCGCAAACCCGTCTCTCGACCGTTTCTTCCAAAGCCAATTGCTTCATCGGTAGTTGTTTTCGTGCTTTCCGTCTCTCTGCTATCTCGGAAACGGTCAGCATCTGGGAAGCTTTCTCGGAGCTCTTCTGAGCAGCATTTTTGGCCGGCGAGCCATCTCGATTAATGCGGGACGCGAGGGTCGAAATATGTGTGGCGATACGAGAGTCTGCCCGGATATAAAAGTCTTGGAACAAAGACGAGATCCGTTCGATGGAAGGAGGCAGTGTATGAACCCTCGCAGTCAAAGACTCAACAAATCTATCTACGGATTAGTTTGGGCGCGCAATTACGACAGCATTGTATGTGGTCCGTTACCTGTCAGACAAGCTGGCCAGCTCAACTGGCAGTTCATGTGGAACTTCATCGGCTGGCGATGCTCCAAAAGCTGTTGGTTCGTCGGCATCCTGCGCACGTCCACTTTCAGAGTCTATTGAATCGCGCCTTTCGAAGATATCTGGGCCGCCATCGTCGCTTGGGCCGTCATGTTCTGGACGTTCCGTGCTAGGGTCTACCATACCGGAAACTCAGCTCTGTTGAATTGATATCCTGCGTCAGAAATCCAGATGGCAAGAGCCGAGTTGTCTGTCTAGACCGGCTCAACTGGGAAGCTCGTTAGCTCGAAGATCGGCTACTGAGGGGCGATTGGCTTGTCGGGGTGGATACTAGACTTTTGCAGATGCCAGGGCCAATCGGGAGGGATTGCGACCTCAAATACTCGCCGTCCATGGAAAAGCAAGGCAATTATGTGCTAATTTGCATGCAAATTACACATGTGGGGGATTTTCACGACAATGCCGGGCTTAGCTAATATCCAGACAGGGATGCAAACACGGCAAACATGCAAACACGACAAACGGGGCGTGGTCTCAGACAGAACTGGGAGGAACCAACGGGGCAATCCGTCAAGCAGGAACCGACGGTGATGCCATTAATAATACAGACCCAAACACTTCAAAACTTCCTCTTCTTAACAACCGCAGACAAGCAGAATGCATGGTTTAGCACTGTGCTAGCAACTCATCTGAAAATCGTACATCAGCTAAGACCGGGGTCTCACGAGCCACGCCAGCTGGGCTTGCACTGTTGGATCTTACCGCCTCCCATGGAGGGAGGAGCATTAGCATAGGATCATCGTTCCCTCAGTTCACATCAACCGCCGCCACGTCTCTGCGGTACTTCTCCCATACTTCTACCATTTCTTGTTACTATGGGACAGGCATCGTCCACCCAACGAGATCAACGGCCAGGAAACGCCTCAGGAATCACCATCCCCTCCTCTCTTCCTAGCGATGGCCACGGTGGTGCTCTGAACGCTCAAGACATGTCCGAACAATCGGTGGGCAACCACCCCCCTCAGGAAGAGGGGTTCGATGCGAACAGAAACAATATATTCAACTTGATAACAGACTCTTCGACTCCAAATGTATCCAACGCAGCGTTCAGTGATACGACCATGTCGCCGAGCACCTCCGATCTCCGACCACGCCCAAACGCCACCCAACAGGACACTCGCAGCGCTTCAGCCGCCTCCCGAATCATAGCGAGGAGACAATCTACAATGTCTCGCTTAGGCACTCGAATCTTGCCTAATTCTGTCATACGAGGTCTACTCAGCAGCGAGGAGGAAACACCAGCAGAGGGTCACGCACATCGAAATGGACGCATATTGAGGCCTATTCCTAGATCTGAGGGTCTTCCCAGCTCTGGTCGCTTCACTCCTTTCAACTCCCTAGCATCTCGGGGTATCAATCGACGTCGCTCGATACGCGGGCCCTACCCTCTCCCACGTGGCGATGCAGCATTGATTCCGGATTCGCCGCCCAATCCAACCTATGTCAACCCGGCTATTGACGCTGTTTCGTCTTCAGACAGAGGGTGGCGCCGCAGCCCACGTTTAAATCGAGTGCGAAATTCGTTGACTACTCCCATTTCCCATATTTTTGGTGCTGCCCCGACTCTGCCAGACACTGAGGAGATGAGAATACCGCCACAGCGACCATTACGTTTAAGCGTCCCCGACGGCGTAGATCAGTTGCTGCCGCCTTTAGATCCTATGGACTTGGACTTGGAGGAGCCCGCTGAACCCGCTCAACAATCCATGAACGACTCACAACCTCTCCCACCTTTATCTCATGCTAGGACGTCCCAAGGCTTAGGGCCAGGCCCCATCAGACGCCTCCCTGGTATTTTACGAACTCGGTCTTCACGAGTCCCACGACGAGAAGAACAAACCCCCTTATCCCGTGTGCTTCAAGTTGCCGCAGCCGCAATAGCAGCGCAGATTTCTGGAGGCACGGTTCCTCCGCTGCCCAACATTCAATCGCTTGGCAACGAAGGACTCGACGCATCGCTAGAAAGCCTTTTCCAAAGTCTACAGCAAGTCACTTCCGCTCAAGACAATCAGTCGGGATCTTCAGGTAGCCAAAACACTTCTCCGACAGCAAACCCTCCTCCCTTGAATTTCCTGCGAGTTTTTCGTTTCGCCAATTCCGGTAGCCTAGGAAGCCGACCGGGGACTGGAAGTAATGGGCGCCCTACGTCACAAACAGCCGACCAGACAGATGCTGAGGATGGTGGCGATGAGGGCTCAGAGGGCCGCACCGTCACTTTAGTCGTGGTGGGAGTGCGATCTGTACCGTCCAACGGCGGGCCACTAGGTAATCCACAAAATGGCGGTGGAATCGGCCTGGACGCTCTTCTTGGTCTGCCAAATATTCCTTCCATCAACGGAAACCCCTCCCAAGAGAGAGGTGGCACTGGAGACTCTTTACGGACCGCGGATAGTCCATTCAGGGTACCGACCTCACGGTTTATGAATGGCGGTGCAAGTTCCACTCCTGACAACCATGCTCGTGGCACGTCGAACATCCACCGAAATCCGTTAGAACCAACATCTCCAGCCCTTCCAGCTGTTCTGTCGGACAGTCCTCCTGGACCATTTCCTCCACCGTCGACGCCAGCTGAGGCTCCTATGTCCACACTGTCATCAGGAGATTCCACTCCTAGCCGAAGGCCCTCCTCGGCATCAGCAATGTCTCCAAATGTCCTACCCCAGGTTCACGAAGAATCCGGTCTAGACTCCACGCTCCATTCAGGTATGCATCCTTCCACTAGCGACAGCGGTGCACGACAGCGACGCCGAAGTGATTCGGAGTACGCTCGTCATCGTCATCTCGGCTCAGGAGCAGCTAGACGCCACGGGGTGGTAGAACCAGATCAGCCAACGCCACCCGCCGGTCGAACTTGGGTTATTTACGTTGTTGGCACCAATCTCTCGGAGAATCACCCGGCTTTTGCAACTCCGAGCTTGTTCACCGATGTATGTTATGGTTCCATGTCGCTTGGATGTATCAACATGCTCTGGATTTTTGCTAACATACTTGCAGAACCCTACCTATGAAGACATGATTCTTCTCTCGTCCCTTTTGGGACCAGCAAAACCTCCCGTGGCCACGCAGGCAGATGTCTCTTCAGCAGGCGGGCTGTTCCGGCTTGTCGAGTATGCGGGATCTCTGGTAGCGGAAGCGCTCGAAGGCGATCAAACCATTAGCATTGGTGAAACTGAGAGATGTTTGATCTGTCTGAGCGACTACGAAGCTGCCGAGGAAGTTCGACAGCTCACTAGTTGCAAGCACATCTATCATAAGGAATGCATCGACCAGGTATGTATATTGACATATTCAACGTGTCTCTTTGTTTTACTAACAGCGCTATTAGTGGTTGACCACCGGACGGAATTCCTGTCCTCTATGTCGAGGTCAAGGGGTTGCTGAGTCTTCTCCTAACTCAAATCCTACGCCCGCACAAGGTGCACCTGCGTAGGCTTCAAACTTCTTATTTCTGTGCTACATTTCGGTTCTCGAACCTTCAGTCTGCAGTGGTAACAGTAAAGCCTGCTTGCTTGCCTCTGCGTTCTTACATGTACGATTCTATTCGGTCATCCGGTGGCGTTATGTTCGTGGGAGCGTCTTCTCTTATTATTTGGGATTGTGTCTTTTCATAAGAGGTGGGTTCTGATTGCACTATGGCCAGGTCTGAAATACTTTTGAAGAAACACAAAGGCATATTTGGGACGTCTGTGGTCATACTCATTACTTTTATTGCCTTGTTCTTTTTGTCTTCTGCTCTTGGGATTTGAGTTTCTCTTTTACTTGCCCTCTCCTTTCATTTTCATTTCGTGTTTCCTTATGATACCACTGAATCTGCTGGCATACACTGGATGTGACGCATCAGTGATCGGTGTTTGACCTCAGTATTTACATTTGTCATTTGTTCCTAGCAGCATTGTTTGAGTCATGATAATAGTCCATAGCATACATACATAGGTAGTCTAAATAAATCGAAGTTTCATAACAAGTTGCATATCGTTTACTTCAATAGAAGGAACGTAGTAGATGGATGGTATGAGCGGAATCGGCGAAGGAACTCTGCCCCGCAATCCGTACTTTTTTTTGTCCCTCATTCAAAACTTCACCTCACCCCCAACTCGACTCACTGAGAAAACAATAATCCAGTCAATCAATTGGATTTTTTCTGCTTATTTCACCACCTCTGAGCAATCTCATTTACCATACAATCGATACCTACAATCAAACGTCTACACGACAGAAACATACAATAACCATGGAAACACCAATCCGCCTCACAGTCCTCATATCAGGCAATGGCAGCAACCTCCAAGCCGTCATCGACGCCATCAGCAAGAAAGAAAACAGCCCCCTCCCCAACACACAAATAGTGCGAGTCCTCTCTAACCGCAAAACGGCCTATGGCCTCGAACGCGCAGCCCAAGCCGGCATCCCAACAACATACCACAATCTCGTGAAATACAAAAACGCGCATCCAGCAACTCCGGAAGGTGTGCAGGCTGCCAGGGAAGAATATGATGCGGAATTGGCGCGCTTAGTGATTGCCGATAAGCCGGATTTGATTGCGTGTTTGGGGTTTATGCATGTGTTGTCGACGAGGTTTTTGAGGCCGTTGGAGCTTGTTGATGGGGGGATTAGGATTGTGAATTTGCATCCTGCGTTGCCGGGGGCGTTTAATGGGGTTGTAAGTCCTTTTTTTTTATTTTTCTTTTGTCCCTCTTTTCAACAGTGTAGAATATGGGCTAATTCTTTTTGTATTTTCGTAGGACGCAATCGAACGAGCTCATGCGGCCTGGCAAGAAGGGAAGATTACCAAAACCGGGGTGATGATACATAATGTGATTTCAGAGGTTGATATGGGACAGCCAATCCTCGTTAAGGAAATTCCGTTTGTGGAGGGCGTTGATGAAGACTTGGAAAAATTCAAGAGCAAGGTGCACGAAGTCGAATGGGGCGCGGTTATTGAAGGGTTGCAAATTGCCATTCGCGAGATTCGGGAGAAACGGTCGTCTTCTGGGTCTGCAGTTTGAGGATGTTTTGGATTAAGAGAAAGAGAAGAAAACAAAAGACATTTCGGCCTCTCAACTCACTTGATGTTGATAGTCTGACTGCCAATTGTCAGAGGACATATGATACAGCACGAACATACGGGCCATGTCTGTTACCCCGAGAGAATCAGTCATAGAAAGAGCTTGATCTTGTGTGCTGTCGACTGCTGCTATGCAAGTGCAAACGCGAAGCGAGACAGACTCGGTGTGAGTGTGCCACACACGCAGTTATGCGTATAGATGCATACGTTACATGTCTATATAAATCATATACATATCCCGGACTGTCCGTCCTAGTTCAATTGATGTGACCACGGTATATGATATCCTAGGTATTGCAAACATTCGTGTCTTAACCTCGCTTCAGGATTATTCCATATACTTCATTCCTTTTCATGATGGACACAAATACTCGCCTAAGAAAGCAACTTGGCTGTGATTGACCCACATCGACAAAACAATCAATAATGAACATATTACATTCTCAGATTCAGAGCAGTCCAAACTCAGAGATACAAATCACAGATACGGTAACAGCATGGAAGTTTCCAATCCCTGAGCCGAGGCACGACTATAGTGTCTTCCATTGCACGAAGAGACTTCACTTCTTCCAATATGTTGCACCTATTGACTTCCTGACTGCGTCGCGGAAACCCCCGAGTTTGCTGTGTTTCCTACTTGAGCATTCACGTACGGTATCTGGCGCGATTCCATCATCGTGTTAGTCAAGTTGCCCTGAGCAGTGTTTTGGCCGTACGGCTGCTGCAACGAGGTCCAAGTGTTTTACTTCCATCGAAGTCGAGATAGTAAAGATAGTCTTTCGCTTCCTCTGCCACGTCAAGTCTCTGTCCTGGCATATGGACACTAGACACCCGATGATCTGCGCTTGTTTCCTGTCCTTCACCATGGATAGATTCATTGACATGGATGCTAGGCTTTGAAAGCTCTTCGGAATCGATAGGCTTGTTAGATCGGACAAGCCACTGCTGTTCAAGAAATGCCAGGAAATGACGAAGCTCATCTTCGTGGTGTAGTAGAGGATCGAGCATGGACTTTGATGCGTTGCGGAATGTATTTATGACGGGAATCGGGTCTTTAGCTGGCGCGACGATGTTCTGTATCATTGACAGTCCTATGCGTTATTCAGATCAAGGCGAGCTGCAAACGATCATCAAGAGGCTCGCGCAGGTGAAGCAATGGCTAGATGTAGCTGCAACAACAGCAAAGAGAACAGCAAACCTTAAGTTGCTTCTCACTTCGCCAATCTTGCTGCGGGTTAGACAACAACTTCCAGAGGACAGCTGGGTTGTCTTGCCTACCGGCTCACAAGACAGCGAGGGCTTGGCTATCAGAGGACCTCATCTTCTGATTAACCAACATTTGTCAGAGGCAATCTATCAAATGCAAGTGTATGCTATCATCGTTATACAGAGACGTTCTTCAAAGAAGCGGCCATTCTACTGTGTATAATTGCCTAAAGGAGATAGTTATGCCTGAGCTAGGGCTGATGCCAGCCAGGCCTTCATAGATCACTAGCCAAGCCTTAACTTTAACCAAGATAGCTCGACAAAATCTATACGAACACCACGATGTCTTGCATTCATGCTACGTAGCACGACGGGTCAACTTCCAAGGTTGCCGAGGTTAAAAATGCCCAAAAGCGGAAAGCTGTCTCACGGACCTGGGAGATTCTTCCTATGTGAGTACCGGCAACGGAGATACGTTGTGCAAAATATGAACACAAAATCAACACAATGAATCCTGTGAGCAGAATTTAGATATCGCCCTGGAGCCAATATGTGATCACATTGACATTTTATGAAGTATTTATGTAGGGTGTGAACATTTGAACCGCATGTGTGGTGGTTGAATGAAGGATCGTATGTTGTAAGAAATGGGCATATGCTCCGAGTTCCAAGGCATCTGACAAGCAAATCATAGGGGAGGAAAGAATACAAAGAAAGATCTGAACATTATTAATCATGTAGCACAAAGGTCGATGGTTACTTGCTTGCTTTCTTTTCGTTTCTTTTTCTTCCCCCGGCATTGACATCGGCATTGACAGTGGGACAAGTCATGGAACTGTCAAAGTACTGAAAGGAAAATCAGCGAAATGAATGAATGATCGACGAGCACAAATGACTCGATGATCAGCAGCGTACAGAGTATACATGCTAGTCATACTACGTAGAGTGTACTCCGTACCCAATAGTTGACTATGTATGTATGTATGCAATGTACATCAACTGAAGATCCCTGTTCCTTTTTCTTTTTTTCTTGCTTCCTCCACGTCTACTCCGTATACTCCGCATGCAATCTATACTCAACGGGGTATTCCAATCCGAGTAACAGTCCTGTCAGTTTGCCTACATAGGCAATCGATTCGAGATGCCGACTCGTTCCCAAGGTCACACAACGTCAGTCAGTATACGCACGTATCGCAATGTGGACTTTCGGAAGGGAAGATGATTTATTCAAGAGCTTTGTGTCATATTCATATCATAATCCATGGCATATGCAGGCTGTCAAATCGTAGTCACATGTGACGTGCTGGGATGGGCTTGGGTGGGTTTGAAATGTTGGGAAGAAAAAAGCTGTATGTCTAATAATAACGTTTCGAAGTGCTCTGTACGGACGATACTACTAAGAATAGCAGACGACCAGGGTGACCGTCGTTAATTTTGGATGCAAGTCGCCTCTTGATTGACCAGTACATACATTAGCCCCCTCTCCCAGCTTCCAGGAATGCGGCGTCTTTTCCAGCATAACATCCCCTAGACACCCGATTGGACGGCGTGTGCATTTTCTCAAAAGAAGGGCAGCTGGACTAGCTCCAATAGTGCATGGTCTAACGCAGGCAAGATGACTCTCTCTGCATGTAACAGCGTCAATGGTGGCGGATCGTCTGGCGCATTTTTTTTTTTTTCCAGGGAGATCCAGGGGTCTGATATTCTCACAAAGAAAATTGAGTTAACTAAGCATTACAGAAAAGATAACCATATCCCATGTGAATCCTCGGCAGCTCGCCCGGAGTATGTATTCCGATATGCATTCCAACCCTAGCCCTAACTACCCAGGTAGGTAAGTAACTATGCAACGCAAGCAAACAAACAAACAGCGGTCTGGCCAGTGGCCACAATCTTGAATCCACATAGACTAACGAATTAACTTAACAGAAATAAACATGAAAGGATTCCGGCTCGATGTTCTGCCGGCTTGCTTCCATCCATTCATAACTAGCATGCACGTCTATAATTAATCATCCCTGCCAGCCCAACGAGCCGGTTCAGAACCAGACTTCCATGCACGAATGGTACACGTATCAATGTATGCTCGCAGCGCTGTATTGATAGCACGCGCTCCTAAGGCTCAATCCGGACGATGCGCTCGGATCATGGGCCGTTTGATCCGGGCCTTTTTTGTTGTTTGTAGTACTTCCAAGGTTGATTATAACTATTTAATACGCATTGACCATTGGGATAATATGTTCTGGAAACCCTGCTAGGCTCCAGCAACGTGGGATTCGAGCGTGTTGACTTTTTGGCTTTTGGCTTGTGGCTTGTGGCTTTGTATGATTTCTAGCGCGAGGCTCTGCGAGTTACATCGGACGAACGTATGGATACGTTGGGTCTAGATTGTCACTTACTGATCTCCGTCTCCTGCTCCTCTCCCTCCTCCTCCACCAACCCACCACGCACTGCACCCAATGCATACCGACGCTGGGTAAAAGGGTCTCCGCACTCTTTTTCGTATCACTCATTCACTCATTCATTGACACGAGCATTGGCGTTGGCGTTGGCGTTTCTGTGCTCCCGTCCCCGACCGCCGCCGCCGCCGCATGCTCGACCCTTGCCGACAAAGCCAGCCAGCTTCGAGCTCAGAGGGATCGATCCCCCCCCCCGATCGTGCACTTCTGATGCTGGTATATAGCAGTTGACTTCGCCGCACGTGAGATACCTCGCGTGTCTGTCGTACGTGCAGAATACAGACCGCCGACTGATTCATGACGTCTTCATCCGCATCCCAACGAACGTCCTGACATGAGCACACGAAACACCACATACCTGACAAGCCAATAATTCATTCCAGTTCAAATGGCCCAACCGTACTTCTCCTCGCGTGGCTCGTCTGCCGCCGCCTTTCCGGACCAAATGCCGCAATATAGCCAGCCCGACTCATATCCTGCGTTCCCGTTGCTGCTGGGCTCAGGCCATGTGCCCAACAACCTGCTCTACTGGAGCAACAACAACAACAACAACCACCAGGTCTTGCAGCCGGACATATCTCCCGTTGCTCGTTCGTCGTTTTCCTTGCTGCAGCAGCAACAGCAGCAGCAACAGCACCATCATCACCAACAACCACCACCACCAGCACAACATCAACAACATCAACAGCAGCAGCAACCCTCAACCGAACAACGGAAGCACAAGCGAACTCGGAGTGGATGTCTCACATGCCGTGCCCGTCGAATCAAGGTGAATGAATACTGAATGAGTATACACTGGTTAAAACATAGTTACACTCAACTAATCAGTCCAATATCTAGTGTGACGAGGGTCGCCCGGTATGCGAGAGTGAGTTGCTCGAACTTGATAATATAGTATAGAGACATCCTCCTAATACAATGTTTCTATCTAGGATGTCGGAAAGGCAACAGACCCTGCGAATACGCCCAGCGCAACGCTAGATCGACCAACCGTACCAAGTCGCGGAGACAGTCGTCACTAGAAAGCATATCTTCGGATGATGACAACGCCGAGCCCGGCAGCGGTGCTGGCCTAGATGTTATTCCTGATGAAGATGAGACAGCAGAAATCCCTGGTGGCCGGCGGCCACCCACAATACCAGAGGATGCTTCGTCCAAAAAGACGAATATGCGGTCTCCGAGCAAGCATCGTCCGAGGAAGACCTCTGAAGCATCGTCCGGAAATAAGTCAAATTCACTATCACCAGCCTCGGATTTGGTGTCGCTATCGCCCAGTTCTTCGGCCAATTCTCAGTACAAGAATCACATAGTGCAGCGCCCAGCACGAGACCTGAGGGAAATGTTCAAGCACAAGCGTCTGAAAGATGACGTTTGGTACTTCTTAAAGTATCACCAGGAAAAGCTGAACCATAACCACTACTTGATGAATTATGAAACAGATGCGTTCTTTCGAGGCACGCTGTTGGACTTGGCCGTCGACTATGAGCCACTCCTGTATGCGCTGGTGGGCTTTGCTGCGTATCATCATACCTTGGAAAACCCGCGAGGGAAACTATATGATTTTCTCAAATATTACGATCGATCACTTCAACTACTCCGGAAGAGTCTTGCGTCGGGGTCTAAGCACAACGAAGGAACGCTGGCTACCATTCTTCAGCTGTCAACATTCGAGGTTGGTTAACCCCTTTCCCTTTTTTGGGAGGAGGGGGATTAGTGAAATATCTAACAGTTTAGTAGGAAAGTATCGGTGACTTCATGAATCTAGTCGATCACCACCAAGCCGCTGATGAGTTGATACACGAGCTCCTTACCCCGACTAGCATCACACAGAACCATGTGCATCGATATCTATTCATCTGGCATGCACGGTTCGATCTTGTAGCATGCATCATTGCCAGTAACGAGGCCATCCTAGGTCCGGAATGGTACACGGCAATCGAGCGACACGACACCGCTCAAGCAGTCCAAAACCCAGATGATTTCTTCAAACAACTACAGGCGCTCGCCTCCCGAACACGCCTTTTCGCCATGGAATTCGCATCCCTATTTGCACAACTGTCGCGCGGGCTGATTAGCTCTGAGGAATTCGAAGTCCGCTTCAAATCACTTAACCAAGTCATCAACGACCTCCACCGCGTTCTCGAACAGTACGATCAATGCGACGAGGTCATCTTACCCAGACCCGCCGTACCTTTACAAGGCCCGGAAGACGTGCTTGACACAACCATGCCCTGCAGATTCTATCGAGACTCGAAATGGATGCTCAACTTCATGTGGCCCGACGTGCTTGCCACGGAGCTCATGTTCAAATACCAGTCGCACATTCTGATGGGGCAACCGGAGGGCGCAGAACTGCAGAGGATTGCGCTGCAGATCTGTCACCATGCAGAAAGTATTGCGAGATGGCCCGAGGTCGAGGTTGGGTCTATTCTGGGCTTTCACAATTGGATGATCTTGACGACTCTTTTCTTGCCGAAGGATTCGAAGCATATGATGTGGACTCGACGGTTGTTTGCGCAGGTTGAAGTTAATGGGTAGGTTCATATCCCTCCAGAAACGATATGAAGTGTATATATATATATATATATATATATACTGACTCTTTGTCTAACATATAGATATGTCTACGCCCCGCGTGTGCGCAGAGCGCTATCAGAAGTATGGAACGACGCCAGCGTGGAAGAATGGTGGGACCCCAACGACCAAGGGGGCTGCCCAAGCCTGATCAAAGAAATTCGATCACTGACCGAAGAACGAACCACGAGCCCCCGCGACCAAGTCCGTGAAGATGTGCGGGACTTGAAATCGCTGTTTGGGAGCATGCGCATTGACGATAGTACGCCTGAGTAGGGGCATTAGTTTGCGCTACCTACCTAGGCTGTAGTAAGATAGTAATGGTAATAAATTATGGGCAAGGGGTTTGGTGTGTATGTTAATATTTTGGGCACATTACGTATGTATCTATGATGTTTCCTTAAAGCGACTGATTTACCGTTGTGTATGTATGTATGTATGGGTGAGTGGGACATTTTCTTTTGGTCTGTCACATCTTTCGGGGTTTCATGACATATACCTATGAAGCAATTATAATTGCTCCAATGACTATATCTATTTGGGTGGAAATAAGATCATGAATATACCCTCACCTCACAACCGTTCCTAGCCCTAACCTCCCTCGCCAAAACAACCGTCTCGTATCCACCTACTATTTCCCTCTCCACAATCATCCCACCACTACCACCACCAGTATGATTTGTACCAGTAATGTTATTTACATCATCCTCTCCCCACGGCAATGCGTCAATATCAATATCCTTCTCCAACCCCAACAGGCATTTCAGCACCACGCCAGCCCCGGCTTTGCTCATGACCACGTTCCGCTCTTTGCAGCGCTCGTCGCATACGCATTCCACGCAGCCTTGAGGCGTGATGCAGGAACATGCTTCGATACGTTTGATGGCGCGGTGGAGTAAGGTGTCAATAAACTCAAAGGCTTTGAGGGCAAGCCCCGATCCGGATGTGCCCCCTTTGGCGTCATAGAATGTCAGACGGGCGGGCCGCTGGCGATGCGGAGGTTCAAGGTTTGGATTTTTCTTGTTGTTCGAAGAAGGTGTGAAAGCACTGGTGGTTCTAGAAGGCGTGGAAAGAGCCTCGTTTGCCCGTTTCAGATTCTTGCCGAGTTCTTTCTTGGCCACTTTGCATTCAGTGCGAACGTCGCCTGGGAGCGAAATGACGAATGTCGGGAACAGGGATAGAACGGCGTGCTCCGCCGCGTGAATGGCTGCTGCGATGTTGAGGCGTCTTGATTCGAGGATTTCAAATGCCCGTTTGGGCACGTCAAGCCACATTCCTTTGGTGAACGTGTCGATAGGTGGGTTGTCGACCTGCACGGCATCAAGTACTCGGCCGCGCTTGTCGATTTTGAAGAATCCGTATACGACGGAGTGTATTTGGATCACTCCATAGAAAGCCCGCGACGAAGTAGCAATATGGCGAATGGCTTCTGTCTCGATGGGGTCAATATCTGTATAATCGCGTTGCTGCGTGTTCCAGTCGACCTGGACTTGCACAACTTTTGCAAGACGTTTCTCTGTATTGAGCTCTCGCACTACGTATGTCTGGCCCTGGTGCATGAAGATGCCGCCTTCGTAGATGGTGAAAAAAGCTCGGGAGACTTCCACTTCCTCGAGCACAATATTCCTATTGTGCGTGATATCGATCACTGCAAAGGCGCTGTCTTCCATGTCTCGTAGCGATACAAATTCTGACGGCTTGGGTCGAAATCGTTCATTGCAGTGATAGTATCCAAGTGCATCCTTGACGAGACGGGTAGACGCAAATTCTTCAAGCTGTTCACCAAAATAAACCTTGTCTTCTTCCGGTCTGAGTGGCATCTCGAATGCTGCACATTGGACGTGTCCTTCTAACACAAGTTCATTCGTCAAATCTACCTGTAATTCGCAGTTCGGCTTGGTAAATATCTCATCTGGATTGCTCATATAATGCTGGTCGGTTGGAAATCCGTCTCCGATCAAAACTGATAACGAATCTTTATTTCGCCGACCAGCTCGTCCACTTTGCTGACGAAGATTCGATATCGAAAAGGGGAAGCCGTGAGTTATGACGGCGTCCAGCGAACCAATGTCAACTCCAAGCTCGAGTGCATTGGTCGCAACAATCCCCATCAACTTCCCTTCGAACATTTCCTTTTCAATTCGGCGTCTGTCCTGCGGGCTATAACCGCCACGATAGCCCATAACCAAGTTCGCTACCTCTGGCCTTCCCACAGTCTGGAATTCACTCTTCACCGCTGCCAACATGATTTCGCATTGTTTCCTTATCCGGCAGAAAATTATGACCCTGACACCACGCAAAATAAGTTGGCAGAACAGTCGTGCCGCTTCTGCAATACTGTCTCCTCTACCAGATGTAGGATCATGCGGGTCTTTGTATGGCGTGTTCCAACAGATAAATTCCTTCCGGCCTGCAGGTGAGCCGTCAATATCAGTCAATCGGACGTCATCAACTCCGAAAATAGTCTTCATATGTGCCTCCGGGTTGGCCACAGTAGCTGAACACGAAATAAACTTCACGTGGCGATTTCCTACAGCCGCGCAAATCCTTCGCAGCCGTCGCATAACGAAGGCTACGTGAGATCCGAAGAGACCATTATACGCATGAAGTTCATCAACGACAACGAATTTGAGGTTTTGTAGGAATGTACGCCACGAGCTCTCCTGCGGCAGGATAGTAACATGCAACATGTCAGGGTTCGTAAAGATGATACGCCCTTCGTCACGAATGGTATTCCGTTCGTTCATTGGTGTATCTCCATCAAAGGTTTCGACCACGACCTCTTCCAGGCCTTCCATGTAGTTGAGAAGTCCCTTCATGCTGCGTTTTTGATCCTGTGCAAGAGCCTTGGTTGGAAAGATGTATATCCCTCTACTGTTCGCGTCTTGTTCTAGTTCGTGAAGCATCGGGATTTGATAGATCAGAGACTTCCCAGAGCTCGTCGATGTTGATACAATTACGTTGTGTCCTTCATATAAATTGTTGATAGCTTCCGCTTGATGTGAATAGAGCTGTGTTATCCCTTTGGCGTTGTAAAGAGCGTTGACCAGGTTTTGTGACAGTGGAAAGTTAAGATCTCCGTGTACCGCAGGCTGCGGTTCGAATACCCTATGGCCATCTGGAACTATTTGGGCTGTATACCATTCCATTTCCTTGAGTTCTGAGATTATATCCGCTATTAGCTTGCGTTCTTTCGGTATTTCACGCGGAACGCTCGTAATAGCAGGATTGACTGCATCTTGCTTGACGGACGGCATTGGTATGACTTTCTCGGCTTCCAATTGTTCCACAGGATCTGCGCCGTTGTCTTCGCATTTCACCAGGAAGGCATCAATGGCGTCCGAGAACTTCTTGTTTCTCTTTTCAATCAAATTCAGCATCTGCTTTTGGCTGTAAACTGGCATTTTCAGCTCATCATTTCTAAGCCTTTTTGTTGGTCTGGTTGGTTCTCCCGTCTTACTATCCTTAACCTGGCGTCTCAAGTCCTCATCAACGAATTCAAAAAGCAAAACATCTCGCGTTTCTTGCAGTTCATCCCGTTCAACAGTAGGCGCATCATCACTAGGAATGAAGCCACCGCCTAGATTCGCACTCTTCACATTCATCCATCTGTAATCATCCTTTCCACCTTCACCAGCTCCCATAACCTCCAGTGCTGCTTCATCCACATATTCAAATTTGACCGCCCGCGGAATGAGAACCTTGATCTTTGCAACATCTTCGATTGTCAATTCGCGACCTCCCATCTGGCCCTGCACAGCAGCTTTGATTGTCTCAAAAGTTGTGGCAAGATGTTTCCTTGTGCAACAAAAGGTGTACACCAAATTCAGAGCTCTGTGTGTCTGGGACAAAAGCTTCAGAGAGTCAGGCCATGGGCCAGACGGCTTCCGCGATGGTTTCGATTGAGCGCCAGCGCGTCTATTTCGTGCCTTTGTGTTCGTCTTCTTGTCTTTCGGCGTTTCTCTGGTGGGATCTGTTGTACCAGTCGATGGCGGCTTGGATGTAGTCGCCATCGGCGAAGCCCTTAGTCTGGGATCTATTACTTCATCGGAGAAAGAACCAGTTTGGTTTCCATTCTCGACCACAAGTGTGGCATTCTCTGAGGACGATGCGCTTGCACCGTTCATAGTGGCAGATCAAGTCCATGGCTATGTTATGACTGAAGAGAGCAAGGAGTCAGAATTGTTCTCCTTCAATCGCGATAGTGCGCGCGTGGTCACGTGCGTTAATTACCCGTCTGTGGCCAATCAGCGTTTCTCTTTGGTGGGATCTTTAATTTGCCTTCTACGGATACAATCTTTCAGCAAATAAGCGCCATATGATATGATCTAGACTATTTATGTGGTTTTGTTTAATCATCTTTATAACATCTACAACTTCGCCGTCATTTAATGCCTGCGTTATAAAGCTACCATAAACATTCGACCATCTTGGCTATTGACTTCCAGTTTAGTAGTTCCTCCATACGTAGAAAGTCTTGTTCGACCGTCTGTAAAAAGAATTCTACCTGCTTGTCCTACTTTCCTAGGCATATTTTCACTGTTAGTTTAGATAAACTCGTTCCGGTTGATTATAATTCCGAGGCTAGGCTATATTTGCTCTAGTATACTTAATGCTAGGCTTGATTAAGACAAGGCTTCGAAATCTTAGGAACAACCACCTATGTTTCTGGCCAATCATAGCCCTCTCCGCAGCCCCAGACTGCATGTCTGTAATTGGCCGAAAACCTCTAGCGCGCTAGTCCGCTTCAGTGCAGGCGTACCACCGCTAGTGCCAGTTTTTGCCGCCCCGGTTCCTTCCTTCTCCTTCTTAGCTTGACTGCTTCGAAATTTTTCTTGCCTCTGCCACTAGTTCATTTTTCTTCTCTTCCCTCTCTCTTGCTTTGCACGATCTTCATCTCTCCAGTGTCGCCATCTCTGAGACTCTCACCTCATTTCTTCATTTCATTTAGACTTGTCCGCCTGTGGTACCTTTTCTCCCCTTTGTTTCTCAGACTCTTAAAACCACAACTCCTGAATTATGTCTTATCGCGGCGGCGGCAGTGGTGGCTACGGCTCCCGTGATTCTTACGGCGGAGGTCAAGGAGGAGGCTATAGGTACGTTGCTTCATTTTCCTGAATGGCCAGATTCGCCAGTGTTGGATAGTTTTGGTCGACCAAAATCAATACTAACAGTTTTCCAGAGGACGAGGCGGTGGTCAATCCAACGGATATGGTGGTGGCTCCAACGGCTACAGCAACAACGGTGGCGGTTACAGCGGCGGTGGTTATGGTGGTGGCAGCTATGGCGGCGGCGGTGGTGATCGTATGTCCGCGCTAGGTGCTAACTTGAAAAACCAAGAATGGGGTTAGTCTGATCATATCCGAAGTTTTTTGTTTTTTGGTTTTCCTTTCACTAATAATAGCAGATCTTTCCGCTCTCCCAAAATTCGAAAAGTCCTTTTACAAGGAACACGAGGATGTAACAAATCGCTCGCAAAAGGATGTTGATGCCTTCCGCAAGGAGCACCAAATGGCTGTCACCGGCCGAAATGTTCCTCGTCCAGTTGAGACTTTCGATGAGGCCGGTTTCCCCAACTACGTTTTGTCCGAGGTCAAGGCTCAAGGCTTTGATAAACCCACTGCCATTCAGTCTCAAGGCTGGCCTATGGCTCTTTCGGGTCGCGACGTCGTCGGTATCGCCGAAACTGGTTCTGGAAAGACGCTGACATATTGTCTTCCTGCCATTGTTCACATCAACGCACAACCTCTTCTCTCCCCCGGTGACGGACCTATTGTTCTTATCCTGGCTCCTACTCGTGAGCTGGCTGTGCAAATCCAAGTCGAAATCAGCAAATTCGGTCGCTCATCTCGCATCCGAAACACTTGTGTCTACGGTGGTGTTCCCAAGGGCCCACAAATTCGTGATCTGAGCCGTGGAGTCGAAGTTTGCATTGCTACCCCTGGTCGTTTGATTGACATGCTTGAGGCTGGCAAGACCAATCTTCGCCGTGTCACTTATCTTGTTTTAGATGAGGCCGATCGCATGCTCGATATGGGTTTCGAGCCCCAGATCCGCAAGATTATCTCTCAGATTCGCCCTGACCGACAGACTTGCATGTGGTCCGCCACTTGGCCCAAGGAAGTTCGTCAACTCGCTAGCGATTTCCTGAACGATTTCATCCAGGTCAACATTGGATCTATGGACCTTTCCGCAAACCACCGAATTACTCAGATCGTCGAGGTTGTCTCGGACTTTGAAAAGCGCGACAAGATGATCAAGCATCTCGAAAAGATTATGGACGACCGCAAGAACAAGTGCCTTATCTTCACCGGCACAAAGCGTATTGCAGATGAAATTACTCGTTTCTTGCGCCAGGACGGATGGCCAGCGCTGTGTAGGTGCTTCTTTCTAACGGATAATGATAATATGTTGAAACTAACAAACAACCTAACAGCTATTCACGGTGACAAGCAGCAAAACGAACGTGATTGGGTTTTGCAAGAATTCAAATCTGGAAAGAGCCCCATTATGGTTGCTACTGATGTAGCTTCCCGTGGTATTGGTATGATTACAACTAGAACCCCCTCCTTCCCTCCCTTTCTCTCTCATTCTACCTTTGCAAGCCATGCACTTGACGATTGTCTTGTCAAGACCTAACCCGTAGAGACGTCGTGTGACATATGGCACGGTGCCCTACCTCTCTTCATCAGACATGTTGGTATACATGATTAGTCCAGGCTTTTCTCGGTTCTTTCCTACTGGCTGCTCAGCCAGGAGGACCTTGGACTTACAGTGCAGTTTAGCAGATTTACTTATTTGCTTCTCAGGCTCTTGAATCTTGAATTTATTGCAAGGCATTTTTAGAGCCGCGGGAAGTCTCATTTGAACTTCGATGCAAGCTGCATATCATTCCAAGGTCCGCTCTAGGACCGCGAACATTGCCAGCCTATGGGCTTACTGAAATATCTTGGTGACGATCCAAGAGAGGAGTGCATCAAGTCTCGCGCGGCTGACCGGGGTGCAAAGGTCACGCAGCTTGAAATTATTACTTTTGTTTGCTAACCTGTGTAATTCTGAAGACGTCCGCGACATCACCCATGTATTGAACTATGACTACCCGAACAACTCGGAGGATTATGTGCACCGTATTGGTCGTACTGGTCGTGCTGGAGCCAAGGGAACGGCCATTACATTCTTCACCACTGACAGTGAGTTTCTCCGATTAACTTATGTTATCAGCTTGTATATACTGACTGTTTTCTGCAGATGCTAAGCAGGCTCGTGATCTTCTCACCATTCTTACTGAGGCCAAGCAACAAATCGATCCTCGTCTGCATGAGATGGCCCGCTACAGCGGTGGCGGCGGTGGTGGCCGAGGATGGGGAGGTGGTCGTGGCCGCGGCTATCACCGTGGTGGCGGCGGCGGTGGTTACACTGCTTCCAACTCAGCTCCTCTCGGCGGCAACCGACGCTGGTAGACGACGACACGACGCTTTCCAAACGTATTAATATTACGTCAGTAAAAGAATGAAAACCATTAACCGAGAAGAAAGCTGCTTTTTTTGCAAGTGCGACCTTTCCAAATCGATTGGAGGCCGATGACGTTTTTCCATTCATCCATCTTTAGGGGAAAAAAATGCGGCGTTTTGCAGGGGTTATTTTTTTATCTTTCTTATAGATCGACTGCACTTTTTTCTCGTTATTGTCACAGTACATAAAGTACTTCATCGTACTTGTTCATGTGTTTAATTTTGTCTAGATTTTTTTTTCCCTTTATTGACAGATTGTATTGCCTTGCTTGCTCACGACCGAGGAACGCAACCGACGCGATGCGATGACGATGCGACCTTGAGGCAAGATTCAAGTACCTTTTTTTTTATGTTACTGATTATTGGGATTTAGGTAATGTGACTTTGCAAACGGCAGACAGTTAATAAACATATTCTAGAACTTTTTTTTCCTTGCTATTCGTAACTATAACTAGTTCCTAAGACAGAAGAATTACGGATGATAGAAGTAGTCTTCTCTACAGATCGACTAAACAATGGACATGAGTTAGCCGGAAAGGTTATATGACATAGCTGGATGGACTAAGTAACTCATTGACTTGACTGCTTGATTGATCGATTGATTGATGATGACGGACTGACTGATCTGATCTCAAAACAACAAAAACAACACAACGAAAAATGACGAGAGAAACAACAACGCCAAATATTCACAAGTACGTAACGTACCAAGTAATAACAACAACAACAGCATCAACAAACAAACAATAGACAACAAAGTAGGGGAATGACGGACAACAGAGGGACAGGGAGATAGATAAAAAGAAAAGGTCATTGCACTGCATTGCATTCCTTTCTTCGTTCCTCTTTTCTTTTCTTTTCTTTTCCTTTTTGATTCGCCCCTTTTCGTTTTGTTTTTTTTTTTCCTGTTTCCTTCTTTTGTTCTTTTTCCCTTTCTTTAGGTTAAAGAACAGATGATCTTTTTCATATCCACACGTTTCCATATCCATTAATCGAATCGGGGGAAGGAAGATTGAGGTATGGGAATAGAAGATTGGATGAAAAAAAAAAAAAAAAAAAGGGAAAAAAAAAAAGGCACAGAAGGGAAGCACGTAAATGCGGGGATGTGGTATCATAAGGTGTTTGTTTCTCTTTGTAAAAGAAACACCTTTCAAAAAAAAAAAGAAAGAAAGAAAGGAAAGGAAAGGGGGAAAAAAACGAAAAACGAGAAAGAGACCAAGAAGGAGGAGGGAGATAGAATGCAGGAGAAGGTAAGAAAGAATAAATATATTGGTGTGGAAAACATATTGACCGGAGGCGAAGAGAAAAAAAGAGATGGGAGAATTTAAAGATCAAGATGGGGAGGGACCGTCTACTGGTAAGTTCCAGATTGGTTGTTGTCTGGGGCTAAAGAATCAGCCGTCAGCACCACAATGCGAGACGATTATTCGCCAAAACAAAAAAAAAAGGTATTCGTGTCCATGCGATGCGCTTCTTGTAGTGTATCCAAAGGCGAAAGAAGGCAGAAGAAGAGGAAAAAGGAAAAAGACGAACGTGGCGAACAGCTACTTACGTTGCTGGTACACCTGGTTGTTTTGGGCGTAAGGCGAATGCGGATAGTTGCCGTACATCTGACCGTTACCCTGAGGATAGACCATGCCACCGGCGCCTCCAGGAGGGTATTGGCCGGGCACTTGGTTCTCGGCAGCCTGGTAGCCGATTGGGGGCAGCTGAGGTCGCACACCACCGGCGTAGCTGGGCGGTTGACCGGCTTGAGAAGGGTCAGCAGGAGCACCGCCCTCGACCTGGCCGGCCTGCGCCTGGGCAGCAGCCTGACGTTCACGCTCTTCGGCGGCCTTGCGCTGGTTCTCCTCCTCCTTCTTGCGGGCCTTCCATTCCTTGCGGATTTCTTTGAACTCTGGAGGCGGAGTCAGTAAGAGGTATAAAAATGCATGTATATGTACATATGTGTATATATGTGTATATATATACCGGTGGGGGCAGAATTAACGTTGCCGCCGGTGCCAACGCTACTGCGTGGCCTAGCATGGAGTGTTGTGTAACGCGACTAAAGGATGCGGGCGTCACTAGCCCCCGTTAAGGCCAAGCCAGCTACCACACACACATACGCTGAGCTAACGTACAACAGACACATCCAATGCCAATTAATGCAATGCATCTACGGGCAGCGCAACGACACAAAAAGCAGAGAGTCACGGGCGAATTGGAAAAGCAAGGGGAGATACCTTCTGGTGTCCGCTTAGAGCCATGCGACTGCATCGTGACATGCGCGTTGAGATGGTTCAATGTACCGTATGCTTTCTCACAGCCATTCCAGCCACACTTGTACATACGCTCGATCTCTTCGTAACGGCGACGGGGACGCTTGTGCTGTTGGGCGCCGGGGATAGGAACGAATGAGTAAACCTAGAAGGAGACACAACGTGAGTCAATGCCACGAAATGCGCGTAAATATAACGCGGCAAAATCAGTAATTCCGGCAAAGGCCGCCCCAGGAAATGACATGCACGATCCAATTTTGATTTTTTCTTTTCCTTCCGTTTTCTTTTTCGTTTCATTTTACCAATAAAAGAAAAAAAAAAAAAAAAAAAAAGAAATAGATCGTGCGCCAGAACCAAAAGCACGTACCTGGCCAGGGCGCGGCCCCGCGGTTGTAGCAGGGGAGGCAGAACCAACCGTTGGAGGGGCAGGGGAGCTATAAGGACCCTGCATGGCATGTTGCTGGTGAGGATATCCATGCGACCACTCTGGACGCGCATACATCTGAGGAGGAGGGTGTCCCTGGTACTGGGACATGTCGTGGCCCTGCGGATTGTAGGGCGAGTAAGGTGGAGGGTAAGTTGGGCTTGAGGCCGCAATTGAGGGATCTATAGGCAGGTCCGCGTCAGACTTTAAGTTCGACTGATTGCGATGGTCATCATTCTTTCCATCGTTCAGGGTGGTAGACGAACTCGTTGCTTGAGCCATGGCTGCTGGCGCACCGCGGGATTGTGTATGCGGTGGCAGGGATGATACTGAGGCTGACGAGCGTGAGAGAAAGTCCGGAGGAAAGTTCGCGGGACGTGCGTTGATAATCGGCTTGCGGATAGATCTAACCTCTGGCGCGATAGCTGCGAGGTCTCAGAATTTGGCAAACCTGACTGCGGGTAATCAGATTCAGGCGTCCATAAAATGGTTGCTTTTTTTTTTTCGGAGTTGCTTTCTTTTTGGTATGTGACAACCAAAAATAAAAATAAAAATAAAGCACAAGAAGGGCAAAAAATAATAACAAACCCTCCCAGACAAGGGACCGCGCGCGTACCTGTTCAAAGTGATAAACAAAAGTTGCCTCTTTGTCGAGTTGTAACTTGGCTCTGTACCACACAGAGAGGGAGCTTGGGTATCAGCAAGATAGTAGTTGTTTTGAAATCGACGCGAAAGTGACTAGAACAGACGCGGTGGCAAAAACAACGTTTAAAGAAAGTGTCTGATGAAATTTAGACAGACAAGCTTCCGGTGGTTTGACGCGGTCGACAGTCTAAAAAAAGGCACGGACGACAGGCGATTTGTTATGATAAGTGAGCCCTTCGGGTCCTCTGGGGGAGCAGCGAGGCTTAATCGACTTAGTCGCCTTTTTTAGGGTGACGGTACGGAAATGGTTTGCAGTTTGCGGCGGGTGTACGCTTGTACTTGTACTAGTCTGGCGTAGTCCGTAGTAAGATACAGTGGTGTACCAGAAAGAGAGAGTCGGGCTTGACCGAGTGGGATGACGCGCGCGCGCAGACAGAGTTCGCAGGTACGTTAATTCTTGAACAGAACAGATAAACGTAGGTGGTATTTTATTTTTCGCCCTAACAGGCTACAGCTCTGCAGGATACACTTGAGGGAAAAGGGGAAAGCGACGAGGCGAAGTGGGCTTTCCCTAAATTTTTTTTCCAGGAGTTGGAGCTGCTCGAAAAGGGAGAGAAATGCGACTTTGGTCTCTCGAGTCCTCGTGGGATCCGTGGGTACGGTGGAGAATTTCGCGCGTGGAGCCCGTAATATTGAGAGCGAGTATCTTTTTTGCGGCGTCAAGCGCAGCCAACAAATAGACCCCCACCAGTGATGGGAATAATCCTGAGCAGTTATAGCACAATGGCTTTCTTTTTTGCGAAGGTTTGGGAGGCCGGAAGATTCGGCTTGGCGGAGAGTTTGTTGTCGCGCGTTGCGGCCGGCTTTCGTTTTTTTTTTTTTTTTTTTTTTTTTTTTTTCCTTCCTTTTTTTTCCTTCTTTGTGCTGTTGTCACAAGTAAAATGGGTTATCGCCAGCAAATTGCGTGAGCGGCGCTTTGCCCGATTACGCCAGAAGGATCGAGGACCAGGGCCAACCACAAGTGGCAATGGCGGGAAAAAAAAGTGGGTGCGGTTTGCTGTGAGTGGACTGCGGGCTGATAACAAAGGTAAATTTTTTTCCCTCGTTTCTGGCTCGCTCACGCTCACAGGACGATTTGATCAATGATAGATAGCTAGCTAGCTAAGACTAATAGCTCCCGGTACCCGCAGTTCGGTTAGCTAGCAGCGTGGGTAGCGTCGTAGCGGTACCGGCGTGGGAGGAAAGACGCCCCTGGGTCGGATGGAGAGATGACAGCGTCGCATAGAGCGTTGACTTGCTGAGAACGGTTAGACGTGGCCCTAGTGAGGAAGCGGGCGTAGCGCAGTTTGGGGGAAACGTACGATTCGTGGTATTTTGATATCTCGCGTCGCGTAATTAACAGACACGTTTTGACAAATGCCCAACGCGAGACGTTGAGCAAGCAGCACACGGCGCAGACAGGCAGCAGCAGTTCGACGGCCGTCAATGAGAGGAGAGAGAAACAGAAAATGTTTAGGGGGGGCGGTTGAGGGAATTGGGAAGGGCGGCGAGAAAGAGGGAAGGCGTGGCTGGAGCGGCTTAGTAAGAAACTTTGGCACGCGCCGGTACGCTCGTTACCAGCAGCGCTGTGCAGTGTCGCGGAATTATGCGTAATTATGCGTATTTCTCGTCATGCTCGGTTATCATCTGCACCCATAGCAAAGTATAGGCCATGATCACTCTCTCCCCCAAAGATTTAGCCGGCGCATTGCACAGGCAGCTAAACGGGCATAGTCAGGAACGGGATCTTAGTCTAGTATCTAGCCTGCGGGTAGACCATAGCATCCTCTCACTCCATCCTTCTTTTGCTGTCCAGGGTACGCTGTTCAACTATCGTTCAGTCAACGCGGAACAAGTGATACTCGCATTCCGAGCAGATATCGTGACTGGAGCATTGCCTGCCAGGAAATCAAATCCACTGGGCCAATCAGCAGCCGGGTACGCAGTGGGGCAGTCTGACTCGCGACCGTTCATTATTATTTCATGGCGTTAATATACATTAACATCATTGATATCATTAATGCGAAAACAACTAATCCAGCTACCCAGCCGAGCAATTGCCGACATCCATCTATAATATCATCTCCCCCAGCTGCGGTCAACTAATGCTACGTCGAGCCCTGTCATAGCATAGCATTACAGTAGTAACAGTGGGGAAGCCACAATCCCGCCTTAGCACGCCGACCATCGACCAATCCAGCATGATCAGCGCTGGCGTCTTCTGGCGAAATATCGATTTATGCAGCACGGTTACGCCGTACAGTTGCGAGCTTTGAACAGGTGATCCAATTTGGCCCCAAAAGTCTCCATTTTCCCAATATCGGTCATCTCACCGCTCTGATAGGTGGGCGTCGAGTCATGTGTGATTTGTCCTCGTTATCGCTCGACGCTCAGAAGCGGGTGGGCCAATCAGCGCGGCGTCTTGGGTGCGTTTTGCTTTTTTATTTTTTATTTTTTTTTATTTTTTTTTTTTTCTGTCTGTCTGTTATATTGGGCGGAACGGGGAGCAGGGTAGCATTCCGCTGGTTACGTACGGCGTATTTGTCCTCTGAGTACCTGGAGGGCCGAGGCTGAACAGCTAATATAAGAAATGGTGGATCTGGATAATCCCTATCTGTCCAATTTTGTAGCTACTTTCCCACATCCATATATAGATAGTGGCCTATTCATCGTGATCCTCAAACTCAGGGTCGGTCTCCGTATCTGCGTACGGATGAAGGAAGTACCGCTAACCCCACCCTCCGGGCAGATCAGCCAATCAGCGCATCCGCTCGATCACAACTTCCTCTTCGGGCCGCGTACATGCCCATGCAGGAATCTCCCCGACCACGCTGCAATCCGATTGGCCGATGGATGCTGACTGCATATTCAGTTACATGCAAAATGGTACGGATATATGGACTCCCCTAACTTGTTGTATGCACCGCTTTTCTTCCGTAAGAGTGTACACTGTGCAGTGTCGGAGTATATACTCCATGTAGTATATACTATATAGTACATTGCGGTAGAAAGTCTAACTCGGTCTACGTGGCAGCTTTCAACCATGGTCTTGCAGTTGTGCTGGAGATACACGGAGTTAACCTATCAATATCAATCAATATACGTATTCTCTCGTACGAGCAGCTACAGCGGAGCCAAAAGCTCCGTTGCCGACCGAGTTGTATACATTGGTACTTTTCAGTATATCGTTTTTTTCTTGTCTTGCTTTTTGTCCCCCCAAAAAAGGAGCATGGAGTAACGCATCGTCTCCATCATAGTCTCTCCAGCGCTCCAATATGCTGGTGGGTTCCTTATCATCGATACAAACCATGGTACCTTACTCGGTGCTAAATTTTAATGTATTCAGCGGACGGGAAGTTCCGCTATTTTAGTGCGATTATTACTTGACGTAGCAAATGCATACATATCAAGAAGTAAATATACGAAGTAGCTAACTCTAAAAGGGAATACGTTTTTTCGACTGGCAATGGCATCATATCTTTATATGTGGAACTCAGCTGAATACTCGATATGGAGACTATGTCGCACATAACCATCGTACTCAGTACATAGTCATACTGTATTAGCTAAGGTCAGACCCTGGAAGTAGGCGCAAGCCAAGGATCGAGCGGGTAGACCGATACTATATACTATTTAGTAGTTAGTGATTTAGTATAATATAGTTGGCTAGTAGTTATACCTAAATAACAAGCAGATATTTAACTAACTACAAGTCATGATTGGACTGTATACACCATACTCTATGCTTTTACTATATACATAGATACTATACTCATACCAGTCAACTTGGATGATGGCCAGTAAATACATGCTAGACACTATGACACTAATGGTGTACTAATCCATGTGCCTGTCCGCTCTGTCCAACGTAGTACGTACATGCATGCCAATCCAATTACCCATGCCCATGCCATCCCATGTCTAGCATGCCACGCTCCCTAGCGTTGCTCTAAGTCTTTTTTTTTGTCCGGAGTCCATGCATAGAACGTTCTTGGTGCGTTCGATTGTAGGACAGGGTCCTGTCTAGCTAGCAGCTAGCTAGTAGCTATCCCGTACCTTACATAGTGCGACTCGTATTGCTTAATTGGATGCTTTTTAGCTAACTTAGTTGTGGCTGTTGTGCGACCTTCCTTTCTCTTTTTTTTTTTTTCTTTTTTTTTTTTGTCATGTGTATATTAAAATAGATTTAACGTTAGGGCTGTTAGTGTTAGTGCTTAGTGCCTACTATGTACGGAGTAACTATATCTAACTACAAGTTAGCTAAGAGTACATCTCGTACTACTGCTAGTCATCTTAGTACGTATCATAAACTTCGAATTCTATAGCCCTAAATAAGTATGCCCACTGCGCACAGAGTAGCACGGCCTGCGTCTATCAACTATGGAGTCGATTAGCATGGCTTTAGTTCAAACACTAAGTGCGTAGTGTAGATCCATTTAGCATCTTATATAGTTTATTTAGTTAGCATAGTCAACACCTAGCGTGTTGTTTCATGTTTATTTTCTATTTTTTTCCCTGCATGGCGTCCATGCTCAGCCGATTAGGTTTTGATCAACTACCTAGTCTAGACTATACTTAGTGCAGAGTATATAGAGCAAACAAGTAACTAAGATCAGATGGACGGCTTCGACACCACATAGTTCGAACACATCTGTAGCTTATAAATATGGGCTTGTAGATCAATGTATAGTTAGATAAGTGTGAGCAGGAGATGTGAATCGTTATTGCGAGACCTCACGATGTGCGAATACCTAGGACTTATCTATAAGGAGCATACTAGGTGTTGACAAAGATTCTGAAATGCTTCGGCCTGAGAGAACATAAACATATCAATGCCGAGTAGTGGTATATCAGTCTGAAAAAGAACAGTGAGAAATCATCAAGATTACAATGCCTGATTCTGGCTCGACTCCTTGCTTAGGTATAATGCTATATATATATATATGCAGATGTTCCGACCATGCAGTCAACTGGCACTGCATACTACGTAGAAGATTCCATATCATTTCTCTGTTCTCATAGACATCCAAATAGGAGAACGTCCTATATGTCCTGAGAACGGAGAGACAGGATTGATCATGCTAGAGAGCATGTCATGGTTTCTAGAGAGAGCACTTGAGGGCACATACGGCAAGATACGAATTGTTCCAGGGTTTGTGATGTGAAGGGACTCCGTATAAACAAGAACAGCTGCACTGCCATATAAAAACCATACAAACATCTAACTTGTATGGTTATTTGTTACCTCACTTTCATGCCTAGGTACTCTCATCGTTGCTCATGATATTCTCAATGCTTTGGAGTAGAAACAGCCACAATTATCCAACAACTAAGTGACATGGCCGATCGATTAACGCATAGGCTAAAAATCCATTACATTCGTGCGTAGATATCCTACTCTCATCGATATATTCTATTTTATCGATAAAATCTACAGAGGTGCGTTGGGCGATATCAGACTACGCTAATACTATTTCGGCATGTTAATATTACATAAGCCGTCGGAAGCTGGGTCGGAGTTTCTTACTCTTTTGGAAATTTTCTGGTTCCTGAGCTTCTCTTTTTCCTGCACGTCCATCATCACGACCGTTATCTCGGGCTTGCCATCTATATCTGTCTGATCTTGTTGAATTTTTCTTTTCCAGATTATTCATTGATTTGAATTCTATTTTTTTTTTAGTCTCCGTGCGTGGCTGGCGATTGTTCTTGATGCCTGGTTGCCGCTCCCAACTTTACAGAATATAAACCTCCCGCTGCGATGCTTCGTTGTAGCAATGTGTGCCTCCGATACTTGGGTGCCGGCACTCGAATCCACTCCGCGGGCTCACAAGCATTGTTGAAAGCCAGTGCCCTGCCTCGCTCTCGATTCGATTCATTCCAGCGAAATGCGTCTTCCGCCACGCAACCTTACCCGTTCGATACCGAAAATGATTACTCCGAGCAATGGGACAGGAACAGGGAAAGGCGACCCCGCGTCAGACAAGTTGGCACAGGCTTGGAGGACTCATATCGAAACGTACGACTCTCAGAAACCCTGAGCTACTCGCGCAAGCAGAAAAAGAGGGCCAGACGAGAGATTCGTGGCGATAATAAAGAGGTGGATTTGCTCATGGAACTTTCCAAAGGTAGGAGTCTGCCCGAAGGAGTCAATCCGACCGTTGTGAACAAGGAGTTGCAGTGGTTGAAGGATCCCAAGGAGCTGTCAAATCGTGTGGCAAGGCTGCTTGATGCGGGCCAGGTTCCGTTGGCTGTTGCTATGATACGAAAGTCGGAATCGTTGAGAATAGATTCCTCAGCTGCTTGGAATAGGTTGTTGGGGCACTGCTTTAAACGAGGGGCGCCTTTGGCGGCGTTCAAGTTTTACAATGATGTAAGCGTTTCTCTTCTTTTTCTTGGTCATCTCTTAACATGGCATTGTTTTCCTTGCAGATGAAGAAAAGGGCCCGCGCACCCACTGACCGTACTTACACTGTCATGCTGAGGGGATTATGTTTACGGTCCAGACAATCTGTGAAGCACGTCGAACTTGCCAAAAGAGTCTACCAACAATTGCTTTCTCCGAGTTCAGGTGTACAGCCTTCCCACTATCATCACCACGCAATGCTTGAAGTTTGCGGGACATATCACGATATGGACGCCCTGTGGGATGTCATCGGAAAACTGCCTGAGAACGGGCGCAGCAAACCGAACGCCCAGACATTCACCGTGATTCTCATGGCCTTGCGCAACTCTTTCGACAACGACATAGAATCCATCCCCGAGGATAAAATGGAATTGAGGAAGAAGAAACGCGAAAGTTTCATCCGCGATTCTAAGCGGATATGGTTGGAGATTATAACGCAGTGGCAGAAGGGCCAGCTGGAAATTGACAACGAGCTTGTTGGCGCCATGGCTACTGTTCTCTCGGATCCCATGGACGAGCTCAATTCGTACAATGTTCTCGCTCTGTTCAACCAAACAATGGGCATCCCGATTCTTCTCTCACAGCCCAAGGATCTCTCGATGAAGGGCTCCGCGCAAGGAAAGTGGGAAGCTGCTGTGCGTGCCAGCAAAGACCGACCTAATTATACCAATTGGCAGTCTCTAAACTCGGAATCAGACGCTGCTGATGAAGAAGAGCTGGAAGATATTCCATTCGAAGAAGAAGGAAATCATGGCCTAGAGGACGAAAACGCATGGGAACACAATCTAGAAGGTGTCTTTGACCCAGTGGACAAAGTCAATACTGCAGACGGGCCGTCTTTCCTTGTGCCAAATAATATGGTACTCAACCATATTCTCACTGTATGCCGGATTTTGTCAAAAGGCACGGCTGCAGGAAGGGGTTATTGGAACCTATTCACCTTGGATGAGAAGGGCTACAACGTGAAACCAGACGAGGGCAACTTTCACGAGTATCTGCGACTTTTGCGAATTTCTCGATCTAGTCACACCGCAGTCGACGTGATAAAGCAGCAAATGGTCCCCGCGGGCTTGGTTGAAGGAAAGACGTTCCATATTGCGATGAGCTGTTGTCTCCGCGACCGAACCAACCCCAACGTGCTCGTCAACGCGCAAGCTCTTCTAAGTCTTATGAAAGACACTCTCCCTCTCCCCGACCCCAGACCACTGAAAAGCTTCATCGATCTCTCCGACGCACTCACCGAAAACCCTCAATGGCTCCTTGGTCTCCGGGGACTAGAAGACATTGACCAAAACTCGACAAATCTCACCATGATGGGTCGAAACATGAGATGGGCGCTCCATAAAACCGTCATCGCCAGTCTTGAACCGCATATAAACCGACTGTACGAGTCAATGAAGCAGCAAGCAGATCTTCCGCCGCCATCGTTCTCCGCGCCATCACCGTCCGCAGACGCCGTGAATGGCTTCCTTGCGGTTGAATTCATGATCAAAGCCCGCGAGATGTTGGACAAATGTTTAGGGTCACAGTTTGAGGATATCATCACGAAATCTGACCGGGACTGGGTTGCGCCGCTGGCTATCAAATTGAGAATGTTCTCAAAGTCCGAGGTCGCCAACAAGCTTCGGAAAGCGCATATTCGTCCTTTGACTCATCATTATTTGTCTGAAAAGGCTGCTGAAACTGAGGACGCTCAATCATGCTGATCTCGCTCTCTCTCATTCTTGTACTATCTTGAGACTTGTATTATATGCATCTTCTTATATTTATCATGCATGCATGACAGGCGTTATTGGGATGCGTAGGTAGGGGCGTTGGATATAGATACCTGTATTATAACTAATAGAGACACATGTCGATATATTTACAATCAAATATCATTCCATTCCGCATTGTTACTTTTACCATATTTTAGGGCTTTTCTCGTGAGCCTTAGCAGGTATACTTTTAAAGAATAGAAAGAAAGAAAGACAAGATTTGAAAAAGAGGTAAAACGATCGAAATGAACCAGCTCGCCGAGCGTGGAAGGAGTCTCCATAATTTTGAAAACGACAAAAGAGAAAAGAAAGTCTAGTCTAAGTTTTCTTAGATAACAGCTTATATTACAAATAGAGAGAGTGGTGCAAACTTCTAGAAAGACAAGGGCAACATCAGTAGGGGGTTCTACGCCTTCTTCCATGATCTCACACGACCAAGGTAATATACTGCAAGTGTAAAGAAGATATTGAATCCGACATAAGCCCAAAGCAAGCCAAAATTCCGCCACCGAGTACTTACTATAAGATATATCCCGGCCCTCCAGGAACTGATCCGCTGCCTGAAGTGTACAATACGTGCATTGACTAGTGCTATCCGGATTCAAAAGCTTGCCGGCAGCATCTCCGGCGGCTTGCAGATAGGGCTCGAGGTACTCTCCGCAAGAGGCATACCCTTGCGGCACGTCGAAGACACTTAGCTCATTCTCTGCACAATTGACCGGTCTGCCACTGACCCCCGCCGCAATTATTGCGTTGACAAGATATGTCATTGGGGAAACGCGGTACATGAAGTCCCAGAAACCCGGAAGAGCAACCTGCGGCACTAGCACACCATTGAAAACGAGAGTCATGTTGAAGAGCATGGTGGCAATGAGACCGGCAGTTTCGGCGTCGGGCAAGGCGGCGACTACCGCATGAGCGAATGTTGATCCATAAATGAAGAACTGCACGATCAGGAGTAGCATGATACCTTGGCGCTGAGAGTCCACAATGCCGTAGACCGGGTAGACAAAGCATGCGAAGACAATGACGGCGACGAAGATCTGATAGGGTATTTCGGCTATGATATTGGCTCCCAAAAAGGCGGCCCAATGGTATGTTTTCGACGGGCGTTCTCGGACCTCGTAGAGGTCTCGCTGGAAGATAAATTGGGGCATGATTTGTTGGACTAGTGCGGTGAAGATTGCAATCATCATGAAGACCGCGAAGATCAATGATTGTAGGCCTTGTTGGGATGTGCCGGGGATGTAGAAAGAAAATCCGACGAAGACTGTTGCAAATGTAGAGTTAAAAAAAAAAGAGGGTCCCAAAGTATTTTTTTTTGGAGCAATTGCGAAGACTCACGAGCTGATACAAGGCACAAGGCTAGCTTTCCATATATGTATTGAGGTGATCGCCAGTATTGTTGAAAGATGCGACGAAGCACGGAGATGAATTGGTCTTTAAAAGGCATCGCGAATGCCGAAGCGTCGATGTCAGTGGTTGAAGAAGCTTCCTGGTGTGCGAGTACTCCGCGATCGTTATCCAAGACCATCGTCACTTCAGCTGCCTCAGTGCTGTTCTTCCACAGTGTAGGCCAGTCCAGTCCGGCCTTTTCGTTTGTTTTCGTATCTGTAACTTGTTCTAGGATATATTCAGCCGGATTCTCAGAGTCGTCACATCTTCTAGCCCCTTGTCTCTCGAAGTAGTTGAGAACCGTACGAGATTCTGGGCCAATATCGCCGAAATAGACGGTACGACCACCTTTTGCAAGAAACAAGAGGCGATCGAACTGCTGAAACAGCATAGCCGAAGGTTGATGGATGGTGCAAAGAACAGCCTGACCACTCGATGCAAGGCGACGTAAAAGCGCGACGATGGTCCATGATGACTGGCTATCTAGTCCGGAGGTCGGCTCATCAAGAAACAAAAGCAACGCAGGCTTCGCAGCAAGCTCTACACCGATGGTGAGAAGCTTCCGTTGCTCGACGTTCAATCCTTCACCTGGAATCCCCACGATAGCGTCCGCGTACTCCTCCATATTGAGCATGCGAATGACTAGTTATAAAGATCAGTAAGTTTTACTTCATAGGCTCTCAATTGATTAAAACTAACCTTTTTCAACGTATTCATATTTCTCTGCCAGCGAAACAGACTTGGGCTGACGAAGGTAGGCCGAAAAACGTAGCGATTCGCGAACAGTTGCGGTATGAAGGTGTAGATCTTGCTGTTGAACATAACCTGTATTGCGCTCAAAGCTTGCACTAAGCGGAGAACCGCTTACTAGCATATCCCCAGTTACAACTCCAACCGAAATACGCCGAGAGAGAACATTCAGTAGGGTCGTCTTGCCAGCTCCAGAAGCACCCATTAGGGCCGTCAAAGTTCCGGGTTTCACCCAACCGCTGACCTCATCTAGTAAGCGGCGTTTCTCCTTTTTGATATGAATATCGTAGCAGACATTGCGCCACGTGAACGTATCCTTTTGTGGCGGCATTATAATGTCCTCGGGTGTTGCATGCTCCTGTTCTGCAATGGTAATGGATGCTTGAGGATCCTTCGCAGACTTTTGAAAGGCAAGGGGAACTTTGCCATGTAGGAAAACAAGGCTCTCGGCCGTTGAAGAGAAGCCTGTATTAAACTCAGTGAGAACAAGGTAGAGAGCGAGGAAGGCGACGGTGAAGGCGCAAAGAATCCCAAAATTTCTCCACAGGTGACTATACTCATAGCCATAGCTGGCGGAAAGATAACGATCCCCATTGACGAATAGCTCACCAGCAATAGCACCTTTCTCACCACAAATGAATGACGTGCTGGATCCAGTAGTAAATCCCGGATACGCCGGTATAACGTTCGAACAAGGATAGTCACGTTCGTGGAACTGGTTGACAGCTAATGCCTCGAATGCATACCTCAGAGGATTAATATAAGATATCCATCTAAACCAAGGGTGCATATTGTGGTCAGGAAGCAGGTAGCCGGTGTAGATGACTGTAGCTAAAAGTATAACACCCGCAGCAGCAAGAGCTTGGGGTATAGCTTTTGTTGCAGCTGCCAAGCAGCGAAAGATTTGGCTCATACAAAGCAAAGCCATCGTGACGAAAAGATAGAATACAAAGAACGGACCAGCCTCATAACGTAGCCCACACATAAAGTAGAACACGACATTGAAAATCAGGCTGGTTCCGACCTTGATGGGAATGTCTGCGAAAACTCCGGCAAGGGCTTCAGTGAATGGGTGATAAAAGGCGTACGAAGCATGCTTTTCCACAACGGGGCGTTGCGCGTATAAATTCTGGATCTCAGTCACCGTGAGAAGCGAGTTCAGAAGAATGGCAAAAAACAACGCTGACATCTCCGAGCCGAAGGCCTGTGTCCCAAATGGAGTTCCATAGTATAGTGACCCAATGATGATTGAGAAAATAACTTGTCCAATCATCAAAGTCAATGTGGAAGCGATATCATTCCAGGTACGTTGGTAAAACCGCCTGACGCAAATTCTGATTTGGGTTGGGATGCTGATCAAGTACGAAGACGTAGAACGTGCATATTTTGCTTGTCGGTTCAGATGACTTCCCTTGAATGCCTCTAGGTGTTCGAAATCGACACTGTGCACCTTGGCAGTGTCCAACATATCCTTCATCAGCCGCTGGTAGTGGACGCTGCTCCGCCAGTGGGCTTCAAACTCTTCAGGTGTTCGGGGAACTTTGTTTTCGAAGCCCTCCGAGGCCTGTCGCTCATTTGAATTCGTCACACTGGTTAAGAAGTCTGCAGTTGTTTGCCTGGCAGGGCATTTCCAACCCATGTCTTGGAAGTATTGTTTCGCCTGCGACGTGGAACCAAAGAAAATCTCGCGTCCTTGATAAAGCACTGCAACCTTGTCAAAGGAATTGTAAATAGCCTGAGAGGGCTGGTACAGAGTCGCAAGGTGTGTTGACCCAAAGATTCCAGAGCTCATTTTAAGTGCCTTAACAAAATCCAGCGACGATGCGGAATCCAGACCGCGTGTGGCATTGTCCCAGCAACAAAGTGGCGAGTTGGCTAGGGCCATCTCTGCAACCGATACACGCTTTCTCTCACCTCCGCTGACACCTCGAACAAAGTCCGACCCGACTTTGGTGTTGATAGTATGTGACAGGCCGAAGACAGCCATAACCACATTCCGCATATGTTCAATATATTCCTGCTTCGACATGCCGTCCGGACGGCAGCGGGGGGCACGCGCTGCTGCGGCAAATTCAAGGGTTTCTCCGACTGTGAGGTGCGGAAAGTCTGCCAGATGCATTCATTAGTAGTCTTGGATATCATACAGCGCGTGTTTTGAACTGCTCACGCTTCTCAACTTCTTGGTTATAGAGGATTTCACCCATGAAGTTCTCTCTCATCAAGGACTGAGGGATCCCATCATAACTGATGGATGACTCTGGGGACAAGTCCAGTCCATTTGTCTCTGCAGAAATTGTTTTCAAAAAGGTGGAACATCCAGCGCCAGGTCTACCGAGCACCAAGAGCATCTCGCCTCGGTTGACTAAACCGTGAAAATCGTGCAGAATCGTCTTGGGCTCTTGGTGGCCACGTCGAAATAATGCGCCATCGAGGATGGGCGATAGAAGCGCCGATGCCACTGTATGTTGGGTTTGGATCTCAGACCCAGCGCCTCGAACGGTGACATTCTTGAAAGTAACACCGCTTCTCCGCCCAGCGTTGTCCTGCTCAAATTGCCTTACCTCGTGCAACATCCACTTGGACAAGTCAAACTCGGGACTTGTGGGATCAAGTTCTGCAGGTTGGCCTTCCCCCGTTCCCTGACCTCCTGATTTCATGGATTGCCAGGTGGCAATCCTCCTCAGCTCCTCTTGCTCACGTTGAGACCATGCGGCAGTAGAGTAGTCTGCCGGGTGGTCTTCGTCACCCATTGCCTCTGTGACGGTGCTCATCTGAGCCTTCTGGAATGTTGCTATTTACGTTAGGAGAAACGAACGGAGGGCAGTATAGAGAAGCGCAATGTATGTGTGAATATTTCGATGCAGACACGAGACGAGATGTTATTATATACAGTGACGAACAGATGCCCTTCGGCAAAATCTGTACCAACAGCCCACCCCCCTACCCTCCAGAGAGTGATAAATAGGGCCCCAGTGGGAGCCCATACTCGCAATGTCTCGCGACAGATGACTCGGGCGTTCGTGAGGACTTCTCCGAGTCTGATGGCGGATGTGGATCCTTATTTTCCGAAAACCGAGGTCACGGGACTCGGGTGTCGTTGAGGAACTTTGATGAAGCCCGTCTTCGTCTTCCGAGATTCGTTCGATGTCAAACGATGGCCGAAAGACTTCAACCTCGAGTCGCCAAGTCTTGCGATAATTGCAAGGCGAGGAAAATCCGATGTTTACGTGGGTCTTCGTTTGCTCGTCTTGATCCTAGCAGTCGTTTATCTGACGACTGGGCCAAATAGGTACTCCGAGGAGCACGGTTTGCATTGCTTGTCAGGTACAAACGAGAGCCGTCGCTGGATGATGCTGCGTTGGAAGAGGAGGCTAAGTTCCTAACAATGGCCAGAAACGAAATGTAGATTGCAATTACAGCCTTACGCGGAGGCAACTAAAACCGAAGGAGTCGCCTGCTTGGCCTAGTCCAGGTGTGTGGACATAGAACTTCATCCATAAATTCCGATGAACGCTGATCACAAGCATAGGTGCTTCCAACCTCGATGCGCTTTCGACACCTTCACTGTCGTCTGCAGGCACTTCGAGATTGTACGTCGACCACATCCTCGTAGACAGACAGGCGGATGGAAGACATCGCGATGCATGCTCCATTTTCAAGGTCAGGCTGCTGGCCATATTTCACTGCTATTGACTAGATCTAACCGGACCAAGACACACGGGAATCAAGGTATCTTCCAATGGCCGACGCAGATCCTTTCAGTAACTCACAATCTATCCAGTGGCCAGTAATGGCATGACTTTCTTCTCAGAGAGTCACATTATGTCACTTACGCAAATTCTTGGCCATAACAGACTCCGCGAGCTGATTGAAACCATGGGTGATTCGATTCATCGGCGTGCATTTGACGTTGGAATCAAGTTCACCATGCCGGATTCGCCTATCCAAACCGGCCCAGACGACGCGGCTCGTTACATCGCAAGTCAGCTAAGCCTCTGACCCATGTTTAGCTCCCACTACTAATGGTTATCTCAGCTTACTTTCGTAAGTTACACCCTCTGTCGCCCTTTCTCGATCGTCAGTCTTTCGAGGAAATGGCCTTGGGGCCGGGCATATCAGAGCTCTTAGCAAAGAGTGCCGCCTTCAATGCGCTCTATCATACTGTACTAGCGCTAGGTTGCCAATATATCGATGGTGGCTCCTTTGATCCTGGAGAAGGAAAGGCATGGAAATATTTTCAAATAGCGTTGGGTCTATTCCCGAAATTGCTTGTTCCGATTGATGGCTTGGTTCATGTGCAAGTGCGTACTCATAAACTTATAGGACTTGAAAGAAAGAGTCTACTTACATATTTATTCAGGCTTTGACCGCGATGGTGAGGATGCAAAGACGTTCTTCTAATCCACCTTGCTCATTCTAATGCTGTATTAGGCAATATTTGCCATGAATTTCTCCTGTATTCAGATTTCAGATACTTTGATCTCCGAAGCTGCGAGATTAGTCCAAGTTCTCGGGTACAACGCCGCGTACGTGCCGGGAAATGATGAAAAGGCCTGTCACAGGGTGTTCTGGGTCATCTACTGGCAGGAGAGAGTATTTTGTTTCTTCCGTGGGCGCGCTTCAGTAAGTTGACCTAGAAATCATTATGCGCAAGAGCTAACCAATGTAATAATATTAAGATGATACCCGAATACGACATAGGCTGCCCTGTTCCGGATATTACTGAAACGCCAACTGATGGGTTAGACTGGCTGCTAGTGACGGCACGCCTGGGCCGGTTAATGTCGCGGATGTATGAATGCCTCTTTTCTGTAAGTGCGGTCCAGATGCCTAAAGAAACTCGCCTTGCAGCTATCGAGTCCATGTTCTACGAGCTGGAAGTATGGAGAGGCTCTGTCCCAGAAGAGTTGCGACCCAACACGTCCAGCTTCTCTTCCAATGCCGATAAAGCATATGGATCAGCACATGAGATGAGGACCCAGTTACAGTTCCTATATTACGCTTTGATTGTCTCCCTGTGTCGCCTGCGAATACATCTTTCCGCCGATCAGCATAATCCGTCTGACCAGGAAATCAAGCTTCGACTGATGGAAGCAGCGCGGAGCATTATTTATCTCAGCAGACACATTGAGCATGAACCGCATGTCCCTGTTTGGTATAGAAAGCAAGGTCTTCTTTAACGGTCTGATCAGAAACTAATGGGAAGACAGGGAGATTGGCATGGTACCTATATCTGCCCTCTTCGTTATATTCGACTTCGTCGTTCATAATCCGCTCCACCAAGAGACCAATATCAATCTTGCATTTCTGGATATAGCGAGTGGGTATTTTAGCCGCTGGGAAGTTAGTCATAAGGGCTCATTTCCCGAGTTTTCCATTTCGGAGTTTTCCCATATTGCCCGGGAGTTTGTGCGGGATTCGCACATCAGATCTCAGCAAGAAGTGCCAGTCACCGAAGGCATTTCAGACCAGCGTAGTCAAAACAATGTGAGTTTCTTTGAAGACTTTTGCGCCTTCCTTGTATCGTTAGCTGATATCTCGGTTCTCCGTTAGGGTGATGAGCCCTTGGATCCGTCCGCTGCTACTGGCTCATTTGCTGCTCTGTCGGGCTATCTTTTCTATCCTGAAGACCCTCTTCAACCAGTCCTCGGGAACTCTATGCTGGCGGCGACCGACTTATCCTCCATATTCAATGCGCCTTACTGGCCTCCGTATACCGCGGGATTCTAGGTGCTATGCTCACCTTCTCTCTTCCATCGGTTTGAAGGCCCAATGATACTTGAACATCACGTGAGACTCTGACATCAACCAATCAGAATGTAGGGCCCAGTGTCTTAGCCAATCACGTAAACGCATGTCCCCACTTCAGTGTTGTGCAGTAACAACAAAACTATAAGTGAATGAATGTATTTCATATTTTTACACCGCATATTTTTGTTATTATATTCCAGGGGCCCTCAAGGTATGGGATAGATGCAATCCGATTCCCTGATACAATATTCCGAGTAAAACTACGAATATGCATGTTGTCGTAAACTAATGTATCCATCAAGTGTGGGTCTGACGGCCCAGAAATGCCACTCTAGCTTCTCCCCCAACCCCGACCTGATGGATGGATGCAACTTGATTGTTGTGATACCTCTCTCCCGTTGTTCTGTACAGACTTCGATTTCACGCAGACAGCCTGATTTCGTCAATTAAATCGATTTGAAAGCCACAGTCGACTCGGATTGAATCGAATTGATTGAGTTGAGAGCCTGTTTACTTACCTGGCTGCTGCCTGCAAGATGGCTTCCCATCATATTGTTCTGGAAGACGACGACGAGGACATCCTTGATAACGACCTTATTGATGCTGACGATGACGGTTCGTCTTGCTCTTTTCATTTCGCTTCTATGTCTACAGAAATGACCAAGCTAATGTCTTGTCTCCGTACCGCGCAAAAACAGCTGCCATCGAGGCCGACGACCCTTTGAATACATCCGACACCGCACCACTACGCGGCAATATCCGATCCGACACAAACGCCGGCCCTTCTTCGTCTTCACGGAGCGCTGGTGGAGGAGGAATAGGTGGCGGCTTTACGTCTAATTATCTGACATCCTCAATACCCGGTGAAGACCGGCGCGCGCCGCAAAACACCATCGATGAGACGGTATGGCAGACATTATCGCGCGATCTTCTTGCGGTATGGGAGAAGATGAGACAGGTGCTGTATCCCAAGTATCTGCTTGGTGGCCTCCTCGGCCAGCAAGGCGGCGGTATTGGTGCTGCGGAGCGCGGGGAGGCTGGTAGTTCGGGCTTTGGTCGTGGGTTGCGCGGGTTGGTGGGTAGATGGCCTGATGCGGACGTTGTGCTTCAGAGTGGTATGAGTGAGGGTTTGCGGGACTGGGATCTATGGTATGGATGATTCATTCCTTCTTGTTCTTCCTGAGGTGCAAAAAAAAGAAGACTAATTGGTGTTGCAGGGGACCGCTTATTTTCTGCTTGCTTCTTAGCATGTTTCTGTCCATGCGTGCTCATGACGAACAGTCGTCTCTTGTCTTTTCTGGTGTCTTTTCTATTGTGTGGATTGGCGAGGCTATTGTCACGTTGCAGATCAAGTTGCTTGGAGGGAACATGTACGCAATCCACCCTTCCCCCCTCCCCTTTCTCCTCTAAGCAATATTCAATATGGTGTTGGTTAATGACGAAGCTGACTTGCTACAGCTCCTTCTTCCAGTCCGTCTGCATCATCGGATATACCTTGTTCCCTCTTGTCATCGCCGCCCTTCTCAGTGCGTTGGGTCTGCCTATGATTGTGCGGATCCCAGTCTACATCGTTCTCATCGCCTGGGCTATGGCAGCTGGAGTCAGCATTCTGGGTGGCTCGGGTGTCGTTCGCAACCGTGTGGGAATCGCAGTCTACCCATTGCTCGTGTTTTATGTCTCGATTGGCTGTCTGTGTTTTATCAGTTAAACGAGCTGCGTCTTTATTTCTTCTCTTCCGGGTTCCAGGGGTCGCTGCCATGTTGCATTATGTATTATTTGGTGATACTCTTCTCTTTGCATACGAGCAAGCACCACAGTTACAGTTCTAGCGCACTCTTGAATGTCATCTGCCATCTTGTATGATAGATATCATATATCGTATCTGATATTATTTGTACCTTACTCCCTCCGTATTCTCAATTGATCCCCAATGACCTGAAGCCCGGGAATACCAAATCAAAGAATCCTGCTGTTCCTCCAGCTTGGTCCTGGTCCTGGTCTGCCGTCACTGGTGTTCTTGTTCTTGTTGTTGTTGCTGTTGTTGCTGTTGTTGCTGTTGTTGCTGTTGTTGCCGTGGGGCACCCAAGGCAGCCTTAGCGTCGTCGCACGTAGCAAGTTTCTTTGCCTGCCAGCTCTCTACTTCATTCTTCCCCTCACTCCACTGTCTCTGTCTAATCACACCAGCTTCTCTCCTTCTGCTTCTTCTCACGCAGCACTCCGTCAATCGCCGACTCGTCTTCCGGTCCAGAAGCGGAGAACTGCAGACCAAGCTTGGATCGATCGGTCGGCTTTTGCGCCCAGCGAGAGGGGCATTTCAGGTCTCTCCCCAACGCACGTATCGCTCGCTATATTGTCCAAATTCGACTACACAATACGATAAAGACAAGTCTCCTGCGAGTGGCAGGTTTTCTGCAAATACACGAAAAAGCCTTGGAGAGGAAAGGGAAGATTTTTGTTTTCCTGATTGTCTGGTTAGATATCTACTCTATCTTAGCTAGTCGACTTCTCTCCGCTCACTCCCGAACGTTTCGTTGTTTGTCGTCAATCGCCATTTCGACGTTTTTCCGGAATCGTTTTACCGTCAAGAAAATTTCCTCTTCTCTTCGTGTCGTTCTTCTCATATTCTTCGAACCAAGTCTGAAAAAGACGCTTTTATCTGGTTGTCTTGGCCTGTACGACCGGAGAAAGACCTCTGGTATAGCAACCCCTCGCGTCCGTTTATTCTCATTCTCATTCTCATTCTCGTTCTCGTTCTCGGTTCGAACGTGGACTGCAGGACAGGTGCTAAACAGGTGCAGTTACAAAGAATCGAAATTCTTCTTCGGCGTTGACCCCGCCCTGCCCTTCACCTTCATTACACCCTTACCATCACTATGACTGCCGCTTCGGAAGAAGGGGATATTCCCACCGCAGCTCGCACCGAGGCAGACCTCGTCAAGGAGGAAGACCCAAAGACAGCCTCCGATAATGATACGGCAGAACCCGAGCGTCCCGTGCGAAGGAAGCTTCAAGAGACGCGAATCACATCAGACGGAAATCCTTCCGTGCCAAATGACGACGACGAGGCTGAAAACTCATTAGACGACGACAGGGGCCGTTTAAAGAAGAGGTCTCATGATGACCTGCAAAATGAGGAAGAGATGACCGAGCAACAGCAACATCGGCCCGAGAGCGGACATCGTAGGAAGAGGTCGCGTGACGCCAAAGATGACGATACCGATCGACAGTCCACCCCTGAGCCGAGAACAAACACATCGGCGCACATACTGAGTCCAAAGAAAAAGAGAAGCATAGATCAGCTGCAAGAAGATGGCGGAAGCGCTCTTAGCCAGAATAAGCCAAGCGTCGAGGAGAGTGAGAATGCACGAGCGGAAGGAGAGCGTGAGACAAAAAGATATCGCGACGCTTCAAAGGAGAGACAGACTAGTATTGAGGAAGTGGCTACTTCTGCAAAGGTAAATATTAACTGTTGGGGTATCTGTATAGTGGATTTGCTGCTGATTTTTAAATAATGTTAAGCCGTCTTTACCAAACGCTTTCTTGAACACATCCGCTGTCTCACCGTTTGCCTCGCTAAGCTCCAAGTCATCCGAAGGCCAAGAATCCAAGGCAAAAATCACATCCTCCTCAGCATTCGCTGCATCCGGTCTGGCCTCCTTTGCAGGCCAGGAACAATCGCCCTTTGGAGCATTGGGAAAGCCAGCGAATACGCCGTCGGTTTTTAGTAAGCCGGCTATTACAACCGCAACATCAGAAGAGAAAAAGCCTCTTGGCAGTGGTTTTGCTGCAGCTTCGACTACAAGTTCGTCTTCTCCATTTGGAAATACCGGTGCTTCAGGGTTCGCTGCTCTCGGCTCTGGTTCTGGCTTTGGAAGTGGCTTTGGTGCTACTACTACTGGAGGGTTTGGTGCAAGTACAGGAGGGAAGCTGAGCAGCTTTGCTTCTGCCACTAGTTCAGGCTTTGGTGGTTTACCTGCAAAGCCGTTTGGGGCTGAGCAAGAGGCCGATGAGGAGGAGGAGGAGGAGGACGGGGAGAGCAAGGCAGTAACTGGCACTTTTGAAAAGGAGAAGGAAGACGAACGGTTTTACGAGCAGCAAAGTATGTACACCTATACATTTGTTTCTTTTCTTCCTTCGTTTCACACTTGTCACGCTGTTAAAATTGAAAGAGAAAAGAGAAACCTTGCTAATTTATCACAGTCGAAACCGGCGAAGAGGACGAACGAACTTACTTCTCCTGCAAGGCCAAACTCTTCCATTTCTCCGACAAAGTATGGAAAGAACGAGGCGTGGGCACATTCAAAGTCAACGTCAAAGAGCCTTCGAGCGATGAATCGTCCGAGAGCGACAGCGACAACGAGGCAAGACGCAAGAAGAAGAAATCCGCGCGTATGATTATGCGCGCTGACGGCGTGTTACGCGTTATGCTCAATTCGCCCATTTTCAAGGGCATGCCCGTCGGAGATGTGTCCGGTGACGAACCCAAGGGGAAACAATTGAATCTGGCCAGTGTGGAAGATGGTAAAACCGTGCCATTGCTACTTAGGGTAAGCCACTCTTCGTCTCCCTCGCTTTGGAGAAATGTGTCTACTCACACTTCATTCTCACAGCTTGGCAACGCAGAATCGGCAAAGGAGTTATACCATGTTATAATCGATTTGCAGAAGCATATGTGAACCCAGAACTCGGGCGGGGAAGAGCAGGGGAAATGACAGATTTTGATTAGCTGTTTCTGTCGAACTCTACTTCTAGAGACACATCATTCATTCTTCTTGATATAATGACTTTTGATCTTGGCAGCCCGCCACGCATAATCATCAGTCATTTTTTATCTTCCTGCATGGCCTGAACCGAATATACCTAGCGTTTTCTTCTTCTTCTTCTTCTTCTTCTTCTTCTTCTTTTTGGGATCTCTATGCACATCTCCTTTGATTAAAGTCAAATTATCGAGTGGGAAGAATAGGTATTGTTCTAATATAAACTTTTATTTTAAGACCTTTTTAATACTTCTGACAGGCGGATTAATTAAAGTAATAACTAATCCGTAAGTATGGTTATAGATGTTCTATAAATTTGTCCCTGACAGAGAAGACCCGGTCTGGTATTGGTGCTCGCCATTCTTTTGAATAGGTGTCGCATGATGGGGATGCATGCTATCGTGGTTCTTTTCCATGCCCGCCTACAATAGTTTGTTGAATGCAGCGGCAGCCTAGTGGAATTTGATAAATGGTTCAATTATCTCGCCCTCGACATTGGTTGGTGAAATGACCTTCTCCAGTTCCTTCGACTTTGTGGAAAAGTGGCAAGGATATTGGCGGCGCAATCGAGAATACCCGGGTGTTGACGCTGTATACTGCATTCTTTTATACTTTGCCACCGTTATCACCGTAGGTAATCCCTTGGTGACGAAACTCGGTCTTATCCCAGCCACAGCCCCCCCCCCTTTTTTTTTTTTTTTTTTTTTTTTTGATACCACGCTGCGCGCGATTGAGAAACGCAAACCCTAACAACCCGGAAGTCCGCTATGATATGATTGAGCACTGGAAGCAGGTGTTGTTGACTCGGCATCCAGAGCGTATGAATGAGGCTTGAGTTTTATGGTGTTGCGAACATGACCATTGGCGTAGGAATAGACACAATTAGCGCGTCTCTACAAGCGTTGTTTTACTACCTTCTTCGAAGTCCTTCCCATCTTGAGAAAGTGAAGGCTGAAGTCAGGGATGCAACCGTGTCGAGAATAATATCCTTCTCGGAGACCCAGAGTATGCCCCTTTTTTGCAAGCTTGCGGTAGTTTGTCTCCTACCGTGACTTTTTTTTTTTCCTTGCCCATCCCATGTATGCAGGTATTAATGGTGTAAAATCCAGATCATGGAAGCCCAGAGAATGCATCCTGCTGTTGCATTCGGCCTACCCCGAGTCGTCTCTAAAGGCGGATTGAAGATCGGTGATAGATCTTTTCCCAGCAGGAGTATGCGATATCCTCTCTCCCAGGCTTGCGGCTTGCTAATAATTCCTTTTTCAAAACTATAGACCATTCTCAGCATCAACCTATGGGTGATTCATCGTAGCACTGGATACTTTGGAGCCGACGCACATCAATTTAGCCCGGATCACTCGCTGGCTTCAGCCCAACAGCAAGCACTTGGAGAAATACTACCTTCCGGTCAGTTGTTTTGTAGCTTTCTTCTCAAATTTCCATTCATCTTACCTGCGTAAATCAGCCAACAGTTGTTAACACTTTGAGATATCTAGTTTGGGGCGGGCTACAATCATGTACTGGACGAAATCTTGCATTGATTGAGCTTCACAAAATCTCAGCACTCGTTCTGAGAGACTTTGAAATCACGCAGGTGAATCCAGTACAGAACTGGAAATACGAGTCCCATTTCATTGCCGTCCCGTATGGATGGCCGTGTCTTGTCAGCCGAAGGAACGCGTAAGATATATGGGAATTCACATAAGCATACGGACACAAACCAGTATGAGCCGTCAGAACGGCAGCGATTAGGACGATTCTTATAGCACTTAGCATGGGTCAGTGATCGAAGGATGATTCACCCCGGTGATATCACACGTAAAAGCAGCCCCAGGAGTGAAGAGGAATGAAAAAAAAAAAAAAAAAAAAAGAAAAGAAAAAAAAAGAAAAAAATGGTTGCCGTTTACGTATATCGTACCTATAATATATAATCCAATTCCTTAACTGTCCAAGCCCATATCCCAAAATCCAATTTCCAATTCCGTCGCTCGCTTGAAGATAGTAACCAACTCCTCCAATCTGCTCGGTGAAACTTTGTGCATGTGTTCCTCTAGTAGAGCTACACTCGTTTTTGGAACCCCCCAGTCCTCCATGTTAGCCATGTATGGAATTTGAGGGCGTGAAAAATATGTATACTACTTACTAGACCCAGTCTTCACAGCCGTCACATAGTCCTCCGCAACATAGTTCTCGATCCACTTCCAAAACTTATTATTCTGCTCCCCTCGCACAGAGCTCCCGTCGTCGTAGAGACGTCGCGCAATCGCGCCGTAGCCAATGAGGCACGGTGCAAGCGCGATTTGGAGAGCGAGCCAGTCGTCTGATTGTCCTACGTCGAGGATGTAGCGGCTGTAGGCGACGCAGGCTGGTGACAGGATGAATAGTGTTAGTGCTTAGTTCTCATATGTTGGCAAGGGTGGGGAGGTGGAAGGGGGGAAAGGGGACAGACCTTGTCGTTCTGGTGTTGCTTCCATTTCTTCTCGGGTCAGGCCGAAACTGGCGCAGTAGTCGATGTGCAGGGCCATTTCGGTTTTGATGTGGAGGACTATTCTTGCGGACTTGTTTTCCAGTCAGTCTTGTGTAGAGTGATTCAAGGGAAAAGGGCTATGCATACCGCGGCGATGGATTCCATCGAGCGAGCTTTGTAGGATGCTAGAGCATTGCTTCGTGCGAATTGGACCTGATATTTGATGTTCGTAAGCTCTTCTCCGTTCTTTTTTTTTTTTCTGAGTATGTATTTCGAGATAGAGGTGTAGCCTACCAAGTAGAGATAGTCTTGTACTAGGTAGTCCTTGAATTTCTGCACGGGGAGGGTGCCGTCTCCGAGTCCTGCTACAAACGGGTGATGCGTGAATCTTTGCCATATGGGTTGCATGTCTGGTCTGTTTAGGATGTAGTCTACGAATTGGCCACTATAAGGTGTTAGCAATCGGCAGTTCCACCAAAGCATCAGGAATTTTTGCACCCTGTAAAACGGAGTTGAAATAGTCAGGACAGACATACGGCGCAAAGGGCAGATGATATAGTGAGTGAAAATGATTGATCGGACCACTTCCTTGACCCATGTCAACACTGAACTTGATACCAGCCTCAACATATTTGATTGCCGAGCGGACAGACGTTTTCAAGTCATTCCCTCGTGCTAGGTTTGCCGCAACAGCAGACGCGAGAGAGCATCCTGTTCCATGCGTGTTTTTCGAAGTTAGGAATTCAGTCTCGGTTAGTAGCACCTCATCATCATGTTCGCTGCCATTAGTCGAGTACACAAGGACGTCAATGACAATGCTAGCATCATCACCAGAAGACGCCTTCGCTCGCATCCGATCCGAGGTGAATGGTAAATGGCCGCCTTTCAGTAAAACAGCCTTGGCTCCCAAGCCTTTCACTTGCTTGGCAAGTCTGATCATGTCGTCTACATTCTGTGGTTCGCTGACTGCGACACCGGCATTTTCGAGAAGAAGCTGGGCTTCGGGGATGTTGGGGGTTAGGATGGTGGTGAGAGGAAGCAGTTTTGAGCGCACATGCTCGATTGCATCTAGAGGGAGAAGACGCGAGCCAGAGGTTGACACCATTACCTTGTGAGTTGTGTCAGTACTTCATAGCCAAAGAGACAAGGGGGAGAAAAAGAGCAAATACAGGATCAAGAACAATGGTCTTGACGGCATGTCTCGTCAACTCCTCCGCAATAACATCCACCGTCTGTGCCGACGACAGCATTCCTAGCCATTCCAATCAGATGGGTGGCGACGACTTGAAACACACAAGGCAAGAGAACAATACCAAGCTTGACAACATCTGCCCCGACATCCTCCAAAGCAGCATTGATTTGCTTCTGCACAAACCCGGCTGGCACAATATGTATGTCCTGCACGCCAAGCGTGTTTTGTGCCGTCAAGCCCGTCGTCGCTGTAAGAGAGTAGACGCCATGGGCGGTCAGAACTCTTTGATCTGCCTCGAGACCGCTGCGTTGTTCGTCTCAATCTTAGTTTTCTTGACTTGTCCAGATATGCAGGGGTGGTGGTGGTGGTGAGGGGAAAAAAAAAGAAAAACGTACGCTCCGCCGGAACTGTCAGACCCCGCGATGACGAGAACCTTAGGGGGCATCCTGTGTCTATCTCTTATCTCCTCTGTTCTTCTCCTCTCGAAGAGTTCTTCCTAGGATTGTATACGCCGAGATTGTGATAGATAACTGATGAGTTGTGTTCCGCACAGCGATGTCGGACTACAAAATCTTCACCGGCGGGATTAGTTACCTGGGTAGGTTGATTTGATTTTGCGGTGATCAAAATCAAAACCCGCTGGTCAGTCAGCTCACAATAACTTCCCTGATATAAAAAGGCCCATGAACGTTTCTTGAACCGGATCAGCCATTACTGATTTACAGAGAAAACAATCAAGTGGTTATACCAGAAGATGACATCATCGGCCTCTTATATATACAATAGCATTGATCTTAACTCTGCATAAACTACCGAGACAAACAGTCATTATAACAAAGCAATCGTAACCAGAATACCAAACCCCAAAAAAAAGACAAACTAAGTCACCATAAATTTGAACAAGGAATCCATTTCCACCCATTGCCGCCCACATTTCTTCAGATATCCATCCACAATGCCCTTGACCGTGCCAAACCTGGTTCTGTTATACTCGGCCAAAGCATGGATGCTGTCCTTGGAGTCGCCAGGCTCTTTCGCGGCAACCGACTTGGCCTTCTCAACATCCCAAAGACCTGCAAAGTACAGTAGTTGATTGTACATCTGCTTCTCGCTGTACTCATAGTTCATACGGCCTAGACAGCCCTCTGCTCGTCCCCGAGGTCCTAGACAGCGATGTCCATACACGCTCATCTGCCTGGTGCGGTTGCCACACGAAGAGTCGTCGCAAACCAGCCAGCCTTCGTAATACTTCGCTGTCTGGGCGCGGATCTGACTCTCCACCTGCGCGACTATGGAGATGGTTGAGAAGGTATTCCCGCAGGCTTCGTTCAGACATATTAAACCGTGTGGTGTGCACATTTTGGACGATGAATTCAAGCCCTCAAAGATCGACGACTCGCCGCAGCGTCGACATCGAAGGCTTAAACGGGCTGCATTTTCAAACCGTACTGAATCTGGTATTTGAGACTCTAAGGGGTAGATTTCCGTGGTTTGATTCGCACTAGAACGGGAAGTATTGATCTGGTACTTGCGGACGTCTAGACCGAGGCACTCTGCAATGCGAACGGGATCTGTGCCTGGAATTGGCGCGCAGAGACGCTCGATGGGCGGGAAAATTTGTTTCAGTAGATAGTATTCAATATCAGGTTTGAGTTCTGAGCCCGACTTCAAGACGTCCTGGAGCGGGTAGGATCTCTTGGGCGGTGGTAGGTTGGCCGTCTCAGAGTCACCATTCGTCACAATATACGCAATGACTTCGTTAGGACGAATTGTTTTCCCTCGGGCAATCTCTCTCAAGGCGACCTGCACGGGAGGCATACTGTCCTTATTTGGATATTCTTCAGGTCGTTTGGAAAGTTTCTATCGTAAGATGTTAGCAAGACCTGTTGTTGCATGAATTTGTACCAACTAGGACATACCGTGTATATGACGTATTTCTGCACGGGGATTTTGTAGTCTTTCATCTGAGCAGTGACATCTCGCAAGTAGTCGTGAACCTTACCGAGCACGACCTCTGAGTCGTCGCCCGAAAGAATCTCGTCAAGCAGCCGCTTAGAGACCTCCTTGGACAGTGCACAGTATTCACGTCGCTTCATGTCAAGACCCTTGACTTCAAGCTTGTCGACGTATTTACCATCGACTTCAGTCATGTTAATTGCAGCATACTTCTTCTTTGCATGAAGCAGCAGACGACGGAAAACATTATCAATGTCGATTTCAAGCAGCTTGTAGCGTTCGTTGACGGACATCTTGAATTCCTCTCCAACCTTCAAGGCATCACTTATTGTATCCATATTCGTGTTGATCATGACAGAGTCGGTATCACCGTAGATGACGCGTAGCTGCTTCGACTCTGCAAGGTCTTTAGTGCTGCGAAGAATTTCACGGCCCTTAAATGTTGTAAGCATAGCCAGAGGGCGCGCATAGAAGCGAGATTGCGTATAACCCAAACAACCATACATAGAGTTCGCCGTTAGCTTCAAGGCCAATTGCTTGGTATCCCATAATGCTAGCTGTTCGGGTGTCGCTCTCTTGTCTTTCATCAGTTTCTTAACTTCTCGTCGGCGGCCAACCAGAGTTGCGATAAGACGGGGCAGGATTCCCTGCTCCTGGTCAGACGAAGGTACCTCTGGAACTTTCTCTTCGTTCTCGTTCTCAGCCTATATAGAAATCAGTAAGCATGTCAAAGAGAAAGGTTCGTTTTAACAAATGACGTACAGTTGCACTACGGTCCACCGTCGTGAAACAAATGTTGAACTCCTGTATAATACTGGGATACAAACTGTTAAAATCCATCACTAGAACAAATCGTTCGTAAAGACCCTTCTCTGGCTCAAAAACGAGACCACCCTTGTACTTCTCTTTTTTCTTCTTATCAGTCGAGTCGTCATCGTCTTCCATCCTTTCTTCCATAGCCTTCTGTTGCTTCATCGAATACTTGTCCGGGCAGATATACTTGTTGCGGTGGAATTCATGAAGCAGAATGTACTCGTTTCGCTCGGCACGAGTTCCAGTGAGGGTTCTCGCCCATGAGTTACCAGCCAAATTAGTAAGGACTTTTGTTAAAGAAAGCATCTGTAAACGCAATACCAAGGCAGATATGAAATAAGTATCAGCCTCGCAATGAGTGACATATTTCATGAGGCCTTCTTTCGTCGTTGCCCACGTCTTCAATGCGGCTTCGTTGTCGAGCTCGCTGCGTATGTGGTCATCACTCAAGTAGAGCTGACACATCTCAGTCAAGCTCCATGATTGACATTTAAGCATCAGAGACTAAATAGTTTCGCCCATGTTAGTTTGCTTAAAGCTACTGATAGATTGAAATGCATTGCCCGTCATACCTTGCCCATATCGTTTGCCAGATCACACATCATTCGACCGGCAATAAGATGCCTATCGGCGAAAAAACCACCTCCCCTGTTGAAATTCTTGGGCCACTCAGAACGCTTCAAGCGGCCAACTCGGGACCAGCCCGGAGTCTTCTTCTCTTTCATCCGATTTAGCAGAATGCCCAGATCCACTTCTTGGAGTTGATGTCCCATGATAATATCGGGATCCATTCGCTCAAACAGAGCCAAGAATTTGCTGAGAAGAAACTGTTCGTTCTTCTCCAACAAATAAACGCCGCGTTGCTTTTTAACCTCTGCCTCGATGCCGATGGGGTAAGAGGTTCCCGATGGCCGCATCACCGTGAATGTCTTGCAAGGCATCTTCTCTGGGGGCGTGGTTTCGGGAAGGGAGACATTCTCATAAATACGAGCACTGGCAACGAGAATTTCCTGTTTATTCTCTTTGACGTTAAGCTGAGTCCTGAAAGATAGACTCATCAGGGTCAAAGGAGGAGTCTCCAAATCTGAATCGGGAATCGTAGTAATCGAATTAGGCTTGGAAACCTGGCATTCGAATTTGCACCAGGAAGCATTGTTTGCGGCTGTGAAGTCCGCTTCTCCAATATTCAGCCAGCAAGGGCCCATTATGCGTTTCCACATAACAAATTGTTCGAAGAGTGCTGTATTCGTACCGAAGACGTGCGAGAATGTCTCGCCTGTGGTGTCCATTGGCAAGACTGGTTTGTCATACGGATAAAGAAGCTTCAAGTAATCACCTTCTTTCGGAATGTTGGGCAGCTCAAATGCATATTTGCGGGTACATGGTTTGATCTTGTGCATACCAACTTTGAGCCTGGTCATCATCCCGTCTACTTCCTGATAGACGTCTTCCATGTCGACTTCCTCATCGGTGGAATGACCATTTTTGGTGCGATATTCACGGGGCAGAAAGAAGAGTTTGCGTAGAATGTTGTCGACTTTGACAAAGGCACTGACATATGAGTCGGTCTTCTTGTTCTTGACTTTGCCGAATAGACAGAGGCTGCCATTGACTTCAGTGTAATCGAGCCAGAAGAACTGAAACCCGCCGTCTTCCTCGACGACATCTTGTGCCCGCACTTTTCCAAATGATACTTTTTCTGTGGCCGGGCTGCTCAGAACGTTGAGCTTGCTTGTCACATTATCCCATGTCGCCTCCACATCCGCAGGTGCCCGCGGAGGAGACGAACTAGTTGGAGAAGGATACGGCAGCTTTTTGATCTTCCGCGGTGGCTTACTACCCGCCATATTGACGCTGGATGATTTATTGTCGAGGTGACCGGTGGCTTGGGCCACATCCATCATGTCTTCGTCCTCATCCTCCTCTTCTTTGATGTCTGCCGCTTCGGTTTTGAATGACCTTCTCTCAACAGCTTTGGTGATAGGGGATGAAGGTAACGCAGCGTCGCTCATCGGGACGTTGTCATCATCTCCGCCTAACGGGAGAGTGCCGCCATCATCGTCAAAATCCATGTCGAGGTCCTGCTTCGGAGGAATGGGAGTATCTTCGCCTTTGCCCCGCAAGCGCGGTTTTGAAGTTTGTGACTTCTCAGATAACGGTGGTGACAGGATTCGCACTTTACGACGCGTATCCGACTTGAGGATGTTCTTGGTCGGGACTCGGGAGGGGAGTATATTAGTATCAACATCTCCCAGAAGATCCGCCATAAAAGCTTCGTCTTCAGCAGTCGCCACAGGCTATGAGAACCATTAGCACAGATTGTCAACTTGGGAAGAATAGAATCAATTCAGATACAATACCGTACCTTTGGCTTCGGCGCAGCCAAAGCAGCGCTATTGAAGTATTTCGAGATGCCATTGTTTTGTTTCTCCTTCCGCTCCTTCTCCTCTTCACGCTTCCTCTTGGCTGCTTTGCCTCTAACAGGTAGATCGTCGTCGTCACTTTCACTGTATTCTACTTGGTCTTCGTTCCAGACTTCACGGCCATCGTCGGCATATCCCTCGCCGTTGTCGTCAACCACAAAGTCATCCTCGTCGAGTCGCTTTCGGACAACTTTCTTGTATCCTTCTTCGTCAACCTCGTCGTATATAGAGCCTTCGTCCTCGACTTCGTAGGTGGACAGGCGTTTCTTGCCCGAGGCACGTAGGGCTTTGAGCTCTGCAAGGCGTTTTGCACGAGCGGCGGACATTATGAGCTAGAAACGGAAATGCTATAGAAAAATCATATGCAAGAGTACGAAAAAAACAAGTGCTTTTGAAGGTCATCAAAGGGTGCAATTAGGTAATTGGGTAATTGTATGGAGCAAGAAAGACGCAAATGTTGTCTGTCTGTTCCGTCAAGGGATTAATCGGACACGCCGCGGAATGCGGACGCGCAGGACGACGCGACGTGACACGCGCTAAACCGGACACGTCCTAATTAAGCTGCCGACCCTGTTGCCTTAGTGCCTTAGGAATTAGGCATCTCCTTGAATTATTTCTGAATTGTTTGTATCGATAGTTTATTCAATAATATTACTTTTTGAGGCAAATTACAAGAGTTTGAAAATGATAGGCTTTTTATTCTCTCAAAAAAGGGGCGTTGAGTGGTGGACCACTGTAGAGCTAACGCACGTGACTGAGAACGCGCCCTGCCGACACGTGATATGATCCATATGTATTGCAAACAATCAACTAACTAGACATTGCCTATCCTCTAGCTCTTTCAAGCACTTTTTCAATTATTAGCTGATTATTGGGCAATCCCAGATTCACAAGAATGATTCTCTAGTACTTCCGTGACTTTATCTCTGGCACGTTCACTGCCAACTCTCATGGCTGAAGTGAGAAGGGTATGTTCTTATGAATTAGTCCTTGATCTTGTTGGAATTCTGATCCTTTCCCATGTACATTAGCCTGTTTGCTATGTACATTTTTCTGGCTGCGATTTTCTATATCCTTCTGCACTGTTCGACCTTTTAAGATGAAATTCTTTGCACTCGCTCTTGATTCTTTTATGTCTGCGTATAGGCTAAGATGTTCCTATTCAACGATTAGTTTTAGGCATTCAGCTGGAAGCAAAAAGAGTGCTTACGTGATGCCTCTCTGTCTAGATAACGCGATAACTTTCTCGCCTCTCTGTTGCTTTTTCTTTTCCTTACGTGACTCCAGGAGTTCTTGCCGGAGGTATTCGGCCTTTGAATTGGCCTGGCGAGACTTTGAAGCGTACTTTTGAGCTCGCCGCTCCGCATGATGCTTGGCTTCCTCCAAGTCAAATATCCTGTGATTCTGCTGGGCAATGGTATCAATATCACCCGGATGCCGCTGGTAGATAACTTGCTGTGTATTTGCGGCTGGGAGGTTTCGCCGTGAAATATTCTCGGCAGTCGCCTCGACCAGCTGCTGCAGTGATTCGAGTGACACCTGCCCATGCTCTCTTCTTGTATGCTGTAGTAGTTCTGATTCACGCTCCCTTGCTTCGCTTTGCCGAAGCTGTTGAATAGCTTTCAACTTAGTTTCCTCAAGCTCTATTCGAAGATCTTCTGTGGCCTGGCGGCTGCGTTCAAGTTGCGCTTGGAGCTCCCGCTCTCGAAGCTTGCTTACTCGAAGCTTCTCACGCAAGTCTTTGATCTGATCGGTGAGATCCTCTTTGATTTCTTCGCCGCATTGTATGAGCCTAAGTTCTCTTGCTTTGAGAACGTTCATTTGCTCGTGTAATTCTTCTATCTCGAGCTCGCATAGCTCGATTTGACTGACAAGTTCCTTAGTCTCGCGATGAGCCTGTTCATTCTCCCGCTCTAGCTCCTGGACGTCGGCTCCATCAAATGCAATTGCGTGCGATCCTCGTCTGTCGTTATTTCTCAATGCATACCGGAGTCGCTTTCTTTTCCGTCCTCTACAATAGCGGAATCTTCACATGCTTGTTTCGCCATCGACCTCGTTGATCGATACGGATGCCTGGCAGTGGATTCCTTCTTCGCTCCGCTTTTCCGCTCGACTTCCTTGACCCGTATCCCTAGACCATTACTGATTATTCGGTGTTCATTTTCGTTGTAAGCGTTGGACACAGTGGAAGAACTCGTAGATAGTTTCTCTCCTTCATAGAGATCCCGAAGAATCGATACATTGTTAGAAGTGCTGGCGTCCACCATTGTTGTTATTGTGAGATACTAGAAAGTACGGACGTGGATAAACGAAAAATATTGTGGTATAGACCAACATTAAGAGGAGATTTTGAGAGATGGTACGTCTTATCATGAGTCTTTCATTTTCTAGAGATAGCCAAGGGTCTAGCTGCTCAGCAGGGCATGCAGCCTCGTTCTCTCAATCAGCTACGGCACCACACCCCGCACTTACTTATCGTAGATGATGTGTCTGTCCATCATTGGGTGTGATGCCGCTTTACTATGGACGATATTTGGTGGAATATTCCAATTGGATATGAACCAATGCCTAACTAACACCACGCCCATGGCTCAATAGTCACCCGGGAAATAGTGTCGCTCTCAACTCTTCAGCATCTAGTGTAAAGCCAGTGCTGCATAGCGTATTACTAGAAGCATGACCAAGGGGCGAACCAGAGTACAAGTCTCGTCGAGAAGGAAGCCATTATCCCCGGTTTTCTGAACTTGGAGGAACACAGCTAGCCTTTGCGTTCTTAGAGATAGTCACAAAACTTGTCTTTCTTGATTTCGAAACGAACTGAGCATGTTTGTTTTCGGAGTGGTACGGTGAGGCTGGTGTGTATTAGAAGTAGGGGTGCTGGCTAATAGAAACGAAACCATCTCAGATGCTTGATCCTACTAGGCCTCGCTGCGAAAAACCTAGTCCTGATCAGAATAGGCTTGTGTTCTCTCTCGTTGCCTTATGACAGACACCTTACGTGCCAGGCTATCTATTACAGTATGGCTCATATTCATATTTGCATTGCCCCTCTTTCTGTAGCCTTGACTCCTGCATGGATACACAACATGTTTTCGATTCAACTTACCAGTTTTCACCGTCATTCTCTACCAGTCATTAGTGTCCAATAAGCTAGGATTGCTCAGACCGCTAAAATGCTCGATGACTTGATATCTAAAGATGCGCCCCCTCCTGGAATTAACTATCATCGACCCTTGCTGTCGTAAGGGGGCCTTTCGAAAATATTGATCATCAAGATTAGTCTGACAGAACCTCCCTATTGATGGGTTTGTCTCGATCTTTGTGGTAGGAGCAGGAGCTTCACACATTTGTATGGTTCTTCGGTGTTGCGAGCATAGTGCGGATGTATGAAAAGTAACTACGGAGATCTATGCAGTCACGAAAACTGGGCGGTTTTTTTTTTTCTTTTTTAGAAGAAGAATCGGGTTCAATTCTACTGCTTTGTTCCTTAGATATACGACTTTCCACAACACATTTCCAGCCAGCATACTTTCCGGAAATGCGAGAAGACACAGGGAGTTGTTTCCGAAGCTTCTAGGCTCAAGACTCATCAGTCAAGTAGTATTCCGAAAAATCATCCTCTGTCGTCACATAGTCATTGGAAAGGTCCTCAGCAGGCTCGGGTTTTGACCACCGGTCCAACATCGCCTTCTGTTTGGAAGATACGACAAAGCGCTCCTCATAGGCGGCGCGCACCACAGTCCTTAAGCGCCATTTGAAAGTTCCTGAATGCGAGACTACAAACAGAACAGCATTGAAAACCTTGTTGCTATCTTTCGTTGGATTTTTGAAGTCGAAAAGCAGAATGAGATATAAAAGTTGAAATGCTGCATCCCTTGCTGTGGATTTGTCGCCGTCCCTGATAGCACGATAACGCTTGTACTCGAGTTCATAGTCAGTCTTGCCAGCCTTCAGGTGGACGATAATATCATCGATTGATTGACCTTCAAGAACATCAATCCTAAGAAAGCCATATGTATCACAAAGAATGTGGAATTGAGACAAATCCGCTGGTAGAAAGCGAAAGCAGGCTCGGTAGCCTGACTCGAGGCCTTTGAGCGCGGTATCAAACAAAGGAATGGAGTTGTGAGTAAGTTCCGAAGTTTGGGGCTGGGCAGCGCTTTGGAACCTTACGAAGGAAGATAGATACGGTATTCTTGAGACATCGATGTCGTACAGGACCTCTCCAATTCTGATTTTCGTTTTGGTAGGTGCCGCGGCCGAGATCGAATCCTTCTGAGAGTTTGTTTCGACGTTGCCAAACTTGGAGTATAGATCATCAGGCAACATCTTTGGCCCATCAGTTTGCCATAACACCAACTCATCAACCTGTGGATCATACTTGATCATCGCGTTTCCTTGGGTTTTCGTCATGACAAGTATAATCTTTTTAATCAATGCGGCTAGACATTTAAGATCCAGCTGATGCTTCTCTTCCCATCTTCTGATTTTAGGTGACACATCCTCAACCTTTGGTGGCTCAAAGAGACCATGTTTGTGGTAGGCGCGCACGAGATTGGGTGTTTGAGACACCCACAGCTGCGGAAGGACTTCTTCCATGTTGATAGGCTTGTGAAAGACACGAGTTTTGATCTCTAATGTTGAATTGAAGCCCACGACCTCTCCTGCTCTCTTTATTTTCAATTTGGAGCTAGTAGAAGCGCCGGAGACAGAGGTGAGGGACAAAGATTGTATCATGCTAGCTAGGGCGTCGTTTTCAGTACTCGATTCCCCCATTCTGGGTTTATCAATGTATCCGTCAGTTTCATAGCGTACCAGAATCTTCAAATCACTGAACTGGTAGGAGATCAGTCTATGATGTCCGGTACTACCACCGATTTTGTCGGTAGTGAACGCCTTCTCGAATTCGTGACCGTAACCTACGAACTCATGAGGTTGGACGAACTTCTTGGTTTCAGTTTCTGCACGACAGAAGATCACGGTGTTTTTGAAGGCTTCAGCATTAATAGTGAAAGGTTCGTGCCCATTTTTGCTGGTACTAGGATTGATGAATGACAGGAGTTTGCGAATATTGTTTCGATCAGTTATGAGATCAACCGATTGTAGTTCGAACGAAGGATGCTCCATGTATAAAGCCCGAAACAGTGGTTCAAGCGGATATTGGGGATGACGAGCGGCATTCTGCGCTATATAAATCAAACCAGAGTCTTTTTTCACGCTGCGTGCAGCTTTAGGAGGAGACCAAAGTGGAGGGCAACCTGGGACGGCAATTGTGGGCTCAGGGGCCTCCAGCCAGTTGTACGAGGACAGATGGCGGACATCAGTCACTGATGCTTCATCCGCTCCGTTCTCTAGATCCCGGCGTGAAATCTTAGTCAACTGCTTCAAAGTCATGATAGAGGGTCTTCTCTAATCCTTGGGTGTGGTAGTAACTGGCACGTCCTTCGTATTCGATCGTGAGTACTACATATCACTCCGGAGCACGAAGGAAAAGAAAATAAAGCAAGTAGGCATTATTTACTTGCCATTCACTGCTCACCTGACGCTAAGTGACCAGTCACAATTCTAGAATGGAGGACAGGCTACACAAACATACCAAGGAAGCATTCTTATCAGGATCCAATAGCATCTGGCTCTGACCAGAGGTCAGAGAAATCGATGCAAAAACTGCAGCGTGAGTTGCATACTATACGAACCAGTCAATTTATACGGGCAAGAGGAAGGTGGTCGAAATAAGCGCTCAATTGGACGCTACGTCGAGGATTGATCGTGCACAGATGATACTTTTACTGGGAGGGCATGATGATCCTCGTACGCTCACACCTACAGCCCTAAGCCGCCACAGGTTCGGTTACTTTCCATTTTTCATGCGTGTCTGACGTGTCAAATGCCTCGCAGAAAGAGCCTGTTCGGCTTGTTAGCACAGATTTTTCCAACTATAGTAACTTATTATGTAGAGTACCAAATGTCGGAAATGGCTATACTATATGACCACTGTCTCCTAAGCGGCAGCAGCAGTATGTTGCCTTGAGGGGCGGTATCTTATTCATTCAGATATAGAAATCGTCTCGCAACAGTTTCGAGTTCGCCATATGGCATCTGTGGGTGTCCTTTCCAAGACATTTATACCCTTAACAATCAGTATCGTTGCCTGATCATGGCTTTAGGCTTGCATGTGACGCCAGGAGCTTGACGTAGCTCGCATATTCGTTATAGCATTGTCTCCTGTAGCTCAAGGATTGAGAGAACAGTAACGGTTCTAGCCCTAGGAGACTTCGAACTGGTGGGACGCTTAATTATGGTTTCTATAACATCACTTTGAATAATAATAATAAACATTGAATCTTGCGCTACCAGCTCTCACTTGAATCACAATCCGACTAGTTTCGAACTTCGATCATATGTGAAATTCTTATACAAAAGCCCCGCCATTAGATGTTAACCATTCTATGAATATCCTCGACACAAAGCTGCAAGCTTGATTCGTTGCTCATATTTCTATTGATGCGTGCCCTCAACCCAAAGGACACCTCCTTGGCTTAAATGTTAAGTGTCAACTCAGCCTGACTGGGCACCAACATGCAGTACCCCTCTTCTGATGTGCCTCTGAAATTTGTCGTATATGATCTTTGAATGCTATGAACTTTGATTTTTCTATTTCCGTGGTCTATTCTCAATGAGTTGTTTTCAGTCATGGAAGACCAGATTGAACAGTCTGTTTTTTCTCACGTCGAGAAAGCATCCAAAATCGACGATGCTCTACTGGCTGAGAATCCTTTAAGCCGCTTCAAAGACAAGACCCATACTCCTTCAGGGGTCATCGTCGAGTATATATTGAAAGAAGTTCCAGAGTTCAGAAGATTATCTGCATTACGCGAACAGGTCAAAGCCCAAACTAGTACTTTCAGATATGTGCCATGAACTAACTAGTAACCAGGGATGGAATAATCCAGAAGGAGATCAATTCTTCGAAGATCAGCGCCGGGCTGCCGACTACGCGAATAACAAGACGGCAAAGAAGTTTTATAAAATGATGAAGAATATCGCGCACGATATGCACCAAGTAACTGGAGTCTTTCACATCAAGAAGCCCTGCCGGGATGGCTGCTCTGTCCTAGACATGTGCATGGCTCCGGGAGGATTTCTCGCCATAGCACTCAGCTATAACCCTGAAGCCCAAGCATTGGCATTTAGCTTACCGAAAATAAATGGAGGGTACTCGGTTCTTCTACCCAAGCGTCCCAATGTTACTCTTAGGTTTCTTGATGTTACAATGTTGGCAGAGGATATGGGGTTGTCAAGTATTCCACACGGACATCCAGATGGGGGAAATTTCCTCTCGAGTCAACTCGATTCAAGACAGTCCTTTGACCTCGTAATATGTGACGGTCAAGTGCTTCGCAATCATGACCGGGCTGACTATCGTGAGCGTAGAGAAGCAAGTAGGTTGTGTCTTACGCAACTGACTCTTGCACTCGATCACCTCAATCCAGGAGGGACGATGATTGTCCTCCTCCATAAAGTCGAGGCTCTATCTACGGTGCAGCTCCTGCATACATTCGACAAGTTTGCTTCTGTGCAGTTGTTCAAGCATACGAAGTATCACGCCAAACGATCCTCCTTCTATATGCTGGCAACCAATGTCAGAGCTGATTCTGAAGAAGCGAAGACGGCTATTGAAAGATGGAAAGCTCAGTGGAAGATTGCAACGTTCGGTACCGATAACGATTATCGTGAAGCGATGCATTTGGATATGTCAAGTGTTGAGGTTATCCTGAAGGAATTTGGCCCAAGACTGATCAAGCTAGGACGGAGAATATGGGAAATTCAGGCGGGTGCCCTAGAAAACGCGCCTTTCATGAGACAAACTCCGTCCCTTTGAGGTGTTAGTCGTGGGATATATTTAGTCGAGAATAGTAAGGTCGCCCATGTTTGCGAGACATGCAGGGGGTGAGATCACAGCACACCCAGAAATGCAATTTCTCAAGTTGAGGCAAATACATTGAATGCGAGAAATCGCAAATCAACATCTAGAGAAAGTTCTAGGGGAACTGTATATCGTTACTACCTTCTACTTATATTCCCGCTGGCTAAAGGCGAAACGGCAGGTTGAGAAAGCGGGATGCTGAGCAGTCGCCATTCGTCTCAGTAGCACCAACTATCCCGATAAATGTGGTTAGTGGCGTAGTCTATGTGCTGTATGGGACAATCGTATGGCTTCTGATGTTGCTAGCACTGGTATACAGTCACTGGTAGGGAAGAAGCATATATCCTAGTTGGGAAGGGTATGCAGAATGGTAGTGTCTACCATTAATACAATGAGAGTGTGTTCGTCATGGTGGAATTGGAATAGGAAATGTTATGCCAAAAGTACAAAAGCAATGGATTTATAGTATCAATAAGCATGCACATACAAGGACTGTAGAATTCTAACCTACGTATATGCTCATTCTCCATCGTTCATCGTCATGAAGTTCTACCAGAATCAAGATTGCTCTGGTATTAAGCCGTCCTTGCTACAAACAATATCTGAGATAGTAAAAAATGCTCTTAGTGTTTGAGTTCCAAGCAAAGAATAAATGCACTATTTGTAGTTGTAAAGAAAACACTGCACCGGAGCTGAGGGACAACGTACCTGTGGCTATCATTCCAATGACCCAGGCTATACCAGTGAGGCATCTGCGGTACGAAGACTTGGGTAACCCATGTCACTGCATTCTTCATAGATCAGATCGTCAATTTTGGAAATGAAATCACTGCGTACACACAACGTTAGCACAAAAAGATGGTTGATTCTGTGGATGTTGACATAGATAGATCCCAACGCGAGCTTACGGTGCTGGATGATGGCAAGTTTCTTTTGAAGCCTCAATCTTGTTTGCGCCTAGACACTGGACAAGTATAGCACGATCTACCCCTTGTAAGTCGGTTGCCATTGGAAGGGTGCCAGTAATGATTAGATATCCACTCTACTTACTGGTAAAGGATAGACAATGCTGAGCTCCGCAAACCATCTAGACACCAACGCACATTGAAAGAGCGTGCTGTGATTGGCACCTTCTTCTTTCAAGGAGTCCAGTATCATGAGAACACATCGCCGCTATGGACTGCCATAGCGTGGGAGGAGAGCTGAAGTGCCAGCTGTAACTGAGGAGAAGAGAGAATAAGAGGAAGAGGAAGTTACCATGCCGTTTTGGGAAGGAGCCCTGATCGACGCCTATTGGCGGACGGGGCAGGTGGGGCATACATGTATGTATAGTTTGTTTGTACTCCAAGATTTCGACTCATCAGAATCATTTTCTTCAAAGCAAGAGAATCCCTCAGCATGCCAGCGCTGTCGTTCTCGCTTAAGCCATCTGCGCTGCAGCACTTGCACGACTCGTTTGTGTGCCTGAGCAAGTTCAGCGAGAACGTCTCCATCGAAGCGGAATACGATCTGGTAAACCAACGCAACCAAGGCGCTGTCAATAAGAACAAGACGTTGCTAACAAGCCATGTGCTCTTTGAAGCTCCGTTTAAGTGCTTTGAATACTTCAAAAACAGCTTATGCCTCATTCTCCTTGGATTCGGACAAATTCTTCTCCAAATATTCCTTCAGTCTACGCAGGGGGCAGCAAAATCATGGACCGCTAGTCGATCGATTTGCTTATCAGATATATCTGAAGGTGCCCTGCCTCTTTGAGCCTATAGTAGTACTCTTGTACGCGCTGCTAAGTTATCAACAGGCTTTGCTCTCGGTCTTCAAAGGTCGCACTGGAGAGTCGCGCGATAAGCAAGCCGCAGTAGAGCGATGCGATGTCGAGCTACATGATTCGCCGGATCAGACAGAATGCAGGTTACTCATACAAATGATATGTGGTCAGGGTATGTGTTATCTGAGCCGTGAATCATAATCAAGACTAAAGAATTTGGCAGGCGTCGTAAAATCCTATAAACTGACCTATGAGCCTGTCGCTGTGCAGCACGCGCTATTTGATCAATCGCGCGTGCGGAATCAATGGAAAATCGAAGCCAAGATTCTGCGAGAAATCATTGACCACTTCAGTCCGTCTGCAGAGCAACTAGATATTTATCCTGATACAGGAAAGGCGATTTTTACTAGCTTTACTAATAAAATCAGTGATGGGAAGGGTATCCTCCTAGTTTTCCCTTCGACTACTTCAGTTCATATATCTAACTTCTCTCATTAGAAATCCTGAAACAACCGGTTCATACATCCGTGGCCATCGACAAAAAAGATTTTGACGAATTTATAGTCAGGGATGGTCTGCATATTGCCATCAATGTCAAAGACTTCAAAGCCGCAGTCATCCATGCAGATAGCATAAAAACGGCCATCACAGCACGTTACACTCGGCCCTGTCGGCCTTTACAACTAGTTTACACATCAGACGATGGAATTGACTCTGAGTTCACACTTATGACGCGTGGGGAGGTTGACGAAAAGGACAACGATGATGATGACGGTGTCTCTAGACCAGCCTCGCAGCTTTCTGCTAGGCCATCTGCTCGACGTGCAGCAGTAACATCCGAACCAACAGCCAGCCAGGCTGTCGCTACTTCATCTGCAGCAGCAGCAGCAAAGGCTTCCATGCCACCGCCACCGCCGCCACCGTCGAGCCGACCTCCCGTAGTTCAGCCATTGTCATCTCACAGATCGGAGTTATTATCAAGTGCTGCATCTAGGGCGGCACTGGTAGATATTAAAGATAGCCTTTTTGTGCCCGCGGATGATGACAGGCAGTGGGATGAACAGTTGTATGAGGAGGAGGAAGCGCAGGATATTCTGGGCTGGGATTCAACTATTGAGCCGGTTTGTTCTACTTTTTTTTTTGACGGACTGTAACGTTGCGGCTTCTAAGGACTGCTAGCTGACTGTTAACTACTAGGGAGCATATCATGAAGGCCGTCCAAGGCCTCTAAGGGATGAATATCCAACTGTTCCATCTGAAGCACAAAACGCCGGCAATGATGAGACTGGTATTCCGCCGACGCAGCCCATGTCACAGGTATGTCACAACATCTATATTTTCAAGCCGATTTAACATGGTAGCAGATACGAAAATTGGGTCTTTTCGATTGACTATATACATTACAATGGTTTTATATATTATACTATATCGCCTCACAACAGTCACGAAGTCACGATCCAAGTAGTCGCGCACCCCGCAGCCAGTCGAACGACCTTGGCCTTTTCGTCCTGGAAGACCTCATCAGGAAGTCGAATATGACACACTCGTCCTCCTTTTACATCTCCGTGCTCGTCTGTGTAAGGGCCACAATTGCCATGCTCTCCCCAGCCACAGGCCAAAATCGTCCTGTTATCAAACGAGAGCGCAACAGCGTGTTCGCTGCCGGCTACAAATTGAGAAATGGCCTCGGAACGTATCGGTTGTTTGTCTGATAGTTGTGCTTGTTGGTCCGTGGAAAGAGAACCAGAGAGCGGACCCAGCTGACCGCGGTCATTGCGACCCCAGGCAAGACCAGAATTGTCCAAGATATCATGTAAATAGATCCCATGCCAACTCGCCGACGCAGTATACCTTTCCCTTCCTGGCGTACTTTTCCTCAATGTCTGCAACGAAGGACCACCAGAGACTATGCCCCATTTATCACCACCGCCGAGAATCGTATACATATATTCCCCTTCCCCCTTTCCCTCGTTATCCACAACAAACCCACTAATAAACGTAAACTCCCTCCCACATGCAACAGAATCCGGAACAAACCCCTTTCCCATCGCAATAGCAACCCTCACGGGCTCCCAAACAACTTTCCGTACAGAATTCTCCCTCCCCAACTGCCCCTTCCTCCCCGCTCCCCACCCATACACTTCACCATCGGACAAGATAGCCACGGTATGATACGCGCTGCTACCGATGCATCTGATACTCGTACCCGGCGGCGGGAAGTTTTGCAACATGCTGGAATTTATCTCGATATAACCATTATTTGTGGTAGGAGATGATGATGTCCGACCCATTCCCAAACCTAGTTCTCCTTTGCCCCCTGTGCCGAGGGCTATCACCACCTCTTTTTCTTCTCCTCCCTCTCCTCCGTCCCCGGTACTGGTATTAGTGGTATGGATAGTAGCGACAAAGAAACTCGCAGACCACGTAGCGCATATATCCCTAAACCGCTCAATGACAGGTCCTGATCTGCCATGTCGAAAAACGACGCGATTGAATTTATATTTATCACCACCATCACCGATCGCACAATCTAAAAACATTTCACCAGCAGCATACACAGACCCATCCTCGAAAAGAATGAGCGTATGATTCCCACCACAAGCAATGCGTTTTACTTTCCTCTTCCTTGTGCTGCTCGTCTCATCTTTTGTGCCTGGTTGGTTTTCTTTCGCGGGGTTCTCGCAGAATAGACATTCTGTCGGCTCATTGACGTCTGCTGTGTGGCCGAGGCCTAGTTGGCCGGAGCCGTTGGAGCCGAGGGCAAAAATATTTTGCATTATTTTCCCCAACCTTGTTTCCCGCTTTATTCATAATTCTCTCTGTGTTTTTTTTTTTTTTTTTTTGGATATGTGGAAGTTTGGAGAGTGGTATGAAAAGTGTGGAAATGATCAAGGTTATCGATATCGATAACTAGAATCTAGATAATATTTGGGACTATACTATATCTAGTTTAGCGTATCTACCGAGGTGGTGCTCTGCTGCAGTATTGTGGAGCCAAAAGATTGTATACAACTGTAAGATAAGTATTATTTAAAAATAAATAAACGACTTCTATTAGAAGCGACGGGTATCAGAAATATCCATACAGTCAATAAATGGCCCCGATATAACAAGGGTCATGGGTAGAAAGTAAATGCCAAATGCCACACACAATAAAGTCGCATCGCACCATGAAAATGTTCTATCTTGATCATCATACACACGAAGACATGGCTATGATTAAAGCAATGAAGACGGTGAAAAGGGAAGGGGGGGAATGCAGATGGGATTTTTCTTTCTCTTGGTCTTTTATCTTTTCTTTTCTTTTCCTGGAAAAAGAGGTGTATAAGTGATTAAAACGGGGAATAGTAAAAAGGAAACCAAAAAAGCAAAAAAACAAAGAAAGTCTCTTGAGGTAATCGAAAACGAGATTTACTTTTCAGTCACAGCAACGGCAGCATCGGTCGAGTCACTCTCAACCGAAGTAGCAGCAGGGGGCAAACTGGCAAAAGTCTGACCACCAAGCTTCTCAGTACCACGGAACATGGGGCTGGTACGCTCAAAGTAGCTGTGGACATGGCCCTCGAACAAAGCCTCGTCAGAGTCAACCTCAATCTCGCCATCCTCGTTGGAGACCTTGCGCGCAATACCAGATTCCCACTCGGCGCGGTAGTCCTCGAGTTTCTGCTTGTAGTCGAGCTCGGCGTTGTAGTTCTTGCCAACGCCGCGGAAGCGCTCCCACACGGACAAGTGTTGAGGGTGAATGGCGACACCGTGGTACTCGTTCTCACGGCCGTTACGGATGTACCACCAGCGACGCTCTTGTTCCTTGAGGTCGAGACCGGTGGTGTCGGGCAGGAAGAAGAAGGTGGTCAGCATACCGGCAAGACCGAACCAGGGCCAGATCTTGAAGCGGAGCTCGACGGTGGTGTAGACGGAGACGATGGAGGCAATCAAGGCTCCAACCTTACCCCAGGCAGCGGAGGTACCGTGAGCGGAGGCACGGATCGGGGCAGGGAAGACTTCGGCGGCAACCAAGAAGGTGATACAGTTGGGGCCGAATTGGTTGAAGAAAGATGACAGGAAGTACATGGCCTGGAAGGCTTTGATGTGTGCCTTCTCGGTGTAGTAGTGGTAGTGGAAACCGGGGACAACGAAGAGAATGAAACAGAGCAAGAAACCAACTTGCTGCATCCACTTACGACCGTACAATTTGCTGTCGACGAGGAAAGAAGCCATGTAGTAACCGACCAGGGAGACACCGATGTTGAGCAAGTTGTAGAGCCATGAGGGCATGATGGACTTCTCATGGGGGAGAATAACGGAGATAAACTCGGACTGGAAGAGCTTGTTACCGTAGAAGAAGATGTCGTTGGCGAACCAGCCGAAGGAGGTAGCAAGGAGACGAGGACCAAAGTATTTGAGGGTGAGGCGGAGGGACTCGACGTCGTAACCGGTGACGGCAGCCTTCTTCTTGGCGGCCTGAAGCTGCTTGGAGGCCGACTTCATGTGATAGGTACGGTAGTAGGTGAGCCAGAGGGTTCCGACAGCAGGGACGGCGAAGGAGACACGGTAAGTCCACTGGGCAGAGACCTTGGTGTATGGAGGGTCACCGTTGCCGTGGAAGATGAGGAGCAAGATGATCAGGAGACCCTGGTTGAGCAACTGACCCCAGCCCTGCATCAAGAAAGCGCTGACGACCTTGCGACCACGGTGGAGACGATCGTCGCGAGAAGAGACACGGCCGGATCCAACACCGTTTTCCATACCAGCGGTGGCAGTCATGGGGTATTCACCACCCACACCGATCGAGTAGAAGAAAAGGGACCAGGCATAGCAAATAACCCAGCCGTTCTCGGTGACACCGTAGGCAGCGGTGAGCATGAGCAAACCGACAAACATAATAGCGGCATCCTGAATCAAACCCCAGCGGCGGCCAATCCTGTGTCTGTTAGAAGAGTTCCGCCAATAATAAAGATTTTGGGAGGGATTATACTCACCAGTCACCGACGAAACCAACCATGACCTGACCAACAATGATACCAGCGATTTCCAAGTATGTCAACGAGTTGATCCAGTTGACGTTGCAGGTCTTGTGGTTTTTCCAGCAGTCCTCGAAAGCGTCTCCCAAGAGGGACTGCACGGAACTGACGGAGAACAGGACGTAACTATTAAACTGTTAGTCGATATGCTTTTTTTTTCCCCCTTGCCGAGTAAAATAACGAACCCTTCCAAGAGAAGACCAGCACCTGGCAGGACATAGTTCTTGAAGTACATGCCGATGGGAGCGAGAGGATCGGCTTTGATAATGGCGCCGAGCTCGCCGAGTTCCTTCTTCGACTCGGCATTTTCGTTCTTCAGAATGAAGCCGATACGCTTGGAGAAGGGCAGATCGGCCCAGTAGACACCCTCGGGCGTGTAGCAGTCGTCGGGACGGAGGAGCTTGTCGAAGGCATCACGCTCGTGGGCGTTCATCTCGTCGAAGTTCTCGTACTGGGGATGGTTACCGGTGACGTCCGGCCCATGGGGGGGCATGGGGCCTAGGGTGGTCATTTTCACTGGATGTCTTTTGGCTGCGTCTGTTAGTATGTCGCTGAGCGAGCGAAAGCTAGAGCAAGACTCACAATCCTCGAAGCTGGACGCAGCAGAGCCTCAGGGACGGCAGACTTGCACAGTGAAGAGCAGAAAAGAGAAGAGTTGCACGAGGCAGGAAACGTCAGCTATATAGTAACCGCTTAAGTATACGGGCAGAACCACTTTTCCGATGGTGAGAGCGGCACGTTGCTGTGTGCGGGACGCTGATATGTTCGTTCTGGAAAGGTAATAAATCGTACGGTCTGCGCGTAACAAACGCGTCCCATTGGCTCGCGGCGGAGACTCGACGGAGCTGTGGGGCGGCACTAAGGCGGGCGACTTTTTCTGATCTGAGTTTTCACGCTGCCTGATTGGCCGGCCACCCAACCCGCCACCAGGCCCGCCCGTCTTGGCACCCAGATGCACCCGGGGAAGCCTACGCGCCAATCAGAGCCTCGGAATGCCACACGTGTGCCCTCCGTCGGCTGTGATTGACTTTGCCTTGTCTGACCGCAAAACAACCACCGAATTCAAGCTTATGCTTGTTCATGCCAATTTAATGGCAAAATGCTTGGAGAATGCTTATATTTCATATTTTATTACGATTGATGATGGTTTCATTATCGTTGTTATCATTGACATGAGCACTCATCACGGCCCTTGTTGCTTGTTCTATACCTAGTGTTCCCTTTGTAACTAACTGCTCCGTCTCAGACTAGCGACGCATGCAAGCCCGCCAGCGCTCTCTAGCATCTAGAGGCTAGTATCAATATACTCCTACAATATAGCTATATTAGGTCCCACCTCCGGCAGCAAACACCAGGACCCTGGACGGGGCCTATGAAGAGCGTCCGTCCTGCCACGCTGACTGACTGTCTATCACGAGCAGCAAAGCGTGGCTTGTGGATTCTCGGAGGTAGCCGACTTGTCAGGTCACGGAAAGCGCGGCATCGCATGCTTCAGCCTTCACTCAGCTGTTGCGCTTAATCCTTCATTTTGTATTACTTAACGGATACTCTCGACTGGAGCTCGAGTCAACGTAGCACAGCGAAAATACCAACGCGAGGCTCCAAAGCCTCCAATAAAATCATCTATCAGACCGGGCAAGCTGGCAGACCTTCTCCTGCCTCAGATTGCACTCGACGTTTTAGCAAGGGGACCCGCTCTGTGCTCAACGCGTGGTCGCCACGTCCTCTGGGAAGCGTAGGTTCTAGTGTTCCAATGTGCAGTGCGTACACGAACGTCTGTCTTGTCCCTGCATGAAACCGGTCGACCATGTGGTGTGTTCCAAAATACCTTCTTTCGAGTCTCTAGAAGCATCATGGCTTCGGTCCACACTTCCGCCAACATTCCATCATCGCATCGCGTGTCCTCCGTCTGTCTGTCGGACAAGCATTCCAGAGTTTGTTCCCTTGCGCACGGTGTGCAACAGTACGTGCGACGTCCCATCAAGGCGTCGATAGTTCCGGGGCCGTTGCTTCTATTCTTCCTGGCCTATCCCCATTCCTGGTCGTAGTCAGTGTCGTCGTTCATCGTAGTTCACGTAGCGTAGTCTACTGTTCCATCAGCGGAAGAGTTGGTTTAAAGTTGCTGCCCCACCCACGTGCCCCATGTTAGCGCGTCTACTTGCCCATTCCCAATGCGGGCGTGTGATTGGCTGGTTGTGCAAGTATATAATTATTCAATGCTTTATGAACATAAAAACACGCAGATACATTTATAAATGAATACTTTCAATAAGTCATGCTAGTATACAAGTACTCAATACAAGGTGGATAGCTCCCCATCTCACTTTGAAAATTTTCTCTGTCCAACATACACGTGCATGAAACAGGGGGGAGGCACGTGCAGCTCAGCTCGAGTGATACTACTCGAAAGGTGACTCGGGCAGTGGACCTGTCTGAAAAGAAAAATTCATTTCATTTACGCACATATCTGATGCAACAGTTCTCAGAAAACGGTAATTGTTTAAACGGTACGGAGGAGGCAAGGTTCATACCGTTCTTTCCTTCATCTTCGCGTACAGAGTCCAGACCCTAGAAAGGCAGGGAGGGCATAGTGCAACCTTACGCGGCTCGCAAGGGGCTATAAGCATTATTGCTAGTATATATTACTAATGTAGTAATAAGAGCGGCGGTTCTTCTAAGAATAGGGTGCGCAGGATCCGTGTCTAGAAACATGCAATGTATAACATCACCTGAATTAGTATATAGGTGCGTCGGACAGACCATGGACCGATACGGTCTAGAGCTGTCCTATGTCGGACTTCGCTTTCGTCTTATTTCTGGCGAATGTCCAACAGACAGTGACTGGATGCCACAGCGACATTGTCCTGAACTTCCCGATTCTATTCGGTAGGAGCATTTCTTTGTCACTTAACTAACTACGTAGGTACCCGATTTTGAGATTGATGGATAGGAAGACTGCTGGTCTGCTCGTCAAAGCAGAATCAGTTATTCCATGCACCGTGAGCGCCTGATCTACTGCCTACATATCCAGGTATGACAAACGTATTTACCCCCTGCCTGGAACAGAAGATATACATTCCCTGATACAGCCTTACTTCCAATGTACATGTGATGTACGACACGGGATTGGCAGATCCTCTCTCTCCCATTACCTAGGTAGTTGGTTTCACGACCACGATATCAAAAAACAGAATGGATCAATTGAATTCTCATCTCATAGCTATGCTTATTTATGCTATGTTCGGTTATGTTCGGTCGTTAACAAAGTTGTTGATAATCAAGGTCCTGCCTGTCGCCACTGCCATTGCCATTTGAAAACGAGTTGTATAAACAAGACAAACGCACACGCACACACACACGCATACATACACGAAAGCAGGACGCGTACATACAAAAGTAGAAGGGAAAAGACGACACAAGACGGTGAAAGGAAGAAGATTGGTCCGCTAGACAACAGAAAAGATCCAAACATCTATACTCAAGATAGTAGTCGTTGTTTTGTTTGTTCCAAAGGTTGTTGTTTCATCTTCATCCATCGGCTTTGCTATGGGTGAAGATGGGCATTCTAGGTTGAATCAGATGAGGGGAAAAAAAAAAGGATTTGTGCACACATATTTCATGTTCATGCAGAGAATTCTCGCTTCTTCACCATTTATGATTTGGAAAAAGTGACGAACGATTTATTCAGGAATACTGCCGAACGAAGGATCCCTGACACTACCGCCGGCATCGCCAAGTCCCGCAACGGGTCGGTTATAAGACCATCCGACGAAATGTTCTTGCGCCGTTTGAGACAGGATCGTATCATCCACCGAGTCCTTGGGCACTTCACCGGTGAATTCGATATCGAAATTGTTCGTATCCCGGGCGTCAATCTAATGGATTGTCAGTCTAGTCAACAGCAGCAGAAGGGGAAAAAGAACATACCACATTAGGCTTGAATGTAGGCTCATACTTCCTCTGCAACAGCTTGCGCCAGTCGATATTCGAGAAGAAATGATGCGCCTTGATTTCCGCCGCTCCGTTGGCACCGAGACGGCGTTGAGGGTCACGGTCTAGGAGGCGCGTCAACAGATCGCGAGCTGCTGCTGGCACAATATCGTGGCTTGGGAATGTCAACGGCTCTTGGACAATCTTCTTATACATTTCATTCGTGTTCTCGTCGTAGAAAGGCGGCAAGCCTGTCAACCTGTTCAACAGTTAGCACTTCTTCACACCTAGCTTTATTTGGTGAAGACATACATCTCGTAGAGAAGAACTCCCAGAGTCCAGAAATCCACGCTCTTCGTATAACCTGTGCCTAGAAGCAATTCTGGAGCAAGGTATTCGGGCGTACCGCAGAAAGCTACAAGTGTCAGTCTAATTGAACCAAATATAGGAAGAGCAGGAACTTACTGTTAGTCTTATCTTCATCTTTCATGTCGAGTTTACACAGTCCGAAATCGCACAGTGCAATATGACCTGTATAATCCAACAAAATGTTTTCCGGCTTTAGATCACGGTAGATGACCTTAAATCCGTGCAGACACTCAAGCGCGCATAGCAGCTCAGCGGTGTAGAAACGAGCCCGGTTTATATCGAAGCGTTGCTCCCTTTGAAGATGATGGAACAGCTCACCACCGTTGACAAATGCGAGAACAAGGTACAGCTTTTCCGGCGACTGGAACGAGAACTTCAAAGGCACAATAAACGGGTTGTTAATCTGCGCCAACACTGATCGCTCGGCTAAAGTATGCGCAACTTCCGATCTAGAAATAATATGTGCTTTGCGGAGCGTCTTGAGCGCGTAAATACGCCCGGTATCCTTCTTCCTGTATACTGTTAATATACGATCAAAGCATCGAGCTGGGCATTCTGATAAGACTCACAATACTTGCATGACTTTGCCAAAGGATCCCTATAGAAAATGTAATTAGCCAATGGATGTGAGACGGTTCTTGCTCCAGCACCATACCTTGCCAATGACTTTATAAAATATTGTCAGCATAACTATATCATGGGGAAAAAAAAAAAGGGGGGGGATCTTGCTCACCTTTAAGAAGATCAAAATCTTCTATCTTCATGCTGCGAGCCCTGTTTTCAACAAAAGACATGCCAATCTTGATTGAGCCGGTACCGAACTGTAAGTCTAGCCATTCATGTCCTATCTGACCCACGGTCTTCTCTTGCTCAGCAGCCGCCTTCTGGTTATCTTTTTTGCTAAGTTTGGGGTCCTCCACATAGGGCTGACTTTCCTGCAAACGGGGTTGCATCTTTGTCGCTCCAAGGAATATATCTTCGCTACGTCCGGCTCCAGGCCGGGCAGCTGGGTTGCGGAGGTATATTTGCACGCTCAACTCAGTCTGGCGAGAAACATCAAATTTGAAGGCGGTGTTATCACCGGCCCACAGGGGGTTTTCCGGGGTGCCGGACACAGCATCGACGAAAACCTGATTCTTATCAAAGTCGAGGAGCGCATATGGGAGGTATTTTGTCAGGTAACGACCGTGGATTGTAGGTGCGGCATTGATGCCGCTGCTGGTAGATTGTGGTCGAGGGGGCGGTGCGTAAGAGTTCGCGGTCTGTGCGGAGTGTGAAGAAGAAGAATTCGGGCGGACAGAGGCATTCGGGTTTTGAAAATGGGAGTTGAATATTTGTTGATAGTGAGGAGACAGCGAAAATCCCTTTCCTTCGTGCAGTGTTATAATCAGAATACCGGGTTTCACTAAAGCGACCGGATGTGAGACCAAAGCCTCGGAGTCGGCTGCAAATCTTGTTAGCAGCTTGTTCTATCCGCCCATTTAATATACGAATCATACCAACTCCGTTAGAGACGGTAGAGACGGTCGAAGTCTGTGATACTAAGTTCGGACGCTGTGGAGGTGCCGGAGTCTCGTGGACTGGCTCGCCCTTGATAGTCGATGTCGATGATGAGCGACCGAAAGACTGGGCTAAAGGAGCCAAATGCGTTTCCTTCAACTCTGTTTATTGTTAGCAGCCCGGTCATTATCTTGTCACGAGATCGTCCGATAGCAAGTTGATTACATACTCTTTGTGAGTTTCCACGACATGACGCCGGGTTATGTCGATGTAATTTCGGGCACAAAGGAGAGCCGCCCGGAAGCGAGAGTATAAAAAGGTCGCGGCCTCTAAACGAGAAGAGGGCGGGTGTTGACAGGAAATATACACCTGTTCAGCTGTTGATGGCCTTGGTCCACGAGAAAATAGCGGTTGCCAATCTGCCACTCCACAACAGCGATAAGCGACGACAACCACACCAGAGCTGGTCTTTCAAAGACTGCGGTGTGTGGACAGCCAATATAAACGTGAGACTGTCAGATAGGAGAGACGACAGAACTGAGAACACACAAGTAACACTAACTCGTAGCAAACAGCCCAGGGGCTTGATTTCAAATTGCTGAGGTACTCCGTAGTGGATTCGGTAATAAACACAGGCCAGCTCGTTGGGGCGTGTGGTAATATTACGGAGCAGTACGTCGATCACTGGTAATCGGCGCTCCGATTACATATGGGCGCCGTATCGAGACGGTTTGTAACCGTAGATACCTGCATATTCAGGCTGCAAGACAGGGCGGGGCGAGTCGGTGAGAATAGGCCGAATGAGGGGTAGACTTTGCGTTGCCCAGGACGATCATACTACAATACAATACAATACATATAAGCAGGATTATTGTCCGAAGCCGTAATGTTCTCATTGTCAATATGTCTAGCACAGGTACGGTAACCGAAATACCAGGGACTCAGCTCAGGAGGCAGAACTGAGCAAGGAACAAGAAGCCGGTTTGCTTGCGTGCCACCCTGAGGCTGTGCTGCTGCACAGCCACGCCGAGGCGGTATGTCTATTGGCCAATCACAGACAGATTTCAGATACTCGTGTCTCCGCAGAGTCAGCTCGTCTTGGCAGCCGTCGTCACATGACTCGTCTCATGGCGCTTGCCGATGTCGCGCGCTTACTCTGGCGCATCTCCCCGTACAACCAACGTCGACCCCAGATTCAGCAATTAACAAGAAGATACACGCCCATCGCAACATTCCGACGCCCGGCCGTTCCCACAGCTGTGAATACTACATACTTGGGACCCCTCACTCCCATCTCACATTTTCTTTTGCCACCACCCACGCGCCGCGAAGCGTCCCTGACTTCTCGAAGCTCCACTTAACCGCGGAGACAAACCACGCCCTCAACACTCAAGTATAGTTTTTGATTATACCTGTTCATCGCCCTCTCCATTCTTGGAGGGCATTCAATACTTTAGAAACGGACTCGGACAAGGCGGAGGATGAAACAAAGGACCACTCCATGGGCGTAATCCGCAAGAAGACCGCCACGCGCGGCACGGAAGGCGGTACCAAGTATCATTGCGATGTCTGCTCTGTAGACATCACGTCGACTGTATGTCTTAAGTCTCGGCGTCATTTTTAATGTCGAATCTATTATGTACTGACATTTGTGATTAGGTTCGGGTATCATGCGCCCACCCCTCCTGTCCTGAGTACGACCTGTGCGTACCTTGTTTTGCCGCGGGCGAATCATCTAAAAACCACGACCCGCGAACTCACCCTTACCACGTGATCGAACAAAATTCGGTGCCTATCTACACACACGACTGGGGTGCTGATGAAGAGCTGCTCCTGCTTGAGGGCGCCGAGATCTATGGGTTAGGTTCATGGGCCGACATTGCAGACCACATCGGAGGATTTCGTACGAAAGAAGAAGTGCGGGATCATTATATTGAGACATACATTGATAGTCCCAATTTTCCACTGCCGGCTCGCGCGGATCCTGAAGACAGGACATTGCAGGAAGAGATCTCAAAAGAGGAGTTTCAATCTAGGAAGAAGCGGCGCATTGAGGAGCGCAAAGAAGCGGCCAAAGCTGCACCGCCTGCGACACCAAAACAGAAGCCTACCGCTAGTGTTCCATCATGTCATGAAGTTCAGGGCTACATGCCCGGGCGTCTAGAGTTCGAGACGGAATTCTGCAATGAGGCCGAGGAAGCCGTTCAACACATGCAATTCGAGCCTGGGAATGGCATCAATGAGAATGGGGAAATGGATCCTGAAATGGAACTCAAGATGACCGTGATGGAAATTTATAACTCGCGTTTGACCCAGCGGACCGAGCGGAAGAAGATTTTGTTTCACCATAATTTACTGGACTATCGAAAGAACATTGCACAGGAGAAGAAGCGAACGAAAGAAGAGAAGGAATTGCTGAACAAGGCGAAACCTTTTGCTCGCATGTTGAACCATGAAGACTTTGAAGAATTCTGCAAAGGCATCGAGTACGAACACAACTTACGACTAGCGATCGCACAATTGCAAGAATGGCGCCAGTATGGAATTACCGATCTCAAGAGTGGAGAGAAATACGAGCAAGAAAAACAACAACGAGCCCAACGCGCCATCCCACAGGGCTCATTTGATCGCTTCGCCACGTCATCCCGTCCTTCAAAGCAAGTGCAGCAGCAGCCAGACGGACCATCACAAGCCAGCCTCCTGACCACACCTGAACTACCGCTTCGATTCCAAAAGGCGGCAACAAAGCCTGCCACCGCTTCTGCCGCTCCTAACCCGGACACTAAGATGCCCCTTAACGACTTTGACCTTGCCTTTGCTGCCAACGGCGATGGATTTGGCACCACCACTACCGCCACCACTAATGCTGCCATCACCACTCCTCCTCCTCCTCCTCAACAATCAACGAAAACAAAATACGTCATCCAGCCACTAAACGGCATCATTCCATGGAAATTAGAAAACGACGGCGCGCCCGATCTACATCTCCTAACCAAGGAAGAAATTGAACTATGCAATACGGTGCATGTGCAACCAAAACCGTACCTGGTTATCAAAGAAGCGCTCCTGAAAGAGGCCATGAAGCAGAATGGCAGTCTCAAGAAGAAGGATGCGAGAGTTATCTGCAAGGTTCAAATTTCCCCTCTCCTATCCTGACCTATATACATACATACATGTAAGCTAACATGTGATATGTATAGATCGACGTTGCTAAAGCAGGACGCATATTTGATTTCATGGTGCACAGTGGATGGATTACCAAGGGTTAAAGCGGGCATTTTTCTGTTTCTTTCTTTATTATTATCAATCGTATTATGATTCATGTCGGTGTTGGTTTCATCTATGCGTAGTTATCTATCTATGCAGTTGAATGAAAGAAAGATTTATTAAACAGACATTTAATTTTATGATTCTTGTGAAATATGGAGTAAGAAAATTATTAATATTGCCTTGGAAGGCCTATGACTAATTCTGGTCTGGTCTGCTAATCTCCTTTGCATAATGCCGTTATTCGTAGAACATGAGTAGAACAAGTTCACTACGTAGTAAAACATAATCTCATTAGTGGCCCGAGTCGTGCCGTGCGTGTGTATCCCGTGGGATTTTCCGTCCGTCCGTCCGTCTGTCTCCGATAATGAAAGAGGTAAGTAAGGTATGTGTCCAAGATATGCTCCTTCATGTTTCCTCTTTCCTCTTTCTCATATTCGGGCCTGGGCCTGGGCCTGGGGTCTGTACACCACACATCAGAATTGTGCTCACTCGTTAAATGATAGATTGAGAAAATATTAGGGGGTGTGAAGAGTGCTACTCGTCACTGAGCCCGGGAGAAAGGGCATCCTACATTGATTCGAATTCTGACTGGACTTTTTCAACCAACCTCAGGACATCCCTGTAAAGAGGGTGGTCGGTTTCGAGTTCTGTGAGTTGCTTAGTAGCTTCAGCGGCGGACTTCTCTTGCAGGATCTTTGAGAGCTCGAAGCTCTCAGCGTCTCCTTCAACATTCTGGAATCGTAACGCCTTGTCGATGGATCCAAGTAAAGCATCGTACTTCATGCCGAGTTCAGCCAACTGGGCAGCCGGTCCGATGAAACGTTCCTTGCGAGAAAGCTTGCGCAGTGGTGCACGACCGACACGTTCCACGATATCCTCGAGATAAGGATTGGAGATACGTTGAACGATAGTATCGACATATTCCTTCTGCTCTTCCTTGGAGATGCCGTGCTTCTTGATAATCAAAGCTGCAGTCTCATCTAATGCGTCGTGAACTGCCTTGTGAATCTTCTCATCAGCCAAGGCATCATGAATTGTTTTTTTACCAGCATTGTGGCCATAGTAAGCAGCAGTTGCGTGACCAGTGTTCACAGTGAAGAGCTTGCGTTCAATGTAAGGCTCGAGGTGGTCAACCCAGTGAATGGCGGAGATGTCTGGATGACCGTATTCACCAAATGGAGTCTGTTCAACTACCCACTCGTAGAATTTCTCAATACGAACATCGAGTCCTGCATTTGCGGGTTGATTTGGGACGATTCGGTCAATAGCCGAGTTGGCGAATCTAGCACGTTTCAGGAGGGTGTCGAGACGAGCTTTGTCAAGGTGCCCTTCAATGTGTCCTCGCAAAGTGTCAGTGGCATTGATGGCATTCTCACAGGCAATGACCGCAAGGGGACGATCAGCTTCACGAGCGTCGATGCCTTTGGCAATTACAGGAGCGATGAACTTTAATACGTTTGGCCCAACAGCACAGGTGACAACATCAGCAGTAGCAAGCTCCTTGACGACCTCTGGCTCGTCGGTCTTGGAGCTGATGGCACGATAGTTGGTGATTGTCTTGGTCTTTTCTCCCTCATCGCTGATTTCGGTCACGTTGTACGACTTGTTGTTGGACAGCGATTCTATAACCTGTGGCACGACATCGACGAAGACGACCTCGTAGCCAGACTGGTGCAAGAACTCTGCAACGAAGCCACGGCCAATGTTGCCGCCTCCGAACTGGATTGCTTTCTTACCCATGGCGGCAAGCTTTAGTGGACGGAATGACGAGGGTAAAGGGAGCAAGTGTAGAAAGAGAGCTCTTCTACGAGGCAAGAGAAGTCTGGAGGAGCTGTGTAAGCAGTGGAGGTGTGTAAGGAGAAAGGAGTGCTTGGTGCTTGTTGTGATGAAGGAACAAGAGATGGGAAGAGTAAAGAGAGCGAGACGAGGCGAGGAAAGGAAGGGCAAGGAGCGTGCTTTATGGGAAGGAGGGAGGGGCAACCCAAACAAGACACACGAGGAAGGAGCAGCCTGGACGTCCAGGGCAGGAAGTTACGTGCCTGCCAAAACAAGATGTCATCGCGGGGCCTTCCGTCATAGCATACTTTGTACACGCTACCTACACCTACACCCCAGCTGGACCTACATGCTCTCTGCCTGCTTCTAGTTGCTTCGACTGACTTCTGCTTCTGATTCGCGACCTCAACCCTGATGCCCTCGCGATTCTCCACGCGCTGCCGGTGAGTGTTCAGACTGCATCACATGCGGAAAGTTTCACCGTGCCACTGGCCACTCCGACCCTGCGATACCACAGCAAAACCAGTGCCTCTCTCTTGCACGCGCCCAGAGAATATCGGAAGAATGCGGGGGTGGGGGTTTGGCTAGTCTTATCGATATCGTTGCGGCATTGTCTGCGATTGACCGAGCATACGCTGAAAAGCGAAGAGACGCACACGGCCATTGGGTGTTTTTCTCGGTCAGTAAACAAACATGCACGCATTTCCGATTTCTGTCCGGCGGACTGACGTCTGAGTTACACACGGAGACCATGGAAACGGAACGAAAATTCCAGGCCACTCAACAGCCCTCATCGTACAGTTGCCTCTCATTGGCCACCAGCTGATTGGTGGATACGGGGGAGTTTCGAGATTAGTCAGTCCATTCTCGGCCCAAGTCCGCGATGCCACATAAATGCCTCATTTTCTATAGAGGCTGTGTTAGCTTGATTAACTACAAGCAGCAAATTACTCAGCTCAGTGGGGGTTGATATCTAACTATCGGTTGGGCAGTCATGGAGTGCCTTATTATTCCGATTTATTTCCCGAGGCCTTCCTCCTTGCGCGACACACAGACAGGGGAGATACGCTTACAACGAGTTAACTTGATGTATTTCACATGGCATTGAAAACAGAGATATTGACATTTCATTTATATACAGACTCGATTTGCTGTATCTACACTTCATCCATATCTTTCTCAGAGGACGCGGAGCTACTGCCGCTAGACGGTAACGTTATGACACTGATAACAACAGTGAGAAACGAGAGTACAACAGCAGACCATGTCATGCCAAGGAAGCTGCTACCTCCCTTTGCAACTATTCCATAGTCCTCGCCGTGTCGGTTGATGAGGTGAACGAATTGCACCGCTATGACGGAGGCTACCGAAGATGACACCCCGAGGCAAACAAAACTAAGCTGCACAAGAGAAAGCAAAAAAAAAAAAAAAAAAAATTAGCACAAGACTCATCAATGTTAAGACAGGGCCAGGGGTTACATACCACAGTGAAGAACAAATGCGCAAACATGGATGGCTTCCCCCCAGCCTGCGTCAGAAGAATCTCCATGAGGAAGGCGATCCCGGTCGCAGCCATTCCTATAATATATAACACCGACATGGCCTTTGTAGTCATCGCCATGACATCAAAGTCATCACTAATGGTATCGGGCCAGTTGATATCGGATATATTGAATCCAGCATTGAACTCTGTCGAAAACACTTTTTCCGGATTGAATGCAAATGGCGCCCGACGTCGCGAGCAGCTCGTCACTTCCATGGCATGATTGCCAGAATCTTTGAAATTGCCTTCGCAGTACGTCAAAACGTGTATAGCATAGAAGTCTTTGAGGCCCAGATCGGCCGCTGTTGTGTTTTGGCTGTTCGTTGCAGCTTGAGTGAGCGCAGATATTGGCTCGGAGGCTGACGTATCAAGCTGTCGGCCCATGAATTGATTCAGCTTCAGCTGGTGCTTTTCTCAAATGTTTATTATCTTTTTCTTCTCACTCACCATCATGACGCTCGAGTTCTGCATAATCGAATCTTGTGTCCCAGCAAACAGGCACAGAGAGCTGAGAATAAAAGATATCAAGGCAAAAACCTTGGACAACGTATTGAGTGTAAGGATCATCTTGCCTGGCTCTTCGATCTCCAAGCTAGCAACATCCAACACATACAAGTAGGTAGTGAACTATCAAGACGATTCGAGTTTGACAATGAAGTGACAAAAGTGCAAACACCAAGGAAAAGACAAACATTTTATCAGACTACAACAAATGTGACAAGCCATACGCCCTAAGGAAAGCCTCGAGATATGTCCGGACCCAATTCCAGCCTTGAGAAACTATTCAAAACTCGTACGGCGTGTATAGGGCTTGTATATGAGGTATACGGCACGTGATTGGCCAATACATATATGTGGGGCATACTTCAGGGTACTTTGGCCAATGATGTGCCGAATCTGGAAGGTCTTTCGCCCCACTCAGAGTCGTCAGGCCTTGTTTAGGAATGTAGGAACGTCTGGCCTGCCACCCTCAGGCATCATCATCTGATAATCGATAGTTATGCATAAGTTTTCTGACGAGGCAGTCTCCTCTTTGTAGTCAGTTCCGTCTAAAGTAAAAGATTTTGTGACTGCTTTCGTACTTCGGTAATGAAAAGTTCATTCCTCGATAACTATCTTGTAAATGTATACACGCAGAGAACTGTACGAAAGAGAATAGAAATAAAAAAGCTTATTCGATTAGGGCCAAATTCAAGACGTATATCCCATGAACCGTTTTCAAGATTGAAAAAGAAAAGAACAATAAAATTGAAACAGAAGGAGACAGGAATTAATGAGAATATTTACGCCTCAGCCTCATCCACAGCTTCAGCTTCAGCTTCAACCTCCGCTCCTCCATTGACCGCAGTTTCATGTTCTCCTTCAACGTCAATCAAAGATTCAGAAGACGGCGGTTCTGGTGGACCCTCTTTCTCCAGACGAAGGTATTCATCCCATTCGGGGAAGAGGTCGTCATCGACAATGATGCCCTCACCACCTTCTTCAGCATCAGCGCCGGGAGGCACTCCGATGAGACGGGCAACTTTTGGTTTTCCGGATTTCTCTAGCGATTCTTTCCATTGGATGACCAGTTTGGGCGTCTTGGAGGGTTTGTATGTTTGCGCAAAGAGGACTGCTTCGGCGAGACGGTTGGTTTGGACTAAGATGTCAAGGCAGGCGTCGATATTGCCAATGGTCCATAAGGCAGAGAAGGCGACGTTGTGTAAGCCGGCGATGGAAGCTTGTTCGGCAAGGGATGCGAGTCCGTCTGTGTTGCGGCTGGAGGTGTAGAGCAGGAGGAGGGAGCCGAAGTCTTTGGCATGCGTAAAGCACTCTTGGGCGAGACTCAGGTCCCAGGCAGTCAGTGCGGCGTCACCAACTGTCTTCCATTTATGTTCGACGTCGGCCTCTCGCGCGAGTTCAAGGGCAATGTCAAGACGGCTGAGGGCTAGGGCCAATTCGAAGCGGTGCTCGGAATCTGGGGAGACTTCGAGAGCCAGTTCTTTGAATCCTTGGCCCTCGAGGAATCGAGCAATCTTGTTCAGTTGATCACGTGGAATGTCGGGGAGCAGCTCTGCAGCCGAATCCATATCACCTCGGAGGACCAAGGTTTGATACTCTACCACTGACAAAGAAAGCGCAAAAGAGACAACTTCGACATCCTTATCGGCGAGGTAGATACGTCCGTCTCGAGGCAGGTAGCCAAGGACGTACAGAGCCTGGTCAAAGTGAGAGATGGTGTATGTTTGGTCACCAACCAGGTAGTTCAACCGATTTGTCGAGTTTGTGTAAATGAAACAATCGCCAACCCATTCACCGGTTCGAACTGTCTCGCTGATATCCGTAACTACCTCGAATGCAGACTCAACACCATCTTCGTCGGCTTCCCCAGAGTTCAAACCGTTGACATAGTTCTCCCTTGAAAAGCGGAGGATATAGCAAGTATCCTCACAGGCGAGAGCCACAAGCTCGCCAGATTCGGACCAGTAAACCTAATTGTCATTATGAGACTGATTATTCTGTATGAAACCTCACGGGAAGAAAACTTACCTCGCGTGGCTCTACTTCGATACGGCGAACTAGGTTACCAGTTTCCCAGTCAAACAACCCAATGCCCCCTTGTCCCTTGACACCTAGAAGCACGCCACCGGATAGGCCTTCGGCTTGGAAGCCGACATCCAGTCCTTCTTTCTTCTCTTTAAAATTCTTGAAAATCTTCACGCTTGTGGCAGATTCTCGAATAGCATAGTCGTTGCTGTTGTCTTTCGAGCCCCAGGCAAAGTCCAGAGCTTGACCGAAAGCCTTGTTACGCCAGGCCAGAGCTGTATAGATAATGTACTCGCCGTCACCGCACACAGAGACGAAACGACCGTTGGGCGAGTGAGCGAGAGTTTGGGGGTAAATTTCGCACGAGCCCAGCTCCTTAGTAGGCAACGAAAGAGGGGCGCCATCTTTCAAATCATCGCCTCTGATGACCGTCGAGACCACTTCACTGTGTCGTGAAAAGATGATTTTTCCAGAGTTGTCCATTGAGACAGCTGGCTCTTCTCTGCCCATCTTGATCACTACAGCACCATCGTCGTAACCGACTGCAACACCCTGTCGGCCCCTTTGGTAACTAACACACCAAGCCCGCTCAAGTCCATAGTTGAGTGACTGTTCCAATCTATATGTGTTGGCATGCCAAACTTTAATTGTTCCATCCTCTGATCCGGAAATGATGACGGGGAGCTCTGGATGGTAGCAGGCAAAGGAAACATTGCTGGTGTGTCCTTCCAACGTTGCGATTAATGCCTTGGTAGTGTAGTCCCATACTTTGACGGTTTTGTCATCAGAGGTTGTCAAGATATACGGCTTATCGGCTTGTCCATAGTAATCCACGCTGTTCACACCCTTCGACTCTGTGTGAATTTATTAGCACCTCCGTCCAACTTTCGACGAGGGGGGGTCGCCGGTAGAAAGCCATACCATGTGCCTCGAGAGTAAAGTTTGCATGTCCTGAGCCAAGATTCCAGATCTTGACTGTCCGGTCCAAACAGGCAGAAGCAAATGTATTTGTGTCCTTAGGGTTGATGGAAAGACCCATAACATAGTGGCTGTGACCCTCGAAGACCTGTACACATTTCCATCCTTTTTCCCAATCCCATAACCTGATGGTCATATCATCTGAGGCCGTTAGAACGAAAGGCTGAGTAGGGTGAACCACAATGGCTCGAATGTAGTCGGGATGGGCTTCGAATGATGTAATCTTTTCAGACGTGTTGTAATTATAAACGCGCAATTGGAAATCATCGCTACCGCACACGATCCAGTTCTTTCGGGCGATGAAACGACCAGCACGGACGGGTACATCCGTCAATTCGAACGTTTTGATGATCGACTACATAATGCAAATCATTAGCGGGCCTGTCTATACAAGGCGATTGAAGATGGTTGCGAGGAGACTCGAGATTCCATACCTGAGTTTCATATGACCAGATGTAGACGTGTCCTAAATTGATCAGCATCAAAAGCTAACTCATATAGCTATATAGCACTCAAAGCTTACCACTGTACAGTGTAGTCAGGATCTGCAGATATGTTAGATAGAAACTGATAGCAAGCAGTGTCCAAAACTTACCCACGGCTCTGTTGGGTGAAAGTCAATACCCTTCACTCGCTCCGAGCGAGCAAAGAGCTGTCTCTGTATGAACGGATTGTAATTAGCCAATGCTTTCCAATTCCAATTGCGAATATCCACAAGTCTCAGAACATATCTTGATCATCCGGAAAGGAAAACGCACCTTGATATCGAGCCGCATGTTGTTTGTTTGTCGGTATGTTGAGGGGTGTTGATCGGTGTGTGCCCGCGAGAACGGGCTCGGCCAAGGCGAAAACGATCACCGCGGTATAAAGTCGAGTCGTAAAGAGCGTATAGAAAGGGTAAATATTATTATTTCAAAAGCACTTGAATCACTGCATGCAAACAGCGGTGCGGAGCTCTCGTAGGATGCAATGCGCTGTTGATGTGAGCGCGGAGATCGAATGTGTCCAGTTTGGAGTGGGCTGTCCTAAAGAGGACTAGACTCGCCCACTGCCATTCATTGACACTTCAGCTCAGGTAACTATCAAGAAGCATCAACCGTGTTTAAACTGCGAATTTGTAGACAAACCTCGGTATTTAGACAAATGAATTTGTCTAAGCTTTTTGATTATGCGTCTGTAATGCCAACAATGATACCACTGAGCCACCCAGTCTATATTCAGATTCTAGTTGTTGACTGCAGCATTGCATGCACCTTTAAACACATAGAAAGTATCATTTCTATGGCAATTGTCTACGTGGACTAACAAATTTGGTGTAGCGATCAGAATAGTTAAGTCAAATTGGATGTAGAGATTAAGAAGGATGCGATATTGATATTCTCTGGACGCGTAACAAACTTATAAATACATCTATCCTCACGTTGTAAAGCAAATTAATGCTTTCGCTCGAAATATGTCCACTGTCCTGGCTTGGGCTTCTCAGCAAGCTCTTCCCATCTGCAGAACATTTAGCAATGACCAAACTGAGAACAGCACTTTTCGAGAACTCACATTTTGGCCTCGGCCAGCTCACCCACGAGTTTAAGCTCGCCTTCAGCTACTTGAATAACTTCTTCAATCAGACCGGCGCCGATCTTGTTCTCGATATCCGCAATTCTAACTCATTAATTAGTCCCGATCGACTCAGTTGTGCTCAAGTTTGATCGAACGGCAGTGACGACATACTGTTGCGCCTCAAGAGAAGGCTCGCTTTCCCAATTGATAGTCTCCGACTGGAAGTCGGATGGTTTCTCGGGTTTCGCAGCGTCTTCGATAATAGCCTCCCACTTGGCGATCTCCTCTGGGGTTCGGACAGGTCCTTCGGTGATGGGTCCAACTTGTCCGTCCCATTCTTGTGCGCGCGGACCACCGTAGGTATCATCCTGTTGAATGCCTGCGAATGTTCCATCGGCAAGACGAGCTTTCTCAAAACGCTCGGGACTTTCAGCAACGATCTTTTTGACGCGCTCCAGCCATGCTTCGTATCCGGGTGGTGTGGTAGACTCGATAATCTTGAGGCGGTGGCGAGTGAGGGCTTCTGTGGACTGGCGATAGGCTGACGACTCTGGGAATTCCTTGAGCTTTTCAAGGGTCCTGCTGTAGAGATAGATCAGTGTCGAGCGAGGACTGGGATGTGTGACTAGTCCGGTCAAGCCGGTGGGAGCCAAAGGCTCCAAGTACCGGGCTTGTTTGACATTCGCTAGTAGTCTCAGAGCTGGCCTCATCTTGAGACAGTGCAATTGAGCAAAGTGATGTGATTTGATCTCAATTCCACAACCAAGGAACCCCAATGGTGTAAGGGAGCTCTGCTTGTCGAGTAGCTTTTAGCCTTTTGCTGACGCAGTGCGACCAACCGACCGAAGTTGCGGTTGGTGGTTCGGGGCGGAGAAACCTGGCATTATTGGCCGCCAGCGCCAAAAGGGGACAAGGCGGTCTCACCTGATTGATGATCGACTTCTCCAGGAGTGCCACCTCGACGAGCATTATTGTAAGGCCTGTCTTGCAATATCATCTCTCTGAAGTCCCTAGCCAAGGCTTCTGGCCTGCGGCCGAACATATTATAATCTATACAACTTTCCATATCTTTTTTCCCTACTTCTTTTTTGCTTTTTCGAGCACCTCGAGCCATATCTGGCACTTATCGATGCGTCGATCTTGACAGCAGAGCCGAAACATAAATGTACTGAGACTATCGTTCATTGCACCCCTTCCCTACTCTCCGCCAACTCTCGAGTTTGGCTTTGTCCTATTTTCCATAATGAAGTCCTCTTTATGGGCTTGGTCGCTCTTTTCGCTCGCCATAGTTCCCTTCTCCTCGGCCACAGATGTCTACAAAAGAGAGGAAGCCGGTGGCGCGCTCAACGATGAGTCGCCTGGTACGACGTTTAATGGAATTCAAGTACCGCCAGAATTGGAGCTGAATCCAGATAACTTTAGGACAACGATTGGAGACGGATACTGGTATGCTCGTTATTACCAACCGGTGGTACCTGCAGTCGCTAACGTGTAGTCAATAGGTTCGTTAAGCATTTCTCGCCATCATGCCCACATTGCCAAAAGATTGCACCTGCATGGCAAACACTATATGAATTCTACTATGTAAGGAAATTGTACTTCGAATATCGTTAATATACGGATCGTTTCGGCTGATACGTCACAGACCTCGAATCCACTCCTATCCTCCACGGCCAAAGCTGCGAATACCGAAGCGTCCATGAACTCGTTTACCAAATATTATGATTTCCATTTCGCCGAGATGAATTGTTTGGCCTTTATGGATCTATGTAGAGAGCAGGAAGTGAAATTCTTCCCTACGTTCTCTCTGTACCATAATGGGGAATTGGTGGAGCAATACTCCGGTGCAAAGAGCATAGAAGGATTGAGTGAATTCATCGAAGAAAAGTTGGAATCAATCCGCCCTGGATCTCGTCCTGCGAATGGAGTCAAGTTACCTGCGCCTGGAGAGAAGAGCGTTGATGTTACCGCGGAGCCTGATGTTCCCCAGGCGAAAGACAAGGATCCTGCCGCCGGCAGCAAAGCTGGTGAAGACCATAACGAGAAAGCCGCACAGGTGGCACAGACGAGTGAAAAGGCGAAGTCAAATACCGGTACTAAGACATCGAAAGAGAAGGAGGCGGTTGTTTACAACCCCCAAGGCACCTCTGTCCCACTAACGGCCGAGAGTTTCCAAAAGTTCGTCACAAGGACACATGACCCCTGGTTTATCAAATTCTATGCTCCATGGTGCCCTCACTGCCAGGCTTTGGCCCCTACCTGGCTAGCAATGGCCAAAGAAATGAAGGGTAAACTCAACATTGGCGAGGTGAATTGTGATGTCGAAAAGCGGCTGTGCAAGGATGCCGGCGTCAATGCATACCCAACAATGCTCTTCTTCAAATCAGGAGAGAAGGTCGAGTATGAAGGCCTACGTGGACTCGGCGATCTGATCAGCTATGCTCAGAAGGCAGTAGATACTGGTGCTGGTGTCCAGTATGTTGATGCAGCGGCGTTCAAAGAATTAGAGGAAACAGGCGATGTAATATTCCTTTACTTCTTCGACCATGCAACTACCTCGGAAGATTTTGAGGCGTTGGAACGCTTGGCTCTATCCCTTGTAGGCCATGCCCGAATGGTCAAGACCGACAGTGCGATTCTGGCGGATAGATTCAAGATCTCTACGTGGCCCCGCCTGCTCGTTGTCAGAGACGGCAGGCCGACATACTTCAACGCCCTTGCTCCTTATGATATGAGAGATAACCCTCGAGTATTGGATTGGATGCGGAGTGTTTGGCTACCAATCGTACCAGAATTGACGGCCTACAACGCAAAGGAGATTATGGAAAACAAATATGTCGTTCTTGGAATCCTTAGCCACAAGCGATCGGATGAGTTCCGGCTCGGCCAGGCTGAATTAAAGAATGCTGCTTTGGAATGGATGGATAAGCAAACTCAGTTATTCCGCTTGGAGAGACAGGAGCTCCGAGATGCTAAACAGCTGCGCATTGAAGAGGCTGAAGATCGTGACGACCAACGGGCCCTACGATCTGCAAAGAGTATGCATATCAGTATTCGTGAGGAAGATAAGAAACAAGTTGCTTTTGCCTGGGTTGATGGTGATTTCTGGGACCGCTGGCTTCGGACGACCTACGGTATTGATGTAAAGGACGGTGAGCGAGTCATCATTAACGACGAAGATGTAAGTCCATACCATTCGAGATTCTGCAAAGCATAAACTGACCTTCTTTTCAGAACCGACGCTACTGGGACACAACCAGCAGCGGTGCCAACATCGTGCCCTCCCGAACCTCAATTCTCGAAACCATTCCCCTGGTGATTAGTGATCCACCAAAACTCCGATCCAAATCGACAATTGGCTTCTTTGAAGCCACCTTTTTCCACACACGCTCCTTTATTTCCAGCCACCCTATTCTGTCCATTATAATCTTCATCGTCACCTTTATGATCGCCTTTATCGGGTATCGTAGACGGGCTTTCAGGCGATCAAATCACCATCACGGCGGAGGTATTCTCGGATACGTCACTGGTACCGGCGGCAGTGGTGGTAGTGGCGGCTTCTTCCGTCTTGATGGTAAAGAAGGATTATTACATGGCGGGTCAACTGGCAAGGTTGATTGATTTGGTCATTCGTTTTAATCAAGATAGATAGTTTGGTGGTTGATAAGTATAGCGTAGTGTAGTGTATTTGGCGTCATTGCATGGTTTCTTTTCTTTTGAACTTTGACTTTTCTTTCTTCCTTTCTTTCTTCAAATTCGAGATTCTCTGTGAACTCTTTCCTTTTTCTTTTGGGCTGACCGCTTGTTTTTTTTCTTTTTTAACACTGCTTTGCCTATGATACTATCCCATTTTTCAATGATATTATATTAGAAATGATAGCCTTGTGATTATTTTACTATATTTGTATTATCATGCCGCAGTTGATATCTAATATCAACCGCCTTCCTCTACTATATCAAGTAGATTGATAAGATGCTGCCTTAATCTCGAAAGGCTTCCTTTGCATTAATCGAGATTCGTGCACAGCATAACTAGCTAATTCCTTCTAAGTACTATTCTCGGTCTTTTCCAGAATCGTCTTCATCATCTCATTGCCAAGTTTGACTGCATCCGGGAAACGCGGCGCAAAGTAGCTTTGTATACGCTCAAAGCGGTCTCGGTAGGATTCAAAGTCGCCGAAGGATACACAATCAGACCAGGCCTGTCGATTAATTAGAGAATATACTTTATGGTTTAAGAAAGGAGAAGGGGGTGGTGTGTTAGGGGACTTACTCGTGCAGCAAATGTGAATTCTAGGTCGTCGGATCGGAATGTATGGTCGTCAATGGCTATATCGAGAACCTCGTCTAGGAGGCTGGGGTTGCGGAATAGGTATTCTGTGACGCCTAGCCAGAGACGGAACAGCTGTCTGTTGTTAGCATATATCCAAAAATGTGTGTGTGGCTCAAAGAGAGAGAGAGAGAGAGAGAGAGAGAGAGAGCTCTCACCGGAGTCGAGCATATCATATGATCATACGGCACAATCCCCAACTTCGACCAACAATCCACAATCGCAAGCAGACTCAGATGATTATTAGGAGGTGCTTCTTCGCGCGAACCCTTGGAGAGCGAGAAACGATCAAGCACTTCATCTCTCAGCAGCAAATCCTGCCCCTCTGTATCCGATTTGAAGACCGCTGCACCGGCCTGTTTGACTCTATTCTTCAATTCCTCTCTCCTTCCCTCGATCATCAGCTTGTACAGCTCCGTGACAGACTCTGCGTACTGTCTGATTTGCTCCTTTGCGGCTGGGTTCAGGATCGCAAGGCCCGCGTAGACGTGCCATTTGTTCGCGTATATGCGCAGGGTGATGTTGATCTTGACGTTCTCGATGCCGCCTACCCATCGGGCGATTTCCCAGGGGAACTGGTTGTTGGCGTACCATGCTGTACCCATGCTGAGGAACGCGGCGTGCGTGACTGCTTGGGTGTCTGCTGTGATGCGGTCATGCATCTGGCCGCTAATATGAACATATTTGGATTCAAAGGAGGAGAACACTCGTTCCACGAATCTCATACTCTCGTCAGAAGCTCGGTGTTGAATGAGGACCTGGTAACAAGTCGTTAATCCATCTGCCTATGATCTTTGTTTTTTTTTTCCCTTTTCAACCTGAGCTTCGAGAATGCACACATACCAGTGGCTGGCCTTTGGGATTCACTTTCGGTCCGTGTAACGAGTGGCACGAGATAATCTCTACGTCTGGTGGAAGGTGTTTATCAAACGCTGCAAGCTCTGGCGACTTACAGGAGGTTTGACCACCAACAATAGCGCCGACCTTGGTTGCTGGTCCAGTGTCAGGATTATAATCGATTAATAGAAATAATACTTCGATAGAGCGAGACATACAGGGACCGTATTCAGCAACTATCTTGTCAATGTAAGCGGCCTCTACGCTGTAAATGATATAGTCGCTGATGCGCGAGACCAAGTGTCCATTCGGTAATATAGTGATATCTTGCTACGGCTGATATAAGTTTTACTGTTGGTGTACAATGATCCTTGAGGAACGTACGTCTGATGCAAAGTCTTGCTTCAACGACTCGTACTTTTCCGGTCTGTCACAGGCATTTACCCTTGATAGTCACGGTGGTATATCAGCACGTAAGTTTGTTAAGCAAAATTTACGGTACAACAATGGATCTGGTTGATAGAACAGTTAGCATGGTGCTGGATAGTGTAAATCATAATAAAAAGACACATGCGAATCAAAATTCTCAACATATTTCAGACAAAGAAAAAAATTAAGGTAGCGAGGGTTTTACATCATCGACGTCCTGACAGCTGCCCGCCAACACCAGAATGGTGAGGCAATGACAAGCCAGTCCATACTCGAGCCAAATGCACTCAAGTCATCATAAGAGAGGAAGAAAGAGAAAAGGGGGGGAGGGGTAATTCTCACCTTATTGAAAAGAAAAGAAAATAAGAAAGAAGCAAAAGATTTGACAGATGAGTTGCAATTGAAGAGTTACACATCATTACCTCCAGCCAGCCTGAGCAAGCCTCTGGGCATACATCCTGCCCATGTCGCCCATGCCGATGATGCCAATTGAGGCATTCTCCTTGGAGAGAACCATCTTGCAAAGCCTTGATATAATGTCGAGTCTCACATAGGAGAAAGAATGCAATCCAGTGCCGAGTGAGCGAATGGAACAGAGCGCGCGGAGGGAGAGAGAGAAATTTAACAAAGAAAAAGCGCTCAAAAAAAAGGAACTGCTAGTGCTCGGCCCGACTCACGCTCCGGGCCCAGTCACACTTTGGGTCTTGGCGTTCGCTTCCCCGGGGCCTGCAGCGACGGGCCAATCAGAGCCCGAGGAATTCTTTTAGGGCACACCGACAATTTTCGCCGAAGTTTATCAGCCAAAAGCAGGCATTGCGATCTTTCTCTTCTTCCCATATTCCATCCACACGACAATTGCAGTCCCTCCCTCGACACAAAATGCCTCCGAAGACTAAGAAGACCACTCCCGCCCAGGAGAACGTCTCTCTCGGCCCTCTGGCCGGAGATGGTACGATAATCCATTCACCGATGTGATTTTGATTTGGCAGTCCCCCCGCTAACAGTCATGTCCAGGCAAGCTCGTTTTCGGTGTTGCTCGTATCTTCGCCTCTTTCAACGATACCTTCGTCCACGTTACCGATCTCAGGTGTGTACAATCAATCCATGTCTCTCTTGCGCTATGGGAACGGAAACGAATCCCGCATATCCTCAGTGACTAATGTGATCGTTATAGTGGTCGCGAAACCATCTGCCGTGTCACTGGTGGTATGAAGGTCAAGGCTGACCGTGACGAGTCCTCTCCCTATGCTGCTATGCTTGCAGCCCAGGACGTCGCTGCTCGCTGCAAGGAATTGGGCATCAACGCCCTCCACATCAAGATCCGTGCTACCGGAGGTATGTCTGAAAATACCAGCCAGCCAGCCAGCCTTGGGGAAAATCAGTAAATCTGACAATTTTTTATTTTCACAGGTAACGGAACCAAGACCCCCGGTCCCGGTGCTCAGTCCGCTCTCCGTGCCTTGGCTCGTGCCGGCATGAAGATTGGCCGTATTGAGGACGTTACTCCTACTCCCTCCGACTCTACTCGTCGTAAGGGTGGTCGCCGTGGTCGTCGTCTGTAAACGCTTACGCAGTTGGATTATCTTTCTCGCTTCCGATATATTATTGTCACTTTTTACGCCATTTCTCGAGCCTGTTTCTTTTCTCTGAATATGGGTTGTGGCATAGTGTGATGGGCTAATGGTATAAATGGGACGAGGACTTTTTCTTTATCTGCGAGGCTTTGATAAGACTAGCAATTGTGGGATGGAATAAACGCGGAGAACGGCATATTCACGCCTGGTCTTCACATTATGTTCGTCTGTCGAATAAAAATGATAAGAGGGTAGTCAGCCTTTTTAAATCAAAAATTTCTGGACATGACTATACATTTATATATAAATCGAAATCTACATCGTAAAACAGGATGACGATCACTCGCTTCTCAAAATTCCTAAGCCAAGTAGCGTCAAGCCAGCCAAGACGTCAGTATAGCTGAATCCTTCGGCAGACGCGCTTGCCTGGGAGCGTTGATGTCGTATTGTCAGTGATCCGTCATTTTTATAAGAGTATTTGGGAGGAGGAAAATAACTACCAGTGCCATAGCCTTGGGTATTCGCATTTGCGATCCAGTGTAATAGAGTACTTGTTTCATCCAATCTCGCTGGTCCTCTGCTATAACATGACGCATTGCGATTGCACAGTGCAACGACCATGTCAGAGCGAGAGCGTCCATTGTTGTCATTGATAATGGTACCAAATCCCGTTTGCCGGCATCATTGGGAGATGCAATGGTAACCCTTTTGATATTGTTTGCCCTGGAATAGTCATAGTAGTATGCAACAGAAGCGCAAATACCGTCTACAGCTTCTTCCATCGTCCGAGACAGTGCTGTGGCCTCTCTTGTGTTTGATCGACTTGTGCCTGAATATAAGAAATGTCCTGATCGGAGCATAAAGTCGCTTGTGATTAGGAGCATGGTTCTATACTCGTTCCATTTGGCGCATAGGAGGTCTGGATCGAAGCAGTATGCTTAGTTCACCACACGCATGATAGATATATAGTGCTGCTTACTATTTGAATAGACCTCTTCATAATAGCCACGATAATAAGGTGGCAGATCCGAAGCCGAGCTCCACGATGAATGCGCCTTGCTTACCCTAGCAGGGTGATATTCTTTCGGAACCGATTCACGAACGAGGAGAATATCTCTTTGTATTTGCTTCACAGAAACCCGGAGTTTCTCAACGTCTAGTTTCCTGAAGCAAGTACCGCCATTCAACATACGAAAATGGTCCATGGTGGCGATTAGTTTCCGCAGCTTCAATTTTGATAAGTCCATAAGCAACCAAGCCTTCTCGATGCTGTCCATTGGAGGTCGTGACTGTAGGAATTTTTGAACATCGCCGTTTCCATCTGACTGCGCACATTCCCTTGCTGCAATCAGATTAGAACTTGACTTGTCATCACATTTTGTCGTGCTGTGATGATTCTGCTGGAGCATCGCCAGTAATCCGTCCAGATGGATTTGCCATGTCTTGTCATTTGGAGATGTATTAACTATCATCTGTTAGAGAAATACGTTTAGCATTCTATAGCTAGTAATGGTGCACGTGGTTTACCGATTTACCTCGTATAATGCAAAGAGAAATATAGGCGCGACCAGAGTTCTCGTATTCGGATACAATGAAATACTCTCTCTTAGCTTCCACATTGCCAGGCGATATTTGACATGCTGTTCTCTCCGTCCTTCGATTGTCTGCATCGAAGCCGCTCGAACAATCAGTAGCCCACTGGCCAGGACATCGAGCACGTCAATCACAGTACGGCCTGGGCCGGTTTCGGCGGGTGCAATATCAAATACTTCGATGCCGCTGCCGCCAATAAGCAGAGACAGATCTTCGGCATTGAAGACAAAGTTGTTCAAGAAGTGGTCCATTGCACTTTGCATCCAGGGATCTTTCCCCTTCCGCCACTGGAAGAAGGTTTCCTTGCGCTGTGTTGTTGGGTCTGGTCTCAGTAGCCGAGAAATTATTGTTGATTGTCGTATGCTGCATGATGACGGCCTTCTTCTCCTTCTTGTCCTTCCAGCTGGGACAACTTGAAGTCTTTTGCTAGTCGAGTCATCGTCGCGCATGATGCAGAGTCGATTAGCTCGCACACATCTCAAGCATGTGGGAAGAGACCTATCACATTTGATGTGTCTAGACCTGCAAGTAGCGCAGCCATGGCTGGAAAGCATGCCTGCAGTTATAATTTATGGTCAGAGAGATTGTAAATCAAGACGAGATCGTTGTTGCTGTTCGTGATAAGACACTCCCATTGGGTGGGACGTGCCGAGTGGGGACGCTAGCAGTTTCGCAAGCCCTAACAGTCTGGATTTGGCCGAGCAGGTTGAAGTGCCTCAAAACGCAGTATCATTAATAATATACAGGAGAGAATCCTGATCATACTGCAGCTTGAATTATATATATAAAGGCCATCATGTTCCAGCTCGTTCCGTTCGTTTTCCTTCCATTCTCATCCAGAGCAAGTCTTAACTCGTCAACTCAAATCAAAGACAGCACTTCTTTACATTAATACACCCGGGTATCAGATACTCGACACCTAGGCATAATTTGCGGTGATGGCTCTACAAAGCCTTGAGATCTGGGGTCACTGGGGTGCTCCAAACCCATGGTACGCGTAACTAGATATGCTTCTTTGCAAACAACAGACCAGACTAACAAACCCACCAGGAAAGTGGCCATGGTCCTTGAAGAATTGAATCTTCCTTACAAAGTCCAGTACCTGGAATTCAGTGAGGTCAATACCGAATCATACCTAAAGATCACACCCAACGGCCGTCTTCCAGCACTCAAGGATCCCAACACTGAAATAACGCTGTGGGAGGTATGTTAAGCCAATAACTTCTTACCTCAAAGGTAAATAAATACGCAGGTTATCTTACATTCCCTAGTCCGGGGCCATCATTCTATATCTAATCGACCAATACGACAAGCAGGGGAAGATCTCCTACAAAGACTCTCCCGAGAAATATCTCACTCAGCAGTGGCTTGCGTTCCAAATATCTGGTATATTCAATTTACCCAGAACTCTCCCTTCTATAATATTCTAACACTATAGTCAGGCCAAGGCCCCTACTTCGGTCAAGCCACATGGTTCGCTCGCTTCCACCCCGAGAAACTCCAATCCGCAACCGACCGCTACGTAGATGAGATCTTGAGGGTCATCGGCGTGATTGAGCTGCAACTTGGGAAAAATGTTGCAGCATCTAACGGCAGCACATGGCTTGTCGGTGACAAGTATACCTATGCAGATCTTTCGTTCAAGACCTGGGCGTCCGTTGGCTATGGTTTGATGAAGGAGCTGGGGAAGCTGGAGGAGTTGGACAAGTTTCCCAAGTATAACAGGTGGATAGCGGATTTGAATGAGATAGAAGGTGTGAAGAAGATTGAAGAGATAATGCACAAGGGGAGAATTGCACATGGGTTGAAGTGATTTTTTCCTATGTTTAGAGGATTGTGCTGAGGACTATATTATGGAGAGGAGGGTACCTAGGTGATTTGCTTTATTTACTTGATTATTTTTTTTTTCTGGATATTCCCATGTCTTCTGAGTTGACCTTCAAATTCAGATATATGTACTCCTTTTAACTCAATTAAGCCCCCAGCAGGGGACCTACGCAATGTATATTTGAATGTATTTGAACGGTTGGATTGGATGTCCTGGCCTTCACTATGAGATTGTCTAAAGCGCAGAATACTAAGTAGAGAAGCTCAACCAAACATACCCTAGCACCTCCTCTGATCTTGCCCCATTCTCCAATATCATCCATGATTTTGTTGCATATAATTCCCACGGCCTCCAAGATCTCCTCACCAGTCATAATGTCGCGCTCGAAGTTGAAGTAGGTTTTGGGAGAATACTTCTTTGCTATTTTAGCATCGTCACTAGGCACTGATGAAATCACCTCCATACCCTTAATGCTGCTGCTAGCATGATAATATATATGGATGCTGGTCTGGGAGGAGTACAATGTCTCCAGCCAAATGCTGATTCGTAATGCTAGAGAGCGTGTCTCGGAACAGGTATGGAGCAGTGTTAGCACAGGGGATGTGCATAGTCATTGATATATAGACGCCTCCTTGGGGTCGTCAAGGATACGGAGCCTCTAAGAAGAAATTCCCAGATGATCAGCCGAGAGGGTGGTCAGGGTCTTTGATTCATATGTATGAATATATCATATAAATTTCTCGTATACTTTGGTTTCAACATAAAATAACAAGATTTGGTGTTATGAGATATATAAAAAAGAGATTCCTTGGAAGAAGCTTTGGGATAACCTCACCAGTCCAGGAAACATAACATCGACCAGCAAAGACACTTTTCTGATCGTCTTTCGCCTGATAGTTTAGTTATCTCTAATACTTAGTTTTTGCAGGGATGTCTTTACCATTTATACCTGTGAGATGAAGATTGTTGAAGCAAACAAAGTTGTCTCCACCTTAAACTCCGGAGGAGAAAAAAAAATAATAAAGCTGTGACATCAATAATTCGTCCATTTCAACGCAGCACTTCTCTTTCAAACACCACATATAACAAAAACAAGCGATCCCTTCTCACAGATAATATCAAATTATTTCTATTAATACTGTCCAAAGGGAAAAAAAAAAAGGAAGAATGCGCCCCACTGAAACAATTCTTCTACCCCGTCTTCCGCCGCGCACCCTCGTCGGCCTGGATCTTCTGAGCTTCACATCAACCGAGCAATTCTACGGGATCAGTGACCTGCCTCCTGGCTGGCACTTCCTCTACACAGGCACCACAGAAAGCTTCTCGTTACGCTGCGGATCATGGCTTTACGTCGGGGATATCAACAGCACTTACGCCCAGCAACAACGTAATCCTACTCCGACGAGCGGCACTGTCGCAAGGTACAGAGCCCTCGGCAACGACGAACAGATCGAAGTGCGAATATGGAAATGGAATGAAGACGCGGAGAGTCTGGCTCCCCTGAGAAGTGACTCGGACAGCAATCGGTTAGAGGCTATGCGATGGAAGGCCAATTTGGGAGGATTAAGGCAGATGGGCGCTTTGTTCAGTTATAAAAAGAGAGAGCGAGGTGGAGATGGAGATGAAGAAGATGAAGATAATGACACAGTGCGCAGTGATTGGGTCAAGCTTACGAATCGCCTGTCGCCGGAAATCCTGTCGCGGATCTTGGGTAATCCAATAATCGATGACGATGATCGACCGAGTTGGAGTATAAACTCCGGGTGCAGCGCTGCTGAGGACGCGGAACATATTCCGGGGATATCGGCAGCAGCAGCAGCAGAAGAAGATAAGAATGTCAGCAGGGACGGTGAAAGGATGGAGGAGAAAGAACTACGATTCCTCCCTATCGATCTCAAGCGGACATGGAGAGAAGGCGCAATCGGGCGTGAGAGAACAGAAGCTGCTCAGGACAGGTCATGGGCATTGGGCAATCTTATACGGAGATATAGCCAAGATCTAGACGAGAAGACTGGCGAGAGCCAAATCCTGGGCGAGCTGCAGTTCTGTTTCCTCATGATCCTGACTCTGATGAACTACTCGTGTCTGTCGCAGTGGAAACGATTACTATCCTTGATTCTGACCTGCAGCACGGCGATCCGAGAACGGCAATCTTTCTTCAGAGACGTACTGCAGCTTCTGCGCCTGCAACTACGGCACTGCGACGATGTTGACGGTGGTCTTTTTGAGATGGATGGTGATTACGATGCGAATTTCTTGCGAAAATTGTTGACCGATTTCCGTCAATCCCTACAACAGCAGCGACAGCAACAACAAGAAGAAGCAGCAAACGATGATGTCGGGTCAATAAGCGCCGAAATGGATGCTCTGGAGGAATGGGTACGCGCGGAGTACGGATGGGAACTACGCAAGGACTCGATCATGCGTCGGGGCATGTTGCAGCTGGAGGACGGGGAAGAGATTGAGATGGAAATGAGCGGTGCTGATGAGGACGACGAGACGGGCGAGTATGCGCCTGTGATTGTCGATATGGGAGATACCATTGAGGCAGCGGCCGATTTTGATATGCCTATGAATTAGTAGATGTAGCGTTCGTTTCTAGATACCCCAGACCAAATTGCATATTCTTTATTAAATCATGATAATTGTCATTTTCATTTTGGTATAGAAATTTGACATATTCGTTGCCCACAAAACCCCCGTCTGACAGGGATTCTATTTTAAAAAAGAAGAAATATCCCGGGATTTCTTTCTTCGGTTTTGGTTTCTTTTTTGGAAAAAAAAAAACATAAGAGTAGATGATCGGCTTTCTTCTTATCGTCTGTAACCCGGGAAAACACTGCTCAAGAGCAAAAAGACCCATCATCATCCCTTTGCATATATTCTTTCCACACTATCACGTTCGTTGTCGGATCAACATTTCATGATAATGATATGCTCTTCCACACAGACGCCCTCCCAAGAAAAATTTAAAAACACACATACACGCAAGAAAGAAAGAAAAACACAAGACGGTTTGTTTTTTCTTCTTCTAACGGTAGGATTTCTGGTAGCGGGCGCGAGCACCTGGACCACCGAACTTCTTGGGCTCGGCCCGTCGGGAATCGGCAACGAGAAGGGCGCGGTCGTACTGGATGAAAGCCTGCTTGAGCTGGTTCTTGGAGTGCTCGTCAACGAACTTCTGGTAGTAGGCGACAATCGACTTGGCGATGGCCTGGCGGATGGCGTAGACCTGAGAAACGTGACCACCACCGCTGACACGGACACGGATGTCGACACCGGCGAACTTGTCGAGGCCGACGATTAGGAGGGGCTCGTAGACCTATATACATGTACATCCTTAGTCCTCCATGTCGAAAATTCCATATTCAATACTTCGTTCTTATTGTTGTTCGTACCTTGAAGCGGAGCTGCTCAGGCTTGACGAGCTGGAGAGGCTGGCCGTTGACCTTGATGAGGCCCTTTCCTGCCTGTTAAAAAGATATACCGTCTCAGCAATTCAATTCTTTCGCAAGTTTGTATAAATAGACCAATGCGTCCTCGGAAAAGGTCCACTCGGATCTTGCGATTCACTGTATCGTTCGCTAGAAGGGAATCTTTTCGTACCTTGGTGTGGGCGACTGCGGTAGCTGTATTTAAAAAAAAAAACACATGTCAGTTCACCACTTCCTTCACCGTTTTCAAAGAGGAGAATAACGCACCAGTCTTCTTCTTGCCGAAGCATTGCACACTCTGCGTAGAAGCCATGGTGAATCTGATGGCTTTGCCGGTGTCAGAGCGAGTGTGTGTCGTCTTTATTGGGGCTGTTCAAACAGGTTGGGATCGATTTCAAGACGGGGACAAAATCACCGTTCGGGCGCGCTGTGCGGGTTTTCGCTTAGTGTTGCCGCTAGTTCTTTTTAGGGTTTGTGCTTGCCTTGTGTGGAACCCGGCAAGTCGGCCTCAGGCAGGAGTCACGTGGACCAGTGCCAAGAAATTCAGAGTCGGAGCTGCGACGGAGAATCATCGTAAATCGTTTCGTCGAGCAGAGCCAGTGAAGCCACGACTTACACGTCCTCAATTACTGTGGCTAGTCGGGTCTATTTTATTCTACCAGATTGTTTGCCAACATCTTTCGAAGTCAATTGCTGTCACTCGAGTGACACAGGCATCATGTCTACAACAATTGGAAAGGTCAGCAGCAAAATAATCACCACCACCACCACACCCTATTGCAGACAGCAATACTAATTAAAATCAAACAGACACGTCTCGCCTATTCGCGAACATGGCACTACGTCGACGTCGGCTCGGACTCGCGCTCCCTCGGCCGTCTAGCCTCATCAATCGCAATTTTCCTCATGGGCAAACACAAGCCCATCTACGACCCGTCGACAGATTGCGGTGACTACGTTGTTGCCGTGGGATGTCATGACCTGCACACTACGGGCAAGAAGCGGTACCAGAAGAAATACTATACGCACACTACCCGGCCCGGTAGTTTGAAGAGTATGACCATGGACAAGATGTTTGAGAAATGGGGCGGCGGAGAAGTTCTGCGCAGAGCTGTTAGAGGCATGTTGCCCAAGAATCGGTTGAGGGATAAGAGACTGGAGAGGTTGAAGAGTAAGCTTGTTCCCTTCCTCAATAGTATACCAGGGAATTTTTTGTTCTAACGGTATTGCAGCATTCGAAGGCCTGAATCACCCTTATAAGAAGAACATTATCAAGATCGGTGCTAAAAGCGTGGTTGGAAATCTGCCCGAAGTCAAAGCTGCATTTGAGAAAGCAAAGGCAGAGTCTACTTCATCAGCCCCAACTTCGCAATAGTTGTCTGTATACATACATTGTACCTTTTTTTTTTTCATCTATTCTGCACGTACCCCATTTTTTTTTGGCTTTTGTGTATTCTTCTCTTGGTTGTTCTTTGTTTAAGCGCATGGATGGAGTCTTGGTAACCGCCACATACATTGTATATCAGAAGCATTCGCATTAAAGAATCTAAAAAATTTGTGGAATATCATTTACGATTGGATATATACATGATGCGCTACCATAACACCCAAACACCTGACTAAGCATATACGAACATTGAACATTGAACAAAATAGAAATCAAATAGTCCCATCACAGTTTAGCCTTGGTAGAGCGAGCGACGGTGCACTTGATCAGTCCGTTGGGTCCCGACTGAGGAGCGTAGACCTCGGCATCCTTGCCAGTATTCTTCAGACCCTTGTGCCATTTGAGGTCTGGAGCAACGACGTTAGTAAATAGATAATTAAATGTATATATATGAAAATTTATAATCAAACTCACCAACTTCAAAGTAGTGCTTATTCGGCAACGAATAATCCACCGACTCCACCTCCGGCACAGCAGCCAAGATGGCATCAGCCATATTGTACATAACAGCCTGCACGCTGGCGCTATTCTCCTTTGCGAAAAAGCTGAGCGTAATCTCGCGTGCGGCGCTCCACGCATTATCAAAGCGGGCTGTGTCCGCTTGCACAGCGGCGAGTGTGGGAAACGTCTTCCATTTCCAGGTCGCGTCCACCTCGGTGCTGAGGATCCGATCCCAGACCTCGGGCAGAGTGGTGTATTCGTCGCGCACAAAGCCCCAGAACTGAGAGCCGGTGCTTTTTAGCACGTGCAGGCCCTGGATGCTCGAGGCGATTTCGATGCCCTTGCCCTCGGTCACATCTACTTGCACGTTGCGTGTCTCGGCGCCGTCGCGGAGGAAGGAATGAGGATGAGGCTTGCCGTCGACGGTCATGCGGGTCCATCGGTGGGTGATGATCTTGACGTGAGCGACATGGATGTGGCTGTATTTCTCGATGAAGTGGTTGCCGATAATGGAACCGAATAGCTCGGGGGTGGTCACGGGGTGCTGTTTGGCAAGGATGAAGATGGTGTTTTTGATTGAGTCGGTGGCGACTACGACGCTGTTGTCTGCCTTGGTGTATCTGCAAGTTGTTAGTTTTATATTCAATTAGAAGGGGGAAAGAATGAAGGAGGCTTACGAGACGTCAATCTCGCCCTCGAGGAGACAGCAGACGGTCATCTCGACCACTGTCTGGACGCCGGTCTTCTCATCGCGGTGCACCTTGTAGACACGCACGTTGTCCTTGCCATAGCGAGCAGCAGCGAGCTTCGAAGACGACATTGTTGTTTTTGATTGATTGATTGATTGATAGGTGTGCACTGGTGAGCTGTGCAGTGGATTAGCTATGCAATCATAGGCTTATCGCTATCGGACGACTGCCTACCTTGGCGATGGAGTTGTATTCGTCGCAGAGTTATTCTTTCTTCCCTTTAATTTTATTATATACAGAAAGAGGGGGAAAAAGAAGAAGAATTACAAGGCGAGCATGGATAGATAACTACTCCAGACGAAGAGCTTGATTGGCCTATCGCACGATTCGGCCAGCTCCGACGCCCGCCATTTGGGATCGCCAGGCCGGAGCCGCCATGCTCGATAAAACCATGCCCTAACTTACAGCACAGTCATTGGCTCAACGGCGTCGGCCGGGTTTCGGACGTTGATTCATATTAGTATTGTATATAACTAACTGTTAAGTATAGCTATGGGTATCACTATGAAAGAAGAGTATGTTATAATATAGTATACTAATGGCCGGGCATCGTATGACATCTCTGTTCGAATCGAGCATAGCACGACTAAGGAATCTCTCAATAGAACTTTTCATTCCGGACAACCACGTATCCAGTGCATAGTTATATCACTATCTAGAGCCAGGCTGAATGTAGGCACTAACAGCGATCTGGAGAAGTGTGACAGCGGGACGGCTTGAAGTTGCAAAGATCTCTCTCTGCCTTCATTGGATCACTTGCAACAGCGCTTGAGTACTTAGTCTGGATGATTAATTTGTTCCACTTGATGATAATATCAGCCTTGACGATTCCTTGGAACCATTGAGCCCAGGAGCTGCCTTCTCGGCGCTGGTTCTGTAGTCTCTTTCGTGGCTGGGGTTGCTCAATCTTCCCCCGGTCTCATTCAACTTTTCCTATGGCCTCCTGTGTGGAGCTAGCATCATAACAACGGAATAGTAACCAGTGAGTCACCAAAAAAAAAAGGATCCCGTAATGGGGCTTCTGTGTACTTCATAAATTCTGCCTGATATTCCGCTGCCAGTAGGAACTTTATGTACACGTGACACCCGGAAGTTTGAGAGAGGAATCCCCGTTACCACTATCTCTATGGGCGCTGTTTAGAAATAATTAGCTATATGAATCAATTGTATGACTGGTGAACAAAAGCGTCTCGATAAGTCGTGTTCATGATTGGGCGAGTTGTTGATTTACGCTCGCCAGGAGTCGCCTGGGAAGCCGGCATATATTAGACAGCCTCTCCTCGTTTCAGATTTTCAACTTGGAAAAAAAAAGAAAAAAAGACGAGGCTGAGGCCTTGCTTCAGATGGCGCAGACCTTGAGGAAGAGAAGAAGGAGGAGTTGTATTTATCATCAAGAATGGTGATGTTGACTTAGTTAAACCTAGTGCGCCAAGAGATCTGGAGAAGCGCGACAGCGGGACGTCGTGACTATCGTAGCTTCAATGATTGTTTGTCTCCCTCGGGCACGCCGCCACGTTCGATGAATTGACGCATGATTTATTAATTGACGAACTTGCTTCTGATCTGTCTACTGGCCCCCTGCCATGGAACCAATGCGAGCAGTAGCCCACGTTTCGTACTAACGGTGACCCTCATCTTTCCTAGATAGATGCTCGCTGCAATCCAGCCCAGCGTCCTGTTTGCAAGATCTGTTCGCCACCACGAACCGAGGCCATCCATGCGACCCTCGTTGAATCCTCGCTCCGTCGTTGCAAGGTGATAGCGCGTTGCGGCCATCGTATGGAGGGGAACCCATGGCGTCTGTGTACAATACCGGAAACAACTCTACGACACCGACTCAGAATCGTGGATTTGGCAACGATGGAAACTCAATCCCCAGAAACCAAGACGAAGGCAGCTGGAACGATGCTGCTTCTCGCTCAACCCGCAACGGGCGCTCCGGCTCGGGTGGGAGCAGCTCTGTTAGCACTCGCGGAGGAGTGTCACTGGGCCCGTCAACAGCACAGCCGGGGAGCTTTAGTTCGGAGCTGAAGAGTATGCAAACCTCCCGCAGCGTGACCCCTCGTCCCGACGTCGTATCTCCGTTCCCGCGCCTGGGAAATACCATGGGTGAAGATGAGCCTGCTGAAAATTCCACCGAACAGCGCCAGGCTGCCATTCGAGACAGGATAGCCAAGGAAATGAAGATCAAAGTGGGCACGGAGAATATGCTGGAAGCCCTGCTGACCAAAAATGCAAAACAAACGAGGGATCAGAGGCTTAGGGTTGAGTCGGAGTTGAGTTCGTCGAATAGGAAGCTTGCCCAACTTCGCCATGAATTGGAGGAGGAACTGCTTCGATCGCAGGTCCCCTCAACCCCGCCACGAAGTCGGTTGTCTGCCTTATTTCGTGGAAGCCCCATGCGGTCCCCCTCGCGTGCCACGGACTCTGCTAGCGGGGATATTGAAGACATGGATGTAGAGACGGAATCTCCTACGTATGTTTTAGCTGAGACGTTACAGGCCTTGGAGTTTGAAGGCATGGCGCCGGACTACTATATCGAGAGGGCAAACAGTTTGGTCGAATTGTTCAAACGCCATCCAACTTTAAAATACGACCTGGAGTGGTCAGTGTTCGGTCAACGGGTTCAGATGATGCTGTTGAGCGATAGCAAAGAGGTTGTGGCGGCAGGTTACCGCTTGACCCGGTATGCCATCGCCGACAGAGCTTCAATAAGAACCATTCGCCGGCTTCATACAGATGAACTGGTGATTCTGTCATTAGCAAAGGAAAGCAAGGCGAGCATCGAAAGGGAGCAGGCTTTGAAATTTGTCAGAGCTTTTCTGGACGTCAAAGACGGTGTCCACGAGATTTCCCGTGCTGTAGTTCGGGCTGTGGTGTCTGTCGCCGAACACTATGAGGACAGACTAAGAAATATATCCATCATGACTCTGGCTGAGATTCTGATCAAAGATCCAGGCCTGATATCATACTCTGGAGGCATTGCCCCCCTTCATGATGCCCTAGCTGAGGGAACATTTAGCGCTTCTGAAAGTTTAATAGGAAGCTTTTTGCACATTATGGACACTCCACATAGGCGGAAATATCTTCAGGGAGGTCGTGAATTAGAAGCAGTTCTCACTCCCTTTACTGACTCATTCTCGGACACAATGCGCTCCGGGCGCTTAAAGTGCTCAGCGAAAGCGATCTCGGCAATGCTAAAGACATGGCCTGGTCTGCTGGTCCTTGCGCGCGACAAGAGGAAGCCGCTGCAATCTCTTCTCGAATCCCTCAACTATCCTGACCCTCAAGCAAGAGATCTGATACTTGAGCTGCTTTTTGACGCCCTCCAGATCAAGCCGCCTTCTTGGTCCTCGTCCTTTCTCGCTGGCAGGCGCTTAACAACGTATGGCCGAGTGACCAACCTTCGCTCCGAGACGGACAGCAAGCAGTTGCGTATCTATCAGGAAAATGATAAAAATCGATTTGATCTAACTGCACATTTCTCGGCACTGGTGCTGGCGACTTTACTCGAGGCCAATCTAGTCCAAGCTTTGTCTAGTGTCATCGAAGTTGAGACAAATCAGTCTCTGAAACGCAAGGCCACACTACTTCTGACAGAAGTTTTGAAGCTGGCCCAGCACTCCTTACCACAGTCCGTCAGCTTTAACCTACAGGTGCTGCCTGCTCTACTGCCTGCTGCCGTGAGGTTCGACGTTGAAAACCACGAAATATCTACCTCAACCATCTACCAGATCGAGAGCATCAATCGTATTTTGGCGCGATCTGGTTCGCTTACAAGCACGTCGGGACGATATGCCGTCGTCGACGAAGACATATCCGCATCACTTCTATCCGGAGAACCGGCCAAGAATAGGCTGAACCCGGCCATGGATGAAGCCCAGTTCAGAAACCACATCCTTGATACCCAAGTTCTGAATACCGTGAATTATGTCAAGTGGAAATGGGATTTGATCCTTCGCATTATTGAAGGCCCTCTCACGAACCCGAAAAGACTAGAAGAAGCCATCAAGGGCTCAAAGTTCATGAAGCGTTTAGTGGGATTCTATCGGCCGTTCAAATATAGGTTTTGCATGATACCCAACTCAAAGCCGAATCAGCGTTATGTCCGCACAGGCTGTGCTTTGTTGCGCACATTGATGCAAACCCCAGAGGGGATAAAGTATCTTGCCGAAAACAAGTTGCTCCGCCAGATTGCAGAGTGCCTTGCGCAAGTAGACCGTATGAGTGGACTTACCTCTGCGTCACCTTTGTTCTCGAGAGAACAAATGGCGAGTACGTTGAGCGGTGGCTACTTTGCTTTACTGGGGGTTTTGAGTAGTGACACCATGGGCTTATCAATGATGGAGCGATGGCACATGACGAACATGTTCTACCATATCATCGAACTCAAAGACCGGAGCGATCTTATCCAAGCTCTCCTTGGAAACATGGATTTTACATTGGAGAGTCACCTTCGAGTGCTCTTGTCAAAGGCTCTCACTGCCGGCATAAAAGATATTCGCCTCTTCGCGACGAAACTTCTACGTAAATACGCTGTCGGCAACCATCTGGCTGTCAACAATGTCGTCTGGGTGGTCCGCATGCTTGTGACTCAGCTGTACGACCCTGACATTGCTGTCTGCGAAGTCGCCGTGAAGATTCTCGAGGAAGCATGCAACCAGCGCGAGTATCTGGAGTATGTCGTCAAATGTCGACCATCGCTCGACCATCTTGGGGAGATCGGTGCTCCGCTTCTCCTTCGATTTCTTTCCACATCTGTCGGTTACCATTACCTCGACGGACTCGACTACATCACGCAAGAAATGGACGATTGGTTTCTCGGGAGAAACGACGCCTACGTCGCGCTTGTCGAGGCATCTCTTTCGCGTGCCTACGTAGACCATCCTCGACGGCAACAGACGACATCATTTGCGCCCGACGACATAGTCGAGATGCAAGACATTGGCGTCGTGCCACCTCATTTCTACCGTGAACTAGCGCGAACTGCCGAAGGGTGCAAACTGCTCGAACAATCGGGTCATTTCCTTGAATTTGCAAGCACCATTCGAGACTTTGATCTCAGCGAAGAAGACCCCGAGGCCCTCCTCAAGGTGAAAGGATGTCTATGGGCAGTGGGCAATGTGGGCTCTATGGAGCTAGGTGCGCCATTCCTGGAAGAGACCGAAATTGTGCAAAATATCGTCGATATTGCCGAGTCGGCTGATGTGATTACTATGAGGGGCACGGCTTTCTTTGTCTTGGGACTCATCTCGCGCAGTCAGCACGGGCTGGAGATGGTTCATGAAGCCGGCTGGGATGCAGCTGTTGATCAGCGCGGCGGGTCTCTGGGACTTTGTCTGCCGCGGCGTCTGGATAAGCTATACTATGTATGTTGGTTTCTTCTGAGAAGAAAAGGGAATATGCTAATATGACTTTTTTGGTGGTGGGAATTAGATCTCATTCGTGCCCCATACACGCAACCAAGAAGTAAAGCGCATCTCACGGGAAATATTCAAAACTGCCTCTACCGACACCGACCCAATCAACCAGCGCATCCTGAAGCTGATTATTGATATGGGGAATACCGTGCTGTCGAAGAGATCCGCTAACGAGCTGCACACGTAAGAACACCCCCCACCTACCTACATTACGATTGTTTGCCGTGACTCTAACAAACCCATGAAACTAGCATCAAAGCCAAAAACCCAGAGCACTTCCGCAAAGTCCGACTTTTCCAAAAGACTCTTACCATTCTTGAAAGTCATCATTTCCGTCTACCGGCTCGTCGGTTTGCATTGGACTTGTTTGACAAGAGTGTAATGAGGCGGGTGGTTCAAGAAGAAGACGAGGAGGAGGAGGAGGAAGAGGAAGAATTACAGGAAGACGAGTCAGAAGAAGACCGTAACGGGTCATATTCGGACTCCGATTGATAGTTAGTTAGTTGGACATGTTTGAACGAAGCGAAACAACAAAACATACGCCTTTGCTTTCTTCCCTTTTTTTTTCTTTTTTTGGCTCTTTTCGCTTTTTCCTCACATTGCATGTCTGTGATTATGTCCATTGCTATTATATGTATACCCCGCGATATTCGAGGCCATGTCGTTCTGAGGATTATGTCGGTTTTCTGTTAGGGCTGTGTTTCAGGGGGAAAATAGCTAGGAGTCTTGCTTTCCTGACATTATTTGCATGATTTGCATGACAGTGGGATATAGCTTTTGTTATTTATGGGGTAAATTCAAAACTGATTTGCTTACGACTATTGATCCAAAAACAGAGAAAAAAATAGAAAATTGTTAGTCTCTGATCTAAATTTAACGCCATACTGAAAGCGGTATACCTACTAGCCGGAAGCAGCAAGTTCCTTGCCTGATAAGATAAGGCATCGAGCAATCAATCAATCAACAAACACGACAACGACGACAAGACAAGACAAGAAAAGAAAGCAACATTGCAATAAACCGGCACCTTTTTCCTTCGCTTCAGATATCCCAGCCATCTTATTTAGTTATCGACATCGTTTTAACTACAATACCAGTTGCATGTGAAACCACACATCTGTTTACATGAAGAAGAGGGGGGAGGCGCTTTGGGTATAACTGACAAACTACTGTATTGTATCTGCACTCTCCCATCGTGCTATCATCACAATGTCCACCAACCCAAGCAGCGATGCTACCTCGCATCAGTCTCACCCGGCAGACCTAAAATTAGAAGAAAGCGCAAGTGAAATGCCGCCAAAAACCACAGGCAGCGAGGAGGATACCAACCCCAACCCCCACTGGCTAATCGAAGCCATCCAATGCCCTCTATGCGCTCGACCACTGAAAACACCTATTCGCCTCCCATGCGGGAAAACGATATGTCGCTCATGCCTGCCGCCACTGAAGCGGCGAGAAGGCATTTCGTATCCGCAGGGCGAGGGCCGAAAGGAAGGGTTCATCTGTCCATGGGAGCACGGGGATCTGGAACAGAATGAAAATACGAAAGACTATGAGTCCTCGCCCGAGCACGCGCTGGCTGATTGCGGCGTTGATGTTGTGCTCAGTAAAATCATGGATGTATTTGAAAGAGTGCTGCAGGAGCATGCGAATACGACCACACCGGACATACAGGCTTATTGGAAGCTAGGGCCTTATCCTCCTATTGCCAGGCCTAGTGAAGGTGAAAATGACGCAGATAGTGCCGTAATAGCGGCTTCGTTGAAGGCTCCTACCACTAGTGCCATCATCAAGCTTGGCCGCTATTTAGGGACTTACAAGTTGAGTCAAGAAGGAAACCTGCCTATCACCGCCAAGGATGTCGTCTACGTGGACAATGTGACGAGCAGCGAAGAAGAGCCTTTGAATGACTCCAACGCAAAGCTAGACGCGCTCGTCTTGAAACAGCTGAAACAAGGTATTCGAGAAGAGCTCGACTGTCAAGTATGCTACGGCTTGATATATGAACCATGGACTTCTTTGTGCGGGCACACTTTCTGTCGAGACTGCGCTGATCGTGTACTGGACCATTCAAACCTCTGCCCATTCTGCAGGAAGAGAATGTACATTTCGTCGGCCAAGGGACATTATTCGTTGCATGATATCCTCCACTTCTTCCTGTGGAGAGTATTCACTAACGAGACAATCGCTCGCAGAGAGGCCAATCAAGCGGACTATGGAACCAAGGCGGACACTGAAATGCCTCTATTCGTCTGTACGCTTGCTTATCCGTCAATGCTGACTTTTCTTCATATCTTTGAGCCGCGATATCGTTTGTTGATCCGGCGCGCGCTTGACTATGGAAACAACAAATTTGGCATGGCGATTGCTAATCCTGATGCTGAGTCGGTGAATGTTCAAGACAACAACAATTCAGGAAATGATATGGAACACGCGCCATTCAAGCAATATGGCACAATTGTTACGATTGCTAGATCGGAATTTCTACCCGATGGCCGTATCATAGTGACTGCTATGGGGATGTCCAAATTCAAAGCGCTCCGCTGGGGCGTTACCGATGGATACTATACCGCTGAGATTGAGCGCGTGGACGATATCAGTTGGGAAGAGGAAGAGAATATAGAAGCTCGTGAAGTGGCTGCCGCTGCTGCTACTGCTACCACCGATTCCAACGCGCCGAGCCAACCGGAAGAAGAGCCTAGTAAAGGTGCATCTCTAGAATCTCTATCGACCCAGCAACTGATGCAATTCTGTATGGACTTTGTTGAGAAACGAAGTGCAGACGCCTCGCCAGCGACTCAGAGGCGGATCCTTGGGGCGTATGGTGCGCCTCCGACAGATCCAGCCATCTTCCCGTATTGGTTTGCCAGTGCTCTTCCCATTCCAGAGGAAGAAGCATACAAGCTTTTGCCTTTGACGAGCGTGCGTGAGCGACTCAAGCTGGTAGCTACGTGGCCGGAGATGTTTGATAGCAGATGGTACGGTATTTTCCATTTATTGTGATGTTTATATACTGATAACAATGATTCTGGCAGGTCCATGTCATTATCAACCTGCGTCATCTTATGACTCGTAGTCCCTTTTCTTCTCTTAACCATCTTCAGTCTGATTTTTATCGTTCAACAGTTTTATTTCTTTCCTACTCCTCCTTCTTCTTCTCCCCCATCTCTCTCACCAATCACCTGGTCAATTGCCGGTCCATTCTCTTTCTCCTTCTCGGTTTCACTCGGCGGTACACCACTACAGCACTACCACCAACAGCAACGCTTATCAGAAGGACCATCAGAAGAGAGAAGCACCCGTACCCAAGAACCAGTAACATATATACCGCAAACAATCATTATAGGAGGCATGTTATTCGGACTCTCAGTGCGGCTCATGAGCCAATTGAGACATATAATCCAATTGAGAGGAGCAGGAAGAAGACAGAGGAGGATGAGATAGAGGAGAATGATATAGATTTTTGTTAACTACAAGTTGGAAAGGGGGGAAAAGGGGGGATATTGACTCGAAGGATCGAACAAGGTATTGATTTACATACTTCTTTTATCATTCTTGATCGAGCCGTTGCTTCTTGAGGGCCTTGATGTATATACACCTTTCTATTCTGGTGGGTTTTATATGATATGACCTATGGCTAGGATCTCAGATTGATTCATGCTGCCTCCTGAAAATATACTTTAGTCAGCGAACGAATATAAAATACCTCAAATCTTTTCAATATCAGAATACACAGCCAGTATGGGGGAAAAAAGAGAATGAAAAACGAAAAACGCCATCGCTTTGCTTGCTTTGGGAAATAAGAACGGGGGAAAAATGAAATAGATAAATTGTCATGTGATATTCAAAGTGATGAATGTATATTGATCTAAGACAAATGAGGATATTTAATAAGAAGAACAATTTAATCCGATTCATCATCGCCTGCCGCTCTAGTACTCGTTTCTTGTAACTCGTCGGGATCAGCTTCTGCGTCCGCATCTGTATCGCCACTTGTATTATGCGCGTTTCGATTTGTATTATTTTCTTCTTCCTCTTCTTCCTCCTCCAATTGTTGGGGAGGCGGGGGTAGGTTTTTCTTGAATTCCGGGTCCACGTTACCACGGTGCAGGCTTCGCTTATAGATTTCAGCCTCATCAGGATCACGAATGGTAACATGAATTTGATCGACTTGGTCTTCTCTGCCTGCTGCTTCACCCTGGCTGCGAGCCAGACCTGCTTTGGCAATTTTCCGAGCTCGTTCAGGCGCAAGTCGCATTTTGCCGAGGATGGGGTAGTAGTATGCAGCTTTGATGGTGCCTTCGGCTTGACTAGATGAGGAAGATTTGGCTGGGTCGAATAGTGTCAAGGCGATATCTCGTTGTTTCTGTTCCGAGTTCAATTGTTGAGCCTTGGTGGAGTATGTTCGCAATCTGTCGTAGCGGTGGAATTTACTCTCTTCGTCGCCATGAGTGTATAATCCGTCATCGTCTCGATTTGAGTTTAACAAGTCAAAGCTGTCTTTGATTTTTGTGGCTGATCCCTTTTGCTCTGGGACAAACAAATCGTAATCCCATGGAATTGGACCGGGGTCCTTGTAGAGTCTAGGGTTATTCTTGTGTAGCCTGGCCTTGGCCTCGTGTTCTTCAAGAACGTGCTCTGGTGGTGCAGACGGGTATAATAGGCCAACGTCAATCCTCTCATCGCGTTTTCCCGAAGCTGCGACTAGGGGAGGCTTATCAAACTTGAACTGGACAAAACCACCTGGATCCGGATATCCCTGCAGGTCAGGCAAAACTGGGAAGGTACCGATAGGTTTAAGTTTAGGGTTATCCGGATGAACAGGATGTGCCCATGCATCCAACTCCGGCTTCTGTGGAGTATGACCCTTGATACGCTCGGCCGTATCCTCTCCAGTGTGCTTGCTTTTCGGATAAGCGATATCAAATCCCTTCATGATATACTTCTTGATGTAGATGGGGTCATCGTTCGCTAGCTTAGTCTTTTCAGAAAGACGCGGCTTGGGTCTCCCCGCCGAGGGCTTAAAGCCACCAGGCCCCCGTTGCTCCACGGCAATGTATTGAGTGCGACGAAGAAAACTGACGTTGGCATTCTTCACTGCAGGGTTTTTGAGCTGGTCGAGTGGAATCAGAAAGGGTAGATCCCGAGGATCAGGAGGCGGTGGGTTCTCCGGCATCAAAATGGCTGTAACTTAATATATTAGGAAATTGCATTCAAGTCAAACCATGCCTAGGAAGCAAACCCCATCGACGTACCGCTTTCATCTCCCAAGTGAAGACCTGGAATTCCAACTAGATCAATTGGCATACCGCCCTCCGCATCGACGTCAATGCCTGGCTCCTCTCGCCTAGCCATGTTTGAGGCATAGCCAGGAGCCAGAAATCGCTGCAGTCCTTCATGAGGTATATCCAAGAACTTTGGCGGCATCTCCGGTGGCGGGAGATCATTTCGGTATCGAAGCGAGGCGATATATTCCTGATGAAAGCCCTCCGCAGGGCGATTGTCCTTTGTCTTCGACATTTTCGTCGCAAAGAAGCCGCCCGAATTGACGGCGAGCGAGATGACTGAGAGGCCCAATCAACTTGACAAGAGCCAGTTGACTAAAGCAGGTTTTCTCGAGTGGGAGGTTCCTTCTAGGACGACTGAACAAGGGTCGGCAGATGAATAGGCAAGAATGAGCTTGACCAGTAGCTCTATTCATTCATTCATCCAATTGAAGCAGAAGAGCTCCACGGCCCACCGGAGCAACCATTTTCCCGGGGCGCTATCACGTGATAGAATCGCCACGATCTTCGCTCCAGCCAATCAGCATCAAGAACAACCAGGCCTATATACATTATCGAAGTATTACTACTGACAGCACTGCATTCACACAACGCCATTGATAGCATCCACAGGCAATTGTATGTCGTATCATACGTAAGAGACTTTACACGCAGCATATTACTGGGGCATGGCCAATGAAGTATGGCTGACTCAGCAGGCGATAAGATAACACCAGGCTTGGCGCTCTCAAGCGAACGGGAAAACCCTCAAAATTCATTTTGAATTTGGCTCCGCATCGACCAAAATCTGACCGAGAAAACACACGTCACGACCTCAATCGTCGTTTCATATAGCCAGTACCAGCGCTCCCTCCAGGTACTCGAATTGTCTCAAACCAGACACCGCCGCTTCATCCCACGAACGTTTGATCGCTACACAATAGCACCACCTACCTGCCCACACAATGTCATACGACGAGCGCTCCAATGCGCGCCCTCCGCTGGGTGACGAGTCTGATGTCGAGGAGGAGGCCTTGGTCAACGACTACCGCGAGCAGGTTCACTTCGACGATGGAATGAGCGATCTGGACCGTACCACTTCGCTCGGCGGTGCATCTCACACCCAGGATCTTCAAGCACAACTTGCCGCGGCCGCGACCCCGCTCGAGTACCAGGCCACTTTGGAGACAAAATTTGCCAGCTATGACAACTACTGCAGCCTGTTCCACTACATCCTCAACTCGGAAGGCCCGGTTGACTTGGAGGTTCCTTCGGTATGTGAATATCTGACCTTCCGACCACACCGGAGTTTCCGGGTTTGTTTTTATTTCTGACTGCAGTGGCTAACTCTTCCCGTCATTCAAATTTGAACAGTATTTTTGGGCTTGGGATGTCATCGATGAATTCATCTACCAATTCGAGTCATTCTGCCGCTACCGCAACCGTGTAGCTCGCAGCGGATCCAACGAGGAGGAGGCTCAACTGCTCCGGGAGAACCCCAACACATGGGGCTGCTACTCGGTCTTGAACGTCTTATACTCGTTGATCCAACGATCTCAAATCAACGAGCAGCTTGCTGCCATTAAGCGGGGAGAAGATTCATTGGCTGTGGCTGGGGAATATGGCTCGCGTCCCCTCTACAAGATGCTTGGATATTTCTCGATCATCGGATTGTTGCGCGTGCACTGCCTGCTAGGCGACTTCAGTCTTGCCCTCAAGACGCTAGATGACATTGAGCTGAACAAGAAGGCCATGTTTGCTCGCGTCATGGCAGCCCATTTCACCACGTACTACTACGTTGGTTTCTCCTACATGATGATGCGCCGCTACGCCGACGCAATCCGCATGTTCAGTCACATCCTTGTCTATGTGTCGCGAACAAAGAACTTCCAAAAGGGCAGCAACCAGTATGATGCCATCACCAAGAAGAACGACCAGATGTATGCCCTCATTGCTATCTGTGTCGCATTCCACCCTACCCGCCTCGATGACACCATCCACACTGCCCTCCGTGAGAAGTACGGTGAGCAACTACACCGCCTTCAACGCGGTGGAGCAGAGGCACTGCCTTTGTTCGAGGAGCTTTTCCGCTCTGCCTGCCCCAAGTTCATCAGCCCTACTCCTCCGGACTTTGACAACCCGTCTGTCAACATTGACCCCGTCGACCACCACACTGCCATCTTCATGGACGAGGTCAAGAACACTCTCTTCAACCCTACTGTCAAGTCCTACCTGAAGCTTTACACAACGATGGACTTGAGCAAACTTGCTGGCTTCTTGGACGTCGAGCCCGAGAAATTGCGCGCATGGCTCCTGGTTAACAAGCAGCGCAGCCGTCAAATTCGCTGGGCTGAAGGTGGCTTGCTGGAAGGTGAGCCCACCAGTGCTAGTGACCTCGACTATGCCATTGAGGGTGACCTTATTCACATCAGCGAAGCGAAGGCGAGCCGAAGAATTGTTGATTGGTACCTGCGCAATCTTACTCGTACCTACTAGACTGCTTTCCACTTTTCTTGTTCGCATCTAGATTTATGTTTCTCTCCAAAAAAATGTTTCCTTTTTATGATGGATGACTCTTCACATCAATCCCCTCTATTCTCAATTTCTTCGCTTCTTCAGTACTTTTTGTTGTGTCTTTTTTGTTTCCCTTTCCTGCTGGGGAGTCGGCGTATGTATACGAGTTTATTATCCACATAATGTACTTTTTGTCCGAGAGAATGTTAGTCTCTCGATTTTTCTTTACTTCTACGGGAGAGCTTTTGTTGTGCATGAAGATGTCCGCATCTTTCATATCGATATTGATGTTAGGACTTGAAACGGGTTGGGGATGGAGAAACGACGGCAATGCAAGACACTTCATGAGACATGTTGACTACTGGGGCTTATCATCTAGCCCTTAACCAGGCGGAATCAAGTGAAGGAGATGGTCTCAATCGAGCTGAAGAGCTTCGATCACACCAGCCCAGATTCATATGGAGAGTGTGAATGTGGTGACAGGAAGAACCTCGAATGGGCTTTGTTCATGAACATGTACACTGAATCGACATTGTTCATGAGAGATCTCGACCAGATTGAGGGATATTTATGGAGGCATGAGATGGTGAGAGTTGGTCTGAATTGAGATAGATATTGAATATCAATACATGATGAAATGAAGAAAGTACTTCTACTCGACTATCAGACCCTATTTCTATCGGTGTGGTACTTGGGAATCTTCCTAACTGCACGCCTTTGGCTACTTATATAGCAAAAAGCCAGCTTGACTGCTACATTGATTGTCCGACTGAGCGACAATGGCGGACGCTGTTTATGTAGTTGAGAACCCTAAAACAAGCCACCTTGGTCATTTCATAAGGCTTGGGTCTCGTACACTGAATATTGGGGGGGAACGAAAGCCAACGAAGAAAACGTGCAGTGCCGCTGGTGGCTGCGAAGCCGAACATATTTCATGCAGATGCTTACCGGGTTTGATGTCTCTGGCCTGTGTGAGGGTAGACATGACTATCCTTTCTAATATGAACGTCATAATATACTTTTTTATACACTATTTATGATCCCAATGTCACATTAAAGGTACATTGCAAACACCAACCATACCAAAGTCGGGAATAGCTTCGGTACCGACGCACCTTAGTATTGCCGACGATGCGTAATCTAACCCCTCGTCGAGTAGTTAGTTATATAACATATAAATATATATGCATATAGCAATGGTTTTACTGAATCAATCATCATCCTCCCTAGCGTTCAAAATGGCATCTGAACGTTATCCAGTCCACCACAACGGCATCTACCGCAACCTCCCAACCTTCGACCCTTCCATCACCGGCTTATCCGCTGTCATCACCGGGGCCAATGGGATTTCTGGCTTCCATACTTTGCGAGTGCTTCTCGAGAGTCCCCAACGATGGTCGACCATCTATGCCTTGTCCCGCCGGCCTCCTCCCAGGCAAATGCTAGCCCTACTTTCCGAGTCTCAGCGCTCGCGCGTGCGGCACGTCGCCGTGGATTTTCTTGAAGACCCTGCGAAAATCGCGCAAATCTTGAGGTCGGCCGATATCAAGGCTGACTACATCTTCTTTTATTCGTATCTCCAACCTACACCATCGCCAGGTGCTGCCGTGTGGTCGAATGCCGAGGAACTTGTCAAAGTCAATAGCGCGCTTCTCGACAATTTCCTACAGGCGATAACACTGGCCAATATCACCCCTAAACGGTTCCTCCTGCAAACCGGCGCGAAGCATTACGGTGTGCAAATCGGTCGTGTCCGTAGTCCTGCCATTGAGTCTGACCCATACCTGTCTCACCTGGAACCGAACTTCTACTACCCGCAGGAAGAATCACTATTCAACTACTGCAAAGCCAACAATACTACTTCCTGGAACATCATCCGGCCAGCATGGGTTCTGGGCGCAGTAAACAATGCCCAAATGAACGCGCTTCTGCCCATTGCAATCTATTCGGCCGTCCAGGCTCACAAGGGGGAGCCTATATCCTTCCCAAGCGACTGGGAAACATGGCAGTATGAAGGGTACCATTCGACAGCTTTGCTGACGGGCTATCTGTCTGAATGGGCCGTATTGGAAGAGAAGGCCAAGGACCAGGCCTTCAACGCTCAGGACACGAGCCCTGTAAGCTGGGACCGATTCTATGAAGCTCTCACCCGCTGGTTCGGCGTCGAAAAGGGTGTCGTTCCTCCAGAGGAAGATACAACCAAGTATGAGGAATCGATAGGCAAGGCCGGCGCTGACACGCCGATGGGGTATGTTCAGAATTCCTTTTCCGTTTCACCGTAGCTTCTGACCCTGGTTTCTAGATACGGTCCTCCCATTGTACACCGAACAACCTTTAAACTGGTAGACTGGGCGTCCAAGCCCGAAAATAGGGCAGCGTGGTTGGACCTGCAGAGGAAATCGAACGGCCAACTCACTGACAACCCATTCGATGATGTCCAGGAAAACTTTGCTTTTGGCGACCAAGCTTTCAGGAAGGTACCTAGTCTGAGCATGAACAAAGCTCGACGGCTGGGCTGGACCGGGTTTGTGGATACCTTTGAGTCCTTGTTCGAGACATATTCTGAAATGGGGGTTCTGGGTATGCTGCCGCGTTTGAAAGTTGATAGATCAAACCGCTTGTCTGAATACCCTTAAGGGTCAGCATGACATGTATACAGCCAAAATCTGACAGGAAGTCCTGAATTTATCTAGCTTGGTAAACTAGGTTCCAGTGTTTATATGTAGTAGAAAGGAGAAACATTAGGTCGAATGAACTTCCCAGGTTTATGATGCCACGATACTTTAGTTTTCAAGAGCAGTACAGTGTTCTTCCAGTAGTTTCTACTGCCATCAATAACATTGGGAGATCATAATGCTATTATGATCACGTTTATTATCATCACGCCGACAGGTGTTTGAATTGAGATAAGCAATGTATGTTGCATGTTTATGATAACATCCCATTTTACATATGTATCCCTTAGCCTCTGCTGCAGTGGCGAGTTCATTGAATCCGGCCATGAAAGTTTGATTGTTGAACGCTAGGCTCAGGAAGTTATAGGCGATCTGTAATACTGCAAATGGACATCGTGAACCGCTACATGTATTCAAATGAAGTCGACTCATTCATTTCTGCGGACTGAGCAAAAGGAGGGGGGATATCGGTGAGCTATATACATCTATCAGTCAGTATTCGAGATCAGCGGGCAAAGTCCCAAAGGCTAGACTTACATAGGATTTGGTCTTTTTCTACCAAGAAGTCTCTGCAATAAGCAGAAGAATGGCGCCATATCATCTTAACGAGAAGATCCGCGGATTGTCTGGGGTCATTTTTTGTGGCAGCCAGAGTCGGCTCCAAGGTGGCATCAAAAACTGTACTGTGATGGAATTAAGCTGTAGCAGGGGGGTTTTGACCATTAAGCCATCAAAAAGGGCCCCCGTATGAAGCTTTTCTGGCATTCTTATAAATTGTGCCTTTTCAGGTGTAATTCTCCATTGTCAACTTGCCAAAGACCGAGGCTGGGGAGCAAGGTATCATGAAACACAGCGGCGAATTGGCTGTCAATCTTCATAACCTTCGTTCAAATAGGGTATGCTGCATTCCGCCACGAAACTCGAAAGTTATTCGATGGTGAATTGACCGCAGACTCCTTTTTCTCCTGGCTTACTCCCACGTCAAAAAGACCATGATGATTCTCGCAAAACTGGACGATTTTCATAGAGATAAGTCCGTTATCAAGGACTCGACGGAGATTGTCTAATCCAGTTAGCATGTTCCAAGGCAGAGTTCAAAGCACCATTTGACAACTTACCTGGTTGTTAGGATGCAGCTGGCTTTTGCTGAAGACCCCGGCAGTTGAAGTTATATCGGCTAGGTGTTGGTCCACCACGTTTTTTACGCAGCAGGACGTGAAGCCTTGTTACCCTCGATGTTGACAGTAAACTAACTTGATCTAAGAAAGGTGCAAGCAGGTCTGCTTTTTGTGTGCTTCTCGCTTATAAGAAGCGGTGCCTTATTAGGAAATACCAGGCGGTTCCCGAATGCGACATCAACGAACGCTACCTAGTAAGCTTACCCACGAAGGGGCTTCTGGCAATACTCATTTCAGGTGTGAATAATGTCATATACTCCGCTATCACTTAGCTAAGCTTGCCCATTAGTTAAGTTAGTTACCAGTAAGCATAGGTATATATATTATATCGCCCATCGGTACCGAGCCTGTCCCGCTTTCAGCCGAAGCCCTAATTACTTAGTTAAGTGCCGAAGGATTACCAAGCAGTTCCAACCCGATTTCTCTGGCTTCTGTCAAGACGCAGTCCCGAGGGCACCGCTAGAAAATGGAGGTCCGACCTCCTGCAACGCAGTTTGACAGAAACACTGGCACTAGCACTGGCGGCTATAGACGCAAGCTGAATACATCATGCTGGATGTGCAGGAAACGTAAAGTCCGATGCGATGCCACGGCCGACAAGCCCTGCACAGCGTGCAACCGAGCCGGGATTGAATGCAGGTTAGTAGCCAATGCTCTCTCTCTCTCTCTCTCTCTAGCTAGGGCTAATTTAACTTACCTCAATCCGAACACAAGAGCGCATCCAAATCAGCTCCAACCAGTCAGAGCTCGTCGGCGCCGGGCTGCTGCTCAGACCAGCCCGGTGACAGTCTCGTCGCCTCTCCAGGCTGAGATAAATCCTCCTCTGAACTCTAACCTTTCCCGGTTTTTTGAGGCGGGGATCATTTCCTCCAACTGGAGCGGGTTCGAGGAGAATGGAACCTTTAGAAACGTATACATCGGCACTGATGTTGCCAATCTGCACCATCTGGTCCAGGACCACGATGAGCATGAGCATGAGCATGCTGGAAGCAACTTCCTCTGCTACCCCTTTCCTGCAATCCGCGATGAACTACCGTGGAAGCCGCATCCTGATATGATAGGTCGTCACCACTACCTTACCGCAGAGTCCATAAACGATTTGAGCAGCTTCCCAGTCCGGCCAGTGCGAGATGCACTCGTAGAGACGTATTTCAGGGACATACACCCGGGTTTCCCAGTCATTGATGAAGCTGATTTTCGTCGAAGATACGCAGACCCCAAAGATCCGCCGCCGTTGTTGACCTTCCAGGCCATTCTTTTAGCAGCAGCTCGCATAACTGATCACCCGCAAGTTGCTGCATCGCGTGCGATGACCACCGCCACCTTGTACAGGCGGGCCAAGACGCTTTTTGACCTGAGACACGAAAGTGACCGCGTTGATCTTATCCAGGCCGCGCTACATCTGGCTTGGTATACGGAGAACCCGGATACGGTGGCCAGCAATGCCTATTATTGGATCGGCAATGCCACACGCATTGCATTTGGTATGGCCCTACATCGAACGCCATCTCTCCGCTATGTGCCGCCTCAGAGGATTCGGTATTATAGAAAATACAAAAAGATATGGTGGATGCTTTTGTATAGTGAAGTGATGCTGGCCCTGGAGTACGGCAGACCCTGTATGATCCGCGCGGAAGATTTCGACGTCGGGCCGCTAGAAGAAGATGAGGACTTCAAGAACATGGATGACTCGGAAGATACACTTGTGAATCGTAATTTCTGCTTTGTGTTGGCTGATATCTCCCTCGTTGCATTGGACGTGGTCAGTCTCCGGGCGCCTAGAGGTAAACATCCAACTGATCTCAACGTCGAACGTCGCCTAGGACAAGTGGCAATGCGCATACCAGCAAGCCATGATGTGTGGTCCTGTCAACTCCGGCTTGTATACAACCTGGTTGTATTAGTAGTCTATCGAACCAGCAGCGAAGGAGTTGCAGCCAGACTCTGTTCCGAGGCTGCATCCAATATCCTCACTACCTTTGAAGCTATGGTAGCGCAAGGCACACTTCGACTATGTCACCCGCAGAGCAGCATCACCGCTCTCATGGGAGCCGCCATCCAATTTGCGCGCGAGGTCAGAGCAGCTGTTGTCAAGGGTGCCATTGTGACGGCCATTTCGACTCAGGGCCAATTAGAACGACTTTTGGTTCCGGCAGATGCTCTTTCGCCGTATTTTGCAAACATCGAGGCAGTCTGCAGGCTATGCAAGAGCCTGAATGAACGTGCTGGGATGCTCATCAGGGAATGCCAGGCTCAGAATTCCACTTCGCTGTCAACTTCTCAATTGCCTGTCAAAGCGAGTATTGATTGGGAAGATATCATGACGAATTATCGCATGTCGAACGTTGGTTCCGGGCTGGAGATTGATGACTGGCTGAATGACTACAATATTGTCGAGTGCTAGTTATAGTTATGTCATAATAATAAGATTACTGTTTTTGTCAATTTCATGCTGCCAACAACTATACATTTTCTAGGGACATGCACATGCGAGAGAGAGTATAGATGGTCTTACACTATTGATCCAGCTCACTCCAGATCTCCATCTCCGAGATTTCAAAGCTCACTTCCCAAGTTCCTCTGTACGCATTGGGCCTGTAGACTTGTGTAGTATCATCTCCTTCAGAAACTCGGTGCGTAATCTCGACGCAGCGCAACCCATCTTTCAACGCCATTACCACGCCATCACCACCAATCTGTCCAAATATGACGGTGTCATCATTGTTTCCTACTATCCAGCCAGGCTTGCCTGTCACTCCTCTGAAGACATCCTGAATTGGAGCGAGTTGGAAAATTGAGCATGGTTCCAGACCCACCTGGCCTGGAACGATGCTGGTCTGTATACTGGCGCCGTCCAGTTTGGGTTTGGGGCTGAAGACACCGAAAACAAATGTCTCCCCCGTTGTTGAACTTTTCCCTGAAAGAAACATAAAAGCCTCGTCGGGGACATCTTCTAATGCCCTCACGAATGCAGTCGGTGTTGGACGAACTTTTTTGCTGTAATGTTGACAGCGGCAAAAATCGGGTATGTATGCACACCCGGCAAGAAAAGTGGACAACTGGCTCATCAGGGGCACTGTGAGGATGCTCCCTTCTATTGTATTGCCTGATTCGCATCCAGTCAGAAAAAACCCCTCCTTATCCAGAAATGCGAGTGTGATCATGTGATACAGGGGGTCGAAGAGATACGGCGCAATGGTCTTGAGGCTGTGGTCAAACATCGGCCAAGTAATAACTTCTCCTTCGTTTTGCTGGCAGAAAGTAGCACATAGCGACTTTGCAGCAGCATCAAACTGATTGAGATCCACTCCTTCGGAAACATCAAACTGGAATGCCAGGAGGAACTTGGCGAGAGAAACAAAGTCATCTGCGGGAATGCCGAGTGAGTACAAGGAAGCCAGCTCGTTGTCTGCGGCGATGCGTTTTGCGATAGGCCGGAATGCATCCCGGGGGACGGGGGCCAGGCCAGCGTGCTTCACGATCTGTGTGGAGTAGAGCACGTCGAGGAGGTCATGATAGATCTCGTCACCGTCATCGTCATGATTTGTGGCGCAAAGATCAAGGTGGCCTTCCCAATCTGTATCCAAGGCATTGCGTAGTGCCAGTTGGCGAGCACTTTCGGGATCGTACGGCTGGCTATGACAAGTGGTTGATGCCAGGCTCTGGAAAATCAATCTGCGGTGGTCTGCTCTGGTTCGCATTCGGGAGAAATTGCTTTCTTCTATAAAGGATGAGTGAGTGCTTGGGAGCGCCCACACCAAAGCTCGAGTGATTTGGGCTTGGGAGAGGCCAGGCTGGGAGGCCGAGTCCCGGTTGCTGCTGGGATATGGCAAAGTGCTGAGATATGCGAGGCTCGCATATACGATTTTCCCAGCTCTGGTTCCCTCTGGAGACCGAGGTAGGTCCGTGTTTGTTTGCAAAAGGGCGAGAAATGCAGCCTCGCTTATGAGTCCGTCGTCGTTGCATAGCGATTGCAAGACTCTCGAGAGCACTGGCTCTTCTTCCGGAGAGATGGCTATGCCTTCTCGGATTTTTTCATCAATGCGGCCCAGAGTAAACTCTCTACTTAGCTGGCCTTTTGCAAGGAAGTCGTCAAGTTTTTGCTCATACCATTTATCCGGCATGATGGGCTGCGGCGTGGGAGTGCAGTGTAGGAGTGAGTGTATGAGTCAGAAGCTGAGCTGAGCTGAGCTGAAATGCCAGACCAGCGGTAGGGATGTGCATAGCCCCCTGTTCTTTGCTGCAGGCAAAATAATATGTAGCAGATTATTTGTTTTTGTTAGTGACTTATCAGCTAGGAAAATCAACCTATAAACTACACATAGTCTGGATATCGAAATAAGAAATAAACTTCGCATCATTCTATCATACACTGTACATGAAATCCTAGATATCCTCCCATGCTAGCTAGCCATCAGTCGACTGATCACAAATTGATATCAAAACTTGTTCCACAGCCACAATTGCTCGTAGCCCTAGGATTGTTGACCTTGAACTGGCTACCAATCAGCTCTGTGGTATAGTCAACCGTGCTACCAGACAAAAGCTCTAGTGACGGTTGATCCATCACGACTCTGGCCTGGCCATGCGGCGATTGCTCGTTGGTGTCAGTGGCTTCAAAGACAGTGTCCTCGGCTTCGTCCAGTTTGGAAGAAGGTTCCAGAGACATCATGTACTGGAAGCCATGGCATCCGCCACTTGTTACTGTGACCCGTAGATGCTGACCGTCTTCTGACGAGGCGGTTATCTCACTCAGCCGCTGTGGGAATTAGCATAGAGCAAGCAACCTATGAAAAGAAACGCTAAACCGGTAACAAGAAAAAGCAAAAAAAACAGAAAAAACAAAAAAAAAAAACAAAAAAAGATAAGAAAGAATACAACATACAACAGACGGGATTCGCTGGTGGTCACCCACCCAACTACTAACCGGCCGGCGTGTGGCTTAAGTACGGCTGAGCGGACGGGAAGCCCTGTTTTCCACACCCTATGGTCGTATGTGCTAGGAAGAACAACAAAAGGGCTTATAACCGGCAGGCATTTCTTCTTGCTAGCTGCAAAATAAAAGAAAAACGACACCAAAACACGCTAATCAATCACAGCATACATACCTTTGCTGCCCGGGGCGATATCTCAATATACATTGGATTCCCATCGTCGTCGACCCTCGGATTTAAGGTCGCCACTGCTGACCTGTTGGTCGTTGTTGTTGAGAATGCCGCGGAGTTGCTGTTGTTGTTGGTGATGAACGACGGGAGTAGAAGACTGCGTGCCGGGTGCCTCCTTGCGGAGAGCAAGGCGGATCTCGAGGGATGGTTAGAAATGTGTCGGCGACTGTCGTAGTAGGTAGCAGACTGGGGGCGAGAGATGGTCGTCGAGCTGAGCATTCGTCGTGGTGGTTGGTCGGCTTGTCTGACGACAGCAGACGAAGGTCGATGTCGCGCAGCGCGACATGTTAGGGATATCAGTCTTTGTTGAGACATGGCTCAAAGCAATATGGCGCAGTTATAGTCACTCACTGTCCGTGACGCAGCGAGACAACTCCGTTGAAGCTCTTGCAAGAACCGTTCGTTGTTGATGTGATGTGATCTCGCACTGTCCACACCGCCTTGGGCAGAATGCGCATGCTTACAAATTCGGAGATGCTCATTGCTGGACACGCACCGTCTTTGTATTTCGCTTGCTGGCGCTCATGAGAACTTGCCTGTCTGTTTCTATATCATGTATATAGCGTCGAATCTACCAGTATTCTCTTCCAGCCATGGGAAGGCTTGCTTTTCTCAACGATGACAAGCGGCAAGGCGGCAACCGGCGGCAGTTCAAGCGCCTCCCTTATCGGCGTCTTATCACCCCTCATACAAACAACTCGTGAATATTCGTATTGCCTCCCCATCAAGGCATTGATTTAAAGCGCCAACATGGGATCCAAGCTTCACTTTCAGAGCATCAAACACGGTCCTCCGCTCCCCCACCACGACGATATCAGGGCGTACAAGCGGGAGTATGCAGCAGCTCTAGACGAGAAAGACCCCCTCAGAAGGTTTCGTGCCGAATTTATCATTCCGTCAAAGAAGGATCTGCTGAGGAAGAACCTGTCCGAGTCAGAAGGTCTTTTTCTCCTATTTTCTGCTTTCCCTCTTTTTCTTTTTTTGTTTCTTTCCATTCACTGACATTTCAAACAGGAGATGATCAATCGGATCCACGCTGTATATATCTCTGTGGAAACTCTCTGGGCCTTCAGCCGCGAAACATCCGCAAATACATTGATCAATATCTGCGATCGTGGGCTATCAAGGGAGTAACAGGCCATTTCGTCTCGCATGAAGATGCTCTTCTCCCTCCGTATCTACACGTGGACGATGCAGGCTCTAAGCTTCTTGCTCCAATCGTAGGAGCCTCGCCGAGTGAAGTCGCGCTCATGGGGACCCTGACAGGTAACTTGCATATATTGATGAGCAGTTTTTACCGGCCAACTACCGAACGATATAAAATTATTCTTGAAGGCAAGGCATTTCCCAGTGACCATGTATATCCCCCTCTTCTTGATATGAGTATTCTTACCCAAAAGTATTCTGATCATCTCTTAAGTATGCCGTTGAATCCCAAATTCGGCTGCATAACCTAAACCCGGCCACCGCTATGGTCCTCATTGAGCCCGAGGATACCGAAAGGCCTATTCTAAGCACCGAACAGATTCTAAAAGTTATTGACGACAATGCATCGGACACAGCTCTGGTGCTTCTACCAGGCATTCAATACTACACAGGACAGTACTTCGACATCCCCCAGATCACGGCCCATGCTCACTCAAAGGGGATCCTCATCGGATGGGACTGTGCACATGCAGTTGGAAACGTTGAATTGAAACTCCATGATTGGGAAGTCGATTTTGCGGCATGGTGCCATTACAAATACGTCAATAGCGGGCCGGGGGCTATGGCAGGCCTGTTTGTGCACGAAAAGCATGGCAAGGTCAACGGCAGCTCGACCAACGGTGAAGATGATGCTTACCGTCCCCGTTTGGCAGGCTGGTGGGGTCATGATAAAGCAACTCGCTTCCAAATGGACAATAGTACGTAATACTCCATACTCCATATACATTTGAAATACATTGAGTATATACATCTAACACTGCTATTGCCCATTGCCAGACTTCGTCCCCCAAGAAGGAGCAGCAGGCTACCAAATCTCCAACCCGTCCGTCCTCGACCTCAGCGCCGTCGCCTCCTCGCTCGAAATCTTCAACCAAGCCAGCATGCCAGCCCTCCGGCAAAAATCACTCCAACTCACAGGCTACCTCGAACACCTCCTCCTCAAATACCCCCTCGACAACCACGCGGACGACAGAAACAAAAAGCTATCATTCTCAATAATCACGCCCGCAAACCCAGCCGAGCGCGGCGCCCAGCTCAGCATCCTCCTGCAACCGGGTCTGCTGGATAAAGTGCTCGAAATCCTGGAGGAGAATGGCGTGGTGATTGATGAGCGGAAGCCGAATGTAGTGCGTGTTGCGCCGGCGCCGTTGTATAATACTTTTACCGACGTGTGGGAGTTTCATCGCGTTTTTGTGATGGCTTGTCGTGAGGCTGTTGCCGCGAGGGATGGATAAAGATAAATTACAGAAGAAGAAGAGTAAAGGAACAATAAAATAATCTATTCATTTACTTAATATATACCAATCGAAAGAGCATGCTAAAGTAAAAGTAACTCCCCCGCTGCAGCCCCGCCAGGAACCTGCGGTTGATAAATCTGTTGCTGGTTCTGATTTACGACATACGGCATCGTCTGCCCTGTTCCTCCTAGGCCGCCGAGACCGTTATCTTCGCGACCGCCAAGGTCCAGATTGGCCATCTGCTGAGGCGCAATATTACTAAAGTATGCGTCTGCCGCGTTGACGGCTGCAGTGAGATCGCCAGCGGCAGCGGCAGTATTTGGAGAGATCGGTGCGGCTGATGTTGTGGTAGGCATGGTGGTAGTAGTGGAAGTCGTGACGGGATAAGAGGGAGTTGCGCCCACCGAAGTGACTTCGTATGCAGCTCTTTGACCCTCGATGCCGGGTCGTTTGACAAGCGCCGGACTGTCTACTAGACGTTTTGGACGTGCGGACCGGAAGACTTGTTGCACGGGTTTCAGATAGACAGTCGCCAACGTGCCGACGTTGAGACATAGCTCTTCGAGGGTGTTTGGTTCTAGCTTTTCGCTTTCGGCTGTGATTGGGGGCTTTTCCCCCATTACAATCTCTTTGGCGGCGGCCGGGTCGGTGGAGAGAAGACGCCAGTACATGTATCCGCGGTCACGGAGGTCCGGGTCGTCGGTGTCTTCGGTGCACCATTTGAGGACCTGGGGCACGAGTTGTTGGCCCTTTGTGGGACGCTGGATGAAGAGTTTGACTGTTGCGGTGAGCAAGGCGAGTTGCACTTCAATGGGCTCGTCGTGGAAGGTCGCGAGATAGTCTTGGAGTAGCTCGTCGGAGTTTTCGATGCGGTCTGCGTACTGGCCGATGATCCAGATAATGGCTGCTTTGGCCTCGGGCTCGTCGAGCTCGTCGATGTTCTGGATGACTGTTCCGATGATCCCTTCGTATTGATTTGGGTATTTGCGGAATATGTTGCGGATGACGACGGTTGCTTCTTGGACAATATAGGGTACCTTGGCGTGGACGAGTTCTAAGAGTGTGTCAATGCACTGTCGCGCAGCAGGTTCAATCTTGATTGCCAGTTTGCCAATGGCTCGAACAGCTTTGCGGACAAAGTGGACATCAATTTCCGTCGCGTACCTTGGAAAAAAAGTCAGCCAGGATACATAGACATAGCCACAAGACAAGACCAGACAAAACGAGATACTTACTCTCGCAACTCAGCCAGCACAACACTAATGTTTTCCTTTGATGCAAGCATGAAGATCAACTCCAGCTTGGTGACTTTGACGTAGATCGGATCATTATATTTACAAAAAAAGACGCGGATATCATTTCGTAGAACTTCAGGACGTTTCTGCAGAATCAATATTGCGTTCCGCAAAGCGAGATACTGCACCTCCGGAGGCTTCGACAATAATGTGACGAGTGGCGGCGACAGTTTCTTTGATAAAGCTGTCACTTGTTTTTCATCACTAATATAATTCATGAGGTAAAGGATGACACGGATCGAGGTCAGAACGACAGCCGAGTTTGAATGTGATAAACGAGGTGCAATACGTTCAGCCAGAAGTAGAGCTTCTGCCGAATCTCTCGGCACATAGGCCATGAGAGCCTCGAGGATATATGTCTGACCCCATCTAGTCTGTGTTAGCCGGAATCTAAAATGCAAGAAAAGAGGACAGACATACTCTGAACAGTCCGGCAGGACAGACACCACTTTGGACGCACTGACATAATCGATGGTCAACGATATCGATTCACTGCGTTCCCAAATGTCCACCAGAGAGGCCAAAACACTCGAAACGACAGTAGGATTCTCGTCTTTTAACATTTTATTCAGCCGGTCAATCAGATCCGAGCTTTCGACCATCTTCTTGTGGTGGTCGTACAGTTTTGCGACGCAGAAGGCTGCTGTTTTGCGAACGTAAGGGTCAATATCCATCATTAAACGTTTCACGGGCTGAACAGTTGCCTCTACAAACTCTCGAACATGGATATATGAAATAGTCCTGAGAGCGAGAGCGCGGACTAGCGGATTATGATCGTCCATATCCTTTGTATCTGTTAGTATACAGAGGCCCAAGGATCAGAAAAGTCATACATACATCGACCAAGATCGGCAAAGCCTTGAGGGCAATATCCGGCTTCGCTCTCGCATAGTTGACCAAGAACAGAAAGCACCTTAATTTACCAAGTCAGCGACTCTCAATTCCATTTCCGCATGAATTAAAACCGGCGAAATGAGTACACACATCTTCTTTATCTCCAGACTGGGAATGGTCATGCAAGCGACGACGTCGGGGAACAAGGCGACCATGTCGTTATTGCTCATCGTCATGTTTGCGACAATCTTCTTCAGCGCGATCTTCTTGGCGGAATGGTTTTTGTCCTTCTTGCCTCCGCTGTTGAGTTCCATGCGCAACTCGGCAACTTTCCCCTGTTTCGAGCGATGATATGGTGAGCCTTGGTACGAAGTTGGATGGGGGAGGGCGGCGATGAACATGATCACGTAGAAGGCAGAAAGGTAGACAGGTAGACAGGTAATGTAGAAAACAATGGTTCCCCAGGAGCAAGCAGCAGCGTGGTGAGAACGAGTAGTGGAAAGATGCATACCCTTGCGAAGAGCTTCGCGTCTCCTCCGCCTGAGCTCATGGTATCGAAAGCGCAAGCACCGCCAGAGATAACAGCCCAGGGTGAAAATTAGTGCAGATGATTGGAAGAACAGGCGCCTTGGAACGGTGTCTGTGCTATGATGCGAGATCACATGGATTGGATCGAGGGCGAGGGAGGGGTTCGAGTGGCTAGCTCAGGTCGGACTCGTCATGGACGGACATGTAGACGCAGCTAGTTATTGGGTCTGAGAGCGACTCGTCGTTGCACACGCGGATTGAACAGTTGATATGCAGTGATACAGATGTTGACTGCCAAAAGGTTGTCGGAAGTTGTCAGGCCAGGCCAGCAGCCAATCAGTTGCATCCGGCCGAACTCCGCCGTAGTTCCGCTAGCTAACCTACATTAACCTTCCCCGTACGCCGTCACGACCACAACCATCGTCCGCCCTGCACGCATTCAAAGACCATGTCTTCAACTGCGCCTCCGCCCACATGGGTGGTTGACATGAACACGCCGCTTGCCAAACGGCCCGGCAAGACAAGCAGCTTCCGCAACCCGCCGGGGTTCAGCACCACCAAGTCATCAGGCAAGCTGGTAGGCATACCTACCTCTATAAACTGGTATAAAGACGAAATTGAGGACTTAGTCGAACAACAGCAGGAACACGCCCGCCCAACCGCCGACCGCAAACCCATCGAAACCGACACGCTCAAACTGAAAAAGGCGTGGGAAGTCGCCCTCGGCCCATCGAAGAGCATCCCCATGAACGCCATCATGATGTACATGTCCGGCAACAGCCTGCAGATTTTCAGTATCATGATGGTGTTTATGCTCTTCAAGGGCCCCATCCAGGGCTTGCTAGCCACCAATGCCCAGTTCGTCAAGTTCGAGACCGAGTCCAACAAGGCCAAGTTGTGGGGGTGCAAGGCTGTGTATGTGTTGATGCAGTTTGTGTTGTTGGGGCTGGGCGTTTGGAAGGTCAATGCCATGGGCTTGTTGCCGTATGTTTGCTCCCTCCTCTCTCTCTCTCTCTCTCTCTCTCTCTCTTCTCTGTTGAATGCGATGTACTAACAGAAAAAGAACGACGAGGTCGGATTGGCTGGCGTGGGAGTCGGAGAGAATACCGCTTGAACGTGCTTATTTTGCGTTTGGCTGATGGCGAGTATGGCGAGTGTCCAGGCTACGTATGTATGTATGTATGTATGTAGTCTGACTTATCAAAAGAGATAATGTTATTAAATGTATAACCAACTATGATAATGCTTATATCCCAATTGCTATTCCCGCAGTACCAGCTCCATGCATGATCATAAACATCGTAGTCGTAGAATAAACGCTGCGCCGAAAGGGTCAAATCTATCTATGTATATATATGTATGAAACCGAAAATCACATCTTCTTTGCCAGCTCTCGAAGCCGTCTCTCCTCCCTCCATTGCGGCCCTCGCTTCATAAGAACAAACAACAACGGAGTCGTGCACAGCATCACCAGTGCAATAAACGTATAACACCATCCCCTACCCATAGCATCCAGCATAGGCTGAATAACCGCCGTAGCACCAGCCCCCAGCAGACAACGAGTAATATTACTCCCCGCCGTCGCCGTCGCCGCCTTGGTCGGGAACAGGTCGACAAGCAGCGTGCTGACAGTATTAAAGGAGCCCGTCAGGCAAAACCCCATGAAAAAGGTAATCACGATAGGCGCAGCGACAGAGACATTATAATCTAACACCCACCCAAACGCAATAACCAGACAGATGGCGCCCAGAATCAACGGAAACGCGATTTGAAGGCGCGCTTTCTCAATGGGGAAATCCCTGAGGTCTGCCTGTCGATTCCGCACCACGGATACTCCCAGCTGCTTTGAGATGCGCCGGTAGTTGAAGTCGAGGAATTTGCCGTTTGCGAATGCCGCGAGAGACGCGCCTGCGCCAAAAGGGAGGTAGCACAGGCCGATCTGGAGGTCGTTCAGATCGTATATCTCCTGGTATAGGGATGTGATGGCCACTGTGACGTCGTAGAAGCCAGCGAAGAAAATCGAATTGCATATTAGCAGCAAGGAAGTGTCCTTTTCCAAAACGATGGCGAGCGCCGGAAGAGGGTTCGGGATCGAAAGCTTGCGCGGCGGCAGCGATAGACTGCTCTCGATACGTTCCTCCTCTTCAGATGGTGACGATAATACTTTGCGAGCTTTGAGCAGGCCGACCAGCGACATATTCCATGTCGGCGGTGGGATGGAGCCATTGCCGACAATCTTGCGTCCCGTTTCCGGGTAAAAGATGAGAAACTGCAGCAGCCAGAGGGCGGCAATAATGACCAGGAACCAGAATATGGACCTCCATCCGAGAAACTCGGCCAAAAGACCGCCAATGACGGGTCCCAGCGCTGGGCCGAGTAATGAACCGGCCGTGGAGAATCCCATATAACTGCCCCTCTCTTCGATAGAGGCGACGTCCGCTATCACGCCTGCAGACAGCGCAATGGTAGAGCTACTCCCCGCGCTCTGCACGCATCGAAGCACTATCAAAGCTGCATAGCTGTTCTGCAAAGCCAGGCCGATGTTGGCCACAAGGTAGATGACGAAACAGAGGAAGTAGGCCGGTCGTCGACCAGCGTTATCCGCGAAATCGCCAATGAAAACAGGTGCAATGCCCTGGAAGATCTACAGTGATCCCACAACACCAAAATGAGCAAGATGCAAGATAGAAATAAATAGGGAGCGCGGGGGTAAAATATTACCATATAACTAGTCATGGTTAAATCAATCGCGGAAATCGAGACATGAAGATCCTGCGCCAAAGTGTTCATGGCAGGGAAATAGATCTGGGACGAAAGCGGCGAGAAGAATCCTGCCATCGACGCTGCTATCACAATATACCTCTTCCACCCAGTCGAGAAGACCGAGTATTCCACCCCGGAAGAAGCACGAGTGCCGCTACGCTCGAGGTCGATTGCAGCTGCAACATCATTTTGAGGAGGAGTCGTGGGTTCTTCCGAATTGGAACTGGCCTGGTCTGTTGCTAGGATTTCGTGAGCAGTTGCGGTTTTCGTTAGAGGACCGCTGGTATGACTAGTCTCTGCACATTTCTCTGCATCATGGTAATCGTCCGCCATTGAGTCTGCTGTCGCGGGAGACGTGAAGAAGAATCACAGAAAGTAAAAGACTCCGCCATTTTCGAGGCTCTGAAATGATGTACTTGACAGTGGACGAATAAAGGCCCACAGTCTGACTTGGCCAGCTCCACCTGGATAGATAGTAAGGCATCTTTTTGCTTTCAGTTCTGTTGCAAGCTTGCAATCGAAGGCTCTAAGCATGCAGGATTATCTCCGAGTCTGGACGTTTGCGGGGCCGCAGTGCCGAGTTTCCGTTCCGAAACCGCCAGATGCAAACTCGATGATTTCATTCATTGATCACAAGTACTTAACTAAGTGATGTGTATGTCCAGAAGACAAGGTAAATACAAGTTCTTGCATGGGCGTATACCCAGAAGAAAGACGGGGAAACAAAAAGACATGCTATATAGAATCAAGGGAAAAAAGAGAAAAAAAAAACCCAACGTAACGGGGAGTAGAAATGCATATCATAGAACAGAAAATAAAAAGTCATTGCATGTTATATGAGCTCGAGACAAGATGTGAGAGAAAGAGAGTGAGAAGGAAGAGAGCCTACTGCAGGCTACATATATCGACAAAACCCTAATCCTATACTGAACAACAACAACAACGACGACAGCAAGCTTACGCCCAGCCTACCCAGCTTCTAGGCATGACGCGCCAGACCTTGACTTCTCCGCTCTTGAGATCGCCTAGCTTGAAGCTTTCCGGTTTAACCTTCTTGCTCTCACGGCCCTGTTCCCAAGCATGGATCTTCTTTTTGGTTCCGTCCCAGTCAACAATGACTCCGACATGGTCCGGCTTGCCCACCTCGGCACTGTACTTCTGGTGCAGTCCTCCACGGTGGCCCTGGAAACGAGCGTTGCGGAAGCTGATGATATCACCCGCGCGGATCTCATCGTTTTGCTGGACAGACGCATTGGCCAAATTGGCATACACCAAGGCCCCGTAAGATCGTGTACCTACCGGCAGAAGCACGTCGCCAAGCGGTGCAAGGAGGTATTGAACAAGACCGTGAGACGTGCCATCACCAACCGTCGTATTCTGTATTGTACTGACAGCCGCCGAAATTCGACGCCCATATTGTTCATGGGCCGTTTCTAGCTGATCTTGGCGTAGTTTGTTCGGAGGTGCTTTATGTACTTGTTCAAAGGATACATCGCTTGGGTTCTTTGCGTCAAACCGGGTGTTGATGATGGTCTGCGAATAGTCCGCGAATAGAACGTAGACGTCTTTATTGACAGTAGTCTTACCGCCGCGTTTGGACGATGTTGACTCGTCGATCTCGTACAGCAAGTCTTTGCGATTCTGGAAAACGGGAGGCGGAGTGTTCGGCTGCGTCCACCAGTATGTGTTCTCCGCAAGATCTACGTCAGTTGCAATGAATCCCATGTCAAGAGATGGCCGGGGAACGTCCATTGACCGGCGTGTGTTCATCAGAGTTCTGGACACGTCGAAGCTCTGCCGAGATCGAGGAGCCTCACTTGTCGGTGGTGGAGGGGGAGGAGCAACAGCTCTTTCAGGAGGCGGAGGTGGGGGAGGAGCATGGGCTTGAGAAACAGCATCGTCATAGTCGTCATCGTCATCATTATAATCCTGTTGTGGAGGGGGGTTTGCAGGTAGAGGAGGTAGATGCGGACGACCAGAATCGTATCGATAAGGATCGTACTCATCATCATTTTCCTCTTCCTTTTCAGCAGGCACATCCCGTGGAAGGGGAGGCGGAGGAGGAGGCGCAGATCTAGGCGCATCTATTGATGTTCGTGGTGGCTGACTAGGCGGAGGCGGAGGAGGCATAGCACGCGGAGCCGTGGGAGGGGGCGGAGGAGGAGGCAGGCGGCTCTCAGGAGGAACTCGCGGAGACAGGGGCGACCTCTCATCACCTCCGTCATCAAAACTAGACTCCCTATCGTGTGACTTGAGCGCATCTTTGAACTTGGCACTCGGGGCCATATCAGTGTCATAGTCCGCTTCATACTCGGTAGTCTCGTCTTGAATATCATCGTCTGGAGAAATGAAACCATGTCTAGTATCCGAAGTGCCTTGCCGGGACAACGTTCCAGGAGGAGGAGGTGGTGGTGGTGGTGGGGGTCGAGCCTGTGGTGGAGAAGCTAGTCCATGGGGAGGGCTTGTTGGGATCGGAGGAGGTCCGCGACTGAAACGCCTTTCTGATATTGTTGGAGATCTCGGAGACTCAAATGTCGATGAGCGGCGAGGTGGTGCTGGCGGCGCTGGCGGTGCCTCTACTGCTGTGTTCAAAGACATACTTTTAGTACGAATAGAGATCTCGTCGTCCGATTCGGAACCAGAGCTTGGAGACATGGGAGGACGGGGAGCTGGAGGCAAGGGTCGTGATTCTGGGGCTGGAGGCGGAGGGGGCCTGCTCTCGACGGGAGGCAGAGGTGGTGGAATAGAGCGCTCTTGAGGAGGAGGAGGGGGCGGACGAGTCCTATCCATTGATTTACGTGGTGCTGTCTCAGGCTCCTCCGTCACATCCTCAATATCTGGCACCTCTCCTGGCGAATGCAATTGAGTGAGGGGAGTATTTCCGTACTCGTCTTCTTTCGAAACCTCCTTTGGAGAGGATATTGGTTCGGGTTTCGAAATATTCATTCCAGGCAATGCCATGATTGGTACCGGGGGAGCATGTGTTGTGGGCACGGTACTCTCTGGTTCCTCTTCTTGTTTCCCACCGGCATCTTCAGCAGGCTTCGCCTTCTTTGCACCGCCGTACATGCCTGGCATACCACCGCCAAACATACCCATCATGCCTATGCCACCACTCATCTTGGCCATTCGCTCTCTCAATTCCATCTTCCTCTTGACTTCCGGGTCAATATCTTCATCCTGTTCCTCTTCCTCCTCCTTGGCCTCCTCTTCCTCTTGTTCTTCTTCTTCATTATCACTGATAGCTGCTGGCTGTTCGGACACGACAGTGTTTTCTGCTCGAGGTCTTTCATCATAATCTTCTTTACTTGTCGAAGTTTCTTCTGCATCTTCCGTGTCGGCAGCGCCTGAATAGTCCGCATCATTGGGATCACTCAAAAGTTCCCTTGAAGGCTGAGGTGGGCTGGTGAGTTGTGGAGATCTAACTTCCTCCCCAGTCTCGCCTTCCAGAGATGGGCGTTCATTTCTAGGAGTTTCCAGAGGTTCAGCAGTCTGCTCCAACTCCGTGCCCTCGGCAGAAGCAGGAATAATAGGAGCTTGTTGAAGGTCAGTTCGTTTCTTAGGCGGCTTTTTGGCCTTCTCTTTCTTCTGTGCAGCCTCAGCCATACGAGACGCCTGTTCCATCTGCTGTTTCTGAAGCAATGCAATCCTCTCCTTGAGAGTAGTTGGCTTCGGCTGCTCCTCATCTTGAGACGGCTCTGCTGCAGCAGGTGGGGGCTGTGAGCGTTCCGAAACCGGCGGCTCTCTATTGGCAAATTCAGGGTCCTCTTCACGGCGGTATGGTTTCGGTGCAAGTTGCTCCCTTGGTATTGGAACATATGCGTTTTTGCTTGGAGGAGGCGCGACAAATGGTTTCTTTATGAAAGAATTGGAAGTGCTACTTGGGCCACCAGGCTTGAACGGCGCGATAGGAGGCGCAGCAGGCTTGTTAAATGCAGCAATCCGATCCTTGAAAGCATTCGAGCTCGGCTTGCTTGAAACGGCTGGAGGAGGTGCTTTAGTAACAGGGGCGGGAGCAGGAGGAGAGTCAGGCTGCTGCTGCTTCGGTGGTTGCGAGGTTACTGGAGGAGAAATCGGTTCAACAACATGGGCCGGGGCAGGAGCAGGCGGTAATGGTGATTCTTTTTCTTGAACTGGCTCACTGGCTGCCACTAGACTTGGTCTATCTTCCTGAATGGGTTCATTCCCGCTTGTCTCTGCGACAATCGGTTGTGATGGCGCAGCAACCGGCTCTGACTCCTTCCTTGCTTTCACCGGGCGATTCGGCCTTGGAGGAGCGGTGGGTTCAAATCTCTCGACGAAATTGCGAGGGAAAATCCCCTCTTGCTTTGAGCCGGAATCGTCGATGTATTCCCCATAGTACCAATCGGCATCCTCCTCGGCGGTGACGGTGATTACTTGACCGAGTTGAAAATGAAGGTCATCTTCATGCTCTGACGTATATTCAAAAAGAGCCTTGACTGTGAACGGCGGGTCGGACATCTGGTTGGTGGTGCCCCGAGAATCGCTCTTCGAGGCGAGGTTGGAATTGGCGTAGGCAGCGGGATTAGCGCAATGAGGGGAAACGACTACACGTTAAAACGACGAAAAAAATACAGCAGGCTAAAACGTGCGAACAGGCGAAATGCAAAGGTATTTTGATCTGGATCGAATAGCCACGGGGAGGATTGGCGTAGGAAGTCTGTACAACGGTGATGAATCTGGAGCTGTGCAGGGCGGTCGAGTCAACGTCCATCCATCCATCAATATGGGGGTGTTTCGGATGGCGGGACAGCTCACCACACCAGACAAAGACAGCGAAAGAGAAAGCTTACCTTAGTACATGTGCCTGACAAGTGTAGCCCGCAGGTGGAAGACTCGACGATGCAACCGTTAGCAAGAGGCGTTGGGGGGGGGGGAGCACAAGGACAGGATGGAAGCGTCGAGATTCAAGTCGTCGTGGGTGTTGACGGGGGGAGAGAGAGATGAGCCGTGCCAAACTTACCCTTACACGTACATGTGGGGAGCAGCGGGCTTGGCTCCTGCTGACTGGAGAGCTCCACCTGCAACCACGCCACTGCAAAAACATCGACGTACGTACCAAACAAGTTGCGACTGTTCATTCGAATCGAGGGCATTTATTCTGAGTCTCGTACACGCTGTATCCTTCAGTTGCACCTCGCCCCCAGCTCAGACATATCATGTCCCTCTCAGAACAAGCCCGGAATTACAGGTATCTCGGAAGCAAACCGCCCAATCCACATCATCTGGCGATCGCCCTCCAGCACGCAGATCAAATCCAAGCGCAAAAAGACGCACAAGCCTTGATCTTGGACCGTATACTGGAGCTCATAGAGCTTCCATCGTCGCCCACAGCAGACCCCGCGCAACCCTCAGCGGCAGACACGGCCGCTGTCAAGGATGCGCTTGTTCCATTCCAGCCAACTGATCTCGACAACCTCATTCTCGAGCGCAATATAGAGGGCCGTTGCGGCTATCCCCTCTGTCCTCGGGAGCATAGGAAAGAGGATCCGAGCGCCAAGTTCCGAATCTTATGGGGAGCCAAAGGCAGCGGGGACAATGGTCGAGGGCGGGAGATGAAAGTTGTGCCTCGTGAGAAGCTTGAGATGTGGTGCTCGGAAGAATGCGCTGAGCGTGCCATGTATCTGCGTGTTCAGCTAGCGGAGGAGCCGGTATGGGAACGACGAGCTGCAGGTACACAGACAAAGCGGCTTGTGCTACTGGATGAAGCCCGACAACAAACGAAACGGGGAACGTCAAGAGAAGGGTCCGACGTAGTCAATGTTTCTACTGACCGGGAAGATAATGCTCTAAATGGCAAGATGGCACGTCTTACAGTGGATGACTCTTCATCAGCAGCAGCAGCAGCAAATCCCGAGAAGGCAAAACAGCTCGCGCTTGAGAGAGGTGATTCAGGTCCAGCGTTTGAAGCACAAGGTCGTGTTGATGTGAACATTCGCGACAAAGACATCACATTCAACGGTAAAATCCCACCAGCTCCCGTTTCTCTTCCACAAGATAGGACGGGCGGTTCTATCGAGGGTTATGTGCCTCAGAACACTCAGAAACAACTGAAGAATATACGACGAGATGACTCCCGCGAGAGTCATGATGTTCTCGACAACATATGAAGTGAAGCCGGTATCTTCCTATTACAACAGCTACTCAAGTTATATTCCCAGGACAGGACAGATCAATCCTACGAATGCTCAGTAAGCCAATGCACCGGGCAGGCAGTGAATTGACATCCTACGACGGAAAAGTTTGTCTCTCACAACTGAGCAACTCTCCAGATGAAACATGACGCAGACAAAAGGAAAAGTCATGCAGCCAGTCCAGTCCAGGAATTACTCGCATGTTGAGAAAAAAAAACAATTTTCCATGACCATGAAAAATGAGAAGCAGTTGGCAATCAAGCGTCATCTCCCTTGTGAAAAAAAGGAGAATCAGCGACACCTTGTTTTGGAAAAAATCCTGTTTCTTTTATTTTTTGCTGTTAATCTCGCAATATAGCAGGATTAAGCTACACATGAGCGCCGTATGCTCCGTAACGAATTTTTTTTTGAGAAAATCCTCACGTCATTAAGTAGACAGCGCCATATTCGTCATAATTCCCAACCCAAACGGAGAAAATGAAAGAAGGCGTTTACCGGAAACGACGAGGGCGCTCAGGAGCCTGTTGCTGGGAGACGTTGACAACGTTGACCTTGAGGGAGTCGAACTGTGAAAAATAGTTAGATTAGCAAGACTTTCTGAGGGAAAAAAAGAAGGAGGAAAAAAGAGATGGTGTACTCACTCCGAGGCTCTTGAGGAGATCCTTGGTGTCGGCATCAACATCGAGTTGGCCAGACTCGGTCTGGGAGACATCCAAAGCGGAGATCTCAGGAACATACTGATCCTTGCGCTCACGTTCCTCTTCCTGGAGCTTGAAGGAGATACCGCGGACAGGACCACGCTGGATACGCTTCATCAGGTGGGTGGTGTAGCCGGCAATCTTTTTTTATATAAAATTCGTTAGATTCATGCAATGACAAAAATTTTCGATATGAATTTTCTGACGAACCTTGTTGCGCAGGCGCTTCGAGGAGATGATAGCAATCTCATCGCAAAGACGCTTGTTGGTCTCGAAGTCCAACGTCAACTTGGGGTAGTAACGCTCAATGATGACCTTGGCGGACTTCTTGACGGTCTAAAAAAGGTTCAGATGCATTAGCGACAAAATTTTCTCATCTTTAAGAACGAGAATGTCGTGTTTTAATTCTCACCTTGGTACGGACGCGACCCATTTTGGCGGTTTGGATATGTTGTCTTTTAGTCGTTCGAGAAGAGGAAGAGGAATTTCCCAAAGACGATTTAATTATTATCGAATTCGGGTTGTGGGCTGGTGCGGCTTGGGTCCGGCTAATTCGGTCACGTGCGACACTTGTTTTGATTGGCCGGTTTTGACTATTTCGGGGCTAGTCACGTGATTGAGTTGCGAGTAGCTATTCTATTGGGCCAAGGTTCGAGAGAAAGTGTAAAAACACGTATATAGGCTAAAATGGAATTGATATGAAACTCATTTATTGTACAATGTATACACAGTCACCAGCCAACACTCACAACTAGACACGCTTGATCAATTCGGAGACAGCATCCATCCTTTCGCGCCGCCGAAGAGGCTCGCTAGACTTATCGAGTTGGGGAACGGCTCGCTGCGTAGAGCGTGCCGCTTGAGATATGTTCGTCCCCTTGTTTGGCACATAGTTGGAGACTCCGTAAGGCGCCAAGACGTCACGTTCGGCTCTGGCAGCCTCGAGGCTGATAGTGCCCTGCGAAGAAATCGAGACTCGGCGTGGAGAAACCCAAACTCTTCCGCCTCCAGGCACCGACGGATCAAGGTACTCGATACCCCTGAGATGATCTTCTGGGCTATCGGCTTCATCCTCGTATGCGATACCACCGACACCAAGAACGGCTCGTCGCTTATGTCTTCGCTTCCGTGTCTTGGCAATCAAGCATCGAGCTTCGACGGGGCGCATGCTTTGCTGAGGTCCAAATGACGGGTGATTGGAGATAAGTGCACCTGAACGAGTGTATGCGAGTCCGGCGGACGGGTGTGTTCGGGGTGGTCCCTGTTGAGCGTAGTCGACAGAAGACAACCTAGTCGCGTTCGCTTCGTAGTAATCTGTTCTTCCCATCATGATTGAAGGGATGTCGGATGACAAGGTATGAAGATCCAGAAGATGGGTAAGTTCTGCACCAGCTAATCTTTTGTTTGTTCGTAGATCCTTTAACCAAGCCTGGAACTCTCCATCTGTAACTTCGACCGTCTCTTTCAAACCTTCGGCATCCAAACCGCCCTCATCCTGAGCGTTCTTCCTACGTTCAGCCGTCACTTTGCTGACGTATTGCTCGCGCAATTGTTTCAACAACTCGGGTTTTCGGCGTCGGAGCTGCTGCAGATACGCTTGAAATTGAATTTCTGATTGGCCACCTAGCCATGGCCCGGAGTGCCGGTATAGTTGAGCTCCTTGTTCTTTGCTGCCTTCGCTACTGGAGACATTATCATATCGAGGTTCAAACGGACTCTCATGACCCCTACCAAATTCATGTCGACCTTTCTTTGTGGCCTGGGGTAGTGAGACGGGTAAGTTGAGTTCCTGAAATTTCATCAGAGTCATGGTATGATCTCCGGCCGAATCGAAGTCCGTAACATGTTCAAAGGTGTCCAGAGCATTGACTCGAATCACGGGTTTACTCGACCTCTCTGTTGTAGACTTTGCTGGTAGCGGTCGCTTTAAGCCCCAATCTCCTTGGTAGAGAGCCGATGCTGGCGTTTCAATTGCCGCTCTGGTAGGATGCGGAAGAGTCGCGGAAGACGATTCGACAACGGTTTTTGACGTTACTTCTCGCGGCGCGGTCTTCAGAACTGACGGTAATGCGAAGAGCCGAGAATTCCTCAGCAAATTGGCCGTCGGCGAGAGCTTTGGAGCTGCCATGGCTGCTGTTGTCGTCTGAGGAGAGAGAGACCGCTGGAAGAAAACTAAAAACTTCCCAGGGACAAGTCAAGCCGCCGTACGGCAGGCGACAACGAACATAAGCGCAACTTATACAACGGCGCAGTCAACTCTAACCACTGTGTCCAATGTCAAAGCTAATTTCTTTAATTCAGCAAACACATATCTACTAGTCTATATTCAAATTATAGTTACTGGCTGGTCGCAATCTGCAAGATACACTAGAGGCCCACTTTAATCAGTGAAGTAATAGTGTCGCTGGCAGACTCCTTGAACGACCTGTATTTGATGCCGAGAACTTTGACACTCTTCGAAGCATCAAAATCAAAGAGGTACGTGATTTCCTTTTTGCTGCCATACTCGGGCAAGTTCGACGCGTATTTGGGGTGTGTCTCGCGAATGGCTTCCGCAAGACCCTGATGGCTGAAGAATCCTTCTACTGTGAAGAATCGCTGGCCGCCTGCTTCTGCGACCTCAATGGCCTTGACATGGGCTAGGGCCACGTCGCGGACATCCACCCATAGAGAATTCTCCGTCGGGTTTGTGTCCTGCTTATATTTCCCTTGCGCAAAATCCCTTATTTTCTCGTTGGAGGTATTGAGGCTGTCCAGGCTGTTCAGGTAGCCGATAACTGGGCCAAAGACGAACGGAGGGTTGATGGTTGCGAGATCAAAGTTGGGCTTCTCATTCTTCACGAAATCCCATGCTGCTTTTTCGGCGAATGTCTGGTTTTATAAGTTAGAGCTCTTCTTTTTGCTTTACGGGAAAACGGAGGGGAAGATTGTTACCTTGCTTCCCCTGTATGTGGTAAATTTGTTGTCCTTGGTGGCCTCCTCCCATGTAACAGGGTTCCAAACGGACTCGTCGTAGAGCTTCACATGGTTTGGGGCATGGGTGATGGCAGCGAAAGAAGAGGTGATGACCACTCGTTTCACCGAAGGAACGTAGGCCTTGGTGGCCTTCAAAATACCAGTGGTACCCTTGACAGCGGGTTCCAGGACCTCGGCGACTGGGTCTGTGAAGTTGTAGTGAAATGGCGACGCAGTGTGAATCACGTAGTCGAAGGCAGGCCCAGACTTCAGAGCCTATCTGCAAGTCAGCAAATGAACCACACACCGTGCAGTCCTGTATGCATGATAGTATCATACCTCATCAAAGGCGCCTTCCTTGGCTATATCCTCGACAATGACGTACGACAATTGCTCTCTAGATAGCTTGGGATAGGCCTCGAGGATCTTGTTGCCCTTCTGCTGGGAGCGGACGGTGGTCACGACCTCAAATCTGCCACATGAAAGGGTCAGACTTGTCTCTGCTTCCTAGTCCCCTTTTCAGAGTCCCCTTAGTACTTACCCATGCTCAAGCAATATGTTCAGGACGTGGGCAGCGATAAAGCCGCTGCCGCCTTGACAGGACGCACGCATGTCAGCTATATCCTCTCGGAATCAGTCCTATATTGAGGAGCCTTACCTGTGAGGAATACTTTCGGCATCGTGCAATGGATCTCGGCTTGGTGTCTTTCACGCTATTTCTGAAGAACTGGCTGTTGTCTGCAAAATAACAGGGAGCTTCGTGGTTTAAATACCTTGGAGAATGCCCCTCGGAAATCTACCCCTCCGTCTCCACGTCTAAGCGGCGGAGACAGAACTTGTATTTGCGATTCGGTCATGGAAAGTTATTGGTCCCGAGATTTAGCATGATTGTGTCATTCTACTGGAGTCTCACGATTGTGTCGATGCATGGATTCTTCAGCTCTAGGAAATGCAATACCTAGATATAATCGCGAGACTATGACAAGATCTATAAGATATTTCCCCAAGTTGTCTAGTTTCATAGTGGCTCTATCTGGGAGAGCTGGCACACTACATATCTTTCGCATCGTATAATCAAAACATACAGTATATTGCAATGCCATAACCCAGAATCTCAATGCACCATTACAAGCAGGCTTCTCTCTCTGTGTGTAGTACAAATATCCAAATTGTACCGCGGCGAGGTGGCCCGTGCAGCCGCGCAGCTGATGGCTTCCGCCTTCAGTCTGTCTGGTTACCGCCTGCTCTGCTCTGCTCTGCCCATCAAAGCGTGCCCCCCCCCAGAGCAGAATCCAGAGCTCTTAATCAGATGTGTTCGCCGTGCTGCTATCCATCATGGCGCAATCAGGTCCGGTGACCGACGTTGTCCAGAGGCTCTTCACGGAGCTCAAGTCCAAAAACGAAGAAGCACGAGTCAGAGCTTCGTTTGAGCTTTACGACAACGTGCTCACTGTTTCACGCGGTATGGTGCTGCCGCTCTTCTCTTCGCATTTAGATGCTCGACTAACAGGCAGCGGATGCCTCTAGACTGGGCCCCCGAGAAATTCCTCGAATTCTATAATGCAGTGAGCCAGCGAATAGCCCAACTCGTCGTCACGGGCAGCGACGCCAACGAGAAGATTGGCGGTCTCCTAGCGCTCGATCGATTAATTGATTTTGACGGGGTAGATGCTGCGCAAAAGACCACTCGGTTTGCTAGTTATCTGCGCAGTGCGTTACGGAGCAATGACAATGCAGTGTTGATATATGCCGCGCGGTCCCTCGGCCGCCTCGCGAAACCCGGCGGTGCCCTGACGGCAGAGTTGGTGGAGAGCGAAATACAATCTGCCCTTGAATGGCTGCAGTCTGAAAGGCAGGAAAGCAGACGCTTTGCGGCGGTGTTGATTATACGAGAACTAGCCAAGGGCTCGCCGACCCTGCTGTACGGATTCGTTCCTCAAATCTTCGAACTGATTTGGGTCGCCCTCAGGGATGCCAAAGTCCTTATCCGAGAGACTGCCGCTGAGGCCGTTAGCGAATGTTTTGAGATAATTGCTGCACGAGATGTTGGCGTGAAACAGCAGTGGTTTGCGCGTATTTACGAAGAATCTCTACAAGGCCTCAAGTCCAGCAATGTAGATTGGATTCACGGATCACTCTTGATATTGAGAGAACTTCTTCTCAAAGGTGCTATGTTTATGAATGAACATTATAGAAATACTTGTGAGATCGTGCTTCGCCTCAAAGACCACCGAGACCCCAAAATACGCACCCAGGTTGTCCGTACCATCCCGATACTTGCTTCCTATGCACCGATGGACTTTACGAACAATTACTTGCATAGATTTATGGTATACCTCCAGGCTCAGCTTAAAAGAGAGAAGGAACGCAATGCCGCTTTCATTGCAATTGGAAAGATTGCCAATGCGGTGGGTGTTGCAATCGGGCAATACCTCGATGCAATCATAGTCTACATTCGCGAAGGTTTAGCCTTGAAAGCGTAAGTTGTTTTCTGACCGATTTCAGGGAGAATACGCCGTCTAACTTTAAATACAGGAGGAATCGCGCGGGCGTAAACGAAGGACCCATGTTTGAATGCATCAGCATGCTGTCGTTAGCGGTTGGACAAGCGTTGAGCAAATATATGGAAGCTCTGCTCGACCCAATATTTTCCTGTGGCTTGAGCGAGTCCCTAACCCAGGCTTTGGTCGATATGGCACACTATATTCCTCCCATAAAACCCACAATACAAGAAAAATTGTTGGACATGCTGAGTATCATCCTGTGTGGTACGCCCTTCCGACCTCTGGGATGTCCCGAAAACAGGTTGCCTCCTGTGCCTTCTTTTGCAAAGGACTTCACTCCTCAGGAGCTCCACACCGACACAGAAGTGGCTTTAGCTTTACATACTCTGGGCAGTTTTGACTTTTCCGGTCACATACTAAATGAATTCGTTCGAGATGTCGCCATCAGATACGTTGAAAGCGAAAACCCAGAGATACGAAAGGCTTCCGCCTTGACCTGCTGTCAGCTCTTCGTGCACGATCCTATCATCAATCAAACAAGTAGCCATTCCATCCAGGTTGTTGGCGAAGTGATTGACAAGCTGCTTACCGTGGGCGTGGGCGACCCTGATCCTGAGATCCGACGCACTGTTCTCTTGTCGTTGGACCGGAAGTTTGACCGCCATTTAGCGAAGCCGGAGAATATTAGATGCTTGTTTCTGGCCGTGAATGACGAGATTTTTGCTGTTCGTGAAGCTGCAATTAGTATCATTGGGCGCCTTTCTAGCGTCAATCCGGCATACGTATTCCCTCCTTTGAGGAAACTACTTGTCAATCTCTTGACGGGTCTGGGTTTTGCAAGCACTGCTCGTCAAAAGGAAGAGAGTGCACAACTTATCAGTCTTTTTGTGGCCAATGCAACGAAACTCATAAGATCATATGTTGACCCCATGGTTACATCTTTACTGCCCAAGACTACTGACCCTAGTGCAAATGTGGCGTCCACAACGTTGCGGGCCATTGGCGAACTCGCAAATGTTGGTGGTGCTGAGATGAAGAGTTATCTACCAAAGTTGATGCCGATTATCCTAGACTCCCTGCAAGATTTGTCCTCGCACTCGAAAAGAGAGGCCGCTTTGCGGACACTAGGGCAACTTGCCAGCAATTCCGGCTATGTGATTGAACCGTATATGGAATACCCCCAATTACTTGCTGTCCTGATCAGCATTATCAAGACAGAGCAGACGGGTTCACTGCGCAAGGAAACCATCAAATTACTGGGCATTTTGGGAGCCTTGGATCCTTACAAGTACCAGGTATGCAATTTATCCTTGCAACTTATCATCTTCCGAGTTAACAAATCCGTAGCAAATCAGTGAAACCTCACCCGAGGTTCATTACATCAATGAAGTGCAGCCGATCTCAGATGTTGCTCTCATTATGCAAGGCTTGACACCCTCCAGTGAGGAATACTATCCTACAGTGGTCATCAATACGCTTTTGCAGAACATACTGCGCGAGAACTCTTTAGCACAATACCACTCCGCTGTCATCGACGCTATTGTCACGATCTTCAAGACCCTTGGTCTGAAATGTGTTTCATTCCTTGGGCAAATAATCCCAGGATTCTTGTCAGTTATTAGGAGCTCGCCTGTCAGCCGACTAGAGTCGTACTTTAATCAGCTTGCGATTTTGGTAAATATCGTACGCCAGCACATTCGTGCTTTCTTGCCCGAAATCATCGACACAATACGCGATTATTGGGAATTAAACCATCAAGTACAAGCCACTATACTGTCTCTGATAGAGGCTATCTCCACAGCACTAGAGGGAGAGTTCAAGAAATACCTGGCTGGATTGATTCCTTTAATGCTGGATACTCTTGAGAAGGACACCTCTGCACGTCGCCAGCCCTCCGAACGAATCTTACATACCTTCCTCATTTTCGGTTCTAGTGGAGAAGAATACATGCACTTGATCGTCCCCTCTATTGTGCGACTCTTTGATAAGTCGCAGAACCCCTCAAATATCCGCAAATCTGCCATTGAGACCCTTGGGAAGCTATCACGCGAAGTTAATGTGTCCGACTTTGCATCGCTGATGATACACTCTTTGTCTCGAGTCATCGCAAGTAACGACCGAACGCTTCAAAAAGCCGCTATGGATTGTATATGTGCTCTTATCTTCCAACTAGGGCAAGATTTCAATCATTACATCCAGCTTATCAATAAGGTATTTACTCCCATGTTCATTTTCTTCTTTTCTTTCCCACATGACCCATTAACTGTGTTATTACTATTCGCAGATTATGAAGCAAAACCAGGTTACGAATTCGTCATATGAATCGTATGTCGTCAAATTGCAAAAGGGCGAGTCACTCCCGCAGGATTTGAATATCCAAGAAAACTATCGCACCTTAACGGATGACACAAACTATGCGGAAATAGGTCAGAAGAAAATGCAGGTCAATCAACAACATCTCAAGAATGCATGGGATGCCTCGCAAAAGTCAACGCGGGAAGACTGGCAAGAATGGATCAGACGCTTTAGCGTGGAGCTTCTGAAAGAATCGCCATCCCCAGCCTTGAGGGCATGCGCCAGTTTAGCTGGCATCTACCAACCTCTTGCTAAGGATTTGTTCAATGCTGCCTTCGTTTCATGCTGGACTGAACTATACGATCAGTACCAAGAGGAACTTGTGCGTTCGATTGAGAAGGCATTGACCTCCCCTAACATAACCCCCGAAATTCTACAAATACTTCTTAATCTGGCAGAATATATGGAGCATGATGACAAGGCTCTGCCGATTGACATCCGGACTTTGGGCCGGTATGCGGGTAAATGTCATGCATTCGCAAAAGCTCTTCACTACAAAGAACTCGAGTTTGAACAGGATCAAAACTCAGGCGCAGTAGAAGCCTTGATTACAATCAATAATCAGCTTCAACAGTCGGATGCAGCCATCGGTATTCTACGCAAGGCTCAGGCATATCGTGATGTTGAACTTAGAGAGACCTGGTTTGAGAAGCTTCAGCGCTGGGATGAAGCGCTTGCAGCCTACAAACGGCGTGAGAAACAAGACCCAGACTCTTTCGGCATTACCATGGGAAAAATGCGCTGTTTACACGCTCTTGGAGAATGGAAGCTTCTATCTGATTTTGCACAGGAAAAATGGAACCAGGCGTCTGTGGAGCATAGGCGAGCCATCGCACCGCTAGCTGCTGCAGCTGCTTGGGGTCGTGGCCAGTGGGAGCTTATGGACTCTTATCTCAGTGTTATGAAAGAACATACCCCGGATCGATCTTTCTTTGGTGCTATCTTAGCCATTCATCGGAACCAGTTTGAAGAAGCAGCACTTTACATTGAAAAAGTACGAAACGGGCTGGATACAGAGCTTTCTGCTCTTTTGGGTGAATCCTACAATCGGGCTTATGATGTCGTTGTTCGCGTGCAAATGCTTGCAGAGCTTGAAGAAATTATCATTTTCAAGCAAAATGTTGGCGATCCCGAAAAGCAGCAAGCAATGCGTGATACGTGGACCAAGAGATTACTTGGTTGCCAACAGAACGCTGAAGTGTGGCAACGAATGTTGAAAGTACGGCAGCTTGTAACCACGCCTCAGGAAAATCTATATATGATGATCAAGTACGCCAATCTCTGTCGGAAATCGAACAGAATGGGTATCGCCGAGCGCACTCTGGCTTCCTTGGAGACAGCAGTCGAAGGACCTAATGGTGTCGAAACCGTGGTGGTACCGCCGGAAGTCAAATACGCACGCTTCAAGTTTGCATGGGCGCAGGGACATCAGTCTGAAGCCTTGCAGTCTCTGAAAGAATTCACTGCCAGCCTAGCAGATGATTTAACGAGGTACAATGCCCTCATAGCGAATCATGCCGAACATGATGGTACGAATGGCGTCAATGGTATCATTGATACCAATCCAGACATCACTCACCTACGGTCGCGAGTTGGGGATGCAACGAAATTAAGGAAACTTCTCGCCAAGGGCTATCTAAAGCAGGGCGAGTGGCAGACAGCTCTTCAGAGTGGTGACTGGCGACCGGAACATGTTCGCGAAGTGCTTAATGCCTACTCGGCAGCAACCCAGTTCAACCGCGACTCTTATAAAGCTTGGCATGCATGGGCTTTGGCGAATTTTGAAGTCGCCACAACCTTGGCTGCTCAGCAGAGTCGTGATGGTTCCTCGGTTCCTGGGCATATTGTCAATGAGCACGTTGTTCCGGCAATTCGCGGCTTCTTCCGATCAATTTCGCTGTCCTCTACATCTTCTCTGCAGGATACTTTGAGGTTACTCACTTTATGGTTTACGCACGGAGGCGATCAAGATGTTAATAGTGTCGTTACTGAAGGGTTCTCTTCGGTAAATATCGACACCTGGCTTGCAGTTACGCCACAATTGATTGCGCGCATCAATCAGCCAAATGCACGAGTGCGCACTTCAGTGCATCGGCTCCTCAGTGAAGTTGGAAAGGCACATCCGCAGGCACTCGTATACCCGTTGACTGTTGCGATGAAATCCAATGTTGCTCGACGATCTCAATCAGCCACCTATATCATGGAAAGCATGAGGCAACACAGTGCTAAGCTTGTCGAACAAGCCGATATTGTCAGTAATGAGCTAATCCGTGTTGCTGTTTTGTGGCACGAACTGTGGCATGAAGGTCTAGAGGAAGCGTCCCGACTGTATTTCGGTGACCATAACGTGGAAGGCATGTTCTCCACGCTGGCTCCTCTTCATGACTTGCTCGATAGAGGAGCTCAGACCTTGAGGGAGGTTTCATTCACTCAAGCCTTCGGACGCGATTTGGCTGAAGCCAGACAATGCTGTATCATATACCGTGAAACCGAAGAGCTTGGAGATCTGAATCAAGCCTGGGAGCTGTACTACACTGTTTTCCGCAAGATTGCACGTCAGCTGCCTCAATTGTCCACGCTGGATTTGAAATACGTGTCTCCCAAACTTAAGGATGCCGTGGATCTTGACCTCGCCGTTCCAGGAACGTACCACCCAGGCAGGCCCGTTATCAAAATATCAAGCTTTGACCCCGTTCTTTACGTTCTTCAGACCAAGAAGCGACCGCGAAGAATGACCCTCAAGGGAAGTGACGGCAACTCTTACATGTACCTTGTTAAGGGACACGAGGATATTCGGCAGGACGAACGTGTTATGCAGCTGTTCGGTCTTGTGAATACACTACTTGATAACGATAGCGAGAGCTTCAAGCGACATTTGTCCGTCCTGAGATTCCCGGCCATCCCACTGTCCCAAAATTCGGGTCTATTAGGTTGGGTTTGCAACAGCGACACTTTGCATGCGCTTATCAAGGAGTATCGAGAAAGCCGGCGTATCTTGCTCAATATCGAGCATCGCATCATGCTTCAAATGGCGCCTGATTACGACAACCTCACGTTAATGCAGAAGGTCGAAGTCTTTGGATACGCTATGGACAACACTACGGGCAAGGATCTATACCGTGTGCTTTGGCTGAAGAGCAAGAGCTCGGAGTCTTGGCTCGAGCGGCGTACTAATTACACGCGTTCTCTTGGAGTCATGTCAATGGTCGGATACATACTCGGCCTTGGTGATAGACATCCTTCGAATCTGCTGCTTGATAGGGTTACTGGAAAAGTGGTGCATATCGATTTTGGCGATTGTTTCGAGATCGCTATGCACCGGGAGAAATATCCTGAACGAGTTCCGTTCCGGCTTACCCGCATGTTAACGTTTGCTATGGAAGTCAGCAATATCGAGGGAAGCTATCGCATTACATGTGAGGCAGTCATGCGCGTCATTCGAGAAAACAAGGAGTCCTTGATGGCGGTGCTGGAAGCTGTGAGTTCTTTTCTTTTTTAAGCTTTGGTGGCTTCATGGCGCTAACTGTTTCTAGTTTATCCACGATCCTCTGATCAATTGGCGCCTTGGAGCTCGTGAGTCACCAGAACGGCCATCATTCGCTACAGTAGACCGTCGGCAATCTATCGCCGACGATGTCAATCTCGAGCACGGCATTCAACCAAGCAATTTCTCGCGTCATCGTAGGGCGTCGATCTTGGAAGGCGGCGGTATCCTAGACGCACCACAGGGATTCCCGACCGAGGCACGAGAGGCCCAGAACGCGCGTGCCTTGCAAGTCCTCGCTCGTGTCAAGGAGAAGCTTACGGGACGTGACTTTAGACAGAATGAAGAGCTGAACGTTAGCGACCAGGTCGACAAGCTCCTCGCTCAGGCGACTAGCGTTGAGAATATCTGTCAGCATTGGATTGGATGGTGCAGCTTCTGGTAGGCTGTTCTTTCTGTTCTTTTCAATTTGTAGGTGAGATAAGCGAATAGAATAAAGGAGTGCATGTTGGTGTAAGATGATGGAGGATGGCATTGGGCTGGGTTTGTTTCTTTCTCTCTTTAGTTGTGTAAGGGCGCACGGAGCATGTTCCTTCAATATGTGTATACTCTTTTCCATTTTCATTGGCGGTTGTATTTTTTTTTTCTTTTCTTTTCTTCTCTGGAAGCTGCATAATGCCATACCATAATAAGTATAATAATTATTATATCATGATGCATATACTTAGTCCACTACGATTGGTCGAACAATCCGGGGTTAGCGGGGAACCAAGCCATGTGCCTCGGCTGTCAGCAACCTTCCCTCAACCTTGGAACCAAACGCTGTGATCAACTTTCCTTCCCATTATCCACTGCTCAACGACTCAATGATCGAAAATACCCGAAATGCCATCTAAAAAATTCAGTCCTCCTCCCGATGACGCTGCCGTGGAGTCGCAGGCGCAGATCCATCCACTGATACGAAATGCGTTGCGCCTTTCCCTGAGCGCAAAGGAATACAAGTTCCTACACGAACGCATCCTCAAGCGCTCCGGATCGATTGAGCAGCGCCTGCCCACGCCATTCAGATATGAAACGATTGTGCGAACGACGACAAATAATAAATACAATGTAGCTGCGGTGCGGGCGTCGTTGCGGATGTTTTTGGCGGTTAGTGGTGGGTTGTCGTTGAGTGAAGTTGTTATGGCGAGGGTTAGGAAGGATGGATCGAGGTATGCCTCTGTTTTCATATATATCTGTCTATATATTAATGAGTTATCAGTGCTAAAAAACCACGCGAATCTTTTCTTTGCTCTCCCAAATTCCGACTCGCATTATCACTCTCACTGGCCCTTCTGGCCCATCGCATTCTGTACCGGTTCTTCGTCCGACTACGCGCAAATCTTCGAACAGACGATGCCAAGCCGTTTAGGGATCGCAATCCTCGTTTCTCCTGGGCCTTGACGTCGAGATATGCGCCTGCTGTGGGTGCTAGTCTGGCTGGTGTCGCTCTGGGTATTTGTCCCCAAAGCCGTATTCGCGTTACGCTGGCGATATATACGGCTACTCGCAGTTTGGAGTTTCTCTATAATGCTCTCAATGAGAAGGGGTATTTGGAGCATAAGCCTTGGTGGTTTGGCAGCTGGCTGCTGATGCCGATTTCTTGTGCGCAATTGTTTCATGCGTTTGTGTTTGATCGTGAAACTATACCCAAGGTATACTGGTTTTTCTTTTCTTCTTTTCTTGATGAAAATGTGAGCTCATATTCTCTAGTGGATGGGCGACTTGCTCCTTAGGTTCTCGTCTAGCTATATTGCAGATCGACCTGCACATTTCCCGGCGCATCTGGACTGGCCGAGTCAGCATGAACTAGTTGATTCTCTCGGCTCAATTGCCAGTCTTAAATGGCCGTATGTATGACTGCTGACTCGATGAAGTTGCCCGACTGACTGTTCTAGGACGTTTATGTCGCCAATTCTTCATCCTAATAATCCTAAACCTCTCCCAAAACAAATTCAGTCAATTTCACCATTGACATCTCCGGCTCATCCCAACATTGCCTCGCTGTCATGTGCTTTGCTTCACCCAAGCACACCAAGCTGCAACACCGCTTTTGTGCACCAAATCCTACACTCTGTTCCTCGATTAGCGCGGACCATCACTCTTGCAGTCCTTGCTATTTCAGCAGCCAGCTACAAGAAATCACTCTCAAACCCCACCGGTTCAATAAACACAATCTCGAAGCGAATCCTCAGCCTGACAGCCATACTGTCCGCCTCAACAGGCTCATTCTGGGGAAGTATATGCTTGCTGAATAGTCTCCTCCCTCGCTCAGCCCTGTCAACACAACGATTCTTCATCAGCGGCGCCGCGGGCGGACTGCCCTTTGCCTTTTTCAAGCAAGGCCGAAGCTTGTTTACATATATCTTCCGATCAGCTATCTATTCCGCGTGGGCAACGGGCGTGAAACGACGATACTGGCGCGAGTCGAAATCAGGCGAACTGGCGCTCATAGTCGTGTCGTGGGCACTACTCGGGGCGGTGCTGGAATGGTCGCCTGAAGCTGTGCAGGGCGCTGGGTTCCGTAAGGGGCTGGCGTGGCTACGTGGTGATGGCCTCGTAGATCCCTGCGAGGTTGCTACGAAGAGGAAGAGAAGGGCAACTGTGACGGCGACGCAGGGTGATGCTAATGATGCTGCTCTATAATTTTTTCACTTTTCCTTCATTTTGGGAGTGGCATAGTATTGTCAAGGACATATCTTTATGATTAATTTGATCTTACTTTTATTTTACGAGGGAAACTATGTTGGAGAGGACCTCATCATACAATCCTGATGTAACGTTTTCTTCAGAACTCTGCTTGGATCCTGTCCCAAAATATAATTTCTGCTTGCATCCATTCAAAGGAGCCTTTTCCTCAAGGAATATCTCCCACGAAACGGCTGGTCCATGAACCCTGGCTCCTTCTTCTCTCGTTCAAGCAAGTCCAGAAAAATCGTTTTGAGCTGTTCAAGAAACTTAAAGATCCAACGACGAGTACCAAGCCCCGTGTTGCGATCTCACTTGGGATCCTCCATGAATTCCTGCGTTGCAAGACCGATAAATTGCAAGTCTACGGGACAGTTAGTCTTTTGGAGATCACTATATTCAAAGATTAGATCCATCTGACAACGGCTCTTCCAGTAACTGTCCACTTCTTGACATGACATTACCGAACTCAATGATATCTGTTTCCTTTCGTATGGCTCCTGATAATAATGATTTCTAGACGAGCAGATCATTGCTGCTCTTGAACAGGTCAAACTATGGAAGACAATTAGTACCAAGGGGGGCCTAGATGCCATCATGGATAGCGGACTATTCTCGCATGGACAACTCTAGCTCTTCAGCTTCGCGAGAGCAATGTTGCAGCAGAATGGATCAATCCTGATACTTGACGAGGCAACTCGCAGCGTTGACGCGGATACCGACGAGCTAATCCAGCGACTCCTTCGCGAACGCTTCCATAGCCATACTGTTATCATGAAAGCGCATAGGCTACGACGTGCGGTTGACTTTGACAAAGTCCTTGTTCTAGACGGTGGCAAACTTGCCGAGTTCGATTCTCCCGCAGCGCTTCTTGATGAGCCCTCAATCTTCCGCTCTTTATACGAGGCTTGCTAGAGAGATGGGCTGTTTTTCAAGTTGTTTGGTGGTAAGTATCATCTGATTCCATCATTTGTTACCTAGCCAAAGGCCAATAAACAACAACAACGCTCGGAATTCATGGGAAAAGAAATATACCTACGCGGAGAGTATAAAAATACGGTGAGAGAAGGATGGCCCATTGGAAATGGGGTTCCGAGGTAGTAGGTCTAGGCTCTATGACTATGAATGAATGCAGTATCTCACTGTATTTTAGATAAGAAGTCTCGTATTGAAGTATCTAGGTATCAATGTGTGATATCTGGAGCGCGAATGCCCCAACTCACAGCTTGTAAAGAGACCTGTCTCTCTACGAGCACGCCGAAATGTGAACGAAGTACCACCGGTGAGCTTCAACACTGTCGTCTGTAGTTCCGTCATTGCCAGCCGTCGAGTCCACGCCCACGACTTCATTCACATCGGCGTCTGTCACAGTCACGTCGTTGCCACTGGTGATCCAGTACTCAGGGCTGAAATGAGCATAACCTAACAGCTCTGGGGGCACCTTGGGAACAATGTCGTCTGTGTGGGTGACACGATAGTTAGTTCCCATGGATTCACTGGTGATGTAGTCGGCCAGGGCCAGGTTGCCAATACGCGGTTGACCGTAGTTATACTATTCGCATGTCAGTCCGATGATTATTATTCCCGATTGATCAAAACGTTTTATATATGACAACGCACCAGCTCAACCGTATATCCGTCCAAGCGCAAGACAGTTGCCGCAATGGCAGCCAATGCAGCTCCCAAGCTGTGCCCAGTCGCGATGAGAGTGTAGTCGGGATAAGTCTCTACAGCAGACTCGATTTGCGATGTGATATCGTCGGCTACTGTCTCCCAGGACTTCCAGAAGCCATCATGCACTTCACATCCGGAGCAGATGTCACTGGCGTCGATAAGCTTGAAGGTGAGATCGGCAATCCAGTTCTCTAGAGAATCACTACCGCGGAATGTCAGAATGATATATCCGTTTGTCGTGTCTACCGCGATGTAACCCGCCGTGTCCCCATAGTCGTTGGTTCTAAACAAACAGTATCAGTCATTTGCGAAAGGCGAAGCATTTGGGAAAAAAACAGTTGGTCCGGTGATAGGACTCACTCGTCAAAGTCATAAAGGATTGTAGTGTCCGCTGCTTCAACTAGAGGACAATTGCCGACGCTGCATGCCAGAGCAGAGCCAGTGGAGTCGAGATTGGCTGAGCAGTATGCTGCAGCACTATACTGGGCAAACAGGTCTAGGTCATCGAGGAGAGATGTGCCAATTGCTAGTGCCATGCGTCAGTTTCTGCACATTTATCTCTTGCTAAGCAAACTCACTCCGACGATGAATTGGCTCAGCGGCGGCCGCGGTAGACAACGCCAGCAAAGCTGCTGCTGCTGCTCCTGCTCCAGCAAGATACTTCATTTTGCGCGAAGACGGCGTGGCCAGGCGGGTTGATGATATCGATGCAGGAACACTCCAATCCTGGTTTCAAGCAGGCGCGGGCTGGCAGCCATTTTATATCCAGAAACACGACTCTACCCAGTGCATTCCTTCGTTGAAGCACTGCCCACGCCAAACGAAAAACAAGCATTTCGGAGGCTGTCCCTATTCGTCTGCCAGCGCAATGCCCAAAATAGCTCATCCTTCAGAGTTGCATGCGATACGACCTTGAAAACGCCACGTGTATCAGTCATAGGCCTCTACACAGCCAGGAACGGACACTAGTGTAGGTAGCTGAATGCTAGGTCCAGTTCATGAGACTTTTTTCTATCTCTCAATGTGCATACGAAGACGTACTCCTTGACCCCGCGGCCCGCAGTCTAACCATTGCTGTATCCTCTCCGAAGCCGTCGTAGAGATAGAGTTTCTTGAGGATCGTTTAGTGACGGGATTGTCGTCCATCAGGGTATAATAAATTAAATCACTTCGTATATGGCAATATGCATATGTCTATTAAAATTTATGCTAGCTTTAGCAAAGTTACGCTCTTAGACGTTGGCATTCTCTACTGGAATAGAATAGCGTTGTAGGCGATATGGAACCCCCGAAATTCTCCGTGATGGATTGCACGAATTCAAAAAGAAGTGCCCGTTGAGATTGTGATAGAAGCGGCAGCTTGTGCTAAGCTCTCGTGAAAAGAAAGGCATTCTTTTGATAATAACAACGAATCCTTCAGTATTCAAGTCATGGATGGCTCGCCTGACCAGGAGGCATTCCTTTATACCTGGGCATCGGACTTGAATATCAGTTGTGAATTGACTAGACATGTGATTCTTCGGAACTTATACTATGTCCTTAGCTGACTCGCCTCTATAGATGCAAAGTCCCATCTTTACTGTGGAGGTTGACAAGAATCATCCTGGAAACCTGACTACTACGCGGCTCAAGCTTGTGTCGCAAATCCACAGCATTCTCGACAGGTTCGAACACTCACTCGAAAAGCTTGACATTCGAAAGTGATGGAGTCGTCATGACCGTTATAGCTCTAGCCATAAGAATGTTCCTTGTACCAGCGTAGAAGGGACCCAATTGCACAACTAACGTGTGCTTGCAGATAACGAGGTTATCTTTGAGCTGCTTAGAGCCATGTAGCCCTAATTTCCAGACGAAGTTCAGTCCCCAGGCCAGCATCTTCACAACCCAGTGTCGTGGCTCCGCGTAGGCCTGTTGAGCTCCATATTCCCTACATCTAGAATATTTCTATCCTTCGTTCGTGCTAGATAGCAGTAGTAGTATTCATTTTGAAGGCTCTCTGTGTGCTTACTGGTCACCCCTCCATTGCAACCTAACCTAGACCCGTTAGACAGCAATGTTTAAGCGCCAACATGAAGCTGCTAAAAATACTAAATCCATAGGGGAAAACATACATCTGGATTCTGATTTGCAGAAGCCCTCTGCCAATGGGCATAGCCTCGCGCTTATCTTAGTTACATGCAGGGGATAAGGATTAGACTAAGCATCAAAATCGCTCATAGAGCACTAGCGTAACGCTAGGAGTTAGTACCTAGGTGCTCAACAGTCAATACCCACCTCTGATTCAGGTTAATCTTTTATTAGAATTCCAAGAAAGAAGAGAAAATCGTCAGGCACAGCGACTACGATTAATGCGAGCGATTGGACCGTCGTTATTCGCATAGCGCGCGGCGATGCGCCGTCGTGTTTCAGCTATCTACTATCTCGATAGGCGAATGAATCTACCATGCTGGCTGTATTCTGAGCGAGAAAGTTCAATCACTGCCACCTCGTCTTCCACTTTTTCATTGCGGAAATATACGCGACCAAGGGCAGCAAATCGAACCAGTATACGTGTTTCATCTTGGTAGGTGACTCGATAACAGAAGTTGAATGCGCCGTTCGAGAATCGGGAAGCGGTGGATGGAGTGCCAGGTCGGGGCTTGACAGCAAGCTTACCAGCAAGCTCTTCTGGTGCATGCGTAAGCAGGCTTTGTAACCGAATCTGGAGGAATCGCTCTGATTGCTGTTCTGCTAGGTGGTCAAAATCCATTCTTACGATCGTCCAGTATATAAGCGATAGTCCTTCCCTGAAGAGCCAGGGGGGGATTAGTGACTGCAGGTGCGAGGTTGGAAGTGTAAATTTATCGTCACTGCGTTGCCCAACAGAAAACGGCAAGGTCAAAGCATATAGTGGTAACTATCTGGGATACACTCGTAGGAGAGGAAGCTGTAGCCATTTCCATTTCCCACGAAATCACGTGGATAGGTAAGGCTATTTATAAAATCGACGCTAGCCTCTCATTGGATAAGTCTCTATCAGAAATTACCCCTGAATTGGACACCTCAGGCCGCAAGGCTCTACTTTCAATATTCTATCTACAAAGCAGCCTTCTCAATTCTCTTCCCAGTCTGGTCAAAAAAAATTTTCTTCTCCCCGATCAAGGCTTCCTGCAACGCATGCCCAATCCTAATCGCCTGAACCGCATCCTCCAGCCGCAATGGCACCGGCGTATCATCCAGACAACTATCCGTAAACTCCCTGGCCTCAGTGACAAACGCCTCCCTGAAGCGATCGAAATAGTGCTGCGGCAGCTCTCGCCGCACGCCGCTTGATTCATAGATATTCACCAGATTCATTGCCGGCTGCGTGTTCACCGTCAACTTGCCCTTTGTGCCAATGATCTCCGTGGAATCCTCCTGGCCCGCGGCCATCATGCGCGAAGCATAGAAGTACGCAATTCGCCCGTCATGGAATTCCACAAGTCCCACTGCATTGTCGCGGTCATTGAACTGTCGCAAATCCGGTTCCACAGCCGTAATGCCCACCGCAGAGACAGACTTGACCTTGGCCTCGCTGCCATAGAACCACAGCGTCAAATCGATGTCATGTATAGAGCAGTCCACAAATATGCCGCCGGAGAACTGCGCATAGGCAACAAAGAACCCGCTCGGGTCCAGCTTGTCGCATGTCTGCGAGCGGAGGACGCTCGGCCGGCCGATTGTGCCGGCTTGTGTTTTGGCAAAGGCGTCCCGGTATGAGGCGTCGAAGCGCCGTGAGAAGCCGCAGAGGACTTTGAGGTGGGGTTTGCGGTTTGCGGCGTCGAGGACGGATTGGGACTGTTATCTAGTCAGGATGATTTCTCTCGCCCTCTCGCCCTCTCTCCCTCTCTCTCTCTTTAGATGTGGACCTACAATCTCAATGCTGGTCGACAACGGCTTCTCGCACAAAACATGCAAATCCTTCTCGATCGCCTTCACAGTCTGCTCAGCATGCACTGCCGTCGCAGAAGCTACAACCACAGCCTGCAAGCCCTCGTGCTTGAGCATGTCGTCGTAATTCTTGTAGACCGTCACGCCCAACGGACCCAGACGCCGACGAGCCCATTCTAGCTCGGACTCATCCGGGGAACTGACAGCGACCAGCTGTGCGCGTGGAGTCTGTTCGGCAAAATGTAGCGCATGTCGTTTGCCCATGCGGCCCAGGCCAGCCACGGCGGTTTGGAGACGGGCCATTCCGTATACTTCTTACTTACACCAACTAAAAGGGTGCAATATTTGTGGAAAATGAGGTTTTCAGCAATACAGCGACGATGCAGATATTAATACCATCCATTTCATATCCAAAATACGGTGGAGAGATTGACACTTGTCCCTACTGTATTCGTTTAACTAGGGCTCGGAAACCCGTTTCCAATGGGCATTCTTTTCCCTCACCGCATTTCTTGCTGCTGAGCACTGCTAACCAGATCAGTAAGTCTAATGTATGTCGTCGGATTCGGATTTGGTTCAGTACAGGTAACCAACGGAATTGGAATGATAATACGAAGCAGTAGCTTTTCTTGCATGTCGCCATAACACGCGCACCCTGCCACGGCGAGCCAGCCTCAAATCTATTGTGATACTATCTAGGTAATGCTATGAATGAGAGAGATATATATCCATGTATACAAGGTATCTATATATGCATAATGCAATATCTACAGCATAAATAGCTACACTACCACTTATCCGGAAAGCCCAGATCAACATTAAACGGCGGCGAAACATAACGTGTCGTCTTGCCAGCCGCCTTGAGATCGTCGGCATACTTCTGTAGCTTCTCCACGTCTTCTGCATCCAGCTCGATCAGGTTCCTGTTCGCCGTGATGCGGTCTGGGTTGATGGACTTGGCGAGGACGACGGAGCCACGGGCCACTATAATCGTCAGACAACAAACCAATACGTGAGTTATATACCTAGAGGTATATATAAGGTGGAAGAACGTACAGTGCCAACTCAACAAAACCGTCGCCGGGGCGACACCCCTCTTCTTCGCAATCTCTACCACCGGCTCAGCCGTGAACAGCGGACTACCCGTCGAACCAAGGGGACTGTAAGCCTCAATAAGAATGCCCTTGGACTTGCAAAAGTCAACGACCTCCTGCTGCGCCAGATAGGGGTGGTTCTCAATTTGGTTTGTGGCGGGCACAATGGTTGCTTCAGCGAGCAGTTTCTCGAGATAGGGGACGCTGTAGTTCGAGACGCCGACGGCCTTGGCTTTGCCTGTTGCTGGTAGCTTCTCCATTGCTTTCCATGTGTCGACGTGGTTGTGGCTGTGGATCATGTCGCGAGTGACGCCGTCGGCCAGTTTGGGGAAGAGGGGGTGGTTTCCTGAGAGCATATAAGCAAGGGCAGTAAGCAAAGAGAGGAATGAGAGAATAGGTACCCTTATCATTCATCCTCACAGGCCAGTGCACCAAATACAAATCCACATAATCGAGCCCCAAGCTCTTCAGACTCGTATCCAAGCCTTCCTCGACACGGTTTGCATAGACATTCCACAGCTTGGTAGTGACGAAGAGGTCCTCGCGCTTCACCAGGCCGTCGTCAATGGCAGCTTTGATGCCTTTGCCTACGTCGACTTCGTTCTGGTAGGCGAGCGCAGTGTCGATGTGGCGGTATCCGACCTTGATGGCGTGGTAGACTGCGTTTTGTGTTTCTTCGGGGGTGGACTGCCATGTGCCAAAGCCTAGGGCGGGGATTTCGGCGCCCGTGTTGAGCTTGTAGCGTTTGTCAGCGAGGGCTGTCATGTTGTCTGTAGGTCTACACTGTCTATGCTGTCTATATAGAAGGTGTATAGGTATGGTGTATGAAGTTATATTGAAAACCCCGCGTCTATGCCTAGGTACCCCGCATAAACAAGATGTATGTGTATTCAGATTACCGTGCCCTGTATTATTGTTGTCATTTTAGTCCACAATTTCGTGATTTTCCGATTCTCCACCAATGACATTGCAACGTTCAGTGCATAACTATACGTATTTTATGAGTACTGTAATGCTATACCTGAGCGCTGAGAGGTAGCAACAAATGGTCTTCAGCAGTCAGCAAAGAATTTCTATTCTACGGAAACCATTTTTCCAGTCTTCTACCTGCATATCGCGTGTATTTACTTACCAGCCACACGTATTGAAGTTGGAGTCCGCTTCTCCACCGAGGCTGCTTCTGATTTGTCTCTCGGAAACCATTTTACATGTATCTGTCTCGATTGCCACATCAATGAATACGTTCACTGAATATGATTCACCGAGCAGTGAACTCTAGTAATAGTATCCAACGTCATAGCTGACTGACCAACCCCCGCTGGTATCATGACTGAAATCATCCTGGTGGTCATGGAGCAGTTCAAGATGTACAGGAATATGACTTCCGGTGGCTCATCAGGCAGATGGAATGTATATAGGTAGACATGCCTGGTCGACAATTTAATCATGCAAATCTCACTGTGAAATATTATTTAAACACATTGAAAAACCTGAAATATATCCTCGAAAATGGCCCCCGCCGCAACGCTCTCCGCGTTCAACACAACCCGTGACGGCAAAGCCCTAGAAAGCCTCTCGGACGACATCGACGCCATCAACGTGCTCAAACAGCAACAGCAACAGCAACAGCAAAAAGAAAACGACATATACACCGAATCCACCTTTGACAAGTCCAAAGACAAGACCCAATTCCGGCAATACGAAACAGCCTCAGACCGCGTGAAAAACTTCTATATCGAACAGCACACCAAACAAACCGTAGCCTACAACCTGCAGGCGCGCAACCGCTTCAAAGCAACCACTCGCGCACGCATGTCCATCTGGGAAGCAATCGAAAAACTCAACACGCTCATCGACGAGTCCGACCCGGACACCTCACTCAGCCAAATCGAACACTTACTGCAATCCGCCGAGGCAATTCGGCGCGACGGGAAACCGCGGTGGATGCAGCTAACGGGCCTGATTCACGACCTGGGCAAATTGCTCTACTTCTTCGATGCGCAGGGCCAATGGGATGTAGTCGGCGATACTTTCCCCGTGGGCTGCGCCTTTGATTCTCGCATAATCTACGGGCGAGAGAGTTTTGAGCGCAACCCCGATTTTGGGCACCCCGTTTTCGATAATGGGTTGGGGATATATGCGCCCGGAATAGGGCTGGAGAACGTCATGTTGTCTTGGGGCCATGATGAGTATTTGTATCATGTTGTCAAGGACCAGTCGACCTTGCCGGCCGAGGCGTTGGCGATGATTCGGTATCATTCTTTTTACCCCTGGCACAATGCTGGGGCGTATAGGGAGTTGATGAATGAGAAGGATGAGGAGATGCTGAGGGCGGTCAAGGCGTTTAATCCATATGATCTTTATAGTAAGAGTGATGAGTTGCCCAAAGTGGAGGAGTTGAGGCCGTATTATGAGGAGTTGATTGATGAGTATTTCCCGGTGAAGGTTATTAATTGGTAATTTTTTCTGTATGCATATTTTTCTTTAATGTCAGCTAGCAGTGATGATGATGACCAATGTTTTGTTTTTACTATCAAAATTGGAAAGACGGAGACAAGAACTGCAACACAAGAATAGAATATGAACACGCAGAAAGAAAAAAAAAGTATACATCTCGAATCCTGGTACCTCGGCCAGAAAATAACTGGCTAACTAGCAAACTTGCGAATAACCGGCCCTCCATCGGCATTCCCCTTCCACTCGCGATGAAGCGAAAACTCAACGCCCTTCTCATTATCACTCAAGCCCCCCTCCACACGCGTCTCAACTTGAATCGCAAATTCCTGGTATCCCAGCTCCTGCTTGAACCATTCGGGATAATCTTTGCTGTTCTTGTTTTTTTTGTTCTTCTTAACCCACTCCCTCAATGCATGCGAGCGACGCTGCTCGCGTTCTTGCAAAATGGACTTGAGAAGGTCTGATGTCAGAAACAACCCACTCTTCTGGCGGAATGCTTCGAAGCATTCGCGCAATCGCAGATATGGAAGTGCCAACAGAACAGCCGAGGCACGGGTACAGTTCATGCTGGGCTGCGGGTGGTGCCCGAATGTCAGGCTTGTGAGATTTGGGTTCAGAGTTGCAATGCTGCAACCAGTGCGTAGATTACGAGGGATGCGATCTTGAAGTTCCTTCGATAGAGCCAGACGGTCGAAGAGGAAGTTAGCCGGTAGGTTATCTACGAGGAACTGAATAGCGGCCGAAGCAATTTTAGGAGCCCATTTCTGAATGACTTGGGCGTTCAGATTGTCATGAATAGGCGGCAACTCAGCCTCAGTAGCTTTCTTGTGAGACTTTTTCTTGCCTTTCTTTCCCTTTTTGGCTTTCCGCTCGTGTTCCTTTTCGTTGCTGTCATCGTAGCTCAGCAGAAAATCCTCCGGATAGATACCAAAATGCAATGCGATTTCCAAATTCGTCCAATCCAGCGACTGAAGAGCAAGTTCAAAGGCTGCATGCGCAATGCGAATATCGTTCAGAAACGCACCCACAGCACCATAGCACAAAGTAAGGTCCATGGCCACTTCTTTCATCTTCTCGGCAGCCAGCTTCTCAGCACCACTCGTGTCCCATCCAAGAGCCTTTCGTGTGAACTGATCGATACTATCTTTGTCGATCAAGGACATACCATAAAGATTTTGTAGAGCAAACTCGACCGCACGAGGAAGAGCAAATTTTTTCCCGGCCATCAGATAAAGGGTCGACTTTGACTGCTCCAAAGCTGCTACTCGGTGTAGCATGGAGCTAAGCACGGGGTTTTGGTCGATGATGACGCGGTGGGCATTGAAGGTGATGGACCAGAACATTTCACCGGCTGAGTTGAGCACAATCTGAGAGTCAGAGAACTTCCCAGATGCAAACGTGTCTTGCAAATGGGTGGATAGAGGTGGTATCATATCATTGTCAATCTGGCTGTTGCGAGTTTCAGCAGAGTGCTGTTTATCTTTGGTCTGTTTCGAGTCGTTGTTCACAATGATATAAGTGACCTTGTTTGGCGTGGGGAAGACACGAGGAGCTGTATCAGCTAGAGGCTCGGTAGTATTTGAGATAGATTCTGGTCCAGGATTGAGAATCAAGGTGGATTCATCACTAGCTTCCTGAATAGGGGTCGTGCTAAACGAATCTGCAACGCGGGAGTCTCCATCGGGCCTGGCTGATGGTGAACCAGGCTCAGTGACAGAGCTCAGGGTTTCGGCGGTAGATTCTTTGCCTGGACTTGAGACATGACCTGCAATACAAATTTTGGGTCAGCGCAAGTTTCAAGCTCGCAATGAGTCAGTGATGGGAAATTTCTGCCTAGTACCTGTATGACCTTCAACAGGAGGGCTTATTGATGAGTTTTCATGATGATATTTCTCACTGTCTGGGGTGTGAATGTGTTTGGAGGAAGGTTCCGGGGGGTGAATTCGTCCTGGTTGACCAGGATCTGAAGCTGATCCATACACATAGGAGCCCATCATAGAGGAGGATGAGTATTCCAGGGGCCCTCCTGAAGAATATGAGTGTGTGTGAGAGGTCTGAAATGAAACTCCGGAGGGCATCCCCGCTCCTCTCACATCATATGAAGGGTAACCCCCTTCATTTAGAGGAGTAAACCAAGATGTCTGATCCACATCATGTGAATCATAATGCATTGGGGAGGACCCCATATGCCGATGTGAAGCTGCTTTGAACGTCAGTTGTGAACCAGAAGGAACCTACAAAGCCTGAATGATCTTTCACTCACATGGTGCAACAGGGAAATTGAACCGAGAGCCATCAGCCATTTCGACAACTGTATGACCAGAACCAGCGACAGCCTCTTCCTCCTCGACAGCCAACATCTCTGCCCGGGAAGGCCTGGCAGCACAGGCCCCATCGATGATGAGAGGCCCGTCGACAACGGGGGTAACCTGCGATTTCATAGTTAGCAAGTTCTCCAAGTAAGGTCTCCCTCGTATAAGAGATGCTTCAGATGAAGCCGATGTCAGTGGTTTCTCGGTATTCACACGATCGTCTTTGAGGGGCGAGGAGAGCTTCTCGTCCTGCCTCTTCTTTCTCTTCTTCGCCTTCCTCTTGCTCTTCTTGGGCTTTTCTTCCAGGGGGACATTTACTGGTCTGATTTCTTCCTCGTAGACGAAGCACGACGGCGCAGACGCCGAGCGGCCGCGGATGACCACCGCGTCAGCCACCTGCTCCTCGTCTGCTGAGTCCTCGATGATTCGAGAGAGAACGGCCATGATGGAGGTGAAGTAAGGATGAAGTAACAGATGAGTGAGGCAAAGAGTATAACTTGAAGCTATTGCCTGTATGCTTGGGGATGGGAATGCAAAAAAGGATGTGCAATGAAGAAGGCTTCACCGGGGAAGAAAAGAAGAGAGAGATGAGGGTGAAGGGGGGGGGGGGAAAGGAAGGAAAAAAAGGGAGAGAAAAMAAAAAAAAAAAAAGATCCGCTGGGGAAGAAAAAGTAAATAAAAAACCCCAGCCATGTTTGTTGCAAGTGTATTAATGATCGTGTGTATTTGAACAGCCCTAAGCATGGGGTGGCAGCAAATGGGAAGGTGAAGTCAAAGAAACACGAGTGTAATGGCAGGACAAGTGAACACCAGGGCAACCAGGCTGCACAGATTAGCAAGGCAGAGGAGGAACGCAGTGCAATGACAATGACTGACAATGACTATGGTATAGACAATCAGACAATGGAATATCGACAAAGCAGGACAGGCAAGGAGGAGGGTCAAGCAAAGGCAAGTATATTTCCTAAACAACAGATTAGAATAAACCTAAATAAGAGTATCCCACGCCATGGATATCGCTAATGAGAATAGTATGCTAGAATACATGTAAGAGAAAAGACAGAATGTGGCCACGCAAAAATATGAAATTGCATGAATCCACCTATATTGTCCTTGACACTAAATCATCCCTCCCTGGACAGATGTGGGAGCATAAACTGGCATTGCTGGCGCAGTGTCAGCCATGATAGCCTGCTGTCGAGCATGTGAATTCAGAGACCCGCCTTCGCTGGACGTTTTGCGCAAACTCGGTCGTGTGCCGATGTCGGTATTATTGATATTATTATTGAGATTATAGGCGCGTCGCTCATCCTCAGCAACAAAGGTCCGACGTTCATCCTGACTGGATCGCACCGATGGTGGTGTTGGTGCTCTGTCGCCTTTGATGGCCCCCAGGATCGTCTGGGTTGTGGTGGTTCGTCTACGACGAGGGTTCATAGGCGGTATTGGAGGAGTGTACATGCCGTTGCTGAGACTTGCTCCAGAAGGCAAGTCGACCATGGGCACATTGGAAGTGCTTGATACCAAGGTCGGTTCCGAAATTTGCGCCTTCGACACCTGTCTCTTAGGCACACCATTGCCCACTGGGCTTCTTTGAGCAAAGGACTGAGCACCTGCTGCATTCGCCAAATCTGAACGATACATGCCCATGCCGGGGGAGTTTCTCCCTCCAGCCGCATCTTCCAGAGGAGGGGTAGCATTGGCCGAATAAGGAGGAACAACAGGTGACGGTCGAGGCGACGTGCCAATACTGCTGGCAGAATCATTTTGAGGTACAACAAGCTCTAATGGCGGAGGAGCGCCTGCAGCAACCCTGCCATTACCCGAAGTTCTTCCAGACCGACCAGAGACTTGTTCATTCACTTCGACTGATGGACGAGCAGATGGAGGTGATCGCCCAGGACGCACACTTTCGCCATCATATCGACTCTCCGAGTGCTCAGCAAGTATGCCAAGATCTTCCCGAGGCCGTGGTCGGCTTTTAGACCGTGCTGATGCAGATGTCGATCGGTCTCTGTGAGTGCGAACAGGGGATGCTGGTCGGCTTGACCCCGAGTCTGGACCGTCTTCTTGACTACCATAGCTCGTACTGCGAGTGTAGGCTGCTCGACCCGTAGTCCGGCCGGATGAGATTTGCGGGGAACTCGAGTTAGAATGTTTGCTTATACTACCCATACCTTGAGCTAGTTCATCTTCTCTCCACGAGTCAAGGGACGGAGTGGACACATTCATTGATGGACCAGCGATTCCAAGCTTCTTCAGGGCCTTGGAGGAAGGTGGCGGTGTTGTAGATACATCTTGAGGGCCATTAGCATTCTTGGCCGAGCGGTTCTTGAGCAAAGAAAATCCGTTTCCAGTTCTGGATCCACCAGTCTCCGGAGTCTGGCGTCCAGCTGCTGGACTATTAGACCGACTGCCGAGGCGGTGTAGATTTTCTTGAACGCGTCTCCGCCTTTCAGCCAGCTCGTGAGCGAATTCTTCGCGTTCCTTTTGCGTCTCAATACTGCCGTCCCGATAATGTCCAAGTCTCAGATCATCTTGCATAGAAGGCCGTGGCTGGTCTTGTTCCATGGCGGTCAACTGATTTTCTCGAAGAGTAGCAGCTTGTTCGCGAAGTTGTTTCGCTCTCAGCGCTACGCCTGAGAATCCAGAAGGTGGTGGTGGTGGTGGGTGAGTAGGTGCCTCCGGTGGAGGAATGTTTATATTTCGAGGTATAGCACCATCGCCATTGCGAGCATTTCGTTGGGCGTTGCTGTTGCCATTGAGCTTAGACGGTGTGTGGTCTGGGTTGGATGGCAGCCTAGGAGATGGCAAGTTTATAAAGGATTGGCTACTATCATGTCTTAGATGCGCGCGAATCATGTTGTTCAGTCCCAATCCAGCAGGTCCTAGGGTTGGCGAGTCGGGTGACTTTTCGGAGGATTCTTCTAGAATTGGAGAAGGGGGGTTTTGGCTGCTTTCTTGTATCGGATTCAGGGGCTCACCACTTTTAGAGTCTGGAGCTTCGAATGACCCGCGAGTCGAAGGCGCACAATCCGAGTCTCGAGAAACAGGTCGCGAGCGGAAAGCTGGGTGAATGCCATCGAAAGCCTGGGACTTGACCGAAGACACTTTCTTCAGAGGCGGCAGTTCATCGCCCTGACTCTCGTTGTCGCTGTCCAGACTCAGAAAGAAGGTACCATGGCCATTTCGTGGAGGTGACACGTCTCTAATACTGTGGGCTCTAGACCCGGTGCCATCGCCGCTATAGTAAGAGGAAGCGGACTCTGCTTTTGAGAGGTAGCTTGTATTTGAAAGCCCTCGTGGCCGGCCCTCCGCTCTCGAAATACTATTGGCAGGAGACTGGCGTGTCGTTGGAGTGTTGTTACGATTTTCATGCATCTGGAGCTGACGTCGCATAAACTGCTGCTCATCGTAAGGGCCACTTGGTTTATTGAAAAGCCCCATTGCTGTTGCTTTACCTCTATCTTCGGGATGCAATGCGGCAGCAAGAGCGGTAGCTTCCTCGTTATCACTGATAGGTGGACTCAGCGGGGGAACGACACCATAAGCAGCATTACTACTATCAGATGCTCGATCTGGGTTTTGGGTGGCATCTAGAGCCTCGGAAAGCGGCGATCCAGATGAAGTTACTGGACTGTAGTTGCGGTTTGCAGAGGACGGGGTTGGTAGGACTGGGGATATTCCCTGGCGTCTGTCATGTAAGTTGGTTGCACTCCTGGAAAATGTACGATTCAGCCGGGGAAGCTCAGGAGTTCCTGCACCGGCGCGCTGTCGACTGAGACTCTCAAGTCGTGTCAATGCCGAGGTTTGTTGGTCCTGTGCTGTTTGCGCCAGTCCTTGTCCATAAAGCCGACGTGTCTTGGTGACATGGCCGGCCATGCTGTTAGGTACCACTCCATTAGACTTGGCATTGTTTGAAGATGGCGCAGCCTGACTAGAATATGATTGTTGCTCATCTATCGAGGTAGCCGCGGTTGAAGTGCGCGGGTTAGATTGTCCCGAATTCGTTGAAGAGGAAGTCGTCCTCTTTGACAGGAATACAGGAAGGCCATCTTCAGAATCCGGGGTCATTGCGTCTTGTGATTCATCGGGAGTCGTCTCCGCTCGCCTCTCCTGTTTGTCCTTTAATCTCAATTTTTGAAAGGCCGACATGTTGATATCGTCATCGTAAACTGTCCTGCCTCGCATTCCGGAGCCTTCTTTGCCAGAGCTACCCATCGGAATTTTGTAGACTTTTTGCCGTCCACCAAATAGATTGTTTCCCTCGCCTGGTCTCTTTCTGTTCATGATGGCTCCATGGTTCTGCCAATCGTCGTCGGCTCCATCCTCAGCTGATGCATACGAGTTTACCCTTTGTGTGGCGAAGGATGATCGGCCAGTGACTGATGAGACTTCGGCAATATCGGTCAGGGGGTTAGGAATGTGGCCGAACAAATTCAAGCGCGAAGCTCGCTTGGGGAAGAGCACGCTGTCATCATTGGCTTTGCCTACTTTTGTTGAAGGATCGTCCTGTTCGCGCAGCATGCTGAATCTAGCTGAAAGATTGGGCATCAAAAGACTGGTGCGAAAGTTATCTGCCGACGGAAGCGCACTATCGAGATCGAGTTCAAGATCGGGCTTGGCTGTTTCTTTGTTGTTTGTTTTCTTTGACTTGGAGGATATCCCCATGAAAGAAGGGGGCACGGCCTCGGCCTCGTCATTGTCCTTTCCTTTCTTGTTCTTCCTGAACCTGTTCATTGTAGCTGTAATCGACCGGAGGCCGGCGAAGTTTTGGATGGTATTGTTTCCGTGGAGACTATCTCCGGGGCGCCTTGGGGTAAAGAATTACGAGATAACTATATCGAGAGTCAGTGGTACCGAAGGGGGAAGATGTAGATAACGCAGCGCACCTGATGGAACAACCATTCGAACAGCAGCGCAGGCAATGCTTTGTTCTCTCGAAAATGATGTCCAATGGGTCGCGTCTCAGAGTTGTTGATGGAATTGGACTAGAAGTTCATACTCGACGACGATGTTCAGTCGAATGTAAACGAAACACACAATCCCCCCTGCTTGGAATGGCTAATGTTATTTTTGGGGAGCAATGTACGCACGTCTCAACGCAATTTGAGTCTGAAACCAAAGCCGGTGCAAAGAATGTGAGTTGAAAATTGAAAGCGATTGAGTCGGTAATTCAACACGAGCGAAAAAGGAAAAAACAAATACGGCCCGGGGCGGTTGATCTGATATCCAATGCTCCGTACACAATGGTCAAAGAAGATCCAAAATCCGAATTGGCAAAAAGATCGAATGGAACAACGGAGTGCTTCAGTCTGTTGATGGCGAAAATAAAAAGAGAGCGAAGGTCGTGGTGTTTTGTTGGATCACGATCAGGATTAGGGGTGAGAGAGTGCAGTGCAAAGAAGGAAGGAGCAGGTCGGTCAGTATGCCAATGGAGAAGCGAGATCGGATTGGGGGCACTTGATTAGTTGGGCAAGAGCAAGAAGAAGTTAGAACGAAGCAATCCCAAAGCCATCCCAGCGGCTTGGGTTGACTGTGCAACTTTCAGGCGGGAGCGGAGCAGGGGCCAATCGAACGCAGGGATAGGTTATAAATTACGCACTCGTCACGTTCCGGCCATGTATTGGGGGATGGTATTATTGTATTTGAGCATATTGGCTGGTGTAACCAGCTCCTATTTTAATATGCACTCCGTATGGAGTGGTATTGTGTTTTATTATTGCGTAATTTACCTGACAACAGTACCAAAAAAAAAAAAAAAAAAACATCGCCCACACTTTGTGGGAACAAATGGTCGAGAACACGGCCGATCACAAAGAGCGGATTCAACCGTTCCTAATCATATTCTTATATATATAGACTTTAGGGCGCAATAGCGCTACGACTACCGTCGCCAGCCATAGTTAACGGTGGAGATGGCGGAAGCAATCCGTTCCAAGGAGTCCGTGACAGATAGCTTGTGGGAGTAGGGAGCCGTATTGCAATTACGCCGGTTGCTGCATTAGCGGCGCCGAGGACCAGGGTCACCCGCCGGGAAGGTATTTTACCCCTTGCTTGGCAGTCTGGTGCGTTAACTAGTGTAAGTCAATTTACGGCAACTATATCATCACGCCATCAAATACACACACCTAGTATGCAGGTTACGAAGGTACCTGGGGAGACCAATCCACATTCTCTAAATCCCTCTATTCTTGTTCATTACCACAGTAGAGCACAGTTTCGCTGTTTGACAATGATCCCAGCGGCGGGTCTGTCGCGTGTTATGTCCGGGCGCTAGTACCGTGGGCCGTCTAATTTATTAATTATATTGTTGTATGTATGGTATTCTTACCGCTAGGCAGTCCTTAATTAATCGTTAGACTATTAGTTAGAAGAAGAAGAAATTAATAGCCAGGATGACAGCGGGTCTGGTCAGCATTATGGCTGAGGATTTTTCTTCGTCAAATTCAACAGGCTCCCGGACTGGATGGACTGTACGAAGTAGACGATACATTCAATCTACAAAGACAGTACTTAGTACTTCCTATTGCTTATAAAATGCTTAACTCGATTCAACTTGTGGGAGGCTGGAGTATTACTCCGTACACAATACGTACCACCGGCAGAACGGAATTAGACTTCCCCTCCCCAACTTCCAACAGACTAATCTTGAACTATGAAACAAGCAAGAATCTCGACTCAAGGCCTGCAACGCTCTAGAAACGTAATAATGATATCAGAATCTGAATAATCAAGATTAGCTCTTCCGAGTTCCTGCAATTGCCCAGGTAAACAATCTTACCACGGAGTATATGCATACCTATACCCCGTAAATGCACTCCGTTGATGCCATTACACGCCCGTCGCATGGCTGTCCCTTGCATTGCATTCAAGTAGTATCAGGCAGTCGACATGGCGACGATCGGAATGTGAGTCCAAAACCCATCCGCGGCACAGTGCTCACTTTATTCGATCACATACTTGTAACTAACTACGGACGGAGTACATCAAAATCAAACAAGTAATTATTGAATGGAAATAGGAAAGAAAGATTCAGTAAGGAAACTAAGCCCTGTACGGAAACATGCCCCTGACTAGCCCGTTTACGGATAAGCGGTATCCACTTTGATCTTGATAAAACATCGCCTGTACGTTGATTGGTCGTGAGCCATGCATGCATGGTGTAGAGCATCATGATGGCTTTGTGCTGGAGTTACACCAGACTTGAAGGTGTGATGAATCTGATGATACTGGTGCGACAATTCACTAGTATACGAAGTCGCTCATGAGTAGCTGGTAGATATACGAATCAGAATACATGATAACCGTAGCTTAATGCTCCATCCGTTCGTTAGTGTAGTCCCAGACATGTAAAACGCATGTGTCTATATGATTGATCAGCCGTGACACTCTGGTGTTAACCATATGTTGGTATGTAGCAGTTACACTGACTATTTAGTCCATACTCTGTCTCCGTACCACAGAGGATTGGTTTACAGGCAAAATCTCGCGTCTCCTAAACTTCTAGAAGCATTGAAGAGTATCTCACTCTCACATCTACTACAATACAAAATAAACGATCGGCAACTCCGTCCATGTCTACTAATCTAGTGCTAAGTTCTCTAGACGAGGGCATCAGACTACTCCGACAGTCGACTCCGAGGCTAATATAATATTGCATGTGCATATGCATACGCCCATGCAGTGTGCACCATAGCTGCAAGTCTAAGGGATTAACGCGGAGTAAGTACCGGATCTTTTACGATAACAACGGATATAACCATATGGGCAAGTACTCAATATCATATGCATCTTTCCATATTATATGCATCTTTCTCTTCAATGGTGCTACCGTCTGCTTACTAGACGGCAAACTGTAGGAACAGGGCCAGCCACACCACGTGGCCGTGGCTATGGCTATGGCTTGACCGCAGCAGCGTGGCCTGAGGCAGAAAAGTTGAGAAGAGCAGTTGGATCAGACATGCCTACTGTGCCACCTGTTTATATAACCATGCTGATGTCCCATTTTCTACGCACACAGCTTGATGAGAGACTAGCCAATCAGACAAAACAGAGCCACGCTAGGCCCTTCTGAGCAGGTGAACCTAAGCGCCGTGATTGGCCAGCGTGCTTTTAGGGTTTACTACCTACCTCATCAGTTCATCAGTTCATCAAGCAACCTCAACCCTGCAAGAGCAAATCTTCATTCCAGCAGCTCGCTGTACACTGCACCCACCACGTAGATGGTTAGAATGCCACGCATACGCCCCTTCGGACTCGCTCAGCCCTCAGCTATGGTCTTGGACTGAGATTCCCACCAAGCTATAAATGTTGGTCTCCTGTCTTCCTCTTCAGTCAAAACTGCAAGTCTAGCAAAGAATGGCGATTGAGTTCGCAGACGAAAGTTCCATCCCCAATGACTGGCGCACGAGACAGCCAGGTCTTACCATTTGGCTCATCTACGCCGTGCCTCGCACACTCTTGCAACTTCTTTTCTACAGCCTCTACTACATCCCCAGCTCTCTCCGCCAGAACAGCACATGGACCTACCGTCAAGCCCTCAAGACACAGCTCGTGAAAACAATCTATGCTGGCCCCATTACGGAGTGCGGCTATACACAAGCACTGAGCCTGGAGGCCGGCAAGACGGGCGATCAATGGGTGGTTTTGAAACCTGCGTCGCCAAACTTCTACCGCGGACCATTCGCTAGCAGCAGCACTGTGAGTCCGGAAATACTTGGAGGAACCTGGTATCCCGATGTGCCGCCTACTACCGCCGCTGCTGCGGACGATGGCGGTGACAATCTAGTCATCCTGTCCTTCCATTCCGGGTCGTTCCTTTGGATCACTGGCCGGCCAAGTGATTCCGGCTTTGTTGCCGACACGCTCAATAAAGCGGTCAGCCCTGGCACGCGCTCATTTTGGCCACAGTATCGACTTGCCGGTGCCAGAGAGAACTCAACAACGTACCCAGGGCCCATGCAGGATGCGATAACGGCATATGTATACCTGGTCAGGGACTTGGGTATCTCGCCGCGCCGCATCGTGCTCGCAGGAGACTCCTCCGGCGGGACCATCGCCATGGCTCTGTTGCGATACCTAGACTCGCTTAATAGAAGTCTACACGCTGAAGACGCGAGCGAGGCAGGCTTCGACCTCGCCATTCTACCACCCCCTAGAGCGTGTCTCATGTTCTCGCCATCTATCGAGTATACTGTCGAAGGCGACTCGCGCACCGCGAAGGAAAATCGAAATGGCCGAACGGACTACTGCAGTGGATGCATGATGGCCTGGGGAGCAGCAGCGTTTGCGCCGCCGGGAATCGTGCGTTTGGATGACCCGTATTTGTCACCGGCTCTGCATCCGTTCGCCACGCCCGTGCCTCTGTTTGTGCAGGCCGGGGGTGGTGAGGTGCTCTGCGACAGTATCAGAGGGTTTGCCGAGGCCATGAGCGCTGTGCCGGGGAATACCGTTGAGTATATGGAGGTTCCAGGTGTGCCGCACGATGTGTATCTTGTTGGGGCAATTCTAGGGTGGCGCGAAGAGCAGAAGGCGTTGATCGACGCAGCAGGAAACTTTGTCAAAAGGATTTTGAGTTTATAGAATTTTTTACGTATCCTTGAAAATTGAAAAGTGTTTATGGCTGCATGCGGGCAACGGATGATCTGCATAGCCATGACGCCATGCGGCTTATGTACCCCGCGAAGCTTTCACCTCGGAACTACGCTTCACCTAATATCACTTCTACAGCCAGAACATCTACACATCTACATTCGATACACAGGCATATAAATACAATAATAAACATGCCTCAAGTCCTTCTCCTCGGCGGCCACGGCAAAATCGCCCTCTACCTCACCCCGCTCCTGCTCGCGCGCGCCTGGAGCGTCACCAGCGTAGTACGCAATGCAGAGCACGAGTCTGAGATCCTCAAGCTAGGCGAGGGCCACCCGGGCAAGGTCTCCGTGCTACTGTCCAGCCTAGACGACGTCAAGACGCAGGCGGATGCGCAGGCCATTCTGGACAAGGTGCGGCCGGAATATGTCGTTTGGGCTGCTGGTACGCCCTGCCCTGCCCTACAACTTTAGTTACGCAGAGAACAAACGACTAACAATGAATGAGGGGTAATGTAACAGGCGCCGGCGGCAAAGGTGGTGCCCAGCGCACCTACGCCATCGACCAAGATGCCGCTAAGCACTTCATATCTAGCTCCTTCGCGACGCCCAGCGTAACCAAATTCCTACTCATCAGCCACATGGGCAGTCGCAAAACGCAAGCGTCATGGATCCCCGACGCCGCGTGGGAACGCACCAAGAAGCTCTGGAGCAGCGTGTTACCGGACTACGCGCGCGCAAAATGGGAGGCTGATCAGCTGCAAACCGCGCTGGCGGCAGTGGTGAAGCGGCGGGAACCGAATAGGAAGTTTCAGAGCATTAGTTTGAGGCCCGGGTTGTTGACCGATGAGCCGGCGACGGGCAAGGTTGAGTTGGGGCGTGTGTCGGCGGTGGAGGGCTCGGTGTCGAGGGAGGATGTGGCGATTGTGGCGGATCGCCTGTTGGCGAGGGACGATACGGAGGGGTGGATTGATTTGCTGGGTGGGCAGGAGCCCGTGGATGAAGCGGTGGAGAGGGTTGCGAAGGGGAAGATTGATGCTATTGGGGATGAGGATGTGGAAGGGATGATTAAGAAGTTTGGTTTGTAGATTACTATCTATTTCATGAAGTGAATTGTTCAACGTATAAGTATTTAGGTATATAGAACAGCTCAGTCAGGATACTAAGACTGAACAAAACGAAATGAAAAAAAAGAAAAACACACAAGCCTCGCTAATGAAACAGCAACAATCATAATGATATCCCAGTAGTAATACGATCAACTCAATCCCATGTTCACATCATCCCCCAGACCCAACTCCCGTTCAGCTCGCTCTGTGCCCCCACTGGCGCGCGCCCCCCATTGATCAAGCCGGTTCTGCGCATCCTCAATTTCACGATCTCGAATGCTCTTCTGGCTGTCGTTGTCGTTGTCGCCGTCACCGTTCGCCGTCGCTGCGCGCAGGATGAAGCTGGTCACGCTCCTTTGTCCGGGGCTGCTGCTGTAGCTCCCAGATTTAAAATTGTAATCGCTTGTCCGCGAGCGCTGCAGACTGACCGGTCTCGAGGTCCGGCCTGTACTCACTGCTGCTCGTTCCACGGGCTGTGATGAAGAAATAGAGGCATTGTCTCCGTCTTTATTGTTGAATGAGAAAACGGACGCGTTGGATGGTGATGGAGGAGCGGTCTTGCTCAAGTCTTTGGACCCGTTGAACCATCGTCGTTTACGTACGCTCGATTGGGGATCGGTAGTGGAGACTGTCTTGATGCTAGCTGCGTCGTCCTGCTGGACTTTGTCTACCTTTTCAGAGACATCCCCATTTCCACTGGTTTCGACTAGTTCCGCATCTCTGTACCATTGCCGACGACGAGTATACCGACCCCAGCTGTCTCCACGTCGACCATCTTGCCACTGGAACATGTTAGATCACCATAACCATCAGCATCACTACCACTGTGGCTGCTTACCTTGTTATCGTAATAAATCCAGCCGCCCCCATCACTCGTGCCGTCGCCGCCTTCAATGCGCCATTGGCTGCCTTCAACCCAGCGCCATGCTGCGTTTCCACCCTTGGCATCAGGAAGCTCGAAACTGTCTTTTGGTGGAACAGCGTTCAAATGTTCATCAGTCCATGCTGTGCGCTCATGTGGAAAGAGTGAATATGTCCATCCAATGCCAAGCCATCGTCGCTGGTTCTCGTACACGATAAAAGTGAATCGTACTCCAGCCTCGGCATGGCTTGACGTTGCGATCGCAGTGGCATGGTTCTTTGACTGGACAGTGTTTGATGTACCTGCCACCTTACCGGAAGTCTTATCTGTCGAAAAATTAAGCCCCGTAAGAAAAGTACAGATGCGGCGAATAGTTAATGACCTCCACAGAAGCACTCGAAACACACGAGCTGGGCTGGAATGATATGTAAGAATGACTGTTCCGAACGAGAGAACTACTCGCCGGGTAGTGATGATGTAAAATGGAGGAAGAGTAAGAAGTATCCATATTGGCGTAACACATATAATCCGAATTAAAAGTGACGTCAAAGCTGGCCGTGTCGTAGCGGATGTTGCGCTACTTTGCGTGGAGAGAAAATCGGTCATCTCGCGCAACGGCCCTAGTATAATGTTGCATCGCGTCGTAAACTCTCTCATGGTTTCGACGATTTCATCTAAGCTCTTTTGGTGTCGCGTAGGAATAATTTCAGATGGCTGTTTCCTGTGCCCGTGCTTTTCACCCGTAACTCCCGTCGACGACAAAGGCGAGTACCGCCGCGAATACATCCCCAATATCAGCGCTGCCACCACTAATATGGGTCCTCCATACAGAATGATGGCATCTGAATACAGCACAATGGCCCAAAACCCGGCTACCAGCAGGAAACTCGCCCACGGGTCTCCACTGGACCATGTTAATAGCCCGGCGAGCTTGTTTAACGGAAGCAGGAAAGGGTGTGAATGAGCTAGCGCTCGTGTGACTGGCGGAGGCGTAGCTACTAAAAGGGGAGACTTGCGATGGACGATGACGCTTGACCGCTGTCGAGACGTGAGTGACGATCCGGCTATGGTTGTGGGCGAGAAAGCTGCCACCGTCGGTGGATGAGGGTCCCGGGCACTAGAGTGCGCGCCATTGTCTGAAATATTAGAAGGCGGCGACATGGAATCGGCCCACTGGGTTTCTGAGATGTGCCATGCATGTGTTAGGAAAACCGAAGCTTATGAAACCAAAGCTGATGAAGCCGAGACGAGGAATGAGCGCTTACCAAAAGCTGCCATGCACAAGAGCTGCGGAGTCCGTCAACTTCCTACCAAGGGTCATTGCGGGTGCCGCGTAATTTAAGGAAGAGTGTAATGATCGGTGGTTGCAATATATCGATAGGTAGGTATAATGGCGAAGAGAGTGAAGCAACTTCAAGTCTAATATTGACTAGTCGGAGACGGAGAGAGCAGATCTGCGGGGAGCCGAGAAGGGAAGCAAGCATGTGACCGCCTGCGTTGTTGAAGCGTTGCCAGACTTTCCAGGCAGAAACAGTATTTTTATGTTTTATCTACCATTTAGAGACTGTATTAGCTCTCATTACTTGATTTAGATTATTATTCATCCAAGGTATCGAAACTAGCATTAATTAAGCCTTCCCCACCCGCTGCCAAAATCCCTGTCAATTTCATGCGAACATAAAACAGAATTTATACATGAAGTGAGCAGTACCAGAAGCTCCATTACAGGGATCCTTCGGTGATGTGGACAACTTATGGATGGAAGTGTTTTGTTTTCTCTTTAGAAAATTTGCAAAGTTTACTTGTTGTACATATACCTGACCATTGGTGTCCAAATCATAGCTCCAGATTACCAGCAACTTCATGGCATAAATAATTCGTGCCCACTTTATGATAATCAGCTTGCATTTGGCCTGCAAATCCAGTTCAGCTATAGATCTATTAGCCCAGCAAGACAAGGGCCCGCATGAGCTAACGTCACACAACGTTGTTTTCTCCCGACAATTTTCGGGATTCTATGAGGTCAGGTCGTAGGTCGACATGTCACGGTAGGTGACAGCTTCTATCTCGTCAACCTATCGAAAACACTATTCGCAAGTGTTGCATTATTCTCCACCATGGCGAAGATTTATTCTAGAAACGGCGCCAATAATGCGTCCAGATTGGCTGATTCTTTTGCACATGGTTAGACTACTTACTGGATTGATCAATGTCCCTGATGACTTGTCCAGGTAATCGAGAACTTCGCTTGCGACTGGAGGATTGACGCTGGCGATCTCAATGGTGGTCTCACCAGAGTCCTCTGCCAGTACTAGTTGTACAGTATTCAGAATACATACTCTCTTTTAATGTCACAGCCTCAAAGCTGCGAGAATATGACGAGGAGGTTCCTTATCTAGTTATGGCTTAAGCCAACTCTGGTGAATGTTTGATATAAGCTAGTCCTCATTCGGACAGTTTTCATTCAGCCTGATTATAGCTTGCCAAGCCTCGGGGCAACTGGAGCCTGAATGGAATGGCACCAAATTATTACCCTGCCGTTTGCCAGAACTGCACCATGATTGATAGCAACATTCAGCTTACATATGTCAATGGCAAGCTACTTGAAATTGTCGCAATATTCATTTCAAGTAATGGCGATGTACCGAGTACATACACTTAAAATGATGGGATGAGGTCAAACCAATTGCTCTCAGGGCTTCTGCCATCGATAACACAGACACAGACGAGACCATTCACAATATCCCGGTTTTCCACTTTAAAAGATTAAAGGTACGAAACAATACGCAGACAATTTAAATCAAGCTTCAGTATCACACTTCAGACCATATCTGACCGAAACCCAAAACGAACCATGAGAGCCTCAATCGAAGTTCTTGCCGAGATGTCGACGCAGAGCCTGCTATGAAGTACTAATTAGTGCTGCCTGTTTTTGGGTCTTTCACGGCTTGACATACCTGCTTTCTCTCAGTTTCATGGTGTTGGGGCTAGAAGGACTGCGGCACAAGCAGCCTGGCAGGAACCAAATGCAGTATTGCAGGCTATTATGGAGGCCGGTGCAGTAGCTCCCAGAGTCGCACCCCAGGTAAACCCTGCTGCTCCATAGCATGCTGTCACGACACCTGCGCATCCGGCCTGGCAGATACCGTAGGCAGCCGGTCCGGCGCTGGCATTGCCGGCAAGGAAAATCCAGGCGGCGAGAGCTGTTGATGACAGCTTCATTGAGAAGAATCTCTGAAATAACGAGTTGATTTAGAAAATGAGATCCCCGCTAGTTCTTATGTTGCGACAGCTGTCATAAGCTCAGATACGTGGTTTGTCTCTTGTTAGAAGCAGTATTTGAGGCTCTAAGACGACTCACAATGAGAATATTCAGAAGGAGGCGGATCCGTGTGGGAGGGGGCGTATAAAAGGCTTCCGGCGGTGTGCAAAGTGTTACCGCGTAGGCGAGGCCTTGCAGATACCAAGGTACATAGAAGAAACAACTCATCATCTTTCATCTTCGAGTAAGCATGAGCGGGAGGTTGATTCCGTTTGTTGGCTTGCCTTGATGACCATTCATCGTCCATCTATCTATGTCTGAACCGTAATGACCAGGCAGCATTGCACGCATCAAGAACTGCATTAAGCACGTACTCACGAGGCTGAGATCATTGTGCAGATGCGAGATATCGCTGCGAATCAGAGTGATGCCTAGCCTACCCTGGGTATTACAGCATCTAGCACAAGAAGAACAAATGTAATAACTTGCCGTAGAACACTCTTTCTACAGTGTGTTAGTGACATGACATGGCGGGCAGTTGAAGCAACCATATCAATGCAATCATTGTCGATCATGAGAAGAGATGCGAAAGGGTCCTCAGATTTAGTGAACGCAAATAATCAACGAAATCCTGCTTACGCACTCCCTGGTCAATATATGGGTACTCTTGAGTAAAATTGCCTCCTAATATTAATCCATTTATCGAACGCATATGTATTATGGCTGGAGTCCCTGAATATCAAGCTGGATGTAGTCGCAATAGGATCACGTGATAATATTTTAACGCTAGTCCTTATTTGGACGTAATTTTTTTTCGCCGACGTTCTCTTCCGATGCAGATGGCGGAAGTCTGTCTCATCCAATTTCACCCCGTTACTGAACTTCCAGGGATATTCAAGGGCCTCTATATCAAGCATCATGGTATGTGAAAAAAAAATTCACAAGGAAATCAGTGTATCTCTCTCTGTCTGGCTCAATTACTGACCGACTCCCTATACGGGATCTCCAGGCTCATCGTATCATCACCACACTCCTTGTGACCGGGACACGAGTGTTCGGCCGCGCGTTCGCGGAAGCCTACAAGCAAGCCTCAGCAAGCTCGAAATATGCATCTGAAGTGAAAAAGGGCAACGTCACGGGCGCCAGCACATATGCCTCGAATGGTCTGACTCTCGATGAAGCATGCAAGATCCTCAACGTGAAGCCACCGCAGGGAGGCGAGGCGCAACTAGAGCCGGTTATGGAGCGATTCAAGAAACTATTTGACCTTAACGATCCTCAAAAGGGCGGTAGCTTCTATCTTCAAAGCAAGATTCTGCGTGCCCGGGAACGTATTGAGATGGAACTTCGCGAAGCCGGGCGCAAAGCTCAGACGGAGCAAGAGTTGAAGGAGGGCTGGAAACCGAAGGTTTACAAGGATCGGTGATGGATATTCTTCACCAGCAGAGGTCTTAAAACTTACGCCACTCTTCTCTTTTTATCATTTTCAAGCCGACAACTCGCATCGATATGATCGGCTCGAGAAATTTTTTTTTGTCATCTCCTTTCTTCTCGCTTTCGGCATCATAAAACTTGTATTATATATAGCGGCGACTGACGTCCATTTCTTGTTGTTGATCATGGCATAGCATGGCGTTTTTTTCTTTTCATTTTTGGATTGTTCTAATTGTATGACTGGCTGGAGGATCGTTTCCTGAAGAGTATATTTTCTCTTGGACAAGTCCTCGTTCTCAAGCACTTTGAGACTAGGCTCCCCCTCGGTTGTACTTGGTTATTCGAAAATATTATCATGTCAGCCTCGGCTTTGTACTTATGCGGTTATATAATTGAGGACACGTCCCTTAACACGGTGTATTAATTTGATTCGTTTTCATCGATACTGATGAACAGTAACCTGTGCTCGTGAGAAACGTGACATTTACATAACCTAAGCTTGATTACGTAGAAGAAAAAAGCAAGAAAGAAAATTGGATGTTGTGTCTAAATGAAGTTGAAATGGATCTAGATGTACGCAACCTGATTGAATGCCTTAGGCCATAAAACCGTCCATTGATTTGTATAATCGCACGTGCGTGGGGCGTGGGGGGGCGTAGAAGATTCCCCTCAGTCTTCAAACTATTTCTCACGCCTCCCCGCATTTCTTGCTTGTAACAGCTCATTACTCTGTGTTTCTGCAGTTGCCTTGCTTTTTTTGAGAAACTTGATCTATACCACGAAACTAGCATGACATCTCAACGCAAGCCGCTCTCCAAGGAGCTTCCTCCTCTCATTTTTGGCTGCGGGACATTCAATATCAGTTACAATGACGACCCTTACGCCCTACCAGCAGCGGCGATTGTGCACCATGCCATGAGCTCCGGAATCCGCGCTTTCGATACATCTCCTTACTACGGCCCCTCGGAAGAGATTCTCGGCCAGGCGCTGACAACGGACTATGTTGAAAAGGATTTTCCTCGACACACGTATCAACTGCTCACAAAGATTGGCCGAATCGGCGATTCGTCCTTCGATTACTCACCCGCTTGGGTCAGATATAGCGTCAAGCGTAGTCTGAAGAGACTGCGCACTACTTATCTGGACGTGGTTTACTGTCACGACGTCGAATTCGTCACCCCGCAGGAGGTTCTGGAGGCGGTTCGGGAACTACGTCGCATCCGCGATACGGATCAGACGATAAAATATGTGGGAATATCTGGATACCCCGTGGATGAGCTGTGTTCATTGGCAGAATTGATTTTGAAGGAGACCGGGGAACCCCTGGATGTGGTTATGTCTTATGCCAATTATAATCTGCAAAATACCCGACTGTTGACTAGAGGTCTTGAACGGTTACGTGCAGCGGGCGTTGACGTGGTTCCTAATGCGTCGATCCTGGGGATGGGCCTTCTCAGAAAGCAAGGCGTGTTTCTTGGTCCGCGAGGAGACTGGCATCCGGCGCCGGATGGACTGAGGGCCGCTACTCATAAGGCCAGCGACTGGTTGACAGGGAAGAATGAGAGACTTGAGGCTGTTGCCACTCGATATGGACTGGAGTCGTGGATGCAGAAAGGTTCCTCGGTGGGAGCATTTGGCCACCCCTTGGAAACGCTTGATCCGTCCAAAGCTCGATTAAGCACTGGTCAACAACAGCTTGGCGTGAATGTGATGGGAATGAGCAGCGTGCAAGAGGTGGACGATCTTGTGAAGATATACCGGGAAGTTCTTGACGACGTTCTTGTCGGAAATGAGCCGTCGCCACGGTCAGCCGAGATAGCAGAACTGGCTGTTGGTGTGCGGTCGATACTGGGGGCTGAGTGGACAGATTACGCCTGGCCTAGCCCTGGAGAAGGGTATGTGAATACATTACCAGAAGAACACCGCAAGCTCTTACGAGAGCAGGGCCAGGATACATCTCACATTAAGACGGGAGATGTTTCTGTTGGCACTGCTGAAGTGGGAAATGGAGTCGCTTAGAATCTCAGAATATATATTGTGATCCCATGATCTATTTCGTCGCCTCTGTACGTACAGTACACATGGGGTTTATATAGAATGGAAGTTGTTCTCGCATAGGGTCGCGGACTTAGCTTATCGACTGTAGGGCACACTTCCTCGAAAAGATATGCTTGCGTAAGAATCCGCGTACACCCTGCTTCTGTCCAACTACTGCTTCTTACAATTGAAGTACGGAGAGGTCTCTGAACATCCATCATCAACTATCTGCATTGCTCGGCTGCTTGCTGCGTCCGGCGGGGTTGCACGGCCTTGTCTTTACCCGTCTCACTGCAGATCCGGGGAATGAGCATATAAGGAGATATGGGGTCCTGTCCATTGTCTATGCTTGTCTATAATTTTCTACAAAGGCGAATTAGAAATCTTTTACTATGAAGTCAGTCGCCCTTTCCACGTTCTTCTTCTTCTTTCTACAGGTAGCTGGAGCTTCAACCCATCTGCCTTGTACCACGGAGTCATTCAATAGCATCTTACCTGAGAATACGACGACAATTTTTGCAGTTAAAGTTCCAGATAATGGATCATTCAACGTTGCAGGAGACCTGGCTTATCCTCAGGTGGCATCCAGCCTTCCTGCTCTCTGTGCAGTCTCTTTCAACGTGCCATCCTCTCCTACCTCATCCCTCTCATTTGGAATGCTTCTGCCCCCGTCTCTATACAGCTGGCAATGGTGGATTCTGGAGCGGTATTAATTAGATTAGACATAGCTCAAGGAACGCAGTACGGTGCTGCATGTGTGTCCACCGATACGGGGCACAATGTTGTCAAATAGTAAAGACGGATCCTGGGCCTATCATAATAATGAGACTGTACAGGACTGGGCCAGAAGAGCTCATTCATAGCTCTGTTGTCCAGGCTAAAGAAATTGTGGCTGCATATTACGACAATGAGGCCCAATACTCATATTATTCTGGTTGTTCAACGGGAGGCTTCCAGGGCATCAAAGAGATCCAGGTTTACCCTGAAGATTGTGATGGTGCTTTGGTAGAATCGCCAGCTGTAAGTCATCATAATCACCTTTACACTTGTCACTTTCTTTTATTTCTTCGAAGCATTCTAGTTGCGGTGAAGCTGAATCCTAGCGTAAATGAATATAGTGGTGGCACTCCCACCTCCAATCATGGTCCATCCAAGTCGCTTTATGGGACCTCCCTTCAAACTCGTCCTATCATATATCCGACACTCTCTTTCCAGTAATCGAAGCTGGGAATTGGGCCTGTAGAGGAAGACCATCACTTCCAAATCATCAATCTTATCAGATGGTGGCGACATGCCATGTCGGAGTCTCTTTCCGTATAAAGCTAATCACCGAATCCCAGAACCCCACGCCACGCGTCTTGTCCCCGCATTTTAGCCAATGGTAGCTCGCTCATCTTCGGAGTTATGTTGATGTCCGAGATATGATGTTACTCTTCTCCCAGCATAAACGTGGATTTTTGTATATAAAAACCAGCCTGTTGCCCACTTTCCTTCCGGGCTTCTTCTTAAACTGTCCATATGTTTCTTCTATCGCGATATTTCTGCCCTCGTAGTTATCATTATTGACCCAAACTCTCGCCCTTGATTCACCACTCCCAGATCAGACGTCTTCATCCAAGCAACCATTTCAGAATGCCTCAGACAAGCAACCCCTACATAGGATCTTACGATGTATGCTGCTGCAGTCTCGTCATAGGCTTTTGAACTTGCTCTATGGTTTTTAACTTCTGATTTACCTATCTAGGATCTCCGCGAACTTCGCCTCCTCCACTATATCTTCTCCCTCCCTCATCTGGACTCAATCCGCAACAATCCACAAGCCGTCATCAATGAAATTGACAAATTTTCTGAGACCACAGAGTTGCATCTGATGACCATTGGACCTCAAAAGGGCGGCATGCTCAGCAAGCTCATCGCCGAGCGCAAGCCGTCCACCGTAATCGAACTAGGCGGGTTTGTCGGCTACAGCGCCATAATGCTCGGAGACGCCTTGCGTGCTGCGGGGGGTGAACGGTATTTTAGTCTGGAATTGAATCCTGTCAATGCGGCTGTCGCCAATCTGCTCATTGACTTAGCCGGTCTAGGCGATCTTGTCACTATCCATATCGCGCCAAGTCAGAAGACGATTGCAAAGTTTGTGAAGGATAATGTGATTGATCACGTCGAGTTTATGTTGATTGATCACTGGAAGGATCGTTACTTACCTGATTTGTGGCTGTTGGAGAGTCTAGGGCTCTTCAAACCTGGTGTAACGGTGTTGGCCGCTGATAACTGTCTCAAACCAGGTGCACCGGGCTATTTGGAGTATGTGAGGGCATCTCCTGCTGAGAAGAACGTGCAATTAAAGGAGAAGTACACCTTTTCAGAGGACGTGTTGACTGGTACGGATTTGGTGAAGGCCATCAAAGAGGACCGCGAGGGAGTCGAGTTGGAATGTGTTCCTGGAGATCCGAGCTACGTCTATGAGACTGAGATCTTCAAGTTTGAAATGAGGCCTGGGCATTTTGTGAGTTTTCCTTTTCTTTCTTCCCTGTTATCTCCCTGTGTAATTGGGTTATGGCTAACTAATTGCATACAGGACGGCGTTGAGGTGACCAAGGTGGTGGGCAAGGAGTGATTTCAATATTTCCATGGATACATGGCGATTAGACAACAGCAGATACCCGAGGAATTTAAGTGGATATGAGAAACAGAGAGAGCGTAACCAAGAGTCTTCTATTCGGATATACTTGTATTGCAGAAACCTTTCTGACATTAAAATGCACCTGTAAAATCACTAGAAGAGAACTAGTGCAGAACATCCAAGGATCAACGTATGATTAGCTGCGAGCGAGAAGTACAGCATAGTTTAGATACCTTGGCCTCAACCGACACCTGTGCCTTAAGACTATGAGACTACTTAGGTATGAGAAAGAAGTGAACGATCACAGCATAAATCTAAATCCAAACTTCACCTCAACACCACCATCAACAACAACGGTCTTTCCACGCGCCAAATCGCGATTCATCCGAGAATACACAACACGCATGCCAAAACAAATTACTATGAAGACCGCCTGACACACCGACACTGTAATCAGTGCCGGCCTATAAGTCGGCGCATCCTGCTGTCGATACACACCGGACGAGACGATACCACCAAGATTCGTGAACATGGAAATAAAACCCAATGCCACAGCACGCGCAGACGCAGACTGCGCATTGGCGCCCACCCATGCTGGGATGAGGAGCATAGGCGTGAACGTGCCAAATGTCAGCAAGTAGGTTAGAAAATAACCGACTTTCACATGGTGTACAAGGTCGAGTGAGCCAAGCAATATCCAGCCAATTATCGACACAATAATAACCGCAATGGCGACCAAGGCGCGCTGCTGAATACGATCGGACACCCAGCAAGTAATGCACATAACCAGCGCGCCGGTGAGATTAGGGCCGATGGTGTACAGATTCGCTCTAACCGAATTATCGGTCAGACGCTCGATCATAACCGGTAAGAAATTGGAGGTGCTTGCTGAGCCGACGCCGTAGAGTAACGCGGAAATGGCAAACATCCATATCTTCCAGTCTTGCAGCACGTCGAAGCCTGTGCGCCAGGAGAAGTCTTCTTTATTTTGCTCGAGACGCAGTGATGCACAGTGTTTTTGTACGTCGGTGAATAGCCGGGAGCTTTGTACGCTACGTGGTAAGCTGACAAGCGCGATGATGGCGATGCCAACGCTGATGGCGCCTTCGATGAGGAAAAGATACTGCCATCCTCTTAGGGCTCGGTGCCATTGAAACACTGACCAAGAAATCAACCCGCTAATCGCTCCCTTTGCAGATGGAAGTCAGTGGATTCCAAATACAACAAGTGCCCGAGTCTCAACTTTAGATCTACGTACAGATATAAATCCCATCTGAAAGAATACGGATAGTCTCGAAGCCAACTCTTTACGCGTATAGAATGTCGAAAGATAGAATGTCGCACAGGGCAGAAAGCCCGCTTCCATTGTTCCCAGGAGCACTCGTGTGGCCATAATCCCGCCAAAGTTCTTGGTGGCAGCCGTTATCATAGCGAGACTACCCCAGCCTAGGACTAGAAAGGGAATAACCAGTGCTGAACTGTATCGCTTGGCGAGAATGGTTGCGGGGATTCCAAATAAAGAGTATGGTATGTAGAACATCATGAGAAGTAGAGAGTACTGGTTCCCATGAAGCCCCAGGTCTTGTTCTAGGGTTCCCGACTTGGCGTTTCCGAGGTTGGCACGGTCGAGGCTGTGAGTGAGATAGACGAGGGCTGACGTTTATATTGACTTCTAGTTAGATATGCTTTTCTCTATCGTGTTTCACCGGGTGTGCGGTAGAGCTAGAATAAATGTGTTTGTTTGTGTCGGGCCTTACAGAGGATCGGAAGTAATATCATATCCATTCGCTTGACGAGCGATTTTTCCACAGCAGGGTCGATTATGACCCCTCCTCGGGTGTTGGAGTCATTCTCAGTCGATCCCAGGTCTTTTTCCATTTTAGCGACTTGAATAGTTTCATGTCCCATCTTTTCTTATTTTTCTCGCAACTCGCGGGGGGGAATGCATTTCCAAGCTATTTTGAGTGAATACAATTGATATAAATTACGAACGATCTCGGCCATACGCCAGGCTTTGAACATTGACATCTGCATGTTCATAGATGAGTCAAAAATCTAAATGCTCCTAGTATCGGAGGCTAAGGGGTTGTGTTGGCACCGGTATCTCTATAAGTACATGTAAGCTATTATGATCATTTGCACGCTATGCCACTTTAATTTCTCTCAAACACCGTGACGGGCTCCCCACCACAACGGACCAGAAAGATTTTCTTTCGTAGCTGTAGAATCGTTATTTATGGAGTTCTAGTGTATTTTCTTCTACGTCGAGACGGTGAGTTAGGGCTTGGTTGCCACATGTGACTGACTAACCGACTTTGGGTCTTGGAAGGCAAGAGGCTGCCATTATTACTGATCTATCACTTCCCTTGAATGTCATGTTTTAAAGTCACGTATTTCTTCTTTTTGAAAATAGGTCTGAATTATTTGCCAGCAATAATTACTCGCCAACACTAAAAAGGGCCTAGTGCTTAGTTCTGGAAACGCTCATTGGTGGCAATCGCGAAGTATACAATCATCATCGAAACATCGCAACTAAGCACCTCGAGAGAAAAAATGAAAATAACCTTCTATCTCATTCTTCTATTTCCTCTATATACCTAGGACTTTGATGTGGATATTTCTATCTCATGGCCACTTGTTTGACGCAACCATGAAGTGACTCGCTTGCCTCCCCGCCTCTGAACTGTGCCAGTAGTGGCACATTATTGTCTTGCCATCCAGGAAGGACATGTAAAAAAAGGACTGGCCTCAAAGAGTAGTTTTACACATTTTGCAGATTTTCCATATATGTTGTTTTGTCTTCACTCATTTGGTTGACTTTCCTTATCTTTCTTCCCTCTCGCTTCCATCTTCAATCTAAACACAATGACAAGCCAAAATGGCCGTTTACACGGCCATGCTGAAAACGGGGATTCAGATTTTGATAAAGAGAAAATAAACGGACCTCAGATTTCAGCCGAGCATCGAGAATACCTCATCCGCCGCCATGGAGCAGCAGACCTAGATCCGATGCCTGCCATGGACAAAGCAGATCCTCACAATTGGCCGTATTGGAAAGTATGTTTCTTCTCTACCACTTTTCTACTTCCTTAAAAAAATATCATCGTCTAACAGACCTGGTGCCTAGAAAATGGCAAACTTGTTTCTCGTCGCTTTCCACGCTCTGATGGGCCCATTCACAGCAGCAGCAATCATTCCATCCTACTCAGAAATTGCGAAGAACCTTGGCATCGCCATGCAAACAGCCACATATCTGACCACTCTCCAAATAGCCGTGTTAGCAGGCAGTCCACTGGTCTGGCGCCCGTTGATCGATCGTTTCGGCCGCCGACCCATATTCCTGTTGTCCTTGTTATGTAGTGGAGTGGGAAATATTGGCTGTGCTGTGAGTCCCAGCTATGGATCCATGGCAGCCTGTCGTGCCATTGTGGCGTTTTTCATTTCGCCAGCCACTTCGCTTGGGAGTGTTGTTGTTGCAGAAAGCTTTTTCAAGCATGAGCGTGCCCGGTATATGGGCATATGGACTTTGCTAGTTACAGTCGGTGGGTTTCTTTCGCCGTTGTTATTTGGGTTTGTCACTCAACGAATTGGATATCGCTGGGTGTACTGGATTTTAGCCATTGTAAGTTTTTCTTTTTCGCTCCTTTTCGTATTTAAATTGAAGGTAAATTCTTTTCGTACTCTGCACAGACCAACGCCGTTCAATTCTTGCTCTACCTCGTCTTCGGCCCAGAGACCAGATACATGGGCCCAGAAGTAAATAACAGATCTGCCTTTCGCCGGCAATACCTCACCTTTTTTCGACGCATTGATCCGACTCCTCTCACATGGTATGAATTCATTGAGCCGTTGACTCTGGTGACGCGATCCACAGTCACTGTACCCGGTGTAGCCTATACCATGGTGTTCCTTTGGGGCAGCATCCTGGTCACAGTCGAAGTCCCAGCTCTTTTACAAGAGAAATATCACCTCTCCGTACAGGCTCTAGGCCTACAGTTTATATCCACCATATTGGGATCCTTCCTCGGCGAAGTCATTGGCGGAGCAGGGTCTGACTACTGGATGAACTCGCGAAGACGACGGAAGCAGAGAAATACACCTGCAGAATATCGACTGTGGCTTAGCTATTTTGGATTCTTATTTGCTATTGTGGGCACAATTGTGTTCTTAACTGAGATTCAGTTTACTCCCGCAGGCCGCTGGTCGATTAAGCCTATGGTTGGTGCTACGATTGCCTGCATGGGCAATCAGATCGTTACCACGGTGCTCATGACATACGCAGTAGACAATAACATGGAAAATGCTGCTAGTGTAGGAGTATTTATACTTTTCATCAGACAGGCTTGGGGATTTCTAGGTCCTTTTTGGTATAACTCGTCGCTTGCTGTGTTCATCTTACTTGACAATGCATAAGCTGACACTTACTGCTTAGGTTCCCGTCCATGTTCAAGTCAGTAGGACACGCCAAAAGCGCAGCCATTGCGGTATGCCTAATGATAGCAGTAAGTGTTATACCGACTATGCTGCTTCATTGGTTGAGGGGCAAGCATGCACCGGTGCGAACGACGGTGGAAAGGTTGAGGCATCCGGGAATTTAACCTATCTTCAGTTTGGAATGAGTAAAAAAGGAAAATACTATTAACTGCTGTATCGAAGATGTTACTGTTCCTCGGTAAATGAATGTATGAAATTAGATGAAAATCGGAGTTGTAGACCGGATAAATACTTTTCAGCCTGGCCCCCCACATTACCCAAGGCTCTTACCCCACGTGAAGGCATAGTTATCAGTATTTACGACTACTAGGAGTTAACCTGATCTGACTATTCATTCTTGAACTGAGTAATCAAAGTACCAATGTGTGGTTCCAGCGACACACGGAACTCGTCGCCTCCCTTGATGTATTGAGGCGGCTTCTTTCCTGCTCCAACGCCTGGCGGCGTACCGGTGATGATTACTGTACCGGCAGGCAGTGTTGTGCCCTGACTGAGATAGCTGATGACCTGGGGGACGGTGAAGATCATGTCTCTGTACGAGGATGTTAAATTCTCTCTTCTTCCATGCTCATCGTTGACAACATTTCAAAAGAAGTGCAGACTCACGTGAGAGGGCAATCTTGAACGACGTTGCCGTTCCACGTACCCTTAATCTGCAGCTGAGAGGGGTCAGGAACGATTGACGTTGATGCAACGACGGGCCCTATATTGGGCAACATTAGCAACTTGAGTTGAGAAAAGACAAAGGAAAGAAAGAACCGCACCTAGAGGGCAGGCACCGTCAAATCCCTTGGAGAAGCACCACTGGCTTTGGTTGTTCTGCGATGTCCGGCTCGAAACGTCGTTGGCAGTGGTATATCCAAGAACATAATCAAGGGCATCTTCCTCGGAAACATTCTTCGCCGTCTTGCCGATAATTACCGCTAATTCAGACTCGTAGTCGCCCGTGTTGTCCTTTTGGGTGATTTTTGGAAGATAGCATGGCTCTGGCCACGGGTTTCCCAGAGCTGTTGAAGGCTTGAGGAAAATGGTGGGAATTTCTGGCAGTGAAAGATTCATCTCTGCGGCATGTGAGACGTACTAATGAAAAAAGTTAGCATTAGTCTCTCACTCAAAATCCAAATTATGTCGAATCGTCGTGTATGAAGAACACTCACATTCAATCCAATACATCGGATTGTCCCGACTTCCTCCTGTGCCAATGGCGAAAGCACAGTCTTGATGATCTCAACATTCTCGGTGCGCTCACCGGGAGCAAGAATAGATGATCCAGTGAACGGCTTTACTTCAACATCTTTGCCCTCATAAATAGCCAATCCAACATCAATGCTGGCGTCGACGGGTTCGCCAATAAGAACCTTGGACTCATCAGACTTGGGCACAAAGCGTACGAGACCTGGGCATCTGTCAGAAAGGCAATAGCTACTCTTACTAATTGGAAGGAGAAACTTACGGGAAAATGCCATTGTTTTTCGGGGTTCGGAGGTGGCAGGGTAATGATTATTAACGAAGAATGATAGACAAGATATGTATAAAGCAAAAAATGATGAACGCAAGAGTCAGCAGCGAAGTCGCAATTTGTGTCCGTCGCCTCCGTATATAAAAGTCAAGCGGGGGGGAAGGAAGCGCCGGCAAAAGTCTTATCCCGCTGCCGGAAGCCGGCCTTACGCAGGCAATATAAAGACAATATAAAAAGAAGGGACTGCCGGGGACTCAGGACCACAAATGCAAAAGTCCACACACACTATATACAGCTACTCTTTGACATTTTCACAACCAAAATGGTGGACGCACCCAAGGGCCCTTTTAAGCTTGTCACTGTCAACACTGCTCCTGAACGGGCGAAGAGGTTGATCGGCCGCTTGGCCGAAACTCTCAAGGACCGCTACACAATTATTCATATTGACAACGCCGAGAGTAGGTCCTTGCAACTTTAGACTGATGGACTCCATATGCTAATAACAAAATTTCCCCAGAAATTGAAGAAGTCGAGCCCAAAGTCAAGGAGCACCAACCCGACGTCCTGGTAAGAATCCGCCGGCTCTGCGCCAATGATCACCGAAGTAGCTGACTAGGTGAACAACAGTTCTGTGCCTCAATGTGGACTGCAGAAGAAGCAAAAGGAATCATCGAAACAGCCAAGAGACTTCGTCCTGGCATCAAGACACACGCCATCCCTCATGGATTGCAGGTAGAGCGGGGTCCTGATGCGATTGTCGAGTACTTGGTGGAGAATGTGCCGAAGCTGTTGGATGCGCCGGTTGAGGAGTAAATATATTTTACATTTAAAAGGGAAGACGTATTCTGCATAGTATTTACTTGCCTGCATTCATTAGCATTTACAAACAAAAGATGTTTGTCGCATAGCAATTGAAAGTAATGAGCGGAGCTAACCGGAACCGGCCCGATAAGATAAGATTAGAAGATTTGTCACGTGTAATTCTTATCTTATCGCGCTGTAACTTTGCGACAATCAGTCGGCTCAACCTTAATTATTCTTCGGAAGTATTAGCCATCCAGCGCAACGAACATCATGTTTCTGCCCATGCAGCTGCGAGCTGTGTCGGGGCCATGTCGCGCTCACTCCCGGCGCCTTTTTTCTTCGTCTGCCACGATGCGGATTGAATTGGCGTACCAATTGATTGAGCCACCGTCACAAGAAACGAAGCGCAGCGGCCGGCCGATTGTGTTTATGCATGGATTTTTGGGAAACAGGAAAAACAACCGGAGTATTAGCAAGTGCGTGGCTCTATTCTATCGGGGAAAAAGTATTTTTAGTATTCTCTTGGTGAAGATAGACTGATTTGTTACTAGAGCCCTAGCGCGCGATCTTAACCGTGACATTTACGTTGTGGTGAGTCTGAAATGACATCGACATCATGCTTGTTCATTTAGAGGATCTTATTGACATACCTGACTACAAGGACCTCCGAAACCATGGTGACTCCCCCCATGCTCCAGAACACACCTACAGCCATCTCGCGGAGGATGTAGACGAGTTCATCAAAGAACATAACCTGGGAAAAACTGTTCTCATCGGGCATTCAATGTATGTATCAATCCATCAGGTACTATCTATTTATTGCTATCATTTTATGGCCCAACAAGCTACGAGCTGACCGAGTACAACGTCCAGGGGCGCCAAAGTCGCAATGGTCCTAGCTTTACAATCACCCGAGACCACCGCTGGTGTGATTCCCGTCGACAACGCGCCTGTAAATGCCCGATTAGGATCGCCCTTCCAGGATTACATCAACGGCATGAAAGAAATATCTGCAAATCACGTTACGAAGCAGAGTGAAGCCGATCAAATATTGTCAAAATACGAACCTGTACTTTCTCCCTTTCCCTCTTTATTAACCACCTGTCGCGCACCAAATGAGATTGATTAACCTTTAATAATCAACAGTCCCTCCCAATCCGACAATTCCTCCTCACAAATTTAGTCCGTGACCCCGAAAGCGACAAGAAGACCCTCAAATTCCGCGTTCCATTAGACATTTTGGGTTCCGCATTGCAGGAAATGGCAAACTTCCCTTTTGAGGCTGGTATTGATGCTGATGTTGCTGAAAATGGCAATGACAATGATCTGCCCACATACTCCGGTCCAACACTGTTTGTTCGTGGTCTTCAGTCCAGATATATTAGTGACAGGAAGTTACCTGCGTGCAAGAAGTTCTTCCCCAATGCACAAATTGTGGGTATTGATGCTGGACATTGGGTTATTTCTGAGAAGCCGGAGGAGTTCAGGCAGGGTATGTATAGCAGATTTTGAATTGCATTTTTTTTGGCTTCAGGATAGCTAACATGCATGTCTAGCTGTGCTCAAATTCTTCCGAGAGAGCGACGTTGAGTGAACATAAAGGGACGACATTGAATAATTCTAGCTAAGGTGAGGCTTGGATATACAATTGAAAGGCGGGTGGTGCATATATTACATGCATGTTATTATTTTGGAAATAGAGAATAGATAGACTGACTTGATAGACCTGATCCAATACATGATCTCCTAATACCTTTTAAGGTTCTACTTATATTCATGTGTCAAGAAGCCTGTATATGATGTATATACAATTATTCGGGATATACATAAATACGCCAGAGCTATGTAGATGAAACGAGTCCTAGTTCACAAGCTGACCAGGCACATAACAAACATCATCAAAGGTCATTTGGGTAGTAGAAAAAGGTGAAGCACGTACCCAAACATCATTAATTAAGGATATTAGAATATCCCTTACCTCAAATCAAAGTTATGCTCGGTTACTTACTCTATTCCTGCCCGGATACAGATACACTTTTTAACCTTGCAAATATAGATAAATGCATGCTCTGAAAGAAAATAATGTCACCAGCCCTTACCCTTGCCATTTCCCTGTTGTTGGTATCTGTATGAAGAAAGAAAAATATAAAACGCCGTGGTTCTGCAACCCATAATATCAAATATCACGCTCACTCGCTCGCCTGATAACGTGTCTAAGATCACCCCCACGCTTCCCTCCCCCCCAATCCAAAGGGGGAAACATAGTACAAGAAGAGAAAAGATTATTTGCTTCCGATTGGTATGTATTGTTGAAAAACCAGACAAAACAAGATGTCGGTGGAAAAATGTATAAATGAAATATGATGAGTATTATTGAGTATTATATGCCGGCGGAGCCATTATTTGCGTTATTGGGGGCATCCATTAACGTCCGATGTTTGTGTCGTTTCTTTTTCGGCGGCTTGGATGACCCATCGGGCCCAGGGGTACTTAGGGGCGTGCTGCTAGGGGAATTGAATAGTGACGGCTGGGGCGAAGAAGAGAAAGCTTTTGAAAGCTTGCGTTTCTTTTTCTCTTTCTTCTGTGATTTTGAGCTGATGCTGTTCATGTCGGAAGGATTGCTTTGAACCTCTTCGTCCCGTCGAGAAAGCTCAGATCTGTTCGTCAATACTGGTGATGGCGTCCGTTCAGGTCTTGGAGACTGGGATCCGCGGAATCTTCTCTCTAATATAGCTTTTGCCTGCTCTATCTCCTGAAGTCTGTAGGCGAGCTCCTTGACCTCTCCCATGATGCCTTCGATTTTTGTTTGAAAGTCGTTTGCACTCTGTTGGTCTTTTAAGGCGTCGACTGATTTTACCAAGTCCTCTACCGTAGTAAGAGTCGAGGCATTTGATTCATAACTGGCGTTTTGGCGGGCCGACATGAATTTGACAACAGATGCGGTAGTTTCTTGTTTATCTTCCAACTGCGCGATTTGTTGAGTAAGGCTCTCAACATGTTGCTGTAAAGCAACTTCAAGATTTTCGAGATTTAATGTCGTGTCTTTCAAGCCGTTCTCGCCTAAAACATCACTGATCTTTTGCTCTAGGCTTTGGACCTTATTCTCGACCTCGTTGATTAGATCAGTCAATTTCTCCTCCACAGACTGAGCGTTAATTTCTGTCGATTGAGTTACTGCTGTACTTTGACCCTGTGGTTGCGATTGCAAATCGTTTTCATGATTAGCAGCAAGCCCTTGCTTTACAGGCTGCGGCTCGTTCCCCCCCGATCCGACTGCAACTATATCCTGATTCCGTGACTGGGCTTGCAAGTCATCCACACGGTCAGTAAGGGTCTTCTCAAATTCGTTAATCCTTTGTTGGAGTTGCGAAAAGCGTGCTTGTATCTCGATCACCGCGGCTGAAAACTTTCGCTCTTCGTTCGAACCTTCGTTCCCACGTGATATATGTGAAGCAAGGACAGCTAACTGTCGTGACTGGTTCTCCACAGCTGCAGAGAGACCAGGAATGTGCGCAACTTGGGCCAATTGCACTTGGGTGTTGTGAAATCTTTCAACAATAGTGTACAATGCCTGCGCTGGTGGATAGTGCCTCTGTACAATAGGTAAGAGTTGGAGAGATAGGGAATCAGGGGTGAAGCTACTATAACGAGTTTCTAAGGAGCCAACTGCTGTCTCCACAGTTTGCAAGCGTTGATCCTGAATCTCTACCGATTCTCTCAGACTAGCCATACTGCCTGTTTCAGACTTCACTCCCTCAGTCTTGACCTGTACCATCGCCTTCTCTAAGTCGGATGCTGCTTCTGCCTTGACTTTAACAACTGTCTCCTCAAGTTGTTGTTGGATCTTCTTGTGATTTTCGTCAATAAGCTGTGTCAACAAGTCATCCTTCATCGCATGAATGCTTCTGACCCCGTCTACAACAGTCGTGAGATGTTGATGGCTTGTTTCAACGTCTTTCAGCCGAGAAAAAATATCACTAACCCTCTTCGTCAGGGTATCATATTCGGGCGTGGGGCTGCTACTCTGAAGTGGCCTTTTCTCTAGATCGACAATGCGATCTTCTAATGTTTTAAGACTGTTTTGATTGGGACCGGTAGGCAACTTTGGAGGGTCTCTCCTTTGCCGCAAGTATTGCTCTACCTTTGCTTCCACTCGGTCATTCAAGGATCGCTTCAGCTCATATACGTCATCATCTAGTCGGGAAAGACGCTTGTGGTCCGCAGACAAATTCTGCTCATCTGTCTGCTTTCGCAGTTGATCGCTTAGCGCATCGACTCGGTCGCACGTCCTTCTTAGCAATTTAAAATTCTCATCTTGAGCCCTTTTTAATGATCCTAGCTCATCCGAGTGAGACTTTGACGTTTTCTGTATATCCGTATATCTCTCGTTCGCCAGCGTAGTCTCTTTCGTTAGTCTTGTAAAGTCTTCCCTTACTGACTGGACAGACAGTTTATTAGACTTTGTTTCGGCTTCGATGCTTCTGAGTGCATCAGAAGGATGATTTTGGCCTTTGGCCTCCGCATCTACCAGTGCAGCAGCGTGCTTCGACAACGCCTTTTGAGCCTCTTTGCGCGCAGTGAGTTGGTCTTTGAGACTATCGATATCTTTGGTCTGGGCATCACGTATTCTGCTAAGGAGGTCCTTCGCTGCTGGAAATTGACCCAGGTTTTTAAGTTTATCATACTGCTGATTAAGCCCCAATTGTGCCTTTTTTGCCCTGGAATATTCGTTCTTCAGTGCCGTGGTAGTCGACGCCTCTGTGGATAAGCCTGCTAGGCTTTCAATCAACTTTTCTCCATATGACTTCGGTTTAGAGGGCATAAATGCTGGCACGGGGTTAGGCACAGAAGAGACATTTGCAGGGTTTTCCTGTCTAGAAGAACGGCGCGGGTCTCGCGATGGCGACGTTGCTGGCGCTGAGGGGAAAGGCTTCGAGATTTCGGACATATCGCACTGCGCTTAAGCTCAACTCGTACAGAAAGCCCGCGGTAGATCTAGTAATCGCAGTCAGTATCGAGTAGAAGCGAATCCTGTCTTGAGAGTTACATCTATATAAACACCACAAAGCAAAGAAGCTTTCAAAGTGGAGCGAACCTACCTGCAGCATTCATTGTTTACAGTGAGGGAGCGCTGGGAGGGGGGGGAAAGGAAAAACATAAGATTTCCGTTTGCACAGCAGCCACAGCAACCTGAACGAATAGGAAAGAAGAGGACCAGGAACACACAATGTCACAAGAGTGTCTGTGAGTATAAAATCCTCTGAAGAGCTCCCTGAGATAGTCTGAATGATCGGCTCTGGTCGCCAGAAAAGGCTAAAAGAGGTGACTTCAGTCGTGGGGGGAGCCAATCATCGTGCCGGACGTCCCTTTACGCGACGTGCGGAAGGCGCTGCACGGAAAGGCGGTCAGTCAGGCGGTGAGCAGTTACCTTGCCGCTTGGCTCCTGCCCAGACTTTCCTGGGCGTCGAATAAAATGCTGAGGCACTCGCGGTCTGGAAGCTGCTCAAAGACAAGCCCCCCAGCTCTGCCAACAACCTGCTCATCACCTTGCCCCATCGGAGAGGAGTCGCGGACTTTTGCTTGTGAAGGCTCATTGATTGGCCGTGTACACGATGGCTGCTGTAAGTTAAAGAACCTGAGATGGTTAGCTTGTCATGCTTACTGACCTCGATTCGTGCATCAGCCCATTTCCACCATTGCAGAGAGCAAAGAGCTCCGCGGTCTCAATCTCATCGCAGCTCATTCGCATATTCGCGGCCTCGGCGTCGATGCTGATACCCTGCAACCCAGGGCATCCTCCCAGGGCCTTGTTGGTCAGGAAAAGGCGAGAAAGGCAGCAGCGGTGATTCTGCAGATGGTCAAGGAAGGGAAAATCGCTGGTCGTGCTGTTTTGATCGCCGGGCCTCCTAGCACAGGAAAAACTGCCATCGCGACGGGCATGGCCCAGTCTTTGGGCTCCGATGTGCCGTTCACCACACTTGCCGCATCAGAAATCTTTTCCCTGGAAATGTCCAAGACGGAGGCGCTCACTCAAGCATTCCGCAAATCTATAGGTGTTAGGATCAAGGAAGAAAGTGAAATTATTGAGGGCGAGGTGGTGGAAATTCAGATTGATCGAAGTGTGACTGGGGTATGTCCTTTTCGGTGTTGAAAAGAGACTGGAGTGAATAAAGGCTAACAGACCCAGGGCAACAAACAAGGAAAACTTACGATCAAGACAACCGACATGGAGACTATATATGACATGGGCACCAAAATGATTGACTCCATGACACGAGAACGAGTGATGGCTGGCGACGTCATTTCCATCGACAAGTCTTCAGGCAAGATCACCAAACTAGGTCGTTCTTATACGCGGTCGAGAGACTACGATGCCATGGGCCCTGATGCCAAATTCGTGCAATGCCCAGAGGGAGAACTTCAGGTGCGCAAAGAGATTGTGCACACTGTTAGTCTTCATGAGATAGACGTGATCAACTCTCGCACACAAGGCTTCCTTGCTCTTTTCTCGGGTGACACAGGTGAAATTAGAAGTGAGGTCCGAGATCAGATCAACACCAAAGTTGCTGAATGGAAAGAGGAAGGCAAAGCTGAGATAATTCCTGGCGTCTTGTTCATCGATGAGGTTCACATGCTCGATATAGAGTGCTTCTCATACATCAACCGAGCGCTTGAGGCAGAACTAGCCCCGATAGTGATCATGGCAAGCAACCGCGGCAACACACGTATCCGAGGGACCAACCATCGCTCACCGCATGGTCTTCCCCTTGATTTTTTGGACCGTGTAGTTATCGTCAGTACTCAGCCTTACACTTCTGACGAGATCAGACAGATATTAGCCATTCGAGCTCAAGAAGAGGAGGTTGATTTGTCACCTGACGCTTTGGCTCTGCTTACTAAAATAGGACAAGAGTCCGGGTTACGCTATGCCAGCAACATCATCACCACGTCTCAGTTGCTTAGTGAAAAGCGCAAGGCCAAAGAAGTTAGCATTGATGATATACAACGCAGCTTCCGATTATTTTATGACCCGTCGAGAAGTGTCAAATTCGTGGGTGAATTCGAGAAACGCTTCATCAGCGAGGCTGGCGATGTGAACCTTGCGTACGCCAATGGGGACGCAATGGAAATATCCTAAAAAAAGCTTATACCACAATTTTACTTGACGTTTTGATTTCTCTTTTCTTTGTGTTTTCTGGATACTCTTCCAAAGATCTCGTTGCGGCGTAACTAGAGGGGCGATCCTCTTCATGATGGTTTGGGGTTTAACTTTTAAAGAGCATATTTTCTTGTCTTCCTTGTTTGGTTTTTGCACTCACCACCGAAGTACATCTCTTCTGTGCAAATCCGACGTTCTACGGAAATGTATGATATGGCCAAGTCAGCACAGCTAATGGTATCTAGGGTCCTATGGTTACCTAAAATCTAATCCTGTCTCATCAAAAGAGACATTTTTATATCAATAGTACAACGTTCAGTCTTCATAACATGATGAATTATAATATATCTCAGGAGAAAATCGTTACTCGAACCCAGTCACTGTCTGTGCCTCCCAACTTGCGAAATTCAACTCCTTCCCCAAAATAACCTGCATCATTCCAAGACTGCATCATAGCACCATCGTATGGGCCATGTATCTCACCCCCGTCCCGAGTGTCTGACCATCGATATTCCCATAACGTCGTTTGATCCGCCGAGGTTTGCCCTGGGACCTGAGTTTGCGCTTCTCCCGCCTCATCAGGCGGATCAATCCAGTCTTCACCTGTTTCCCGACGGAATTGACGAGTGAGCATCTCTCTTTCTTGGTCGTAAATTTCTGTTTGACCTCTCGTCAAGAGAAGATCTGCGGCGCCTGTTATCTCATCGATGGCCTTCTTTCGAGCAGCTTCCTCGGGATTTTCTTCGGTCATTTCAACATCTTCAGCATGTGCGCCGTTGTTCTTATGTTTGTTCTTCTGTTTATTTTGCCACTTAGGCTTCTTACGGAGACCCTTTCCAAGTCGTCCGAGCGCTTCAAGTACGGTTTCTCCGCGCTGAAGATGTTTGATTAATGTGCGTAGAATGTCAGCTGCCAGTATACTGTCATTCGCCCTATCTCGCTCACGTCGCTCATTTTCTCGTTTATCAGCGGCTTCTTTTGCTCGGCGGATATCCTTCTTGGAAACGCCATCTAACCATGTGTCATGGATTGCGTCTGGGTCAACAGCTTTTCTGATATAGTTTCCTTGGTCGTCGAAACGGCCTTCTTCCTGTTCTGTTCGCATATTGAATGCATCGATGAGCGGCGCGTGCGTCTTTTTACCACCAGCTCCAACCTCCTCGTCCAGGTCTTCGTCTACCCGAGCGCGTTCGGCTTCGTCTACCTCACTCTCGCTCTCACTTTCTGCCTCTTCAGCTCTTCGCGCATCAAGCGGACCAGCGAGGTCAACGTGAACGCTACGACCACCGCGGGAGCTATTTACTTGACCCTCTATATCCTCGTCCTTGAGAAAGCGCACATTTTTCTTATTCTTTCGATATGCCTCTTCTTCGCCCATTTCATCCGCAACTTCGTCTTCCCCTTCTTCGGCAAACATGTCCTCGTCGTCATCGCCACCAGCATCTTGTTCGCGTTGTTGCCGCCGCTTAGCTTTGGCCTTCGCATCGACCCGCGCATTGAAGCCTTCGTTTTCACTGTCGGATTGGTAGCCATCAAGATTGACCGCGTTGCGACGGACACCCTGTCCTCGGCGACCAATCTCGTCAGCGTCTAGCACTGCATCATCCTCGAGCTCATCTGGTGCCAGTGCGGACGGGTTGCGCAAATCGAAGCGTGGTTTTTTGGAAGATGCAGGCCCGGCAAAATCGTCTTCGGCGGCTTGGTGGGTGCGAGCGTAATCTTCGCCAGCGCGCTTGGGGCGCACTGATCTGGACATGATTCCGAAACTTGTTCAAATATAAAGCAAGGCTGGATTTTCGTAGGAAGTGTGCTGGAGGCAAAACAAATTGTGGCCGACTTGTTGAGGTTGCAAAAGTCTGGGGTCGGCTCGGAAAATCATGGATGGACCGAAAACAATTGGCCCGGCGCACTTGCGTCACCGACAAGTCCTGCAATAGTTAGCATCTCATCTCTTTTTATCTTCCAACAACATTTTCCGTGTTCTGACTTTAGCGCCTTGTTTTGAGAAAGTATAAAAGATTGTCACATACGCGAGGCGAGAGATATCTTCTAACTCTACGGCACCATCCTTGTCTGGTTGAACTCCCAGTTAACAGAGCTTCCCCGCACGAACACGGCCTTGACAAAGTACTTGTCACAATGGTACTTCCTACCCTTCACTTTCACTTTATGTATGCATCACAATACTGATAACTTGTTACCAATAGTATCGCCCAGGCTTCTTCGATCCGGATGCCATGGATGGCATCATGGGAGGCGCAATGCGTTATGGAGGTCCTACCCGTCGCTTTGATGAATACTATCGATGTTATCCAGTGGCGATGCTTCCAGGCCCAGAGCGAGAAAATGTCAACCACGGAGGCAAAGTGATAATGCCACCTAGTGCACTGGATAAACTGACACGGCTACACATTACATATCCGATGTTATTTGAGCTACACAACGGCGCTAAGGAGAGGATGACACATGCTGGTGTTTTGGAGTTTATTGCAGAGGAGGGGAAAATTTACCTTCCTTTTTGGGTATGTTCTCTCCTGTGTACTTGGATGTGATGATACTCATTACTATAGTTGATGCAAACGCTCCTGCTTGAGCCCGGCGATTTAATCCAGGTCAAATCGACCGACCTTCCTCCCGGCCGATTCATCAAGCTTCAGCCGCAGTCAACATCATTCCTTGACATCAGTGACCCCAAAGCTGTTCTCGAGAATGCATTCCGGAATTTCTCTTGTCTTACAAAGGGAGACATCTTCACGTTTGCCTACAACGATCAAGTTTACGAAATTGCAGTGCTAGACGCAAAGCCCGACGGTGACAAAAAAGCCATATCGGTGTTGGAAACAGATCTGGAAGTCGACTTTGCACCCCCTGTCGGATATGAGGAACCAACAGCACGTACAAGTGGGACAAGCACGCCGCGTAGTGTCCAGGGAGCAGTGCCTCGTGGTGGCCTGGTGCATTCGCATGGCAGCATGGCTCAGGCAATAAACTACGCAGCAATCGCCCCTGAATCAACCGATGCGGCAAAGGGGGCCAAAGCCGTGTCGTCCAATTTTCTAGCTGGTGGACACCGTCTGAATGCCAAAAAGAGCAGCAAAACACCGACGCCACAGCCAAATACTCCCGTTGCAGGGAGCTCAACAAATCCCAAGCACCCGCCTTCAACACGTAGGACAAATGGGCCACAGCCACTACGACTGGGTCTCAACAAGCTTTTCTTTGGATATGCTATCAAGCCAGCCCCGAAACGTGACGAACAGGGAGACATCGTTGAAGAGGCCGACAAACCCAAGTTTCAGGGTCAAGGACAGACATTGCGGACACGGAAGAAGGGACTTGGAGGAGATTCTGGAACGCCTACATCTGGGAGTGATGTAGAGGGGCGTAGGAGGTAGATCAACGGTCTCTATTTTACGTTTAACCTCTCGAGCATGATCTAGATTCTGCGTCTTTTTCTTTCTTTTTAGCATGGTAGGTGTGAACTGGCGTTCTTTCACGAACTTGGTTGTTCTATGGCTCTAGATCTGAACTGGTTTATAAGAAATATAGACTGAATGATCCTTTCAGATTAGGCATCTTTAATGTTCTCTTTTGACAAGCCTGCGAGGAGGATCCGTAGTCACCGTGGCCATATCTGACTTGCTTTCAAATATATTATTCAGTACAAGATGATAGTAATCAATAGTTGACTCCTGTTTCATCGACTATCATTTCATATGTCATATCGTCCCAAGACATGTACGATTAACTTATCAGTCGAGGGAGACCGCTACTTCACCTAGTGTAGAAGCATGTCTGAGGGCACCTTATCTTCTTATCTGAAATCTTATAGTCAACACCATATAAGCCGCTGTTGTCTACCTATGAATTAGTTAGGACCATATCAATGATCAATGATCGACATCGGAGTCCATCCCACTAAGCCTGTCTAGGTTAGTATTCAATGAGCCAATTCCAACCTCGGTACTTTTACTCGATTAGGTATAATGTTGATGCCTTGGGCTTGCTTCAGCTCTAACTTAATCATATAAGTTAGTTATAACCCATGACAGTATCTCGTTGCAGAACACAGAGGGGCATTGACAATGTCAACAACTATCGCACAACATGACCCCCTTTCCCCTTTCATCCGGCTCACTCCTTCAATCTACCTCGTTGAACCGCGCGCGCCTCTACCTCAGTCGAAAGACATCAAGACTATAGTCCTCTCCTTCTGGTATAGCGCTCCTCTACGAGCACTTGTCAAATATGTTCTCAAATACGCCGACTTAGCGCCGTCAGCACGCATCATCTTCATTCTAAGTGGGCCGCGAGACTTCTATCTCTATCCAACACTGGCATCGCATCGACTCCGACTCAAATCGGCTGTTGATATTCTTATTGCCTGTCAGGAAGGAAATAAAGATCAGCCTGAAGATGGCTATGAGAATAACTCGGTGTATATACACCTCTTCTCAAACGGCGGCCTGTTCACGACTGCCCATTTACTGCTGGCCTATAAACATGCCACTGGCAAACCATTGCCAGTCTCAGCGGTGGTTCTGGATAGCTCGCCTGGCAGACCGACACCGTCGCTGTCCATCAAGGCATTGTCGTACGCGTTACCGCGGACACTCATCATCCGACAGATTGGCCTCGCGTTGCTTACCACAATGATATGGGCCACATACGTGACGCGCAAGTCACTAGCTCTAGCTCAGAACATTGTCTGGAGAGGGTCAGATAAAAATGACCACGATGATGATGTAGCAGTATACGGCGATGACCCGTTTGCATTCACCCGGAAAACGATCCTCGATCAGGACTTTATTGTTGCTGACTTACCCGGGGCTAGTCTCAAGATGTGCTATATCTATTCGGACTCCGATGCTTTGGTGCCCTACAAAGATGTAGAGGAACATGCAGCTTTAGCAGCTTCGAAAGAGGGCATCAAAGGCAAGAAGAGAGCGGTTGTACATTTAGAGCGGTTTAGTGCCACGCCGCATGTTGGACATATGAGGGCGGACCCTGTGAGGTATTGGAGTGTTATTGAGAGATATTTGATGCAGATGTGAATGAATACATTATATTTATACCCGTTTATATAGATAGATATGCAGGAAACTCGTGGTCTTTGGATGTCGCTTCTGCTCAACGTTTATGATAGGATTGAAGATATTTTACTATCTGTGGAGGTTGCCTATCATATTCATGGGTATTTACCTATCTAGGTAAGAAACCATCACAAATATGCTGCGACCTGAGGAAAGAATAAAAGACCCAGGACTCTCAGCAAAAAGTGTGGAGATTCCCTCATCTGTCAGTAGCTGAATACTTTGAGAACAATCACTGGGATCTTCGGCAGGCTCACTGCCATGTTGTGCTTCTTATGCATGCATATAAGGAACCGATTGACAAAACAGGAAACAAGAGCAAAAACCAGGATATCCATATTTTCGATCTGCACCACCCTCTTCAGACGTACTCCCGACACCACTGGGTAAACCATGTTCAACAGCAAGACGGGAAAGGTGACTCTAAGCTGTCTGATCTATTAAAAGCCTTCCTTAGGCCTCCAAATGAAAGCAGTGTGCAGTACCAACGATGGTATGAAAGCATCAAATCAGATGATACAAATTTACCACCCACATCTTGTTTCAGAAAAGTTGATAAGGACGACATATCCCCCGAAAACAGCAGCTGGGTTCTCGCCATGTGCCGCTTCTCGTTTTATGAACTTCAATTAAACTCGTGGGACAAAGCACCAATTCCGCTCGCCCAGGTGAACTGCAAGGGTGATAACCTCTTGGTCCTTGCTACACTAGCAGGCTGCAGGCCCATTTGTGGGAAACTCATACAGCGAAACGTCGACGTTAACATGCAGATTGGGCAATATGGGAGTGCCCTAGCAGCAGCAGCAGCAGGAGGCGGAGAAGAACACGTGAAAATCAAGGTCACTACGTACTAATCACGCGAGAGGCAAAAGTAAATCTACGACTTCAGACCGGTAATTATGGCAGCGCCCTCGCAGCGGCAGCACAAAACGGAAACCTTGACACCGTCAAGTCCCTTATTGAGCAGGGCGCAGATGTGAACCTTCTACTCCAGACTGGACTGTACGGCAGCGCATTAGCTGCTGCCGCCTACTGGGGTCAAAAGGAGGGTGCAAAGAGTCTAATGAATGCTGGCGCAAAGCTGAATCTCAAGCTGGAAAATGGGTTTCATGTTTCCGCTCTGCATGCTTCACAGGCGAATATCCCTTGGAAAATTCGAAACAGCTTCAACGGGCAGGAAAAGAGGAATGAAAAAGAACTGGAAAGGGACAAATTGGAAGTGGAAGAGTTGCTTAGACATGCTGGCGCGGTGGATGAGGAGGAGTGCTACCTAGTTTAGTAAAGGCATGAGCCGCGTTCCTAGGTATTATCTGTCTGTGGAATATTCGACCGATGATGAAAAAAGAAAAGGATTAGTTACTATAAAAAACATTACTAGTTATTCAAGTGGTAAATATACCTAGATAACAGTCTGTGAAGATGTAATGAATAACACCAAAACAAATAGATGCACCCAATCATCATAGCGCAACATTCTTCGAATGAAAAGCCACATCTTGATAATGATTAAATTTCATCCGTTCCTCTCTATTCTGCACCAAAATCTCCTTAGCCTCCTGCAGCGCCCAGGGGAAATCGCCTTCGCGCGGGCAAATCTTCACTTTTTCCTCCAAAGTAAGCTTGGTGATATCGGGACCATATGCGTCGGCTTCGCGTTTCCAATCAAGGCGCTGCGGGGGCACATTTGCACTTGAGATAATGCGGATGTTAGGGTCAATCAAGAGGAAGTTTATGGAATGGGCGTGCCCTTCCTTTGTGCGATCTTTGAGCTTGATGGTCGTGTTGTGCTGTAAGGTGTTTGGCCAGGTAACTATTCGTCCCTGTGAGCATTCTATGCCACCTACCTCTTGGACGGTGGAACCATCGTGCGTCATGCCGAAGATTTGCTCGAGCCATACAGTGTCGCCGCGCTCGTATTCGAGGTCTTGGAATGTTTGGGTGTCAGATACTTGCCGAAAATCCAGACGGATTGAATCAATGTTCTCCATATCGTTGTAGAATAGTGCTGAGGCACAAATGTGCTCGTTCTGGAGAAGTATCTAGTTAAAAACAAACCGGACAAACAGGTTGAAGGAAAGGAGAGAAAGGAAAGATGAACATACAATCTGGCCTTCCATATGCCACGGAACATGGAAGTTCGGGTCATCAGGAGTCGGAACATTGTCATCTATTCGTACAATCACCTGCAAACCGCGGCGACCATACTCCTTCTTCAAATCCATCACATCCACCAGTCTATGCTTATTCCTCTCTTCAGGGGGGAGGCCCTCCATCATCTGAGGAGTGATGCCGATAGTCGTGAATTCACCGGGCTCCGGCTGAACGGCAGTAAAGTGCTTCCGCCTCCATGCCCGGAGACGTTCTTCATATACGTGTCTAGCCTCGTGTGGAGATTCGGTTGGTTTCGGTTCTGTCTTTCCCGGTGATATCTCCTTGTATTGAACATCTTGCAACTCAATTCGGGCCCGAGTATGAAGAAGACTCTTCACAGGTGTCAAGGTCATGTCAAACATCGGGATGACTTTATCCAGTAGCTTCTCCAAGAACGGATATAGTTCTTTGCTTCTCTGAGGATGAATATTGTTTATGTAGCTGTCGAAATAACAAGTCCCATCGGGCCGGAAGTACACATCACTAGGAAGCCATTGGAATCGAGAGCTGTAAGGATGGGGCATGATATCCGAGCGTGAGGCAATATTCCAGCTCAAATCCTTACGTGAAGGTCCAGGATCTGTGGGGATTGGCAGGAGCTCGCCTTTCCCCATGTAATCCACAGCCTCGTCGCGATTAATAGTACGATCTCGGAGAATCCTACTTCTGCCAAACACAACTGGGAAGAATGACGGATGTACGTAGTCGATCTGTTGCGGTCCAGTAACCATCCTGTACTCGACATTGCGAGAAAGTGGCTTTTCAAACGCTTTGATCGCGCTGTTCAGGTCTCTTAAGTAATTGGGATCATCGAAGATGTACCGGCAGGTCTTAACAACGTCTCCAGTGAAGATGTTAATATAACCATTGGCTTTGGTAATCGCGGCCTTGAATCGGAGTTCATTAGCTAGCTGATCGATCATTTTTGGGGTTACGTCTTGGTCCTTGCTGAGCTCTTTTCCCCAGTTTTGCATAAAGCATGCATTGAAGACCTGGCATGGATATCGATCGATCAATCAGCCTCCTTTTCAAGCCTATAAGAATAATATTCTCACACCTTTCCTTCTTCATACCAGTCCTCCATGTCTGTGAACTGATTCATCAAATCCAGCATCTTCTTTTCTCGAAGCGTCATCACAGGTTGTCTGCTCATCAGAAAGGGAGGAGAAAAGTAGTCAGCAACCAACCCTTGATCACAAACAGCCCGCGCCACCAAGGAACAGTTGGACATACTCGATATACCCACGCTCGATATCCCTGTCATCCAACACGGTAGGAAACAGAGACCGAGTCTTGACTCCATACTGATTCAGTGACTCTGGAGAATAATCTAATGGAAGACCGGCACCAGGCAGAGTAAGACGGTCATCCGGCAGTTGTTCTTTGGCGGGAGCCGGGGCTCTGGGAGTGGATTGCATATCGAAGACAGATAGATGAAGAGAAATAGATCGATAAAATAGCTCTCTGCCAGGTGAACCAATGATTCACAGAGAGAATCAAGATATGAGACTGCGTATATGAGGTATCTCTCCTGAGAAAGAGGAAATAGAGGAGAGAGAGGGGGACGTCGATAAAAGGGAAGGACAGAGCAGTAGACGTAATAAAACTTTCCTATCGGATCTGATCGGTAACTTTTCCCACTGGGAAAAACAATTTTAAGTCTCGTTTACTTGTTGCATTCGGTTTTCTTGCGTCTCGACGTGGTGTTCCGACGTCAACATTGCAGAGCTTCGGAAGTCATTTGCGCTCCCATTTTCCCCTTTCGGTAGGTAACCCTAAGTAATTGCACTGCGCCCATTATAATAAAATGAATTTCATTTTCATCTCGCCGTTCTTCTCTCTGTCAATAAATAAACAGTTTTCCAACAACCACGCTATGCAAAATGCTGCTAAGAGAGTGCAAACAAACAAAAAAACGTATCATGCTTACACAGTATAAGAGTTTCTATATTTCCAATATATGAAATCAAGCCAAAAAATACCCCGTTTTTACATACCCCGGTCCTCCGGGAACTCGTCTCCAAGCTTCAGCCGAGCTGTCACGTTCATACTTAGCAGCTCCTGGATCAACAGCTTCGCCGCGTAGGGAATTGTCATCTTCACCACCCCGCGCGACGTCCGACAGCGCTGGCACCAGTTTGAGTAGCCCATAAACCCACACTTCTCGCAAACGTCAACCTCATGCTTGTCAGAGGACAACATCAGACGTTCCAGCAGAAGCTGGCTCGTGCCGTAGGCAATAAGACAGTCACGTTCCATCTCTCCGAGGCGCAGACCACCATCTCGAGAACGACCCTCGGTTGGCTGGCGAGTAAGAGTTGCGCGAGGTCCAGTGGCACGAGAATGCATCTTATCCTGGACCATGTGCTTCAGCTTTTGGTAGTAAATCGGGCCCGTGAAAACGTAGAACGGGAGAGGTTCGCCGGTAATTCCAGAAGTGAGATAATCTTTGCCACCGTAGCTGAAGCCCTTGTCGACCAGAATAGCCGACATCTGCTCGACGGGACTGCCACCAAAGGCTGTTCCGTAGCCATGCTGACCAGAGAGAACCCCGGCCTTGCCGGCAACTAGTTCAAGTAATTTGCCAACCGTCATTCGCGAGGGGAAACCATGGGGATTCATGATAATATCAGGCACGATGCCCTGGTCGGTGAATGGCATATCTGCCTGTTCTGCAATAATGCCAACAACACCTTTCTGTCCGTGACGGGACGAGAATTTGTCTCCCACCTCCGGTCTACGCGTTTGACGCGTCTGTACCTTGTAAATCCTGCCCTCTCCTTCAGTGACAGATACCATCACCTTATCAATGTAACTAGGGTCAGGCAGTTTGTAGGTCATGGGTGCCGGGGTATATGTAGGTGGTCTGCCCACATCAGAACCCGTAATGCCAGTCGAATAGGCGGCGTTGGGAACCGCTTTGTTAATGAAAACTTCGCCCTGGCTGATTTTCATACCCACTGCAGCTAAACCATCACTCTGGATAAGGGCATGTTTTGCAATAGGAACTCCTTCCACTACGTCGGGCCCTTGAAGCCTATCCTCGGATCCATTTGGATAGCTCTTCAAACCGGTCACGTATTTGCGAAATACTTGGCAACGTCCAAACCCCCTATCAACAGATCCTTTGTTCAACACCAGGGCATCCTCGATATCATAGCCTGAATAACTCATGACAGCAACTGTGGCATTCTGGCCGGCTGGTAGATGGTCATATTTGATAAGTTCAATAGTGCGAGTCTTGACCATGGGCTTCTGAGGATACACCATCAGGTAGAGAAGAGAATCAATACGCAAGAATTGATTCGAAGCAATGGCACCAATGGCTTGTTTACCCATAGCACATTGATACGTATTTCGCGGCGACTGGTTGTGATGGGGATATGGGATTAGACCAGCGACGGCTCCGAGGATAGTGAAGGGTTCAATCTCAAGATGCGTGGTGATGTCTACAACGTCTTTTTCGTAGATTGCAATGTTAGAATCGTTTTCTTCGTTCACATCCAAATACTCGACTAAGCCCTGGGCGAGAAAGTCGTCAAATTGCATCGAGCCATCTCGCAGTTTCTCCAGATGCCTAGTAGTGATTAATGGACGGCCTTTTTCGACTACAATGAGTGGCCGACAGATTCGCCCATCGTCTGTAGCGATATGCACTGCACGTTGATGATGATTGATGTAAATGCTAACAAACTCGGAGATGCGACCCATCCGTCGCAACCGGCGAAACGATTCGAGGAAGTACTTCGGTCGTCTAGTCAAAGCCATTGGAGTACCGTTCATGGAAATTATATAGGCACCAGGACCGTATATCTCTTTCCCACCTAGAGTATGAATGTCTTCGGCTCCCAGCATGAATACCAACTTGGACACCGGCCCCTCTTCATCGTTTGTTGTGATGTGTGTCATGAGCGCCAAGTTCTTTACAAGACCACATGCTTCTCCTTCTGGGGTGTCTGACGGACAAAGCATTCCAAATTGTGAAGGCTGTAGAGCTCGAGGACCACTAACTTTCCGAGTCTTCTCAAACTGACTAGAAATTCGAGTCATCATACCCAGAGCTGCGATGTAACTAAGCCTACTCAAAACGTGGGTGACTCCGGCACGCTCCATTCTGAATCGCTTAAGACTCCAATTACCAGTTGATATAGCTCTGTTCATCCCATGAGTTATGTGGTTGCCATGTAACGTGACGACACTCATGGCATCAAAGATCTCGCGACGCCTCTTTCCAAGTACTTTGTTGATGTTCATCTTCATATCGAAACAAAATTTCTTAAACAGATCCTCGAAGAGAAGGGCAAGGAGCTGACCGGCAAGCTCCAATCTCTTATTTCCCACGTAATCTCGATCGTCCACCATGTCAGAGTCATGCTTTGCCATCAAAACACGCCTGGCCATATTGGCAACGTAAAGAGCTTTAGGCCTGAAGTCCATGTCGGTAATTTCCACATGAGATATAATGACGGAGGAGATGGCCTCAATAGCTTCATCGATGTGAGTTTTCTTATACGCAACGTTCCTACCTCGGTTGATTTTGATTTTGGAACCCATCCAGTCAAGCGCCTGCTGTTGCGTGTAAACACCCTGCTTGATTGCTTCTTCAAAGTTGATGGCGAAGTCTTCTTGGTACAGTTCATCATACCCAGCAACGAGAAGCATCATTTCTTTGTCAGATTGAACGCCCATGGCCTTGAGAACAATGACCAGCGGCACGTCTTCACTCAGAACATTGTGCCTGAGATACAAGCGGTCTTTTTTGAGAATGATGTAGCTCTTCGACTTGCGTTCATTGGACGAACTGGTCACGGAGGCTTGTACGATCTCCTTTTTGGGATCAGTTTCGACGATGATACGATTCTTGCTAAGTTGCTCCTGGACCAAAATGACCTTTTCAGTGCCGTTCACGATGAAATATCCACCTGGATCAAGCGGACATTCATTCAGCAGATGCATCTCGGTGGCATCTTTGTTGGACAAGACACATTTGGAACTCCTCAGCATGATGGGCATACGACCGATAGGAACGCCAGTTTGCGTGACTTTCTCTCCTCCACGTTTGTACACGAAATCCACAAAAATCGGAGCTGCATAAGTCATATCTCGTAGTCGACACTCATTTGGTGTTACCGTCGAGTCAGATTCCACTCGGTCCTTGGGCTCATCACTTCGGCGAGGGCTGCCAATATAGATATCGGTAAACCTATTAAGCGTTAGAATGTCACGTAAGATGGCGAGAGAGAGGGCAAGACAAGCTTACTTGAGGAAGAAAGAAGCGTCAGTATCAACGTATATAGTCGAGCTAGCTTCCACGATCTTTTTGAGCTGGACTTCAATGAAATAGTTGTAGGAGTCAATATGCTGTTTCACAAGGCCCTTGACTTTGAGGAAAGCCGGCAGCAGATTCCATTTATCGCGCGCAGTATTGATAGGATCCGTCAAAGACTTGTTATAATAGAAGGGTTCCAACAGCGCATCGAAGGGATCGACTTTTCGAGCTTTAGTGGGGTGGCTATGTTTATGGTCGTGGTCATGATCGTGATCGTGATCATGATCATGACCGTTGACGGCTTGTGAGGTTTTTCGTTTCGCAGCAGCATCGTTTCTTGCAGGTTTTCGCGGCTGGAATGACTTTGTCACATCAGTTAGCAGCGCAAGGTGCAAAAGGCGAGTCGTTCTTACCAAGGATGAGGCTGCAGCAGCGCTTGCCGCGGGTTGCGGCCGCTTGCGCGGAGGCATTTTTCTTCAGCAAGCTGCACTCTAGGGCAGACTGTGAGCTAGTGCTGCACTTTTCGCTTATGATGAAGACTTGGAGGCGAATCTTGCAGTATACCAAGTTTTACCTTTTTTTTTTCTTTTTGCCTTTGCTTTTTCGAGAGGGGCCCCAGTGAAATTTGCGGGATGATTAGATAATCAGCAAAGCTCCGGACATCAAAGTGGCTTATCGCCGCCGACTGCGAGCCTGAGGCATCACATCCCGTTAAAGTGCGGCCCCCGCTATCTTGAGGACTGTCACTCTCCATTCCCAAAGACTACTCCAAGAGAAACGCTGCATTCGCGAATCATGTCTACATTGTGGCCACACAAGAGGATTTCTTTCTTTAGGATGCATACATCTTAGTCAGTTGACTACCGATACAAGAGGCATGGAATATCTGCACACTGCATGCCCATAAGCAAATGATGTATAAAATCGAATTGATGACATCAAATGCCGATGTACATGAATGAGGCATATGACAGGCCTCGACAGTTGGGGTTTGATTTGCCAGCCGTGATCAAAAGCACAGCATCGGGCGAGAAATTTGGCTCGACTACAACTAGACAAAAGAAGACGTACACGAACAAGAGGACAATACTACTTCGATCTGTACACCTCATCACTCGTCGTGTTTCAACTTGACAGGCCAGGCTGTGGAGTTTGTGGGGGCAACACCGATAACGTCTTGCTTGACGCTTGACTATTGAGGCTTGCTGGCCCAGACAAGTAGGTGATCAGGTAGGGATATTAGGCGAGGCTGAACCGTTTGCAATCGCCCGATGAAATGAAGATGGGCGGGCTACTTGGCTACTAAAAGTAGCGTCTGGTAGGTGCAGAGTCATGCTGGTTTGAGTAGGAATGGGATGCAAATGCAATGCACAGCACACTCAGACACTGTCAGATCTAGGAAGTAAAGGGCGGTGACGGGGTTTGTGCTCGAGCCATTGAATGGCTCTTTCCCAGCATGATATGACCACTCATTTACGAAACCACGTATTTCTTTTTATATGGGCATGAAGTCAGTCAGCTACAATACTCGCTTAAATCTTTGACATCGGAAGATATCCTTTTCTCGCTAAGGAAGGTTCGTTCCTAGTGAAACGCTGGTGAGGGGCAGGACTGCCGGGACCAATAATGTATCGAGCGAGAGATTGTCTCCAATCTGAGTGAAACGATATAATTTCTTGAAATTCTGAGTGAGATTATGTTTCTAAATTATCGTTAATTGTCCACTGGTCCATACACCCAATGAGATGCTATGTCTGGTTTGCGCTATGGTGGCATGCATTCTTAGCGTGTCTATACTAAGCGCCGATGCTGTTCCATTGGGGGAAGGATTGTTGGGCCATTGACTACTTGCCCAGTCAAGTAAAGCTTCATGCAAACAACTTCGAAGCAAGTACTAATAACGATAGTACGAAATCAAAAGATAGTAAGTAGTACGCACCACAATGCGGCAAGACTTCAATATCATGTGGCGAACAAACAGACTGGCTCGCTAGCGAGACTGAAGTACGTACCCAACAGAAAATTGAAATCTTAAAACTTTCAGACCATAACACTGAGAGTAGAACTACACCGCTCCGCGGCAAACAGCCAATTCGCCAGCGCCAGTGGAGCCCCCCGCAAGGGTTTCTTACTTGCCAGGCGAGCTGCAACGACGAAGATCCTCGTGCCCTGCTGATTCAAAGCACTCAGTAGTAACTACGGAGTATATACCACATGGATTATTGATATATTATTGTATACACATGTATACGTGTATAATTGTATGGCACGACGTGGCTCGCCAGCCGCGAACGAGCCAATCAGAGGGCGGATCGGCAAGCGGTTTAGTCGCGATGCGCTAGTTCGCCGCTGGGCCAATCAGAGGCGCGCGCTGGAGCTAAGGTTAAGGCCCTTTCCGGCAGCTAGACCCGCTTGCCGTGCCGGCCTGTGATTGGCTGCCGGCCGCCTTCTTCACGCTGCGTCCATGGGTCTGTTTACCTCGTCTTACCACAGAAAGTTTCCAGCAATGTCGAGTAGCCGTCTATTAGGCATCTAAACCCCATCGTCAATCAATGAGGAATGAACTGGATGGTGGCAAGCTGGTATGCTTCGGGCTAGGCTGGCTGCTGGCTGGCCAGCCTGGCATGCTGCACGTCTGCATATTGCAGAAGCCAGCGATCTGGTTCGGCCGCATCAAGCCTGCATCTCTCCAGTCTGTAGGAACCCCCGTTCTAGAAAACACTAGGAAACCATGTACTTCGACGCTTCGGGAGATTTGTGCTGTATTTTCGTTTGCTTGTTCGGGCAGGCAGATGCCATTGAGATAATATGGACCAACGAAGAAATGAATGGCGGCTTTGTCCCTACCTGTCGCCTGAAACATCGCGCTTTCTATTGCATTATTGCGACGCAGGATTAGCCTGCGGCATCGATGAGTAGCACTTCGAGAGCCCAGGATTGGGCCTCCCCGCCTCACAGACGTTACCGCCCTAGCGAGTGACTACGTTGCTTAGTGCACATCTCGTCTCGCCCCGTCGCTTTTCCTCTCCTCCTCCTCTCCCCTTCCACCCCAGGTCGCTGTTCTTGTATATTATCGTGTACCAATTCCTATCTCCGGCTTCGACTTGTTTTTGCCGCGTCCATTCCTTTCCCCGGGAAGACTCTTGCTGTGTGTTGCTTGGGTTGCGCGACCTCGTCCTCCGTAGCCGAATCCCGCATCGCATCGCCTCGCCGCTCGACAATCCCCCTCGGCGTGTCCTCTCTGCTTCCAGGGCAGAAGTCGGCTTCTCTGGCCCATCCGTATACGAGTCTTTTCCGATATGCAATTTTTCTTTGTCGCCGCCGAGTTCGTCTAGGGTAGCCCTGTCCCCTCTCCGCCTCCAATAGGTCCGTTATCTTGTGTGAGTTACACTGTTCACACCCTTCTCCCACAAAAGAGCACAATGAGGGACACATAGGAGACCCTTTGAAATCAAGCAGAAGAGAAAGAGATAGCAGCCCCAGAAGCATCTGCCCCCAGACACAGCTGTTCTGGTGTGATTCGGCCCCTCAAGCACCGCCCAAGACCCCTCCCTGCTCCTTACTGCCCAGCACACACCGCCAACTGATAGTGCCTCCACCCCTCCCCCAAAACACATTCCCCCAGCCATGCTGGCCCTGCTGCTGGTACCAGTCACACAAAGCACTCATTCTTCTTCTTCTTCTTCTTCTTCCCTTCTTATCACTCACTCACTCACTGGCCCACTCTCTTTTCTATTCTTTCTGTCTTTGTCTTTTTTTCCTCTGCTATTTCCCGCTGCAATTGACAGGCATCGCTTTCCCTCACCCTCGCCCTCACTCGCTGACATGTGTGGTTTCCCTGTATAGCTTTGATCTGTGCGAGTACGAGTCTTTCGCTTGACCATGGCTTTCAAAAACGGCTTCGGCGAGCGCCTGGACGAGCTGCGATTCCCATCGCCTCGCTCGCCGCCCCTGGACACCTTCTCGTCCCATACGCCTCTATCCCCCCCTCCGAATCTGATGTCGGCCTTTTCACGCCCTACCACCGACGTGCGCGCGAATCTTCAACGCCGTTTCACCACCGATGCCGGGAAACTGTCGTCTTGGAGCTTCCTCAACCAGCAGCCGGCACAGTCTCCCGATTCTTTGGATTTGTTGTCGTCGGTGAGCAAACACCCCGTTTGACTGCTGAACTGGAGCTGGAACAACGTGCCTCGTCACGCCGTACCTTTCGCTCTAGGATAAACAACACGGACTGACTGCTTGGTTGATAGGCAACCCACCTTCACAAATCCCAGCTGGTGAGTTTTTCGCGGCAAGCCATCCGGTTGTGACTTTTGCTAAATCAAACCCCAATACCTAGATCGAGAAGAAGCGCCAACATATCGAGTATATGCGGGAGCAGAAAAAACGTTTCGAGGCTGATATGAAGTTACTGGACATGCAGCATGAAAAAGAGAGACAGGAGATCGACCAGCTAGCTCGTGACCTTGCAAATGCAGGTCTCTCTGGCCCTGTCAGTGAGCCAACCACACCACCTGAATACCGGGATGGTGGCTTTCCTACTTCATTTGCACGCCCTTCACGCTTCTCCACCTCTAGTGTGACCTCATCTCCAGGTATCTTTAACATTTTCTCACCTTCACAGGTGACCACGCCGCCAGCCACCTCTCAGAATAGAAATGGTGCTACCTCAGGCTCCAACCACCGCTTTTCTGTGCATTCAGTCCCTGGATCCAGACGGAACTCTGAAGAAGAAGAGTACTTCCCAGACTCAGTGGCTGCTTATAGGCCAGGTCCATCGTGAGTGCTTCCTGTCTGCTTTCTTTCTTCTTCCACCTTCCTACAATGCCTGCCTTTATTCTGGTGCACAATGACCTCCAGAACACGGTGGTTCTATTCACCAGACTCTCACAATTTATTTGTCACTTTTTTTTGCCGCCATCAGGGCTATTGAGAGCTAAGCACAATGGGAGTGAAGACCCCGTCAATGGCTGAGACTCGATTATAAATATGTCCTTGATCCCCCGCTCTCTCTCTCTCGAATTTTCGCCTTCCCCTTGTCTTGTTTCTCACATTCCTTTCATCCCCAAATCTCGACATCTTACCTTTTGGTTATCTCGTAACACTCCACTGACACTTGTCTCTACCAACTATCAGCATCCACCGCTACTCAATGCCTACGACAAGCTTGGCTGCTCATCTAAAATCCACGGCGGCAACTTACAACAGTCCAGCCATGGAGCCCTTTAATGCTGCTCGACTTTTATTTGGGGACGAGAAAGGAACACCCAAGGATGAGGATCGTCTGCCCACTCCGGACATCAAAAGCTATCTTCAGATGACCGATCCTGACGAAAAGTTCCCAACTCTATCCCACAATTCTGGACTGGTAATGTAGCTTGCTCAACGATCTACATGAACGTGTATGCTGACTGGCGATTATACAGCTTTCGGCGAACTCCGACGCTCTAGATCTTGCCAACTCTCGTACTCCAGAGCCCTGGAATTCTCACCACAGCCGCTACCGCTCTATGCCGCAGGGCGATCTGAACATGTTCCGCTCGGAAAACCAATTGGGCAATCCTCTTGCGACGGATACAACTCCCACCCATCGACATGCTGCTCGGCATTCCGTTGAGGTGAACATGTTTATGGGCAAACAAGAGCCTACAACTCCTACTGCCAGCTCGTCTGCTCGTCCGGTCTCGTTGCAGTCCTCTTATTCTACCAATGATTTGCCAACTGTAAAAGCCAACGGTGGTTTTGGCACTGCCATAACCCCACCCAAAACCCACGCAGAGCAATTTCATCAGCACAACGCTAGCCTTGGCCGCATTCCCGCTGGTGTTTCAAACCCTCGCTCAGCCAAGGATTCTCCTGAGCGCGAAGACTCGAACATTGTCTCCAACGGTGGTGCTTCACAGTCAGGGCTTCAGCCGACTGCTACTCCATTTGGGCCGCAACTGGCTTCAGTAGCTGGTTCTTCTCTCGGTGGTCAGACCGCCTCCCCTAGTCTCTCTGGCTTTCAGGGCCAGTTCTACCCGTACTCCATCCAGCCGTACAATAGCAACGGCATGTCAGTCAATGGCGCGGCTGCTCAGAACTTTTCTACTCAAGTGCCATACTCCGCCGGCTTCGCACAGAATGGCATGTTTCAATTTGCAAGGGCCCCAGCACGTCCTACTAATGTCACCACCCACCGCAGCGGAGAAACTGAAGCCCAGCAGGTTTCTCGTTTCGCCAATCTGCCTTTGGAGCAATACAGGGGGGAGCTTTACAACCTGTGTAAAGACCAGCATGGATGCCGTTACCTGCAGCGTAAACTCGAAGAGCGTAATCCAGAACATGTTCAACTCATCTTCGCGGAGACGTACATGCATGTTGTCGAGTTGATGACTGGTAAGTACTACTCTTGGGTTATTGAAACTTTTGATTCAAACATTGCGAATTTTATACTGACTTTTCACAGACCCCTTTGGTAACTATTTGTGCCAAAAACTCCTCGAGTACTCGAATGATGATCAGCGCACTCGCTTGATTCATAACGCAGCACCTCAGCTGGTCCCAATCGCTCTGAACCAGCATGGCACGCGTGCTTTGCAGAAGATGATCGAGTTCGTTTCAACTCCTCAACAGATACAAATGGTAATAGAGGCTCTCAGTGGGCACGTGGTAGAGCTTGTTCAAGACCTGAACGGAAATCACGTTATCCAGAAATGCCTCAATCGTCTTTCTGCCGAAGATGCTCAATTCATCTATGATTCTGTTGGCGCGCACTGTGTCATCGTTGGAACTCACCGTCATGGATGCTGTGTATTGCAACGTTGCATTGACCATGCCTCGGGAGAACAGCGTGCTCGTCTGATCGCTCAAATCACATCCAACGCCTTTTCGCTTGTTCAAGATCCTTTCGGAAACTACGTTGTCCAATACATACTCGATCTGTCCGAACCGCATTTTACCGAACCGCTATGTCAGAGCTTCGCGGGAAACATCCCGGCACTGTCGAAACAGAAGTTCAGTTCTAATGTCATCGAAAAGTGTTTGCGCACCGCGGAATATCCAATGCGCCGTCGCATGATTGACGAAATCCTTGTACCCCGTGAGCTTGATGCCATGTTGCGTGATTCCTATGCAAACTACGTCGTGCAGACTGCCATGGATTTTGCCGACGCCGACAGTCGCAATCGGATCGTCGAGGCTATAAGACCTATCTTGCCCTCCATTCGCCAAACTCCTCATGGACGCCGCATTGCAGGCAAGATAGCCGGTGCGGAAACGTCTGGACGGACCAGCGGCAACCCTAGTGGCCAGGTCACTCCCAATGATATGACCTCTGGCCAGTTACCTGTGTCCATGCAGGTCCCCCCGAAGCCATTTGCATCGCCTCAGGCTTCGTTCAACGGCAATGCATCTTCGGCCCAGCAGTTCGGTACGCAACAGCCACTCGTCTCGCCGGGCAATGGCTTTAATATCACTGCCGGTTCATCTGAAGTATCAGCTTATTCTCATGCAGCAAACCACGGCCTTGCTCAGAGCCAGGCCTTTGGCAACGGATTTTACTAAGTCACTCCCCGCAAATAAATGCATGTTAGAGCACAGTGGATGTGCTCTACAAACCTGTATTCTATCGAGACGATGCCACGATATTTACGATTTACGGCCCTCCCACTGAATATGCGTCAGTTTGAGATTTTGGGAATGAATCAACAATTGGACGTGGATATTCAACAATCTCCGCGATTTGCCTCTTTTTCGTTGATACAAAATTCTGAGATCATCGATCATGCATTTCTATTTGCAGACGCATTGCATTATGAAACTTGTACAACTTGTTTTATTTTCAACTCTCATTTTTTCTGCGTGTGCATGAGGTGCGATGGCAAGGGAATCTCTTCCGGCTGGACTAATTCTCGAGTCTATCCCTTTCTCTGACACACGCGCATTGTTTTATCTGAACAGTTCATTTTTCTTTCCTTCTCTGATTCAAGTTTTGTGTGTATTCTGCTTTCTTGCTTCGTGTTGTCTGTTTTCTTTTTCTTTTCTTTTTTGAGCCGGAGAATCCATCGCTGTATGGCCTTTTCAGAGCCTCTGTACACATGTCCACCCGCCACTCCTTTGATTCTTTTTTTCCTTCTCTTCGCTCTACCCTATGGTTGAATAGCTTCGATTCGGCTGACTTGTACATTTCATATGAAGCATGTGGAAAGGCACGCCACTGGTCGATCTTCTGGGAGATCGATTGTATTGTCATCGGGGTTCGAGAGATCATCGATCACGCTCGAAGCTGTTCTTAGCCTAGCTCTACTTTAGATGAATGTATTCATATTCTAAACTTGCGTGCAGTAATGACTTTCAAGGCACAGTACTTTCTACGTATGGTGATAAGCTCGTCGATAAGCATGTGGAATGCACGGACCACTCGACCTCCGCGGCAAATAATTGTTTAGCTTCATCAACGCGCTTCAAGCTCATCGTCTGTGTATACCGGTATAACTACGTGGCTAGCAGACGCATATCTACTAATAATCTGACGGACGATAGTTGCCCCCTCAACAAATGGCATCGCAATGACTACTTCTCTCCTTCCTCATGACCAATTAAGCCGCTCCTTGAGCCAGCAATGGCCATGTCGTGAGCTACAAATCCGTCAACTTGCGGCGCTTCTTGGGGTGAGTCTATAGCAGTGCTGAAATACATACCGAGAAAATTCAGAAGATCTGACAGATAAACCAAAAAACCAGCCCAATATCCCAAGTCCACCCACCCTCGTCCTCTACGGAATATCAGCAACATGCAAATCAACAATCACCCGCGCCGTGGTGGGCGCCCTGCAAATCCCGCATGCGATCATCCGTTGCGTCGAATGCATCACGGCGCGTCATCTGCTCACCAAAATCCTGCTGGAGACCCTGAAAGCGCTCCATATGGAGGGTGAGTGGGAGCGATTCGGGAAAGGAAAGTGCGAGCACGTTAGCACGTTGTTGATCCTGTTGACGGATATTATTGAGGTGTGGAAGCAGCGGCGGGACGACGATGATAATGGGGTCAAGAATAAGGGCAAGCTTGTTCTTGTTTTGGATGGTATTGATAGGCAGCGGGATGCTTCGCAGATGCTTCTTGCGGCGTTGGCGAGGTTGGGAGAAATGGTGCGTATGGTAGCAACGCAATACAGAACAATCGCTAACCGGCAGACTAATCTCAAAGATACCATCTTTGACTGTTATCTTGATTATGAACACCACGCCTCGTCCGCTCTTCCTTCAGTCTGCCGGTGTTTCGCACATCACCTTTCCGCCATACACCCGCAAAGAGGCAATTCGTATCATCACCGCTTCCGGGCCTCCTTCAGCTATCCAGGGTATATCTGATGATATCATTGACAACGAGCCATCTTATTCCAAGATATACACGCAGTTCGTGGCAACGGTTTACGATTCCCTAGTTGGGCCTACCGCTGGCACTATCCCGTCCTTCAGATCTATTTGCGAGAGACTATGGCCTCGCTTTATTCAGCCCATGACGAGCGGTCAGGCCCCGCCGCCAGGTGGCAATGAATCATGGGATTTCGCCAGACTGCTACTCCGGAATCGAGCCATGTTCAAGGTGCAGGGTGAATCGATGTTGGTTCATCATATAGTCGTTCCCGAAGAAGAAGAAGAAGGAAAAGACATCAAAATGACCAATGACGATAACTATTATGATAAGGCAAAAGCTCAAAACAAAAAGGAGAAAAAGAGCTCATACCCAACGCCAAAACTCCCTTCATTACCCTACTTCCCAACCCTAGTCCTAACCTCAGCATACGTGGCATCCCACACCCCTCAACGACTCGACACCATCTTCTTCTCCAAGTTCTCATCCTCGTCCCTATCCGCACGAAACAAACGCTCCCACCACAGAAGACGCCTAAAATTACTCTCTCAAGCACAACTCGACGATGACAATAACAACAATGACGACCCTTCATCAACATCTACGCCCCGAAAGACTAAAAGGGTGAAAACCAAGATTACAAAATCCATGCTCAGCTCTGCTTTTGAGACTACTTCCGCAACAATTTCAGGGAGTAGTAGCACCACTACCACAGCTGCTGCTCTTGTAGCGGGACCGTCATCGTCATCGTCATCAACACTCCTAACAGCTCGCCCATTCACGCTCGAACGTTTGATAGCAATCTACCACGCCATCGACCCTAATCCGCCTGCAAACGCATTACATACCTCCGTCATGGCGGACTCGATATACACTGAGCTTGCGACTTTGCGTCGTTTACGACTTGTTGTTCCTTCCGGTAGCGGCGGTGGCGGTGCTGGAGTTGGAGGGGGGGGCGCTGCTGCCACTAGCGCTGATGCCGGGGAGAAGTGGTGTATTAATGTTTCGGGGGATTGGATTGGGGAGTTGGCCAAGGGGATTGGTGTTGAGGTCGGGGAATGGTTGGCTGGGGGGTTGGATTGATTGTTTCTCTTGTTGTGATTGGTATGTACTTTAGCAGTGTCATGGATACACATATACATGGTGCATTAAGGTGTCTTGATCCTCGAGCACGGAGAGCTATCTGCCTATTTGAGTACTGTGAGACTCTAAAGTCTCAAACGAGACAGAACCATCTAGGAAATAACCTCTCAAACCTGGCTCATGTTCCCCTCTTCTTCTGCTTTGTGTTTGGGAGAACAATGGCAAATGGGGGTGATAGGTACCTTGAATGATATTTGTCCACGCTTTCCAACCACAGAGACATATAAAGTATACTGGCATGCTGCCAACTATAAAGAGACCTCGTTAACTCCCAGTCAAAAGGAAAAAAAGATATTGCCTTTTCTACATGTTAGCGCCAATTGCCTAGTCGCAGGAACAGTACAGAAATATATTTATTGGCTTAGCTTTCTTGCTCTTACCCATTATGACAGAAAGTTGCGTTAGCAAGTACTGTGCACATAACAACTATCATAATAACATTAATTGAAATGCTCAAAACCAAAGAAGCATATTCTAAGCCAGTTTACTTGGAAACATAGTACATGCGGAAATAAAGAAAGTCGGCCGGAGCTTCGAGTGCTATCTTCGAAGGTACATTGCCCTCAATGCTCAAGCCCTGCGTCTCTTCCTCTTCAAGTCCGAAAATTGGAAGATCCAGGAGATAAAGCTACCGGCCGCTCGTCGTAACTTGAGCCTTGAGTTGAACCTCTCGAGCGATTAAGAGCTCTCAGCAACAGTCAAAATAGATCGAGTCTGTAAGGTATAGCGACAGTGTTGGGAGAACGTCGTGTTGGGTATCTCATCGTAAGACCCGGCAAGCGAATAGATGCTCGCGGTTCTATTCACTCGCAGCAATGTCGTACGTTGGGGGGATTAGGTCCTCCAATCCCGCCTTGAAGGCGGGCTCAGAAGCAATGGGCATACGCTCTCAGACAATCGAAGCCTCTGTGTGCTATTTCTCGTTTTCGATTTGTGATCGTGGGGTTCAAGTACTAGGCTCCTACAAGTTCTGCTATCATGCATAAGAGGAAATCCTTTGAGTTCGCTTCCTGAGATACAGGCAGCATTTCTGGCACATGCCTTATAGGGCAGGACATCCATAGGACACGGAGGAACCCTCTATAAAGTGGACTTTGGCGGCGCTTTGTAGATCTTCTAGAGGTGATTCAAGGGTGAAAGCGAGCTGCTCATCTCACTTAGAGCTCGGCTCGGTTGCAAATCTGTCATTGTGGCTGAAGCCCATGATGATTGTTTTGACAATGAGATGTAGATATTGGTACATAATACTCGTATTGCGGCGTATAATACAAGAATAACTGACCCAGTACGGAGATACACGGCAGCTCACATACAGCCAATGGATTAGTCAGAATATGATCTATCACCACCCCAACTCCTGAATGGTTTGTCCCCTGGAAAATAACAAGCGCGGCGCCTGTTGCTGATGAATAGGGTATTCATATTCTTCGAAAAGGATGCGGCAAACGTTTCCTCCGTCAGGGAACTGAGGTGATAATAATGACGATGCAGAGGGAACAACAGATCCATCGGCAAGCGAGTAGAGTTGGATATTGTGGTTATTGGTCACTATAACAGATCTCTTCTGTTAGACAGACGCGGACCATGAGTGAGTTCATGAAAAGGGCAAACGTACAAGCGGCAAGTAAACCCAGCTCCCGGTTGATGTCGATCTTGTGTCCTATTTGGCGCATATAATCATCAAAGACGAGATACGGTTTCGTGGAAGTAGTACACATGCCATGGCGGTGTTGTTTTGATCCTACAGTTTCAGTGTTCGGATACCGTAGGTCGTACATTTGCAGCTAGTCTGAAATCAGTTTTGAAAGAATGACACTGTTTGTTCTCTCATTCATGCTTGGAACACACCGATTCATAACCCGCGCAGACAAGTCGATAATCATCGATCTTTCTGATCTGTTCAATTGGGTGCGGATGCTTGATTCGCCTGCTATGTCCGTTGCTGCGCAAATCACTCAGATACAAAGACGAATTCCTGAACCCAGACGCTATAACCGTTTCGGAAAGCCATTCCACTGAAATTAAATTCATGGAATTCGCAGAGATTTGTTTGTTATTACTAAAATTCCTCCGTCCCCCAGACTTTTGGGGTATTGGTATATGTGCTCGTGTAAGCGTCAATCTATCTGGGTTGACGGCCACGGTGTAGAGACCGTCGGACGTTCCGATTGCGAAAAGAGGATTATCGGGTTCAGGTCGAGCTGCGGAACACCAGAGGGTCGCACTGTCCTCTATGCGACTTACTGGGATATCTAAAGCAAATATTCTCAGTTCATATGGGTTCCGTAGGCCTGTCGTAGGGGTAGTGAGGACTGGGCCGTTTACTCACGACGATTATGCCAAGAACCTTCTTCATTCATGGTGTTCATCTGATTCAGAAAACCGATGCCTAAAGTTGATTCTCCTCTGCTTCCGCTATCCATAGTAGCTCTGACTTCGTCGTTAGGTGCCGCTTTATCCTATGTTAGGTCAATGAAAGACTTACAGGAAGTGACCTGAGTCGCACATCGATATAGACGATAGCTTCCGTTTCATCAGCAGAGCTTCCCTGGTTTAGACTCCGGTGTAACTAACCCTGTAATTAAAATTAAGTTGAGCTGCATTCCTGGCCGGTTTGTAGTTCCACCTTTCTGTATTCGAGGACGATGGTGGGCACGCTCTGTCGACCAGTTTCGTTAATGGCTGGTCTTTCTTTCCTGAAGACTGTTCGTAAATGAGAACTCACATAATTTTGCATGAACCTCCGCTATTTATTCCTATATACGTAGTCGTTAGTCACAATATAGATAGTCCACCAGAAGACTCGTAAATACCAGCGACAAGAACACCAGATGCACCATGGCGGACGAAGTCAGCCATTGACCCGGAATCGCTAGGCACCAGCCCATCCATAGAACAGATATTTCGCCGCTGAAGTTGGCTAGCGTAAATGCCTCCTTGTTGAGACTTCTTTACAAACCCAGGCACAGGTCTATTGCCTACCTCTGCAGCCAGTCTGGTAACATTATGTGTCAGACACCGGGGTGTCTGCACTCGTTCTCTTCGTATGCGTCGACCAACAGTAGCTTTACGCTTCCGTTCCTGATTATACAATTTAGCATAAAGGGAGACATTTATAGGCCCCTAGCTATGTATTTACTTCGTTGTCGAGCTTCCTTTTCTTGACAGCTTCTCTGGAATACTGCGACCCAGTAGGGGCAACATGGTTTGCCTGAATGCGGAAATACTTCTTTTTGTCGGGATCTGTCTCTCCAATTAGCATCAATTCAAAATAACCTGCATTTAGCCACTAGTCAAAAAGTCATTGCGTTGCGGCAAATCAGCCCTTGCCAATACTCACCCCAGTAAAAGCCTGGGATGTGTTTGCCGTTCATTGCGTCGCTTCCTGTCACGAGAGAGCGTATAGGCGAGAAGGCAAGATAAAGCTGACCGGCGGTTAGCACTCAGCTTCCTTTTTCGAATCTCATTGCTCCATGGCGAATATTCGAGCTCGTGTTTACCATGCGAACATTTTTAGTATCTTATCAAAGGTTGGCATGACGTCGGGCTGATTATGTAATCACCAAGTCCTCCGAGTCCCGGCGAATCAGAATGCTTCTTTCTTGACCTCAACTCTTGACGAGTTGCTTGGGTTAGGACAACGGAGAAAGAGGAGGCAAGCGGCCATTCGACCCATCGGAATAATGAGCATCGACACTCAACATGGACATTGGTTAGAACTGCAGTCGGTAATAAATAGCCAAGCAAATCAGAGCTCCTCAGCAACAGAGAACGCCTCACATCTTCAGTCTATTTGAATGCCAGATAACTCAAGTTCAGCAGTGTTTACCGCTCGAGAATTGCCTGGTCGTCGATCTAAATGTGCGTGTCACAGACACAAATCGTCAAGAGTATTATTGGCTCGTAAATATACCGCTAGTTGGAGCCAAATGTCCATGCAGATACCGCTACTTGCAGCACATAATGGCCGAATTGAGTGCATAGCATGGAAGAATCAAAGCGAGGGGGTTGTTGCATTCCAACCCGCATATTGGCAATGACTTGCTCGACGACTGGCGGAGTCTGATGGCATCTTCCTCTCGGTAAAACAAGATATGCCGAATAGCTACCTGAGATGCTTAGTAGTAGGTATGCATATTCTGGGCTAATTTGCCTGCTACCTGCTATAAGAAAAGACAGCTCGGTGAGGCTTCTTAAGATCAACCATGCGATGTGTTGCGAAGGAAGAAATGTTTGGTTTGTTTGCCAGTTCTGGTCTGGCTGGTTGGCTCCTGCCAGTGATGACCGCCACTGCCTTCCCCGGCGGACTCTTCGACTTCTCGCCGTGCAGCATGCCTCGTCCTCTTCTCGCTTATGTCTCTGTTTAGTATATAGTATACTATACACTTTCTTCATCGATATACCTCCCTTCTGCTTCTTCCCGGTTGAGTTGTTCATATTCACTTCACGGGGATATTTCCATCATCAGTCGACGCCTCGTCCATCTTTCCGCTTGCAGAGTTATCCTTGATTATATGATTTTATCTGTGTCTACTACCACCTCTGTCCCCGATAATCTTTACACGCTAAAGTCGGCATCATGAGCAGGCACATCGGCAACATAAGCGGAGCTAATAAAGGTCAAGCCACGGCCTCCGTGGTTGAGGCTTGCGCTGACAGAGCACTGCCGGAGGGTTACGGAGAGAAAAACAGGTCTTTAGCGGAAATGGATGCTGAGGAGGATATGGATGCACTTATCGAAGAGCTCGAATCTCACCATGATCACATAGAAGATGAAGATGATGGCTGCGAAGGTTTCAACAGTCCTCGTTATATTCCGCCAGAGTTGTTACGAACCAATACTAGCACAGGTCTTAACGAGACGGAAGTGTCTTCACGGCGAAAGAAATACGGTTCAAATCAGATGAAAAAGGAGGAAAGGCAGCCTTTGGTCTTCAAATTCTTGATGTTCTTCGTCGGACCTATTCAGTTCGTCATGGAAGTAAGTGTTCCGATCGTAGCTATGCAAAGCCGTTATCTAATTACTAATGGCTTTGTGATAACAAGGCTGCCGCAGTGCTGGCCGCAGGCCTCAAAGACTGGGTTGACTTGGGGGTCATTTGCGGCTTACTCCTCCTAAATGCCACTGTCGGTTTCATTCAAGAATATCAAGCCGGATCAATCGTCGACGAGCTCAAAAAAACGTTAGCCCTGAAGGCAGTAGTGTTGAGAAATGGTGAGATAAAAGAGATATCAGCTTCAGGGGTCGTTCCTGGTGATATCATACATATAGAGGAGGTAAGTAACTTGTTGCCTTTTGCACCACCATGAACTAATCTTCGTAGGGAACCATTGTCCCAGCCGATGGAAAGATCGTAACCGAAGATGCATTCCTCCAAGTTGATCAGTCCTCCATCACTGGGGAATCTTTAGCCGTGGATAAATATCTCGGAGACATATGTTATGCATCATCCGCTGTCAAGCGTGGTGCAGCCTTCTTGGTGATTACCGCAACTGGAGACAATACTTTTGTAGGGCGCGCAGCCGCCTTGGTTAATTCTGCCTCGTCCGGAAGTGGACACTTCACAGAAGTCCTCAATTCAATTGGTGCAACCTTGCTGGCATCTGTCATTTGGTGCATTTTGTGGGTTTGGGTTTCGTCCTTTTTTAGGTCATCCGACATCTCAAAAATTCTCGAATTCACTCTCGGCATTACCATAATCGGTGTCCCAGTCGGTCTTCCCGCTGTTGTCACCACTACCATGGCAGTTGGAGCTGCGTACTTAGCAAAGAAGAAAGCCATCGTACAAAGGTTGTCGGCTATCGAATCGCTTGCAGGCGTTGAGATTCTCTGCTCAGACAAAACTGGAACTTTAACAAAGAACAAGTTGTCCCTGGCCGAGCCATATACTGTTCCTGGTGTCGATCGAGAGGAGCTCATGCTAACTGCGTGTTTGGCGGCTTCGCGCAAGAAGAAAGGGATTGACCCCATCGACAAGGCGTTTTTGAAAACTCTCCGTTTCTACCCTAATGCCAAAAGGCTGCTCACTCAGTACCGTGTTCTTGAATTTTACCCTTTTGACTCAGTATCAAAAAAGGTCACTGCTATTGTCCAGTCACCAGAAGGAGATAAAATAATGTGTGTCAAAGGTGCACCGCTGTTTGTCCTGAGGACAGTCGAGGAAGATCATGCGGTCCCGGAGACAATAGATCTGGCATATAAGAATAAAGTTGCTGAATTTGCTACGCGTGGCTATCGTTCTCTGGGAATTGCTCGAAAACGCGAAGGCTGCCCCTGGGAGATCCTGGGCATCATGCCTTGTGCGGACCCCCCTCGTCACGATACATTCAAAACTATCAGCGAAGCAAAGACACTGGGTCTGTCTGTCAAAATGCTGACCGGTGATGCAGTGGGCATTGCTCGTGAGACTTCACGCCAACTTGGACTAGGTACGAATGTCTACAATGCAGAGAAACTTGGCCTCGGTGGCGGCGGCGATATGCCTGGCTCTGAAGTTTGTGATTTTGTTGAAGCTGCAGATGGTTTTGCTGAGGTATTTCCTCAACACAAGTACGCCGTCGTAGATATCCTACAAAAGCGAGGTTACCTAGTGGCCATGACAGGAGATGGCGTCAACGATGCGCCGTCCTTGAAGAAAGCTGATACAGGCATTGCGGTGGAAGGGTCGTCAGACGCTGCTCGTTCGGCTGCAGATATCGTTTTTCTTGCACCTGGCCTGTCGGCAATTATTGACGCATTAAAGATCTCGCGCCAGATTTTCCACCGCATGTACGCTTATGTGGTCTATCGTATTGCTCTGTCTATGCATCTCGAATCGTTCCTTGGTGTTTGGATTTGTCTTTATAACGAGAGTCTCAACCTTCAGTTAATCGTATTCCTTGCCATATTTGCGGATATTGCCACTCTCGCAATCGCATATGACCATGCACCTTATTCAAGAACTCCGGTCAAGTGGAATCTACCCAGGCTTTGGGGGATGTCAATTATTCTTGGCCTTGTATTATCAGCCGGGACGTGGGTTACATTGTCCACCATGCTTGTTGGTGGAGAGAATGGGGGCATTATTCAAGGCTACGGTCAGCGTGATTCTGTCTTGTTCCTGGAAATTGCTCTGACGGAAAATTGGTTGATTTTCATTACACGAGCCAATGGCCCATTCTGGTCATCCATGCCATCTTGGCAGCTTATTTCGGCAGTACTTTTTGTTGATATACTGGCCACCTTGTTCTGTATATTTGGCTGGTTTGTGGAAGGTCCAACATCGATGATTGCCATAGTCCGCGTTTGGGTTTTTTCTATAGGAGTGTTCTGCATGATGGGGGGTCTTTTTTATCTTCTCCAAGGCTCTGCTGGGTTTGACAATTTGATGCATGGCAGGAGCCCTCGGACGAGTCCAAGGCAACGATCGCTAGAAGACTTCGGTAAGTTGCAAATCATTGCAGTCAGCGAAGGCAAGATGAAGCTAACTTTGTATTGATAGTTGTTTCCTTGCAACGCGTATCAACTATACACGAGAAAAACACTTGAACACACGAGCTTTTTGACAAGATGACGCCAATAGAACGCATGTTGAGCACCTACCAATTCGTTTGCTCGAACGAACGATTCGCAATTCTCCTTCCTCTTCTTGGTTTTCATTTTTAGGTTTTTTTGTTTGTTAGAAGAAAAGCTTCTGTAGACTTCTCTCTGTATTATAAACATTAGTTGTTGCCCATGCCCATGTGAACAGTTATGTTAGGTAGATGGTAAGGAGTTTAAAAAGACTCATTACTTTGAATCGTTTTTATCAATCTTATTTTCCTGCTTTCTCTTCTTTTTCCACCCGCTGATCATTACGAACAATCTCAGAATTCTTTCTTTCTAGAATTCTTTCTTTCTCTACCGATCAAAGGGAACAAATGAATATATAAAGTGTCTTCATTTAGTCAATTAGATAAATATACAATGACATACATAGTCAGCATAACATAGATAGTTAATACTAGTTATACTAAACTTCCAGTTTAGAAGTTAGATGAACAAAACAAAACATCAAAGACCGCACACTGACCGAGTAACTAAAAACTGACTTGTGTTAAAAGGAAGGAGGGGCAAGGGGGCAAATTACAAATAGAGGCTTGTTTATTTGGGGGATACAGGCAGGCAAACAATGAATGAGAATGGAAAGAGGAGAAAATAGAGGGAGTGGAAATTAACCGGAGGAAAGAAAAAGAAATCATGAATGGTTTTGTTAGACAGAAATAACAGAACAGAGGAAATAATGAAAGGTGCCAGGGATAGATGGTTAGTTTATATACAACGGATCGATCGATGATGGAACGTAAACTAGGATCTCGAAGTTAGGTAATCGACGGCCTAGAGGAAGAAATTGTTAGTTATGCCTTTTCCTCCATATATTGACTTGGAAAGTATGAAAACAAGCAAATAAATAGGGGAAAAAAAAAGGGGATGTTTCGTCAACTCACCTTGTCAATGTTATAGTCGAATTTTTCCAACGCGGCTAGTGACTCATCACGCGGGAAACCCATACCAGTTAATCGCTTCAAAATCAAGTCGTCTTCACCAGTGTCAGTGTTGAGAGCCCAGCCGGGTTTTCGGCTGTCGTTTGCAGTAGCTGGTGGCTGGGTGGGAGCGCCATTGCTGCTGGCAGCAGCCTGGTTGTTCTTAGCAGCATTGTCCAGAGGAGCGAAGAGAGCATTCCAATCATGATCTCCCCCTGGCGACGGACTATTGGCTTTTGCTGCGGCATTCGAGCTGCTGTTCGCTGGTGCTTCGAAATTACTATCGAAGTTGAAGAAATCCGCGGCGGCTGTGTTAGCTGCTGGGGCAGGTTGAGAGGGAGGAGGAGCAGCGAAAGAGAAATCAAATTCATTGTTAGTCAGTCGTTGGCGAGATTCTCCCTCATCCTCGTCCTCGTCTGAATCGTCTTCTTTTGCGGGTGCCAGGTTGAGCTCAGCAAAGGCAGCATCAAAATCGGCAGGTCCGGCCTTCTTTTGTGCTTCTCCAGCAACGATAGGTGCGCCAGTAGAAGATTCAACCGCATGAGGTGCATCAGGCGCCATAGTCGGATTCTCCCGACTGGGAAGTAGGCCTTGGTATGACTGAGGGAAATCATCTGATTTCTGATTCGCGGTATCATAGCTGGGCGGTGACCTCTCAACATCAGGAGGCGGTGGGGGCTGTGAAGGAGTCACGCTACTGCCGGGAATTGGGAATGCTTGTAACTGTGCTGAATCGATAGATTCATTCTTTGAATGTTCCTCATCGCGCGGTGGGGAGGCGGGGGTAAAGTTGTCTTCAAATCCTATTGCTTCCTCACTATCTGTACTATCGTCATCGTCGTCGTCGTTATCAAACTCCCTGATCGGCGGGAATTCTCCACCACCATTAGTTGTCGTCTCAGCACCGCGTGGTTTCATCTCAGCAAAGGCTTCGTCAAAATCACTGGCTTTCTGCGACTGGGAGCGTTGACGGGAGACGTTTCCAAAGAGCTCATCGAAGCTCTGATCCTTCACTTTCTCCGCTGATCCTTGAGTAGGCTGCTGCTGGCTCTCACTTGATACCTCAGGAGATGAAACAGCTTGCACTGAATTTGTTGCAGGAGAAGTTACAGGCTCCTCAGCATGCGTCGTAGGTCCTGGCACCTCGTCAAATGGAGACTGTGAGGCCGGCTTTTCATTCTCCACGTTGTGATTGGTTTCAGATCCCGCTAATGCATCTGCCGAACCTGTCCGCGAAGGAGTCAAGGTTTCAGAAACGTCCGGTGCCCCAAAGCGACTGGCAGGCGGCGAGACAGCAGTAGAAGTGGTGTGAGAGGGAGCTTGAACGTTTCCTTCTAGTGGAAGAAAACTGGGAATCATTTGTCGCGATTGGGAAAGTGGAGGCAGCTCAGCTGTAGCCTGAGGGGGAGGAGAGATGGATGGGGTTGGCACTCCCGAGCGGCTCGGACTGGGTGAAGCGTCCTGTGCACGCTGTGCGAAAGGAGAAGCGGCACCAAATGAAGTTGGTGGTGGTGGAGTAGGTATCGATGGCTGGCTAGAAGCAGGGCCAAACAGGCTATCGAATGCGGCCTGGGGGTTAGAAGGAACTGGAGAAACGGTCCTGTCTGAAGGTTCTGTTGCGGTTCGTCTAAAAAAAGGATTCGTTTGTTGGCTAGCAGCAGACAAGGCCGGGCTGGCCACGCTGCTTGCGCCAGTAACTTGACGGGAAACTGATTCTGGTGGGGATTCCACGGCTTCTTTGGCTAAGCTATCGATTTCGCCTTGGATTTTGTCCCTTTCACCTTCAACTGTGGCCAATTGCTTCTTGTTGATGGCAGCCAGGCCTCTCTGTTGACGGGCATCGGACCGGGCTTTCTCAAGCGTTGGCTTCAGTTGACTGACTATAGCATTGACTTGACGTATCTTTTCCTTCAGAGCAACGTTCTCGCTCTGGTCAGCGACCAGAGCAGCAGAAACCTGATCATATTGGTTTTGCAAGTCCTGACGACTTCCTTCAATGAGAGCGTAATCTTGTTGGAGTTTCTTCGTCTCGGCCCGGGAAGCATTCAAGCGCACTTCGAGGGCTTTGAAGTCCTTCAGCTCTTTCTCGTACATGGATCTAGCTTGGGCCAGTCGCGCTTCAAAGTCACGTTTCTGCTGGGATGATTGGGTAATCTCTTGTTCGGCAGAGGCACGCTGTGACTGCACATTCTGCATTTCCTTGGACAACGTTCCAATTTGATTGGATAAGTTAGCTAGCTCCGCAGTCTCATTTGTCAGCTTCTTGGATTCCTCTGGATCATTATCGCCTAAAAGATCGTCAGAGGGTGGAGGTGGTGACTTTGTCATCGCCGCGCCAGCTCCGGTCAACTGTGGATTGAGACTCTGACCAAAACTAGATGAAGGGATGAACGGCTTAAAGACGGTAGCAGGCGGACCTTGCTGGGAAGTCCGGGAAGCAGGTGATCCAGGAGACTGAAAGGGAGCGTTCGAACCTCCAGTAGACTGCGGTAACTGAGCAGGTGCCGCAACAGCTGGAGCGGCTGGAGCACTAAAAGCATCGAGTCCAAAGAGATCATCAGCTGCCGAACGCGGCTGTGGTGCTGGTGCAGGTGGTGGAGGAGCAACAGTAACAGGCTTTGCGGGTGCTACTTCTGGTCGACGCATACTAGGAGGAATCAAAGCAGGAGGAAGAGTTGCAGGCAACGGCTCTTTTTTGCTCCGTTGCTGTCGTACTAGATACATTGCCACTGCAAACTCATCTCTGGTAAGTTGCCCATCAGCGTCAATATCGGCGAGATCCCATATTTGAGCAAGAACGTCTTCGGGTAGCTGAGCGTTGGTGAAAAATGCAACGGCTTGATCCCCGCTTATGATCCCCGCTTTTGTCGTGTCAACGGTTGCAAATATGTTGTCAAATTGTGCCTTCTCCTGTGGACTGATCAGCCACTCGGTACCTGTGGACTGTGCAGAAAGAGGAGAGAAAGGTGGCCTGTTCAATGGGCTTTGGGTCCGCTGAGATCCAGTGAATTGTGTAGGAATAGCCGGTACTGGAGGTAACACCCCCGGACCCGCGCCAGACCCAGTTGGGATACGACCGAGGCCTCGTCTTGCTGCTGCCTCGTACAAGCCAGCAGGAAGTGTTGAGGGAATCCCCCGCATTGCGCCGGTCTTAAAAGAAGTGAGGAGATGCATAGCGATTATGAAATCCGTGGCATCGAGCTGTCCACGCTGCTTTGTATCGGCCAGGTTCCATATCCTGCCTAAGACTTCATTCGGTAGCCGGGCACGCTCGAAAATCTGTTTTGCCGTTTCCCCTATTTGCAATTGTCATGTAAACAAACTATGCCATATAATCAAGGGTAGCCGCATGTGTATACAGGATCACATACCTGACATAAACCCATCAGGTGTGTCTGATTTCTCAAACAGTGAGTTGAATTTGTTTACATCTTCTGAGTTCAAAGGGGGGACCCTGACACCAGCGGGCGCAGCGCCAGGCGGAGGACTCGTCGTGGACGGGCGGGACGGGGCGTTGGTGGAAGTATTGACTTGAATGCCTTCGAATCGAGGTAAAGGACCGGCTATAAGGGCGGGAAAAAAAAGTCAGTCTGATTCGTTTGGAGCAGAAGTGAAGCGATTGCTATCTAGACTGCGCACTCACGTTGCAGAGCCAAATCCTCTGTGGGAGAACGCCCAGCTTGCGCGTGTCCAATGAGCCTCAGAACCATTGAAAACCCCGAGGGTGTAAGAAGCCCACGATTCTCCTTGTCCGCTATTTGCCATATCTAATTCGAAAAGCGAATCAACAATAAGTCACCCGGATGTTCGTCATCGAGCAGGACAAGAGGAATGCATACCAGGCCCAAAGTGTCGGGAGGAAGCTTGGTCTTCTCAAAGAAAGGCACAGCATGTTCGCCTGTGACAACGCCGAGATTCGTAGAATCTGCCGCCTGAAATAGTTGAAAGAAAACCCGCTTCTCCTCTTGGGTGAGGTTGAGGTTGGGAGGAGCTGGCACAACGGATGGCAAAAGAAATTAGCTTCAAGCTTATTCTCTGGGAACCGAGTCCATAGTAGATTCCATGGGGAGGCAATATTGATGAAATAACGCTTGCGCTTTCTGTGGAAAGTAGCCAACTCACCTGCTTCCGACATCGTCACCTGTACGACCACAATGCGCGCTCCTCAACAGCTGAATAGACCAGCAGCAGATGACTGACTAATGCTAGATGAAGAGCTTCAGACCCGGTCAGCGAGCGGAAAGTATCATGCGAATATGGTCGAAGGCCGTGGAGGGGAGAAGGCTTTGATATCCGGGGCGGGCTTGTTTGTCTGATCAAGTTGTCCAAGGGCGCTCCCTCATTCAACTGCGAGCAACAGAGGCTAGAAATCCGAGCGGTAGTTTCAAAAGGGGGTGATAGTTTGTTGAGGTAAGATGGTTATTAGCTGTACAAGAAAGAAGGTAGGCTCAAGAGCAGCGAAGCTCTGATCAATGGGAAGGGCGAGAGATGAGGGTGAGGTTGGGGGGCGGTTGGCGCTGGCGCTGGCAGCCGGCGGCTTTGACGTTGAATGTAAATTAATCAGCGTACTACGGAAACCCAGGACCGTAATATATCGTACTTTTAGCTGTGATTGGCTCATGTCGACGAAACAATAAGGTATGCGAAGTTGCTTTGACAGTTTATTATTTCCATCATTCCATACTTACATTATTTGTTAGTATGCTAGATGAGGTAGAGTACTCCAGTGTTCTATTCACGTGTGTTGGAAGCTCCAATCCATGCAATCTATCCACGTACAAGTGACTTCATCGTGCAGTAAACTGTCTAGTGGAGGTTACGATTACCAACTCGACTGCACACGGCGAGACAAAAACAATAATATTAATATATGGAAGTTTTTTGTTGTTTCCAAGCTGTCACCAACCCAGAAAGCGACTCGAAGGATAGTGCTGCAACAATTGTTCTAGGTGCAATCTGGAATATCAAGGGTGGGCATTTTCATTGCAGAAAAGCGGGTTAGGAAGGGATCAAATCGACAGCGGAAAACTGGGTCAGAGAGAGAGAGAGAGAGGGAAGGAGCAAGCAAGTGGGTGGAAGAACTTGAAAAGAAAGGGAAAAAAAACAGCTAAGATTATGGATTGGGTATATAACGAAGCATTACACAACCCTCTTCGAAGAAATCCGTCTGTGGGTGGAAATATCGAGCGACTAGTATTCGGCCTCAACTTCCTCGTCTTCCTCGAGCGAATCGCTGGCAACCTCTTCGTAATCGCGCTCAAGAGCGGCCAAGTCCTCACGGGCTTCGGAGAATTCACCTTCCTCCATACCTTCACCAACGTACCAGTGCACGAAAGCACGCTTGGAGTACATGAGATCGAACTTGTGGTCGAGGGCGGACCAGGCTTCGGCAATGGCGGTTGTGTTGGAGAGCATGCATCTGCAATACGGTCAGCTTGCCATTTCTTATACTAAACTCGTACCGGAATGGAGATGGAACTTACACTGCACGGTTGACCTTGGCGAGGTCGCCGTTGGGCACCATCTGAGGGGGTTGGTAGCAGATACCAATCTTGAAACCAGTTGGGCACCAGTCGACGAATTGGATGGTGCGCTTGGTCTTAAGAGTAGCGACGGCAGCGTGGGTATCCTTGGGAACGACATCACCACGGTACAACAGACAGGTAGCCATGTACTTGCCATTGCGTGGGTCACACTTAACCATCTGGTTGTTGGGCTCGAAGCAGGACATTGTGATCTCGTTAACAGAGTTTGCTTCATGCAGGGACTTGGCCGCAGAGATGACTGGAGCGTAGGCAACCAACGGGAAGTGGATACGAGGGTAAGGCACAAGGTTGGTCTGGAACTCGTTCAAGTCAACGTTGAGGGAGCCATCGAATCGAAGAGAAGCAGTGATGGAAGAGACGACTGGACAACGGTTAGTAAGTCGACTTGACAGCACCACGAGAATATTATGTATAACATACCCTGAGCGATCAGGCGGTTAAGGTTGTCATATCCAGGACGCTCAATTCCGAGGTTGCGGCGGCAGATGTCGTAGATGGCCTCGTTGTCAACCATGAAACTGCAGTCGGAGTGCTCGAGGGTGGTGTGTGTGGTAAGAATGGAGTTGTATGGCTCAACGACGGAGGTACCGTTCTGGGGAGCTGGGTAGACACAGAACTCGAGCTTGGACTTCTTGCCGTAGTCAACCGAGAGACGCTCCATCAAAAGAGCACCGAAACCAGAGCCGGTACCACCACCGAAGGAGTGGAAAACGAGGAAACCTTGAAGACCAGCGCAGTTGTCGGCAACACGACGGACCTGGTCGAGCACCCGGTCGATCATCTCCTTGCCAACGGTGTAGTGACCACGAGCATAGTTGTTTGAGGCATCCTCCTTGCCAGTCACCATTTGCTCGGGGTGGAACAGGCTTCGGTAGGTACCGGTACGGACTTCGTCGACCACATTGGGCTCCAAGTCACAGTAGATGGTACGGGGGACATATTTTCCTTGGCCTTGAACAAGTTCGTGGTGTTAGAACTTTGTCCGGTTCATCGACAGCTGCTTGGTTCCTTTTACGTACCGGTCTCGGAGAAGAAGGTGCTGAAGCCCTCGTCAGGTTCCTGGGCCTTGCGCTCCTCAGTCAAGTAGCCATCGGGCTAAATTTTCCAAATTTGTCAGCCGATAGCTTGTGATGGGCCAGGGCGCAAAAGAATCGAACATACCTGGATACCATGTTCAAGACAGTAGAGCTATCTGCATGTCAGTTTCATCACGTCTCTTGTTTGCCTTTTCAGCTTTCCCAAACAATTAATCCGTACCTCCCAGCACGAGTTGGCGATTTGGCAACCGGCCTGACCGACTATTGGAAGGAAAAAGGGACCCAGTCAGCAACGCGTCTTTGACAACAACAAACAACAAACGAATTATAACATCCGACAAAGGGGTGGGAAACATCGGGACGGGGACATACCGTTCAAACTAATAACTTCTCTCATCTTGCCGTCCTTTTCGAATGACTGCACCACGGATTAGCGATGAGGATGCCAGCAATGCCCAAGGAAAAAAGGGGGGACGGTAGGCTTCCCGCATTCCGGACGGGCCCTGGAGGGAGGGGTAATAGAAAAGGAGACAGGGACAAACAGCCAGAACATACCGCGATAACAGAGCAAGGCAGGGACGATGGTGAGGGATTGGAGAAGGGAGGAAAAGAAGAAGGGCAGAAAAAAGAGAATGTAATAAAGGTGCGTTAGTTAATCAATTGATTGATAGACAGACCCAGCGAGGCGTGACAACAAGGCAAAAAGAGGGCCCAACGTTTTTGTTGTGGACAGGCAGGCCAAACAGCAGAGCGCCGTCCACCGCCTTTGCCAGCAACGCGTGCGGGCCTGGGCGGTCTGGCCGAGGCGGGCGTGCTGATTGGCCACAATTGCCTCGCCGTAAACAAATAGTGCGTGGCTAGCTGTCTAGTGCGGCCTCAGGAATTAATAATTTCACGCGCTAGCCCCGCTTGGGGCTAGCGGCGAAAGCAACGGCGTGTCCGGTTCGCGTTGTCCCGAACCCCTTTTCGGCCGCGGACAACACACACTAGCCCTAGTTGGGCGTAGTCAGAGCTTGAACCGGCGGGGCCGCCAGTTTGCCGCTTCTGATTGGCTGCTAGCGGGGCTCCACGGCATCGCTGGCGTTGATTGGCCAGTCCCCTCCCCGGACCTTCCTCGATGACGCTCTTTCCTGCAACTGCAGATCATCATCGTCTGTTGAACTTCAGTCACTTCAACATCCAACCACCGTCCACCGCAGGATCTCTCTGCAAAGCCTATTTGAGCCGCCTGGTTGGACTGCCATTGCTGAAGGGAAATGGTTTGAAGCTAGTGAAAGAAGATTCCTTTCTCCGACTCAGGGCGTACGTGATGTAAAAGCTCGCCTACAGGTCATTTGCTGATATGGTCTAGAAACCAGGAGTCCCGTCTGTTGGGCGGGGAAAATTGAGCTTGGCCAGTCTGTGGTGCGGAGTATCTCCCATAAAAAGGAAAGACAAGACCATGCATGCCACTCTGTGTTTTCAACTGATTTGCGCCCTCGGGTTCATTCAGCTTGCTGCCGGAAATGTCGAAAAGACAATCTTCATAGCACCCCCGCCATCGACAATACCCGCTGAGGATACTGCCATTGATGATCTGGGCCTCGACCGTCTGTCCCCGACAGAGTCCATGCTCAGGACCAGCTTGAATGCATCGTTCCCGACAGATGCTGAGCCTTATGGATCGGAGTCATGGTTCTATCTAGAAGATCTCAATCCTGGCCAGCGGTATGAGGTGCGGATATGCTGGTTGGCAACTGTAAGTTCTGCCTGCTCGCAATTCTAACGGAACTTTTACAAATCGAATGGTCTTTTGTTAACACGATGCCTTTAACACAAAAGCAACCCACATCCTTCATACTCACTACATACTCACTACAAGAAATTGTATCCGACCCGTCTCTCCTCCCTGCCCTTCTCAAATTCTCAAATGCTCGTCTCACGGGGCCATGGCCACCTTCATCCAAGTCCGATGGCGCATCATCCCTCAAGCCGCCAAAAGTGCGACTCCACAACCATCATCATCATCACAACTCGTTTCTCAGAAAACAGGAGGAGAACAATAACAACCCGCTAGCTGCCCTAGCCTCTCCACCAGCCGACTGCATCCTTTTCTTGCGCATATACGCTGCCGCCGATTATTTCACGACCAATACGACGTTAATGAACCATGTGCCACCTGTTGTGGCCGATATCATTTTGGATCCTTTTTTATTCAATGTTTTCCCGAGATCGCTGGTGCCTACAGCTCTGTATATTACAGTTATCGCGGTAATCGCTTACTTCGTTGGCGGCTTTCTTGCAAAGTCTCTGGCTGGCATTGTTGCGACGGCGCTTGGGGGAGAAAGTAACACCGGTGCTGGTCATGACTCAGACAACAACAACAACAACAACAACAACAACAACAACCATGTCGGCGATTTAACAAAGGAAAAGAAAATAGTTGTAGAGACTAGAAAGAAAAGATAAAAAAATCTTTTACCAGTCTTACAATATGTATAATATTCTTCACGCCGACTACAAGGCAAGCTTTGAGCGGCAATCAAAAGGAAGGAATTGGAATTGCAATGAGATTCCCCTCTGTATTTGTGATGGAATTATTGAAGTATCCAAGATCCCCATTCCCCATATGACGACAGAAATGTCAAGGTCTATCCCATTTTGATAAGAACAGCTGTCAAATCATCTACCTAGGTAACCAAGAAAGTTCGTCCAGCATCGAGGTCTCTTTTTTCGACCACTCTTGCAACGCCTTCTCTGCATGGCCAGGACGCTTGTATGAGTTTCTTTCAGTCAAGGTGCTGTGCCTTGTCGAGAAAATAGGTCTCCCAGTTAAGCGCAGTCAAATCGAGCTGATTAGTGGACATATACCGCATATATGTATATTAATCAGAAAATACGTAGGGAAAATTTGATGTGTACAAGTCAGTTGGATTTTATTTTCAATAATCTCTCAAAACAGCAACTAGATCATCTAATCTGAGAACCTCGCCGAGAATCAAGGCCTCCTTCTCCCGCCATTCGTGCAATGCCTTCTTTTCTGCGTCGCTCAGGTACTTGTCTAGATTCTCTTTCAGATCTAGACGCTCTGTTTTGTCGAGGAAGTCTTTCAAGCGTGACCGCTCAAATCGGAGGCGTTGTAGACAGCGTGACATGGCTTTGTAGGTATCATGCAGGAGATTTCGACCTACGCGATCGGGGTCGTAGGACCATAGAAATACCGTTCTAGCAGGCACGCGCTGTGCATCTTTTGGGATTTCTTGCAAGTCCACGTACCCGTTTTCCTGCATCTGCGCAAGGACTTGACGCAAGTCCTTTTGGGATACAAGACTGAGTTCCTGTAAACGCTTTTCGTCGAGTTTGCCCTTTGCCAGTAGAATACGGATTAGTCGGAGGGCTATTCTGCCGAATTTTATTCCGACTATGCGCTCAATTTCAAAGTGGCGCAATTCGCGCGCAAGACGCCGGTATTCTACTATCCAGTTCGGCACTGATCCTTGTGAGTGCCGTGTGCAAAACTTGTATGGCGGCTGTGCTAAAAGCTCAAGGTGTTGGTCTACATCGTGTGCTTTGGTGGTCTTTGTCCCGTGGTCATCATAATCGTCGTTCACGCCATTCGTTAGGACACGCTTGTTGTTTTTGTTTGTTAGTTGCGGATTCGTGTTTGGCCCAATTGATCCAACGAGGTCGAGGTGGGGATCAATCTCATTTACAAGTCGCTGCATGGTAATGGACACAGAGAAGGTCTCGCCTTCTTCACCCTCGCGAGGTAACTCAGCCGTGTCCCGGCATCGTTGTGTTCGATACTCGATAAGACGGAGCAGCGTTTCATAGACTTGTGCAGTAGTCGGTGATATGCTCTGCGCGGCAAGCTCGACCAGACGACGGTTCCTGAAAACCACGTCTAGTTTTGGATAATTCACACGGACGACAATGCTAAACTGTGATTGATCTGTTTAGTAAAGACCTGGAAACAGTGGCCCGCTGATTAGCTTACTTCCATGGGCTCATCCTCGTCCAGATCATAAGAGTCATGCTCGGGCTGATCCTCGTCCTCATCCCAAGAATCGTTATTTTCTATTCCATCTCCCGGAGACTCTATTCGGCGTCGTTTAGCAGGGTGTCCATTAGTCTCTGATCGTGTTTTGACGGGTTGGGTAGCGTATGAGGACAAGCCCCGAGTCAAATCGCTATCCAAACGCTTAGCCAGGAGTTCCCTCTTTTTGTCTTCAATCTCGTTCGCTTTTTGTTTTTTAGTCTCTGACGGACCTCCTGACATCTGGGCTTCTCGTTCTGCTTCCAGTGTATTATCCGCTAGACTTTGAAAGTGAGTTTCTCGCACGCGACAGATATAGCCGTGTCCAGCAAGATACTTCAGAGTAGCGTGTAGACGCCCGTTGGATGCAGTATGATTCCCATTGGTGAGTCCATCGCCATTGACATCAATATTCACATCTTCGCCCTCGTCCTCTTCTTTGAAATCTGGGTTATCGATTTCATGACTGGTACCGTTCAGCGAGCGGTCTTTGTGATTCTGAACCTGAAGCTCTGGTAACGTTTCGAGGTCGCCTATTTGAACATGTCCGCGATATGCGATAGCGGACATGACCTGTGCAGCATACGGACCCAATCGTTCTTCGACCACTTCCAGTACCTTCCCTGTACGTATCAAGTAATAAGCAGAGTCCATGTTGGCTTCGTAGTAAGTCATTCCGTCCTCGGATGACGTAAAATGGTACACTAGGTGCATCTGCACCATCGCCGCCAGAGCATGGAGCACTTGCTTGTGACTGATCTTGCCATATTCCCGAATTCGCGGAAGCGTCAGACGGCCGTACTGCACAAGGGTTCCGAATATGCGCTATCGACGAAGGCGAGTTAGAACAGTGGGAAAATTGCATGTTGATGAATGATTTGCGATGAGAGCCGAGCAGTAGTTTGCAATTCTTTCCAGCACAGTAGTAATACGTACTCCAAATAGATCTCCAAAGTTATCTTCGACTAGGAGCGTGCAAAGCTCCGCGGCAAACTGAAAAAAAAAAGATGGCACCAAGTTTTAGTGATGAAGCTCAGCAAAAAGCGCGCATCTAAGTTTCTGGGCTACTTACTTGGGACATGGTCGCACTTCTAGAGGAATGCCAGCCTCTCTAGAAGGGTCAAAGAGGGTCACCGCGACAATTGCATGAGCAAGGAGCAGAGGATAAATGAGGGATCGATTGAGCGATATTCTGTCGAGGTGTTGCAGAGAGAAGCTGCCCTCACTTGACACTTACTTTTTTGGCGCTAGTGCTGCAAGTCCCGCGGTTAATAATTTTTTGCTATAGAAATAATTTAAGTATGCGGAAGGAGCCATGCAACTCGGCACAATTGGCAGGAGTCGCCCGTTCTGCCCTAGCGGCACACGTGATATTTCACGTGACGCGCATAGCTTAGTAAAGTCCGGTTCCGCCCGCAGCGACCCGCTGGACCAATCACGACGCGGCTAATGGTCGGTCATCCAGTGTCGGCTCGGAACTTGAAGCTTTTCAAACGTCGGTTTGGCAGACCAAAACAGCAGCTCGTCGTCTCTACGCCACCCCAGGGTCGCTCAATTGCTCCCCAATTGCCGACCATTCCATTATCTCCTCCCAATACCTCTTTCTACCCAAATTGATGATGTTGTCGAGGTCTTCTTTCGGCCGTACCGCGCAGCGTGCGCTCCGGACACACACTGTCAGCAGTTGTCGGGCCTTCGCCTCTGCCGGCTCCCCAAGCCTGCAATATGAAACCACCGAGGCCGCCGGCATCAAAGTGGCCAACCGAGAGATAGAAGGCCCTACCTCTACGCTGGCCCTCGTTGCAAAGGCTGGTTCCCGCTACCAGCCATTCCCGGGCTACACAGATGCTCTTGAACGGTTTGCTTTCCAGGTATGTTCTTCAATTGTCCTCCGCAACTTGCGACTTGGTCACTGCATTACTTGCCCAAGGCTTAATGACTAATACATTCATGCAATTGCTAGTCTACTTTCAAACGATCGGGTCTGCGTATCACTCGCGAGGCAGAGCTTTTGGGTAGCGACGTCACAGCCAAGCACACACGCGAAAACCTCGTCCTCCAGGCCAAGTTTCTGTCTGGAGATCTTCCATACTTTGCCGAGCTCCTTGCAGAGGTCAGCTCACAGACAAAGTACAGCAGTGAGTACTTTTTTTTTTCAGTTCTATTTCTATTTTGAGGGGTGGTTTGTGCTAACCTTTATGACAACATAGTCCATGACTGGAATGAGATTGTTCTTCCAAACCTCAAACTCCGCCAGCAGGTCCTCCTTTCAAACCCAGAGACTTTGGCCGTAGACGCAGCTCATGCCTCTGCTTTCCACCGTGGTCTTGGTGAGAATGTCTTCGCCACCAGTGCCACTCCATTCGAATCGTATTTCTCGGAGGACGGTATTGTTGAGTTCGCTCAGAGCGCCTATGCTAAGCCTAACATCTCCCTTGTCTCTGTTGGACCTAACTCCGCGGAGGTGTCCAAGTGGGTGAGCCAATTCTTTGCTGAGCACCCAGCTTCGGCAGCGGCCGGTCAATTCAAGGTCAAGGACACCGTGCCTTCCAAGTACTTCGGTGGTGAGCAGCGCACTTCCAGCAAGGCTGGTAACGCTGTTGTCATTGCATTCCCCGGCTCTGCTCAGTACGGCGCCTCCGGATACAAGGCCGAGGTTGACGTTCTCGCTGCTCTCCTCGGCGGCGAGTCCTCTATCAAGTGGTCTCCTGGCTTCTCACTTCTCGCCAAGGCCGTTGAGGGCGAGACTGGTGCACGTGTTTCGACAAAGAACTTTGCTTACTCTGACGCTGGACTGTTTGCCATCACCATCACTGGCAAGGCTGATGCGGTTACCACAGTTGCTAAGCGCGCTGTCGATGCCGTCAAGCAGGTTGCCGCCGGCGAGATCCCTGCTGATGAGATCAAGAAGGCTATTGCATTGGCCAAGTTCCGTGCTTTGGAAGCCGCACAGCTTGCTGAGACGGGCGTTGAGCTCACCGGCTCTGCCTTGATCAGCGGCAGCAAGCCATACCAGATCAGCGAGCTTGCTTCAAGCTTTGAGGCTGTCAGTCCTCAGAAGATCCAGGAGGTGAGTTTGTCCATATTTAGCAGTCTGAGTTGCTATACTAACGATAAAACAAAACAGCTCGCCAAGTCCTTCATCTCCGGCAAAGCCTCCTTTGCCGCAGTTGGAGACCTCCACAAGCTCCCATTCGCCGAAGACCTTGGATTGTCAGCTTAGTTTTCCTATCCTAACTCAGTTCAGACCCCACGAAAATGGAAGAAGGAAAAACAAGAGGAAATTGATAAGAAAAAAAATCCAAGCAATAGATCCACAGAAGGGCAAAGCAATCAGCAAAGTAAAAAACAAAAGAGATGGGTGGGAAGAAAAAGAAAATCCCCCAAAAACACTGTGAAATATGTTTCTATTAGAACTTTTTTTTTCTTTCCCTCTCTCCCTCTTTAAACCTCCCCTTCATCTTTTTTTCTTCGTCTTTGGCACCTGTGAAATTATACAAAGGAAAAAGAAAAAAACCCCCCAAAAGACCGAATTTCATTCCATCAATTCTCCCCATCCATTCCATTCCATTTTCATTTTCATTCATCCTGCAATACCTTGGGTATTTCCCGATGTATGAAAAGTCTCTCATAAATAGGGTTATTATTTATCTAGCTAGACCACTTGTTTTATTTTGTTTTGATTTATCTTTTTCCTTTGTTACACACTTTTTTTTTTTCCTTTTGTACTTTGTTCTTGATTCTGTTTTTGTTTATGTACTTGTATCGTGTCAAATCGATTATCTTTATATTTATACATATAGATATCTCTCTCTCTAAATTCTTGCCTTGGTCTGATATTTAAGTTTGGAAGACGTTGGCCGTACGTATTTGGTTCACATATTGTTCTACGTGGAACCTGCAGAGTATGACTTGGCTGTGACTGACTGATGTATAGATGCTCCCGGTGTTGTGACTACGTACTGATTACAGTCGTCCAACCTAATGAGCGAGAATAAATAGGACTTAAGTAGTTAACCCGATGCAGTGATATTAAATAAACAAAGTCTATATAACCTATCAACTAATTGATATCCCAACAAACACCGAGGGAAGTGAAACAAAAACAGAAAATTTTGACATATGCATGCCATCTCGCGCGAGGGGGTATTTCAACCCTCCTAGTGCTTCGCGGTAACGGTTTCGCCCGTGAGCTTCTGTACAGCATCCTTGGCACTATAAAGACGGATCAGTATGGTTGATTGTTGTTGGCAAGCGAGAAGCAAACTTACAGGTCACCAAGAGCCACCATACACACAGTCTGCCACATACCCAGGCCAATACGAGGAGCTACTCCTCGGTACAGACCCTTGATACCATTGGTCTCGTAGATATACTTGAATGTCTTGCCGACAGTCAAGTTCTTAGGACGGTTCGGGTCCTCGGTCTTGCTCTGCATTTCCACGCGAATAACTTCAATGGGCTGGTTCCAGGCGGACAGACCGCCACCCAGTCCCGAGGCCAGAATCTTCTCCCAAGCGTTCAGCTTTTGGCCTTCTTCCTTCTTGGTTACGCTGCGGATGGAGCTCTCTGCCAATCGAGAAAGACCGAAACGGGAACCCCAGTTGGTGGTCTGACGAATAGCGACGGCATTAACTCCCTTGTTGATACCGCGAATACCTTCTTTGCGGTAGATGTCCATGAATGTTTCCCAGGTGCTGGGAGGCTTCACACCGGTGGCTGACAGCTTGTGCCTGGTGATTTCGACGGTTTTCATGCACGTACAGAAACCAACAGTTGCATAGGCCTGAGCGACACCACCAGTCATACCACCTGCGATACCAGCACCGAAATCCGATGCGCCGAAGCTTTTGGCGTAGAATTCAGCCTCGGACGCCACGAAAAGCAAGACGGCACCTTTTGTGGAAGCCTCAATCCAGGCCCAAGGAATGAGACCTTGATAGTCTGCAGAAGACAACAGTCAGCCCTTTCTTTGTCTTTCACGTGCAAGTGGATCATGAATGATAGAAGTCTTACAGCCGAAAACCCCACCACGGCCCCAAATCCGCTTCATGGCGCCTGCGAAAGTGTCGGTACGGTTGGCAGCCATGGTTGTCTTGATCACTTCCAGCGGCTAGAATGGATGTGCAGTTAGCGATTGTAGGTCCGATACCGTTAATGCGGCGCAAATGTCTCGATACATACCTGTCCCAACGACGTGACCCTGTCGAAAACCAGAGTTAGATTTGGTATATAGAAATGAGGTTGCATTCGCGACTACTTACTCGAACATATTCAACCCCGCGCCAACTGTTAAGAACTACCGTCAGTCTTGTTTACTTCTTTCTTCCACTTTTCAATCGCATGCTTCCTCTTCAAATGCATGCTATGATCTCGGCCACTTACGTAGCAAATTGCTAAACTTGACGGGTTTCTTCTCGAGCGGACGAGCGGTAGACGACATCTCTGGACGTTGGGAAATGCTGAAAGGGGCCCTGACCAAGGGATGTAGGGGGGCTTCGTCGCCTGTGGGAAGTAGAAGAAAGAGGGTGTGTGAAGAATCGACTCTAAGATTGATGACTCAGAAATAAGCAGGCCACCTTTAACCAAGTTAGGCTCTAGATATCGTCTAGAAGGGGGTTGTTGGTTGGTTGATTGGAGATGAGTGGGTTTCGAGGATGGGGAAGAGTCGAAGACCGAGGTTACTAGTAAGCGGGAGACTTTCCGATCGGTTTCGCGGGAGGAAATGAGGCACACGAAGACGCTGCAGCGACAATTGGCTTGAGTATGAGAGGGAAGACGGAAGAGGAGAAGAGGAGAAGAGAATATCTTGCGAGAAGAGACAGCGAGACAGAAAGCGCACGGCGTAGCACAAACCGCACACGGAGCCCGGAGGCCGTGACTGACTGGCAGGGGAGCCACGCTAGGCCGGAAGAGGCAATGTTGGGTTCCTGAGGCTTCATCCGGCTTGGGGGCCTGAAGGAACAGTTCGGGGCGGGCCGGATTAACTCTGCGCTGCTCCGGACTATCTCGTTCTTTACAGCGTTCGGTCTGCAAATCAGCCCCAACAAAATCGGTTGAGGGAGGTGGTACATATTTTGATTGCACCATCGTAATTTAAATCCGCTACATATCTGAAGCTGCGTTTGGTGGACATGAGCGGTCAATTCGAGCTCAATTGCATGCCAGAGAATCAGTCCATTGAACTACGCTCGAAAACTACCAGTCGCGGAGAAGAACCCGAAAAAAAATATCACATAGGAAAAAATACATCAGAGAACTGGTTTATCGAACGAATATGCCAAGATCCAAGCTCCCTCTCCTGTCTAGATAAACAGTTGGAAAAAAAAAAAAAAATTAGAGAAGAGAAAAAAATAGTACATCAGCCATCCCAAGGCCCAGGTGATCGGTGGCCAGACAATGCTAGTCTGTCCCCTATACTGTTAATCGCTAATCAATTGCACACTGTATAGTTATACCAATCACACATTGCTTTTTTCACGTTCCCTACTTGCTCCGTTATCAAGTTTTTGTATTTAGAGCTTAGCGACAAGCTTGGCATAAGCCTCAGTGCTGAAAGACTTAGGGCGCTCAATAGGGGCACCAAGAGCGCGGTCAATGATGAGCTGAGGAAGGACACCGAGGGCACGGGAGACACCGAAGAGGACGGTGTAGTAGTTGGCCTCAGTAAGACCGTAGTACTGGAGGAGGACACCGGAGTGCTGTTTTGATTTTTTTTTTGGTTAGTATCACCTAGATATACGAATGTCATGTGTAAAAAGGGAGAGAAGAAAACATACAGCATCCACGTTGGGGAAGGGGTTCTTGGTCTTTCCGTGCTCAGTCAAGACACCAGGGGCGATCTTGTAGACCTGGCTGACAAGCTTGAACATGGGGTCGTCAGGGAGATGGCGGAGGGCAAACTCGCGCTGAGACACGTAACGAGGATCGGTCTTACGGAGCACAGCGTGACCGTAACCAGGGACGACCTGACCAGCGTTCAAGGTGGACCACAGGTAGTTCTTGATGGCCTCGTCGCTAAGGTCGTTGCCGATAGACTTCTTCATCTTCTGAAGCCAGTTAAGGACTTCCTGGTTGGCCCTGTACGGCGGAAATAGATGCGTTAGTCAATAATATCCGGGTCAAACGACGGACCAAGTTCAACTTACAATCCGTGCAGAGGACCGGCAAGACCGTTCAAACCAGCGGACAAAGACAGGTAAGGAGAGCTGAGAGCGCTACCGACAAGGTGAGTAGTGTGGGCACTGACGTTACCGCCCTCGTGGTCGGAGTGGATGGTCAAGTAGAGGCGCATCAACTCAACAAAGTCCTTGTTGTCGGCGAAACCGAGCTGGTTGGCCAAGTTGTAGGAGTAGTCCTTGTCCTTCTGGACAGGGGCAACCTTGCCATCCTTGAAGACGTTACGGTAGATGCGGGCGGCGATGGTGGGAAGCTTGGCAATGAGGTCCATCGAGTCCTCGAAGGTGTACTGCCAGTAGTCCTTCTTGTTGATACCCTTGGCATAAGCCTTGGCGAAGGCAGACTCATGCTCGAGGGCAGTCACAGCGAGAGAGAACTGAGCCATGGGGTGGAGGTCGTTAGGGCAGCGGTCAATGAGCTCCTCGACGAACTTGGGGACGTCGGAGCGGGCAGCCCACTCAGCAGACAAGTCGCGAACCTGTTGCTCGCTGGGAACCTCGCCGGTGAGCAACAGCCAGAAAAGACCTATGCTTAATGAGCCCAATTGCCACGAAATTGAACGCAATGATATGGCTGCTGGCTTGCTTACCTTCAGGAAGGGGCTCCTCTCCACCTGGGGCCTTAGGAAGCACCTGCTGGCATTCTGGGATCTATTGACATTTCGTTAGCTTGATATCTATTTGCGCGCATGTATATTCTTTGGGGGATTACTGACAGTACGGCCTCGGAAACGGATACCCTCCTCGGAGTCCAAGACGGAACCCTACACAGAAGAGTTTAGTATTTATCGCTGACCCCAAAACGGAAGCCTTTCGCACCTCCCAAACAAGGGACTTGATTCCACGAGCACCACCGTAGACCTGGTCTAGGGTGACCTCTCCGACGACCTTTGAACCGTGCTCCCTGCAGGAATTGAATCAATGGATTAGTTATGAACGCGCGAAAGTACAGGTGAAAGAAGGCGAGAGTCAAGAAAAAGATTTTTTTTTCCTCCAACAATGACGTACTTGCGAAGAGCCTTGACCTTCTCAATCTCGCCGGGGATCTTTTCGGCGAAGGTGTCCTTGAGAGACTATCATCACCACAACAAAGACGCTGTCAGCAAGGCTATCCGAGGAGATGCTTTCACGTGTTGGCACAACATACCTTGGCCTTGCCAGCAGAGTAGCAGCGCAAGCCACTCATGGCGGCGGACTGTATAGGCTTGGTAGCAAGGGAAGAGCGGAGAGCAGAGCTTCCCAGTCTCAGTGAGGAAGCCATGGTGTGTGTATGTGTGATATTAATATATGGAAGAAGAGATCACAAGGAAATATGATACACAGGGTGGGAAGAATGTACAGCAGTCAAAACACAGCCGAGAGGGATAAGGGAAAAGAGAGCAGCTGCTGGCGGTTTTGCTGGCAAAGAATCTTAAGCGTCGCTTGGGGGCCCGGTTTTGTTGCGCTAAGCCCGATCTGGCGTAGGAACGCTGCCGAAAAAGCCGTGCCGCCGCCGTGTTGGGCTTAGCTGCCTCGGCGCTTCGGTGCCCTGCCGCCGGACAGAAGGAGTAGTTAATATATGAGTGACAAATTGCCAAATAGAACTCGTCGGACTTTCTCTTTTACCTAGTACCTAGGCTCATCGTTTCTAGATATAATGCTCATATTATTGGCATATGCGTCGCACAGCGAGGTCGCTTCCCCATGTCGCAGTTTCTCCCGCCGGAAAAGTCATCCATCCACTAACTACAGTCCAGAGTACAACGACTGCGAGATCGAAAAAGCGATTGTTTGCCTTCTGAGTAGTTAGTTAGTTAGTTGGCATATTAAGCCATGTTGATGTCATCTCATTGCAGTCTTGCCATTGGTTAGTTATATCATGCCGTACTTAACCAGCAACTTAAGCTATACACATCGGACGGGACGAGGCGGCAGCTGCAACCTGAGGCATCCAGGCATTTCCCAGAAAACAGCCACGTGACTGCACTATACCTCTCCAGGTCTAGCGTCCCCGACCCTAACTTTTTTTTTCCTTGTCTTCGAACTGTTCGCTCTTTCTCTCCCTTCCCCCAAGTCTCATTCCTTCGACAAACGCCATCACCCTCATCCCCGTCGTTTGTTTTCCATCATCTGCTCTGCCGTAGCTGAAGCTATTGTCGTCTCTTCAGTCGTCTCGCGATCTCTGCGAGGCCTGTATTCGTACACGTTATCGCCACCTGCGCGCTAGGCTAGATTCACTGCCAGGTCTCATCATAACACGCGGGTTTTTGTGCGAGTCCGTAGGGACGCGACCGCCTGAGTCAGACCTAGAGAGATTTTCCTTTTTTTTTCCCTGCGAGTTGCAGAGTAAATTGTTCGCTCGACTCACCACTCCATATTTTTCTCTTGCCTATTTTACTTTTGCGACGTACTTGTGAACGCGCTCACGGTCAGCCGTCAGTAGACGCTCTTGCACACAAAAACAACAACCTTTAGTCAACCACCTGGAAGAATAGTGCGGTCATTCATTACTTTGCTTTCACTTCTGGCTTGCCTGGAAGTCTAGTTTTCATCGGCAGTCATGTCTTCTGCCGTAGCAGAGCTTGATGGCTACCTCCAATCTATGCAAAGTCTAAAGCCTCCTGGCGTATCAGGATCTAAAATCGGCAGCATCACACAGCTTTGTACAGCCAATGTCCAGGTAAGCGGCTCTCGCATCAGATTTCTTTCCCGGTTGACTTCCATGAGGGCCTAACTAACTTGTTCTTCCTACCCACAGTCCGAGTCCGTTTTAATCCAGAAGTTATACACCCACTTCAAGAGAACTCCAGGAACACACAAATTGGGCGTCCTATATGTCGTAGACTCTGTAACTCGACAATGGGTAGAGGCGGCTCGAAAGGCTGGTCAACCGCCTGGAAGCGCTGCTCCTGATGGCACATTCGCTGCCGGAGTCAACCGAGTAACTGAACTTCTCCCGGTTCTGATGACCGATATCATAAACAATGCACCTGAGGATCAAAAGGTACGCTCTAGAGAATTACAGAAAATCTTTTATATCCTTTTTCTACTAGCAAGAGCCGGTCCGTGTTGGACTCGGGATTGGTGTATACGCGCCGTTGAGTTATGGTTCGAATATTTGCATGCGTCCCATCGTATTATTCACCTTCCCGCCGTCTTGGATGGCATCGACTCTCTAAACAAAAAAGGCAACATACTGGTTGGGATAGATGAACTTACGTATTACCTTTTTTGTCATTTTAGGAAAAAATCAGAAAGCTGGTTGATATCTGGGAGCGTGGCCAGACATTCCCCTTACCCATGCTCGCCTCTATCAAAGAGAAACTGAACGCGCCGCCATCTAAAAGTAAGCCAAAGCCTCGCCGTCATTTATTTACTACCAACAAACACTCTTTCTGGGCAATGCTGTCTCTCACGGCCGTGAAGAAAAAAGGAAAACGTGCATATTCCATTCCATCATTTTTCTAATTACAATGTTCCATATAGATGTCGAATCGACGACGCCGGAGGGTTCTCCAGCTCCCGGTCTAAATCCTCTTGCGGGGCTTCAGGGCCAGCCGCAGAGTGCTAATGCAGCTGGTGCTTCGTCTACGCCTGATACCTCTAGCATCCTGAAAGCCTTGGCCGATATGGCCAAGCAGAACCCGGCTGCTCCGGCCGCGACAGCAGCTCCTGCGCCGGCCAATCCCTTGAATTTACTGAATGCGCAGACTGCTACTCCTGTGTCGTCATCCTCTGTAGACCAGGCTGCACAGCCAGCGGCCGTAAATCCGTATGGGAATCCCTTCGCAGCGCTAGGTAATCTTGCAGCGCCAAACGCCATGCTGCCCGCGCCCAATACTCTGCCGGGTGCTCAACCCAATCCTCTGGCTGCCGTACTTCCACAAGCAGCAGCAGCTGGATCTCAGCCGGCTCCTGCTTCTCTCACCCCAGATGTCTTCCAGCAGGTGCAGCTGCTTCAGCTCCTTGCTGCACAGGGTATCCCCCAGGATCAATGGGCAACGGCTCTTCAGATCCTTAGTCTATCAAACAATGCCAATGCGGCTGCCGGCGGACTTCCCAACCTGAATCCCGCCCAGGGAGCGTTTAATTTGCCAGATATGGGTGGCCAGCAGGGTTGGCCTGGTCACGGGGACCGCGATGCCGACCGAGATCGTGGGAGGGAGAGGGACTACATGCGTTCGCCCCCCGGCCAGTATCGCCGTCGCTCAGGCTCTCCAGGCTGGGACCGTCGCCGGGAGGGATCGCCGCCTCGCCGTCGTGACAGTCCTGTCTACGGTGAATATCTCGGAGACTCCCCTGGCCGTCGAGGTGGCCGCCGTGGCAATGACTATCGCCAGCGCAGCCCGCCAGGTCGGAGACGACGCACACCTTCGCCTCCTCGCAAGGACCCTTCATTGCCGCCTCCTGGACCAAAGCTGGTCGAGTGGGACTATTCGATCGGACAGGGCAATATTAAAGTGCTGAGTCGGACGCTTTTTGTTGGTGGTGTCACGTAAGTTACTTTTGTTTCTCTCCTTTTTTTTTTTTTTTTTCTTTTTTTCTATCCGGAAAAGTGTGCTGACCCCGTATTACAGTTCTTCCGAGGCGCAGCTACGAGCGCTTTTCAACAGATTCGGTCTCGTTCAGACCTGCATTGTCAATGTGGACAAGAGACATGCCTTCATCAAAATGATCAACCGGCGTGACGCCATGAATGCTCGAGAAGGCATGGAGACGTACAAGTCCGGGGACATGCAACTTCGAGTGAGTTCTCTTCTTGCTTAGCTGTTTTTTAAAAAGTAGACATAATTGCTAACATTTCAATAAGACTCGCTGGGGAGTCGGATTCGGACCTCGTGACTGCAGTGATTACCAGACGGGAATCAGTGTCATTCCAATTGAGCGACTTACGGAAGCCGACCGCAAGTGGATGTTGACAGCCGAATATGGAGGCACCGGTGGTAAGCCGATAGAGAGTGGCATGGTGGTGGAAGAGCCTGATATTGAAATTGGCGCCGGAGTGTCATCCAAAGGTATGTGGCCGACCTAGACAACGCCGCGAACATGACGAAAAATACAACATTTCGCTAACGTGTTCTTCTCCTTTACAGCCATCAGTCGACGCATGGCCACTGACCAAGGTGGTAAACGGGGACCACAATCGTCACGCACACAGAGCGACCGCTTCCGCCGACCAGAACGCGGCATGGACATGAACAATGGAGGAGGCATATATGGCGGCGGCATGGGAGGCGCGGATCGCGACTATTCGAACACGGCGAATCCGGCTGTGCCTCCAGCTGTTCCGGGCTTTGGCTTCCAGCTTCCAGGCATGCCCATGTTCCCTCCAGGGTTCATGCTTGGGGGAGCACAGCCAGGGTCTGCGCCTCAGCAGCCGCCTCCTCCCGGCCAATGATTTTCTATCTTCCTCTCGTGTTTTTGTTTCGCCTTCATGCATTTTTATCCTCATTTATTTCTTTTCTTTTCCTCCTTTCCTGTAACAATTGTTCATATTCGACTGGTTTTGTTTGTTCGTTGGCTTGGACGCGGAGGCAACACTGGGGGGGCGTTTGATACATCATACATTGACGATTTGCACGGGGCTTGTATTTTTTTTCCTTCTTCTTCTTCTTCTTCTTCTTCTTCTACTACTTCTTCTCTTCCTCTTGACTATGTTCTTCATGACAAAAAGCAACCTTCCTTTCCATCCGGGCAGTCTTCAGGGCTAGTTTAGTTAATTACTTAATCCATCGATTGCATTCCATTCCCTTTCATCTTCCAGCAGTGGACCTACCACAACCAAGCACCGCAGTAACAGAAGAGTAAAAAAATACAAATTGTCAAACAAAAGTTGCAAAAGACAAGCTGGCCTCAATCGAGCATAGCTGGATCACGCCATTTGCCGTCATCGGAACTGGAGCAGATGTCAAGTGAGGGGCAGCAGAGAACATGAACATGTAAACGATCAATAACTCCATTTGCTTCTTCATTCATTCATCCATCCGTTATAACTCGCCTATATTGTTCCTTCGTGCTGCCTTCACGGTCAACTGTCAACATCATGTCTGGCCAGCGCTTCGAGACCCTGCAGCTGCATGCTGGGTAAGTCTGAGACGCCCGCTCACGCTGGTTTGTCTATACCAGGTCTAACGACGATACAGCCAGGAACCTGACCCGGCCACAAACGCGCGCGCTGTCCCCATCTATGCTACTACGGTGGGTTGGCATGTCGCTGAGCAGTGAGAGTCCACAGCTAATTGACGTTGTAGTCTTTCGTCTTCAACGACTCTGCCCATGGCGCGAGACTATTCGGCCTCAAGGAATTCGGCAACATCTACTCGCGGATCATGAACGTGCGTCTAGTAATCAGTCAGTGCGCAGTAGGAGAGAGCCTTGGACTGACTAAGAACCTTAAATACAGCCCACTGTCGACGTCTTCGAGAAAAGAATCGCAGCTCTCGAAGGCGGCGTCGCTGCCGTGGCCGCGTCTTCAGGCCAGGCCGCGCAGTTCCTCACCTTTACAGCCCTAGCTCATGCCGGCGACAACATCGTCGCGACGAGCAACCTCTACGGCGGCACCTATAACCAGCTCAAGGTCTTCCTGCCGCGTCTGGGCATCCAGACCAAGTTCGTCCAGGGCGATAATGCCGCTGATATTGCCGCCGCGATTGATGACCGTACCAAGGCTGTCTTTGTAGAGACTATTGGCAATCCGCGCTATAACGTGCCTGATTTTGAGGCTATTGCAAAGGCTGCGCATGACAAGGGTGTTCCTTTGGTGGTGAGTGTTCTTCGTCCCATGTTTCTGGCATATATATATATATATATACATGTATCTAAGAGCCGACAACTCAGGTCGACAACACCTTCGGCGCTGGAGGCTACTTTACGCGCCCCATCGAGCACGGTGCCGACATCGTCGTGCACAGCGCCACGAAATGGATTGGCGGCCACGGCACCACCATCGGCGGCGTGGTCGTCGACAGCGGGAAATTCGACTGGGGTAAACACGCAGCTCGATTCCCGCAATTCAACGAGCCTTCCGAGGGCTACCACGGCCTCAAGTTCTGGGAGACCTTTGGCCCCATCACATTCGCAATCCGCGTGCGCGTCGAGATTCTGCGGGACTTGGGTTCGACGCTGAACCCATTCGCGGCTCAGCAGCTTTTGCTGGGGTTGGAGACGTTGAGTCTGCGCGCCGAACGCCATGCGAGCAATGCGTTGACGCTGGCGCGCTGGCTAGAGAAGAATGAGAATGTCGCGTGGGTGTCGTATCCGGGACTGGAGAGTCATGCTAGCCATGAGACGGCTAAGAAGTATCTGCCTCGTGGGTTTGGTGGTGTTTTGTCCTTTGGCGTCAAGGGCAATGCGGATGCTGGAAGTCAGGTCGTTGATGGCTTCAAGCTGATTTCGAATCTTGCCAAGTCTGTCTCTCTCTCTCTCTCTCTTTTTCTATTTAACAAATTATTTATCTAACGTATGTGTCTACAGCGTGGGCGACTCGAAAACTCTCGCAATTCACCCCTGGTCCACAACGCACGAACAGCTCTCGGAAGAAGAGCGCATAGCGTCTGGTGTCACTGAAGATGCTATTCGGATCTCCGTGGGAACCGAGCATATCGACGACATCATTGCGGACTTTGAGCAGTCCTTCAACGCTCTTCGTGCTGCTTAGCTGCAGTGTGTTTGGGATGGGGTTTTGTATGTAGAATTCTGACTAGTACTGTGTGATATATGTAATGAAGCATGATTGATGATGCATATATATATATATATATATATTTCTTCTTCAAGTATAAGCCTACAGAGTATATTAAACAGCTTGCTGAACAATAATTTTCGGTCCCTTCGGCTTCATGACAGACATTAATCGAACGGATGGGCCCATCCAGTCCCATACTCTAATGCTCTGAAACAGTAATGGCCTGGTGAGTTTTATTACCTGAGAATAGTCCATGTTGAAAGACAGACTGGCATTGTTCTGATCATCTCAGACTAAGTTGATAGAATTAGGTGGAAGGTCTAGACATTGCATATACGTCAGATCCTAATGCAATCAGCAATCTTATTGGACAAACGCCACTCAAGCATACCTCCTCGCACACAACGGGGGCTCGGATCTCGGGGGCTCGGTGGTGCCGCGAACCAAAGGCGAGAATCTCACCTTGGGAGCACTTGAGTGCATTGATTGCACTGGATTGACCTTATTTTCGCTACGAATGGTCCGAGCCGGGTTAGCCGAGCCGGAATCTTTCATGACATATATATAAAGGGTGGGCGGGATATCTATGGTCTTGAAGAAGAAATCATTCCCACTTTCCATCTATATCATACTTCACTCATCCAAAAATAAACACCTTTTATACAACCTTCAACAAACGCAATAACCCCCTACAAACATGGTCGCCACAGAGCCACATCTCTGCTTTCGATCGTTCGTCGAGGCTCTCAAGCAGGACAACGATTTGGTGGAGATCAACGAGCCCATTGACCCCAACCTCGAAGCAGCTGCCATCACCCGCCGTGTCTGCGAAACAGACGACAAGGCTCCTCTTTTCAATAACCTGATCGGTGCTCAGAATGGCCTATTCCGGATTCTTGGTGCTCCTGGATCGCTCCGAAAGGCCCGTAAGGATCGCTATGGCCGACTGGCGCGTCATCTCGCCTTGCCACCCACGGCATCGATGAAGGAGATTCTGGATAAGATGTTGTCTGCTAGTGAGATGGCTCCGATTCCACCGCAAATATTGTGTACTGGCCCTTGCAAGGAAAACATCCTTGAGGAAAGCCAGATCGACCTGACCAAACTCCCCGTTCCTATGATTCACCAAGCAGATGGGGGGAAGTATATTCAGACCTATGGAATGCATATTCTGCAGACTCCTGATGGCTCGTGGACCAATTGGTCTATTGCCCGAGCTATGGTCCATGACGAGAAACATCTCGTTGGTCTGGTTATCCAACCACAACATATCTGGCAGATTCACCAGATGTGGAAGAAAGAAGGCCGCGACGTGCCTTGGGCTCTGGCCTTTGGCGTGCCCCCTGCAGCCATTATGGCATCTAGCATGCCAATCCCTGATGGCGTTACCGAGGCTGGTTATGTCGGTGCCATGACTGGCACAGCCCTGGAACTCGTCAAGTGCGATACCAATAACCTGTACGTTCCTGCTACCTCCGAAATCGTTCTGGAGGGAACACTCTCCATCACCGAGACGGGACCCGAAGGACCCTTTGGAGAGATGCATGGTTATGTCTTCCCTGGCGATACCCACTTGTGGCCAAAGTATAAAGTCAACCGCATCACCTACCGCAATGACGCTATTCTACCAATGTCAGCGTGCGGCAGACTGACTGATGAGACTGTAAGTGTTCTTATCTGTCTATTCTTTTTTTTTTTTTTTAAAGGTGTTCTTTTGACTAACCTCTTCTTAGCATACCATGATTGGTTCCCTAGCTGCCGCCGAAATCCGCAAGGTCTGCCAGCAAAATGGTCTCCCTATTACCGATGCATTCGCTCCATTTGAGTCTCAGGTAACCTGGGTCGCTCTGAAGGTCGACACCGCGCGTCTCCGCGAGGCAAAGGCTACTCCTAAAGAATTCGCCAAGAAGGTTGGAGACGTGGTCTTCAATCACAAAGCCGGCTACACCATTCATCGTCTAGTTCTTGTCGGCGACGATATTGATGTCTACGACTTCAAAGATGTCATCTGGGCCTTTAGTACCCGCTGCCGCCCCAGTCTTGACGAGACCTTCTTTGAAGATGTGCGCGGATTCCCACTCATCCCGTACATGTCCCATGGCAATGGATCACCGACTACGGGTGGAAAGGTGGTCTCGGATGCACTCATGCCTTCGGAATATGCTACTGGCCGTGATTGGCAAGCTGCTGACTTTGAGAATTCGTACCCCGAGGAGGTTAAGCAGAAGGTCTTGAAGAATTGGACCAAATTGGGATTCCGAGAGGAGTAGTTTATTTTTCTTTCTTTCTGCAATTGGGCCACGACATAGCGAGAATTTAGGCTGCTTTCCCTTGATTGAACCTGTTGTCAAATTGTAAAGTCCATAGGAATCTTAGGAATGATTTATGAAGCTTCCCCATTATCGTATGTCTTGAATATTTCAGAATTCGTTTCGTAAGGTGTAGTTGGATATCTCTGCGGGCGAATGATTCTCCGAGACTCCGAATCCCACACGCTAACTCTATTTGTTATCTTGAAAGTCACGGCGTCTCTCCTTCTCTATCTTCGTCATCATGTTTTATTTTCAGGCGTGCTGCCGAGCGCAAACTGTCGAGTTAGAACGCTGATGACTGTAATGCCCAAGCGGAGATTGAAACCGCGAAGATTTGACAAGTCTAAGCCCGGCTCGGACCCTCGGCAGCATGAGCGACGTCAGCCGAGATGAGGCAGATCGCGTCCTTCGCCTGAAGAGCCGAGAGAGAGAAACGCACGCATGCTATCCCTGTCGCAAACGCAAAGTCAAATGTGATGGGAACCGCCCCTGCCGGACATGCCAGAAGCGGAAACATCCCCAAATTTGCACCTACAGCAGCGGCGCAGTGCATTCGGGGCGCAGGTCGGCCTCTCACCAGCCCGCCGCTCGCTCAATATCGCCCCAGGCTGTGAGCGATTATCATGTCAATGAACAGTCGACGACTCAACAGGATGATAGTTCAAAGAATTACGTCTACTCTGGAGACAATTCCCTGCTCTCACTCCTGCGTTCACGAGCACCGGATGCCAATGGCTCAATGGCCCGCGAAGTCAGCTCCGTTTTGGGTCTCCAGAACACTTTCAACAAGTATCCGTTTATGGACTCGAAGACTCCCCTAGAAAAATGGAAATCGCTGCTGCAGATTTTACCACAGCGAACAGAAGTTTTGAAGTACGTTGCATACGATCTTTCAGGATTCTTCTCCTATTTCGGCTGATCAAAGCGAGCCAGGTTCTTCCATTACTATCGGGTCACAGCATACCCATTCAACCCAATACTAGCGGACATAGACCGGTTTGAAGCTGATCTATGTACATACCTGAATGCCCATTCCGGGGGAGAATTACGAGACTCGGAGAAGATCACAGATCGATGGGCAACAGACAAGTCAGTTGGCCACATTAGCCTTTTACTGGCCACACTTGCCGCAGGAGCTCATTATTCCGATGTGGAGTACCTCCAAAGATTGGAGCTCACCACAGACTTTGGTATGGCTAGAGATTATTCCGAGCGGGGACAAGTTGGCTAAGAAAGTCTAGCTCGCAGATCATTCCATGCTCTTCGCCTAGCCAATTTCCTTTTCCGACCATCTTTGGATGTTATCCAGGCGCTCCTAATACTGGGGAATACACTGCAGAATATGGGTCAGTCAGACGCTGCGTGGGCATTACTTGGAACGACAGTTCGACTTGCTCAAACTATGGGACTGCACACTGAGCGAAGCACGGTTCAATGGCCTGACTATGTGCGAACAAAATCAAGAACGCTTTGGTAAGTAGAGCCTTTTATTCCGAGGGTTGTACTGACGCTAAAGGAATTCAATGTGGCAGGTCGACTATTGTTTGGCAAGATAGCCTCCTCTGTCTTTGCTACGATCGCCCGCCTATTGTTTCTGTCACAGGGTGGCCCCTTGATCGTACGTTCGCTGAACGACATGACTTGTCATTTGCAGAAACCATGCATCTTTTATGTCGCCTGGGCCTAGATATTATGCGTCCAGAGAATCTCGGCCTTGCTGAAGTGGACCAAGCTATTGAGGGGCTCCGAAGACTGGACGATATCTGCCAGCGCAGCCAGGGCTATCTACAGAATCGGGGGATCTGTATGACATTGCAACAGAATCTCCAACATCTGGCACTACGGATGCATACATCTTTTTGTGTATCTGTGCTTTGTCGACCAGCAATGAAACAGTCCCAGCTAGAGCTTCTCTACCCGCACGCCGATATACTTCGGACTCGCGCAAAAGGGAGCTTGATCGATGCATCCAAAGCTTTTCTCGAGTTTCAGGCTCTTAGTGTCGTTCCATTGCGGAGCTGGTCCATGGTCCACACGGTTTTAAGCTCCACGTTGCTGCTTTGCGTTTGGAAAGAGACGCGTCATGATCCTGAATGCCGCAGCCTGCAGCAGAGAGTCATCGATGTATTCTCGTCGTCAAATTCAACAGACGAAGGGGCAGCTTCCTCGGAGATTAATGACCAGTGGCTGTCTGCCCGCCACGTGCGAGCCCTGGTTACTCTACGAAGTACCTTGGATCGAGAAGAGGATAGGAATGTGGCTGAAGCCGAAAACCTGGCGGGAATGGATCTTGCTACTGTTCCGCCAGTTGGAGCCAGGTAAGCATTCATCACGCATTTTAATTAGTACCGATATTGATATCCTTAGCAATCCGGATGGTTACATGGATTTGATGAATTCACTCGAAATATCACCAGTGTCTTATTTGGACTCGATCATGAATGGTACGCTTTTACTCTTCCAACGCCAGACCGATGCTAACGCTCCCCGATAGTGCCTCTATTTGACTTTACGCAAGAGAGTGGATTCCTTTAGCAGCACACGCCCTCAGCAATTTCTAGTATCCACAGCTGCTCGGAGAGACTCCACATTAGTGGTTGGTGGCGGAAACCCCAGCTTCGTACATTCCTCGGAGCTTCGGTCTCGGGGGGCTCGGGGGGGCTCGGGGGGCTCGGTGATCCAACAACCGGGCCAATGCAAAGAAAGTATCTCGATGTTTTTCTCCTTTTCGTATAAACCATTGTTCCAAGCCGGTGAGGTCATTGAATCATTGCCACTGCTTCTTATTTAACGATCGACTTGCGCCTGGTTGCAAAGAAGCCACATTCAAGCCAATCTCATATTCCTGCAGAGTCAGATTATTGGTATTAAACTGACACATCATCAAGAACAACTACCAACACTCGACAGCTCCTGACTCATCCATGCTTTCTCTACTCTCCGGCACCAACACGCCTCAGTCCTCTCGTGCCTCTCCTCCCGAGTCCACAATGATCCTGAACAAGCCAGCACACCAACAACCATCCACACCCCGCCGGCGAAGAATCGTTGTGGCTATGACTGGCGCTACCGGCGCTATCCTAGGCATCAAGGTTCTTATTGCTCTCCGCCGCCTCAACGTGGAGACACACTTGGTAATGAGCAAATGGGCCGAAGCAACGATCAAGTACGAGACGGATTATCATCCATCAAACGTCAAGGCCCTTGCCGACCACGTCCACTCTATCAGTGACATGGCAGCGCCTATATCAAGTGGCTCTTTCAAGGCCGATGGAATGATTGTGGTTCCTTGCAGCATGAAGACCCTCGCTGCGATACACAGCGGGTTCTGTGACGACCTGATCTCCCGTACTGCCGACGTGATGCTCAAGGAGCGGCGTCGCCTTGTACTAGTAGCTCGCGAAACACCGCTGAGTGACATTCATCTGCGCAATATGCTGGAAGTATCGCGCAGCGGAGCGATTATCTTCCCGCCGGTGCCGGCGTACTATATCCGCGCTGCATCGGTGGATGAACTGCTCGACCAGAGCGTCGGGCGCATGCTGGACTTGTTTGATTTGGACACGGGGGACTTTGAACGATGGGAGGGATGGCAGACCGGGGAGCGATGAAGTTTGCATTAATCGGCGTTTATCATGCATCAACGGGCGTTTGGCTGGGAATCTTGAATTCACTCACTTATATTAATAGCCACTATCTGCATCTGAAATAGGCGGAAGTATATACAAATTGTTTATTCTTGACCAGAGCACTCTGTAGAGAGGAGCTCCTATCTTATGTAGTAGGACAATCTGACGGACGTTAATTTTAATATTTTAATTAATGTCACTTAGCCAATTTTCTAATTAAAATATCACGCTCCCATAAGAAATGAGCATAATCTTACTGTACTTATTGAATGGATAAAATTATGCAGGCCAAGCACAGCGAATGCAACTAGAGGCTGACAGCTCAGCCACGTTCGTCATATCGCTTCAACTTTTTCTTTTTCTCTTTTCTATATTAACCTGTCTGTCCGCCACCTCGCGCAGTTTGGCATCAAGCTACATAGGTAGATACTTAGTTACTCACGTCAACATGCCTCACCACAACCTCCACCATCTGAACTGGGTGCTGCCCGTTCGTATTGTGCAGGCAGTCTTTGCCATAATCATTCTCGGCCTCACAGCCTACGGTCAGTCTTTCTCCCTCTCTCTAGGAATTGGGAAAAAAAAAATGAAAGAAAGAAAGAAAGAAAGAAAGAAAAACTAAACCCGTACGGGAGTACAGCAATCAACGTCGAACTATCCTACTCCTGGTACTCCTCCGACACCGTCAACTTCGACCTCTTCAACTCCATCTGGACCCTCGTCGTAGCCCTGCCCTACCTATCTCTCGTGCCCATCTTCTTCGCCAGCCTATCTCACATCTACATTGTGCTGGCCGCAGAGATTGTGACGATGATTTTCTGGTTTGCGGGCTTTATTGCTCTTGGGGCCTTTTTGCCGCCGCCCAGGGCGTGTCATGGTGGTGTTTGTAGTTCGTTGCAGGCTGCTACGGTTTTTGCATCGTTTGAATGGTATGTTCACTCCTTCTCGAGCGCATATATATATATATATATATATCTGTATATGTAACTATAAGTATAGCATAGGCTAACATGAACAGGCTGCTGTTTGCCATTACCACCGGCTTCACTATCCGTCTTGCCTTGCAGTCGAGTAGTGGCTCGACTGGGGTGCATGCAAAGACCTCAGGTGTCCAGCCTGCTGCTAATGTGTAGTTAGCGAGGCTAGGATTTCCTCTTTTCTTCTCTTTTTCCCCGTCTTCGTCTGCCTTGACAATACCCCTTAGCGTCTCTTGTATACTCACTCATAATCAATGTCAAATTGTCTTTAGTTCAGCAGCCAGGCATGTTTACGTTGAGCTTCTTTGATTCAAATCTTACGATATTATGACGATACCTTGTTAGCCAATTGATTTCCTATTCTAAAAAAGATCTCAAGTTCAGATGAAAGCTATTTTACCAAGATCGGACAAGATAGGGCTAGGGTTAGTTAGGGCTACTGCAAGTTTAGTTGTCAAGATATTTACTAATTTCCTCACAGCCGACTCCGAGTTTTGTTTTTCAGATCGATAGATAGTTAGTTATTTTATGAGTTACTTGACGCGAATTAGCAAATACGACAAGTAATGCCTAGATAGCGGCGGTGTCAAGGATTCGACGAAACAATTCCCTCGCCCAAAAGCTTGCCAGCCACGGATTGTCATCGCCCACGTGTGCATTGACATGTTACTTACTTCGTATTTCTCTACTCCAGCATTTGCAGTTGAGGGATTTTTCTGGGCCCTTCATTTTGTTTTGTGAGTGAGGGATTTTCACATGGTTTGCTATCTACCTATCTGCAGCCAATGTCACGATGGGTACAAACCTTGCGAGAGCCGACTGGGAAAACATATATCAGAATGTCTCTGCTCTCAAGAACGATGGCGCAGATTCGTTCATTCATTCATTCTTCTAGCTATCGTGCCATTGAAGACTGAAAGTAATGGCGACCCCGAGCGAGGCGACCGAGCAGATCGATCAGCTTTATATGCCTTCTGCCGGCGGGGGCGTGTACTCAGCTAGAGACAACTTGTTCCGTCGCAGATCCACGGTCAAGGAGAGTGTGATTGATGTTGAAAATGCGTCGGAGGACGAGAAAGATGATGGTGTTGACGACGAGAGGGACTTCCGCAAGAAACAGGTACTATATACACATAGCCCCTTTCGATTCTTCTACGTTGAATACTAACAATGAATCTCTACACTCAGGTTTTCACCGGATGGCAGCTAGCATGGTAGGCCACAGTATAAACAGAACGAAGGCGATAGCATTTCTGATATAGGTCTACTATGCAGGCTTTCCTACCAATCCCTCGGCGTCATTTACGGTGACATCGGCACAAGTCCACTATACGTGTATTCGTCTACCTTTAGCAGTAGTCCCGGCCAGGAAGATGTGCTCGGAGCGCTCTCTCTCATCATATGGGCGTTAACTATCATGGTGACCGTCAAATATGCTCTTATCACATTGAATGCCGACGACGAAGGTGAAGGGGGTACATTTGCGTTGTACTCGCTTATTTCTCGATATGTAAGTTCAGTGTAGAAGATGAACAGGTTAGGGAAGGCATGCATAGTTTTTTTTTTTTTTTTTGGTCCTTTTCTAACTGATCTGTGAATAGGCGAATCTGATTCAACGTGACCCTCGACAGCGCAAGTTGGTTCGTATACAAAGATACCCGGACCAGGACATGCCGAAGCCCAATCTCTGGATTCGTTCTGGGATGGAGCGTAGTACGGTAGTGGGAGCAATCTTCAAGGTTGTAGGAGTTTTTGGCGTGGCGCTTCTACTCGCTGGTACGAATTTGAATTCTCAAGTACGTTTAGCTGCGATTCTTGCTGAATACAAGCCCATTCAGATGGCGTTCTTACCCCGGCCCAGTCGCTCCTTGGGGCAATCCAAGGGTGAGTTTCTCTCTCTCTCTCTCTGGCTTCTTCCTACAGCGAGACTTAACTTGAGTACAGTATTACCGTCGTGAATCCAAGCATCACCAGCTCTACAGTAGTTGGTGTCTCGTGCGCAATTATAGTCGTCGTCTTCGCTGTTCAGCCATTCGGAACTGGGAAATTGGCGAACTGCTTTGCACCCATTGTCATTCTCTGGTTGCTGTTTAATATGAGTTTTGGGATCTATGTAATATTATACAATACCCCTAACCCATCTGAAAAGATTATGCTCATATTCATATTCTTCTGTAGAACCTCGCCCGGTACGATGCATCAGTGTTCAAGGCCTTTTCTCCGTATTTTGCAGGCAACTTTCTCGTCCGGAATGGACACGATGGTTGGCTTCAATTGGGTGGGATCCTGCTTGCGTTTACTGGCGTTGAGACGCTATTTGCAGATCTTGGCGCTTTCTCTAAAAGGTATTTATTATCAAGTCTGCTATTTACTTGTCTGGACCTTGCAAGCTGATGATGAATAGGGCTGTTCAGATCTCCTGGCTGTGCTTTGTGTATCCTTGTTTGCTTCTCTCGGTACGTTGGAGTATACTCGTTTGCCTAGATACATTTCTTTATATTGATTAATCGATTCAATAGTATATTGGACAAGCTGCCCATATGATGGTTGACCCAAGTGTTTATGCTAACCCATTCTACTTGACCGTTCCTCCGGGCATGATCTGGCCGAGTTTGATTGTGGCAATCCTTGCCTGCATCGTGGCTAGCCAGGCTGTTATCACCGGCTCATTCCAGGTATCAAGCAGCATATTCTTGCATAATTAGACGTTCATACTGACATGTATCCAGCTGTTATCTCAAATCATGAAGCTCTCTTACTTCCCTCAAGTGAAAATCAAGCATACCTCCGAGAAATTTCACGGTCAAGTGTATATTCCGCTTGTAAACTGGATTATGATGATTGGAACAGTCATTGTGACTGCCGTTTATACCAATGTAAGAAAGATACCCAATCTCTATATCTGCCCGTAGACATGCCTCGAGTTCCATGAAGCTAACGACATAGACCACTGCTCTTGGAGAAGCGTATGGATCGTGCGTCATCCTTGTCTCCTTCCTCACCACCTGCATGGTCACGATAGTTGCGATTGTCATTTGGAGACTCCCCGTTTATCTCGTGTTCCCAATCTTCATTGTCTTCGCGCTGTGGGATGGCATGTTCCTGTCCGCAGCACTCAGCAAGGTCCCGCACGGTGCCTGGGTAACCCTCATGATCGCCGTAGCCCTAACTCTACTCTTCATGCTCTGGCGTTACGGCAAAGAACAGCAATGGGTCGCCGAAGAATCAGACAACGTCCCGCTGTCTCGAACGACTGCGTTGGACCAACAAGGCCAACTGTCTCTGCATCCGGACTTTAGCTCTTCCACTTCCATTTCCACAATTGTCCGCATCAGTGGTCTCGGAATCTTCTTTGACAAAGCCGGTCTGTCGAGCACCACGCCCCCGGTATTCCTCCATTTCTTGCAAAAGTTTGGCGCTGCTCCGGAGGTTTCTGTATTCTTCCACTTGAGGGCTCTCCCGGTGCCTACCGTGCCTCCCACCGAGAGATATACGATCACGCGCTGCTCCACTTATGAAACCGGAAAGACTGGCAAGCAGCAGGCTATTCCGAACACCTTCCGACTCATAGTGCGACATGGGTATACGGACCAAGTCATTGCGCCAGATCTCGGGGTCCTTGTGCTTGACTTGCTACGGGAATTCTTGGACAAGGAATTGTCATCATCTGCTGTGCGCAGTGACAAGGTGGAGGCAGATGCCGTGCAACGCGCGTTCAGGTCTCAGGTGATATACATTGTGGGCAGGGAGCACCTCAGAATCGCAACGGGAACTAGCATATTCAAGAAGATTGCGTTGATGCTGTTCCTGTATGGCCGCGAGGTGACCAGCAACAAAGTGCAGCATCTGGATGTGCAAGCCGATCGTGTCGTGGAGGTTGGGTTTGTGAAGGATATCTAGACCTCCATGGCCCATACTACATATAGTTACTACCATAGTTAGACAGACCGAGACTATTACCTAATTAGTAGCTGCAGATCCTCAGCATAAGCTCCAACTCAACAGTTCGTAATTATTGCATTTTGCAATGACTCATTCGATATGGTCACCATCTCTCTCTCTGTGTGGCTATTCGAGGCTCGCGGTCCACCATACAAATTTTTTCCATGGACGACTGCGGCGAGCCCGAACTGAGGCAAATTCCACGGTCGAGTGGGTACGGTACCGCCAATTTCTGCACAAATCATTTAATGTTGAGTAATAAATATTAAGAAAGGTATATAATTATATATTTTCTCGCGTCTGTACTCTGGTTTTGTTATTTCCCTTCAGAACAGTGCCATATTGATACATTGGCATATTGATTCTGCGTCGCTCTGTGTGCGGCCTACGAGGTATACGGGATGATGGACTCTGCACACAAAGTCGATCAGAATGAAAAAGTCGTCTTCTCCAGTGATGAGCCCGTCATGAGTCCTCAGCGGGAGGAGCAAAGATTTCCCGACATGAACGACGTCGAAAAACACGGTGCTGGCAGAGAGTCTCTGCCAGTGCCGGATCTGAAGCGGAAGCTCAAGAGTAGACATTTGCAGATGATTGCAATTGGTGTGTTTCCTTGTCTTCTCTCCCCCCTTCTAGCTGTCCAGTAACTCATGATGGCCCTGTATAGGCGGCACTATTGGAACCGGTTTGTTTATTGGTAGTGGAACTGCCATCGCAGAGTCTGGCCCTGCTGGCGCTCTCATCGCATACCTCTTCGTCGGAACAATTGTCTACTCCGTCATGACCTCGCTCGGAGAAATGGCGACCTACATCCCCATCGCCGGTGCCTTCACGTCGTATGCCGCACGATTCGTGGACCCGAGTCTGGGTTTTGCCATGGGCTGGATTTATTGGTTTTCATGGGCCATCACGTACGCCCTCGAGTTAACGGCGTCTGGCCTGATCATCCAATACTGGGACAAATCCATTTCCATCGGTATATTTATCGCCATCTTTTGGGTCTGCATTACTTGCCTCAATATGCTTCCCGTCGGCTTCTACGGAGAACTCGAGTTCTGGCTTTCTTCCATCAAGATCATTACCATTGTTGGATTCATGATTTTTGCCATCTGTATTGATGCCGGTGCAGGACAGCATGGTTATCTGGGATTCCACACTTGGGGAAACCCAGGCGCCTTTGCACCCTATCTGCTCGAATCCACGGGAGCGAAAGCCAAGTTTGTCGGGTTTTGGGCCGTGTTGATTCAAGCTGGATTCTCGTACCAGGGCACTGAATTGGTCGGAATTGCAGTCGGTGAATGTGAGAATCCGCGCAAGACCATGCCTGCGGCTATTCGAAAGACCTTTTATCGCATTTTGCTCTTTTTCGTGCTCACCATCTTCTTCATCGGGCTGTTGGTACCTTATACGAATAAGCAGCTGCTCTCGGGAAATACAGACGCCTCCGCATCGCCCTTTGTCATTGCAGCAAATCTCGCTGGAGTCAAAGTCTTGCCCGGCATCATCAACGGGGTCTTGCTGACCGTGGTTCTCTCTGCTGCCAACTCCAACGTATACAGCGGAAGCCGTATCCTCATCGGTCTGGCGCAGGAAGGCTTCGCGCCCCGGATCCTCAAGAAAACATCGCACAAGGGCGTGCCATACTACGGGGTTGCCGTCACCTCGGCTATCGGCCTGCTGGGTTTCTTGAACCTGTCCAACAACGGCAGCACCGTGTTCAACTGGTTCGTCAACATATCCAGCGTTGCCGGATTCATCAGCTGGTCGTCGCTGAACGGATGTCACATTGCCTTTATGCGTGCGCTGGCAGCGCGCAACATCTCGCGCGACTTGCTCCCCTACAAAGCCATGTGGCAGCCGTACTTTGCTTGGTACGGGCTGTTTTTCAACGTGCTCATTATCCTCACGCAGGGATTCACGGCGTGGATCCCGACGTTTAGCGTGTCCGACTTCTTTATCTCGTATGTTAGTCTGATTCTGTTTGTGGTGCTGTACATTGGGCACAAGGTTTTCTATCGCACGCGGTTTGTGCGGCCGATAGACGCAGACCTGGACACTGGGCGCACTGAGCCGGACAACGGTGTGTACGAGGCGCAGGAGTCGACGTCGTTCTGGCGCAAGGTCTTTTGACGTGGCAAGTCTGTTGTATCGTCTATGTAGGCTGTAGTGAGGTTATCTTATCTTGTACAGTAGTTGTTGGTATGAAACGATATGAACATGAATAAACTTATGAATGCATTATGAAACGGCGCTATTCCGCGTGCGGCAACAGCCGAGGCTGGCGTTCGGCCCCGGACTCGGCGTGGCGCCTGCTTAGGGCCTGAGGCACATGCAACGATCCTGGAGTAAGCACGGGGAAGGTGCCACCTTCTGTTTGTCCGCGGCTATCCCTGGACTTTCCTTTCTTTCTTTCTGCTTTTCTTCTTTTCTCTCTTCTCGCCGTCAGATACGATATATACCCTTTGATACCTGTACTTTATATTCTTATATACACCCGCACAATCCGAGCGTCAAACAGTCATGTTCTTTTCGCAGCCAGTGCACATGACCAGGGCGGAGGAGCTCCGGAAGCCACCTCCCAAGGGCTCTCCGTACTCTGTCGCTATCCCCGGATCAGAGGTGCCAGGTCGGAGTCAGGTCTACCGGCCATGGAACATGCAAAAAGAGCTGCTAGTCTCGCTGGACCCGGCAGTAAGCATTGCCCTCCTCTGTCCGAAGATAAGTGGCTGACTTCAGACGAACGAACTATAGGTCTCCACAGTACACGATATGTTCGAGTCGAGCGGTATGTGGCTTTTCGTTAGCCTTGTTCGCACATCCCACTAATTCATGGCACAGCCAACCGAAACCCCAAACTTCGCTGTCTCGGCACCCGCCCCTACGACTCCAAGACCAAGTCGTTCGGTCCCTACCAGTGGATTGACTACCAGACTGTTCAGAAACGACGAGCTAACCTGGGAGTCGGGCTCGTGGAGCTGCACAAGAAGCACGGCCACGATGGAGAAAAGTACGGCGTCGGACTCTGGTGCCAAAACAGACCGGAATGGCAGATCACAGGTAACCACAAGAAGTCACGACAGAGAGAGAGAGAGAGACGAATTCAAGCTAACCTGAAGCACCAGATCTGGCGTGTGCCTCGCAGTCTTTGTTCTCCGTGTCAATTTATGATGTCCTCGGCCCCGATACAACGGAATATATTATCAACCACGCCGAGCTAAATTGCGTCGTCACGTCTTTGCCGCACATCCCCGCACTCATCAAATTGAAGCCTAAGCTGCCAACACTCAAATTCATCGTTTCCTTAGATCCACTCGACGCTGATGAGCACCCCGGTTTGTCGAAACGGGCGCTTTTGAAGGACATGGCCAACGGCCTTGGTCTGTCAATCTATGGCATCGAGGAAGTGGAGGAACTCGGCGCCTCCCTTAATCGACCCTATAATCCACCTTCGGCCGACGACATTGTGACTATCAACTACACCTCAGGCACCACAGGACCCCCCAAAGGTGTGGTTTTGACTCATAAGAATGCCGTGTCATCCGTTTCTTCCAGTATGGTTATTACTACAAATAAGCCCGGCGATATTAGCATATCGTATCTCCCACTAGCTCATATTTACGAGCGTATGATCGAACAGGCGTGTCTCTGGACTGGCGGTGGCATTGGTTACTACCACGGTGAGATTTTGGAATTGGTAGATGATTTGAAGATATTGCGCCCAAATGCTTTCGTATCGGTACCTCGGCTTTATACGCGCTTCGCTGGTGCAGTTCGCAATGCTACCGTGGATGCTCCAGGCTTCAAAGGAAAGTTGTCGCGACATGTCGTGGATGCCAAGTTGGCAAACCTGGCCAATCCAGACACGACCAACGCAACAGAAAAGCATGCTCTGTATGACCGAATCTGGACTCGGAAAGTCGCCAGTGCCTTGGGATTGGACCGTGTCAAGAATATGGCATCTGGTTCAGCGCCGTTAGACCCGACTATTCACAATTTTATGCGCGTTGCAACGGGGTCCAATTTTGTGCAGGGGTATGGTCTGACGGAATCATACGCCTTGACCCTCGTGCAAAACATCGATGACCGCTCTGTAAGTAACTGCGGTGGTCTCATTGTGGCTGACGAGGCCTGTCTGGCATCACTTCCAGATATGGAGTACTCTGTTGATGACAAGCCATTCCCTCGTGGAGAGTTGCTAATCCGTGGCAACACCATTTTCCGTGAGTATTTTAAGAATCCAGAAGAAACAGCTGCTGCTTTTACCGAAGATGGCTGGTTCCGCACTGGCGATGTGTGCACCATTGATGAGCTCGGCCGATTCAGGATCATTGACCGACGAAAGAATGTCCTGAAGTTGGCCCAGGGTGAATACATCTCTCCAGAGCGTTTGGAAGGCATCTTCTTGGCAGAGCACACATATTTGGCTCAAGCCTATGTACACGGAGACAGCATGCAGACTTCTTTGGTTGGAATTTTTGGAGTTCAGCCGGACACCTTTGCAGCGTTCGCCAGCAGGGTTTTGCAGCAAGAAATAAACCCTACGGACTTGAAGCAAATCGAGTCCGTCCTGCATGATGACAGACTCCGTAAGGCAGTGCTGAAAGACTTTGAACGGACTGCAAAGAAGCACAAGTTTGCTGGGTATGAAAGAGTACGAAACATTTCTCTGATGATGGAGCCGTTTTCCATTGATAATGACCTTTTGACCCCGACGTGAGTGCCTGTTTTTCTTTCCTTGAAATGAATCATGAGACTGACTTTTTTTTTTCTTTATCAGATTAAAAATGAAGCGTCCTCCGATTGTGAAGAAATTCCGCACCTTGCTTGATAATCTGTATGCCCAACTGGCCGAAGAGCAAGCAGCTCCGAAGGCGAAGCTTTAATTTTGCCAGCTGTCATTTCATAATTTATATATTGCACAAAGTAAAAATAATGTACACGAATTCAAATCTAGGATATCCTCCTTTTCTAGTTTCAGCTGAATTATAACCAGGTATAACAACAAATCATAAGTCAGGCACGAAATGCTGGTTGGCTGAGTGAGGTCAGCTGAGCTTCTGAAAGCGGGCAAGCTTGGCGCTACCTTTAATGAACTTGACCTCAACTTCGGAGTACGCATAAACCGTTCAATCACCCGTGCTGGGAAACAGTCAAAATGAAGACCCTCACCATCGCAGCGCTACTATCGTCCTTCAGCATCCTGCAAACCGCTGCATCCTCCTCTCTCACCGTTCAAATTCCACCCAACAACATCCTCCCCAATCCGCATGTGCTGCCCCCAAACACGCACGCAACACTGACCACACTGCCCCAATCCCAATCCCAACAGCAGCAGCAGCAGCAGCACATAATATCAGCACCTCTAACCCACACCGCCGAATTCCATTTCTCCGACCTGCCATCTTCGGAAAACTCAGAGTCCTACCTCCTCGACATCCGAAGCAAGGAATACATCTTCGCGCCCTACAGAGTCGACATCGCCGCCGATGGCAGCGTGCTAGGCATATGGGAGACATTCCGCGGGAACCAGTGGGAGAATCGTGGCATGGAGCGGTACACCAAGTTGAAAGGGCAGGAACATCATGATGTGACTGTGCAAGCGCATGTTGTGGCGCGAAGGGGGTTTTATGAGATTAGGCCCAAGTGTGAGTTTGCTGCTGCCCCCGCCCCCCCCATTTTGCTCTGGATAAAAATTAAAGTAGCATTGGAATTGATCGTTGTCATTGTACAGTCTCCCCTCTCGATCTATTCAAGAACCCCATGATCCTGCTCTCCGTCTTTGCTCTGGTGGCTACATTGGGTATTCCGAAACTTCTCGAGAACAGTATGTCTCCCTCTCTTCCTTCAGTTCCCATACCCCTTATTTCCATAGTTATAGATCTGTACTAATGTTTAATGCCAAAGTGGACCCTGAAATGCGCGAAGAATTCGAAAAACAGTCCCGCTCCAGCCCGCTTTCGTCCGCTCGTCAAGCTGCCGTTGCAGGCGGTGCGCCTGGTGGTGGAGGCGCGCCTGGGTTTGACCTTGCTGGGTGGATGGCTGGCACGGCGCCTTCGCCTCTAGGTCCTGGGTCGACAGGTGCTGCTGCTGCTGCTGCTAGTGGTCGAGAGTCGGGTGCTGGGGCGAGGAGACGGTAGATTTTCTACCTTTGTATGTATAAGAGGATCCGTGATATAATTAATATTGAAGGCAGATTTGTTAATTGTATACAAGAACACTCGCAGGGTTAATTCACGTATAGATTTAAAGAAGAATCAACTGTCTTAATTCTGCTATAATATGCATCGTCATCATTTCATGCATCATACGTTCTCGTCGCTCGCATTAAACAAAACTAGCAAATCGATGCAAAGGAAAACAAAACGAGTAAGGTATTGGTCGTAGACATGAAAAGCATGTAAATAGAAGAGAAAGAGAGAGAGAGACTTCTTTACCAACCACCACCGTCAAATTCACCCTGATCAAATCCCTGGTCATAGCCCTGATCGTAACCTTGCTCCATACCCTGGTCATAAATATTCTGATCATGATCTTCCACCAAATCTGTAATCACAGCACCAGCAAGCAGACCACCACCAATACCCAAAGCGGCTTTTCCGAATGTGCCCATACCATGCTTCCTCTGTTGTTCAGGTGGCGGTGCTTGTTGTTGTTGCTGTGGCGGATAATAACCCTGGTTTGGTGGTGGATAGCCATATTGCTGTGGGTATCCATATTGTTGTTGTTGTTGTTGTTGTGGCGGTGGGTAGCCATATGGTTGTTGCTGTGGAGGATAGCCCTGAGGCGGGTATGGAGCTCCGGATGGCTCAGGAGGAGCCGGTCTATTGCCGAATATGCCTCGAGAAGAACCACTTGACGAAGGCCGAGGCGGAAGTGCAGGCGTGTTCAGGTTTGACGGTCCGCGACTGCGAGCGCGAGCATCTTCTTCGGCTTGTAGTTGCGCAGCTAGTCTTGCGTCGTCGGAAGTGTTCGGCTGGTTTCCACCGGGGCCACCGCCGCCATAGGGATTGTTGGATCCAAAGGGTGGTGGTGTTCTCTTATTGTCGTGAGCTGCCATTGATGGTCCTGCTTCATAGGCTGGTGGGGGACCATCGCCTGGCGGGGGAGCATGAGGGAGTCCCTCTGGAGGCGTCCATTGGGAAACACCGGTGCTCAGATCTACGTAGAACCTATTAATTTCAGTCAGTCAGCGATGCTGCATTATGGGCGATTCTGCTGTCTGCCTGTTTTAGACGGAGTTGGTCCTACCATTGCTTATACCGGTCGTCAAATTGGGCCTTCCAGCCTGGCGGCACAGGCGGAGGCGGCGGGCCTGAAGGAGGGGCAAACGAAGACATGTTTGAGTTCTGCGGGTGCGATAGGGGGATGGATGGGAAGTTGCACTCAAGCAGTCAGTTGTGGGAAGTGGAAGAAGGGAACAGTGGAAAGGAATATGGGAAGAGGACAGGCAGATGTTTTATATAAATAAGCATTGATGGTCAGGGACTGTGGCGATGACGGGATGCTCGGCACAGCCACGACACCCGCACGTGCATAACTCCCGATTGGGCATTCATTAATTCATCAATTATCATCAACCACAAATCACGTAGTTATTTTATTTCTTACTAACTTACCATCATAAGTTAGATATTTGATATGATCTTGACATGCTAGACCAATACATAGACACTGCGCTATTCTGATTCCCGAATATTCGGGTCAACATTGCAACTCTCTGGAAACCAATAATCCTCTGAGCCCTCCGAGTCATCCTCATACCCATCCTCGTCCATTGGCACAAGCCTTTGAACATTCTCTATGTCAGGTTCGCTCGTGAGATCAATCCACACAGGCGGCTTGCATTCTTCATCGTCACTGCATAGATCGATGACATCCACGTGCCGGTGCTTCTTCTCGGACTCACGTTCCACGTGGTGTTTCCGTTTTAGAATGCTGGGGTCCCTGTTGCGAATTTCTGCCACTTTTCGTTGTCTATCAACGGTGAACTGAGATGCCATAGTGGCTGTGTCATGTGATTTCTGGTTTGGTTGGTCCAGCTGGAGAGCTTGTATTTCCTTCAAGAGAGGCGTAACTGCGAGTTTGCCATCTGGTGTACCCTCTGGTCGAGCCCAAGCAGCATACGGCCCTTGGTATGCTGGGCCCTGCCCAATTCCATACTTTGGATGCTGCACAAGTTGACCCGTTTTTAGCAGCATCTGTCCTATTTCTCTTCCAGAGTCAGACGGTGCGCTTGACATTTCTAAGTTGCCATCGCCGTGGTCGTAATGAAGTTCTTGCACAGAGGTGTCCGAATCTGTGTCTGGCTGCAAAATATGGATTCCACCGGCCGCATCCCCAATTAACAGCGTCGACTTATCGGGTGAGAAAGCTCCCGACATGACTTCATCTTCCAGAGTAACAATATCTCGGACGTGGGCATCGTCAGGCGACAAAAGTATATTCCAAGCCCTGAGGACTCCATCAGAACCGCCGGTAATAAAGTTTTCGATGCTATCCCCCCATAGAGCAACACGTACGCCGACATCCGCTTGTTCTCTTGTAAGCTGTTCATCTAATTGATTCAAAGCATTCCCGTGGGGTAGTTCATGTAGAATGCGAGATGGATTCCGAAAGTCCCACACATAAGTAACCCCATCTGTACAGCTAGCCGAAATATAAAATCGGCCCATAGGACAAAATGACACATCGTTCATGTCAAGCGCTGGGCAATCAAACTCTATCGCACATCTTCTTTTATCCAACGGTTCATATATCCGCACCAATGACCGAACATCTTTGCCCGTTCCATTTGAGCCCATCGAAGGAACTGAAGTGCCAGTGGCCACCCAAGACAACGTAGGATGAAATTTTACATCAAACGTATTCTGAGCATTCGGCTGTAATTGAAACGGTTCCACCGAGCTTTCGGTCAATCTCCACATAGCCAGTAAGCCTTCTCTGCATGCGTCACTTTCATGATATCCTTTACCAGCGAAGCCAGCGACAAGTAAATTCTGTGTAATAGGGGATGGGCCCCATGCTAATGAGGCGGGCAATAGATCGATATCCCTGATCATGCGTGGATTTTTTATGGAACGCTGCTTGAGAAAATCCAATGACAGGCACGATTCATGAGAGTCGTTAAAATGCCACAGGTGCAATGTAGAGTCTGTGCCTGTAGCCAATATATTGGGATTCGCATGCGATCTCGCCATGACCTGGACCTTTGAGTCATGTCGAAGCGTACGCACACAATTCGCATCCGTGTATGAGGAAACATCCCAAATCTTGACTGTCTTGTCGTAGCTGGATGTATAAAGAGTGTCGTCAAACCACTGCACAGCGCTAACACTCATGTACAAATGAGTATTATTCGGGTTCGCCACAGGGTACGGAATGCGATGGTCTGGCAGCTCTTTGATAGAATTATGCATCAAGTCACCCAATATAAGATTATTCGAGCGATTATACTGCATGTTATGTTCATCACACTGCGCTGCTGCACCGACTGCAAAGTTCGACCCATCAGGAGACCAAGCGAGATTTATCACGTCATTAGAAGCACCTTTCCAAGTAAGACTTCTCTGTAAGCTATAATCTTTATGTGGACGCGGTGTAAAACATTCAAGTGCTGAATTTTGACCTCTACCACCCTGCATAGACACACGTTCTTGGGTTGCGCTGACATAAAAAGGTCTCGTTGGAAGGTTTCCTAGTCTTGCATCCTTGATAAACCCACGTATATCCGCTTTTCGGCGCCTACGAAGCACGGCTGCCGTTGTGACATAGTTGGACTGGTTGAAATCTGTGCTGTTTTTCCCAGAAAATATTCCGTCCAATAGGTTATCTATTCGAGAATTGGCCGGCTGGTGATTTTGATGATACGCAGCCAAATTATCAAAGCCATATCTTGTAAGAAGTTTCTGCAGATGCGCCATTTTAGAAATGCGCTTAGCGAGCTGTCTTTCTCGACCTTTGTGAATTCGCTGGATAATGTGGCTGACTTGGTCTACTGGGCACATATCAAACAAATATGAGTCCACGCCATAAGGAGAGAGTAGTGTAACCATAGCCGCGATTTCGTCATCACTAAAAGAGACATGAAGTATGGGCGTCTGAAGATCATTCCTGAATCGCTGCGCGTAGCTTGATGGCCCACTTTCTGACGAGTATGGGACTTTATCTGGAAGATTGGGCACATCATCCAATTGGGCAAATGGATGTCTCAAGATGCATATACCGCATGAGTCGTATATGACGCGAGACTCTCGCCTTTTCACTTTTGACTTTGGTGGGGGTGGAGCTGGTAGTAGACGTGGAGACGGGGCACGCTGTTGATCAACTTGTGTCCTTTCATCCTCACCATCCGAGCTAGAGACGTAACCAGAATAATGGGAATTCGAGTAGTAATTCCTGATCTGAGCTTTTGATCTTCTCGAACGAGAGCCAGTAGCATTGTTTGGTTGCGATGAAGCCATGGAGGTTGAAGATGGTAGTCTGGCGACAGATGAGCGAGAGGCGCTGCTATTCTCATGTCTTGTGGAGTGAGGATTCTGAAGCGCGTCGACTGACCCGTCGAGAGTGTGTAAGGAGGACGTGTGGCGCGAACGGCGCATGCCCAGTGAAATATGGACTGGAGGGAGGCCGTCTGACTCTGCTAGGTTTAGGATCGGGGCTACCTTTTTCGGTCTGCCTCTCCGTTTTGGAAGATGGGCTTCATGGTTCTTTGTATTTGAGGCGTTGCTGTGCGCAGTGCTGGGACGGTAGGCCTGGAATCTTGAGAGCAGATGCTGCCCATCCGAAGATTCATCCGAGCTGCCCATATGTTATTCAATCTCACGATTGTCTTTGGGCGCAAACGGAGCGTAGGTCTTGTTTTGTCGTAGTTCTGGACTGACCGACTTGACTGGTGAATTCGTATTTGCGTTTGCTATTTCAGTTAGCCAGCGGTGGGTATGTAACATATATGATAGACAGTCAGCAGAGGTTTTCTGACATGTCCCCAGCGTCTTGTTTCATGTTGCAACAAGGGGTCCATAGAGACTGAGTGGGAGCGAGGCTGAGGCGAGTTGGAGCCGAAACATGAGGAGATCGCGACGCGGCAGTCGGGGCGGGCACGTGCACCCGCGTTCGTTTTGTCCATTTTGGGCCAGATCGATTTCCTAAATGAACGACATCAAACGACGCAGAAAACGGTGCTTGTTCAAGGTTAACTACAACACGCAAAACATGTTTGTTGAGCTCGATTCTGGATGTATAATTATTTGCCCCATATGATAAGATTTGCAGGCTTTTGACCCATCCATAACCCAGCCCGCCAATACCTCCTAACCTGCCAGTCTGACGAGACTCCGGAGTCGAAAGAATAATTACAAACCAGCTAACTATGTCTAATCATACATTGCCCGTATTCACTCTGATATGTTCCTCTTGTCAATGCACTTGTGCAAATGCTGTTTCCAGTTAAAACATGATGTGGACACAAGGCCTTGGGGAGCGCGCTCTTTACCTCTTATGAGAGGAGATTCCATTTAGAGCGTCACCGCCATCCAGATGATTGCCAAATACAACATTGACGCACGGTGCAGAGCTGCGTGTTATTTTGCTTTTGCTTGCCTTTTTACTTGCGAATCGCGGCGCGTCTTCGAGCAGTTACCATGGTGTCATACAAGACATCTTTGAAAGCGAAGAGGAATGCAGCCGTGATGGCGCTCTGGGTCACTTTTGGTGCAATACCTGAATGATGTCAGACAGAATCAAGAATATCGTCATAATCAATAAAATCTCACGTACCTTTATAAAGACCTGTATATCCCTCTTCCTTGATAATCTTCTTCAGGCTGCCATTAAGAGTTTGACGCGGGTCATCCTTGCTAGCCACATGCATGCGACTCTTCACAGTGATATAAGGGTAAGTGATGCTAGTGGCTAGGATCTTGCCTATTGCGCCGAGATAGAATGCATCAGTTGGCGTGACTCGCCGGCGTCGTTCCAAGGCATTCTTCAACTGTTCAAAGATAGTGTACTGGAGAATTGGATTTATGACCAAGACCAGTGCTGGCAACACACCCGCAAACAGGGCACTGGGTCCTTCGTGTCTAAGCAGGTCCATAAGAGTTTGAATGGTGGATCGAGATTTCTTTGCCCCACTGCCCGGTAACCCTTGCTCGTTCTCTTCGGACCGACGAGCTGTCATCCTGGTGTTGACAACCCATATGGGGTTTGTGAGGAGCACTGTGGCGCTGCCAGCAATGGCACCCGCAATAATCGATTCAACAGTGGTGAGCTTCTTCGAGGCACGGCCGGCCTTCTCTGCGGCTTTCTCAAAGGCTGCCCTGGTCCATTCGTACCAGTAATAGTAAACAAAGTTGGTCATGCTAATTCCGAACAAAGCCGAGTTCAACCCAGAGTATAGCCCGCTGATTCCTTCTCGTTGGATAATGTGGCGCACAGCATCGAGGGTTGACGATTGGGCGCGTTTCGACTCAACCTGCGCTCGGGTCGACAAGGTAATAAGGGGATAGCTAGCAGCGCCGCCAGTCAGTATGGCTTGTATACCTTTCTCTAGCGATGATGGGTAATTCATACGTTAGAACCATCGAAAGGATGCCTCCTCCTGCTCCCGCCAGGGCGTGCGCAATGTTGTCAGATTGCTGCACAGCAGCAGATGCTGCCGCCGCTTTTTTTTGCTGCTCTACCGGTACTTGAGACATTGTATACTGCGAGGAGAAATAGGATGCTAAGGGAGAAAGGGAAAGTCAGAGGATGCGTTACAGGTTTTCATAGGGACTGGAGCGCTCACAGGTGAGATTTTAATAGAAGGCGGGCGATGTCGGAGCGATCTTAGATTAAAGTTCAAAGAGAGCTACCAAGGCGGGACCCGTGGTGAGAGATACCAGATGCACACAACAGTATAATATAGATATGAAATGCTCCCTGGTCTCCTTGCGGTATGAAAGTATGACCCGAGGAAGCGGACAGAGACGGGGCGGTTAGAGTATGACGTTGCTCACTCTGCCTCGGTTAGACTGGAAGTACCCGCAAGGCTGGTCCATCCAGCACTCTCTGCTGGCCAAACATGTGATCTATAGGGCCATTTATACGCCGTTCAACATGCATAACTTACACGAGGGTCAAGCATGAAAGCCTAATAAGTTTTACCACGTCCTACATAGGTATAGGCCGGCCAGATCTAGCCGAGAATTCGATTGCATGCGGCTATAGCTAGTCTGATATCCATGGATGGGCTGGCTATATGTAATGGAGATAGTTTATACTCTTTGTGTATTTCAGTCTTCTTGCAAATCATTATTTCTTATTGGAAGAGAAGCAGCAATGTCAACCTGCACAACACTTTCACATTACAAATGTCACAACTTAAAAGGAATAAGGGTGTAAAAGCAACTCGATACTAAACAAATAGACCTGAAGACGAGAGACATGAGACATGGGCGACTGACTAAAACAAAAGGGACAGACAAACGATCGATGAAGGGCGTCGAGATATAATCATCCCGTTTGCAAGCTTAGCGGGTAACAAAACACATGGCCACGACCTTGTCGGATAGATGAGAGGTGGCGACGAATCAAATGAAAAAAAAAAGATATTCCAATTTTGCTACCATCATCGGGAAGGGACGGACTGATTGAATCTATACTCTGTTCCCGGCAGTCAAAACAGAAAAATATTAATTCCCATTCTCGTCAGGGCGAACGAACATTCATAAACTCACTCCATCTGCTAAATTAATCCGTAGAGGCATAACAGTCCCGAAAGAATAGCGACAATTCCAATTAACAGCAACCGCCAGCGGAGCCAGATTGGACGCCTTGGCCCTGGCCAACCTGCACCGTAGGCTTGTTGTTAACCGTGGCAGTACCCATTCGTTCCTTAATTTGTCGGGCCATAGTCAAGAACGCTTGTTCGACATTGGACGCGCTCTTAGCAGATGTTTCCAGGAAGGGAATTCCGAGACTGTCCGCGAATTCCTGTGATCAAGCAAACGTTGGTTAGTAAATGTGTCTGCCTACATGAGGAATGGGCGGTGGACAACAAACCTTGGCCACGGTGTACTCAACAACTTTCTTGTCCTCCATATCGCTCTTGTTGCCGACCAAGAGCTTGTTGACGCCCTCGGTGGCATAGCGATCGATTTCCTGCAACCACTGCTTGACGTTGTTGAAAGAGTCCATGTCGGTCACGTCATAGACAACGCAGATACCATGTGCTCCGCGGTAGTAAGACGATGTGATTGTTCGGAAACGTTCCTGACCGGCAGTATCCCACTATTGCATCTTCTCATCAGTGATCTGTCTGCCTATGTAGATGTTCTGGGAAATATTGACAAAACGTACGATTTGAAGCTTCACGGTCTTTCCATCTAATTCAATAGTGCGAATTTTCTAGAACAGCCCATCAGTTAGCTTCCTTGTTCTCATCAGTCGTAACAGAGAATATAATCGCATGATAGAAAGAACATACGAAGTCGACACCGATCGTGGAGATGTAGCTTTCTGTGTATGTATCATCGGCGAAACGAAGCAACAGGCAGGACTTTCCAACACCTGAGTCTCCGATAAGGAGAAGCTTGAAGAGGTAGTCGTATCTGGGTTGAGAACATTAGACATGATCGCTGGGGGATGGACAGAAGCAAAATCATCAAAGCGCGACCGCCTGGTGAAGAAGCGGCGAGTAGTACTCTAAGAACAATATCATAGTTGCTGTTAGCAGCGAGACGAAAACAGGGGCACATGAAAAATGCCCGCAGATTTTGCAGGAAAGCATAACTTACCACTCTGGATTCATGATGGGCGAGAAGATTCGCGGTGTGTAATGGAAGACGTGGATGGAGGTCGTGAAAGAAAAGGAGGCGGACGATGACTTTATCGAAGGAAACGCGGGAGAGCGGCCAGGTAGACGCCGTTAACAAGGTCAAGGACAGTGCAGAGGGTCTGATGGATGGCTTGGAAGGTAGCTATCACAGGATCGCAGGCGGAGGATACAAGCAGGTAAGCAGCGTCGTCGTTCACTCGGGCTGTTGTTGAGTTGGCCGTTGGAAGTTGTTCAGGTGTGGCAGCCCAAACGGGTTTGGTGTGGCCACCTGCAGGACCCAGCCGACCACAGCTGTGTGTCCCACTTGTCCCGTGCTAACTAACTATTTATCTCTACTTCGAAGTTGGAACTTGCGATATGCAAAAAGATCAAAATGAATAGACTGTTCTTCCAGACCATGCTGCCAGGAGCTATTAGCCACAGCGCAAAAGGCAACAAAAGCAACTGGCTGGCCAAATACAGTGGTTACACGAGATACAAGCTCACTGCCTGAGGCCGTCATGGTCACATGACGTCTTCACCAGCTCGTGTAGAGACACAGCTAAGTCAAGCACGAGGAGATGCTATCCATCTGAAGCGCGCTGAAGTCCCACCTCTTGGTTATCGTCAACGAATTTTAGTTAGTGTTTAGAATATTTGTTGATACACGGCCTTGTCTTGAGTCGCTCAGCCTTGGATGCCTGCCAATCTACGAAGATAGAGGCGAGCCTATAAGAACGGTGGTGCGTGTGGTTTACACAAAAACTACACGAGAAGTAAGGATGTATCGGCAAATACGAAAATAAAAAGTTGACAAAAAAAAAAGAATTGACTCGTCACGGGATCGAACCGCGGACCTTTTCGGATTACAGATGATGTAAACGAAACGTCTTGACCAACTAGACCAACAAGCCTGGTGTTAGAGGACCAACTTATTTAACCCTCTCGTGATTTGCCACTCTGTAGAGAGTAAACGACGTCTATATACCGGCCCACATAATACAAACTAGCCCTACACTTTCTACTCTGTAGATTTACGATATTCTACGTGTCATACAATTCTCTCTCTCGCTCTTTTTTTTTTTTCCTTTTTCATAGCGTATATTGAACTTTGCGCTCTCGAGTCCGTCAAAATGGCCCCTCGTAAATCTAAGATCGAGCACCTAGGTATTAGTAGCCATGTGCCTGGAGCCATTCCAACAACAGCTGTTCTTCTCTGTCCTTGTAACGAGCATTGGTGCGAATGCTGTCGGCAACAATCACCAAAGCTCGGTCATAGGCGCCCGTGTCCTTGTCTTGGAAAAAGCTCTTGATGTCCTCGGCGACGCCAATGTCGGAGAACTTGGCCAATCCAAGTCGCACGAAGCGCTCGAACACCACGTTGTTGGACGATAGCCGTGTCGAGACTGCGGCCCAGTTAGATTTCATGTATTGCCAAAGCAGATGCCGGGCTTTGGAATTGGCGGCCAAGGATGCCGCTCCGGTGTGCACATCCTGCACAGCAACATGGTCCGAGAAGACAAGGTCCAGATACTCTTGTACCAGCTCGGGATTCTTCGTTCGGCCCAAAGAGCTGAGGCAAATCTCCTTGCCATCCACAGAATCGGTCTTCAGATATTCCTCCTTCACCCGGTCAAACTCCACCCGGTCACCTTCTGAGATATTGAGGCCGAAAATGGTGGATCGCAGATTTGAATGGATAGCACTTGGGTCTTGACCAGAAGCCCAAAGTTGGAAGCGGCGTTTTGCTTCGGCAATAATTCTAAACAAGTCTTAGCTCGGTGATGTACCTTTTTTGTAGCGGTGGTCATCTTACCCTTCATGACCTGCATTTCCTGCCATCGCAATGAGCAGTTTGCGAAGTTGTCCCGTCAGGTAGTCTTCCCCAGGAGGGAATTCCCATCCGATTGTTTCCACAGCGGGTGTGACTAGTTTCAGCTTGAAGCTTTTCAAGGCTGTCGCTACAGTCTCATTTCCCGCGAATACGGTTTGTAGATTGGCAAGCGATGTCGAAATTTGAGACCACACCCTGAAGAACGATAAGGATGATGTTGAAACAAATTAATCGCGGAAAACTCACAGGTAGTTGGTTTCTTGAGCAAATCCTTCAATCAGAGCAAGCAATGCAGGCGTGGTTCCTTCACCTGAAACAGCAAGAGCGGCAGCATCTCCAACAAGACCGATCTTGTCCTCAGTGCTAAGCAAGTGCAGGTTCTGTCCAAGTTTTGCAAGACGCTCTGATGGGTAGTTCGTTCGATAGAAGCCAGTTTGGTCCCTGTTTAGTTTATAAAATGTTTCGTTGATGTCTCGAATAGTGTCTGACTTGGAGGTGAGTGCTTGCAGCTTGATGTCGGCTGACTCGGAACCAGTCTTGATGCCGAGTGGAATCCACCAAATCGTCTCGTCCTCTTCTGGTTTAACATCTCCAGACGAAAGGAATCTGGTTTGGCGCACAGAAATCTGACTGGGTTCTTCAGCTACGGTAACTACGGGGTATCCAATCTTGCGAATCCACGGATCCTGTATTCTGTCAGCAAAAGAAACTAACTAGAATGCCTTTAAGCATACCATGAAAGAATTGACATCCTGACCAGATGCCTTACTAAGCGCAGACCAAAGATCGTTGGTCGTGGCGTTGCCTGCGAAACCGCATCAGTCATTGGGTTACAATCGCAAGGGAAAAAGGGAGCTACCATAGGCATGGGCTTTCAGGTAATCTGATACACCCTTAATAAAGGTATCTTGGCCAAGATGACTGCTGAGCATCCGGATGACAGAGCTGCCTTTCAAGTAGCTGATATGGTCGAAAATCTGGTCCACCTCAAGGGCATTCTTAACGGGGACCTCAATAGGATGCGAGGCCCGTAATGAATCAAGTTGAGAAGCTTGTCGGAAACTTTCAGCCTGGATATTTTATTAACATTACTTCTCTTCCAAATACCTCTTGCATTGCGTACCACAAACTGAGACCAGACGTTCCACTCTGTATGAAAGATTAGCGCCAAAGATCCTTGCAAGATTATAGAGACGTGCATGCGGTATTACCTGGATAGAAGTGGTCAACTGCCAGCCAGCCGACCCATGTCGCGAATCCTTCGTTGAGCCAGAGCTCACTCCACCAATCCATTGTCACCAAGTTGCCGAACCATTGATGTGCCAGTTCTAGAGAGCTTAGGTATGGTTCTAAGAGTGTATATAGTGGGAGAAAAGATACATACCATGAGCAACCACGTAAGCAATTCTGTTTTTGTATCGCGCATCGGATTTACCTTCATCGAACAAAACGGCAGTGGTACGATATGTTACCAATCCCCAGTTCTCCATAGCTCCACTTGCCTTTATCATATATGTTAGGGGGTGCATCATGCAAATTAGAGATACAAGCTTACAAATTTGTGAACGCAGAGAAGATCAGACTTTGGAAGAGGATAATCGATTCCGAAGAGTTCTGAGAAATAGTCGATAGTCTTGTGAGCGCACCCCAAGGCATAGTAGGCCTGGTCTTTGAGGCCCCTTGTGGTATACACGCGAACAGGAATGCTGGCCCCGTTATACTTGCGCTCTGTCTGTGCCTCGACATATTCAAAATCTCCGACTGCCCAAGCCAAGAGCTACACATGATCCAAGTTAGTGAAAATAACCTAGTTTACAACGCAAAAACGAAGACTCACGTAAGTGCTCATGACCGGCGTCCGTTCAAAAGACACAATTTTTAGTCCCTCCTTACTTCCATCACGCTCCGACTTGACCGGCATGTTGCCTAGGGCTACTAAATCCTTAGGAATTTCGATTTCGAAGTCGAACGTGGCCTTCAAATTAGGTTCGTCAAAGCACGGGAAAGCTCTCCGGGCATCACAGGCCTCGAATTGGGTGCTCAACATGTAATGGAACTCGTCGGCCTTGGGGGTAGAAGAAGCTGGCGTTACAGTAGCCTTGTACTTTGCGCGGGAGAAGCCTGCCATGGCTTCGTTGATGGTTGCCGTAAATTCAATGTTTAGCAAAACGTCTCCAGGAGCGATTTCCTTCTCGAAAGACAATGTCGCCCTTTCTGATACCTTATCGTACGAAATATCGACGGCTTTGATCGAAGTCGAAGCTGTCAGACGAAGACCCGAAATCAGTTAGGGTCCTTATATATCATGTAGAGCTAGAATTGACTCCTACCAGCTTGTATTTCCGCCTTCACAACGCTGATCTCCTTCACATTCAGTACAATCTCTTTGGTGGGCTTTGATACGCTGGCGTCGATCTTGACCGTGCCATTGTAGCCCCAAGAGCCACCGAGCTCCAAGTTGGCCAGAAAAATGGCATAATGGCTCGGCTTTACTCTGCAGGCAGCTATCAGCGTGGGCGAAAGAAAGGTACGCTTGAGAGGCGTGCGGGTTTCGATGAGGTCATATCATACACATTGGGCAGCGTATCACGGTCTGCGTGAGCCATTGTGAGCGCTTCAAAGGAACAGTATCTCTTAGCAGTTGTTCCAATTCCAATTCCTAACCGTCGAGGCGGAAATACCGGAGAAAAAGCTGTATTGTGCGCAGTGGAGGAGTAGTGAGCAGCTAATGAGGGGGGCGTCGCATAGAAGCGGCCGACAATTGCGAGTGGGACATTTCTATGGGTCGTGGTTACGTTTACCGTCGGCCTTGCAGACACGGCTTTCCTGACAGCTCCCTTGCAACATTTCCAGGCCGTAGTCTCCAACATCTGCGTCTGCGTTGCGTCGCGTCGCGTCGCTGTTTTTGTGGCGAGCGTGGTTGGATTGGACGAGAGCGATCAATAGTCAAGTTTGCGTCCAAGCTTCCTCCAACGGGTTTGAAGCTCCGTGTATTAGTTTTCTCACACCTTCCGCAACGCCACCTCCCACGAACCCTCCACGAAGACAACATGGCCGATTCCGACGAAGAGTATGTAGGCTCTGAAGAAGATGATGACATTGATGCGCACATCGTATCGGGAGGAGCTGGAACGCGGGCTCGTCGGAAGAAGCAGCGCGGAGGCGCCGCGTGGGAGGTCTCCAGGACCTGGGAATCCGTGGTCGAAAGTGCAGATGGCACTATCAGCTCGACTGTTGAGGGGCTGCTAGAAGCTGGGAAAAGGAAAAGGTGAGTTGCATCCTAGTTAGTCTGTCGTCTACAGTTCGTCTAACAACCATGTGTCTGGATGGCAAATACTAGGCTGCTCCGGGACACCACGCCTTTACAGCGAGGAATCATCCGTCATCTCATTCTAGTCCTTGATCTTTCGCAATCCATGTCGGAGAAGGACATCCGGCCAACACGCTATCTACTAGCTTTACGATACGCCCAGGAGTTCGTCATTGAGTTTTTCGAACAAAATCCTATATCCCAGTTAGGAGTCGTTGGCATGCGGGATGGGTTGGCAGTCCGAATCAGCGACATGAGTGGCAATCCGACAGATCACATCACTGCAATCCATGCCTTGAGGTCAGACGATCCGAAGGGGCTTCCAAGTCTACAGAACGCGCTGGAAATGGCCCGGGGTGCTCTTTTGTAAGTTCTCCGGTAAAAAAAGCCTTGTCAGTCGACTTTTGCAGCTTACATCCACATTCATAGTCACACGCCTAGTCATGGCACTCGAGAAGTGCTCGTAATTTTTGGGTCCCTCCTCTCTTCTGACCCCGGAGATATCCACCAGACTTTGAAGTCCCTTGTTGCGGACAAGATCCGCGTGGGCATCGTTGGGTTGGCTGCACAAGTCGCAATCTGTCGCGAGCTTTGTGCCAAGACAAACGGGGGCGATGACACTGTATATGGCGTAGCTCTTAATGAGCAGCACTTCCGAGAACTGATGATGGAAGTGACAATTCCCCCAGCATCATATTCCTACCGGAAGGCTAGCAGCGCTCTTTTGATGATGGGGTTTCCGTCGCGAACAGTGGAGTCATTTCCGTCTTTGTGCGCATGCCACTCGAAGCCATCCTGTGGAGGGTATCTGTGCTCGCGGTGTGGGAATAAAGTCTGCGGCCTTCCAGCAGAATGTCCATCCTGCGGCCTCACGTTAATTCTCTCCACTCATTTAGCGCGCTCCTACCACCACCTGTTCCCTTTGATCAACTGGGTTGAAGTCCCCTGGAAGCGGGCATTGCGCAGTTCCCATTGCTTTTCCTGCGGCATTGCATTCCCCTCGGTGCCTCCAGAGGACCAGTGGAACGTCTCGGAAAATCAGACGAAGGGAGTGAGTGTTAGCAGTCGCTACGAGTGCTCTGCTTGCCAAAATCATTTCTGCATAGACTGCGATCTCTTTGCACACGAGGTGGTTCATAATTGCCCTGGGTGTCAAAGCAGCAATTTAACGAGGCCTCATCACACCGGAAATGTGTCATCGCCGACAGTAAGGATGGAGGGGACATAGAAAGTCGGTCATAAGAGGAAGGAAGACATTTCATTGATTACGGCCTTCGCCAACATACGATTTTACCATTGGCATGGACTCACAGCAGATGTTCAATTTTTCCATATAATTTGGTTCTGGAATGAGTTGCAACTCGGCAGTATCAAACGAGGATTTTCGAAGCGGATTTCCAAATATCATCACGATGCATCATTCACCTTGGGTCTGCAAGCTTTTGACCATTCCGCTTTTACAACCCCTGGACTATGGACTGCAAGGTAGCAGATCCCTTGATCCGATTTCGATAACATGAAGACAATCAAGGTCTGATACATCAACCTTTTTGTATGCCCCAGGTTACGAAACCAAGCCAATGCCCTTAACGGCAAGATATTTAGATATGTCTTTGGAATAAGGGAACATGATTGTCGTCACACCGGCTCAAATCATGTTGGTCACACATATCACAATATATTATTCTAACTATCTATCAAATCAGTCAGATATAATGGAATATTGCACACGAAGTTTGATCTTGACTCTTAGACTCTAAGAGTAAACTATTGATTGTTTAATGACATATCTAGTTCAAAGTTAGCAGCTGTTCCCTAGATTAGCTTCTTACCCAGCACTCTACATTTGACTTCATTGTCTTATACTATGTATGTATTTGTATAATTCCAAACCTATTTGCAGTGCCCCTTTATTTTGGTGTAAGGCGAATTGTGCGCCTAACTGCGGTTAGTCAATCAACCCCAAAACATCCCCTCATCTTCCCCACAGTCACATGCATCAAGCCTTGGCTCTATCAACTCCTGACCTTATCATCAACACCAAAGAACGAGCATCAAACTATATACTCTCTGTGAATACGGTACCACCAAGATGTCCACTCCCTCACAATCAACAGATGTTGATCCCACCAGTACCACCACCACCACCAACACCACAACAAATACATACGAATACATATCCTCATATAATTTCGCCTCCGACCTAGAATTCCGTAAAGGCCTAGGGACAATCATGGGCCATCGCGGCACTCCAGCATCGGATTCCGAGCTCCTCAACGATGGGGACGATGTCGTTCTACAAGCGAAATGCTTCTATATTTCCAGGTCAGTAGGATAATACTCACCGACCCTTCTGAGAATCTCTTTTCTCGGACCGATACAAAAATAAAAAGAAGGGTGGGGGTATGTTTTCTAATACTCGAAAGTAGAAAAAGGAATATCAGCCCATCTATAGATTTCACGGCCTATAAAAACTGGCTGTTGGAAAATGGGTTAACTCCGGAACATAACGCCAGCAGCAGCAACAATGATCAGAATGCAGCGGTGGCATCGTCGTCATCATCAACGGTAGCAGTGCAGGATGAAAACTCTACAAAGGCAATAGAACCGGCCTATCCAACCTCATTCGCCCATATAGTCGAACTCATCACCAACAATCAGCCGATACCTGGCATTGAAGAGATCCCGGATACTGTCCTATCCGGTCATGATGAACCTAGCAAAGCGGCTCGAAGGAGAAAGCCTTGGGAAAAGGATGAGGTGGTTGACGATAGTAATAGCTAATCACTATTGCACTGGCGCACCCAAAAATGCTAGCCTACTTTCGGCCAACGCTGTATTAGAATCTTGATTATTCTCATAAGTCCATGCAATTTCCTGTATCATACATCTGCAAAATAAACTACTTATGTCGCTCTCCAATGTTGAGAAGAGCTAGGCAAGTGCCCGGTGGATTATCAGAACACGTCACGAAAGCAAAGACGGCTGCTTAAAACGAAACCTGTCTGTGTAACCGAATTAAGGGACTTGGTAACATTTGATACAAGACAAAATGAAAGATTGTGTGTTAAAGAAAAAAAAAAAAAAAGAGAGAAAAGGTGCAAACAACAAAGAAATGCCACTGTAAACCAAAGCCCTCGATATGCTCACGAAGTTGATATCGTCCTGCGCGGACTGGAAGTTATGTATCTTCGGATATGTGCTGGTTTATAAGATATTCATGATCCCAGGCCGAAGTTGCGCCCTAAAACAAAAATTTAAGACAGTTTTCGATACTGAACATAGTGCTTTGATGTCCAACAGAAAGATGCGACCGTAGAAGGCGAAAGGGTCCGAAAAGAACATCTTCTATGTTTCAGAATTTGAACGAGTGAATAGAAGTTTGCATAAGAATTTGGCTAGTAATGATGCATACAGCCGACCTGGCAGTCGGCACCCTGACCCGATGCTCATTAGGGATGATTAATGTCGAAACTTCACCGGAACGGAGGATAATTCTGAGTCCAGTGACTGCCACGGTTAAATCGGGTTCCAGAGTTATTGACAACCTGCAACCGATCTTCGTTTGCACCCGCAAATCTGCTTACCTGAACGCCTGCCCCGGGACCTGGTCGAGTTGCTAGGGATGGGTTACAACACAACATTGCAACACGAGAGCCGAACTTGGAGCCGCGCAAAGATACCATATGTTTCCTTGAAAGACGTGTGCTGTCAGCGATACTTCGAGACTATCCATGAAACTTACTTCCTTACCGGATATGGCTCGCCACCAAGTCGCGTTGGTGGACTGCAGCATGGACCAGAATCCATTGGATCAAATAGTTACCATACTGATCACCCGCAACTATGCAATATTAGCTAGCTTGCTTGTAAACATGAAAAAGCTTGCTCACTCACTGTCAATGAGAGGCATACGAGGCCGGTCTGCACGGCCAGTGCAAACACGTGCCAGGTAGCGATCCAGAAACTCGGACCCCCCAATCTTCAAGCACTTTTCGACAACTTTCGAAGCAAACTGGTCCATGCTGTAATCCGCACACCAAAGGAGTATATGCTCGATTGCACGATTTTTGTCGCGAGGTGCGCCATGCTCACAAATGTGTTGAATACACCAATTTCCAAATTGACCATGGGAAAGGAGGTCAATATTCGCCAGGACTTCTTCAATAGCAGGGCGCTGTAAAATTGTAAGTATGTAGTATGTCAAGCAGGAAGCATTAAGCACAAAACGCACCTTTTCATCTTCAACGCAGTTTTCAAAGATGTTCTGGACAACCAGGCTACCGGTTTCTCCCAATGCTACCTCGTGCCACATTCCACGTAGTGCCTCGTTCACTTTGGTCATGATCTGAGGCGGTTCGTTATTCCATCTCAACTCGAAAAGCTTTTGCCAGACGTGGCATGCGTAGCGATGGATTACAGTTTCCGGGATGCGTCGTAGCAGTTCGTGAACCATCATCGCTTTGTGTTCTTCGGGCACACAATCAAATGCTTTCTGGATGACGTGGCATCCGAATGCGTCCATACTGAGACTGAGGGTGTTACCTTTGATAGTATTAGCAATTGCAATGACCTGGTCTGGGGTTCCATGCTCAAAGCAGCGTTGGACTAGGAAGTTTCCAAAGCGATTGATCATAAGAGGGTAAGCTTGGTTCACAATGGCTTCTATGATATCGTATTTCTGTTCTGCGGTGCCGACCTTGAGCTTCTGCTGGAGGAATATGGAAGCCTGTTGATCGCTGTTGCTAACAATTTTGTCCACGATATACTTCCAGTCGCAGGAAACGTTCTTGTCAAGCAAGCGGCGATAGTTCAAGGGCTCCATTGGCGTGACATACGTTGGAGTTGATGTTCCTCCAGGCTATGATGTATTAGTACTTTTCAATAAAACAATGAGAGTAATTAGAATTCACTTACAGTTGCTCCGTTCCAAGGGTTGATGGCTGAGCTACTGGAGGTAAACTCTGCAGCTGTGGGGGAAAGAGGAGTGCCTATAGGACGCGGCTGATACTGAGGCATTGGATAAAGCCCAACTTGCTGATAAGTGTTGAAAGCCGGACTGAGAGGAGCCTTGGTAGCGACGTTGTTGCCTACTGTGCTATTCAATGTTGCCCATGTGGGCGAAGGCACCGGTGGAAAGTAGGCAGGTGCTCGATTGATTTGTGAAACGGAGCGCCGTGGACCAAGATTGATACCGCTCATATAGGGATGTTCACCAGCGTACCTTCCGTCGAGTGTAGCAGACGGCCCAGAGAAGACTCGATGCTGTTGAGGAACCCCTGATGCATTCATACCAGAAGCATTACCCAAAGCTGTCCAGGGTTGGGCGGTAGCATCGTGGATGCCCTGGATTACCGGGGATCCCACTTGATAACCTTTTTCAGGGGCCTGCATACCAAATGCTGCGTGGGTAGGAAGACCCCACAAGCTTCGGTTCGCACTGTACGCACCGGTCGAGTAAGAGTCAGAAATGTCTGAATTGACATCTTCTTGCAGCCAATGATCATTGTCTTGATTGGGATTCTTTGAAGAAGCATTGAAGACGGTTTGCAGGTCTCTAACGTTGTGTTGGGCCATTTCGCGATCAACGAATTCAGCTTCAGATGGTGTTCCGAGGGCTTGGTCGATAGTGTGTTTGATGACACGGGTCTCTGCCAGTTCTTGTTCTTGCTGTGCAATACGGGAGTTGGCAGCCATGAGTTCTCGTTTCAAACGAAGCATTTCAGTGGCATTGAAACCCAGTTTTTCATTGTTTCCCACTGCTTCTGTGTCAGGCACGCTGGGACTCGGAATAGAAAGCTTCGTCACCTGTTTTGAAACAGCCCTTTCGAAAATGGGGTGGTCTTTGTTACTGCCTTGAGGAGGACTGCTGACAGACCGGGACTCTCGAGGCTGGTCTAAGGGCTGTAGAGGCTGCTTATCGTCTGCCTTTCCAGGGACACCCTTGGGCAATGGTGTTTTCTTTCCAATGGGCTGCGGCACAGGGGACAGTTTTGCAAGTATTTTGTCCATTCCCGACATATGCAACTCAGGCTGAACAGTTGCAGACGACCGATCCATTTTCTGTAACTAAAGAAGAGTCAGCAGCGGATACGTGGAACGTATTCAGATGGCGTGGACCAACCCTGTTTGAGACGTCGTCTTTTGCACTCAATGAAGGCTGTATGTTTCCCAGCTTTGAGGGCATCAGGGGATTGGGTGCATGGCTAGAGCTAAGATGCTTGCCCACCTGACGAGCACGCGGGAATAGTTAGCATAGCAAGAGAAGACAAGAAACTCTTTCAATGACTCACTGCTAGGTCTTGTTGACGATTCATATTGACACGACTGTCCGAAGACTCGAGAGGATGCTCAGGTGTGGCGAGAAACTGAGATGACCTCAAAACGGACTTCCTCTTTTGTGTGTGTGTGTGTTTTGTGTTTGGAAAGAAATTGAACGATATGAAAGAATGAAGTTCGGCGAACTAGACAGTGCAGATGGTCCTTCAAAATAGGAGATGATTTCAATAACAGAGAGTGTCTATGTCTGAAGGGGTCAAAGAGAATTAGATGACAGAAAATAGATGTTCAAAGAATCAGATAAGTAGTTAGCAAAATAGTCGATTTGGCAGGAACAGAAGGAACGCGTGCAAAAAAAAGAAAAAAAGAAAAAGAAAACAAGCAGTGGAAGGTGGGAGATGTCCAAATGAGCGTCAACGAAGCATTCTCTCCAAGGACACTGCGAGGCTGAAAAGGACGAAAAGCAACAAATGGGAAGGTCCCGTTGAGAGAAGAAGGAGAGACAACGAGAGGAGATGGAAGGAGCGACTTGGATGAGCGAAGAAGCAGAGGATGGAGAGAGAAAAGAGCGGAGGAGGAAGGAGGAAGGAGGAAGGAGGGGAGGAGGGGAGGGAAGCAGAGAGGGAAAGTGGCAAGCACGCCGTCGTCCGAAAAGGGAAAGACCTCGTCCGGAGTCAAATCTGGACTTGCCCTCCCTTTTACTTTAGACTAGTTTCCTGCATGGCGCATATGTGAAGGAGAATGCGAAGGTGAAGGCTGCTGAGACAGGCAACAGGCAGCTTCTTCCTGCACAGGGTACCAGCGCTTGCCAGTGCCATCCAAGCTGTTGCTCCTCGTGTTGCGTCGTCGTCTACAACGAATATCAGGCACCATCACGGATGCACGATCTTATTGGCACAAACTTCAGGCATCCAATCTTGAGTACAGATGACAAAGACTGGCCCAAAAACCAGAGAGGCCGCATGACGGACAAATCCGAGTTTTTCAAGCAAAGGACGAAAAATTCTACTTTTGACCTCGAGGAAGACGGTTGTCTTGACATCTCAAGTCCACAAAAGTGAGACTACTTTCCGACCTACAGTATAACAAGACTTGAATGTCTCTCGATGGCAATTTCATCGAGGCTCAGAAAAGCCAATCTGCATTAAGGGGCTATATGAAATATCAGCAACGCTGGACCCGATCAAAGGCGTACCCTGGACCCCTATACGATATCGTATCAAGCCCGTCATTTCAAATACTTGGATATTATTCCGCTATAGTTGATGAGATTCATCGCAATCGACCGATTGACATCCTGCCAAAAAGCAAAACCAATGCCTCGACGTGCGTCGTATGATATCGGCTATACCACATACGGACGACAGTCAACACTATTCCCGATCCGGCTAGGAGGCCCATGGCAGGCGCCGACGAATCTGGAGGTCGGTAATAATAAAACGGAAGGCCGCGTAGGCCGGCGCTACGAGCCGTTTTGCAGTTTCATTTCATTATTACGTGACGTCCTGGCCCAGTTGAGGTTATACCAACCCGCCGTCCTTCGCCTCTAGAATGTTTTCGATTCTCGCAAGTACGCCAGTTTTGACTTTGAATCCATTCTCTCCGCAAGTCAATATCAATTTGTTCCGGTAGTGGTTAACTGTGGCCCCCCGCTCCGCCTCATGACTGGCGTTGTCTCACCCCATCCCGTCGCTATCGAACGCTCTCGTCCGTGTCAAGCAACTTGGCCTCTACAATAGCCTGACATTCAACGCTATACAAGAAAACGACTCCAGCCAAATTGTCGCCGTTCCCTTCAGAACAATATCATGAGCACAACCACCCTGACTGGCATCGGACGCCATCCGTCCATACGGCAATCCAATCGGGCACAATCGCATCGGGATTCTAGTCCTCATAGCCAGAGCAGTCCAATAGACCCATTCCCATCATTTATTGACGAGACGAAAGATGCTGCATCCAGCGGAAAACCGCAAGATGGGCAACTCGGACATGATGATGCGTGGCAGCCCCGTAAAGCCGGGTATGTGACCTGGAATCACAAGCCCGCGTCGAAACACCGACCGCGCAAAAGCATAAGCGAAACGATCACCACGATCAGGACAAGGAATGCGAGCATGAGCGCAAACGCTCATGAGATAGCAGAGGCCCTGAGGGCACCGGTATCGTATAAGTTGATTGTAAGAGGAAATCTCCCCTGCGATATGCGAAAACACGTCACTTATTAGCTCTAGGCCCTATGTGTCGTTTGGTATATGACTTCCGCCGTCACCAACACATCCTCTAAATCTATATTGAATGCCCTTCCTAAACCCGTTACCCTCACTATCATACAATTCGCCTTTGTTTCGTTATGGTGCTTGCTTCTTGCATATTGTTCGGCGCTTTTCCCTTCGTTGAAGACATCCATTCCTGCACTTCGTAATGGAATCCTGCCACCATCCCGAGACGTGATCGCCACGGCCCTACCTCTAGCGGGGTTTCAATTATTAGGACATATTCTAAGCTCAATGTCGACGACGCAAATACCGGTTTCGCTTGTCCATACCATCAAGGGCCTTTCACCATTATTCACTGTTGTGGCATACCGCGTCTTCTTCCGGATTAGGTATGCCAGGGCAACGTACTTATCATTGGTTCCTCTGACATTGGGGGTCATGCTCGCATGCGCAACTGGCTTTTCAACAAACTTTTTTGGGATAATCTGTGCTTTGCTTGCAACTGTGGTGTTTGTGTCCCAAAATATATTCTCGAAAAAGCTCTTTAACGAAGCATCACGCGCTGAAGCAGACCCCTCGTTAGCTGGACGGCGCAAACTGGATAAGCTTAATCTTCTATATTATTGCTCAGGGCTTGCCTTCTTACTCACCTTACCAATCTGGTTTGTCACGGAAGGGTATTCCCTATTATCTGATATTTTCAGCAACGGAGCAATAAGCCTAACCGAAAAGAAAAACTCGTTGGATCACGGCGCTTTGTTCTTGGAATTCGTTTTCAACGGCGTCTCCCACTTCGCGCAAAACATATTGGCTTTTGTCATCTTGTCCATGGTTTCTCCGGTCTCGTACTCGGTGGCATCGTTGATCAAACGCGTTTTTGTCATTGTTGTGGCAATTGTTTGGTTTGGCAGCTCGACCACGTCCACTCAAGCAGTCGGTATTTGCCTCACCTGCCTTGGCTTATATCTCTATGACCGAACCAGCCACGACGATGTGGCCGATCAGCGGGCAAATGCTGACCACTTCCGCAATCGCGACTCCTCGATCTTGCCGCTGAGTACCGCCGCAGCAGTGCGAGACTCCAAGGGTTATAAATTCCCACCCATCAACGGTGACCCTCTATCCTCAACGGACGACAAGAAAGACGACGGGCAGAATTCCGTCCGGCCTCGAGGGACGAGCGTGTCTCGAAATTGGCTCCCTCCCGGCACCAAGCAAGAGACAACGTGGCAACGCAGTGATAATTAATTTTTTTTTTTTTTTTCATGCTGGCCTGACGACTTCTCTGTGGTAAAATAGGATCTTGTTGGCGTTTGGATATAAACTATATGGCGATGATTTCCGCCTTACCATGTGTGTTATTTGGTCCCCTGCTTCTTCTGTCTCTTTCTCTTCTTTTCATGCACACGATTTCGGGGTTTGCAAAACATGTACATCTTAAACAAGAGACCCCGTCTATAGCATGTAGAGTGTATATAAACGACAACAGTTTATACTTCTTAAACTTAGTATGGAATAGTTTCGAATTATGGATACATCTGGTGGGGCACATGTCCCGGTTGGGTAAGGCGAAGATTAGCTTCCATCGCTCCTTCTCCGTCCGATTTATGTATGGATGGATTCATCATAATAATGATAATCCATGCTACCTCCTCCGCCTGCATTATCTGATTCCAAACCAGACGACGCCCTCATTTTCCCGAGTCCATACAGTCCTCAGCTTGCCCATTCGAGGAAATATCTTGTGCAATTGTTGCCTCCCTCTTTGCACAATTCTTCCCCCCCGGGCCGCGCGACCTTGGAGCGAGCCTGCCGCTGTTCGGCTGCCCTGCCCTGTCTGCTGCGTATTTACGCCCGCCGCAACCGCGTCCTCTCGATCCATTCTTTGCCAACATTGACCTCGCCCACGCAAGAAACCTCTTCAACTCTCCGACGCGCGACCGACGATCCGGACTTTGTCGATTGTTGGCAGCAAGCTCTCCATGGCCGCTGCCATAACGCCTCAATTCTGGCTGCGCCTGGCCTTTCGCATTTACTAGCTCAGTGCGGGCAACAGAGGAACTCACCGAGTCTTCAGTCGACTTCGCTAACCACTTGCTTCGATTCACTCTCATTTCGCTCCGGGCATACATATTGTCTGGATTTTAGATGGTGGACGTGGTCATTGTCACTGTCTCAGGAGAAACCAGGACTTATCAGAAGACCGTCCACAGCCGCGACCTTTGCGACTCGTTAACGGCTCACCTGTGATGTGTATTTCAGCGCTCATATCCGGATCGACGTATAGATGACTTGACCCTGGCATTCACCTACATCCGTCGAAAGGACACTGAAGTGATCTTTATGCCTTTACTCTCAATTACCCACAAAATAACGACGACCACAACGAAGCAAGTTTATTTCCCAGCGAGCCCGCGAGTATAAGTGAATGCGTTCTGTATGACTTCATTCTGCAAATCACTTCTTCCCCTGCTACTCGGCGATGTCAGTTAATTCGTCGGATCAGCGACAAACAGATCTCCGCGGGTCCACAGAAGAACAACCCGTCGTACCGGCAGAACTTGAATCGGTCAACAAACGCCTTGGTCGCTTGAAAGACGAGGTCCTCCCTTCTTCGCCATATCTCCTCACTGTTCCAACCGACGTTCCTTTCCGCCTCGGAAATAGGTTTGTCAACAATTGGGCAGTGGGGAAGAAAGGCCCATTTGCGATTGAGGAACAACAACTTCAGTACATGACATTTTTGATGCACCACGACGCGGATTCTTTGCTTGTTGCCGCTGGAGACTGGTCAGACAACGACGGAAGGATCATGGGAAAGAAAGATGACGAGAAGCCTCAGGCTACGCCTAGTGCTTCTGCAACACCTCAAACTGGGACAACTAAGAGAAAAATTACGCTGAGCGACTACAAGACCAGGGCTACTAAAGGAGAGCCGTCAAAAGAGCACCCGGGGCCTAGCCAAGAGCCACCCCCAGATGATACAAGGAAAGAGAAAAATGAAAGCTTGCAGGTTCCTTTGTCTCGTACCATAAAAGAACGTCCCTCACATGACCGAATGCTTGACAACAATAACAACAACTCACTCTCAACCTCCCCGCGTTCTAGACGACCGTTAAAAGAGCCATCGAAGCATGCCAGTGACGCTCCTGCAGTGAAACGCGCACGATTGACCCCGTCTGGGTCGACGGAAGTATCAATGCCTTCAAAAAGTAGCAGCAATGGCATTCCCGCTCTTCTATCACCAACACTTCCGCCTACCTCCTCAAGTCCACGGCTACCTGAGCTACTGTCTCCTACTTTGCCGCCTGAATTAGAGAAGGAACTGGCTCAGATAGCGAGTGAGACGTCTCTTTCTTCAAATAAGGATTTCAAACGAGATGCTACCACCGTCTACAAGGCTTCGAGGAACGAGGGATTGAATACAAAGTCCTTAATTCACGAAAAAGTACGTTCAGACTCGAAGCCAGCTACAAGCAAGGTGATTATGAAGGAGGATAGTAGGAGTTCCTCGCTCGCTGCTAGTGGGAAAAATAATGTAAAGAGTCGAGAACAGGAGTGGAGATCTACGTCTCCGTACGAAGAAAGATCATCTATGAAGCAAATTGGAACCACGAGCACAACAGCAGGATCTGCAACAGCGAAGAAGCTTATAGTTAAACTAAAGTATGGAAGAGGCAATAGGAAAAGAGTGGGTGCTCTCCTTAAGTTTGGCGGCAAGAGCAAGCTCTCCGAGAGCAGTGCACCTCCTAGAGCTTTAAAGGAATCATTTTCAGGTGATGAAGATATAGACTCTTCACGATCTGATATAAAGTTTCGAGGGAGGAAACGAGAACGCTCGCCCGATGACGATAGGGAGGAAGAGCATCATCGAAGGAGAGCACTTGGTGCCAAGACCATACCTTCAGATGCAGCCAAAATATCCAACACGAATTCTTTCAAATCGCCATCAAACAAACGGCTTCCTGTTTCAAGGCCAGATATTCCAACGCCAGCGAAAGATAGCTATGCTAAATCGCAGCGCCATGCCGACAGCACAGATGCGGAAGTGAAAACACCTTTGGGTACATCAGGCAAGGGTTTAGCAACAACTGCAGACAAGACCATTAAAACTTCGCCTTCAAATAGTGACGGACAACCGGGCTCACGAGAAAAAGAAAGGCGAGCCTGGCGCGAAGAATTCCAGAAACATACAGGGCTAGGTCGAGAACTCAAGCACATCGCGGACCGTTATTCAAGAGCCAAAGCTACGAGTGAGCACGTTTCCACAACAGATGGAAAACTCGCCGCAGTATCTGCGATCGAATCAATACTTTGCTTCATTGTTGCATTCATCGCAAATGACCGTTTCAAAACACTAGCACGGCAAGTTGGCGATTCTGAAACCTGGCGCTCTATCATCGCTTATTGGCGCGTGGTGGAAAGGACCACGGCTGCTTATCCCCATCTTCACGGTCTCTGTCTTATTCTCGGCGCTGTATCTCATGACGCAATCAACTCTTTGGACCTGGAGCGACTCGCGGTTTGCTCTGTTCCCGGTGAACAAAGCCCTGTGCCTACGCCCGGAAGCGACGGCAACACTGTCAATGCAGACAAAAACAAGAGCCAGAAAAGAGAGTTTTTCGACCTCAAAAGCCGACTGCCGGAGAATCACAAGGAAGCCAATCGCCTTTGGCTAGAAGGCTGTCGAGGGCTTCCCGATGATGTTCTGTCAAAAGAATATCCTGAAACATGGGCAAAACGTTCGCGGAACTTTGCCGAACGTGGCCACGACAGTTTCAAGGTTGGTCAATATGCAGGCGCTTTCTTCCTCCCCTTTGGACGGACGACAACACCTATGGAAGCCGTTCGATTTGGAGTGACACTATTACGCGAGTGGTGCAAGAAAGAGAACATTGATTTTAAAGCTCGTCTGAAGCTGTAATGACCTTATCATTCGTCTCCCCTCCCCTTTTCTAAGCGATTATTATTCGGGCGGACAATTTTGCATTTCGTTTTTTCATCCCTAAGCTAACATGGAACTACCATTATCTTTTTCTTACCCCTTTCTTCTTTTACTCCCTCCGGATATCCAATTCCCCTCACGTCGTCTTTATTTTCTCTTTCTGTATGGATTTCTGTATGGATTTCTGTTTCTGTTTCTGTTTTTGTTTTTTTTTTTTGTTCTTTTTTTTTTTTTATGATACCATTCTGGTGGGGACTAAGTCTCTTAACTATCGTTATGCTAATGTCACTCGGAGTCTGGTTTGCGAAGTATTTCATTTTCCTTTCCTTTCTCTTTTTATGGTCTGTACCTCTTTTGTTCGGTAGCAGATATTATATTCATTCAATTTGCTAATTTGCAGCAAAGTTTTTCTGCTAATCTTATTATCTTTCCTTCTCAGTGTTGTGTATGAGTAGGCTTCGTGCTGTATTTGATAAAACCTCAGATGAATAGATAGTGTATGTAGGCATATACCAAGTATCTTGGGACATCGATTATTTCTTACTATAGGTACCTACCTTATTAGACATATGTCTATTCATATAAGGAAACACTATTCAAACGTTCAGATATGGGTGGGATTCGAGAAATGAAAAAGCATCTAGACAGTAATGAATACATTTGCATATTCGTTAGAATCTCGTACATTAAATGAAAAAAAAATTATTCTTGCCATTTATTCTTTCTTTCTCGCTCTAAATTTTGCAAATCTCATAAGGAACGACAGCTACTATCAATCATTGCCAGAAAGAAAGTTCGGGGGAAGGATGGAAGCCGGGGGGGGCGAAGGGGAACACGTCTGCAAATGGAGGGACGAAACACAAAATACGTCTGGAAGCGGTTGTAAGGCGGGGAGCATAATTTTTAATATTATAACCAAACCGGAAAGAATCAGTCTGTTAGACAGACAGCCAGACAGCCAATCAAAACGGCGAGAGGCCGGAGGTGAAGGATGAGGATCAAACTTGATTCCATCGGGCGCCTGCTCCTGTAGAAACAAAGCTATCATCTCTAAAAAGCCACTCAGCTTCACGACAGTAAGTAGCTTCTCGACCCGAATTACCAACTTCACTGGCCCAGCAGACAAGCGCAGAATCGACAACACAAGCTAAAACGTTCTCCATGGAGCCGAGGACACCCCATCCAATAGTTCCGGCAATGAGACCAATTATGTATGCGTATAGACTACCGCGGAAAGTGTTGTTGCCGGACACATCGAGGTTGCGAGCAGTTGTCACCCAGCCGCCGAATCCGAGAGCAAGAGACATTGCAAATCGGCAGGCGTGCAGTATCATCTTTGATAGCCGGTAGGAGAGCAAGGACGAGTTTGCATTGGATCCACGAGGCATGGATGGTGCTGCATATAGGCCGGTTGTGCTGAATGATGAGAATACTGCCATCTGTGTGAAACCGCGGGCTGATTGGGCAAGCGGTTGGGAATGGATTGCAGCATATGTTAGGGTAAGAGGGTTGACAAGAGCGGCAATGGGGGACGGGATAAGAGAATAGGCGAATAATGCAATGACCGAGGCAATGCGTCTGTGCAGAACCATGAGGGGAAGTCTGAGCAGCAAGACTATAAGGGAAAATAGCGATATTGAGCCAAAAAGGGTGGTGATGGCGTGTATGATTGCAGCCCTTACAATCTGAGCAGATGTAGGTGCTGGAAGCGAGAGTCGATGGAAGTACCACTGGCTCACGGTCGCTGCTGTCACGCCTCGTTGAATGCCCGCAATGATACCAAGAGACCAGAGGTAGACCAGAATGAAATAGATGCCCAGCCACCAGCTACTAACGCTGATGACAAAGGAATCCGAGCTGATTTGCCCGCCGAGAAATATCCGCGTGAACATAATCATCCATAGCCAAGTCCACGAAACGGTGACGATAAGAGTAGCAAGTCCCAGTGCGAGAAGAGCAGGATTTGCGGCCAGCACGCGACATGCAAATTCCAATATGCTTATCGCTTTCCCTGTCGAATGCCGGTTTCGTACAATGGCGAATATCCAGAGGGTAGACAGTACGAACGGAATAATGGAGCCCCACCGCATAACTCGATCCTGGATGCTTTGGCCATCCCACGGGCCCCGGAAACTTGATATAAAAGGATAGAGTGAAAATGAATACAGTATCACCGGAACAGCAATAATCATACCGTAGGCAAGAACTCGAACATAAGCACGTAGTAAGGCGAGCCATAAAAGAGAGACGAGAACAGAGACGAGAGTATAAATCCCGAGTAGAAAGTAGGATTTGTGGATTGTAGTGTAGATTGTGTCCACCAATTTCCACCTACCGTCAGAAGGTGGTGCTGTGTGTAAGTATACCAGGAATGCCGTCGCAAATAGACCGATGAGTAATATGATGAAAAGGTGACCCCAGAAAGCATCGTGAGCTGGACGATCTGGATTGGCTTGATCCATTGCATTATGAATAGACGAGGCCGCGGAATCTGGTTGCTCTAATAGGGCTCGCTTATCACTATCCCGGGGTATTGGAGAAACGCGGCCCTCCATATAGTCACTCTGGGCTTCAGGTTGCCTGCGGAATTTCTGTATTGGGGCATCATCGTCATCGTCAGAGACGCTGTTGTACGAAACTGTCAACTTGGAACTTGTTGGATTATCAAGCCCAACATCCACCATCTTCCCTTTGCCGGAGGAGCTTCCATGACTTTCATTATCTTCGTCTCGCTCATCAAGGTCCAAAGTGGGCGACAAGTTGCGCGCACTTTGTTGAGAGGGTAGTCTATCGTCCCTCCATGAGCTTTTGATGCCTTTCTGCGTATATAAGCCGTCCTTCACATGCCCGCTCTGAAATGTCTGTGACTCATTCTCAGCATCGTCAAGTTCGGATGATTCTTCTAATCGTATATTGCCGAAATTTCGGCGAGACCTCTGTAGAGCATAGTAGTCTGCTATTTCGCGCTCGCGCTCGTGTTCATCGTCCTCGAGGAACTCATCCGTGGCGCTGAAGAAAAGAGGAGCTGGTTGAGCGGAGGGTCGAGATGCAAAGGGGAGATGAGGCAGTTGCGAGGAGCCAGATTGGTACGGATGCCCATTTCGGTTTAGATAGGAGCGCGAAACGTTGTTATATCTGGAGAAGTTGAAGGTCGGCCTCCGATCACGCTCATTTTGGCGGTTGTCCTCGGGTCGCGTGGTGAGTCGTGATTGAGACTGAGCTAGAAAGCGAGATGCATCTATGGAGAGTGTGAGTGAGGTCTTTCTTCGGCTTGTGGCGTAGGAGGCCTACATTCAGAGAACATGGTCCAGCTGTTGTGCTAGCAGCGATGGGTGTTGCGGTGTAGCTGCCAGAGTGCAACTGCATGGGCAGATAATCAGTTGGGCAGCGGAGAACCTAGACGTAGCGAAGGAGTACGGGGAGAGTGAACCAAGACAAGGTTAAATATCAAATATAACCGTTTGTTTCAAGAGAAAAGACATCGGCCTGCCAGCGTCAGTCCGGCAGTCAGTGTGGTGGTGGTGTGTGAGTGAGAAAAGAAGTGATGGAGGATGGATGACATGCGTCATGTGAGAGCTGCTATACCAGAACCAGACACTGATAGCGCACACCGATCGATAACGACTTTCGGCTTCTTCCCGCAAACATGCGTGATCGACTGGTGTTGCATTGCGACTACTTTACCAAGGACGGTCGCTGAGTTGGAGGAAAGCCGTGGAAGAATAATATTGTACGTATGCAGGCCTTTGAAACGAGGCATCGAATGACCATCATTGTACCGGGGGAGAAGCGAATTAAACGTCATTCATTCATCTACCGATTTGACACGGCGTCACGTGAGGCAACACGCAAGAAAAGCTGCCTGGAATCGTTTGCTTGCTTTGCCATAGCTCAACGACAGCAGAATTTGGCTATATAGCTGCCTTCGGAGCGTGCCCTTTGATAAACCCTGGTTCTCCCTCTCTCTGCCCATGCCTCTACTCGGAAAACCAAGACATCGACGTCACTCGCACTAAGCAATGCTCCCGGAGACGTTCTCTGCTTAGATCCGCAACAACCTACATAACTACCGGCTGGTCACAGATCCAAATCAATCAACGCGTCGACCTACACAGTCTGTTTGCACAGGGAAAACAGAAAACCAGTCTTTGCGAGCAGCTCAATCGATCCTATTCTGTCCATTCCTCAATCTCAATCTTCATGTCACTGCCATGGGACTACATTGCGAAACTGGTCTGCATCGGTGATTCCGGAACGGGCAAATCCAGCGTAAGCAAACCCACTGCTTTCCTTGTCTCCTGTGCAATTCGTGGAACTGACATCGGTGCTCGGGTATAGTTGTCTATACGGCTCTGTGAAGGTCGATTCTCGCCGACTCACGATGTGACCATCGGTGTCGAGTTCGGCTCGCGCGTTGTCCCAGTGGGGCCTCCAGCTTCCAACAGTCTAGCCATCGATGATCTAAACAACAGCAATCCGCTACACACTCTCCCTTCTTCATCAACATCGGCCACAGCCCACACCGCAACCCAACATAATGCAGAAACGGACACTTCCGGCGGTGGGGTGGCGCGGAAATCGCAGAAGCAGCCGCCACAAACACAGGACCAGACACAGAAGAAAATGAAATTGTCCCTTTGGGATACTGCGGGTCAAGAGACATACAAGTCCGTTACGCGATCCTATTTTCGAGGCGCATCAGGCGCCTTGTTAGTCTTTGACATCACGCGCCCATCCACGTTCGCCTCGGTGACCGGATGGCTTCAGGACCTCCGCCAAATAGCCGAGGATGGCATTGTTGTCGTCCTAGTTGGGAACAAGTGCGACCTCGCAAGTGATCAGCAAGACGACAGCAGCAGCAACAAAAGCCAAAGACGAGTTACACGACAAGAAGCCGAAGAATGGTGCCGACTAAACAATGTGATTCGCTACATTGAAACGAGCGCAAAGTCCGGCGAAGGTGTTGAACGAGCCTTCCTCGAAGTGGCAGAGAGAATATATCGAAATATCGAGGCTGGGAAATACGATCTCAACGACCGAAGAAGTGGTGTTAAGGGGTACGGAGCTAGTGGAGGAGGAGGAATCAATACCGCAACTCCGAGAACGATCACGTTAGGCCTTAATGATGCGATGGATCGGGGTGGGAATAGTTGGAGTAACACGTGTTGCTGAATATTACTCGACAAAAGGCTACAAAAGAAGATAAAAAACGATTCCGGTTTCTGTCTGTCTTCGCTTTATGCATGTGTCGTTGTTGCTATTATTGATACCCTTATTTCAATATTATTTAGGCGTGTTATATTCCGTTTATCATGTATATTGATTTATCAAGTACGTTATATGCGCATGGTAATTGCCCATGCAGCCATATGTAAATAGATATTAGTAACTAGGAGACTCTATGCAATATGGCTATAAGCTAAAGAATTGGTTGCCCATGTTGAGAGACGAAAATAAATGAATCGAATAATCGTTTCATATTAGGCTTAGAAATACATACATACGATCAAACTCGCTCAGCATCTAGAGTCATTCTTCCACCATGTTTCTTGGCTAAGAGAATATTCCAAAGATCTAATCGTGACAACCAGCAACAAAATTGTTTGAATTCTTAGATACAGGGAGAGGCGTCTTTTTCGAAGGGAAAATATAAAAGCAGAAGTGACTTCAGGGCTTCCCAATTTCCACACCACATTAGTGTACTCCACCATCAGATCAATCGCTGATGCGCCACGAGCCGAGCCACTTCAGATAAGCCCACTGTTGATTTGAGCCCTGCATACCGAACACAATGTCTCGGAAGAGAATGAAAAGGCCAATCACCGCAAGGTAAAGAGGGATGTAAACGGCCCACTGCACTTTCGAATTGAGTTTTCGGGTAAGCCAGTCGATGCAGAATCCGGCAGTCAATATAGCGAAATAAAGAGCAGGGTAGTAGTGGTGGACATATGTGACACGCGCCATGACAACAAACGGTATATAATGAAGAACCCAGCCGATCAACGGATAGACTCCAGAGTAGTGGATTTGGTCAATTTCACTGGGACTCAAATCCACATAACCACGTTGCCATCGGACAAGGTACCAAACAAAGATCAAGCCGAATCCCAGAAGACTGGCAGTACTTCCCCAGTACACAAGCGGGTTACCAAGGAGAAAATACTTGACAATATTATCATCCCAAGAGCACATTCTCAACCCAACGTGTAAAAGTGGCCATTGCCAGGCCTTGGATGCCAAATCGTCCTGTTTGTCAGGATCGGGGACAAGTGCATTGTTCGAAGTCATCATGGCAACGTTTAAATGGATGAAATCTTTGAAAAACGGGGATTTGTAAGATCCGGGATCACCAGGAGGCACTAAAATAGGTGAGTTAGCATTTGGTTCAGGCACGTATACCGGGTCAAAACTACTTACATCTTTCATTGACGTGCGTTTCGACATTCCAGTGAGTATAAACATCACTAGGTTTATTCTCCTTGACGCAAGTCGTTTCAATCTGTTTGAATCCCCATTGTGGGAGATTCACAGTACCCGCTCTCAAGTAACAGCCAAGGATTTCATGACGAAGTCGGAAAGCGGTCGTAAGAGTGCGGATTCTGCTGCGATCCCAAGACGCAGCGTCATTGACAACCTCAATCTTCCAGTGATCTTTCTCATCACCGATGGTGGTATTGCCATAACAGGACACTTCATTATCGGCCTTGGTGACAGGTGCCGCGACGGCATGCGAGTGCAAATTCCGTCCCGTCTGGGAGTGAATCAAACGGATGATATCTCCGTCGCCCAAAAACTTCAGGGGTGCCTCTGGGTCAAAATCAGGTTCGTACCGATTGGGGTACACGAACCACTCGTTGTTGGCATCTTTGTGATGATAACAGGTTACCTGCTGCTGGGTTGAGCCCTCTGGGTATGTTTGAATATGAGAATGAAGTAGTCCTCCACCGTATCCCATGTTCTTAAGAGTAACTCTGGAACCCATTGCCACCTCGAGGGGACTATCCCTACCAACCTCGGTTCCTTTGAGATTGGCCTGGAAGAGAGAGCTCATTTGAGCATCTCCAGGCCCAGAGTTCTCGAGGATCAGAAAGTGTAGCCAGAAAGAGAACATATAGACCACGAATGGTACAATAATCAGACAGACTACTCTTGCAGCAACATGACGAGCAAGGGTTGTCTTGGCAAATAAAATTAGCATGTATGTCAATCAGATAAAATTGATATCAACTAGAGCAGGCGCTTACAGTGGGCATTTTGAGGTCACCAAACTTATTCCACAAATCTTCAGCAGTATGAAGACCAACCAGAGCAGTACAGAAAAGCCCTACAAGCTTGACACTGCAAACACAGCCGATGCTGATACCTGTGAGGAAAAGCCATATGAACCATTCCGCAGAGAAGCTCTGAGCGCGTAGTCGATGGAAGCGGGCCCAACACAGTACAGTCGTGAAGGTAAAACATAGAAGCATCGAGTCTAGGAGAATGAACCTCGAAATAGTGGCGTAGGAATTCTCAAACAAAACCATCATGGTGACCAACCACACAGTTGGGCGACGGAAATTTAGTTCACGAGCAGTGTAGTAGGCAAGAGGGACACAAACAGCACCGAAGAAGGCATTAAAAACTCGCATGAATGTATAGTTGACATCTTCTGGGTAAGTCTCGCCTGATTTGAATTCGAAAGAGCCGTTATACCCCGCCAGATAACCAGATAGACCGACAAGGATCTTGCCGAGAGGTGGATGGACGTCGAAATAGAATTCACGCTTGAGATAGTGAGAGCCGAATTTTCCGAAGCTGTGTTGAGACTAGTAATCAGAGGGGGTGCGCTGCGAAGAAATGCGATGTAGCAATATACATACTGAGCTTCATCCCACGTCACAATGTTGGACAAGCCAATGCGATACATGCGAGTAAAGAAGGACAGGGCGGTAAAGATTATAGGAGCAATCACGAATTCCCACTCGTCGAGAACATCGAGAAATGATTTCTCCTGTTGCGAATAATAATTGTCAGACCAACTATGCTGAAAGGATCTCCGGAAACCGTTACGAACCTTGGAAACGCCCTTAATATCTGGGACCGAGATGGCCGGGACATCGCTGTCCGTCTTGGTGGCTTCTACATTCCTGCGCCGAACATCTGATTTCTGTTCTCGCCCGGATGCGAAGGCCGAGTTAGAAGCCATTGCTGGCGCTGCTGCACCTGAGATTCAAGCGCAAATGGTTTGGTAAATTGAAATTTAAAACCAAGTGGATCTGTCAAGGACCATCACTATCGAAGTAAGAGAAATAAAAGTCGAAATTGAATGTAGTGCGAGAAGTACAATTCGCAGTGTTGACAAAAAGACGCTTTTGGAAGGAAGGGACTAGGGAGGCCAATTGAAGGAACAACGAGCAAGCGAGGTGGCAGGAATAAAATTCTTAAGTGGAGAAGAGAAGAAAAGTAATAACGAAAGAAAGAAGAAAGAAGTGGAACAATTCAACTCCAACAAGCAAGAAGGAGAATAAGAAGAGAAGATGATGGCCGTGGAGAAGGAGACAGACAGGTTGTCCACTTCTTCCCACAGAATCCGTCGAGGCCTTGCTGGCCTCAGGCAGGAAGCTATTTTAAGCGCGCCAGGTGGATCCGACAGCTGCGGCCATCCGCAATCATCCAACAACAACAACAGCAAAAAAAATTATACTAGGTTCAATGCATGCCAAGTATGACCTTCGCTGGATAATATGTACGAGAATGGCAAACGGCAGTAGAGGAATTGGATTCTATGGGGTATACCGCTTGGAATCTACACCTATATATACACACACACATACATGCAGGACATCCGGCTTCACGCAAGTTGAACAACAAGGAAAAGAATAGCAGCCGGCTGAATGTGCCCCGGATACAATCAGTATAAGCGCTTTCGCGTGCTCGAGGGAATAATAGAGAGAAGTAAGGGTCCTTGCGTGAGCTGGAAATCTAATAGACATGTGAAATCATGATTAAAAGGAACCGAGATATACGACGGGGAAAGGAGGATTTTGCATAATTAAACAGCAAATCAAGCAAGAAAAGCCCCAATTGAGAGAGACAACTTTGTACAGCGGAAGAAAAGAAAAAAGAAAGAGAATCAGAGTGAGGTTGGGATTTCAGTAACCGGTAAATTTCTCTTTTATGACAAGAAGCAAGGGTAAGAGTTGGCGACATATGTGGGAGGTTTCAGCTCTCTTCATCCTGATCAACTCGGCGGTACTGACTCCGCTTTGCCGGGTTTTTGCTTCGGCCAAGCATATTTGATATCCAGCCCCCGAAGCCTTCGCTACGTCCTTCGGAATCACCAGGCTGATCACCATTGCCGACTTTGGCACCGTGATCTGGTCCGATTGTAGGAGGGTCGATGCTAAGGCCTGGAATTGCATTATCAGAAGTAAATTGCCCAGGTTGACGGTGAAGATCAAGAGAAGGCACAGGTGAATTGACCCCAATCAAGGAATCGCGCTCTCCTTGGGTTACAGGCGTAGGCATAGCAGTAGTGGCGTCCCCGAAAAGTACATTCATGTCTTCCAAGCGGACCCCGCTCGTCTCTGGATACAAGAAATACACTAGTATTCGTTAGAACTTAGGCACTACAAGCCTTTCAAATATTCCCAGTCACGGCAGATAAAAGAATGTGCACTTACCCAAAACAAAACTGCAGGCGCAGAAAAATGCGTGAATAAGATACAGACGCCATTTAATCAACTCCTGAAGGACAGGAGTGACCTCTCCAACCAAGAAATTGAATGCCCAGTTTGCAGCAGTACTTAAGCTGGCCCCTTTTGCTCGAATACTCAATGGCAAGATTTCAGGGGGGTAGAGCCAGGGAATTGGGCCCCAGGAAGCGCCAAAAGCAGCGTTGTAGACCATAACGCAAATGACGGTAAGAGTCTGTGTGGCCGGGATGTCGATCAAAATGAAATAGGACATCAAACTCAGCGAAATCATCATAGCGATGGCTCCGGACAGCAGAATTGGGCGACGGCCCCAACCATCGACAAGATACCACGGAGGAATGGTGGATGCCAGATAACTGATTGCATTAACGCCGGTCATGAGAATAGCAGACCGCCCGGGCCAACCTGCAGACTCGAAGACCAGCGGAGCGTAATACGATATGACGTTGATGCCGTTCAATTGAGCCATAGCCTGGGCAGACATTGCAATGAAAACACGTTTATAATAGCGGCGAAACATATCCGTATAAGATCGTTCTCCTTCCTGTCGCATTGTGAGAACATCGAATTTGATTTCTCTATATTCTTGGCGCGCTGCTTCGTTGTGAATGTCTCCCCCGCCGTATAGATTAGCAATGACGATGAGACCTTCTTCATCGTGGTCGTTGTCTAACAGCCACCTGCATTTATGGGAAAAGTAGATAATGGTTAGAAAACATTAGAGTCAAACGCAACTAGAAAGGGAAAATGAGAAAGAGAAATTTTACCTAGGAGATTCGGGGATGACAACACTGCCAATCCCCAGAAGAGCACCCATGATGCACTGGCAAAGCAATGGGATACGCCATGAATAGTTGCTTTCAATGTAACTGCAAAAGTAATCGACCCATACACTGGCAGCGTATCCAAAAATATTACCTGTGAACTCAATGCAAGCAAGCTTCCCACGATTGTGTGGAGGACCTAGTAATTATTAGTAGCTTCACCCAGAAATTTATACAGAATGCGGGAGCATGACGTACTAATTTCGGATTGATACACTGGCACAATTGTCGAAAGAGCACCAACTCCAAATCCAGCAATAATTCGTCCAAGCATCATCAATGGGAGACTTGTAGCGAAAGTCTGAAAAGCACCACCAACGAAGAATATCATAGACCCGTATAAGATTGTTCGCCGGCGGCCTATCAGGTCCCCAATTCTACCTACTAATAACGATGAAATCAAAGCGCCTATTTCGAGAATTGCGACAACTGTGCCGATTTCCGCTCGTGAAGGTTGATTAAAATAATCTCTAAAATACCAGCCTCTTTTGGAACAAGTCAGTTGAGGGTCCCTTGGGGGAGAGGAATCGGTTTGTCACTCACGTTATAATTCCAGACATGACTCCTTGATCATAACCAAAAAGAAACACGCCGAGTGATACGAATACACTTGTAAAGTACCTAAATGGACGTATATGGTCAGTAGAGCGGCAATAATAGCAAGAATGGGTAGAACATACAGAAGTGGTTTGCCCACCAGCCCGCGAACACGGGCTGTTGATCTGTTGCTTGGCGACATGATGGCGGCCAGGATGGATTCAGCGGGTGAAATACGTCGAGAAGAGACCGATGGTATTTCGATACTTTCCAGATCTATACCGCCTTGTTGAAAAGTCTCATCGCCGTAATGAACTCTTTTCGGTCGCGACCGGCGGTGCGGCCCCCTGCCGTCTTCAGACTTGGGGAGTCTGATCCGGAGAGGATCCTCTTCGTTGGCAAGCTGCTCGGCAAGGTCGCCAGTATTACTCCAAATAGAAAAGTCCGAGGCTAGAGAATCGGAGGAGATCGAGGAACGCCGGCTGCCACGGTGTCTGGCTTTCTCGGAGTCTACTCCTGATGCCGATTGCTCCGGCGAGTCTCCAGACTGTGAGTGAAGGGGTTGAAGAGGTATAGCAGGAGTAGAAGCCCCTTTTTCCTTTGGCGAAGAAATGATGGCGGTTGAAGCGGGCTGATGCGGAACCAGCCCTTTCTAGGGAAGGAAGAAAGAGGGGACAAGAGAGGAGAATAGGCACGCAAGTATGTGTGGAGTGTTTGTGTCGTCACTGGGGAACGGAGCGAGCGGGTCGCTGGTTATCCACGGTTCTTCTCTGGACGAGGAATGCCGCAGGCTGTAGCAGGCGTCGACTTAGACTTGGGCGTGGTTTAGCTCTTTCAGGCACTTGTGATACCGACAGATGCAAGGAGCAGGTGACCAGCTTTTGGGGGAGACTCGAGAACGAATGCCACGATATGCGCTAGTGGACTAGTGCGCAGCGAGAGTGAATCAAGCCCAGCCAGACTATGGGGAAACGGGGGGAGGAATGCGGATGAGTGATAGGACGGGGCCGGGACTTCCAGTGGGATGGGAATGGATGGATAAACGAAGGGCGTGGAAAGGCCAACGAACCGCCAACGAATGGATATCACTGGACTGCTCGATGGAATTGGGCGTATATCTGATGAGGCTATAGCGAGGAGGACAGAAAGTCACGTTCACAGATCGGCTCCGTCCTTCTCCAGATGGAGGACAGCGCACCGTGCTAGGCGGCCGCAAGGGGACTAGCGCCGCTGCATGGCTGACTCCGACTTTGAAGCGCAGCCACGCTTGACATCATATCATGCATGTCGACGTGGATGTGCTTCGTTTATTTTCTGCTCTACAGATGAGTCTATCCATGTGTGTGCTTGTGTCTGTCTATATATCTGTATATACATGCTTTGCAGGAGAGACAAAAATGTGTCTCCGCCTCATATGTACCATCCCAAGTCTGGCTATTTGGTCAAAAGAATATTAAAGCCGTCCTTTTCAATCAGCACCGTATCATCAGCACTAGCATATTTCCTCCTCATGAGCTCGAAAATCACAAGACCAGCACTGGTGCTCGGCACCTGACGGAGGCTATTGCGTAGAAACCCTTGGTAGAGCCACCGCACCCAGCCTCCGCTTCTGCTGGCTCGTTTCCGGCACCGCTTGAAGGTTTCTTGATATGCATGGTAGTAGTGTCTCATCATCTGAGGACGAGAATGACGCAGGCTAGCTTGATGATCAAGGTACTCTAACCGCCCATAGTGTAGATTCTGAATGATTCCGAGGGGATACTGGATAACTTGCTGCGTCAGAGACGCCGCAATGCCCGCGCTTAGTAAAAAGCACGGTTCCAGAGCATAGTGTGGCTTGATGGTGGCCTTTTCGTACTCTCGAAGAGTAGTCATCTTGGAAAGGTCTTTGCCGTGTATGCTCCCGTAGTACCAGGTGACGTACGAATAATATGCCTGCGATTTAACATATTCAAATGAGGAGAAAAAGGCAGCATACCCAAAGGAGTCTCGCATAAAGGAGAGCGACCATCCTGCAAATATCCCACGGACGCCAATCTCGCCGAGTTTCTTCCATCCATATTCCCACATGTTCTGGTACTGCCCTTCCAATACACCACTCGTGTGTAATCGAACTTGTAGAGCATCGAGCGGGGCTGCGATCAGTGACTGTATGGCTCCAGCCGTGAATCCTGCTGCGAAGGTACTAGTGGGAGGTGCTGGCGGATAGATTTTTGCATTCCCTTCCTTCGCCGGGGGATGAAGGGCGCCTAAAACTTGTAGATAGGATGTGTAGAGGATGGCACCGACACTTGCCTTCTTCGTCAGTTGCCATGACTATGAATTGGACGAAACACAGGGAACTGACGTAGTATTGGCAAGTAAAGGAGGCAAAAGTTGATTTGGTAGAAACTTCCAGCCGTGAACGCGCACAGCATGGGCGATCAAGCCGGGCGTGGTGGTATGGACCGACCATTTGTCTTCGCGTACTCGAGGGTTTATTGCTCGGGGGAAAGCCTATGGGCACGACATTCGTAAGCCACGGACTGGCATATGAGAGTAGTAAAATATTGATACCATATAACTAGAGAATTGTCAGTATCAGAAACTACTGAGACGGACTCGTAAACATACTCAACGCGAGTGCGGAAGAATGCTTTAACAGGTACTCGAAAGTAAAATGCTATCAGCTGTGCACTGAGAGCACGAGTTCCTGCGGCCGATGCTCCAGTAGCAGCATGAGTACGGTGGTTTTTACGAGGGTCGTCGTTGCCCGACTCCACGATGCCGTCGACTCTAGAGTCCACCGGAAAATTCATCTCTTATTTGCGATCCCGCCGAGCTCGTAGTAGAGGAGAATCCTGCGTCTCGTAAACTCGCTGCATAATTGTACACTTGCAGGTGTATTGATTTTCGACCTGCGAAACGAGCTTTCTTAGCGGATCAGAACAACATGACTGATCTACTGGACAGCGAGAATATTTCAGAACAGAAAAAAGTACAACAATAATAGATGATCAGTTGTCACGAGCACTTAAGTCGAGAGCTCTCAAGGTCCAATAAATTCTGGAAGTCACTCTGCCCTGTCAGTCAGCGTAACAAACAAGCCGCAAGAAGTACAAAGAAGTAGAGTTTGTGTTTGTTCTGTTTGATTGCTTGCCAGGTCTCCGCGCCACAGCTAAGCCCGACTGGGTATGATTGAACGCGCCTCGCGTCTTCTTCTCTCCAGCGTCAAAAACCCTGTCACTGACACCGCACTTTTCACATTCGACAAGCCTCGTTGCATGTCTCACCAGACTTGACCCTCAGAATTCGAGCGCCAATCCTATGCAGCATCATCTACCAATCGTTCCACTGACTACCTAGTCCTTCGCTTCGCTCGAGACCTGAGGTATGGCGGAAGATATCGTCATCGACAAGACGATCTTCTTCGATCGCTTGTCGTCCTTTTACAATGCATGGAAAGCAGATAAACGATCGGGCGCTGGCGTTTTTGGAGGAGTTGGTTCCATCGTCATTTTGATGGGCAAGACGGACGAGACAAATGCATTTCAGAAAGCCAACGCGATGCATGTACGTATCGCAAGTTTTCAATCTCGTGTCCTTATGGAAAACTAATTCTTCATCCCATTAGTTCTGGCTTCTTGGATATGAATTCCCCGCAACTCTTTTCGTTTTCACCATAGACACGATGTATGTCGTAACGACAGCGAAGAAAGGTACGAAAAAATTTAACCATCAACGACTGGTTATGCCAAATCAGCTAACCGTTGAAAATTCCAGCGAAACATCTGGAACGACTTAAGGGCGGTAAAATTCCCGTCGAGATTCTAGTAACAACAAAGGACCCCGCAGACAAGGCAAAGGCTTTCTCGAAATGCACAGAAGCTATTAAGGCAGCTGGGGTAAGCGGTCAAAGCACATGAATCAGTCTATCGTATTTTGAATATTCACGTTGATCATATTGGTGATTTAGAACAAAGTCGGAACTCTACCCAAGGATAGTGCTCAAGGACCCTTTGCCGAAGAATGGAAGCGGGCTTTTGGAGAAGACTTAAAGGATGTGGAGGAAGTCGATATATCTCCTGCCCTTTCTGCGGCAGCTTTCTCTATCAAAGGACAGGAAGAGCTGGTATATATTTGTTATTCATAGTTAGATTGTGCAATCGCTGATGTGGTTTTAGGTGTCGATGCGCAACGCAGCCAGAGCTTGCAGCGGCCTTATGTCCGAGTACTTCGTTGACGACATGTCCCAACTCTTGGATGAAGGGAAGAAGATAACCCACAAAGCCCTAGCTACCAGGATTGACGCCAAAATTGACGATGCCAAGTTTTTCAGCAAACTAGCAAAACTCCCGTCAGAGTTTGACCCTCAGCAAATTGACTGGGCATATGGACCCATTGTTCAAAGTGGAGGGAACTACGACCTGCGCTTGACTGCAACCGCCAATTCGGACGAGCTTCATGCCGGTATCATCATTGCGGGTTTTGGCATAAGGTACAAGACATATAGCGCCATCATTGCACGAACTTACTTGGTAGATCCAACAAAGGCCCAAGAGACGAACTATGGCTTTCTTCTGAATATATACGACGCAGTCATCAAAGATATCCGAGACGGCGTCACATCCAAGGACCTCTATAACAAAGCCATAGGCATCGTGCGTGCAAAACGCCCCGATTTGGAGAACAACTTCCTGAAGAATATTGGTGCTGGCATTGGAATTGAATTGAGAGACTCCAATATGGTGTTGAATGGGAAGAATACTCGGACACTGAAAAGCGGCATGACGCTTTACATCTCCATTGGCCTGACAGATGTTAAAGATGGGGATTCTAGGGACAAGAAAAACTCGGTTTATTCTATGGTCATAACCGACACTGTTCGTGTCAGTGAAACTGGCGCCCATGTGTTTACCAAGGATGCGGGTATTGATATGGACTCGGTCTCGTTCTACTTTGGTGATGAGGAGGAGCCCCAGAAAGCTACAAAGGAGAAGGCAGATATACGTTCTAGCGCGATCGCGAGCAAAAATATCACAAAAACGAAACTGCGCGCTGAAAGGCCAACTCAAATCAACGAGGGTGCTGAAGCACGTCGCCGAGAACATCAAAAAGAACTGGCGTCTAAGAAGTTGAAGGAAGGACTTGAACGGTTCGCTGGCACTACCGGTGATGGTAACGGTGAAGCCCAAAAGAAGTTTAAACGTTTCGAGTCCTACAAGCGTGATAACCAGCTGCCTTCCAGTGTGAAGGACCTGACAGTACACGTCGACCACAAAGCTTCTACGGTTATTGTGCCAATCATGGGACGACCAGTGCCATTCCACATCAATACTATTAAGAACGCTAGCAAAAGCGACGAAGGGGAGTATGCTTATCTGCGAATCAACTTCCTCTCTCCTGGTCAGGGTGTGGGAAGGAAAGATGATCAGCCATTCGAAGATCCATCAGCAAATTTCGTCAGGAATTTGACACTCCGATCCAAGGACAACGACAGGTTTGCTCGAATTGCTCAAGACATTACAGAGCTTCGAAAGACCGCATTGCGCAGAGAACAAGAACGTAAGGAGATGGAAGACGTGGTAGAGCAAGACAAACTGGTGGAGATTCGCAGTATGTACCTGTTATCTATACTCTTTTACCTTCTTATAATACTAACTCTACATAGATCGACGACCCGTGAAGCTACCAGATGTCTATCTCCGTCCACCTTTGGATGGAAAACGAGTTCCTGGAGAGGTTGAGATCCATCAAAATGGTCTCCGATACCAGTCGCCGCTGCGAAATGAACATGTTGATGTTCTATTCAGCAATGTCAAGCATCTGTTTTTCCAGCCGTGTGCTCATGAGCTCATCGTAATTATTCACGTGCATCTTAAGACACCCATCTTGGTGGGTAAAAGGAAGACAAAGGATGTTCAGTTCATTCGTGAGGCGACTGAAATGCAATTCGATGAGACCGGCAATCGCCGCCGTAAGCATCGCTACGGAGATGAAGAGGAATTCGAAGCGGAACAGGAAGAACGACGACGCAGGGCAGCCCTAGACCGGGAGTTCAAAGCCTTTGCTGAAAAGATCTCTGATGCTGGCAAAGATGAAGGCGTTGATGTGGATATTCCATTCCGCGAAATTGGATTCAGTGGTGTGCCAAACAGATCTAATGTCTTGATTCAACCGACTACGGATGCCATCGTGCAATTGACCGAGCCGCCTTTCCTTGTCGTAACTTTGAACGAAATTGAGGTTGCTCATTTAGAGCGTGTACAGGTGAGTGGTGCCGGCCTTCTCCTATACGGCTCAGAGATACGGGATACTAACATAGTTGCAACTAGTTCGGCCTGAAAAATTTTGACCTAGTTTTCGTCCTCAAGGACTTCAATCGGCCACCGATTCATATTAATACGATTCCTGTTGAATCGCTGGAGGGAGTCAAGGACTGGCTCGATTCAGTGGATATTCCATTTACCGAAGGACCCCTCAACTTGAACTGGGGTACCATTATGAAGACCGTTGCAGCGGATCCGTACAACTTCTTCGCTGACGGAGGCTGGTCGTTCCTGGCGGTTGAGTCAGATTCTGAAGATGGCGATGAGTCGGAAGAAGAATCCGCTTTCGAACTGTCGGAATCTGAGATGAATGCATCGGATGAGAGTTCGGAAGAGGACAGCGACTTCGACGATGATGCCAGTGCTGAAGCTAGTGATGAAGACCTTAGTGCTGAAGAGAGCGGTGAGGACTGGGATGAGCTGGAGCGCCAGGCAAAGAAGAAGGATAGAGAAAGTGGACTTGATGACGAGCGAAGCAAGAAACGCAAGCGTTGAACAGGAGCAGAATTTAGGTTAAATTGTAACTTACCGGTTCTGTCTGTTCTCTTTTCCCTATATTCATTCATGTTTCTATAATAAGGCGTTTTTCTTGTATTGGTATAACACTTAGTCGTTTTATTATTGAAAAGTTATATCACTTGGTAGTAACTATTGATTTGCTTACATATGCTTTTCAAAAGCTTGATCAAAATAGATCGATGAACTATCTAGTAAAGTCAAATATGTCCCTTCCTATAATGCGAGGGTTTAAAAAGAAAACAAGAGAAGAAAAAAGGAGAAGAAATATAAGACAAAAAGGGAAAAAAAGAACACCCATCATGCAAACAAACCTACTTCCCTTCCCTCATAGCCGACCACATACTCCGCATCCTCATAGCCTGATCATACGTAAAATTCTGATAGCAATCGTCCGACGAATAATCCATGAAATTCGAAATGGCATCCAAACCCGGTAAATCAGGGCACGAATCCTTCGTACCAGGAGCAGGACAACCATCCGTTGGCGTTGATTGCTGCGGAGTATCTGGAATATAGTCGCCCTCGTCGCCGGGGGCACAAGTCTCGTCTTGGAATGTGTGTAGCAGACCGTGCCAGTGCCCGACTTCGTGCACCGCGGTGCCGCCGCGGTTGTAATGGGTAATTGAGCCACCGGGCATGGTGGCAGCGAGGATGTTGCAGCCGTCGCTGATGTAGTCATCCAGAGTGCTGCTGCTGTTGATCTGTGGGTTGGGGAGGGTGCAGAATCCCAGGAGGTTTGGTGCTGATGATGATGCCGACGATGAAGAATAGTGTGGTTCCTGATCCCGTGGGAACTTGGTCACAGCATTGCGATTATGATTCATGGCGTTACGAGAGTTGACTCCTGAAGGATCCGACATCTCCAAGTTCGTCTGGAAATAGATATTGAGAGCACTGTAGGAGCCTCGGCGCAGTGTTCTCTTCATTGCTAATGCATCCCCATTTCGCGCCCAGGTGTCGTTGATACTTCGATCCACGCCCCTAAGAGTGTAGTGTATGCTCGTATTTGCATATGCCTGTTGCAGGTAGACAAACTATAACAAATTCCCTTCTTTAGTCAAGAACAATCAACCTGGGTAAAATTATGGATTGATTCATACATACCTGATCTGCTATCATCGCATTCGTGACTAGATCAGCCTGGTCACTTGTACTCACAACGTGAAACCATGTATCGACTTGTATACGAGGCAATGAATCGACCGGAGGACGACTACTAGCATTGCTGCTACTATCGCCGTCACCCACTACTACCTGTCTGTACTCGGTCGAGGACAAGCGTTTATGTGCATCTCTCAGCGCCGGGCTTGGTTCCCCAGTGCCACAGGCTCCGGCTTGTCGTTGCTGGAAATAAGACGACCATTGCTGAGGCTGGTTGTTGGTATTATTGTCGTTTTCTGTCCAGAAAGCCGACACTGATGAAGCAATAGAGACTACGGCGAGAATGAGGGTATGGCGTAGTAGAGCACGATGCATTTTGCGAGAGACCTTGAGTGGTGCATCAATACATGCACGTTTGTGTACATATAAACATGTGCCTGCAGGAGAGAAAAAGGGTAGGTAGCTTGATAATCATTCTTTTTTCAGGAACGGAACACTCCTGTTTCAAACACGTAAGCACTGAAAGCTGAAGCAGGAAAGGAATGTCCCTATGATAGCGCTCCAGGTCAAGAAGTAAGAATGAATAGAGGCAGAAGTTAGTTATACTTATGATGCAATTGGAATGCTGGACTGAGTGTGAAGAATGTGTCATTTCTCTGATGGAAATCAACCAGCCTCTGATTGATACTGCTGCATGACACCAAATTCTCTATTTGCAAATCCCAGTGGTAAACATCCTGAAACAATAAATATAATATAATTACAAAACCAAATGCTCAAACACAACGAAACATCAATTTCTCGGCGCGTAAAGGAACATGGAAAGACAACATATCAAAGAGCTATGCACGTACATCCCTTGAATCATTAGACCCACAACTGGAAAGAACCACAGCAAAGATTTTTCAAAGAATCGGGGGTAGAAGGACGGGGGGGAAGAAAAGTTTGAAGCTATGTACCAAGTCAAGACTGCTAGTCATGTCCAGTGGCAGTAGCTGTTGAAGGCTCATTATTCCACGTAAGGTAAGTGTGATCACCGAGTTTCCTAGGCAGATATTTAGTATTCGGTATTCGATGCTGGCACACGTTGATTGACGATGCCCATACCTTGGTTTGATCAGATTTGCAGCTGTGAAAAGAGCTCCTATGAGGATGCAGATACCGCCAACAACAATGTAGGCGATACCCATGAACGAGTTCTTCCCACCCATAACCGTCCTAGTCGAGATCAAAATCGATTTTGTTCCACCAAATTCGGTAACATTGAACCCTGAAATTAATGTCCATGTCAGAACGTGTTGTTTACGTAGGAAACGCCTGAACTTACTGCTCTGAATATCTAACCGATATTGGCCAGCTGCCATGGCAGTGGTATCGTTTCTCCGAGCAAGCTTGCTGAAAGTAGGAAGACCGGCAGTCCTCATCCAAACCATAAACGCTTCGTCGTCTCCAAGTTTGGGGAAGTTCTCTGCCGTGTATTCCGGATACTTTACCCGCCAGTTTGGTGGCGGGACAACCTGCCAGTATTCATATTGTGTATCCTTGATAATTTGTTTATCACTAGGCCAAGCGATTCCTTTGTCTGTCATGTTGTAAACTCCCTCATTGACCAACACGGGGCTCGAGATTGTATCGTTGAAGATCGAATTCGCGATTAGGCCGCAAGGATAGTAGGCTTTGCCGGTTGCAGCATCGGTAGTCAAGGGATCACAAGTGCTCCCTGAAATGGTGGCATTTGAGACGACTTTACCCGCGAGTTGGTCTGTATCAAGCGACGCCACATACTTCCTGTGGTTCTGATAGAAGTCGGTCAACTTATAGTAGAGATAAACGGGAGGCCCTAGCGAGTCGGGGAGGTCGAAGAACAATGAACATCCTGTAGTATTTGTTGCATAATCCGTCTCATTGCGCTGCCATGTATAAAGGGAAGTTTGCGCTGTAGATTTGAATGTGGTTTGCACTTTATCCGACGGAATAGCTGCTTGACTCGATATGGGCGCCTGCGTGTCGCAGTCCGTATAATCGATAATGAGTTCTTGAACCTGAAAAGGGTCCGTAAGCCAATAAAGCTGCGAAATATGTCCAATTCAAATAAAATAAGACGAACCTGTTCATTGGCCCACAGCAGAACACCTCCTAGGGGCGCGAAAATGGCGCCAATGCCGAAGAAAAGCGGAAGGACTGATCGGGGCGTAAGGATTGGTCTGTTGATAGCGAAAAAGAAAAATAAATATGAGTGAACTTTCCTCCTCCAGGGTAACTCTCAACTTTCAGGGGAACTGCCACAATGCACACTTACTGCCATGCTTTAAGACGTTGTTGACGGAATGCGGTGTCTATGGAAAAGAACATCAGTTTTGTTCGCAGGAAATGCGCAGCGCCCCTAAGTCCCAAGTCTCTCCTCCTCTCTAGTTCCTTTGTTGTCTCCGAGCCATCGCCGTTTGGATTGATTATACGCACTTGCTGGTTTTCTGCTCTTGGACTTCTTGTCTCCGTCGTCCTTTCCGGAAACATCCGGATCATCATTCTGAAATGTCGATGCCATCGTGATATGGGTTGCCACAGAGGGACTTGACTTGCGATAGGTACGCGTGGACAGCCTCCTGTATAGACAGGTGGATGATGGTTTAGTCTGCGACTGGGGTGGATGGGGAAGTGAATGGCCGGAAAGTGCATTAATGGCTCGTGTCGTCTCCCGGATCTGGGCTGAGCCACGGTGTACTACAGCCGTACCATACGGACGGGGTACGGGATCCCCTAACGGCATGGTGCCGATCACGAGTTAAGGACTCAGCGGGCCACGCCACACCTTGCTATCTTTAGCAATTATGACGCAGGGTGACTTACTCTTTATATTAACTTATTAACTCTATCGGTAATGGAGTGAGCATCGTGCATAAGCCATAATGCTAATACATCTAGACTGGATTCTCTAGCCACTGACTAGTATACGAATAAAAACAGAACTTCAATCTGGAGAGTCTAAATCGATCTCAACAACAAATACTTGAAAGTAGAGAGGTCCATACAGGAGACTGTGTGCAATGGGTAGAGAATATGGTACTAAGCCATCATGCAAATAAAAAGGGGATTCAATGAAAACGCCATATCCTGAACCAGATGTGAGCCCCAAGCCGGAGAAGCCAGGGAACGATGCAAGAACAAAGCCGTAGCACATGAGATGGAAACGCTTGACAAGTGAGAACCACGAATCAAAACTCCAAAAAGCGTATGAAAAAAAGCAAACAAAGCTAAGCGTTCGTAAATCATATGCACAGCAAGCAGATCGTAAGGAAGAGAGCGGGGGAAGAGAGAACAATGAGAAACTATAAACTTCTCGATGTACAATGAGTCTAGCAATGTTCAAAGTCGAGAGGATGGGGAAGGGGAGATGGATGGATTAGAAGTAGATCACTGCGTGAATTTCTGGACAGACCGGCTGTACCAATGCAGAGTGAAGAAGATTTACGGTTCTCAGGGAGGCAACTTGTTTCTTTCACCAAAATGAGAGAAATCATGCTTTCAGGAACTTGATGAAATATTCCGGCTTGAACCAGCCAACTCGGTCGTAAGCCGTCCATAGCTTGCTAGCTTTGTTGACATCAATCTTGCAAGCTTGCTGAGCGTCGGTCTTTCTAAACTCCTTGCCAATGCTAAGCGCCTTCACACGGGCTTCGAAAATCCTCCTCTTACTGCAGAGGTAGGTTGCACACGACAGTCGTAAAGTGGCGGCAAGGCTTATTTCCGCAGGGTCCAGCAAGCCTCGGTCAGGGTCAGTGCTGAGGTCAAGCATTTGGCCCTTCCAATCGGCTTTAAGGCCCTTGGTGTTTCCCCCCAGAGTCTCGAGTGGCGGAGAATAATCCTTGAGTGAATTATAGTCGGTGTCATCTCGGTTGGTACCGATGGCTCGCAAAGGTTTTGATGAAGGCGAAGATTCAGCATCGAAAGTGTCAAGGGTTCGCTGAGTCGGTGTAGATTTAGGCGTTCGACGAGGCCTCGACGTTCGGGCAACGCGAGTTTGGGAATTATTGACGGGCTTTCTAGAAGGAGCAGGCGCGAGGCGTTTCAAGTTTCCTGTGCGAAACTCTAGGCGATCACGGTCCATCATCGCCATTTGCCGCTCTAGAGTCTCCCTCTCTTCTCTCGCCCAGGCCGCTGGGTCACGATTGTATTGTGTCGATACAATTGGCACGCAGGATAAGGCCAGCAGGTACTCATCGCGAGTCGGCTTGTTTATCTTATTTTGAAATCGAGCCAAGTGGGAGTTCATGTGCCGGTCGACTATTGCTTCAGCAGCGGAGGCAAGAACGGGCCCAAAGAGGGGCTCATCATTGGGGACATCGGCGGCTGATTCATTGCGAGGAAATAGCACTGGGTCTCTGGAGGTACTACCAACTTCAACCTCTAGCTGGTCTGCATTCGACCTTCTTTTCTTGTTTCCTGCATATGGAGTGACGGGTGGCGAGGGCAAATCCAACTCGGAGCGACTGCGCTTTCGGTCTTCTGAAATGGGAGGCAGCTTGACGACATCTTCAGCAGAAGGCACAGCCATCGATGGGTAGCCAGAATGGAAGCTCTCGAACGGCTTTGCCTCTGGCGGAGACATGAGGCTGGAGACGGATGGAAGACGGTTCATGGTGAAAGGGGGTCTTGTCGTCAATGGATGGTGACTATGGGTAGGCGGACGCAACGCTGTCATCCCTAACTCTGGCTGCCTAAGATATAATCGAAGCGAAAAGGTTTGTAGATGGAGGAGTGAATAAGTGAGAGTGAGTGAGAGAGGGCGAAATATGACGAGGTCTGATGCGAAAGGCGATGTGGAAGACAATGGAAGAGGCCTGCACGTGAAAGAAGGCTGAGTGATTTGTCAGGCTGAGCGCTTTGTTTTCGCTGGTGGCGATTCGGCGTTTAGGGGCTGATTCCGGCGATAAGCCCAACCAGGCAAGTCTAAAGCCGACGACACCGGCCGTTGTTTGTCCGGCAGCGGATTGATTGTATTTCTGGGTAAAAGAAAGAAAATAAAAGAAAGCCAGGGACAAATAAATGGATGAATTGGCGGGGCAATGGCTCTCTTTATAAGTTGGCGAGGGCGGATTTGCGGGGGGGCGACACGATACGATACGATATGCCGATAGTGATGGCGAGGCGCATCGAGGTGGGGGAACGTCGTTTGTTACCCGCCCGGAGATAAGATAGGTAGCAATCGTTGCCTAGCGAGCTGGCCACAACCAGCAGAATCTGAAGCGGAAATCAATCAGCAAGAGTCAATTGGGGACCGAGGGGGGCGAGCTTTCTTAAATAAGCAGTACGTAGCACGATATATGCTGGATCCTATCCATTGGCAGGCAGATGACTCCAATCCATCCCATCCATCTCGGGTCACTAGGCCATGGCTCAGAGATTGGGCTGTCAGGCTGCCAGATTCAGCAGGCTGCAGCCATGCGCTCAATTGGGACTTGTCAATGGAGGGTGAAGATGATCTGACGCCCCACTCCCCCCTACGCCCCGCGGCCGCCAATCACCGCGCCTGGCGCAGCAAAGGGTTCCTGCTGACCCCCGCCCCACCGTGAGTCACATGTGCATTGGCCCTGCTGATTGGCTGTGGCAGATGACGAACAAGGCGTCTCAATTCAGGTTTTGCGCGCTCGAGCAAAGCAAGTCATCGCGGATCGGCCTGTATGGCAATGGCCTGGTGTGATTGATATTATTTCTTAAGCACGCAGTTGCTGTTTACTATATAGTATTCAAGATTATCTCCTGGAGCACGGAGTTCGGGGTACGGATAGTGATATGCGCACTCAAGCAGCCTGGCTCTAGGCTGCAGCAGTGGGCGGGCTCCGACATGGCCAATGGGGCGCTTCGGCTCGGCCCACAGCGGAGCCTACTACGTACTAGCACTAGTGCCTCCTCGGATTTTAATCTTCTGACAGTAAACTCGATTGGGGTATCAGTCAATTCGTAAATCATGCGAAGGATACTACCATCTACATGTCTCTTTTACTAGCTTGTTTGTCATACGCAACTTTGGCAGCTGCGACCTCGTCTATCAAGGGAACATTATGAAGCGCTCGTTCGGCAGCCTGGTCCCCGGCACTGGCCTTGTTCAATCCACTCCCAGACCCCAAATGCTGATCATGCCAGCCCCAGCCCGTCAAATATACCCCAATGTAGAACGTTTGCATGCCGCCGTCCAACTGCTTCGGGGGCTTTTCTTCCACGTACCGGAGCTTTATACCCTTGCCCATCACCTTTTTCGCCAATTTTTCTTTATATTTCAGCACGGATTGTACAGGCTGAACATGCGACAGTCGCGGCTGCCAAAGTTGTCCGAGCCATTTCTCGACCATTCCAAATCCATCACCAGGGTTTGACAGAACCACTGCTGCCACATAGGCTTCAAAAACATCCGCTCTTATTTTCAGCCACCGCTTTGGTTGCATTCGTTGGTCTTCTGGGGCGGACACTCTGCCATCAAACCCATACTGCGTCGCAAACCCGGCCAAGGTTTCATTCTTGACAAGATCTTCTCGAATCTGAGACATACGCCCTGGAGGAACGTCTTTAAACTGGTCCCATATCAACCTTGTAGCGATCACCTCCACGTATGCGTCCCCAAGGACTTCTAATCGATCATAGTTGATCTCTTGCCCTTTCGCGGCGGCATTTGTAGGCGCGCCCGGGTGTGTGAAAACGGCTTTCACTAGCGAAGGGTCGCGGATAAAAGGAGGCTCCGGTAACGATGCGTCATGTAATTGCAGCCGCGCGGTAGACCTCGTAGGCGTGTTCTCTCTTTTATTCAACGTAGTGTGGAGCTGTGTGGCCATTTTGGCAATGTCTGCGCCTCCGGGATAGTCCTGAAGCAATTGTGGATGGCTAACCATCTGGTCAACTACGTCCTTCAACTGTTGGACAAGGGTGCTACCATGATCCATAGGGAGTTCGTCATGGCGATTCCTCTAGTGCGATAGATGTCATGTAAACAGAGTGGCCTGGTGTTTGCTGTTTCAGTGCTTACCTTGACTCGTTTGTTGGGATCGAAGGAGCCCTCCGTGTGATATCTCTTTGAACCCATTATAAAAATATGTTGAATAGCAATAGTAGATGGACGAGATCTCAAGATGCGTTTTGCGGCGTCGCAGAAAAAGCCAAGCTAGAAGTCGAACTAGACCAATCATAGCGGTATGTGCAATGATTGGCCAATACAGGCCCACCACTGTTTCACGTGACTTGATCCCGAACTGACATCCGTTGCGGAGATATTCTATTTGCAGTCAGTCGCTGGCTTTGTCCCATGTGAATTCGCCATCAATCAACAACGCGAAGATGGCGGTACCTCGAAGTCGAGTTCTTGACCTTGTGAAGGTGAGTCATTGGTTTTGGCAACAATTTTTTTATTTCACTTGGCGATTTCTAATCAATGAAATGCATTATTCTATACGATCCGTCCAGGCACAATGTCGAATTTTTGCGTTCACATTCAATCCACAAGGACTGCGACTGGGAAACAAAGTACTCCGACAGCGCCTACGAGGTCCTGCTCTTGCCGCCTGGTATCCTCGTAAAACCGTTTCGTTCCGCGATTTGCAAGACACGTACAAGCCACTGGATTTGGAAACGTTTGACGAGGCACAGGACGACAGGGAGGAAGCTATTCAAATGTATGGTTTTCTGATTTTCAGACAATTACGTTTGTGGCTGGGTGCATTGGAGTTAACGGTCATCACAGTGCGAAATTACGCGGCAAAGGTCGACCCAAGAAGAAGAGAACTGCAGCAGGTAAGGCATTCATGTACAGGGCTACGATCTTTTTTTCTTTCATTGATGCTGACACGCGGTGTGTTTTAGAATCACGGGCAGGCAAAAAGAAGAAATGATGTTGTATATGCTATGAATATGGAATTCTTTTGTTTTTAGCTTTGAGTCATATCAAGCACTTTACACTGTATTATTAGTTGGCTGTGATTTATTCATTGGGCGCATTATACCTACCGTAAAGAGCAGCTTCTTCAGTCGCGGATATCTAAATATTCATTCTATCTTCTTTTTTTTTTTTTTTTTTGGCAGGAAAAAATAGAGCATTCTATCCGCGTAAGATCGGGTATAAAGAAAAAGTCGCTCACCAGAAGAGATGCCCAAACAATGTGCGGCCGAGAGTATGAAAAGTAAATGCTTTCTGTCTACTCGAAAATACCTCAAGTCTTGCAGCTAGTGAGGTAAGAAGTCAATTGACCTGTACTTGAAGAATTAGCAATTTGGCATTGGAGGTTTGCCATAAGTTTGCCTAGCTATGGGCGTCTGACACAAGGTCCGGTAGGTAGGCAGCCTTAAGGATAAGTTATAGAATGTTCCATTCAGCTTGGTAACGATTCATGCCACGTACTTATTCTCATGAATTGAGACTTGGCTCGTATTCGGCTCCGTCCTCATTGCATACACAGCCAGTGCTGCGCCGCAGTTGACGTGTTCGCACACCATGCAATCAGCATGCAGCTACACGCAAGGCTGAGTTGTGTCTTGGCTGTTATCATAATCTTCTCTTGAGTCTCTCTCCTTTATTTGACAGTGGCAGAAGTCTAGAAATTTGCGGTGAAATAACATGTAGAATAGAATTGGCAGGAAATAGTTGGAAGTGTACTGGTTAGCAAAAGTTGTTTGCGGACGCATAGAAAAATAATCTTTGTATAACAATTGCTTCTCTTGCTTGCTGTTAGAGTGATTTAACGCGTTTATGTATCTTGTTTTCTCTAGACGTACAGCCACAAAGTGGAATATCCAAACCGAATGTCCGCTCAACTCTATGTCATATTCAGCATTGTTTCCACAACTCTCTACTAAAAGCAAGGGCTGGAATTTAAGTTACGTGCTTTTCACTATTGGGTTGACTTCTTACTTCTTATATGGCTTCGATCTTAATAGGAGCTCTACTGTATTCCTGAAAATCATGCAAAAACTGCAACAAGAACAGCATGCGTACATTTTAACTGAAACAAACATTCAGCATACCCTAGATTCTGCTAGAATGTAAGATAATGCGATTCAACAGAAGTACCTGTTTCTTTTTCCAAATCGTTGGTTAAGCTGCCCGATTTGATGAAAGCCACGCAGTAGGTACATCAATCATTAAAGTAAAAGGTGGTTTGATGTCATAGCATAGCATAAGCATTTCAGAATCCACTATTACTCCTATAAATAGAGCATAAGCTATTGAGGAGACTGAGGCGTCGCGGTAAACTCGAATGGGAATAAAAATTTCCTTTTATGGTAAACTCCTTCCTTTTCTGGCTCCTTCCCGATCAAAATTCGAAGCTGTAATGCTTTTTACCCAAACGATACAACTTCCAAAGGACTTTATGTTACTTTGCAGAAGCACCAGAACATACTATCAGTTTTCTATGCCAGCTCCCATATAAGAAGTCACACGCATCCAAGGGAATCAAAAATGTTTCTTAGGCTAGGGACGCCATCGAGCAGCCGCCATCACGTCGCGCACCTTTACTCATCCTTTCTTGCTCTGCGATACTTGCATGCAACACTTCGCAACTTGCGGGGCTAATCCAATTGTTGTGATGGGCTCCTTGACCCCTTCAGTAGGAAGAAAATCTCTTTGTAAAATTGACAATTCCACCCTGGTGACAAAAGAGACAGATATGGTTCTTGTCCCTGATAGTTAGAATACAAATCCCATCAACCCAGGTCACAAAAGTGGGAAAGAGGAGTATTTGTACAGCGGGAAGAAGCCTTATAAGGCTTCATTCGAGCTGAAGGAAGGCATATTCACCATAGGAGACTCTGCCCCAGGCCTCAAAAGACTGTCAAAACGATAGGCAGTATCATTGCATTCAGAATGTTAGAGCATGCCTTTGATGACTGGAAATTTCGAAATAATAACTCAAAGCGCCTCATCGAATAACTTTTGAGGTATCAATATGAATCATTAACAAAAAAAAAGGCATGCTTCCACAGCCAGACTCAATCTGGTGACCCAAGGAAAAATTGCAATCATGAGTCAGAAGCATAGCAAAGGTGGTTAATTGACCTCTCAAGAGTCTGCCTTGCTGTCAGTTATGGAGCGGATGCATTTCGATGTTAAAAACACTGTACACTGCTTTCTAGAGAGAATCACAGATCACAACTTATAGTTAAAGCTCCCACGTTGACATGTCCTCATAATTATGACTCTGAACCCACGCTGGATTCCAAGGAATGTAGTGTGTATCACGCCAGATATCTTTTTCGGTTGACTCGCGCCAGTCTTCCCAGTCAACAATATAACTGCGCAGAGAAAGTCAACATTGGCCGATTGGAAAATAATGAAATTAAGAACGGTAAATACCAATCTTGATCTTCACGATCCCACAGTATGTTTCAGTCGGCAGGATCCTCGTGGACTACACCACAAGCAGTGCACTCTCTAGTGAGAGGAGCTCATCAACAGGAAATCTCAAAGTTACCATTGATTTCATAATGCAGGCAGGTACAATGACTCACAGCCACGCGACCTTTAGGGCTTTGCGAAGCTCAGTCCGTTCTTCTTTGTTCTTCTTCCCCAAACCAAGTAACGGCATGGACCCCGGGAGGCGCTCCATCAAAATGGAATCTATATACCCTCCTGGTACCCATCCATCACTGCCTTGGTTTTCATGTTTCCACGCAAATAATGCAGACGTAGAAGAGCACACCGCTGCAGTGAGACGCCGGAGGCCTTCGATCTCTGCTTCTAGCTTCCACTGCATCTCGTGTAGAGCTTGCTTTGCTCTCTCGTGGGGGCGTCTATGTGCGTTTTTATAATACGGTATCCTTCATAGAGAGTTAGTAGCAACCCTTAGGGACTCAAGCTTGCAATGCATACTGCATCCGAATCTTCACGACGGCTTCCTTGTCTGGATGATCTATACTCGAACATATAAAGTCTCCACGACATGACAATTCCACGCCTATTTCTTTTACATCCTTTTCGCTCTCGCAATCGCCACTCTCCATTGTTTTCTGTGTTATTTTCCATTTCGAAATGCCGCAGTGACCATCGAAGACGAACTCACTTCCGATCCAATCATCTTCTTCAACCCACGTCACTCCCGAATGATTGTCGGAAACTTCGGTTTGATTACCGTCGAGTATAGCTAGGATAGCTATTAACAGGCGAAGTTAATAGGCTTCTAAGGTTGAAAGATCTCGTGAGATGAAAGAAATAAGAATAAGGTCTAAATATCCTGATTGATAGAAGATTGTATATTTAAGTTATCTCAGTTAATTTAAAACAATAAAAGAAAACTAAATATAGGGTAAATAAACATCCTTATAACTCTTTCCTCTATTATAGTCATTATAGTTGTTCCTATATACTTAACTCTAATAAGTCTAATCATATCTATTATAGCTAGATACTAACAATTAGCTCTAATAGCTATAATAGCCCTAATCTTAATATGTCTTAGCTTGTGCATATTATTCTTAGATAATTCTTTATTTCTATATATTAGTGTTCCTTATCCATTGGCTGTAATATTCTAATTCTCTAACAATCCCCTCCTCTAAAGGCTAACATCTTAATAGCTTAATAAATAGCTTATGTCTCCTAGATATATAGATATTAATCTTATCTTCTAATTTTTTATAATATATAATCTTATAGTTTTACACTAACTATATCTTTAAAGAAAAATATTTCTAAAAAGAATCTTTTTATAAGAATTAAGTTTATTAGAGTTATTCTTATAATTTCTTATTTTTGTTATACTGAACTTAGAAACTTATATATTAAATCTAAAATTTCAAAATATTATAGCAAATGTGTTTATATAACCAATTATTATTATATAAATATATTATCCTTTAACCTTACTTAGAAAAAGCTAGTTAAAATATTGTCGGAAACTTCGGTTTAAGTACTGTTGAGTATAGCTAGGATAGCTATTAACGGGCAAAGTTGATAGGCTTCTAATATACAAAAGTTGTAGAAATAAATAAAGTCTTAATCAAAAATAGAATATCCTAATCAATAGAAGATCATATACTCAAGTTATCTCAGTTAATTCAAGATAATAGAAGAAAACTAAATACAAGGTAAATAAGCATCCTTATATAACTTTCCTCCATTATAACCATCATAGAGAATCTTATAATTCCTATACAACAATCATCATAATCATCATAACTGTGACGATGCAGTGCCAAATCTATTTGGTCGCTAAATACGAAGAGACTAAACTGGAGAGAAGAAGAAAAAAAAAGAATAACTACTAGTCCTCTTTCTTCTACTTATACTTCCTTCTACTCTAGATACCTATAAGTTATCTTTGTTATATATTAGTGCCTAGTAATCTAGATTTCTGAAAGATTTTAATAATATAAAATATTAACTAATAAAGGCTATTTACTTTTTTTAATATTATATAAATCCTCTAACAATCTATAATATAAATTAAAATATAAGATAATCTCTATAAGATATATCTAATCCTATATCTTCTCTATATATAATTTATTCATAGAAAATAGTCTATAGATATTTCTATAATAATTATATATTACTAAGCTAAATTATACTAGATTATTATATTACCTTTTATTCTAAGTAATATTTACCTTAAATATTAAATTAATAATAATATATTATTTTTATTATAATTAAATAAAAATTTATCTTTCTTAGCTATTTATAACTAATTTTTTAAGTATAATAATAATCTAGATTTTTCTAAATAAAAATTATAGAATATTTTTATAATATTTAGTATATTCTTAAAATTTTCTGCCAGATACTATATTATATTATTATTATAATTTTATTATTAAATATAATACTATAATTTCTAATAATATATTTATATATTAAGAATCTATTTAACTTCTTATTTATTATAATTATTAATCTTAACTAATAATAAAGAGTTCTTAATCTATTTTAATAATAGTTCTATTAAGAATATCTTTTGAAATTTATCTAGAAAAAAAACTAGATATATTTAAAAATATTTAAGAAGCTTTAACTCATATATATTTTCTTTCTTTATAATAATCTTAAATAGGCTTAAATTTTAATAGAAAAGCTTTTAATTAGATTATTTATTATTAAGATACTTAATTATTAATATAATCTTATTTCTAATATTAAAATTTACTTCTTATTAATATTTATTTATTTATATTTTCTATTATTTTTATACTTATATTATATTTTATCTTATATAATTTTATATCTATTATAAGTATTTTATCTAGATTTAAGCTTATTTCTAATTCTATATAGAGCTCTTATTATTTAGTAATAATTAATAAAAAAATATTCTTAATATAAAACCTCTCTTAATCTTAAATAGTAATAATTTAATTAATTTCTAAAATAAGAATACTATAGCAAAATTAATTATTAATAACTATTTAGATTAATTATCTTAATAAAAGCTGATATAAGATTATAGATAAACTAAAAAATATTTATTTATAATTTTAGTTTACCTATTTATAGATATATAATACACTATTAATAGTTTCAGCTTAATTTCTAGAATATAATATATTTTTATTTAAAATTTTAATATAAATTATGCTTCTTAATCTAATATTATTAAATTTAATAGACTAGTTTTAGAAAATATATATCTAATCTATAATCTAGCTATTTTTCTAGCTATAATATTTTTAATATAAAGAATTAATCTTAATCTTTCACTTAGTTAATTTATCATTATAAAAACTATATTAAAACTACGCTTATCCTCTAGGTAAGATATAAAATCTATTAATATATACTACTATAATTAAATAGATATAAATAATGGCCTTAGTAATTCTAATAATAAGTTTTTATATATATTTATTTTCTTATATATAAAATAATTATTAATATACTACTTAATATCCTAATTCTATATCTTTTAGTAATATTATTCTCTTAATAGCTTTTTTATTTTATTTTTTTTAAGATAAGTAGTGATAGATTATTAACATATTTTATTTAGTAATTATACTCTAAGATCTCCCTTATTTAATATATAAAATTATTCTTTAAATATTAATTAATTATTAGTTAAATCTTAGTTAGATCTAAGATTCCTAGCTGCCTTATAATATTCTATAGTCTTTTAACTCTTTTAATTACTCTTTAGGATTCTAGCAATAATATGTAATATATTATCTATAATAATTAAGATTTCTAACTTAGATTCTGCTTTCTATATATAATCTTATTCTTAAAATTCCTTTATAATCTAAGAATTAAATTAATTAAAGAATAATAATAGGAGATTCTTTTTTTTAGATTATTAATTATTCTTTATATATTAGATTAGAGTATTAACTCTTTTATTTAAAGATCTAGATTAATATTTAATATAAAAGGTATATTTAGAAAGGGTCTTTAATTATTATACTTATCTATTATTAAATTTTTTTATTATTACAAAATATTCTAAGGCTTAATGATTAATAAGAATCTAAATAGATTTATTTTTAATTAATTCTTAAAACTTAACTCACTATATCTCTAAGGCTTATATTATTACTAGTATTTCTTAATTATAAATATTGTATTTAGCTTATGCAAAATCTATTATTTTAGAAAAATAAGTTACTAGGTGCCACTTGTTATTAATATATTATTAGAATAATACTACTAATTTATTTATTATTTTAAAAAGTATTACTTTACATTTATATATACTATATTATATATAGAAGATAATTAAATCTTTTAAGTTAAAATATATTCTTATTCAATAGAAACCTTATTAAATATCTAGTTTAGTAAATACTTATACTTTATTAATTTAATTAAGGATCTTATTAATTAAGAAAAGAGGATATTAATTTTTTTAATTATAGTATTTAATTTTTAGTAGTTAATATAGAATTATATTTCCTCTCTAAACTGTCAGAGAATCAGAACGTTACAGCCAATGGAAAAAGGAAACTAATGCATGATAGAACAAAGGATTATCCATAACCATCAGGGTTAAGATATCATAGAAATCAGAGCAAAGACTATAATGGCTATAATAATCATTATATAAGAATTATAGGATTCTCTATAATAATTATAATAAAGGAAAATTATATAAAGATGTTTATTTACTTTATATTTAATTTTCTTCTATTATCTTGAATTAACTATAATAACTTAAATATATAATCTTTTATTAATTAGGATATTTAAAATCTTATTCTTATTTCTTTTATCTAAATCAGATCTTTTAATTTTAAAAGCCTATTAACTTTATTTATTAATAGTTATTTTAGTTATACTTAATAGTAATTTAACTGAAGTTTCTAATAATTTAAGATCCTTAGTTAAAAGAGAAGTCTTAAAAATAAATAATAATAGTATCTTAAATCTTAGTTTTAGTAATTCTAAGTCCTAATTTACAAATTATTAATATTAATAATAGAGATACTATAACTACTAATAATAAAAATATAGCAGTATTACTAAAATATATTAATAATCTAGAAAAAGCCATAATTAATAATAAAAAAAGAATAAGTTATATATTTTAAGAAATTAAAATTAGAATAGTAACTCTATTTAAAAGAAAATATAAAATTTTTAAGATATATCTTATTTAAATATAACTCTATTTTATATATAATAGTAAATGAATTATAAATAAGTTTAATAAGATACTAGTAATAATAAGCTTTCTTAATAGAGAAATTATAAAATAATTTACTTTATATATTACTAACTGATATTAAGTTAATAATAATAAAGAATAAAAAAACTTTAAAATAATTA